ATTTGATCCAATCCATGTTCCAAAACCAACCATGGAAAGATGACGGCTGGGAAGGACGTTGAGACGGTAAAGTTCTGAAGGGTCAGTTACCACCAGTCCGCGAACCTAGGCCGCGAGCCTGGGGCGCACCAGTGGCAAGAACCTTCCTCGAAGGACCACTACGTGCTTGGGATTCACTTAGGGAAATGGGTCGTCATGTAGATGCCCTTAGGGCGTCACATTTCCTGACAGGTCAAGTGCTGAGAAACACATCATTCCGGTGAGATCCACCCGCTGTGCCATTGGTTTGGATGGCCGCATGACGGTGGACCGGAAATCAGCTGTCTCAACACCAGCCCAACATCCTCTTACTCCTTTACCCAGGGTTCCTCTTGACCAGCGCTGTCGGAAAAAAGATCTACTAGCAACTGGTCGAGTTACCCGCTTAAAGCCTCGCGGCCTAGGTTCGCGGACTTGGTGTGAACTGACCCTTCAGAACTTTACCGAGTCTCAACGTCCTTCCCGGCCGTCATCTTTCCATGGTTGGTTTGGAACATGGATTGGATCAAACCGAGTTGTCCGTTCAGACTTAACCAAATCACATGGATCTGTCAAGTTCTTCAGGGATTTGCGACCCGTTACGGAGCGCACGAATAGTGGTGCCTCAGCAAGCCGTCATCTTCAGGGACCTCGCGCTTTTGAAACCTTGGGATCTGACTCTTTTTCGGTTTCATCGGCACGGGGCCCCCTCCGAATCAAGCAAGTTTAACACAGATGCGTTAATTCGTGATGATTGCTCGCTCGATAACGGGGGAGGAGGGCTAGTGTTCTCACGACTGTCTTCCAGAACCATCCCATCGTCATCCCCCAGTGGCTGGTTTGTGCCAGTGGGAATCGGACAGGACCGGTCTGTCGTACAGTGTGTTGGCAATGAGCAACACTAGAAGTCCGGGGAGTTCTGTTTCTCCTGAGACGCGCCCCTTTACAGGACTACACCGCGCATGACGGCACTCAGGATCTGAGGTACAGAGGACCTCAAAAATGACACTTCTTTTAACAAAGAAGTGGGGGCAACCACCGCGGAACGAGTGTAGAGTCATGCTAACGATAACCAGCTAATAAAACGAGTTAAAAGCTTTGTATCACACGACTAGAACTCAAACTTGGGTAATTAAACCATTTATGTAAAAAGATAAATTATATAAGAATAACGTGAGATTAACAATAAACGGAGGCGACCGGCCGTGCCGGCCGCACAACGGGAGAAGGGGAGAAACGAAGTGGACGAGAAGCGAGGGAGCGGGCCTCTTATATATAGGCGCCGCCAATCCTACTATTAAACTAACCACTTATGATTATTGTATTAAACCGAAAGGGGATTAAACAAAACTAATATTAATATTAAAAAGTGCTCGACCACATTTACCTTTTGCCACCTATTCGGAAGGACTCTTTCGCGGAGTCGTCAACTTTGACACAATCATTGCAGCAATGGATCCAAGGTGATTTCAAGTCTTCGTCACTTTCTCATACTATCAACATTGCAGATACCTGGAAGTGATGTCCGGCTACCACTTCCGATTCCTCGACTCTTCCTCTTCCCCGATGCTCCTTCCGTTCATCTCTCTTCCAATCCTTTGTCTCTTCCTTCTTTGTCTCTGATTATGGGTTCTTTATGAGCAACGAAATAAACTGCTCAATTCAATAGGAAAGTGTACTCGTTCATTTTGAGATCATCCACAAGAGAAAGGGAAAAGTTAGAGATATCGGAAGGTGAACTCGTAAGTGACTGTCGTCGCGGCAGTGTACAGAATGACTGGAAGTGGGTTGACTGTCGTGGTCACATTCAACGGAGAATCCAGGCAGCAATCCCGGTCATTCGTAATCCTCGGATCTTCCAGATGTTTCACTTCGATTCCTCCCTCGTAGCACCCGAAAGAGCAAATTTCACGGCGTGCGGATTCAGAAGTAATCTCGTAGATCACTTGTAACGTTTTGTTGGTTGGACCCTGTAAACATTCGCTCATTTCAATGTGCCACGCTTTGCTCACCACAATCCAAGAGTTACAGAAAGTAAAGTACTGATCGTCTTTCTTGTCGAACTTCACAGTCAGTTTCTGCTTCTGCCACCTACTCGTGGCTACAAGTGTCGTTCCGCACCCTTCTGGCTACAAAACAACAGAGGTCCTTTCTTTCATTTATCCTTTTATTCACTCACTCTTTGGTCACAAAAGTCTCCTCCGTATCCCATTGGACAGTTGCAAACCAGGCAATTGTTCGGATTCGGAATGCCTCCGTTTGCACAGTTGGCAACTTGACCCGCGTTTTTGCACGAATCATAGCACTGGTAGTATTCGTTGATCTGGTCGAAATCGTAGAAATTCGGGATCAGGCTTCCCATCGTTTCAATGAAATTCCGATCTTTCGGGAGCATCGTCTGCTGATCGTCTTTGTTCGAAAACGAATCGGCCGAATAGTGCATGACACTGCCGTAATCGTATGGAACGAGGTTAGCCCAGAGACGGGAAGAGAGCAACTCAAGTTTGGAAGATCTCGTTGCTGAAATCAGACGATTCACGTCCCTTCCGTCCCTTCCACAAAGACCCACATCAATGTTTTGCGCCAGAATATCCAGATAACTATTTCTGTCACTTCTCGATTGAGTGTGCTCTATTCCGAGTGCATGCATCAGTTCGTGGATCGCCGTGCCCATCTGAAAACGGAAATATGTTCAATGGTCTCCTAGCACTTCGCACCGACCCCCCAACAGTTTTTGGTCAGTGACACGTCTTGCACGCCAATTTGTTGACGTCCGATGGGCGAAGAACACGATCCCAGGTCGGCGATCCGCACCGAGTCGCCGGCTGAAAATCATTGTAACTGCTTCTTCTTTTGTGACACTTCGAATGATTCATTTTGTGGAGGAGAGGAAAGAAGAAGCTGTGAAAGAAAGCACAAGGATCTGTGACGTCACCAGTGTTCAATGGTGTCTTTTCAAAAGAGAATGTTCCCAAAACGTCATTACATTGTGAGAAATCACGATCTCGGAAGTGTCTGATCGGACAGTTCTCTGCCGCTGTCACGGTTTCACATGAATGGCGGCGATGAAAGCACGAGCTGTTTGAGAAAGAGAAAGGGACAGCGACCGGCGGAACAAAGTTTGGCCGGACAGACTTCTTCGGGAAACACAGTGTATATTTAGATTAGAAACCGCTCAATGATCCGTTTGATTCTTGTGATTGCCTATTCGAGTACAATTTGATCGCAGAAATTGACATTGTGAACCCACCTGAGTATCCATCGTTAACACTCTCAAATCGGATGCAAGTCCACGCGGTGAGCTCTTGGATCGCCATCCTCACCGATTTCTTGATGTTGCCTGCAAAAAGAGCACTGATCAGCACTGCCGACTCAACGGGAAACCGTCTTACTTGTCACATTGCCCACGAAGTACGGCACCGTATTGTTTGGCCATCGATACGAAAGATCTCTTTGCACTTGCCTCACTTTTCTCTGTAAACTGTTTTTATGAGTCACTTCCACTTTTTTGTTATTTTGAAATTGACACAACGAGAGTAGGAATTTTGAGGATTAGATCGGTTTGTTTGGTGAATGACGAACCCTGCCTGCCGATCCGTAGTTCGAATGTGTTCGATAGTACGGGCTTCCGCCTTCAGACACTGTCTGAAAAAGAGATTCTATGGCTGGAATGGCAGCTGATCGTAGAGCTTTTGAGGATAAAACAATGAAACTCTGCTGGAAAGACAGTAGACTGAAAATTCGAGGCTTACCAAAGCGGCGAGAATACAAGTTGCGATACCTAAATCGAGACGCATCGTAGACAAGAATAACCTATCTGAAGCCCGGCACAAACGTAAAATGTGCCAACTCAACTGGTATTTGAGCAACTTTTTCCCCTAACTGCTCCTCCCCTCCTCCCCAAGGCTTTTCGGCAAATACAGTTCGGTTCTGACATTTTCTATTTGAGGTTACCCCCTTTTGTGTTTGTGTAGAAATCGAGAAGTAGACTGGTAATAACACTTGTCGCGTGTCTGTTCAGATGTTCGTTCTGATGTCACTGATTCGAATTCAACGAGAGTTTGTTCAGCTGCGATCACGGATTCACGGATAATACAAATGGGAATACACTTGGCGGAACTTGAAGATTCTGGAAGGCTTCAAACCTTGAAGTGAAATTAAACCAAAACCAATCTCCTGGTTGTTGATGACACCTTCATCTGCTCTGATTTACAGACATGACAAATATTTATTGTTTACAAAGCCAATTTTTCTGACAAACTGGTAGCCGACTACCGTGTTTGCCCTCTCCAATTTTTGCTTTGTGCTCTTTTCACTCTGCCGATGATCTCTTCCATTTTTTGCGTTTAGAGAAATGATAATAGTTTGTAGATTGACCAAGTGCACATGTGATACGGAATAACAAAACATGAAGGTATTGTGGTCGGTCATTTGAACCCGATGAAACCTGACAACTGAAAATAGACATGGGAAACACCTTTGCATCTCTTGGAGTCTTCTTGAGTGTGTGGTGCCAAAACAATCCATCAGAGAAGTCCTGCTATATTGTACCCCTTTCCCCAACAGTCAAAACATGACATAAGTACAATTCTCTCGGCCTCCTTTTGTCCGCAAAACGTGCCTTAGGAAGTTCATATTGTGGCTGTTTTGGGCAAACAGAGTGACGAACGAAACGCAATTGCTTCCTAGTCAATGTAGTCTCTTCTCGTCTTCAGAGAATTCAGCATTGAGCAGTCGTTCTCTGCTCTCCGCACACTCCGATCAATCACTTCGGCACTTCTTCTCTCGCGTGTTGATCCGATCGGAGTCGATCTGATTGATGGCCGATCAGACGGATCAGGCCGATCATTTCCATGTGGGGAACACGTTTCGGCGGGCTGCAGAGTACGTTTATTCTGCAGTCGGAAAACGCAAAGAAACAAATTATCATGTGATAGCACGAGGTCGTCGATTCTGGTCCGCGCAGATACTAGAACGATCTTGAACAAAAATAAATGTCTGGCGACCCAATCGGATGACCAAACACGTGGCAGTGATTCGCCCGACTGTCGTTCTCTGTGAGCAAAAAGGAAGTGTCAAAAGTTTACTGTAGTGTATTCAGCTTCTTGCAAAACCATAAGCATCTGAATAGAATGAAACAATAGCTGAAACTTCAGCATTCCAGTTCATTCTCTTGTTTTCCCGAAGTGCGAGACGTCGATTCAATCACGAAATGTACCGTATCGCACGTAGAGAACGACGACGGAAAGAGACTGTCTCGGTACAAATTGATACGAACTAAGTATTTGTACCTAGGAACGTGGAAAGCACACTGGAAGTGTAAAAAGTGTACGGAGAGCTTTGAGAGAATACCGTACTCTGGAGCACTCATAAAGCACACAGAAACACAATGATACTTGGGCTCGAGCTACAAAAACTCCAATGCTCAGATGTGCACCTTTCTGTTAAAATCGGTTGAGCTACATCCATTGAACATACATTCTGGTTCAGTACTGATTTCATACTGCTTTCTGTAGCCAATTAGACGTTTTCCAGCTTCTCCAAAGTGTCACCAGATTTACGGACAAGATTTCCACGCTCCGAGTACTGCGTATTCCGAGGAACTTTTCTGAAAGAGAATCTGGAAACAAAGCCTCGAAATTATAGTCGAATTGTTTTATTAAACTCTCTCAGTTATTTAAGAAACAGAACAATGAAAATATTTAACGTTAACCACTCTGTGGCCGGTCAGAAAGAGTACGGTAGACGTATGATCACAGAGAAAGACAGCTACAAACTACACTGCGCGGTCGGGAAATAACAGGACTGAGTCTAACAGTGATGATATGGGAGTCAGTGACCAACAATAGTACAGTAAGAAAGTGCCAGAATGCCACAACTGTAGCCTACTCTTGTAAAACAGGGGGAGGAATCGACGCATTCACTCAATGATCAATCGTGTCTGCAGGTACCGTAAGCCCATTGCGTCGCTCTCAAAAGATCAGAGGGGAGTTCCAGGGAAGCACAGAGTCCGGCCACCTTGAACCGAACGATCGGCAGAAGCTGACCTCTTCGTTCTCTGACTTTGACTCTATTTCCGTCCCAGTGCTTCTCTTCTGTCTCTCCGTCTCCTACAGTAACTCACTCTCTCTTCCCCTCCATGCCCCGCCCCTTTCGTTCTCTTTCCCAAGTCATACAGTATTCCCCGTCGTATCCTGATCCCTGTGATCTTGCTTACGTCTTCAAAAATGAACTCAACTGTACCACCCACCCATCTTCTTCTCTCCACCTCTTCTTCTCGCTCGCTCTTCTCCCCGATTTCTCCGCTTCCTTTTGTCCCTCCCCCTCTCTTCAAAGGCACTATAAAAGGAGCGCTAAGGCTACTGGGGTTCCAACAGCAAAAGCTTAAATTTCTGAAATCAACAATGCAATCGCATCGCATCCTTATCAACGCCTCCATTCTTCTGGTCCTCTTTGGTGAGACCTAGCTGAAAATGAATAACCGAAGAATAATGGGATTGATTTCAGTGAGCCTCTGTTGTGCCGCTCCGATGATCGAAGAGCCGAAGGTGGAGAAGCCGACCAACCTCGAGATTCTGTTCGCAAAGATTCTGAAGAAGCAGGAGGCGTCCAAGGCGCACAGACTCATCAACTTCATCAGCAAGGCGGTTCCCGGAGGAGTCGATGCTCCGATCCCCATGATGGCCGAGTACGAGACGTTTAAGTCGGACAAATCCGCCAACTTCATCAATGACGGAAACGGCCACATCGTGTTCCGACAGTACAGAAGAGCCCGTCTTTCCGATGTAAGCCTCACAACAAACTAGAATCTGGGAGAGGGCGAGACAGACTGAAGATGAACGGGCGTGTGATCGGAGAGAAACTGATATCGAATTGTTCATTGGTAGGCCACTGAAAACATAGATACGGCGGATCATTCACACTCTCGCAGGTGGCCTTTAGCCTCCTTCCCTTTCCGCTTTCTGACGGTTCTGAATCGGAATTTCAGAAAGGATCGCCCGCCAAACAGCTCTTTACTGTCTGTTTCGTAGTGAATGTTCGGCGAAGTAATGCTGTAATTTGTAGTCGAAAACTTCTTGGCACCCCTCCGAAAACGGACAAAGACGAGAGAGACAGGCGCGTAGAACGTTTAACTATTTTAAAACTCTTTCTTTCTCACTTCCACTCTAATTCTGTCATTTTTTCAGATCTTCAACAATGTGAACCGTCGTCCAGGAGGCAAGTAACTTCCCGGCCTCTTCTTCTTCTTCTTCTTCGTGTCTCATCTGACCGTTTCTGTACACTTCCCACCACATCCGACATATCATCCGGTTCGACGTATCAGTTCCTCCTCCAAACATATCTTCAAAGACATATCAGTCACCAACACGGGTCGCCGACAAATCAAACGAATTCTCAATGCTCATATCAGTCTCTTTTCTCTGTACATTTCTTTCTTTTTGTATATTTTGTTTCAGAATAAAAGTTTCCCATATTCAATCTCTTACAGTCTTATGTTCTTCTCCTCCGTCTCGCTCCTCGATCCGATGATGTCACTGTGCTTTCTGTGGTTACTGCCAATCTCTCCGAAGTTTTCCTTTGTCGAAAAGAAGAGAAAAGTTATAAATAAAAGTGTCTCTTGAATAGAACTCTTCCTACAAACTAGAGAAGAACTTTGAGATTTGCAAGAAGGAACTTTCCAGAAGAAACAGTTTATTGAGATCAAGTAAAATCAAGAAAAGTGATGAAAAGTGAAGCAAAATGTTCCAGAATCAGAATCCCGGGAGGCTTCTTCAAAAGTGAGTGCAACACAGAGAATGAGCGTCTGGAGGCGCAGTGGCCGTCTAACTTCCCCGTCTTCCTTTTATACGAGGGGCCAGATCACAGTACGCCCAACGAAAAGGGCGGGCCCTTCAGAGAACGACCATCTCGCTTCGAAGTAGCACGCCTCCGTCGCTTCCCCGTCGTTGACCGTCATTCTGACTGGAACTGATCGTCTGTGATGTGTGCTCTTCTCATCTTTTGTCCGGTGGCTCCACGTTCACCCAAGTAGCCTCCTGCTGCGCTCCCAAAATAACTCTCGTTCTTTTCTTTTCTTCCGATCTTCTGTAGATCGAATTTCCGGTGCATCGATGAATGTCTCCGTCTTCGTCTTCTGCCTGATATTGCCCTTTTCGACGTCATTGGTTCATAGAAGATCACAGTTTGTTGATCCGTCGTCCTCTCTCCACCGCAATGCTCTCTCGTCACAGTCATCGTCGGCGTGTCCGATGTTCGTGTGATCCATCGGTTTGTCGACTGAATCAAATAAAAGGCGATCGACGAAGTCACGACGTCGCTAAGTTTGACACCATCTTCGATTCGATTCCCTTCTGTAACCAACACAATGCTGCGATTCCCCATCGTTATGTTTCTCTTCGTTTCTGGTAAATTACCATCTGAATCTTTTGTTCTCTACGGCCTCCCTTCCAGCTATCTTTGCTGCTCCGGAGATGAAAACCGACGAAAAGGCGGGATTGGATGTTCTGTTCAACAAACTAATGAAGAAGCAGGAGACTGTCAAAAACTCCCGGCTCATTGACTTTATCAGCCGCGGCGCCCCCGCCGGAGTCGATGCTCCGATGCCCTCCATTGCCGAATACGAAACATTCAGATCGGACAAATCGGTCAACTTCCTGAGCGACGGAAACGGGCACATTGTCTTCCGTCAATTCAGAAGAATCCGCATCTCTGATGTAAGTTATTATCTATCTTGTTCCTCATTTCAAAAGTTCACTTTCAGCTGCTCGGATCTCAAATGAAGAACCGTTCAGGACTCAAAACTTAATCGAATCTATTCATAAATATGTACATTTTGTTATATAATTTCTGTAACTTCTACGGGTTATCGATTGTAAAGACATGTGATTAAAACAAAGGAAAAGAAAATATCTGACGAAGAGATCGCTTAAATAATAAAAATGATTTCACCTTATCTCCTCTTTGTGTTCAATGACAAGGAAAAGAAGAAGAAAAAGATAGGAGAGGAGAAGAAGATTTCTCAGTTTCTCTAAAGATATCAAAAGACCTGATAGGCCGCATTCCCCTGATAATTCTTCTTGTAGACCGAGCAATTAGACATTCGAGAGCTCTCTGACTACGTAATTATCTGGAGCCTATCTGGAACGAGACCTACATGAATCAAAAGATGTGAGCGAGAGAACTTCAAACGTGCTCTTTAATCTTTCTGCCGCCGACCTTTGAAACTGCAGAAAAATCGTCTGAAACTTGATTTTGGGCTAACCATTGCACTCAAGAATAAACTATTTACACGCGAGAAAATGCAGCCTAAGACAATAGAACTCCAGATCATTTTTTCTGAGTTTTAGAGGTCGGCCGCAGAATTGAAAAACCCGTTTGGAGCATTCTCGTTAACATCTCTTGATTCATTGTTCCGAAAGGGTAAACTTTTCTATCAGCGATGCATTTGACTGCAATCTCGCTCTACTGCACACCACGTGAATTCAGTGCTTAATTGGAAAAGGTCGCGGTCGCGGTCGTGTTTTTACGTGGAATTGTGTTAGAGCGCGATTGCAGTCAAATGTCGCCATAATATGGATCATTTCCTAGCGTGAGCTGATGACTACTTTCACAGTGTAGTCTACAGTTTTAGACATATCTTTCTCAAGTGTTTACACCGATTCCATTGTTTTCAAAGTTGCACGTCGTCCAAAACTAGATTCTCTCTATTGTCTCAGTTCCGGGTGCAACTGGGTGTGGAGAAATATAATTATGTGCTATCAAACGAATATGGAAGGATTCGCATGTGAACGGAGTAGATCGAAGTCTAGTGGAGCACGTGAATACACTAGACATTCCATAATAAGGAGATCTTTTAGTAATTGAACCTATGTTGCTACAGCCATCTCACCCTATTCAAAAAAAAGGATCAACCTGAGCTGTGCAGCTCTACTTGTGCTCCGCTTCACAAAGATCCGCACCGAAAGTCCATACTCATTCACCACAGAACGCACAAAATGGGAATGATAAACGACAAGCGCGGGACAGAAGGGATCGGCCGTCAGAAAGCGATCAGCTTGGTATCACAAGACATGACGCGTCGGAATGAACTGGCTGAACCGTCCGATCGGTCATCCGTCATGTTCCATTGAACGGTTTAGCACGAATCGACTTCAGAGAAGCCACAGTCTTGTGATCTCAGTGAATGGGAAGGGCGGGGAGAGGGACAGAAAAGAACAGATTGGGATACGGTAGATGTATATAACACGGAACGGAGGCTGCTGACTGCGGATGCCGTAACCACTTCGAACATGGTGATTTCGATCTGTCCGCAATCACGGAACAACTATGCGCTGTTTAGGGTATTCTAATTAACTGGAAGCTGGCGAATCAGCCGCTCTCAAGAAGCTCAGCAAATGATAATAGAGACAACCGAAACTTGCCATTTTTTGTTAACTAACCTCGGTCAGTTTCATATCTCAAGTTTAGGTACACTTCTAACAATCTTTCGGCTTACATCAGTCTTTTCGAATGTCGCCTTCTCATTTCCGTTGGCTTCTCTAACTGTGGTGCATTCTCGGGAAACCCAAAATTGTTGTAGATAATAATTGAAGGGAAGTAGCCTATGTCTTCAGAAATGGCAGTAGAACACGTGGATTCGGGCTTTTCCTGGTTTTCTAAATTACTAGAGAATTACTAGAGAGGTGGAGGACTCCGATGTGAATAAAGAGTGTTGGCTGCGGCTATCCCAAATCAGAACTGTCCGTATGCAGTACTATCTGCCGTATTAATTGGTTCTGTTGCGGAGCAGTTCCGTTTGGGGTAGCCTCGTCGGCTAGATTTGTCTTCTAGTTTCACACGTTTTTCAAAATCGTTACAGTGGAAAGATACATTCAACTAAATGTTTCGTAGACAGTACGAATGCGATGAAAACGAATTGCGCTGTTTTTTTCTCTAATGTCCGCGGCCGGCGCTAAATCTGCCAGTCCCGGAAAATAGATCCAACCCATTGCTCTCCTCCAATTCCAGCTTGACCCTCTAACGTAAGTGCGACTCGGGTCAAGTCTTGTGAAACATATCCCGACTTCACATTTACTCTTTCATTCCCACATATTTATGTAATCAGAAAAAGTTAAAGAGTTCTATTCATAAATAAAGCAAAACACGAAAGGAATCACAATTGGAAAGAAAAGCGCAAGTGTCTGGAAGCAGGTCGTTATGTTGTAAACGATTTTGGATCACGGGTGACCGAATTCGAGCAAAGGGGGTGTGGAAAGGAACGGAAGCAGTGCGAGTTTCTTACACTGTCAAATTATGAGAACGGGGAATAAATTAAAACGGAACTCGTTACTGTGAGATGGTACAAAATATTGGCTTTCACATAAATATATTAGGGATTCTCACTAAAAACAGGATGCTGATTATCGGGAAATGGTCTGTATGTTAACAATTGGCTAAAACAGCAATTGAAAAAGCCACCCGCTCATCAAATAGAAAACGGCAAGATCCTAGCCAACGACGACTTTGCCGCTGTCTTCCTTTCCCTGCATGCGTGGCTTTCCAACCGTGAACGGGATGTAGCGGTACTTGATCATATGCTGAAAAAGTGCGATTTAAAACAAACACGTGAATTGAGCGGCTCACCATAATTTGCCTCTTCATTGTCAGGAAAGTAAGGATTAGGAAGTACATGACAAGAATCGGCCAGAAGACGGGGACGTCGAAGAACTCGAAGAAGGTGCAAGTGATAGCGATGAGAGTTGCCTTCATGAACGAGTGCCTGAAGAAAAACTACTAGAGCCGTTCAAATGAGGGAAACTAACCAGAACTTGAACTCGGGAAGACGGCGCATGAATGGACGGAACTCGTCATTCGTTTTCGATGGAAGCACCGGCCCGTCGTCTTCATCTTCAAACTCTAAAGCCGGGTCGATTGACGGCGTCAAGAAAAGTAGGAAGAGATTCAAGTAGTAGATTCCGACCGCGTAAGCGACTATGTAGAAACCCTGAATCGGTTATCGCTTTTTCAGTTGGCAAATATTTATATAACTCACTTGCAGCAAAATAATTCTGGATGCGAAGAAGACGAGCGAGATCAGAGCGATGACCCAACGAAGAGCCGTGTGCGGCGTCAGACGGTCGAGATAGTACTGATACTTCTGAAAATATTATAAATTTCATATAAAGCTAACCAAAATTATGAAACTAACCACTTCTAAGCTGTGAAAGAAGCGCGATGTTACTCCTGGCCTATCTCTGAGTCCGTCGTCCATATTACCTGAAATTGTTATGAATAACACATTCAAAAGTGCTTGGAGTATTTTATTTCAGCAGTTTTTAACAGAAAAGTTTTAAAATCAGCAAGAAAAGTTAGGAAAAGCGATGAAATATTGATTTCGATGTGAAAGAACACGTCAGGAGACTGCAAACACGGCGACGACAATTTGCACAATTGCTTTGAAAAGCCATCAAAAATAGTTTGTTCTTTCAAAAAAAAAACAGAAAAATTTGTCTTCGCATTTTTTTAAGCAGAAAATCTCTCGTTTTGAAAGTGACAAAGTGCTTTTGTTAAAAGTTATTGAAAAATGCTTAGTTTTTAATCGGTTTAGCCCAATCGAATAAGATCTTACTGGAACTTCAATTAAATCTTATTAGATTGCGAAATGGAGCCTTTTCTAATTAGATTGCAATCGAGTTCCCAGAGACGAAACACTTGCCCGTTCTAAAATGTTGCTCTACTATTCCGTAAATTTTATTAATTTTTGTCTATCTTTCCAAGGTGAAACCATGTTGGACGTGGAAAACTTGAGTCTGTCGCTGCTGATCGGAGGCCTTGTCGGCTTCGTTACAGTGATGGGAGCCGCTATAATCTACGTGGCGAAGAAAGAAAGGCAAGGAGAAGAGGAGGAAGCGTAAGTTTCTCAGCGGAAAATCATTACAGTATAGAATAAATTGTAGCGATGTTGTGATGGACGAAGTGACCGAAACTGTGGTCAGTGATGAACCGGCGAAGAAAAACAAACATCAGAGGAAGAATGACCAGTGGAAGGTATCCGCAATTTAAAGGAGGCATTCAGGAAGAAAATCGAAAAATAATTTGACACTGCAGAAATGTACCTTGACGTTGTTCCGTATCAACCCCAAAAGCACAGATTTTTACGATGTCTCCCAGATTTTTCTCGGTTTTTAGAGCAGCAAATTGCTGTTCATCTATTTTTTCAATTTTCCGAAACAAATCACGTTTCTTCAGATTCAACCGCTCAAAAATGTTTTCCCGCTGGGCACATTACTTATTCTAAGGGTCCTTTCCACCGTCACAGAAAATGACCCAACTCGTCAAAAAACAGATTACTGTAGATTACTGTAGAAAGCAGAAAAAATATTGGGGCGAGTTGGGTCATTTACAGTGACCGATGGAAAGAACCCTTAGAATAAGCAATGTGCGCAAGAGGAACATTTTTGACCGTGTGAAACTGGAGAAAACATGATTTGTTTCGGAAAAGTGAAAAAAATCGATGAACAACAATTTGCTGCTGAAAAAATCAGGGAGACATCGCAAAAATCAGTGCTTTTGAAGTTGATACAGAACAACGTGACGTGAACGTGCATTTCTGCAGTGTCAAATTATTTTTAAATTTTTCTCCGGATGCCTCCTTCAAAGAAAACGCTGAACAACGGATTTTTCAGTCAAAGGAGCCGTCATTCTCTCATCCATGGAGCGTCACTGTTTTGAAGGGACACACGAAAGAAGTGACGGACATTGCGTTTGCTTCCGACGGAAAGAAGTTTGTCTCAATTTCCACTGATCGGACCGTTATTCTCTGGGACGTGCGAGATTTTGAGAGCAAAGAGCACAAGTCGATCCGTCAGACTGTCGAGTACGACACTCCGACGCGCGTCGTCTTCGCTCCCGACTGTAAGAGTGTGGTGTTCAGTGTGAAACGAGATAACAAGGTTTGAAAACAGCCCCGCCGATCACCAACTCAATTTTTCAGTTGTGCGTTTACAAACTCGTGAAGAAAGCAGAAGGTTCTGGATCGCATCATTTTGTGCACATCGATAATTTGGAGTTTGAAACAGTACATCAAGTAGATATTCAACACATTGGAATTGCGGGAAATGGTATTTAGGAGAGCCGTTGAAGACGTGGAAATGTGAATACTTGCAGCCAAGTACCTGATGAGTTCGGGTCTCGACAACAAGATATGCTTGTACGATCTTCGTGGACAGCTTCTCAAATCGATCGACGCCAAAGTAAGCAGTCTCTACGACTGCCGTCTCTCTCCTGACGGCCGATTCGTGATTGTCTCTGGATTCACTCCTGACGTTTTCGTCTTTGAGCCGACCTTCTCTAGAGACGGATCTTTCCAAAATGCGAAGAAAGTGTATAGCCTAAGTGTAAGATCTCACTTCGACCCAACAACTCCACGAAATTGTAACTTCAGGGTCATCAATCAGGCGTTCTCGCCGCTGCTTTCAACGCGACTTCTACTCGTGCCGTAACTGTGTCGCGGGACGGACGCTGGCGTGTTTTCGATACAGATATACGCTATGAGGCTGGACAAGACGCGAAGATTCTGAGAGAGTGAGTTGGCAGAAAACAAGTGGACGAGCGGAATGCATTGCTAGGCAACCGAAACGGGTAGACGAAAGACGAGCAGCGAGTTGGCACGGCAATTCGGATTTGTTATCGCAAAATACATAATTCGCCATTCAGGGGGAGCTGGGAGCCTCTGCGTGGAGCCACAAGTGAGAATGTTCGATTGGAAGTGAGCCCAAGCGGGGATTCTTTCGCTGTCTCGTACAAAACCGATCTGAAAGTGTTCAGCTCCGAAGATGAAACTAAAGATTACCAAGAATGTGAGAGGAAAACGGGAAAAGATGAAAGAAATGAGAAATTTTCAGTGAAGAATATCTGTTCAATTACCATCAGCTCAATAGTCTACTCTTCCGATGGAAAGTACATCGCAACTTGCGGAGACAAATACATTCGTGTCATCCGAAACGTTCCCGAATTGCACAGTCGTGTCGTGAGACTGACTCGTGAACTGCCGGAAATCACGCAAGAAGGAGCCCGCCGCAGAACCAAGGAGTTGATCCTAGAGGCCAAGGAGATGCTCCAAAACTACGAAGACTAACTCGAATATTCCTGTTGCCATTCTGTGTTTATCGTAATTTATTGCATCTTTCATGTTTCATAAAAACGAGTATTGTTTCATTGTCGTGTCAATAAGTTTTCTGTTATTGGTCCCGTGTATGGCATATTTTGAAAATTTGTAGATTTTCAGTTGAAGTGTTCTTCCAGGAATGGTTAGGCTGCTGCTGCAGGAAAGACTGCCGACAGTCGATGCGGAACCAGTCAGAGATCTCAACCTCGAGTACACTTGTTACAATGACGAGGTTGTTCCGGGAAAGGGCGGACGTCCGATGCTCCGCGAAGAAATGATCGGACAGAGAAACGTGGCAATAAATGTGATGGACGCCTACGATCCGATAATCGCGGCGGCGCTCGTGAACGAACAACACGACGTCCTCTCCTAATATATTTACTTTTACAGAACAATCATTCTATTTATCAGCTTTATGAGTTTGAGTCCAAGACTAAGTTTCTCGACAACGTTGCAGTGAGAGCTGCGCCGTCGGATGATATATTTTCTTTGGCCGAGAACAATGATATGGTACATAGAGTGGTGGGAAAAAACAGGGAACAGTGCAATTTCAGCCGACACGATTTCTGCTCTGTCGCTACGTCATCTGCTTGATCGACGATGCGAGACAGACGGGAAAACACATCGAACTGATGGCGATCCGAAAAAACGATGACGTTTACATTGGCGCGAATAAATCACTGGATTGGTAATCGCCCTTCACCATGCTTTTTCAACTCCTCTTCTTTTTCAGTTTGGCGAACGAAGCGAGCCAGAAGTCCGCTTTCGAACGGTTGAACTTCGCTAAAAAAGTGACTCGTGAGGTGGACGTGCTCAGCTTCCAAAACCATCACAATATTGTCAAAGAGTTGCGACTTCAAAACAGAAGGACACGCAAAGCAATGAGAATCTTCATCTCGAGCGTCGCCCGCGCATTCGATAACAAAGGAAGAGTGGTCGAATTGAAGACGGTCGGGATGTCGGTGGCTGGAAAATTGCAAAATCTTCCGGGACACAAGGCTCGCAATTGGTGGCTCAGAGCTCTCCTCAGTGGAGCCGATCGGATTGTTTACGGCATGCGACGCAACGATTTTTTAGTTAATGAGGTTGAGCCGATAAATGGGCAAAAATAAAAGGGCCATAAACTCGGCTGGCTTCCAGGTGCACGACGCTTATTTGGATGAGCTGACGAGCGGACACTTCCACTTCGATGGCACCGCCCTCTTCTCATTCGTCTACAATCTCTTCGAGAAAGTCCACAATTTTCTGGCCCACGAAGGCGACATGTGCCTGGTTAGTCCATTCTTTGAACAACTCGTTGAAAATCAGTTTTTAAGATCACTTCCGATAGACACGAAATGTCAATTACACAAGCGACGGCCGAAACTCTCAATCGGAGCCCCTTCTGGTAACCGCTTTCAAATCATCTGATACTTGCCAGAATAATCATATTGACAAATGATCTGAACTCTTTCAATGCTTCAAACACCCTGAATGTTTTACTTTATCAGAACTTCTGTTTATTTGTTCTCTGTTTTATCTTTTTCAGAAATGATTCTTTTCACTGCTCCGATTTGAAAAACGTGTTGTTTTCTTCCTATTTCTGTTTTCAAGGCGAAATGTGAGTTGCATTGTGTATTATCTTATCGAGACATCCTTTGTAATTCTGAACCGGCATTTTTTCAACGTATAGTCGTTTAATGTCGTTTTGTCTTCAGTTTTCATCCGATTAGTGCATCAAAGTAGTATTGGCGCCTGATAAGAGAGTTCGGAATGATCGCCGTCGCACCAATTTTTGATCTACGCTCTGCCGAATCTGGCCGTTATTGTTCGGTCGACCGAACAGTTTCCCTTTTTCTGGCAGAATCTCCCGTCGGGCAGCGCCATGCTCCGACTCGTTCCGTTCCTTCTGCTGGCCCACGGTGCGATGGTTCCGCCAGTTAGGAACGGGGAAATGGAACTGAAGCTGGTGCATATTGTAAGTTACTCGAATTGAAAGTTTGAAAAAATATGGTTTTCAGGTATGGAGGCATGGAGATAGATCGCCAACGACTACTTTCGATTCCGATCCATTTCAAGAAGATGCGTGGACGTTCGGAGGAGGAGGCTGGGGGCAGTTGTCGCCGATGGGAATGTCACAGCACTTGACACTGGGGAAGATGCTCCGGGACAGATACGTGAACACGGGCAATTCGACCTACAACTTCCTGCCGTCCGTTTATGATCAGAAGACGATGTACGTCCGATCGACAGGACTGAATAGAACACTCATTTCGGCCACTTCGAACATGCTCGGAATGTACGGACAAGACGGATACGGTAGTTTGGCCGGAACGGATTATCCGGATGTTAGCGGGTGGCCACGTGGATTCATCCCGATCCCCATTCACACAGTCGACTACGACTCCGACCATGTGGGATCTCACAGCATGTGCTTCATTTTCATTTTCTGATTTCAGATCGGGAACATGGATAGCATTTGTCCGCGGCGTGATTGGCTTTGGAATCTGGCTCAGCAGTCGGATGAAGTGAGGAATTGGACGAATTCGGCCAAAGTATCGTCTGTTTTGAATAAACTGACTTCGCTTGTGAACCAAACATTCGCCCTCGAAGACCTGTGGATTGTTCCCGACGCTCTGTTTATCGAGCAAATCTACTACAACGAAAGTCTGCGAGTGAAAAACACGTGGTACACTGATGACTTTTACAACCAAATTGTGGAAGTGAACGACCAGACGTACATGTTCCAGTACGGTATTTTCGGTGAGAAGTCATTATTGTCGACGGGTCTTTATTTGAAGTTTCAGATAAACCTGTGAATATGAATAATTTGGACATAGGATTGGAACTTTTGAAAGTGCGCTCGGGGCCTTTGATGAATGATATCGTGGAGAGAATCGTCAGAAAAATTGATTGTTCCTACGGGAAGAACGCATCCGGATGCGGTTGGATTAACGGACTCAAGTACTTTGCTTATTCGGCGGTCTGACTCTTTTTTCTTCCGAACTTTTTCCGAATTTCTCATTTGCAGCACGACGAGACAGTTTACGCAGTGCTGGTTGCGCTTGGCATCGAGAGATTCGCCATCATTCCACATGGATATCCACTCTACTCGGCCGCAGTTTCCATTGAATATTGGAGGAATACGACAGACAACACCGATTATTTCCAGGTACGTTTTGAGTGCAAACAACGTCCACTCCCACGTGATGTTCCAGTTAATTTACCACAAAGAGGCGGGAGACACTTTCACTGTTATGACGAGTGAAATCGAAGGATGCAATGGGGACTACTGCTCGATTGAAGTGTTGAGGGATGTGGCCAAGAAGCTGAAGACCGATCAACCCATAGATCAGTGGTGTCTGGTCACGGAATCTTCCAGTTCTTCCTCTCTTTCTGTCACATTTCTGATTCTCACTTTTCTGCTTTCAAAATGCTTTCTCATGTAAAATATATAGGTGGCGTTATATTTAGCATTGAAACTGCTATGACATAAATATTTATTGTTATCTAAATACATTCTCGATATTTTAAATATGGCAATCGCGTGCGTAGAAATCTTCATCCGCCGGAGACGACCTAACGTCTTCTTTTTCTGCAGCACTGATTGTTTCCGCACATTGAGAAGCCGGTGGAGCAGTTGCACTTGGAGCCGGTCATCGCGCACGGCTCCACTTGAAGTGGACAGTTTTGCTGGCACGCATTCTGACAGGCTGGGAGGCAGAATTCGACTTGGGTGAGCAGTTGCTGTTTGCATTGGTCGACGCATTGGCTGGCGCACTGGGGAGCACAAGTGACCGTCTCTTCCATTGGTTGCTGAAGGACGATCTCTAGTTTGAAGGTGGGTTCGGCGGACTCCTTAACAATCTGAAAAAGATATTGAATATATTGTAAGAGTAAAGATATTTTACTTCAACACAAGAAGATCTGCAGCTGTCGGCACACGCGGTACTGCATTGCGGGACGCTTTGGCTGTTCTGTTGGACACAGGATGTCTGGCAAGACTGGGTGCAGGCGGGCATGCAGTTGTTGTCGGCCTGAATCAGTTCTGATTATGAAATAAACCGTTTCGTGCGAGTTCTACCTGTGGAATCACAATTTCGAACTGATAGTTCTGAATGCACTTGGCATCGCAGGACGGCTGACAGGCAGGAGCGCACTGCTTCGAGTTCTGATCGCTCATCGGAAGAGTGAAAGTGTAGGTCTCGACGCAGGAAGGCTGGCAGGCAGGTTGACATTGTGGCTGGCAGGATGGCGTCGGACTGGTCGTGGTAACGGGGAACTTCAGGGTGAAACTGACGCACTGGGGATCGCACGCGGGCTGACATTGCGGAGAGCAGGTGGTGTAGGACGGAGCGGCGGTCGTGAATGGAATGGTGATCGAGTAGGTCGCCTGGAAATGGTTTGCATTGAAGAGTTTGATCGGCAGAATTGGGTAACCTGCTGGACACAGTCCTGAGAGCAAGTGGGTTGGCATTGCGGAACGCAGCTCTTTGTGATCGGAACCGTTGTTTGGATAGTTATTTGTTGAACGCAAAGAGGTTCGCAAGCCGGTTGACACTGGGAAGGACAACTGTTTCCCTGGTTGACTTTCGAGTAACTCTGCTGAACGGTCACTTGGTACTGGGACTGAATGCAGGTCTGCTCGCAAGCGGGTTGGCAGGCGGGAACACAAGAGTACTGTCTCTGCTGATTCTGCTGCACGTTCAACTGTTGTATTTGAATCTTGTAAGTTTGAATGCACTGCTGCTCGCAGGCCGGTTGGCATTGCGTGATACATTGAGGAGAAGCCGTTGTGCTCACATCGTCGACCATCTTGATTTGCACGGAGAAGTTCGGTTGAGAGGCGACGCATTCTGGAGTGCAGGCGGGCTGGCATTGGGAGACGCAAGAGGGCTGCTGGGAGTACTGTTGCTGCTGAGTCTGCTGCTGATAACTGTTCTTGATCTTGAGCACGATCTGAGCCACAATGCACTTGGTGTCACAGGCCGGTTGACATTCCTGTACACACTGTTTCGGCATTGAAATCGTGGTTGTGAAGGATTGTGTGCAGGACGGAAGGCAGGCCGGCTGGCATTGGGAAACGCATTGGAGAGGGGCGGAAGTGGTGGCAGCCGTCGTGTACATGGCAACACATCCTGGATCACATGCTGGCTGACAGATCGAGATGCAGACTTTGGTGATCGGAGGGACAGTGGAGACTCCGGAAGATCCGGAAGAGAGGTACTGGTAGACGCATTGAGGCTGGCAGGCCGGTTGGCAGGCAGGAACGCAAGTCTCCATGGCTGGAGTTGTTTGGGCAGTGACTATTTGGATCTGCAGTTGGGATTCGACGCATTGGGGTTGGCAAGCTGGCTGACAGGCTGGAATGCAGGATTCCGTGGTGGAAGTAGTGACCGCTTGGACACATTGAGGAGTACAAGCAGGTTGGCAGACTGGGATGCAGGCGGCAGTGGTCGACTGGGTGGTGGACTGGGTCTGAATGGACACGCTGACAGACTGAATGCATTGTTGGGAACAGGTCGGTTGGCATTGGGAAGGGCATTGTTGGACGACCGGCAACTTCTGGATTATCACTTCGTATCGCTTCATGACGTCGATGCATTGAGCATCGCATGTGGGTTGGCACGCAGACACACAAGACTGTACAGGCTTCGCGGTGGTTGTCTGAAGGAGACAATGGGATTAGAAAAGAGAGAAAGCTCGTACCGAAGTGCGGATGAACTCTTTCACGTTGATTGAAACGGCGGTCTGGACGCAAGTCGGTTCGCAGGACTTGATGCACATATTGATGCACGTGGACTTGTTCGGCTGGGAAGAGCAGCTCGTGTTACAGGACTGAGCACACGCTTGGGGACATTGGGAAGCCTTCGTCTGTTGATTAACCACAACCTGAACAGTTCGAGAGTTTGATTCTGAATTAATGACGGTGATGACCTTGATCGGAGAAGCCGTTTGCGTGGAAGAAGTGGCCGGAGAGCAAGCCTTGCTGCACGTGAACTGGCACGTCTTATCACAAAGAATCTGCGGTTGGTGAGAGTTTCTCACGCACGAATCAACGCAAGACTTCTGGCATTGAGGCTGGCACACCGAGGTCTGCGCCTGTAACGGAACCCTGTACTTTGCTATTCCCCCTTCTGAAATTGCCTACTTTGTTAGCACATGAACATGTGCTGGACTGCGCCTCATTGGAGCACTTGCACCGCTGCATTCCGCTTCCGATCGGATAACAGTTGCACTTGGACTTCTGCGACAATTGCGCACACGGACATTGCCGTTTCGCTCGTGAAATAAGGCTCTGAAATACAAATGAAACGTCCACGTGGGGCAGGCAGGTCAGTCTGTTTGCTCTCTCTAGACGGCACCTCGGTTTGTTGATTTTTGTGTGTGTGTGTGTGTGAAAAAGAAAAGTGTCAATGGTGGCGGAACCTATCTGGTGGATATGCGACATGAAATCGGGAAAGGGGATATGATGTACTTGAAAGCGGCGAGACTTCGAACACATTGGCGCGGCCAACGGAGGAGCGAACGGGGTACATTTCGACAGAAAAAAAATCTGAGAGATCGAATATACAATGGCAGGGAAGCCCCGAAGATCTGAGGAATGAAGAGAGCGACGATCGAAGAACGAGTCAGACTATTGCTGCGCAAAGGGCCAGCGAAACTTTTGTCCGGATAGTAGATATCAAATCGGACTCTAACTTTGCACACGGAAGAGCCAAAACAACCGATCATGAATCATGAAACCTTATGAAGAGAACAACCGGTCATGAAACCTAATGAAGAGAACATCCAGAAAGTCCCTAGTATCCAGCTGCTCACCTGCTGGGATTGCTCAAAAAGTGCTCCAAGTACAAGAAGAAGTAAAATAAGGTTCGTCTTCATCGTTGATGATTCGTAGAAGGCTCGTTCGCAGTGCGGCCGGCCGAGGTGGGAGGTGCTCTTTTCGTTTTCCGCCGCCGTCCGCACTGTCTTTTATACGAGCGTCTTGTTCCGCGCGGTAGCCACCAGGCGGCAAAAAATTGCCAAAGGGATGCTCCTCCTCCTTCCAAAGGTGGCGACGGATGCTTCAGGAAGGTGCCGACGAAAGAAGGGGCATAAAAAACAAAGCAACTTTTTGATCGCGTCCGGATGAGAGATGACGGAGGATAGGATTTGCACTCAATTTGCAGACACAAAAACACACACACACACAAAAAGTGTGTATTGGAAGCGATTGTTTCTTGGTTGCTCTCATATTTCCCTTCCCACAGTCCTTTTCATACATGGTTACAGTCTGAATGTGCTTTTTTCGTTGCCACAATCATTTGAGCTTTCCAGTTAGTTGCTCTCGAATTCCGCCTTTCTTTTATTTCCATGTGTAATTTGTCAAAGAAAAACAAAAAAGAAAAGGCAGTGGTTGGTGGTGGGCGACCACGAAAAAGTGATCATTTGATGCTCGACTATGCGCAAGCATGTTCCTCTTTTCGCCCCCACTGTTTCTGGTGATTCCCTTCCGCAGCTCGTCTCGTGCCGTCGTTGCAAAACCATAAGTACACAAACAAAGTATCTGCTTCGCCTCGACATCTGATTTCTGGCGGTCGGCAAGGAAGCGGAGGATTAAATGAGAGACAAAACGGCCGAGACGACGCGATTCCTTTTTCGGGTTGCCATTCTTTTGTGACGCCATGAAATCGAGACGGGAAGGCAAATGAGAAGAGGCACAGTTTTACCTTGATTTCCTTTGGATTAGGAGTCTAAGAATAGCATGCATAAGAAAAAAATAAAAAATGAAAGAGAAAACATGACCGCAATATTTATACGTTTACTGCCAAACCGAGTGAAACTTTTTCCAGGCAGACAACAATGGGTGTGCAAACGAAACCGCCTCGACAGAGTGTATAACACTCGTGCAAATCTGTTCTGCCAACTCAACTCGAATGCTCTCGGAGCACTTAGGATACTCGGTCCCTCTCCAACGTCTCTGTCCGTTTCCTCTGAATTCGTATATTTTCTCTTCCGAAGATTTTGATCCGTCCGTTCATCCATGTGTGTTCTGCTCCGAATGACTCCTGCAAAAGTGTCATGATCCTTCTAGACGGCTGAAGGATGTCGGTAACCCGACACTGTAATCGGATACCGTTTTGTGCAAATGTGTTTCACGCACTGACCATAACCCGCCATTCCCCTCATTTCCGGTCTTTCCTTCGCTGCTCTCTCCTCCGATTTCAGCCCGAATCAATTGTTGTTGTTTTGATTTCGTGTGTCGATTCTATTCTGTTTACACGCCGACTCCTGTAGATACACGTAACACGAAACTCGTCCCCGTCTTTTCCATTTTCTTTCGCTCTTTCTCTCTCTCTCTTAACCATGCCAATGTGGTGTTTGCGAAAGAACAAAAAGTTGACGAAATGTGTGAATCAGCGGCGCGTTCTTCCGTTGATCTTCACGCCGATTCCGGGAGAACGGGGGAGCAAACAAGCGCTGATCTCGGACAGAATTAATCACTGATTATAGACTATAATTTAGTATAGAGCTTCTTTCCCGTCTTCACGATGACCAAAGTTCTTCTTCTTCTTCTTCTTCTTCTTCTTCTTCTTCAGCTTCCTCTTTGTCACAAATCCCACATATCCGTTTCTTACTTAACGCAAAACTGAAGTAATCTGTGGTCGTCGGCCAGTCATCCTCCTTGTTTCCTTCCGCAATCTGTTGCTGATAAGAAGGAGATGACGGATAGCGACCGAATCTTTGATCTCTCCCCAAGAACAAATAATTCAATTTGCGCACCCCTCCCTCTTTTCGCAACATAATCAATGCATACTCGATTGCTCCGTCTTCGAGATTACTTCCGCATTTTTGAGAAGTCATCGGCGTTCCTGTTTTTCGGTCACATCATCAATTCACGCTCCAATGAAATTATGCCGTCGTCGGATATATGCGGAAGGAGCCCGACGGAGTAAAAACATAATTCGGGCGTGCAAGCTTCCGCCAAAAACAAGCTGACGGGGGAGAGTATTATAAATCGCGTACGAGACGTATGGGCACACGAGATCCGCTTCCGCATTTGCAGAAACGTCTCGAAAGTGATGTGACGCTCCTAATATTAGGCTGAAGGTGATCGTGATCTTTAACAGCTTCTGTACACATATTTTCCATTTCCCAGTAAATTGCTTGTGTGGCCTTCAACATTTTCGGAATTTTGAAATTTAGCAGTTAGCAGTTAATCGAGTGACAGTTATAGTGTTAGTGAATTTCCGGAAACTAGAAGCACCTGTTAATGACGTCGACGTGTAAATTCAGCTGTCCACATCGAATTCGCCGAACAGAGGGAACGATGAAGAAATCCGGATATATCTTACATTCATAATCCTCTCTTCATAGAATCATGTGATAATGAAAAGAAGCACTTTGTGGATATCCTCTTTTCCGGAGGCTCCGCAAATAGCCAGTTTTAATGACACCTGTTTCCGCGCTTCCGCTCAATTTGCCTCCATACTTGGCTAAATTCATCAATTTTTCAAACTGCATTTGTTAGCGGGGGTCTTCTTTTCCCCGCCCCACGGCACCCTGCTGCTCCCATTCGCTTGCTCTCTCCGCCGCTTCTCGCCACTTCCTCGTCGGGCCCGCCTTGCACACCAAAGTTCCTGCTTCGAGGCGCCGAGCAGTTCCGGGTTCCGGTCCGCTTCTCTGTGCCTCCCCGTTTCCAATGCTGTCTGGCACTCTTTCGAGGACCTAATTCACTGCCTTCGTTTTCAGTCCGCCGTTAAAAAAACATTCACCACACTGACTGACTCGTCGTTCGTCGCTTCTATTTGCGTGTTTGCCTCTCACTTCCCTGTTCGTTTGTGTCTCTTGTTTCAGTCGAAATCAACAAGATAAGTGGGTGAGAAGGAAGGACAGTAAGGGAATCGTAGACTTTCTTTCCCACGACGAGACCTGCTTTCCGATAACTACTTGATCAGCCAGAAGTGAACTTGCCAGACATTCTCGGAAAAGTAATAAATCTCTGAATGTCATGTCTTCCGATTGCTCTTTCTTCTCTTTTGTGGGCAGGCTCGAGATTAACTCATTGCGCCGACGTGCTTCGTTTTCTTCCGCTTCTTCTCATTAGAAATTCAGATAAAGAGAGCGTCCGCAGATTCAATCTTCCCCTTTTTGAACACAATTTTCAATTTTTTGACTACCACCATACTAATTCGCAGGAGACGAACGAAATCAGATTTGTCTCCGTTGCCTTGTGAGAATAACATGCTCACAACAGAGAAGTTTTCGACGTGAGATCTTATGCTCTGATTCTGGCAGCGGAAATGAGAAGAAGCCTTGCTCCCATTTCTGTGCCCTTTCCTCCAGCAGACACTTCCTCCTCCTCTCCTCCCTTTGCCCATTATCCGCTAGACGCCAGAGCAAAACCCGCGCTCTCATGACACGAAATCCGACGGCGAATCGGGCACTCTTCTATGGTTTCTTCCTCATTCCTTCTAAGCCCTTCTTGTTTTCGCCACTTCCCTCCCTTTCTCTCCCGCCGTCTGCCCTTTCTGTTTTCCGCCACATTTCCATCTTTTCAGTCATGCCACGCCACTTCCCCGTCTTTGTTCTCTTCCTTCAAATCGGACTCGCTAACGGCGATCTCATGCGAACTGTCTACTGCGCCAACAAATGCAACGACTACCTCAAGGTCCCCGAGGCGAGCATTCCAAAGTGTGAGGACCAACATCTGCGGATGAATCAGTGTGGAACAGGTTGGAATTCCTAAAGAACATTCAGAATTTACCAGATTTACTTTAGTAATTTCGTGTTCCTGGGCAGATGTGGAACTCGAGAAGCAACGTCCGGTGGCAAACGGAACGGACGACATTGTGTGTTGTTATAATGTTGTCCTGGTAAGCCACGGAACCATCCGTTCATTTCTTATTCACATGTTTTCAGAAGGAGAAGGGAGATTGCGATGTTCAACAGAACTTGCTCACGACAAGCAAGGTAATCCTTCTGATCCAATTGCTTATTATCATTCGATCCCATTTCAGCACACTCCGAGAATCCGGAACAGCAGCGAGTGCCTCACGCAGACTCCCGCCCTCTTCAGTGTCATCGCCGTCCTGATCCTTGTTGTAGCCGCACAGGTACGAACATCAAACATTAATCCGAATACCAGTCCGATTTCAGACCTTCTACATCATGTGGACTTGTGCATTCCAACGTCGTCTGTACCATCAGAAAGTCTGTCAACTCGACGAGTCCACTGCGACCCACTCACAGGCGCCCAACTTCTCTTCGAGACCCATCTGCGAGTCCGGTTTGCTATCCTTCGAGCACCTCCCTAATTGATTTTATTGTACTTGCTAGACCGTAGCCATCAGTTCGTCTACCTCTCTTTTCGACGGGTCTCGCCTTCTTTTCTCAGCTCCCGTGGGTCTCCAAATGTATAATACTCCGCTTGCCTTCCGTTTTCGCTTGTCTCTTCTTCTCATTTGTCCGAATGACATACGGGTCAGTGGCGAAAATAAACATTGAATATACACTTCGACTTGTTATTTTGACTTCTGCCGCCGAAAACCACCGCACAAATATTTGCAGTCGCCTTCTAGAAAAGAAGTCGTGCTTCAAGAGCTCTCAGCGAGCAGGTTCTTCCCGCCGATGCACCATAAAAGGGAAGCTTCCTCCGTTATATTCTGATCAGCCCTCATGAACAGTTATTCCCTTCTTTTCCCTCTTCTCTGCCTCCTTCCCACTCTCATCGAGTCCTGCGGATTCGGATTCGGAGGATACGGTCTCGGTCTAGGTATTCCATTTTCATTTCTTACTTCCAGCTGAGTCGCCCATTTCATTTAGGATTGGGCTGTGGCGGCGGCGGCGGAGGATACGGTGGATTTTTTGGAGGAGGAGGTTATGGTTTAGGTTACGGCGGTGGCTACGGTGGATACGGTGGCGGATTCGGTGGCTACGGACTCGGCGGATACGGTATGGGCTACGGTGGCTACGGCTCGTTCGGAGGAGGATACGGTAGGAAGGAAGAGCGCTGCTCCGGAGGCTTCTTCTTTTTGCAGGCGGCGGCTGCGGCTACTCAATGTTGGGCGGTTGTTTCGGAAAGAAAAAAAAGTAATTGTCTTGTTTCTGTTCGTTTATGCATCGATTCTTCCCTCTTTTTTCCTTGTACATAAACATTGAAGTGACTTTTGCACAAGTGTATTTCCCTTGAGGAAACTAGTGTAATAGGAGGAAATGAAGTGCGCATGAATAATTGAAAAGTGACGACAAACGGACGAAGTGGCAGAAAAAAAACGGGGAGGAAGGGACGGGACGTTGCCGATGTTCGGCCCTCTTTTTTTCGAGCAGAGGTCTGAGGTGAGCCATTGTGCAGATTCCTGAAGAGGACAGAAGAGCTCGCCGGAACAGAGTGCCAAGAAGTTGTGTTTCGCTGGCGGAATTCCTTCGAGTGCTCCAAGCTGCTCTGCAACTCTAAAGATAGGCTAGTTTACAGACGTTTTAACGAAAAGAGTTGAATCGCATTCGACATAATTTATTATATCAAACTGGGAAAAAAGTTGGTGGTGATGATTCAATGTATGGAACACGCGGCAGGAGCCAATGGGGGTGGGGGGAGGTTTGGATGACCGTTCGTTGACCTCCGCTCCAACTCGGGCCGACGCGTGTCTGATTCTCAGACTTTACATGCCGACCCACTTATCGTTTCTTTTTCGATATCGATGCGATTTCGAACGTTATAAGATCGTCCTCGTGTCGATGTGACAGCTTTGTATGTCAAGCACATTAGTTGGGAAACATGAAAAATGTAAGGGTGCGGATCAGGACAGGACAGAAACTCTTAATGTAAGGAATATGACTGCGGGAAATGCTGTGAACTTTGAAACAATTGAACGGGAGAGGGGGAGCTTTTTCACAAATAACTTCGGGAACTTCAATTTGACAATATTTTCTCTTTGGACAGTAGATAATGCAAAATCTCTTAACAATCCTCATTAACTTCAATATCACTCATTTCTTTTCAGGTCACTGCTTTCGAATGCCGTTTACGCTCAGTTCGCTTCCAAGAAAAGTTGGCTCCGAGCTTCTCGATCCGACTTAAGTCGGCTTTTTTGCGGGTGGGCACATTCCGTCTGCTTCTCAGACTTTGAAATGCGATAATTGGATTGACGCTGGGTCAATGTAGATCCTGGAATGAGCAAGATGAGAGAAAATTAGAGAGAGAGAGAGAGGGAGTGGAGCTTACCTGGAAATACCGGTGTCTTCTCGCAAGGGGTTTCCCTTCGCTGCTCTTCCTGCAGAGAATATCGACATTTGGTATGCAATCTTTAGGTGCTCGCGACAGTGAAAAGTATCTGCGCGCTTCGGATCGGGACGATTCCCTCCGTCAGTTTGTCTTTCAAGACTTTCAGTCTAAGGAAGACATCACCCAGTTCGCATCTGAAAATTCCAGAATGATTGAGTTACGGAAAAGAATGGGTAAGACGGGAAGGAGAAAAAGGGAAAAGTGAAACGTTTGACAATATAATGTTGAAAATGATGAGATACTTGCAAGCCGACTTTTTAGACGGGTAAAATATTAAACATGATTCAAGAAATTCCTCGCATCCAAACACTTTATTACAGCAGAAAACCTTGAACAAGACAACTCGAAGGCGGGAACGACCGAAATATCTTGTCGCCCGCCCTTATAGCGACAACTGTCGGTCCACACAAACTTGAATGTTCTGGGCGAAAAACTGCTGAAAACGGACTTTCCGAGGAGCCATCTCTTCGTTCTACTCCTTTGCTGCACTTTGAACATCATTATTTCTTTAATGACCTGAAAATAGTAATGTGAATTATCGACTTCGAAAAAAGTTTCAGCGCACCTTTACTTTTTTATCTTTTATCCTTCTTTTTTCTTCGGATCTTCTGTTACTCATGAAAAAAAAGGCGCCGGAGCTGTTTGGTGGCGCCGATGTGGCGCCTATTGCAGGCGCTGCCCAATTCGGCGCCGGCGCCAATGTGGCGCCGACTGACGGCGCCGGCGCTTATGTGGCGCCGACTGACAGCGCCGGCGCTTATGTGGCGCCGACTGACGGCGCCGGCGTTTATGTGGCGCCGACTGACGGCGCCGGCGCTTATGTGGCGCCGACTGACGGCGCCGGCGCTTATGTGGCGCCGACTGACGGCGCCGGCGCTTATGTGGCGCCGACTGACGGCGCCGGCGCTTATGTGGCGCCGACCGACGGCGCGGCGCCGATGTGGCGCCTTTTTTTCATGAGTACCTCTGACCTTCACTCATGAAAAAAATAAAGGCGCCACATCGGCGTCGCGCCGTCGGTCGGCGCCACATAAGCGCCGGCGCCGTCAGTGGGCAGCGCCTGCAATAGGCGCCACATCGGCGCCGGCGCCGAATTGGGCAGCGCCTGCAATAGGCGCCACATCGGCGCCACCAAACGGCGCCGGCTTTTTTTTTCATGAGCAGATAAGAATAACAGGGCGTGAGTGCGTGTTCTGAACGGGTAACTTTGATGCGGTAAGACCTGAGAATGGACTCACTTTTATCCACAGACCGAATGTTTCGAAGGATGAACGTTCGTTGACCTCCTTCGTTTGTTCCTGGCGACGGACTATTTCTACTTCCGTCAGCCGAGGAGGAGTGGCCCCGACAGGCGTGATGTACAGGCTTTCTGTCGGTCCGTTTTGCTCTTTCCTTCCTTTGAGCACAGTGTTCCGTGTATTCGACCACCGTTCTGGCCGATTGATCCTTACTCTCGATCAGTTACTTTATTCTTCTCTTTTCTCTTCTTTTTGAGAGCGATGGACAGACGGGTCCTTTGGACTTTCCGACATGTCCGGGAGCCATTGTTAGTCCATTAATGACGGTTCGAAATACTTCCAAGGCTCCTGAAATCAGTCAATTATGATCGGAATTACAATTATTATAACTCACAGTTTCTGCGCGTCGATGACGATCCGCAGAACATATCTGTGTTGGGGTTTGTGTGTGTGTGTGGTAATGCAGTGAACGGATGCAAGAAATGCAAAAACAAGAATACAGGAGAAAAATATAGGGTTCGAAAATAGCTTGCAGGTGACATCGTCAGCTGACCATTGAGGTCTCTAGCGACGGTTCGAATCGGGGAGAATGAAACAGTCGGTGCTCGGTCAAGCACTTCCTTCTTCTTGCCAATTCATGGATGTAGACAGACATCCATCATCTCTATGGATCCAGGAGCAACAGCTGAGCGCTGAAATGCTTGCAAAAATAATTTTTTCATTGTCTCCAAATCAACTTACACCGTGTTAATGCAGTTCGGCCCGCCGGATTCCCTTGCGGGTATCTTAGCTCTGTGGAGTTGGAGTTTCCTGTTCCTCGCGGCGTGACGCGGTTGCGTGAATCAGCAGCGCGCACATCTGCAAAACAAGTGTAGGTTAGATGAAGAACACAGAGAGCGTTCAACTAACGCAAAGACGGATCAATCCATTCCAAGGTTGTTAGCCTTGCCGTCGCGCGAAAGGTCTAGAGGGAACAATTCTGCACGACAGACTCCGGATATTCCACGTCGTCCACTGCCAGATAGCTTCAGACGGAGAACCGCACGGAGATTAGTTCCAATTGAATGACCGTTCGTTGTACTTCAATCGGAGACCCCACTGAATTCGGACGTCTACAAACAGAACAGAATTCGTTGGAATTCGTTTGTTCGGAGTCCGACAGTGATTTGAGGCTCGTTTCCGCCCTCAATTGGGGCTTTGAAAAACGTCTTCTCTGTAGCTCGTGACTGGCAATCCTTGGCCAAACTCTTATGCACGAGGGGAGTCGTGTAAACCACCGACACTTTCAGCCCAACGTCGAGTGAAGTAACGCGGTTCCCGCCTACTTGTGCCGGTGTAGCGTCATAGGGATCATCCACTTGAAAACGTGGAATGACACAGACCAGAAGTCAGTGGATCCGATAGCTTACACTCTGAAAAAGATGGATTTAGAACTGAAAGGATCGGTCAAGGTGCTTACCATCGAGTTAAAAACTCGATAGGAGTAAAAACGCCAAGTGAGCCCGTTTGTCTGAAAAATTATACGTATAGTACTGAAAAGTAGGCCGCCGTAAGAAGAGGAACGAAAATGAACGAATGCCCCGTTGACGGCCGTCGGTCCATTTCCGATCGATTTGAGCGAGACGCAGGCATCTAAGTGCTCGCGAGAGAGTGTGCCGAACAACGGAGACACGAAACCTCGTCGTCACGGGACCCTCGCTCGATGCGAACGGGTACGGTCGTGACGACAACACGGCCCGCTCTGATTGGCCGAGGACTGCCTGCCTGGTTGATATTATACGTTGAATATTCAGGCAAGCAGCGGAATCGCGGGAGAGCGGAGAGACGCAGAACATCAGAGCTAATGGAATACATTTACGTGCTTATCATTTATTTGGTTAATTAAAAAGATAAATGAAGCAACGGGAAAGCGCCATCCGGATGACCATTCGTTGAACTCCGGCGGCAATCGGGAGAATGATGGGAGCCTCTTTTGCTCCTTTTCATCAAGTCCCAAGTGGATTTGATTTGGCTGACAGTTCAGCAATTAACTCAGCTCCTTCCTCGACCACTCAGAGTTCGCACTCGAAGACGGTATCGGAGTCGCGACGAGTCGCCCGCTCCCATACATTTGATGGGTGGGCAATCAAGCCAAGCTGGCAACATAGGGCCTGTCCAGAAGAGACGTGTCCTAGCACGCTGCTTCTGAGCCAAGCGGGAAGACCGTGTGCTCCTGAGGCTTTACACGATGTCTTCGGGTTATAGACAGCAACTTCCCAGTGACAGTTTCGTATGAGAAGGCCCTGGAACAATAGGATAGTCTTTTGGGGGAGCGGATTCGACAAATTTACCATGATACAACGTCGGATAGGACGAAGACCATTAACGAAAACGAGGACTACAAAAGTCCTCTCGCGGATCCAGGATGTGTGCGCCTTTGAAACGGTGCTGACATCACTGGATGGGTGCATACTGACGATGCTCCATCAGGAATGAAGCTCCGCAGTGCCCCGCAGGAATAATTACCTGAAATTGACAAGTGTATAGAAGAGCCGGAGGAGCCGGAGGAGAGGAGTGGAAGGGAGGCCGACCGAAGTCGTAACTGAGGAAGAATGGGCTCGAAGGGAGCGGCGGAAGGGAACCGTGAGAGAAAGAGGAAAGAGACGACGATGGCAGCTGCATCTAGAATGTTCCGACGATCAGGAGGCTCCTTAGAGAGAGCTCGAATCGAGTAGAGGGTGAGAAAAAGGCGAATATGGGCGGAGCCCGGGGAAGGGGTGCCAGAGACGGCGCGAGCATAAAAAAGAAAGCCTTAGGGGGAGGACGAGGAGACCGAGGCAGGCCCGACAAAAAAAGAGAAATTCGATATGGCACGAGCCTATGAATGCGTCCCCGGAGTACGAGAATGGCGCAAAGGGAGTGAGCGGTGATTGACGGATTCATGTGATTGACGTGCTCTTTACAGGCCACCTTGAGGAGCATTCTATTCACAAAGATTGAGAATGCGATTGCGTTTTCTCACTGAACAATTTTATTAAGATACAATTCAGAACACATAATTGTCAGATTCCATTAGTAGGACGCACGAGTAGAACCCCTAAACGCGGGGGAATGACAGGAACGCTGAAAATGATCTCATTTCAGGTGGCATCACGGATTCTCTTCGATTACTTTTTCTGTCTTAAAGTTAACAGGCTTCTCCTTGGATGACCGTTCGTTGAACTCCTTGAAGAATAGAAATGAGGGTCGTGGTCGTGGATCTGACGTTCAGATGTTCCAAGGATCCACGCGATTCGGTCCGCTCTTCTGGTCCATTGCCTGCGAAATCCGATCTGAAACGGAAGGTTTGACAGGGATTCGAGCGCTTTCAAGTATTTGGATTACCGATTGTGATCACTGCATCACTCGGCTCACTCATGGTTTGTCTTGTAGGTTTACAATATAATCACGGTCAACATTTGTCGTGAAAATGGGGAGAACACGTTGCGCCACTGACTCAGTGGTTTCGCCTCGCTTCTGGGGGTTGCCGAGGTGACAATTCACCTTCCTTCTGAAACAGAACCGTCCGTGTTGGAATTGATTGTCAGAAAACTTACAACGAAAGGAGCAGAGAGGGGTACGACGCCTCTTTCAGCCGCAGCCTCGGCCGCCTCGACCTCGAGCGGCCACGACTGAAGCCGCCTCGAATTGTGCGACGACAAGGAGAGAGAACTCGAGAAAAAGAGCTAGAGACATGGAAATAGTTGTTGCGGAAGAGAGACCGATTGTGAGAGTGCAATGACATGGAAACGGCCGAATTGTATTTCCAAAGCGGTGCAAAAATGAGAAACACATCGACATGCATCATGAAATCGATCATAGATTCATAGAGAAACGAATATTATGGGAACTCGTGGAAGATGACCACATCATAAAAATGTATGAGTAAGTACTACAGTAATCACTAAGCATCCCCTCGTCCCTCGCCATCAGGATCATAAAAAACGAGGAGTAAGTTCGCAGCCACCCATCAAGCACTATCAGATATCAATGACACGTGTGGTGGTCCTCTGTCATTTCACTCTGTCGAACTCACTATTACACCCCGAGCCGCCAGGATCCGAGACGCAGACTATTACACCCGTTGTTCGTTGCCAACGACTCTTGTCGATCCCACTCGCATCGATCGGCACCGTCGAAATGCGCGGATACCCGGTCTACGCGTTGAGTTCGCCGTCTGAAGAGCCGGTATGGTCTCGGAACGACCAGGCAATGTCCCGCGGGGTCTCCCATCAGACAATGATCCAGCCAGTAACGAGTGCCTACCCGAGTGCCTACTCTTCGTATCCTCCACAGACGACTGTCATTCATTCGACGACGAAGCCAGTTGCAGATGCGGATATCTATCGGTAACTTATCCATTAAATATTTCTTGAATTATATCTGTTCAGAGTAGGCATTTATGGCTGGAGGAAGAGATTCCTCTACATTTTCATTCTGATCTTGACCATCGGAATAGTTCTGAATCTCGCTCTCACTTTCTGGATCATGTCCGTTCTCGATTTCTCATCGGTAAGTGGGCACGCCTACATTCAGAACGTACCGATGTTTTCAGGATGGAATCGGGGCTCTGAAAATAGAAGAAAACGGAATCCGAGTGGAAGGGAGAGCTCAGTTCGACCGGCCCGTCCACTTTTCACAGCTCAGTACTCTTGACGTGAGAATGAGCCCCCAGACGAATTAATTTGCTTTCCTTTTTCAGGAGGAAACGCTCACAATCGACTCATTCCGTGGAGTCAACTTGCAGGCGCGGAATGCGAAAGGCGACATCGCCTCCAAATTCTCACTGATGCCGGAGGGAAAGGCGCAAGTGACCTGCGACCGTTTCGAAGTTTTCGATGAGGACCAGAAGTTGCTCTTCTTTGCAGATTCCGATGAAATTGGACTGAAACTTGAGAACCTCCGCATTCTCGGTTAGTTTGTTTATTTGAAAATATAAACACAATGGAAAGGTATTCACGAGAGTTCGTTCAGACGAGGGCGGAAGTGTGTTCGAGGGGGCCATCCAGACGTCGTCGGTCCGTCCGCAGCCCGATTCTCCGCTCCGTCTCGAGTCGCCCACGCGCAGTGTCTCCGTCGACGCCGCCCAGGACATCGAGATCCTCGCGGCGGCCGGGGAGGTCTCCGTCAACTCCCTCCTGGACATTTCGATCGCTTCCAAACAGGTGCAATCTCTTTTGGCTGACATTTTTCATTTTGTTTCAGGGAGAAATCCGTCTCGAATCGTCTTCTATTTACATGGAAAAGCTGGCCCGTTCGGACGGAAGAGGCAGTCCTCAGACTCAGGTGTGCGTCTGCCACAACGGAAGACTTTTCCTCGCCGCACCGAATGCTGACTGTCGTGCTGATCGGGATATCTGTTCCAATTAATTGTACAATAACTTATATTTCTATTTTTGTAATAAACTTGAATCGTTCATAGAACAAGAAAACATTTCAATATGGACTAATAGATAAATACATAATTGAGTAAAAAAGAGGTTATGAGTGGAAAAGGCTAGACTGGGAAACGGGTTGTGAACCAAACGAAGCATAATTAAATTACCCGAAGAAGAAAAAAGACGGGGAAAGGGTGAGGAACCACATACTTCTAAACTGTGATTCTACAATGCAACAAATTTATAGAAATGTTAGCGAGTTAGAGTGTGGAAAAGTGACAAATATAGTAAGTGAGGAAGAGCGAACATTTTAGATCATTCTGAGGAACATTTCACTTGAGAGTGGGAGAAGGGGGTGAGATTCGAAAGTGAGAAACCGGAGAATAGACTGGTTCACAACGATAATCAAACAATGAGACGTGCCACGCTGTGGTACAGTCTGAGCAAGTGCTGGACGTGGATAGGCAGACAACTGTACCGCTCGCCGGTCTGTCTGTTCATATTCAGCCACGAGAGAGCATTGTATGACTCGAGCACGTGGCGGAGCACTTCTTCCGTCTGTCGAGACTCCAGAGGATGCACAAACTTTTCCTCTTTCTCCTTGTCTTTGTCCTTTTCTTTTGTCGATTCCATTGCGATATCGTCATTCTGCAAATTGAAAATTAGCAATTGCCCGCACTGATATATTCAATTTTATTACTTTCACTTCACTAATATTAATGTGCAATGACGACTTTAAATGCACTGGAGAGTGCCGTTTTGAAGAGGGCGAAGTCGCCCAAAACCAGTTGGGCAGCTCTGGCGCCGGCGCCGTTGAAATATAGTACCCAGAAGCGAGAGGCTGATTCTGGATCTCAATAGTTGAAGAGTCTTCACTGAAGAACATCGAGGTTCCGCCCGTCTGACGGATGGCTGCACTACTCGGAGTCTCGAGACCGAGACCCAAGTCCTTGATGATTTCCGTGTCACCGTCATCCAATCCTTCCATCATATCGAGGTCTCCGAATTCCCAGTTTTCATCTGCTTTCGGGTCCGCCGTCTGATCTTGTACTTCGAGCTGAAACATCTTAGTTGAGCAAAGAGAAACAAATAGAAAAGAACTTACGTTAATTTCGGCTCCGACTGGGAAGGTGAGAATGTGAGTACAGGAGACATCCCCAGGAGTTTGGAAGAAGATCGTCTTTTTGGCAGATGGGTCCTGATCGTAGAAGTCTGGCATAATTCGGATGCTCGGCTCCGGCTCGAGAGAGATGAGACAAGCGGAAAGAATTGCCGGAGTGCCAATAATGGAGGGCATACTCTTGCAGGCTCCACAGATATCTTTCAGGCTCGATGAGTATCGGAGGAGAGACGCCTTGCTGAGCAGATGCGTCCACGCTCTAAACTCTCCGTGTCCGATTCTGCCGAGACGACCAACTACGAGTCGCCAGTTCTTCGTTTCCGACGACATGACTCCCAGAATGAATGACCACAGTTTCCCATTCCGTCGAGGATCTGCGTCTTGTTCTTGTACCGATACAACTGGTTGTTCTCTCGATCTGGCTTCATATTCGCAATGCAGTTGTCGATGAGTTTGCCCTGGGCATCTGTCGCTGTTGCCACGAGGAATTCGGTCCCTACAAGGCAGTAGGCGATGAAGAGGGTCTGCTCGTCCTGTGAAGTCACTACGGCCTTTTCCTCTTCTTCTAACTGGGACACCGGAGGAGGTGGCGCCAAGCACACGATGTTCGAGGGACTTTGTATGCAATGTAGCTCTTCCTTTCTGCGTGTTGGCTTGGAAGCACTATCGGATGTGATGCCAGCGCATTCCGTGATCTGATGAGCATCGATTTGTGGGACTCTCTGTTGATCCTTTCCAATTCGTTGATCGTGTTGAATAGTTGACTGCCGGGACCGAAACTGAAAAACGACAGGTTCAGATCTACGATGCAACCAAGTAACTTACGCAGTCATGCATCTAGCCGATCCTGCTTTGAGGATACCCGGAAGGAACACTCTTGGATGTGTGTAAACGGCGACCGAGAGTGCACGAGTGATATCGTCTCTCGTAGAATTCGACTGTCTGTCCGGCCGAACTTTACGACCTAAAATGATGAGAATTTAGGAAATCTGGACAAAAATGATTTACTGTAAAGCAAGTCGAATGGAACTTTCGGGTCGTTGAAGTAGTCTGGGAATGGTTTGGAGACGTCGTCTAAACTTTCCAATCCGATTAATTCCATCTGAAGCTGTGGACGTCTGTCGTAGGGAAGGATGCTCATAAGGGAATTGTAAGCACGAATGAATGCGAGGATTGCGATTCGCATGTGAAGGGCAGAGCGTCCTTCCTCTCCGTAACAAAACGGGTTGACGATGTAGAGGACAATCACGTGAGGAAGGGTACCGAAAGGATCGGTTTCCTCGGAGCCAATGGATTCGAAAGGAACTGGGGGCTGGTTCGAGTAGGGGAACGGATTCGGAACTGCATTCGCTCTCTGCGTCCACGAAATACTTGCGGCATTGTGAGGCATGACGGAGGATGGATCTGCCATCAGCTCGTTCAACGTTGGCTGAACTGTTTGCTCTTGCTTGGACACTGAAACACAAGTTATGGTTCGAAGTTATGTACAGATTGACTCACATGTTTCGGGAATGTGCACCATTCCCGCTGGAACTGGTGAAGGGGCTTGATAGCCTTCCGGTGGGTACTGCTCCTCCTCTTGCTGCTTCTTTAGCTTTTTTGCTTCTAGATCCTCATTTTTCCATTCTTCCGAAGCATCATTGCCGAACTCCGTGTGTCCTGGCGGAAGTTCCGAATCATCTGGCTTCTTTCCGTCCGCGCTCAGCTCATTGTCTCTATCTTTGGCAGCGTTGAATCTCAGTTCCTCCTCCTTCATGTCTCTATCGTACTTCTCTTTCTTCAATCGATTCTCTACAGCCAGCTGATAACGATATCCTTTCCTGTCGTAAGCTTCTCTACTTTCGCACAAAATGTAGGCAACCAAGTCCTCCATTTGTTGCAGATACAGTTTCAGTCGGGTCACGAATCCAGTTTCATCATCCAAATGTTTTGTCATGTTGATGAATTCGTCAGTCTTAGTGACATTCATCTTCCAATTTCCTCTGCTCGGTTCGTAGATAGTTCCAATTCTCAGAATTCCTTCTCTCTCGTAGAATCCGGGATTCTTCTTCGGCAGTCTGTCGTGCGTTCTTCTTGGCCGCATTTTTGGTACCGAACGGAACTCTTCATGGTCTCCCTCATAGTCTGGATCATAGTCAGCAGGTAGTCCGTTCGCATAAATAGCATCTTCCTCTTCCCTTTCTCTGAGTCGTTTCCCCCAGTTCTGCGCGGATGAGCTCACTGTGTGGAATTGCTTTGCCAGATATGGACGTGTTTCTGCAAGCCTTGCATTGATTGCAGCTTTCAGATGTTCCGGGTCCGGATAGTGCTCCTTCAGTTCTCTATGTAATTTCCGGTAGAGAGTGGCCGTCTGGGTTGAAACCGGAAACGGAATGTGCTTTCCTAAGCGCATCTTCTCGTACATTTCAGTCAGATCTTCCATGAATTTGACCGTCTTTTCATATGTTTCCAAATCGTCCGGAATGATTGTCAGATACATAATATCCTTTGGTTGATCCACAGGTCCCAATCCTGCCTGATCGTAGAACTGCTCTATATGAGGAGCCACTCGAATCGCTTCTTTCTCAGTGGCTCTCATAACAGCGGGAACGGTCTCAGGACTTGAAAAGTCTTCCTCGTCTTCGTCAGTGACTGGTCGCCCTCTAATGCTCTTCGCCACAAACTGCTTCCACGTCAGTGGGCCTTCAACTGAGAACGGAACGTCTTCTGGTGCTTTTCGTGCCTGCTTCATGGCTCCTTCAATTGTGTTCGTCACGAATCCGAGCAAATCGATCCATTCGCTTCCCTCCAATTCTGTGATTTCATTGGCAGTTTGGAGTCCCCACGGATGGAAGTAGGTCATAAATTGCGCGTTGAAATTCGGGGTGCGGGTGTGTCGATCTGGAAGTGTAACAATTTTTACGCTGAACTCAACCAAGAATTCATACTTTTCATTGACATGTCGAGCGCCGAATTTCCGAGCATCAGAAGCTCCATCGTGTCAACGTGCGAGACAATGTACTCGGAAGGCGCAGAGATGTCCTGGCTGAGCTCTCCAGCGCCCAAATCTCTGTTGTGCTCTTTCATGGTTGCCATTTGCGAGATCGCTTTCCCGTAGCTGTGCGAATAGGCGAGTTGTCTGATTTGATTAAGAAGAGCCATATCGTGAACAGAACTTGAATTGAACCAGGACATGTTTCGAGAAGTTGATCCTGTAAGGTTTTATCTGAACGAATTATCCGTGCTGAAATAATCTTACTTTTCGGATAGTCAAGAGGCGGAATGACGGCCGCCACTGCGGTGTCCAGTGTCGTTGCCTCGTTCGCATCTTCTGCGAAGAGACCGGTACAACAAGAGAGGTAACGATGGCGGATGGCACTGAATCCGCACGTGCAGGCGGTGGCTGAGTTGACGTGGAATCCACTCCAAGCACCGATAGTGTGCTCTCGCATATTCGAATGTCCGGGATTGTGAAGGCGTAGAACTTCGTGGGGAGTGATGTACATGCCAAGGTCACGAGATCGGATGGAAACGGAGCAAGAACAGATTGGACACGCGTCAAATACCGAGTCGAAGTGCAAATCGAGAATGGTGTCCTGCAAATGGGAGTATACAATTGAAACGAAGGAAATTGAGCACTTACCGATAGAATGATGGCGATCGAAAGACTGTCACCTTCGGGAACATTGACCTCCGGTGGCCGGTGCGCTCTAGTCAGGAGTTTATTCATCGGAACATTCGGATCGGGCGGGTTGCGCAGATTTCGTAGAGCCGTCGGTTGAAGATTCATCGGCATCAGTCCTCCGGAAAGCTGCCGTTGTCGTGCGGCGAACTTCACTTTCTGTTTGGGCGACATCTGAAATAACAAACAATTACGGATGATTCTGTCGAAGAAAAAAGCTTACATTCAAACAAGCGGAGTTCCATGACTGTTGTGCTTGCGCATGCAACTGCAGGGCAGTCGGCTGCTGTGTTTGTTGGGCCAGTGCTTGCTGCTGCTGATGTTGCTGATGTTGCAACATCATCTGATTCCTTTGCATTTGTTGATGGTGCAGTTGTTGTTGTTGCTGTTGCTGCATCTGCTGATGCATTTGTTGTTGGTGGAATTGATGCTGTTGTAACGGGCTCATCATCGAATTATTCATTCCTTGATATGTTTGGTTGAAGTTCGGAGATTGTGGAATGATTGGCTGAAAAGAACAGAAATGAGAAGGTTCGTCGTTGTTTTTCTAAAGTACCGGTATTCCATACGGCGATGGTTGTCCCGGATGTCCACTAGTAGGTCCGAACCGGGATTGATTAACAAAGTTATTGAGTTGCTGCACAGAAGACGGTCCTCCAGGCATTCCGTAGTTGACAAGTCCAGGTGTCGCCGGTGGCTGTGGATAATGCGGCATTCCGGCTACGAATCCAGGCTGCATTCCCTGTTGGCTCATCTGTCGCTGTTGCATCATTTGCATTCTCATCTGCATCTGCATTTGCTGTTGAATTTGAGCATTTATGAATTGCGGGCGCTGCCCCATTTGGGCTGGATATCCTGGTGCCATCATTTGATGCGGAGGATAACCGGGACCAGGCCCGAAGTTGGAGCCAGGTCGCGAAGGCATTCCGGGATAAGTGGGTGTGGTCGGAGGGAATGCGCCAGGAGTTGCCGGGTATCCAGGAGGACCCATTGGATGATGGGAAAGAGGACCGACGGATGGAGATGGAGTGTGTGGGGGCATTGCGGGGGACTGGAACAACGGAATCATCGGACTGGATTGGTGGAAGAGAGAGGGAACGGCTCCAGAAGTGGAAGCAGCAGACGCGGCGAGAGCAGCCATCCTTCTCTCGTGAATTCGAGAACGGACGAGAGTAGCAAAGTCTCGGTGTGGCGGACAGTTGAACTTCCGATCAACCATGGTCTTGTACGCCATTCCTATCTTCACTTTCTCTGGTCCCTGAAACGATCAATTTGGAAAAAGGCGGAACATTTGAAAACGCACATCAGTGATTTTGAACAGTTCTGTGACCGGCGTAGAGTATTTCTTGCTCCTCACTGACAAAAATGGATCATCGCTTGAGGAAGCAAGGAACTTTGACTGTAAAAGCGGTTTGTTGAAAATACACGACATAAGTATTCACTTACGATCTTGGATTTATTGACTTTTTTGTTAAACTTCTGCAAGTTCTCTGTTTCTGGGTCGTCCGCCACGATTTCAACGATCGTCGCGGTGCCACCGGGCACAGGAATCCGTTCGACGCCTTCCTCGATTATGGTCGCCTTCATTACTTCGGTGGTAATTGGTGACTGTAGTTGTGCAGCATCTCCATGCAGCATCTGAACGGAGGGCGGCGTCGGGTAGATCTGGTTGAGTCCCTGCGACTCGATGGACGGGGGACCCACCGAGAGTGGCCCTCCTTTCGGCATTTCATTGCTCGCTGGAGGAGAGAGGAAGCCATCGGGACCCACGTGTTCGCCAGCTGTTCGTGCGTTCCCGATGCTTACCATTTCTAGCAATGGCTCTTCCACGTCTTCGTTTTCCATCTCTTCCTCGATGGGCTCTCCATCTGAATACTGCATGGACGTTCCTTCCCCGAGCCCGTTCCGTTGCTCATCGAGCTCTGGATCAGATTCTTCTTCAAAGTTACTGTACGGAGAAGAAGATGCGTGTTTGGGAGAGATGTAGCCTGATACATGTCCGACCTTAAAAATATTCAAGGACATTTCACTAATCTGATAGCATGCGGGGCGCTCACTTCGTAACGTTCCTCTTTTTCTTGAATTGGACGGGATGAATTCAAGTCGAGTTCGTTGAGTACATCTTTCACTTTCTGTCTCGCCTGCTTCTCTTCTATCTGCTTCCTCCATTCTCTCCGTTCTTTGGGTGTCATTCGCATCAGTTTCTGCTGCTTCGTTCCTTTCGCTCTTTCGTCTTTCTTTGTCTGCAAATACACCTTTTACCAATCAAATTATGCTTGTTTTTTTCAACTCACAATCTTTCTCAGCCGTTTTATCGAGCTCTCCAGTGACTTTTTTTTGTCGATCTTCCGCAGTTTCCGATGCAACCTCTTAGCTTGACGAATCTGTTTTGCAGCCTTTTTCTGAAATGCTCATGATTTCTTCTCAATCTCTTTCTAGTATCTACTAACCCTCCTGTACGTTTTCAGGAACGTTTCCTTGTCTATTTCTTCTTTTCGGTCCTTTTCGGCCCAAATATCTCTCAAATTCCTCATTCCGTTCGGGCAAGCGTCCTTGTTGAAGAACAGATTGTCTGCTGGCATCTCAAGAACTGCCTCCCATTTTGTTTTCCTCGGAAGCTCTTTCAAATGATACGATTTGGGGATCCGAAATCCCGATACAAAGGATCGTACTGATAGTCGGCCACTTGAATCTTTTCTGGTCTCGACATGCCTTCCTTCCATTTGTTTTGCCTGAACCGTTTTTTATATGAACATGAATGAAAGGCCGGAACATACTTGTCTTTGTAGATGTCGTTGAATCTCTCCTCCGATAACTCCTCATCGAACCCCACTAGGTCGAACTCTCCCGTATCGGTTCTCTTGCTCATAAAGGTAATAGGAAGGAATGGAGTCGGCTTGTAGTCCTCATCGGGCGGTGGCTTCGGGATTTGGATAGTATTGAAAACACTGAAACGTTGAGACGATGAACCTTTCGTTCGTTTTAGAGACATACTGAGTATCTTTTTCATTTTCGAGATCGGGTATTCCATTGGGTAGATCGTCTTCTTCAAAGTTAGCCCAGTCGTTCTGGCACTGATTGTCCATCAGGTACGATTCGTCCTCGCTTTCCTGTCGCGTCGGTCCCGCCGGCAGCTCGTTCTCCTCCTCCCACTTCTTTCTTTTCTCATCTTCTTGCTTCTTCTTGAACTCCTCTTCTTCTTCTTTGCTATCATCTGAATTTTATTCGACTGAATGAGCGAAAGAGAACGTGGAAACATACGGATATAGATCACAGGAATCTCCTTCTTCCCTCTCGGTGGAACCGTATCGACTGTCAACGAAGGTGGCACAGGAATCAATCTGGGGCATGTGTACCCTTGTGATACGCAAAGAAGTTGTTCTTTCTGTAGACGCGAAGGCACACATTATCGTAGATTTTCTTCCTCTCCTTGTTACTTATATAAGGGACGTACGGTTTCCTGCCTGTAAATCAGAGGAAGAAAGGCATACGCAACGGAAGTAAAACTCACGTCTTCGTTGACTTCTATGTTTCCTTCGCGTGCAAGAGGCCGTACACACTCCGTGGAAGACGCATCCGTTTGACCTGTCCGAGAACCGCCACCGTAGATATCTTTCTTTGATGTACGGCAATCTTTCTGTAAACTTGAACCCGCCGTTCGTTTCGTCTGCCATTTTTTTGTGATCGTTGAAATTCATATCATAGCGACAGTATTGCCAAACGGCCATCGTCGAGAGAATCGGATTGGCCCGCTTAACGACGTGCTTGTTGCGAGGCATTCTTGCAGGAACTGAAAGAGAATAGGTGATCTTTGTGTTTCTGAGTTTCAAAGATTCGGATTCTTTACCTTGCAATTCGTCTGGCGCTGGATGAGTCTTGAGTCCCATTGTTTCCAAAACGAGCCGATCCTCTTCCACAGTGACGCAGAGGTATTTGGAAGGATAGAGCAGACGCACACTGTCGATTTCGAGCAGAACCATTTTGGGCACTTCGTTGTCCACTATTTCATCTGTCTTTTCGAGTTCTGCATCTGTCACTACATCCGAATCGAATTCGTCGGGATTCGTGGCCGCGGCCTTCTGTTTTCCAGCTCTTTCCTCCTTTCTTCGCGCTCTTTCCTTCGTTTCCTCCTAACTTCTCTTTCCCTTTCTCTTCTCTCTTTCTCTTCCGCAGTCTCTTCTTTCGACTTTTCCGGACGGTAATCCGGTTCGTACATCCATCTCAGTCTTTGAGGTATGTCTTCAATTGGCAGTTCATCTGCATTATCAAAGATTGGCGTGGATTCCTCGTCCGACGAATCAATGAGAAGTGCACGATGTGGAGTTGGTATTGGTTCCGGCTCCGGAGACTTTGTTTCTCGGATTCCGGCACTTTCTCCGGCTCTTTCACTTCCATTTGCAGGAATTCCTTCCATTTGTTCCACTCAATCTCTGCCCTTTCCAGCATATGGGGTCGGCGAGCAGAGCAAACTGGTCCGGCACGATAACACCACGCATCGACCACGGGCCGACGACCACATGAACGCCCTTTTTACTCTTAGTTGGATCAGGTTTGTACTCCAGATGTCTGAAATAGTTTGGAAATAACAAAAAAAAGTAAATAAAACTAATTCGAACCTTTTAGCCAACACAATCAGAGTTGGTTGTCTTTGTGCCTGTACAGAAACGCAAACTGTATGAGAGCCGTGGACGAAGAAATTGAGATGAATGGCCGGCGAGTAACTGGGATAAGTGAAGATGAGATAACTCTCGCGGACGTCGAAAGGCATTGTGAACCATCTTCCGAAGCGGACAAACCCGTCTTTCGTCAGATCTCTTTCCAAGGTGACGTGCAATGCTTTGAAGAGTATCGTTCGCACTTCGTAACTGACTGTGTTCATCTGTGAAGCCGAGCCCAGCTCTTCGTCGATATCTGCAAAAGCAACGGAGTTATTGAAGGTGTTGACCGGAAGGAAAACGAACCGAGTCCCTCACAGTACTGCTTCAAAACGGGCGGTTCGTCTTCAAACCAGAAGACCCATAGTTCTTTCGGTGTGTCAGTCGAGAAGGTTGGCACATTCAACATTTCATGGTTGCCTGTTGATGTCAGCTGTTTTCTCCTCCACGTGCATAATATTCCGTCCTGTATCAGTTATTTTTAGTTTAATTTGATTCAAATCTCAAGAAAAAACTCACGAGAACACATTTACTGTAGGCACTGAGAACGACGTCCGTGGTGAGTGGAACACCACGTTTCGCGTTCGCTTTTGAGCGGAAACACTTCCATTTTATGCCGGGCAGATCGAGCAGTGAATATACGTTCGATAGGCAGTCTTCCAAGGTACCTCCGTTGTTTAACTCCGGGCGTTTGGGAATTTTCACTTTACGCGAAGCATCCTTCTCGCCTTCCTGCAATCGATTTCTCTTTTTATAAACATTAAGCGAGGAAATACTTGCCTTGGAGGACGACATGTCCTCCGGGGAGTCACGGGCTGGTCCACTTCCAGCCGGTATCTTGGAAGCTTCGCCGTTCAATGGTTGATTCTGTTGCGACGACACTTTAGCAAAATTTTCTGAAATCTCCCGATAATTGAAGAAAGAATCGATTAACACGACGGGCGGCGAGACAAATTAAAACAAAGATTAAGTTCTAGCACGTACACAACGTTTTAAGAGAAGCTTGTCCGGAAAAAAGTCTATCAGTTGTTCATAATACGGTTTACAACTGAATCTTTCGATTTCTCGCCGTGTTTGCACACTTTCGCGTACCGTAGGTGAAATAACGCGCGCTGTTTTCAAATTCGAAGAAGGTTTCATTTAGAGATCGTGATTGATAAGCGGTTTTATTGTGATGAACTAATAGAAACAAGTCCTGAACATATCAGTCTTCTGTTCAGACTTATCACGAAATGATATCACAGCGAGATACTCTGAGGGTAAATTGTTATCTTTCAGAAATAAAAACAAAAGGCTACGCTCCTATTTTTATGATCGCACTGAATTTGTCTAAATGAAAAAGTGATTATTTATAAAATCTCTCTAACGTGCTGTTAAAACCATATCGTTTTTCTTGTCAAAAACATTTTCTAACCGGAACAAAATGCATCTTTTCCAACTTTATCATAAAATCAATGAAGTGAGAAAATCAAAAGGTTCATCAGGTGCTGGAAGAGAAGAAGAGCCAGCACGAAACGACTTGATAGTCATTTTTCGGCGCTCAGGCCGACAACCCGCGTCTATCCGTGGTCTCAGTCTCTCGAACACCCAGTGAAGGGGAAAAGGCGAGGAGGAGACGACGGAAAGAGGCCTGCGTCTGTGTCTGCGTATCCCGTCTCTCGCTGTTTGTCGTGTGTGTCTCTCCGCTGCTGCTGCTGCTGCTGGCTGTCGTCCGCCACATTCGGAGGCGGCGGCGCGGTCGATCAATCCGCCTGCACACCTTTTCAAGAAAAGAGAAACACGAAGAGTATATCATGCGACTGTGGGAAAGGGCATGCTTGCGCACTCTCAAATTACCCTAGTTTGTGAGAAATGGGAAGGTTTCAAACAAGCGATCACGAATCCACACTTTATGTTGAGAAATTCCGAGAAAGAAAAACAAGAGATACAAAGCGAGGGCATGAAACAGATGGGAAAGCAAGCCCTCTCAGATGAGCATTGTCTCAGCCATTTCCCGGCGACAAAGCACCGAGATCGACTTGACGGGGCCTCCTTCGAGCTGTGTCACTTTGCCGTCGATGGCCACCGTTGCACACTCTGTCTTCATGTTCACCTGACCTGCAATCACAATTTAAATGAAATGAAGCAAGATTTTTCTTACCGAGAAGAAGTTTGCCGCCAACGGGAACGATTGCAGGGCAGACGTAGCTGAGGTGGACGGGCACAAAGTCCTTGTCGCGGTAGTCCATTGCCTGTCCGTAGCTCATCCAAGTGTACTCATAACCGACTGTGGTCGGTGGAAAACTTATCAGAAGCTGGAGAGATCCTACGGTAGCGCCCGTAAATTCTCGATTGGCACTGAAACTCGACATTATTTTTTAATTCAAGTTGGTCCACACTTACTCGACAAACGACGCTTCAATCAGTCCGTTCTGGGCCCAAGCTCTTCCCATAACGGGCTTTCCGTGACGGTACCACAAGGCGACAAATTGTTCGGGAGAAGAGGCGTTCTTGGGTGCACACACTACGTTTCTGAAGCCAAACTTGATTCTTTTTTACTTTTGGTGCGGATACTAACTTGTTAGTCGGCCATGGACGTCCCCAATTGAAGTCTTCCCAGTCGTTCACAATAGTTGCCATCCGAGAATTGTTCGCCACGATCGTCGACGGTTCTCCTTCTCTACCGACTGATTAACATCTTTTTTGCCGGAAATCTTGCAGAGCACGAGCAGATCATCCATCGCCTTCGTCGTCTTCTTCAATTATTTCTTTTTCAGAACACACCCCGTTTCGGCATACCATTTGCATGTCAGAATCCACAAAGTAAGCAACGAGTCTATCCGTGTTCACACATCCGAGCAGCCCGTGCTCTTGCCAGTAAACGGGCGCACTGTACTCGCAACGGACCATTTCGTACTTTCCCTCGCTCGTCAGACTTTGCGCCTTTTTGTACTTGATCCAGTCGTAATAAAATGCTCTTTGCTTCTCGCCCGGATCCAGATTGAGCAGCTGAATGAGCCCTCCGATGTCCTGACCACTGTACACTTTGTTGTCCGAAACGAAGGTGCACTGAAAATGTCCAGATTGTCAATATCTCGGTGCAAAGGATCCTTTCAAGCAACCTGCATCACTCCGGAGTCATTCCACGCTCTCCCCATCACTGGCTTTCCATGTCTGTACCACAATGCCACGTACTTGTTCGTTTCCCCTGGCGCCTTCGCCACATTCGTCGGAAAGGGAGTTCCGACCTTTTGAAATGTCCAGATATCATCAATGTTTCCCTGCGGACGACAATTTCATCAGATGTTCCAGTCTGATTCGAACCAACCTTTTCCATCGTGAACCCTTTTTGTCGCTTATAAAAGTGTAATGCTGAGAGCCGCAAAGTCTCCGGAATCGCTCTGACCGGAGCATCACGTCTTTTTCGATTCCGCCGTTCGAGGAGAAGGCCGTTTCGGAAACCACGTGAATTGCGATATGAGATGATAACGTAATCTGATGATTATCCCTCCGCATAACCTCCGCCTTCTCCCCTCCGCAGTATAAACAGCCATCACTTTCTATAGTCAGCTCCCGAAATGAACATGAATGCCATTCGAAAGGTGAGTTTAGTTGAGTCCCCCACTGCATTTCTGTGCCGTTTTCATCTTCTGAACTTTGTGTGATCGTCATCATGAGATGTTTGTTGTTTCTGACGTCTACCATCGGATTCTGTGCCTCCCTCGACGTGACTGTCCGTCTGCAAACTTCTAACCTATCAAACAGTGTACATATCGTTTGCAAAGAATGGAAATCGGTGATAAAAGCCAGTCGGACTGCTGCTATTGATTGTCGTTTTCATACTGATTTATGATGGTCGCATCCCCGTCCCCGTTGTCCATCTTCTCCCCATGTCATCCCAAAATGGCAGACCAAACGACGTCCTCCTTTCGCTTCCCTTTGAAATATTCGGCATTCGCCCCTTTCTTCGCTTTCGTCCGTCAGCCCACCGTCAACCAGTTTCCATTATTGTGTTCTGTTGATTTTTTCGACCATCCGACACAATCATCGACGATTTTATGGCTTTTACCGTAACCAATTTGATCGTTTCAAAGAAAACTTCCATGTGATGGACGAATGAGGTCAAAGACTAAGATACCGTTGAGGAGACTACAAAAAAGAAGGAAACGAGGAAGGCTATACTTTCAAAGTGACACGTCCGGTAGAGCTGAATGAAGGCAATCCGCAAAGGTCTATTTCGTCCATCATTCCTTAGACCTAGACCTATCCTGCCAGACGGATTCCCCCGTTGTCATAACTTATCAAACATTATCACCCGTCAACGACGTCGGCCTGTCTGTCTGCTTCTCATCATCCAACCACGTGCTTCAGGTGCATCATCTGACTTCCCCTTTTTTCTCCTGACTCATTCTACCGTACTTCTCTTCTCCAACTACACTCTTCTATCTCCCACGTGTCTCGTCTGTCGATCGGCCGCTAGTCTCCTCCCACGTGGAACATCTTCTCAGCCGGGGCCACCCAAAAGTCTCTCGGTGCCAAGGCCCCGCCCCTCGGATCCCCTTTTTGTGTCTGCATCTCCCACTCTCTCTCCACCTCTATAAACAGGCCCGTCCGGGTCACGTTAAGTCCCTGCTAGTTCCCGGTGACTGTCTGTCTGAAACTAATCTGCTTGTCTGAAAATGCCGCCAGCCGGACAAGATGACCTCGACTTTCTGGTAAGAGTCCGCTCGTCTCTTCTCGTTTCACATTTCTTTGTTACAGCCATGCTTGGGTTTGATTGTTTGATTTCAGAAGTACGCAATGGAGTCGTACGTGGCTGACGTGAATGCCGACATCGGCAAGACGACCATCGTGTTCACTCTCCGCGAGAAGGCCGGAGCGCTCGCCGAAACTCTGAAACTGTTCCAGGTGAGTGCCAAACTGGTCTCCTCGGGGGAATCATGAGATCGGCGAAGTCACTATTGCATCAGCGTTTCTTCGGTTTCTCACGTTAATTCGCGACACGAAAAGACCCCCGCAACTGCAAATGCAACGGAACGTACCCGCTTAACTTGATAACAAACTGTCTGCCCTCCGTTATCCAGTTCAAACGATTTCTGATTCTCGGAAGATCGGTGTCGAGTGTCGAGTCACAAGGTTCTGCAGCCGTCATATCAGCCGTCAAATTCCAACCAATTACATGCCTCATTAACCGTATCTGTATCTGCAGGCACATGATGTTAACCTTTCGCATATCGAATCGAGACCTTCGAAGACCCACGAAGGATGCTACGAGGTGCTCGTTGAGTTCGCTGAAGCTGAGGATCAGCACAAAATCGAGGAAGTCATTGAGCACTTTCAAGAAAAAGCCGAAAAGAAAGTGCTCGTGCAGGACTGGAACACCAAGAACAAGCAAAATAAGGGTGGGGAGACTGATGAGAAGGGCGAAGAAGAACACAATTGCACATTCAGATTCGGTCCCATGGTTCCCGCAGAAGATCAACGACATTGATCAATTTGCCAACCGTATTTTGTCGTACGGGGCTGAGCTGGAAGCTGATCATCCCGGATTCAAGGATCAGTCTTACCGCGAGCGTCGAAAGTTCTTCGCTGACATTGCCTTCAACTTTAAACAGTAAGACATCTTCTCCCGAGTCTCAAGTTCATTGCGAATTCAGCGGCGACAAAATCCCGACGATTGACTACACTGTGGAAGAGGTTGCCACGTGGCGTACCGTCTACAACGAGCTGACTGTTATGTATCAGAAACACGCGTGCCAGGAGTTCAACTACATTTTCCCGCTACTCCAGCAAAACTGCGGATTCGGGCCCGATCGCATCCCACAACTGCAGGACGTGTCTGATTTTCTGAAGGACTGCACTGGATACACAATCCGACCGGTCGCTGGTCTCCTCTCTTCTCGCGATTTTCTCGCCGGCCTCGCCTTCCGCGTCTTCCATTCCACCCAGTACATCCGTCATCATTCTGCCCCCAAATACACTCCAGAACCGTCAGTCTAAAGAGATTCGGGGCTCCTCCTTACCACTTGATTTTCAGTGATATCTGCCATGAACTTCTTGGCCATGTTCCACTTTTCGCAGATGTTGAGTTTGCTCAGTTCTCTCAGGAAATTGGGCTCGCATCCCTCGGAGCCCCAGATGATATTATCGAAAAACTGGCCACAGTATGACTGATTTCCCAATCTCAGATGCATCCTTTCATTCCAGCTCTACTGGTTCACTATCGAATTCGGACTTTGTCAGCAGGACGGCCAGATTAAGGCCTACGGAGCCGGCCTGCTCAGTTCGTTCGGAGAGCTCCAGTATGCTCTGAGTGATAAGCCGGAGATTGTCGCTTTCGATCCAGCCGTCACCTGCGTAACCAAATACCCGATCACTGAGTACCAGCCAAAGTACTTCCTTGCCGAGTCATTTTCGAGCGCCAAGAACAAGCTGAAGTACTTTCATCTCTTGGAATCGCTCTTTTATAATTCAATTGCAGGTCGTGGGCCTCCACCATTTCCCGCCCGTTCAAATTCGTTACAACGCCTACACTCAGCGCGTCGAGATTCTTGATAAAGTCGCGGCTCTTCAGCGTCTCGCCCGAGACATCAGAAGTGACATTTCGACGTTGGAGGAGGCGCTCGGCAAAGTGAATAACCTGAAAATTAAATTCTAATTCTTTTTCCACTTGCCAGTAAAATAATTTCGTACTTTGAAGAGTTTTGGGAGAGTTTTACTGAGACTACATTTTTTCTTGGCTATGGAAGTCTTGCCACGAATTAATGGAAGCTACTGCCAACAAAACGGAAACAGACAATCTGAAGCTACGAAAAATACATATGCAGGCCAGTGTTATCGAAGATTCTATCATGTGGAAAATAAGCTGTTAGACCGGAAGAGGTTCCTCCACTCCGAAAGAGTCCATGAGGATCACCATGGATCACAAATGTTCTGAGCATAACTTGAAAAACTATTTCAAGTGCATTCCGGATGATACCTTTTCTCTTTCATCTCCCTCTCTCCCTTTCTCTCCAGATTCGACACTTCTTGTTCACGTCCTCTTTATTCTGTGAGACACTGGGCTTTCAGTTGGCTTGTTCATGAAATGTTGCAGGAAGGGCAGAAAGTGCAAGTCCCGAAGGACAGGTCGGAAGGGAAGAAGCTGATCGCATCAATGCCAACAACGTGTTTTCCAATAAGAAGAAGAAAATATCAACCTTGCATTGTGTAGTCGGATAACAACGAAACAAAGCACTACGTATTATTTCTGTTACGCAACGTCTGTTCCTGGGTAAAAAATTCAAGTTCCGATCATCGCAATACTCAAGATCATCGGTCCATCCGCGGAGAAATTGTGGAAGACGGAGAGGGCAGAGAGGGAATGGAAGTTCGGATGCAACTGGATCTGGAAAGGAGACGCAGAAAAGGGGACTCGTCTCCTCGGATGTCCATTTTGACGGCGAAATGCCATCGAGGAGACTGCCTCTCCCTCGATCTGATCCACTCGTTTCGCGTAATCAACACCTCGTGCCGTCATTTTGCGTTTTTGAGGCCTGCGGAGACGGTTGAACTGTCTCGAATATGCGATGGTTTCCCTAAAGTTTCCCGTTCTATTCTAGACTTGATGTGTTTGATAACCAATTCTGGAGTATGATATCTTCCTTCTCCGATTCTGCTCCATGTTGTTTTCTTTCCATTGTTCCTACAATCGTACAGTCCAATTCCTCTGCCCACATTCTGGCTTTCGCCATTCATTTCCGCCCATCCGCTTATTAGGTAAATCGGTCTCACTTGTTCGATTTCTCCCTCCGTCTACACTTCTTGAACGCTCTTCTGTCACAAAGAAAGTGACGAGGATAGAGGAAGGAATAATTGGAACCGAATCGGAAAAGTTTCAGATTCAGGGATGAGGTTATGGATAGTTGGAATTCTCCTGGAAGTCGCCTTCTGTGTAAGTCTGTTTACCCGCTTCCATTCCCAATTTCTACCTACAAAATATCGCTTTCAGATGGAACCCCTTCGACTTGTGGAGAGATCGCACGTTCCGCGAAGAAGGAGTCTTCCAGCTAGAAAATGTGAGAGAACGGTCATAATTGAGGGCGGATAAGGAAAGAAACTTGCAGTGAATTACGGCTTCCATCGGGATTCGCCGACTGTAATGGACAATGTCATCCATTCGCCGTTGGAAAATAAGCGAGTGTACACTAAAGACAAGTAGGAAATAATCCAGAGATGAGCATGACCACCTGGGTCTCTTTCAGTTTCTACATCAATGCGATTCGACCGAAAGAGAAGGAAGCTCTCCGTGAGTAGTCCATCTCAAGCTCACTTTTACTAGAGAAGACGATCCATTTCAGTGTACGAGTCTATGCTGATTGATGGAAAAGGCTCTATCAACGACATCGATGCCTTCTTCGTGACCGCTCCGCCGGCAAGGACAACACTGGCACCAAAGCGGTCGGGAGGCAATGAGCTGCCTGATTACGTGCAAGTTTCTGAGGGAAGTGTGAAGGAGGATGAGGAAATGGTGAAAGAAGAGCGACGAACGAGAACCCCGGTCGACCTGAAACTAGTGAAACTCCCCCCACAAGCTCCTAATCCTGTTGCCCCGTTCAAGCACAATGCGGTGAGCATTTTCTTCTTTTCTCCTTGATTTTAGCCCTTTCTTGATTCAAGCCGGTTCGTCGTCAACTGCTCGATCCTTCCCCTCCCGTTCTTCAGCCTACCCCAGTCCGTTTCCCTGCTCAACCGTGGCAGATTCCTCCGCTGCTGCCTCAATCCACTCCGAGCCCTCTCACGCAATTCTTCCAACCGATTCAGCAGCCGACGCCTCTCGTCCCTCCCAATCCGTTCTTCCCTCAACAACAGAATCTGCAGCCTACCTGGGCTCCTCCTATTCTCCTTCAGCCCAATCCGATCCCTGCGCCTCTTGTCCGGAATGACACTCTCGATCCGTACATTCCGATCGCCGTCGGTCAACCTCCATATTCATTCCAGCAGCCAGCTCCTCATCCGTCTCTTGTGGATCCTCACAGGGTCAGTTACACATTTATAGATTAACAAACCAGTTTCCTTTTTTCAGCAACCTCTTCATCCGGGTGGATTTGCCCGCACGTTCCCTCAGCATCCGATTCCATTACCTGCCAATTCGGCCATTGGTTGGTTTTTCACAGTTTTCAAAAAACGTTCCCATTTCCAGATACCGCATTCAATCAAGCCAAGGAGAGAGAATTCAGTATATTCCCGCAAAACCAGCTGCCAAAGAAAGTAGGCGTCTTCCGGATTACCCGCCTGCAATTATTCTCATAAATTTCAGCCAACTCCTCCAATTGACTACTCGGTGGACAGTGTTGCAGTGGTGATCAAGGATCAGAGACCACCTCCTTTTGTCAGGTATTCAACGTCTGGACGGAGATTCCAATCTTCTTTCCGAATTCAGATCCATCCCAGAGAAGACGTCAGAGCAGCTGAGAAACTTTGTGAAAGTCCATCCGCACGTGATGAACAACCTTCAGAAGCCGTTGATATACAGAGGAAAGGAGACGGTCATTCCGAAGATGTTCAACTTCACGAGCGCCCCTTCGTCGCCGCCAACTGCTCCTCCACAATTCCCTGCTCAACCGGTTCCTGTGTTCACTCAACCGCCTCCTCAACAGTCCTCCTACGTTCCATTGATGAATCCTAATCAGAAGTTGGATCTTTGCTGCCGAAAACAAAGAGTTGGTCCATTGTGTCAGAATTTGTGCAACTACGATACTTTCAATGACAAGACTGTGGGTTTCGGTCTCCCAGATTTGCCCTTATTGTTTGTTTCAGTTGGTAGCTGCCTTCCTGACGAATCAATGTCCTGGTCCCCAGTTGGGTCAGGCCTATGACTGTGCCTCCTCGAAGGCCGATCACTCGGCGTGCTGCGAACGGGCGGGTCTCGTCTCGTTTCAGGGAGGAAAGTGCATGCCGTTTGCAGAACACACTTGGCCACGCCTTCCAATGTATTAGACTATTTTGTCTGTTTACAGGTATCCGAATCACGACATGCACTTCAGAAACGAATGTCTTTAGGTGTTCGAATCCATCAAAGGATGCTATCGGGACTACCAGTTCACTCATCCGAACATTTACGGTGACTAACCGACGAACCCATTGTTGATATGTAATGATGACTTTGAAAACGGGTTCACGAAACAATTGCTAATCGAAATAAACAGTATTGACCTATGATCACTTGTATTCCTGTTTTGTGCACAGTCTGTCCCTGGCAACGTCGAATTCTGTACGAGATCTCTCTCTCGTATCCATAATACTTTCAACTTCTCACTTCAATTGCGCGTAGGTTCAGATAGATGCCCCGCGTCAATACACACAAGCTTTCAGCCCCGCCGTCCGTTCCAACATCAATCCAAAACAGTTTTGCCCGTTAAATGCGCTCGTTTTTCTTCATCCGCAAACTATCGATGGCAATGGTTTTCAGGAGAAATCGAAAGCGTCGCAAGCGGCGGTCGGCGGCAGGCCGGTCACTCGTACACAATTGGATTGACGCCTTCCGCGCGCTTCGATCCAAACGTGTTTGCTGACAGGTATGACCGCAGAAGCCTTCGTGTTGCTTCCGAACTTAACACTGTCGTCCGTTGTCGTCGTCCGCACGGCGCCGCCCTCTTTTCCGCGTTGGCCGCCCGTCTCGGCCTCCAATTGAGGTAGAGAAGAAAGAAATCTTCGGAAAGAGTCATCATGCACTTTTACCTCTTACTCTATGTTTTATCAGCGACTGTGATGACCGGTAGGTTTGCCATTTTCATTCGATACTGTTCCTTAATACGTGCTATCAAGCTTATGCCATTCTTTCGAAAACAGATCTTATAATAGGCTACACCCCTCTGAGTGTCTGATCTTTCGAATATCGTCATCAGAAGGATTTCAATGTCAATGTTTTCTTGCATTTTATTTCGAAAGGGAACTAGCTTTCCTTTTCAAAAAATGAATGAAATGTAGGTCGAGTTGAACATTTGAAGTTCCATCTCATGTGGTTCTTCAAAAGAACTGACAGCTTACGCAACATCAAGTTTCTTTTCTAATCCCCCCAAACTTCTTCTTCATCTTCTTCTTCATCTTTTTCAGTCTCTTCGAAATCTTCTCTCGATTGTGATTTCTCCGAAGATTGCTGTTGGGCAACGACTAGGGAAGAAGAACAGTGGGAGATCAGAAGTGGCGATGAGTTGGATTTGAACGAGTTCCGGAAGATATTCCTGACCGGAAAGAGCCGTCCCCCTCCGACTGGGAACTATGCGGTCCGTGTCGAGAACAAAAAGAAGTCGTCTCTGATTTCGTGTGCCGTTTGCAGTTCCACCGGTCAGACGACCGTCAAGTTCAGGTACTAATAATGAGCATAATCCAATCAGAATGAGAGGTAGCCGATTCGATATCCGTTTCGTTTCGACACGCGTCGTTTGCCACCGACACCGAGGGTGACACGAAGCGGAACGGAGGTTCGGAGACGGATGCGTGCGAAGAGATTTCCTTTCAGGCACTGGCAGAGTGCGAACGCAATGCTCAAAATCTGCTGGCAGCTGGAGGGAGACGGCAGTCCGACGACGGAGAACTGCCAGGTGGCGAGACATTCAAAACAGAGTCGGCTGAATACGTACAAGTTCATAGACATTGACAAGAACAAGAATTTCCGTGTAAGTGGCCTCCGCTCCCAGGCGAATCAACAAATTGGATGATTTCAGTTGGTGTTGATCGTTGAGAACGCGGATGCTGAAATGGATGCGGGACACGAAGCCACCATTATCGTTGACCGAATTTCCGTCGACTATGACTCATGTGATCAGGCGGCTACTCATGACGTTGAGGGTATTGTGGCCAAGAAGAAGACGAGGCACAGTAAGACCCGGCAGGTGAATAAGAGCCGCGTGAGCAATGAGCTGAGCACATTCATTTCAGAAGGCACGCTCAAGTTTGACATTGGATAAATTGGCGCAGAAGGATTTGAGGATCAAGGAGAAACTGAAGACAGAAGAGGACAAACAGGTGCCATTAACCTTTATAAACTATTGTAATTGGAATCAGTTATAGGCATACCTCAAGAATGTCGATCAGCAAATCGCTAGAGTTGTGGATGAAGTGAATGCAAAACGTAGGTTCTATTCCTTTTCAGATTAACATGGGAAATCTTCAGAAGCCGTCGCCGTCGCCGCTTCATCTTCCGCCAAAACGATTGTTCCGGCTCCTCCTAAAGCACCAGTGGATCGTAAGTTTTTCATCTTACACCTTTGACAACTTACCTTTGTTTGAAGCATTGACTGATCTTCTCGGAAGAGAATTCGTTGACTTCCTGGATCCCAACTATGAATCGAATGACGAAGAAGATGCGGACGACAAAGATTTCGACAATGTAAGTATACAATGCCTGATGATGCACTCGAAAACCATAAAGTTGATTGCAGAAGGAAGTGAAGACGACGTCCCCAACATCCCCAGCGCCTCCAGCTCCAACAGTCACCGGAGCGCCAGTTGTGGCAACAACGAAACAAGCGGTGAAGAGAGTGGAAACATCGAAGAAGTCAATTGACACGAATGGACAGCCGGTACTTTTCTTAACGCATTTCCTCGTACATTACTGTCAACTTCTTTTTTAGCTGAACAACAAGAAGTTGCAGCCAGTCGAGCACCTCCCAATTCGACCCATCACCACTTCTGAGAGTGTTATCAAACTGTTGCCGAAGGGAAAACCAATGCAAGTGCAGCAGCAGAATGGAGTTTTCAGCCTTCCTTCGCAACAGAATCATCAGTGAGCATCACTTCCATTTTGTAGTTATTCTTGAACTCTTTCAGAGTTCCACTGGGTATTCCATCAACGTGCTCAACTCGAGGAGGATGTCTCTTCGAGAAAGATTTCTGCGGATGGACGACTCCCGCTGGAGTGAATAACAGATTCCATTTAAAGAAAGGTTAGTACATTCAAGAGAATCCATTCGAATTTGAACTGTTTCAGTGCACATGTCCAGTTTCGCAGAAGCCATCGTTCCAACCGGCGAGATAGCCGTCATGGAGACTGACACGAAAATGACGCAGGCACACACGGTAAGGTATTTCTATTGTCGTCAGTGTTTTTTCAAAAAACACGAGTTCTAAGTGTTCAAAAATTACTTTTGTAATTGGAGATCTAATCAGAACTAATTGATCTCTAAACGTTTCTGAACTATTCTTGAGGTTTCAGGTAATCTTCGACGCTCTGGAGTTTTCGCTTGGAACTCGGCTGATTGCCTGTTGCCTGTCCGGCGGTCAATTGACTTGTCCGTTCGCGACGCCTTCGGAACAGACCGGAATCCTGTGGCAGTTCTCCAAATTCGAGTGCCCTGTAAGCACTTCCAAGGTACCGTTTCCTCCGCTCCTTGTGTTCTGATCCTTCCCAGTTCAGATCGCATTCATCTGCGAGAACTTCGGTCTGACCGAAAGTATTTGCGCGGTCGACAACATTCGAATTCACACTTCGACGGACGTTTTCTTCCTCGAAGCATGCCAAAAGGACAAATTGCATAGGAACTGATGGACGCCACCTCCCGATCTCAATTCGTTTTCTTTTTCTTCTCATAACTTATGTCTGTATTTATTGTATGTACATGTGTTCTTCCCTTTTTCCTCCGAAACAATGCCCTTTTGACGTCGTTGAACACAAACACAAAGGGCACGAACCAAAGCGAATCAAATCAAATGTTTTTCGGCGGCGCGCAGGTCTCCCGAGAGTGGCTAATTAAAGCAGATTTCCGTTGACATTGCCAAAATGAGTATCATCAAAGAGCGTTCCAACTTCTCCTTCTCTCACTTGTCGCAACTTTCTCCGGAACCGAACCAGTCCGCGTCGCCTTCTCTTCCGGTGATTTCTTCCGACTGTACACCTTCTCCGTCTTCTTCGCCCATCTGCCAACGTTTTCCGCAATCCGTGCTTCTGCCATTAAACCAGTCCCCTCTATCGTCCCCTTTGTACTGAAGATGTGTGCGTGTATGCATCTGCCGTCTGCAATGTGTGTTTTTCAAACTGTTTTGTCTAGAAGACGTCGGTGTATATGATCCGTTCGGACCAGGGTCGTCCATCTTTCCCATCAGCTTCTTCTTCTGCTTTGCGTTTTCTTTTCTTTTTGCGTGTCTGCCTAATTCACACAGCGTCTTGTTGCGCAAGTTGATCTTCCAATGGCATCCCATCCGATCCGTCTATCTCATTTATTTACGTTCCCATCCGTCCGCCGCTGCTTCTCCGCCCAAAAGAGTCGCTTCCCACTGGCAGTTCTTTTTTTGGGAGGCGCTCACACTCAACCTGTCCTTGTTTAAAAACCGCCCATTATTTTTATTTCCATTGCTTCCCCAACCCGCCAATATTCATATTACACCTACCGTTTCCTACCTGGTATTCCGGCAACTTGGAACCCGTTTCTCTGACTTCTCAATTTTTACTTGTTTCTTTTTCTGCTACCAAGATCAAACTTCGAGATAAGAATCACCTGACGGTATCCTAGACATCAATTTGTTCCGATGAACCGCCCACCTCTTCTGATCGTTCATCAAAATCGAGTTTATCATCCGTTGCGCAAGGATCGTTCGTTCGCTCACACTTTCTGAGCTTCTCCATCAGACAAACCAGTCTCCAGTGATAAAAAGAAAAGGGGGGAGGGGGGAAGCTTCTGCCATTGTGACCCTGTTATGCCGTCCGCGATCATCGATTCAACCCGCACGATTTACATACGAAAATTGATTGGAGAAGGGGCAAAAAAGTTTGGTGGGGTGGCAAACGGGTTCGTCGCGCAACGCAAGTACACCTTATCTCGTACTGCAGGAGATACGCCTCGTTGGAGACAAAAGCCCCAATATTTGGTTTCGTACACTGTTTATAGCCATTGTCACCTTTTTGTAAGGCCGTTGGCGACATAGTTAACGCCGCGCGGAAAGGCTGTAAGTGCAGGCGGTTCCGCGTTTTCTCTCAAGATGAAATGGTTCCCTTTCTTTCTTTCTTTCTCTCTTTTTGTTCGACCTCAGAAGCCCTCAATTAAAGCCCTCGACACATGTTGTCGATGTCCTCGGTTCGAATGAATAATCTTGAAAGTCTTGAAAGAAAGCCGAATGCCTCTAATCCTACCAGATCGGTCCATTTTCGTCTCGCTTCACCTGAATATTTCTTTGTGGGGGAGGTGGCTTTAGCCCTCCATTCGTCACCTCGTAAACCGACACCCTCTCCGCCTTCCCTCCTCCTTTCTTCTGTAAACCAACCTTGTCTCATGGATTAATTCTGCAGAATCTATGTACTAACGCATTCAATCACACTCCTTCTTATCCTTCTTTCTCTTCTTCAACGTACGTTCTATTTACAGGTAATGCGAAAGTTGGAAAGGTTCTTCGACTGGTACGGGCAGTTTGTGGCTAGGAGACCGTTCTTTTTCATTGTAACAATAATAATAATCTGCGTTTGGCTTTTTTCACGTGCCTCTTTCAGTTAATTCCTGCATTACTCACTATACTCTCAACCTATGGATTCCTGTCATTTCACAGTCAGGACGACATCTGGGACATTTACGCGCCGACGAATGGGTTATCAAGGGTGGAAGAGACGGCAATGAAGAGATTCGAGTACGCCTCCGGATCACATCATCATCGGGTTAGTGAGGGGAATCCGGAAGCAGACAGTAGCTGGCAGGGTTCAGATGCAAGTGTTGGTATCCAAGAAGAACAGAGGGAACATACTTACGAACGAGGCACTTGAGGAGGTGTCCCTGGCACACAAGGTCAGCTTCCCCTTGTCTCCTTGAACCATTCATTTGTTCCAGTTCGTTGCGGACAACATCACCGCTTCGAATGGCCATCATCACATCGCTTACAAAAACCTCTGCGGAATCTACTGCAATGACAGCAACGCGGCCGTTCTCGCTTTCCTTCAGGCTGCCATCAATGACACCTCCAGGAGCTCGTTCAAATTGACGTTCCCGAATGCGGAGGCTCTCCAGAAAAAGATCTTCATCGGGTATTCCATTGGTGATTTGAAAATTGAAAAGGTGTTCGTGACGGAAGCAAAAATGGTCATTCTGCATTATATGGTGGACACGTCACTTCCGAACGGAAAACTTTTGGCGGCCGACTTTGAGAACAAGCTCCGATCGTTTTTCGCTTCGATCACGGATATCTCCCATCATATCAAGTACTCCGTCCTTTCGAGAACGAGGGAACTGGAGGAACAGAGGTAGTTCGCACATTGTCTTTCCGGAATGGAGCCCTCCTTTCCAGAGCAATCACCATAACTTCTCTGCCTTTCCTCGGACTCACCATCATCGTTTTGACCTTGTTCATGCTCATCACTCTCGTCCGTATTCCCTTGTACACTAGTCAGCATTGGGAGGTAATAAATTTGCCCGTTTCCGTCCAGTTTCATTTCGTTTTTCTGTTCAGAGTATCGTCGGAGTTCTCTCTCCAGGAATGGCCCTCTGGACAACAACTGGTCTCCTCTGGGGCCTCGGTTATCCATTCAGTAACATTCTGACGGTAGTCCCATTCCTTGTTGTTACCATTGGGATTGACGACGCTTTTCTGGTGCTTGCCGGTTGGAGACAGTCCACGTGAGTGCGAAAGATCGGATTTGGAGGTCTATAAAATGTCACAGAAAGGGAGAATCGCTGGAAGTTCGTCTCGGACAGTCCGTCGCCATCTCCGGTGCCTCAGTCACAGTCACTTCCGTCACCGGTAACTCTTCCTTATCTTGCTCTCTTTTCAATTATTCCCTTTCAGATGTTGCCTGTTTCGCCACTGGACTCTTCTCCAACATGCCCGTCGTCCAGCTGTTTTGTCTTTACACAACCGTCGCTTTGGCCATTGATTTCGTCTACCAAATGACATTCTTCACGGCGCTCGTCGGAATATTCGTCAGAAAGCAGGTGGACATCGAGAAGGAACAAGTGAAGAACGAGCCGAAAGTGGAGAAGACGAAGGACATCGACACTTCCACTTCCTCTCTCGTGTCGCTCCTCATTTTCGTGCCCACAATTTCGCAAGAAGCGCACACGAGAAGCCTTCTGGAGGTGTTCATCGACTTTTTGCACACGGGCGTTGCCAAAATCTTCGTCGTCGTTGTGTTTTTTGCCCATATCGCTGTACTGTATCTGCCTTTTCTCTGTCCCGCTCATCTATTATTTTCAGATTTGTCTCGCCCTCGTTTCCCAAGTAAACACTGATTTCGATATGGAGAATCTGTATCTGGAGGATTCTCCGTTGACGGACATCTCCAGAAGGATGCAGAACTTCGTGCTCGGGGAGGCGTTCGTCGTGAACTTCGGAGTGCATCCGATGCCGGACTTTGATAATGCGACCATCAGGGAAAAGTTCGAGGAGATGGTGAAGCAGTTGGAGACGATGCCGGAATACGGAGCGGGCAAGGAGAACACGAATCTGTGGACGAGGGAGTATTCGAACGTACGCGTCTTTCGAGGTCTCTTTTCATATTAAATTCATTCCAGGCGGTTGCATTCTGGGGAGAGACTGAAGATTTCTGGCACCGCGAGGACATGGTCAGCAACTACAGAGAGTACGGAATGGAGGAAAAGTACATCACTCTTGCGAACGATACGAACGGAGACGAAGTCATCGACGGATTCTTCTTCACCATCACTTACCACAACTTCTCGAACTTCCTCCAAGTGGAGGCATTCCTCACGGACCGTCGTGCCATTCTCTCCGCCTATTCCCCCTATTTCACCGTGCTCTCCCACCATCCATTCGAGAAGGTCCCCACCGAATCGGCCGCCTCCGCTCCATTCAATTTCGTCTCCACGTCTGTGTCGGCCGTCGTCCTGATGTCCTTGCTCGTTCTGGTGTTTGTCATGAACTTCGAAGCGATCATCTCGGTCGTCGTCTCGATCGTTTCTATTTGTCTCGGAATTGTCGTCTATCTCCATCTGTGGGGTGTGAATCTCGACGCCGTCTCGCTCATTTCGATGCTCATGTCCATCGGCTTCTCTGTCGATTACTCCGCCCACGTCTGTTATCACTACTTCGCCCATGTTCATGTCGATGTAAGTGCCTCTCCCTTCTCCCGTTCAACTTCTGAATTATTCCAGGAGCAACTCTGGAGGTCTCACAGCTACGCGGAGACCCGAGATCGTCTTCTGAGCACATTCCGCGGGGTCGCGTGGCCAGTCATGCAGTCCGGATTGTCGACGATACTCGGAATGTTCCCTCTGATGTTCGTGCGCGCGTACGTCGTCGCCGTCTTCTGGAAGACCGTCATCCTGGTCGGCATCCTCGGAATGCTCCACGCTCTCGTTCTCCTACCCGTCATTTTTATTCTGACCCATGACGTGAAGCTTGCGTTCCTACGGAAAAGGATCATTTCTCCGACTTCGCATTCATTGGAACTCGCCTCATAAAATGCCTAGATGAATTTAGATTGCACAGGGTTACTGTAGCTTATCTTTAATATCATTTCTCCTGGTTTCCACGGGTCACCCACATCTCTTCTGAGCAAAAAACCTTCAATGCGAATAAATGTTTGATGATGAATATGAAGTGTACAGAAATAGGGATACAAACTGACAAAAATGAATACAAAGTGAACTAGAATGGATATGAAGGGCAGGCGACTAGGGAAAATTATCGGGAAGAGCGGGCAGGGGACATGGGCAACAAAGTATGTCGAATATGACAGGATAACGATAAGGGGAGGATTTTTATATTGAAATGGAACAGGGCAGTTCATCGGCAGCACTTTTTGCTCTGTCCGTCCCGTTGATCGGCTTCATCAATCAATCGGATCGAGCGATTCGAAGTGGGCTCCTCCGCGACGGCTATTCGTGCACGTTCGATCATTTCTGAAAATTGCACATTGTTCAAATTGTACTCTATTCAAAAGCGCGGCCTACTTTGAGTAAGCGCCTCAAATGCTTCGCCGATTCCCCTGTTTTCTTGGGCCGACGTCTCCATGTACAGAGTTCCCTCGGACTCTGCGTACGCTTCCGCATCGTGTCTGCTCACTTGCCGGTCTTCTTCGAGGTCAATCTTATTGCCGACGACGAGAATTTCAGCCGTCTTGCCTAGACACGTCTTGATCTCAAGAACCCAGTTTTTGACCTGAAAGCGAACATTTTATCATTCGTCTTCTGGAACTGGAATACTTTGTCGAAGGACCGCCGATCAGTGATGTCATAGACCAGCAGTACTCCGCTGCTTCCTCTGTAGTAAATGGGCCCCAGGGAGTGGTACTTCTCCTGTCCGGCAGTGTCCCAAATGTTCAATTCAGCGCGACAGTCATCCACGTGCACCGTCTTGTTTTGGAAACTCGCCTGAAAAGAACGGACTGCGCAAAGATTCACTGGTAACAACTTACCTGAATGGTGGACAAATGGATTGAGCTGAATTTGTTCTCCACAAATCTCAGCACCAACGACGACTTGCCAACACATCCCTCGCCGAGCAAAACCACTTTGAACTTGAAGTCCCGCCGTTCCGCATCTGCCATTTCTTCTGCAATTGTTTTATGATTTAAGAAAATTCGGAAAAATCGAATCGACAATCGACAGAGAAGATACAAATGCAGAGAAAACTGTTTTTCCATCGTCAAGGATGAGCAGGTGAGTGAATAGTTTATGTGTAAACAGAGATCAACATCACAGAAAATATAAGAATTCATAGTTGTCCGCACTGGACGATGACGATCGGCAGCTTCGGTTTGTTGTTGGCTCCGGTAGGCACGTTCTCGATCTTTCGGACAGTCAGCATCCCGTCGAGTACCCTGCCTGCAATAAATGACCGGTCAGATGATCCAAGGATCGCCGTCATCAACCAGCTTCGTCCCGTATAAAAAGGTGATAAAGAGGGAGATAAAGCCAGTCGCTGTCACATTAATGGCACGCAGTATTGTACTTCTGTTGCTTCTTCTCGGCGCCGTCGCCACGCAGACGCTTCTTCCCCTTTTGTACGGTGGTTTCAATCCATATCAGCAGTACAAGACAACTACCGTTGCACCCTCAACGTACCACTCTCACTACCAGTAGGTTATTGTTCCCCTCCATTTGCAAAATAACATTTCAGACAACTGGGATGGAGAACTAATGATATCGGGGATATCTATCACAACCACAACCCTTACTCGTCTTTCTTCGTTCTCCAGAAATCTACTTATCCATAATCCTATTGTTAAAATCTAATTTATTGCTTTTTATATTAAAAATCTTACCGAACACGACGTGCTTGTTGTCTAGGAAATCAGTCTTTGCGCACGTGATGAAGAACTGACATCCGTTGGTGTCGGCTCCTGCGTTGGCCATCGAGAGCATTCCCGGTCCTGTGTGCTTCAGGTCAAAATTCTCATCACGGAATTTAGAGCCGTAGATACTCATGAGGCCGGTTCCGTCGCCCTGGAACAAAATGATCATTAAGTAGCCCTGAGGCAGCGGGTTTACATTGCAGAAGTCGCCGCCTTGGATCATAAAATCTTTGATCACGCGGTGGAATGTACAGTTCTTGTACCCGTTCGGCACGCCGTCCTTCTTGTACTCGCCTGTGCAGAACTGTCGAAAGTTCTCCGCCGTTCTGGGAGTCACGTCGGCGAACAGCTCGATCTGAGAAAATGAAACAAATAGGAGGAGAAGTTGATGGGAAAGACTCACGACAATGTTTCCGATGGGAGCTCCTCCGGCCGTTACTTCGAGAAAAACTATCGGATTGTCCGGATGACGGAGCTGCTCCGCGAATTTGTCGTACTCGGTCATCCTGCAATCAGGAAAACTGTGAAAGGTGAAATCCTACTTCGAAGCATTGCAATAAAAATCGATAGTATATGAAAAATAATGTGCTCTTTATAAAAATATACAGTTTCTAGTTTAACTTCCGCATTGATTTTGATTTTTGAGTTTTTTGAATGCGAAAGTCACTAGTCTCGAAATCTTACGCGAAAGGGGTGTGAAAACGTTTTCACAGACCTAATTTTTTCATTTTTAAAAATAAACTATCAGAGCTAATGCTGGTGAGGAAAAAGAATTTGAAAAAAGAATGCGAATGTGAGCGAAAGAAAGAGGCAAAAAAGTGTGCGGCGCCGTTGCGCTCGTCGCTCCGCCCCTGCCGCAAATAATTTTCAGGTTATTTTTTGAACTGACCGGATTTTAAAAATCAGTTTCAAACCTTTTCACTGGAATTTTTACAGAAATACTACGAATTCTTCTTGAATTACAAGATCTAACCTGTACATTTTTAAATGAATGCGTAACAAACTTAGGATAAGTGTTTTTTGTATTGCTCTGGAAAATTGATCTTACCAAATAGCTAACACGGAATCAATGAAACTTTAGAATTGGTCAATTAATCACAATTAATATTTTTTATATTTCAGAGAACGCCGAAATGTCTTCCCGGAAAGGAAAAGCGTAAGTTGCATTCTGAAACCTTCTGGGTCTGTTACACTAAGATGTTCCAGATCGGCGCACATCACACACGAAGATGATAACGCCGAGTTGATCGATGAGATTAACTCGTTCCACAATAAGGACAGACAAATCAAGAAAGGCGCTATCCACAAACGGAAGGTGTTCAACAGACCTGAAGAGGTTCTGAACGTTGAGGCGGAAGCTTCTGACAGCAGCGAAGATGATGGATCCGACTTTGACGACGATGATATCAATGGTAACATTCAGAGGATTATCTAGCGTTCGTTACAAACCGTAATTTTTAAGATATCACGGACAACAAGTGGGGAAATAAGAGAAAGGACTTCTACGGCACAGGATATGTGGACAAGGATTGGGGAGGAATGAGAGAGGAAGAACTGGCAGATGCCGAGCTGGAAGAAGAAGATGCGATGACTCGGCAGAAGCAACTGGATAAGTCAACAGCTGCTCTCGCCGATTTTTTCGACCATGAAGAAGCAGAAGACGACGAGGAGAAGAAGGATACTATTGAGGTACGGAGAAAGTAATGAAAATATACTGCAAAGGTGAATTCCAGATAGATACGACTCTCGAGTTCAATGAAGTGAATGCTAGAAAGAAGAACAAGAAGATCGTCAAGATTCTGGAGCAGTTCGAAGCCAGGGTTCGTTATCTTGACCTTTTCGTTTCGCCACTCCATTTCTTCCTCAGCACAATAGTCTCAAGTTTGTTCTAGTACCTATTATCTGATCAATTCACTTCACTTGATATTTCATTTCCACTGCCGTTCTTCTTCTTCTTCTTTCATAGAAGTCGAGTTCCACATATCGTATCGCCGCCAAGGTTAAGATGCCTTCCTTCCCGCTTTCACTAACTGTTCTTTTCTGTTTCCACAAGCGTCGATGGCTAGTAGATAAGCGGGCGTCGAATCGCGCAATCGCCTTGTGATTACGTCAAAAACGGGTTGTCAACGCCGTCTGAGATGCTGGACGACGTTTTGTTTGAAACGATCATTTCCCGCGGACACAACACAATCAAAACCATTCGGAATCATCTTTCCAGCCGCGGTTATGTGAACATTAAAATGTGGAAATGGCAGAAAATCCCTTGTGACGTCTGGCGAGGCTCGATGGTTTTTGATCAGGCATTAGCGTCCAATTAGTGTCAGAATCAGCCTTATTCTGTCCGTTTCTGTTCACCTGGCCACCTTGAAAGTCACACCAAAAGTGGGCGGGGTCTTCAGCTACATTTTTTCTCTTCTCCATCACACTTTTCGGTCTCAATCTACGGAATGCTTTCCATTTACAATTAACGACGGCGACTGAACTATTATACAGCTGTTTTCGGAGCACTCGTGACCTGCTTTTCCATTTCTATGATAACATTCTGTCTTGTGATCTGCCGTCTCTTCACTATCCCGGCTCACATCATTTCAACAGTTTTGCAACCATCTTTTCAACTGATTCCTTTCAGAAGCGCATTTTCGATCTCGTTGTAAAGCCACTTGAAAACGTAATCAAGCAGATTCCGAAATGCGCATTGCGATCGCAGCTGGTCTACGTCGCACAGACGTACGCATCGTGAGTCCTCCCTCCCGATGCCGTCATTCAATTGCTTCTTTCTTACAGGTACCTCATGAACACTGCCTTCCTTCTGAGTCTCCGAGCTAAACAGTTCTCGAAGGAGAAACTGGAAGATCCGCTCATTGAGATTCATCCCGTCGGTGATGCCCTGAAACGTCTCGAAAAGGTGCCCAAACTCCCATCTCTGAATTTGAACTAAACAAGTTTCCAGAAAATTGTCGAATGCGAAGACTATCTGCACGGCAATGCAGATCATCTAGATGAGCTCAAAAAGTGGGCAGAGTCTGGACCAGAAAAGATGAATGAGCTGATTTCCAAGGTCGGAGAAGTGCAGCTGAACAAGAAAACGTTCGGTGCAGGAGTTAACAAGGTTAGTACCAATAATCAGTTTCAATTGATATCATGTTCACTTCCGTTCTTATCTTTTGCTCTTTCTCGACTTTTCCATTATACTTTTTCAAACACGACGGACAAAAGTTCTGCTTGTAGCCTAAAAGGCTTTTCCGCCACAATTTTGGCCATTAAAGAAAGCAATAACCCGTGCGTCTTCCATCTTCTCGCATGCAAATTCGAAATCGCTGGCCGCGTCTCCAAATTGGCGGGTTCGTGCTCATTCTTTTCGTAGTCTATTTCACTTTGTCTTCCTGACACAAATCCGGCGTTTTCTTCTGTGATTCATCCAATTAGTTGCCACAAAACCTTCTCTTTTCTTTTTCAGATTCATTCGACAGCTGAATTCATTTCTTCTGACGCTGCCGCCTCGAAGCTGTCCTTCACCCCAATGGACGCGGGCGAGAAGCGAAAGGCATCTGACAAAATCTCGAATAACCGAGAGTACGCGGAGAGAAGAGGCAAGAAGAAGGCGAAGACGAGCAAGGTTAGCGACAAAATTGAAAGATCACCGTTGATTAGCCACTTGGATCCCTTTGGATTTGACTTCGGTTGTTTTCAATGCTGAGGTCGGCGCGATTGTCGTTTTGAGTGTCAAGATTTACGACTTAGCGCAGTGCGGTGACTTTTGAGACTGTTCTGAAATGCGATACCTCGTTGTAAAGAACAGATTGCGTCCAATGTTGACGTCCACGATTCATGATTAATGGTTGTTTTAAAGAGAGCAGTTCGCAGCGAGATATAGGGATATTTCAGACGTGCGAATCGTGACAATTGTAACGTGAGTACGAGAATTGTGTGTGAAAAACGCCAAACATGCAGTTTGTTAGTTCCAGGTCACGTGATTCGTACTGAGATCCAAACATGCGAATATTAGTCTTGCGTGTGCACAAAAAACCATTTTGTGTTTTCTCGGCAAGCAAAAATTGGCTGGCGAAGGCTCCACTTATTTTTTTATCCGTTTAGCTTTTCCGCGTGCTCTTGAAGCCGACCAGAATGAATAATCAGAGGTTTGACACCTGCTTTCCTTAGAGAATTACTCTGGTCTCACTGAACTTGCCAACACAAACTTCTTTTTTCATTTTCTCTCTTCCCGTCACTGGAACCTGCTTAAAAATGCGCGTATTCATCATCTTCTCTTTGCAACTTGCTCTTATTTCGAAGAACGGATTAATGTTTCTGAGATAATGAAGGAGGAGAGAGAAAGTGAATTTCAAAAGTCATCGGGCGTAATGAGTTTTCGTCTCCTTGTTTATTCGCACCTAAAAACAGAAGCAGCTCGCCCTTTACGCGCCTAGGTTACCACTTTCAAGAGGGCGGTTTCCTCTCTTTCCTGTGTTTTGCGCATTGTGTCGTAAATTTCGCTGCTCATTCGTCAAGTGCTCGTTCATTTCATTCTTTTTCGAATTCCCATTTTTCAGACGAAGAACCGCAGAAAGGTTCACGCAATCGAGAAGCGTGTCAAGTCGCAAATCGGAAACGTTCGTCGCGAAATGCAGAAGTATTCTGGAGAGACAAGTGGAATCCGTGCTTCGACCATCAAATCAACCAAGCTCGTGGCCTAAACCAAAGGTAGGTACAATGAGTGTGCCAATCAGCAGACTTTTGCTCAATGTTTTCATGAGAATCGTTTCGTCTAGTAGTCTACTCACTAATGAGCTGTCTCGCGACATCCTTCTCAACATTATACTCACAACCAACCACACATCGAAACATTACTATTCGTCCAGATTGTTCTCAAATGTATACTTTCACACGAATCATTTGTCATTATGCACTTTCGGCGCCCTTTATCATACGGTACCTCTGTCTCACTGTTTGACTAATCGACGGCTCGCTCCCTTTCCGTCCTCATATTCGTCTCAAGGGCCGTCCGTCCATCCGTCACACCGCCCTCCTTTTCCATCGTCGACCCGTGTATCTAACATGTGCGCGAGGGCCTGGCACCACCGCAGAGGAGAGACGCCGGTCCTCTCTTTTTTATGCGTGCCTGTTCGATCGAATGGAGCAGCCACGACCATCTGCCGCCTTTCCATTTCAGTTTAGTCGACCTCGGTTATCTTTTCCTCCAAACCGCGTGTTGTATAGCGAACAACTCACAATGCCTCCACTTCTGAATTTTTAGTAGATAGATCAGTGATGCGGCAACAATGCCTTTCCAGTCTTTCAACACCAATGTGGGAACCATTGGAATGTGTTTTTTGAACTATTAAAAAACCTTCGAAACAAAAACGCCCAACATTTTCTCTTGGGTGCCGAGCATAGGTACATAGTAATCATAGAAACCAGTAATTGTGACGTGTCATGCGCGAAAGCCAAACCTCCTTCTGCTTCAGTTTTCATCAATTCGTATAGCTCGTTACTCTCAGCACGCATAACCAAATTACATTTGCGAGAAACGCTGAAAGCTGGCATACACCTTTTTTTTTGCTTCCTGCCATGAAAATGCTGCTACCGGCGCACAATACGTCCCTCTATTCCCAATGTTATTGTTTTATTTTCTCGGTGCCCGAGTGAGTCACCATCATCGTCTTCTGTCCGCTCCTTCTCGTACCGGCGGCCCTCCTCGCACACACTCGCACATACGCACATTTTCGTGTCGACCGAAGAAGCAAGCAACTGTTGCTGCTGCGGCCGTGGTGGTGATGGTGGCAATCGACGGAAGACAGAACGATAAGCAGTCGTTTTCTGCCCGCGTTGAAACGTTTCTCTCTCCTTTTTCTCCGATTGGGAAAGCGTCAATCGTTCGATTCGTGGGTGGTTTTGGCTCCCTCGACGATTTTTTGTCCGCTGCGACCCGATATTATGGGCTATAAAATGCATTTTCCTCTCCAACAGAACGATACAAAAAGCCTCCATTCGTGGTCGTTTCGTCAGTATCAAGGGGAAAGGTCTCGTGGTCGCAGAGTGCCAAAGGTCGCAGTTCTAGGCGCAAATGAGTACTGATGCTGTTTGTTTGTGTGTTGCTATCAGCATATGAACCCATCAATCAACGCTGGCGCTATCAGTTAAAAGAACGTTTCGTTATAAGAATTTTGCCGAATCTCATTCCCTTCGCGGTTTCGTTTCCCCCATATCTCTAATTCTTTCAGGCACCGATCGCTCTCCAACTTCACCTGCTTCTTTATTATTCCTTTTTCATTTTTTGTTCTGTTTCTTGTTGTTTCTCTCTGTTTCTTTTGGCCCAATCTGTTAGACGTTCATCCCCAATAAAGTTGAATTCCAGATCCCCCCCTCCTTCTGATTCTGTTTCATGTATAATCGGATTCGGACCCGACATGTATATTTTTTCTTGATTTCTATTCTTATTGTTCATCTCCTCTCATCTCTTCTCATCTATCACTTCCTTATTTTGAACTTACTACACTCGTCTTCTTCATTTCATATTTTTCGCCGGCCAAACTGTCTCCCTTGGGTGATCATCTCCCAGGGCAACGGCTTTCCAGCGCATTCTCTATCACTTCTCATTTTCCATTTCATTCTGCTCTCTTGCCGTCCTTGTGATTATCGAAGCGAAATGCTGAGACTTTATTTTTTCTAAAACGCTGATGACACATGCATTCTTCACATGCATTCTCAATTAGAAGAAGTCAGAAGTGATGTTATTGCATATTCGGTCGGTAATTGGTCGTGTCAGAAGGCGCTAATTCAATAACTGAGCCCGTCGATCGCTCAAGAAGGGGAACTATAGTTTTCGTTCCATTTTGGCGGCGGCGGCGGGCACAGTTCCTCTTGTCGTCAAGGCTTCTCCCACTCGCCCGGCGAGGGAGGCTGCCCATCTGCCGTTTGGCTCTCTTCCACGTTCACTTCTTTTATCATGCGTCGCATAGCCCTTTTCTTTTCTTCTCTTTTCATTGTGTTCCCCTTTCCCAAACTGCTTTCAACTCTATCATTCTTCCAGATTGCTTTAGAATAGCAGTACAAAATATGGAGAAGGGACAACAAAAGAAGATTCTCGGAGAGGGACGGCTCGTCCGTCAGGGACGGAATATGTTCATCCGATCTGGAGAGGGCGAGAATTACAGATCCGTTTTTGTTCCTGAAACGGCCATTCGACAGAACTACAAGGATTATTCTTTTTTTGATGTACGTCTCATTCTTCAAGTAAATATTACAAAAATTAACAGTTTCAGAACAATGAATATTTGGCGTACTCGGCTCAATTGGAAGGAAACAGATATTGTGCGATATCTGTTATCCGTCCCAAAGATCTTAAACTTATGTATGGCCAATTGTGCCTTTTGGATACTGTTCTCAGATACGCACATGTTGTGATCAACGGGAAAAGCGATAAGGTGTTGGTGCCGTTCGCTGCCCGCACGGTTGAGGGAACTCAGTGGTTCGGTAACGGAGCTGCAGTGGACAAGAATTATTGTGTCCAAGTCATGCGCCAAGACGAGTATTTCGGATGCAAATTCGTCGCATACATCATTCAAGAGGACAACCGAAAAATGAATCTGCCGCCGTTGAGCATGGATACTCAGATTTCTGCCCCAATGAAGAAGTTGGGAACTACGACCGCTTGGCAACGCCAATCTGACCATCAATCTGTCGAGTCTGTGCAGAATCATTCAGGCGTAATCATTGAACAGTACGAGAACGGAACGCTTTTGATCTCTTCACCAACGTGCCAAAATGTGTATTTCCCTACTGAAAATCAAGAGTCGTGGATGAAACTTGGAAGATTCCTGACATTCGATGGTCGGCGAGTGTCGGATTGTAAGACGGATGCGATGTTTGGAAGCAACCCGACTGACTTAGGAACGGTAAGCACAGTAACCCTCCAGCCCTTACTGTTCATCGGATTCTTTCAGATTTTTACCTTCACGCATATCTCGCCACTGCAAATGACAGTCGATGCGGTTCTGAACAAAGTGTCATTCGGAAAATCGGCTTGGGCTTGGAACGACCATATTGGGCGGATCTACATTCCATGGCTCAGCGTGAGCAAAGGGCTGACCACAGCCAGACCATTTCCGTTCGCCTCTGTTCATTTGGATATTGTCTACAACGGGAAACACGATGACATTCCATGGGTCGCTACGAATGCCACTCTCGCCGCCGACACGGAAGCCGCTGCGATTCTGAGAGCGAATGCTCAGCTTCTGAAGACTGATGACAACTGGAAAGTGCAATCGGTTGTCGACGGACCGGAGAATCCTAGCATCTTCATGTACCGGCACGATGAGGGCCTTGGCAAACGGATTTCTTGCTTCGCGAAAATAAGCGATGTGAACGGATCGGAGGTTCCAAAACCCGGGACAATGTGTCGTGTCTCTTATTATCCGCAAGAACGTCACGCACGACACGCTCTGAGAGCTGTTGTTGTCACGGTGATGGAGAAATGTGAGAAGAATCCGCGGTGCCACGTAGTCCACAATGGATCCGGAGTGAAATGTTTCCCAGTGTTAGTCGAGGTGAGCCAGAAAAAGTAGTACAACATAAGTCCCAATATTATTTTTCAGCAACCAACCGCTAGAAAGGAACGTGTCGATCCTCCTGTGGCGCCGAAGATCGTCGCAGCACCAGTCCCTCGAAAGAATCCGTGGAACATGAAGAACTTGGGGACACCGGCTGATGCGACTCCTGCCGCTCTCGCTCCGAATGACTTCCCAGAGGTCACATCCAAGAAGGCGGAGGAAGAAATCCTCGTGCCGCCGTACCCGCCACCGGGTCTTGGCGAGCTCCCAAGCCCGCGAGAAATGGTGTGGGGAGGAACGCCAGTTGCAGCACAACCGGAACGGTATTCGCTTTTCGAACAGCCGAATACGAACTTCCCGAACTTCGGAGATTCGTTCTTCACATCTATTGGAGATCAGTATCAGCTCGCTGAAATCGTTTTCGGATCGGACACATGTTCGTCTAGCGAAATTCGCAATTCCCAATCGGAATCGTCCTCTCCTGGACTCAAAACGGCCGATGAGCCTGAACAGAACTGCTGGAGTAGTTTGGAATCAACGGCCACTTTGACTCAATCCAACTATGCGCAAAATTCATTCGCGTAAGTGTATAATCGGCTCTTTGGAACATTTTTCAATTCTTTACAGATTCGGTTTCCCTCACATGGATCTTCCGATTTACCAGAGCATGATGCCATCAAAGAACGAGGTTCTGATGCGTCCAACGAGTCAATTCGAGCAGACTTCTAATAATCAGAATCAGAATCCTTCTTCATTAGGCAATTGCGATGCGGAGAGCATCCTTTTTAATCTTTGGCAGAATCCTAAATTCATATCTGCCTTTAAAGCAAGTGATCCTATTCAATTTGCCAATGTTGAGGCCAAATTACAATTTTCTTCTAATGTTTATAAGGAAAACACTTTTTAAATCGCCTCCCCATTTTTTAATAATTGGTTTTTATAATCCCCTCGACACTCCTATTTCCCTCTCACTCTGACCATATAATTCTCGCGTATCGGGGTTTCATCTGAATGCCAACTTCTTTTTAACCACCAATCTTTTCTTTTTATCTTGCTCCCAGTGCTTCTCCCGCTGACGAGATACTCAGTTCTCCTCCTGTTCTATTATTTCCTCTTGTAACAGATTTGCCACTTGTCGGTCTCCAAAGTTCTAACCACCCAACCCACCCCCTTTTTCTCGTTTTTTGTATCTATTCGAAGTGCTGGAGAGTTCACATTTAGATTAGTCATTTTATACATTGCGATGTTCATTTATATATAATATTTTGTCTGCTTCTGAAGTGATTAATGGAATTTGTGTGACTAGATAATAAAGAAATGGAAAGACAGTCAAATGTGCATGGATTTGAGATGGGTCATAACCGTAGAAGAAGAGCAAATAGTGAGAGGAAGGGGAAGACTGGATGGGCGGAGTTGCAAAAATCGGAATCGCGGCAGTAGCAGTTGATCGTGTCCACTCCGAGCACTTCTTCTTCTTTGCAATACGTCCTCATCCTGTGTTGCGGCTCATAAACATTCTGAGAGACTCTGAAAAAAGTGAGCGATTTTCGTGATTAAAAGAGCAGAAACTGACGTCACATTCTCACATCCTTTGCTCACGTAGTGATTATTCACGAGTGATTTCACACAAATGTCGCCGAAACACACGCCAGTCTCACAGTCGTACGGCTGATTGCATTGGTAGCAACGGAGCTTCAGGACTGGAATGGAAGATCATTGAGAGCGAGAGAGGAATAGTCATTGAGGAGAAAGGAGCGTTACCGTTCTCAATCGTGTACCCGACGGCCTGCCGATTTCTGCCGGAAGAATAGTCCTTGTAGGCGTGGGTGATCGGGAGAAGAAGGAGGAGAAAGAGGGAACACAGATGGGCCGTCGACTCCTTCATCACATTTCACACTCGCCTCTTCTGAAATCCAGAAATCGAGTGGAAGAGGGAAAGGGGAGGTTATGAGATGATTTGAGATGGGTAGCAACCCAGTATTTTGACACGTTTCGACGCGAAACGAAACGAAACGACAAGTGGTCGGCAGGACAATGATACACAAGGGAGAGTGGTCCTTAATAACCGAAAAGAACGAGAGAAATATTTATCCGGGCCGCGGTCCCAGTCAGTCAGCCATCTCCGGGGACGCCGTCAGCACGCCGCCATCAATTATGTGAGTTTGTGCTCTGGAAAAGAAACAATGGCGCGGCGACGGGTCCGATCATCCGAAGGTCTCCGTTTATGGTCATGGAGAGGGAGAAAGAGAAAGAGTGAGAAACAAAAAATTGATGAAATCCGAGATAAACGCGGACGGCGACAGGAGGAGCCGAGGAAAAGAAGGAAAAGGGCGGCCCCGGGAGCAAGCACTCTCATATTGCGAGTAAATATTGTAGAAGAGCAAAAGGCTCGAAATGAAATACTATGGGGCCGAGGAGCGAAACAACTCGAAATTTATTCATTATTAAGAGGGAAAATGAGCAAAAGAGCCGGCGCAAATACGGCGAGAAGGGGAAGAAGGATGGGAGGACACCTGTCAAAAAGTGATAAATAATGAATGCGCGGAGAGATAACTATGCTTCAAGAGTACACTGTACATATCACTTGACAGGAATACGAAGGACAGATGACGCCGAGTAAGAGAAAGAGCGGGGAGAGAGAGAGTTCCGTTTTCTCAGAAATTATCGGCTTAGTTGAGCACTCACGATGATTCCGCTGAGCCGATAAGATACTTAGTTTATCTCGCAACTTTGAAGAAAACTTATGAATCGATGGGCACGAATAGAAGGTGGGCAACAGGCGAGAGGATCGAATCGTGCTCGGAAAGTGGCACGATTAGGGGAGGATGCTTCTGAAGCGGCAAATTGGCTTGATTACAGGAAAGTGCTCACGTGGAGAAAAAGGAAAAGAAGTGTTTAATTGCGATTCGAGATGTACAAACAGATGAAGTCGCCGCTCTCGAGGAGAAGTTGTTTCATAAGTTAACAACTCCCTGGAGAGTAGGTCAACTCGCTTTCCGCTTGATGGCCGGCTTCGTCCGTCCATTCGCCCGTCAGATTGACTGCTTATTTGCTGGAAACTGGGAGGAAACTGGAGAGGAAGGGGGCGTGACCGACAGGTGAAACTGGTCAAAAGCAACGTGACTCTGGGGCTCTTGGCTTCCGGTACGAATTATCAAACCGAGCGGAACCTCTTCCGGTGCTGACGAGCCGGGTGGCAATGTAAGCAAAGTGCACGCAAAGATTAGTAGTGAAAGGGAAGGCTGGCGCATGGTGTGAGAGGCAAAAAACATAGGAGATGGACAAAAATCACTGGGGAATTGGGAACAAACGACGCCGCACGTTTGGGGAAAGAGTATGATTTGAGGGATTCGATTCCATATATTATTTAGTAGCATTACGTGGCAATGCACTGCAACTTTTCGACGAGGAAATGGCTTCAGGCGTAAGATTTGCTTGCCCCAGAATGTTTAATGTTGTTCTCGAACCTGCATAGCAGATCTATCCTCTTCCCCGAAAGTGTCAAATCGATCCTTTTGTGCGTATTGGATGCCACCGCACGTACGAGAAACGTCATAATCGTTCACCATCAGTCCTTTCTTTTTCGGTGCTTTCCCCCCTATTGATGGATTACGGGCGAGAAACGATATATGGTTTCTTCCCTGCAGACGTCAGCGCCATGAGAGAAAGTGATAAATGAGGAGGAACCGGACCAGGAGGTGGCAAAGAGCAAGGTGATGCGATGATTGAGAGTCTGCCGGGGAAAGGGCAGAACAAAGACGAATTGCTCTCTCTCTCTCTCTCTCTCTCTCTCTCTCTATTTCAGATTGCTGAAATGGCTCATAGGCATCTTTTTGTTTTTTTTACATTTACTGAGTAGTGACACGAATTCTGGCGAGGCGTGCTCTCCCCTAATCCAGTTATTCAGGAGTTGTGCCGACGTTCTCATTCTGATCCACCCGAACACGCCCTCAGATCTTTGTTCGAAGCGACGTCGTTGTTCATTTCGGCGAAAGAACGACAAGGAATGATAAGCGTGAGGATATCAAAACGGCACTGAATCAAACAATTCGGCGCCAGGATGGCGGTGATTCGGAAGGCGAGTCCGGTGTGAAAAAGTGATGGACGGTCGGCCGAAGTCACTTCTGGATTTGTTGATTTAGGCCATCCCGTAGTGTCCGACACCTTGATATATGGCCTCCCACTTCACCTGGATCATCTCCCTTTCTTCTGTCTGTTTCCTCTCATCACATTCGGTTTCGAAGCTGCATTGTCAAATGGAAATGAAGACGAAAATGAGAAGACGAAAGAGAACCGGACAATTGGAATCCGCCATTGTTGCGTAAGCTGAATGACTTTACGTTATCTTTACGTTATCTGAACGAATTTTACGAGCAGCCGAACGACGTGGATTGTTCGAGTTTGATTAGGCCTCAACAATCAGCTGATTGGGAGGGAACGAGAACTAGCCTGGACAGGATGCACTTTGGGAGGGATGCGATGATTGCAACAATGTTAGTTCAAAGTGATTTATTCGGGCCCGATTCGGTTCGACACTTTCCCGCCAAAAGAAGCATGTGACGGCCGATTGCTATCTGGTTCAAGAACGAGTGAACCTGGACGCGGCGCCACACAAACAAGTGGCAGGATTCAGGAAATGAAACGGTTATCTGATGAAGAGCTGCGAAGATGTTACGGTTCTCTCGTGATCGGTTCTTCCACCAGTTCTGATCCGCAAGGACTACTTCGTGTCCTCTTCCCGTTCCATTTGGCTGTCATGTGCGCGCTAATCAGCTTGAGGAAGTGGTCGTTTGTGTCTTCCGAATTCCACGCATCATTGCAACATTTTCGTCATAACCACGTTAACCCAAATCGGTTGGTAGTGTCCTCTTCCACCAGGAAAAAAGAAAAAACTTGTCCGCCCTTTCCCACTCGAAAAAACTCGAATACCTCGTTTGCCATTCGGCGATGTTGTTTCAAAGAAATCGCCTGTTAGAGTTTTTACTATGAACCACGCCCCTCCGGACGGACGGTCACCGCGCGGACAGCGGTGGGCGGAAAAACTGCTTATCGCGGCTTTTCGGTTTTTCTACCCTATTTAGGAAGGTGGGGATATGCGATTAGGGACAATCACAAAACGCCCGATATCCTATATCCATGTCTTCTTTTTGTCGTTTCCTGATTGGCACTCTTCCAAGTACACCCTGTTGCAGATGACCCTCACAGCGGCGACGTCCGGCGCCATCGTCTTTTCGGGAGCCACCCTCCTGGTCTCTCTCTTCGCTGCCGCTTCTCTTTACAGTCAAGTCTCCAGCATCTGGAACGAGCTCGATGCTGAAATCGCCAACTTCAGAGTGAGACATTCTAATCCGTTTGATCCCATTTACGCAATCATGTTCAGAGTCTCACCGAAGACATGTGGGTCGACATGGTGAAGCTCGGAGCCGGAACTGCCTCGAACAGAGTTAGACGCCAACAATACGGAGGGTACGGAGCCAGTGGAGTCCAGCCACCAGCTCCGGCTCCAAACGGCTATGGAGGATACGGAGCCAGCCAGCCAGCTCCGCCACCAGAGAAGTTCCCAGATGGAATTCCGAACGGAGCAAACCAGCCAAAGTTCCCAGGAGGTGGATTCCCAGATGGTCCATTCCCGAACGGAGGAGGGCCACGTGGAGGACCACAATGCCAGTGCACCGTTGAGAACTCTTGCCCACCAGGACCATCAGGAGACGAGGGAGAGCAGGGACCAGACGGACAGGACGGACTTGACGGAGTGCCAGGATTCGACGGAAAGGACGCGGAGGACATTCAGAACACACCACCAACCGGCTGCTTCACCTGCCCACAAGGACCTCTTGGACCGCAGGGACCAACTGGGCCCAGGACTCAGAGGAATGCGCGGAGCTCGTGGACAGCCAGGACGTCCAGGAAGAGATGGAAATCCAGGAATGCCGGGAGACTGCGGACCACCAGGAGCACCAGGACTCGACGGAAAGCCAGGATCCCCAGGAGGAAAGGGAGACGATGGAGAGAAACCATTGGGCAGACAGGGACCAAGAGGACCACCAGGAGAGGCCGGACCAGAGGGACCAACCGGACCAAACGGAAGAGATGCCTATCCTGGACAGGCTGGACCACAGGGAGAGCCAGGAATCCAGGGATACGGAGGATCTGCCGGACAGGACGGGTAAGGATGTCAGAAGAAGGAACAAGTTGATAAAAGAGTGATTTCAGACCAGAGGGACCAACTGGACCAGCCGGACTTCCTGGAAAGGACGCCGAGTACTGCAAGTGCCCAGGAAGAGAGGGAGACGCCGGCAGAACTGCCAGACGCCACCGCAAGTTCTAAATGAAAACGGATTTGTATCAACTGGAAAACAAATAAACCATACTTCTCCCTGTTTTGTTATAAAAGAAAACAACAATACGAAAAGTAGAGAGAGGGAGAGAAAGAGAAAAAACAGAAAAAGAGAGAGTCTATCAATCTACATTACGGCTGGATTTATATTTAGAGAGGTGGAACCTTTGAGTCAGGAAATCTCATGAATATATTTGGGCGAGAAAAAGAGAAGAGCGAATTGGTAACGTGGATTGAAAACGAGCACAATCTCTGTCCTTCCCGTTTCAAACTTGACGTGGTTGTCTTCTGAAGACATCACGATGAACCATGCGAACGCCGTCGCAAAGCTGTTTGTGTACTATGCTGTTCCGGGAAAAAATGAGCCGAGTTGTTCGAAAAATAACATGGTTGCCCTCGGGAATCGGGAAGCATTTTGGTTGCAGTTTTGTGCTTGTTGTTGTTGTTATCGGAGGAACACGATGAATAAGAGGAAAAAAACGGGACGAAGATGGAACACGTACGCGTGCGTGAGCCTGCATACGAATGGAGCCGTGTTCTCCTTCGACCTGCTCATAAAACCGGAGAGAGAGAGCAAGGCGCGACTATAAAAGCCATAAAGTGCAAACGAAAACGAGCGAAACGTAGTGCACAAATCAGGAGCCAAAAAGAGACGGACGCACTCAACCGAAACTGATTTCTTTTATACTTTGTAACGAAATGCCGTCTGAAGACCTCCGGAAATCTCTAATTGACACCGAAAAGCAGATGCTTTCCGATTGGCAGCAAGTGCAAACACTCTGACGAAACGCGTCGGTCGGATAGAGTCGCAGAGATCTCGTAAATCCAATAATAATGCAATTTCGCCTGTCTCTCGTGTGCGTAGAAACAAAAAAGGCGAAGGGCTCGGCGCGAAAAGGACCCACCAGAAGTCGCGGCGGTTCCAATTAGAAAGCCCTTGAGAGCGGTTTGAAAAACAAACTATTGGTGATGAAGAAGGTCCGCGAAACGGAAAACAAGTAGAGTGTCGGTCGCCCAATGAGTTCTGCAAGTCCGCAGCTGATTGGGTGTTTGTTTTCGGCGCCACAAAAGCGATTATCATTTGCACCTGTTTTCAAACCACCACGATTTATTATCATTATTAAGTTATGCGACTGAAATAAATAAGAAAATGGAATGATGCTAGCATTTGTCGGCCTTCGACGACTTTCTCTTGATTCCGAGAGCACGGTTGGCCTCGTCGATTCTGAGGTTCTGGAGGGAACGGCGCTTGCGTCCTCCACCTCCGCATCCGCAGCATCCACATCCGCATCCGCATCCACAGCAGCACGGACGGCAGCACGTGCAGCATCTGGTGCAGCAGCAGGTTCTGCAGCAAGTACAGCAACGACGGCAACAGCAGCAGCATCTGAAACGGGGCGAATGAGGATGTTCGAGGGTACGAGGACGGGATACCTCGGTCTGCAACAGCAGCATCCGCAGCCGCATCCACAGCATCCGCAGCCGCCTCCTTGCCTCTTCACTCGGGACATTGAGTTCTGGAGAGTGTCGATCGCCGTCGTGGCAGAAGTGGACACATCCGTACCCACCGTTGCCAGTTCTGTGGAAGATACTGGGAGGACGGCAGAATGCACCTGAACTAGCAGTTTCAGAGGATAGTCAAGGTGGGATCATACCTGAGAGACGGCCGCAATGGTAGCAAGGGCGACAAGAACAGCGAGCACCGAAGACGTCATTGCGGAATGAGAGGAGAAGGCAACTGTTGCATGATCTTTCTCTTTCTATCATCCCACTTTTATACGGTTTCCATGCCATTCCGGAAGCCTGGGTCCTGCCCGGAAGATTGCGTAATCACGGGCGCAAAACTGTCAAAATGTCTCTCGACCAATTCAAATAAACCAATTTGCGTGTTGCAAAACTTTGGCTAGCCGCTGCTTTTTGATTCCTGAGAAAATGAACACGTGAACTTTCAAGCGGTAAGAAGAAGGAAGCTGGAAAATTTCTTTGAAACTAGGTCTAGGAATGTGATGTCAAAGACGAACTAATATGGATTCATGAAGTTTAGGGACTATGTAGCCTCAAAAGTATAGTTCCCCTCAACATCCTTTACTTCCTTTCGATAACAGTCTTCCATAGATCTACTCATTTGAAGTGGATCCACCACTGCAGAAATCACGTCGCCAAATAGTTAAGTGATCAAATCTCGACGAGCATCACGTCGTTTCCGTGCAAAAAAGTGTGTTTCCTTACAACAACTACTTGTGTCTTCGCACCTTGCTCCCCTTATTTCCCTCTATTTCCGTCAAGTACCTCCTTCTATTTTTACTTTCTGCCGCCCTCGGTCACTGTACCGGAACACTGGGCTCGCGAGAAGTCACACTCGTTTCCAGAACGGATACTATCGCTCTCTGAAAAAGTGAGACGTGTGGCATGAGACACGGAGAAGTCTGTAGGCTCGAAATGATCGGAAGTTCATCGGGTTCGACGTGGAAAGATTTCCGCTCAGACGGTGTTTGCATTAGTCTTGTTGGCGGTCGATCGCTTCCGAATATTCAAGTCCTTTGATCAACAGTCGACCTGTTAACAACAAAACACAAAAAAAGCGCCGAGCAGGTCGTCTCTCTGCTTTTCCCTTTGCATGTTGTTATCTAGTTATCCAGTTTGATAGCTGTTCTCTAATGAATTATCGGTTATCATTAGAAAAAACAACGCATCGTCATGAAAACATGTACCAGGAAGTGCTCGAATGCAACTGTAAGCATCATAATCAGACCCTTATTTGGCCCACATTCAATTTAAGCGATTCGCGGATAAACGGACAACCGGCGAAGGTGAAGTGCTAGTGAAATGCGGGCGAACTGGGAAAAATGAGCGCGCGGACGAAAAGAGACCCACAACTGGCCCGCAATTCGGGGTCTGTCCGTAACTTTTTTTTATTTCTTTCTTTCTCCGTTTGTCCGGCCATTTTTTCACAAGACTTTTGGAACCTGGGAGAAACGAAGAAATGGATACGTGAACTTTGGAACGGTTCTGAAAAAACAAACACTCGGCGAAGCCGCTTCCGAGCCTCAGCTAGGCCTGCGCAGCGGGCCCTGGTTACAAAAGTCTAGTGATTATATATTTTGTGAGTTTCCGATTGTAGTACAAGTGCATGAAATGTCTGAGAGAGGAGCATTCCTCTTGTTTTTTCGCTCCGTTTCGAACATGACACAGCAAGCAAACTGGCCACTTCCGCTGACGTCCAATATGTGTCAAGTGTTCTTTGCGCTCTTTCATGCTTCAGCCCCCACGACATGGGAACTGTTCCTCGAAAACAGAAGAAAGGCGTCGACGATCTATCGATCAACGACAAAGAACCAGTTGGCGTTTCAATGAAAACCGATTCCCATTTCCCAATTGATAAACACTCCTGGGCCGCCAATGACCTTTAAACGTGTTTTTGATGTCCACTGCCGTAAGAGCAAAGATGGCGAAGAGTTGTTGATCTGCAGTCGGTCTGCATCAGCTGGAAGGGAGACGATCAGAAGTGCCCCCCCATCTTTATCTTCATTCGTGCATACCGGTTAGTATCGCTCTTTCAAAAAACAGACAGACGACGATGGACAGTTGAGAAAGAGAAAGATGACATTTGTGAGGAAAGTCACGTAATCGGGAAACCCCTTTTTCTCGTTCAATTTCCGTTTCGCGGAAAACCGATGGCCGACCCGGTTGTCTTTAGTGATGTCTTATCAAATTTGCTCGAGAAAACCCCCTCGCCTGCAGCGTTTTTCAACGAAATCACCGGCGCAGATCAAATGAACACAGCCCGAACCAAACCCAGAAGATCGGAGATCGGAAGGTGACGTAATCTGAGAGGAAATTGCCGCATCTGACGGAAGAGGAACGAGGATAACAAAGTGGAGACACCCTATCATGAAGATGGGTTGAAAGAAAATGTCTCCCCTATCGAATGCATGTCTGTTTTTACTTCCTTTCTTTAGTTAACAATGTCAAACAATCGTCTGTAATGCGGGAAATGACCTCAACCTCAAGTCATCTAACTTGAAAACGTTTGATCAGTGCAACCACGCCATAAACGGCTCGTCTATAATTGCCTCACACATAAAAGAAAAGCCGTATACTGGCGTCACATGTGCACTGAGTTCGCGATGTGCCCGGTGCACAAATGTTTAAGAAGCGGGGGTTTCTCTTGTGTCTCCGCAGCCCCCTGCAAACAGCAAATGATCAAAAGAACGATGCGACGAATCGGAAATCCATCCGTCCAATCGGCCAACGATCACTCCCTTTTGCCCCTAATCATCACGCCATCACTACGTCTGTTCGCCCTCTTTCTCCCGCGGAAACCCCCCATCAGCCGTCGACGAAACCATTCGGACAGCCCACGTGGGGAAAAGTCACGTGGTCGGAAGAATCGGCTGAAGAGACTGTACGTCGTGATGGCGGTCTGGGTACGTGCACACCTTACAAAATGATGCTACGGAATACAACCTTGTGACTTCGTTGGGTGTGAATTTTATTGCTTTTGCGATCTCCTTCGAAAAACAGAATGAATGTCAACGGACGGTGACGGTGTTTGTAGTTTCAAACATAAACTGATGTAACATGATTCTGAATGGACATCAGAGAACAGTTCGTGAAAACAGATCATCCGATTATCGAGAGGGACTAGAAGGGCCGCACTGGAAGATGGAAGCCTTCAGTAGGAGATATCGATGGTCGAAAGTTCGGACTTTATGCCGCGTCCAAAGTTTAGAAAAAGCGTCCGAAGTTCAAGGAAATCCCAGCAAAATCCGCGTGATTTCCGGTTTTTTTTAACTTTGTACGCGGCATTAGGCAGTGGAATTGGGCCAGCTGAGAGATTTCCGATTTCTTTTTGATTCTAACCTAGAGATCGCCATCAGCTGGAGGTAGGTGAGGTAGTGTAAATGACTCGCCGTCCTGATCGACCTTCCTTTCTTTGCCCACTTTTCTTTGTTTCCGGTCATATGACGCGCTGTTCTGTTCCAGTGTCAACGTCACCGAAAATCTGCTCGTCAAACGTTGGACCGACCACCGCGGAAGCAGAAAAAGCTGCCTACGCCTTTACCGAAAACAATATTTTTTTAAAAAACATTTCCAGTGTAATTTATTTTGATTTCACTGAATTGAAATGTTTTTTAAGTTTAAAAACGATGCATTTTTAAACCTGCCATAAAATGTTTTCCGACGTTTTGCTATGTGCCTTTAAACAGCTACAGTTTCAAATGAGATTGTTTCGAATTCAAACAACCTTTATTTGTTTTCTTACTGCTTTTATCCTTATGGGACTATTCAGACTGAAAAAAATGATTGTTTTCCGTTTTTTTCGTTTTTTTACGTCAAAAAATCCAATTCAGCGATGTAAAAAAACGAAAAAAACGGAAAACAAACATACGCTGAATAGCCCCATTAGCTTCGAGCTGGATTTTTAAATTTAAAATTTTTGAGAGCATAGATCTAATTTTATCCTGAACGTTCTTACATTGCATTCGCCTCACGAGTTGAACATGTTCTCTGCTTTAATACGATTTTTTTCGGCTCGGATTGCGAAGCGAGTACGCCAGCCAAGCGATTGCGTCAAGAGCGTTGCTCTGCGCTTCTGCTGTGCTTGCGCGCTCGTGTCTCGTGCCTCTTTGGGTCCTCTTTTTGCACTTCCGTCTGCTGAATCGATTCATTTCTCTTTTAATAAAACCCTGTCGTCCTTTCTATATCTGCAACAATGCTTCCTCGTCCTCCAGCGACAGTATTCTTTCTCTGTCAGCTGTAAACCTTTCGTTTGATTGGAGAACCAGTTCGTCTTTGTGTTCCGACTGAAAAGACCACATCGACCATTCATTGCGACAAGCGACGCGCTCAGTGTTGTCAAGGCTCGGCTCGCTCGTTCTTTGTAGGCACGTGGCTGTATTTCGTATCTTGTTTCAGAACCGATTGACACGATAAGACCCATTATTGTCTATTGGCGCATACCGCGGCGCTCGCGCCTCCTACGAAAGAGAGGCGTAGCCAGAAAGAAGACTCCCTCTTCCAACTACCTATATAATCCGCCCCTTCTTCTGTTTCCACTATCAACATCCTGCCGGGGCCGAAGTTCCCGTTGCTCCGCCCCGACGGGATGCCCCATGTATAACCAGCCCGCCCGCTTGTCTCTCTATCTTCCTCACCGGGCGCCTCCCGCCCCGCCAGACACCGCATCTCCCCGCAGTCTCCTCGTAAATATATATTCATGCGAAGGAAGGTCGAAACCGATCAATAGCTAGATTCTTGCTTCTTCCCGCTGAATGCTTTAATGTCTGCCAGTCGTCTCCCCACTTTTCTTTTTTCCCTTTCACTGTGTTAAGCAGCTTATGGAGTCTGCGAGAACGCCCGACGAGTCAGGCCAGGTACTAGAAGTACCCGACGCTCCGTCAACAAACTCTTTTGATTTCCCAAAACCTTTGGTTTTCGTCTCGGATATATTTCTTCTGTTCAAACATATCGTCTTTTGACCTATTTTCCTCGATTTCAGGCTCCCCGCCAACTTTTTCCACCCACGGCGTTACGCTGTACCTAAACGAGAAGGATGATGTTCGAATATGAAGAAGACGAAGACCCGATGGAACTACAAAAACAAGAAGAGAAAGAAGAACAACTAAAGCATCATTCGACGGATCACTCCGGTGAGTCAACAAACGTCTGCTTGTTCTTATCGATGTGTGGAGTGTCTGTATCACATCGAAGTATTGCCTAGAAAGGTCAAAGTACGACAGAATCTGGCGACTAAATTACAATGTAGTGTAATATCAATCGAACAGCCAGTTTTCTACCGCCTGATCTTTGTTGAAATATTTTGAACGTTGGCAAGCAGGGATCACAACAATAATAATTTGTTTTCAGGAAGTCCTCAGGAGAATCCGTTCCGTTTCTCGTACGATACTGGGAAACGAGCGACGTCGATGTTCGTGACGCCGTCGTCCGAAGATCTCATCGCGTACGGCACCAAACATCTGCTCGACTCCCCTACAGCTGTACAGGTATCGTTTTCATTTTGTACTTTGCACTGCTTGTCACTGGAACCAATTGTTATTACGTCGACTGAGAGTGTACTTTGACTGGAGCAGCACGTGGGGTGTGTGTACGGCGATAAGAAAGGGGACAAAGAGTAGAGGGCCTACAATGCAAGTTTGTCTGGGGAGAATGATCGGTCAGACAATTCGCTGAACTATGAAGCATGACGGCGTTGGTCTCTGGGTGCATCTCGCTAAGGAAATATGGAAGATCAATGTCGTATGTTGTAGCCACGTGGGGGTGTCTTTCGCAACAGCTGCTCTCCCTTCTTATATCACTGCAAAGTTTAGTAGCTTCTCAGTGGTGTCGGCTCCACACAGAGTCACGCCATGAGTGAAAAGAGCCGGCTTCGATTAGATCCTGAGCCGAGGGGATGACCTCGCTTTTCTGTTTTCTGAGCGATCAATGAAAATAGGAACCGGTGGCGGCACGAAGTGTATTCTCTCGTGATACCCCAATTCAAAGAACGAGGACACTGATCAGACATCCCCAGAACACCCAACTCCGAGCCTCGTGATCTGATGATCTCTTCATCTGATGTGATGTGTTTCTTCTTTCAGCGTACATTGGTTCTCAATGCGACTACTTCGCTTAACATCGACTGCGAACTGTCCGATGATGATCTCAGCCCGACGACTCAACGGAAGATCTGCTTCTGCGCGAGTCAGAATCCGACAGAGACGCAAGAACAAGGACTCCGTTCGGCCAAGTCTACGCTGACCGTCTCGTTCCCGTATCATCAGCACCAAATCACCGAGGACTATACCATTTCGGCCGAAATCATTGGAATCGGCGAATCGGGAAAGGTGATGGCGTGCTACAAAAAGGACAGCGGTGAGAAGTTCGCCCTCAAAGTGCTGCGAGACAGCCAGAAGGCGAGACGTGAGGTGGAACTTCACTGGCTGACCAGCTCGCACGAGAACGTTGTCACGATCCTCGACATCTACGAGAACACGTTCGACAACGTGAAGTGCCTGCTAATGGTGGTCGAGTTCCTCGAAGGAGGAGACCTGCTCAGCCAGTTCGAAAACCAAGGGAGCATCCCGTATTCAGAGAAGAGTAAGTAGATAGCGACAAAGAAATAAGGTAGTATAGTAAAATTCGTTTTTCAGAAGTGGGCGAGATCATTCGCCAAATCGGAAATGCTGTGATGTATTTGCACGACATGAACATCGCACATCGGGACATCAAACTAGAAAACATTCTGTGCAGTGGTACGGGTAACGAATGTATCTACAAATTGGGAGATTACGGGTTCGCCAAACGCCCCGAACGGAACGTGCTCATGGAGTCGCCGTGCTGCACGCCATTCTATGCGTAAGTCGTCTGAAGCCGTTCGATTCAAACATTTCGACGCCTTCAGGCCTCCGGAAGTTCTAGGACGCGAAAGATACGACAAATCATGTGACATGTGGTCTCTTGGAGTGGCCATGTATATAATGTAAGCTATCATTTCCTTTTGTTCTCTATTCAAATGGTCGGCTGTAGTTGGGAGTGCTTTACCGTTGTTCTCTTATCACTTGACACTTATTTGCTCAAACTATTTAATACTCTCTCAAAAATATTTAGAGGTCATGTGTGAAACTGTTTATTTCAAAAACCTAGATTATAAAATGGAAAAGTGGAAGAGGGAATCTGAGAGCACTTTGAACCCGATTACAGGTTGTGCGGGTATCCGCCCTTCTACTCGATGAAAGGTGTCGCTCTGTCTCCAGGCATGCGATCGCGCATTGCCAATGGATACTATGCATTCCCACACGAGGAATGGGACTGTGTGTCACAAGATAGTAAGCGCCTAGCAAACCAAATTTTACGATTTCAGAAAACAAACGCTGATTCTAACTGACACTCATAAAGTTTCGCCCACTAACTTTGTTTCTCTTTCAGCGAAGGATGACATCCGCTGTCTGCTGCGGACCAATCCGAGTGATCGACTGACCATCCATGAGCTGATGGCCACGCCGCTTGTGACCGGAGAACCAGTCGAAACCGGAAGAAACATCACGTGCGCGATTGCGATTCCTGGAGCCGACGAACAAGTGTGCGGTGGAGCAGTCTTTGAAGGATTCAACGAAGAAGACGAAGTCCCCGATGTGGTAAGAAAGACAAAAAGAGTGACTGACGAATTGAGGTTTTCGTTTCAGGTCGCCGAAGTTCTGCCCGTGCCAAAGAGTGTCCGTTTCCTCCGCGACGGAGTCAAGGCTCCACGCCTCCACAGTATCCAGGAGGAAGTCGGCCGGGCAATGGAGATCATGCGAATGGGCCACGACCAAGTGTTCGTCAAGAATCCCAACTCCTCGTGCAACAACTTGTTCGCCAGACGCCGCGCCGTTCATCTGAGTATTCCACGTGTCCAATGCTAACTCGAAATCTACCTCCCTCTCAATTATATCGAATCCTGCCAACCTCGTTTCGATTGTATCTGATTATTTTTATTGTAAATGTAAATAGTCCCATAGATTGAATGCCTCCTCCCCCGTCTGTCTCGTAAATTAATCGCTATCACGATTGCCACATCGAAGGTACCTTCTCTATTACAACCTCCGCGTACCTGTCCGTACCAGCCACCCTACCTTCCGAAGCACGTCCTCCGCAGGTGTTTGCTCGTCAATGCAGTGACCCGGCAAACAGAACGGACCTGTTGAGCCTGCATGCACATCAATGGAAGGGCAGATGTGTGGTGGTCCGATTATGGCGGCTCCATGACGGTTATGACGGGAAATGGTGATTTGCCGGGCGACAGAGAGCCTTCCTTACGACGTTCGGCTCAGAAGTGCTCTATTCACTGCTCGGAATCAATTGTTGCCGCTTCAATTACAAACAAGTTGTTTTGCACTTGTGCCGCTCCTATCGCTCCGCAGCTGCATGACGATGACGACGATGATTTGTTGCGCTGTTGACGTGCTCCGTCGGGCCGTTTCTCGCCGTTCATTCGGCTAATCAGTGAACTCGGAAATAGTGCGTACAATACGAGACCCAGATGTCCGCAAAGAGTGCTTGGTTGTTGTTTACTGGTGGACCGCCTAGTTGCCAGCCAGCTTTCGTCTGTCGGTCACTCGGGGTCACTGGTGCTTACGTGCCGTGCCAGTGTCCCAATAGACACGCGCGGCAGTCCGCGCGGAGTGAACCCGACAGCCGTTCCGCCTCCTTCTGTGCCACACTGACACTTCGGCTCACGGCTCATTCCTTGTCGCTCCCACTGACAAGGCGGCTCCCTGTTTTATGTGTTCCCCACTGAATTCGGACCCCCTTACTCTTTTTGGAAGACGCTTTCTCGAGACATTTTAGTTGTTTCTTTCAATTTCTTGTTCTCATTACTGATTATCGAACATTTTTCCGAGCGGGTTGAATCGAACATTTTTCCGAGCATCTTCGAAATTTCTTCAACTGAGAATGTTATCATGCAAAGAAGTAAAGTTCGGAGAATCCATCAGTTCCTGAAAATCCTATTCTCTAAATCTGTTCCTTTTATGTATGCTCCAGGGATGTGCATAAGCACTTGTGGATGCACGCCATCTGCTCCGACGGCGATTATAATTTCTTCCACAAAGACGAAAACAATCGTGCCTTGCTCTCTCTTAACCTATTTTTCATTGAATGTCTTCCGGGTTCTATCATCTCCTTTCTCATTCATTCAGCCACATCGCGTTCAATCAGAAAGTCTTTTCCACTGTTCTTTGGGAAGCTCCTCCTAAAGCGAGAATGGCATTAAATCGCACCCGGATCTCGAAGCACAAACATATCGCGATGAAGACGAAAAGGAAAGCGACATGCAATTACGCATGAACCGGGGTATTCCCGTTCTGACGCTTTGTCGGATCCCGAACCTGCATCATCGTCAGTTTCAAGCCTATTGTCCAACCGACTTTCACTCTTGCGGTGGTCACCACACTGTCCGAAACTCTCGTTTTCCTGCCTCCCCCGCCGATCCGACGTCGTCGCTTTCGCTCGTTTCGCCTTTTGTCTGCTGCTGTCCGTCCTCTTTTCGCTTTCCTCGAGATCCGCTTCATCGTCTTCACTTTCCACCTGGCTTCTCGATGTCAGCTTTTCCTCCTCCGTCCAAGTTGCACAGTCATTTCGACAGAATACATGCGGAAGAAATGACTTCCTCTACTACTTTCTTCCTGTGACGGGAGAAGAAGAAAAACCGTTTATCCTTCCTTCTGCGCTCCAAATATCCACACTCGTGCCCTCTTTTTCCATATCCGTTCAAAAGCCACATCTATTTTTGCTTGCAACAGTTCCGTTGGACGGTCTCCCCTGTCAGAACGTCTCCCAATTCGCTTTCAGTCCCTCACTTTCCTTCTCCAACTCGTTCCCGAACCTTCGATACGATCGTGCTAGCCATTCTCTCCCGTCCTATCGAACTACGATCTCTCTCTGTCTCTCCCTCAACGGCATACCATTTCAACACTCCATTTCGCAATGTTCGCAGTCAACCCAAAGTGCACTCTCTCTCTCTTTCTCTTTCTCTTTTCCGGTATAACCGTATTATCCTCTCGTTCCTCCCAAAACACCGCTAGATTGAGTAGCCTCCGATGCCCCCCTCGACACTGGTCAAAATCATCGACGGTTGGTCTGGTTTGCAGAAAAGTTTGGAATCGGGCAGTGTGCCGCTTACTTCCAATCTCTCTCCGCACCCGACTATTTGTGATTCACTCGTCCCACAAACAAACAAAAATAGCTCTTTCGGTCGCGGACAATTGTCCAGGCGGCCAGGGAGACTCTCCCGACCTGCGGCTATTTCTGCACGCCACGAAAACAGTCGCGCCACTCTCGCCACAATCAAATGCAAACAAGTCGCCGGTGGGCTCCCATTTGGTTTTTCAAATTTGACCATCTTGTTCTTCTGCTTCTTTCCGCTACATCACTTTCAATAACCGTGTGACGTGGCACTACCGCAATCCACTCCTTATCACCTTTATCCTCTTTCATTTAATAGTTTCTTCAAAAGCTTCTTCTTCTTACACTCCGCAAAGTTCGCATACCCTTTTGTACTAGTGACCTGATGAATTCATCCGTCGGCCACACACATCCGTGACCCGACAGCAGCAGCAGCGAAAGCTAAGCATGAAAGGGAAAGGAAAGTGAAAACGATTAGAAAAGTCGGCATCCACGGAGAGAATGGTCGTTGCGAGCGCGGCGAACGATGAAAAATGATTAGGAGAAGAAGGCGCGTAGAAAGGGAACGGAGGGGTGAAAGTCGCCGTCCGAGAGATATCCTGTTCGACTGGTTCGTCCGGAGAGAGTGAGAACAGAAGGTGAGGCCAGCAGCATTGTCCGAAGTGACCGTGTCGATGGCTATGGCTAACTGGTTTGTTGGGCGCAAATAGGTCAACTGAGGAGGCGCCCGCACCGCTTAATTGTTGCTAACTGCACTCTCTCCCCTTTCCGAACACAACACCTGCACAGACACATCGTTTCATTTCTCTTTTCATCGTTTCTTTCGTTTTCGCCACTCAAAACTGTAATTTCAGATGGACGTCGACTCTGTGTCACTGTCCCCGTCCTCCAGACTTTCGGTGGTTTGTTCGGCGTCCGCAGAATTCTCATCGAGCTGTTCGGACTCGTCGCACTTTTCAGAAGGATCTCCCCCCGAATCTAGAAGGTTGCTCACATCACTTTTTCAGTAAACTCACATTTGAATTTGAGAAATTCTGTTAACGAAAGTGTAATCAAAGATGAGCACTATTGGGAAAGAAGAAGAAGAAACAATGACGCTTCGAGGAGGAGCCGAGAGAAACGGAGAATGAACGATTTGGCAATGGAAGAGAAGATTATGCAGCTCTCCGCTGAAAATGAACGGCTCAAATCACAACTCGAGAACCGAGAGCCGCCTACTGCTCCGCCAGCAGCAGAACCTCCTGCGTCGAGCCTGGTCATCCCGAGTGTTGCGAAGAACCTGTTCCCATCCGGACCGGTGCCTTCTCTCCAGGCGAGCTCCATGCTCTCCGTGCCCATCCTTCAGGCAGCTCCTCACTTTCCCTCGATGCTCCAGTTGTGTTCATTACAACCGACCTCAATCCAGTCGCCGGTAGGTCAATTGATGGGAGCGATGACAGCTGAATGCGTGACCCAGAAAGACAGATGTCCCAAACGATCCTTTATTCAGATATACGCGAGCACTCAACCGGCTTCCACCTCCACTCAGACACTCTTCTCCTCCTCCACTTCTTCCGCATTTCACCCGTTCCGTCCGTCTGAAGGTGCCCAACAGAGCCATCCGATCCAGTCGAGCAGTGTAATCATGAAAGTGGAGAGAAGGAGTCCGGACTCGTCCACTGATCTTCATCTCCCTCAGCCACAGCTCCAGCCGGGAACGAATGTCATCCAGCAGAGTAAGTTATTTGTCAGTTTTGAGTATCATTCTGATCTGGTCCCTTTCAGTCGGTCAGCCAGCCCATTCCCCTGCTCCCCAGCCCATCCAAATGCAGCCTGTTGCTCAGCAAGGACCATCTCTTCTCTCGGCCCTTCTTTCGCAGAGAAGACCATCTCCAACTGTTCCTCAAAGCCGAACCGAGCACATCTCGGGCCTCAATTCCCCTCCAAGACATACTGGAAATAAGAGCGACTGCGAGAGTGTCTCTTCCTCCGCCTCTTTCTCCCCGTCTCACTCATCCGAAGATCACTCCAACTACTCGAACAAATCTGTAAGTATTCTGAATCTTGTCTGCAAGTGAGCTAATTAATTGATTTGCAGCCGCAATACGTAGATCGTCGTCGTCGAACAATGAAGCCGCGAAGAGGTGTCGTGCAAACAGAAGAGCAGTCTTCGAGTACAGATCCCGACGGGTACAGGTTCGTTCATTCTTCTGTCCAATGCTCAGTCCCTCATGTCCTTTCTTGCAGCTTCTGGAAGGTGAAAACGAGGAGTTGCGCACGCAAATCGACACGCTCAAAGCGGAAATCGCCCATTTCAAAGCGATTCTGGCGCAGAGAGCATCGGTGGTCACCGCCGTCCGACCATGATTTGCGCGCCGAACCCTTCCCAATTTTCGAATAAATACGGATAGAAAGTCTTCCAATATTCTCTCATCGTTTCGTCGCTAGATGTTCCACAATTCCGTCTTTCATCATTTCGTGCAATAATTTGAGTCGTTCCTAATAAAACCGATGTTTTTCTTAATCTGAATTATTTAAATCTGACTATCTGACTTTATTTGCTTCTTGAAAGTGAAAGACATTTGTAATGCATTGTCACGTCATGATAAGTGAAAGAAAGGACGAGAGTGAGAGTGGAAGTGAGAGAGGGAGGCGGGTCAAACCGAAGTTGTCTGTCCTTTCCGATGGTACTCCATGTAAATGTCATGTACAGTCCTGAAAATACATAATATTGAATCGAGTGTATGCTAATTTCGACCCACTTTTCCGTTTCGACGACAGAAACAGATGGCGGCGGGAAGTCATAAATTGGCGTGCGCCGTTTCGAATTCCGCCAGAAGAAGAAGCAGTTCAGCGCGAGGTCAATCAAACCGAGCACGAGGATCAAGAAGCCGAACGCAGAGGCCACTTGGAAGGATCCTGTGGAAACGGATTGGTAGCAGCCGAACTGGGAGACCATCCGTGGATCACAGCCGTCGTTGGCAACTAGGAACATGACGGAAGCGATGAGAATGGACAAGGAGAAGACGAATGTGAACAGACATCTCTGGAAGATTTGAAGATGAGAAGGGAGCTGGGAGGAAGGGGAATGAGTACCTTGACGAGAGTAGTCGAGTTTATGTCCCAGATGAAGAGGATCGAGATTGCGGAAGCTGAGAACAGAAGAGCAATGATGACAAAGACCTGGAAATGGGTTGAATTCAGAGCAAGAAGGAAACGCGCACTGACCAATCCGAAGACGGCGGATACTCGATTCGTCCAGTATTGGCTCAGACCAATCACGAAAATGACGATTATACAACAGATCTGAAGACAATTTCATGGCAAACGAGAAAAGAATGTAAGCACTTACAGCAGCCAAGAACCGGAGAACGAGATAGAAATAAAATGAGTGCGGCAGGTCGAACGGCTTCTTTTCCACCATTTCGGCAATTCACATCATGAGAGTGATAACTGCAAATCTATCCTTTTTTTATTTGCGGTCCGACCACTTCGTGAGTGTACTATCAAGGGATGGTCAATGTGTGGACAATTACAAATGTTTGCATCTTCTGGCTCGTCACACAAACATGTGAAAAGGAAATGGAAACGAGGCAGAAGGAGAAGAAGAATGCGTGTTTACCAATCTGTGAATCAAGAATTTCGTGTTTTTGAAGCTCTCTCTTTCTCTCTCTCTTCCTTTCTCTTCCTCGAGTACTTCGACGTAACCGCCAAAGCCGATTTTGCACATTTACGTGAAAATGTATGAGAGCGGGGCGGGCGCACATGTCGACAAGCAGCCAAAGAAGGAAGTGGGGGAGCGAGAGAATAAAGGAAAGAAAGAAAGAGAGAGAGAGAGAGAGAGAGTAGTGCAATGTGTTGTTGTGGTAACAAACATATTGTGGAGCTCGAGCACAATGGAGTGTAGGAGGCGTGCTGGAGAGGAGGACGAATGGTCAAACAAGTCAAGTGGAGGACGGCAGGTCACTTGATCGTGGGATTATCCGGAACGGAAGGAAGTTTATACCGAAGACTTTATTCACGTCGCAATATCAGTGACAATGTACCCATAAAACCAGAACTGAGAGGGAGTTTAACACAGAAGATGAATGAAATAATGTACCCGTAGAGAAAAACAATTGAAAAGTGACTAGAGGTTAGGAATCAGACAGGGAATTGACGAGCGCTCCGTCCGTCTCGCAAGTCTGTCTCCAGTACGCATCCCAGTTCGGAATGAGCACTCGCTGACGTGGATTTGTCCACGTCATCCGGCAAACTTGGCAGAAACCCCATGGACGTTCGAGTACGTCGTGGTGCGAACCGTCGAGGAATATGACTTTGTAGTCGCGTCGCCAGTCAAAGTACTCCCTGCAAATTACAGGATTAGTCAAGTAGACGGAAGGGACGTCGCCGAGTCTTTCGAACCGAAATAATTGGATCCGTGGGAGAAGGGTACACTCACATGTAAGCTGTCTTGTTGTTCATCAGGTAGTTCAGATAATCTCCCATCTCCTTGACTGTTTTGAAGTCGTCAATTGCGATGAAACTGTTCGGTGGGACGAATGGTTCCACGAGAGATCTCTGAAAAGTGATAAAGTTGAAGACAATCAGCTTTCAGAATGGAAACGAACCTTCATGACCAACGGAACGATCGTGTTCTGATATCCGGATTTCCACAGCTTCTCAGTCACATAGTCTTGACAGATTGAGTTCTCAAAGGTGACGTAGAAGTGATAACTGAAAGAAAGCGTCTCCTGGCGCACGTTCATCCAGGCTTACTCAGTGTTGAGCATCGTATCACATTTTCCGTTGCCTCTTGGACACTTCAGAGGTCCGCATCCTCCGTAAATGTCCACTGGCAAATGCTTCTAAAAAACCACTTTATTTTGCTTCGAATTGCTTGTCAACTAACCTGGAGACGTTTCACAAAGTCCTCTCTCCTGCTGTTTGTCTGGCAATGACTTACGAACCAAGCGGCTCCTTTCGTCTTCCTTGCCACTAATGTCTCATCCACAACCTGAACATGAACATGTATCTGTTCAATTCGACTCTTTTGAGTACTTTTCCTCTTAGTTTTGATTTGGGACCCAATTTAACCGTGTACCCATACGGAGACCCGGCTGGAGTGTCATGTCTGAATCCTAACGTCATATTTATGTAGTCTGGAGATGGAAGTTGAATTCCTGAATTAGCAGGAGACTCCTGAAATCAAACAGAAAATCATAATACTTTATGGTATGGCGTACCTGACTGAAGTAGACAACGTACTGTTCGGGATGCCGTTTGAATTCCGGATCCTGATGAGCAATGAGGACCGCGTCCGCTTCTGCCGCCCGTGAACGGTCTTGCGTGAACTCGCAATTCCAATCCGGACATCCTTGAAGGTTATCGGCTGAATGGCCGGCGTTCCACGAAAGGATTACTCTTTTCTTTCCTGGAAGAAAACATAAAGATAGAACGAAACAGATTATGGGAAACCTTTCTCAACGTTTGCACTCATCCGTTCCTCCAGTTTGATAGGACTGTAAGTGAGGATCTCTTCCACATCGAACGGTTCCCTCCCAACAGGATTGAACTGGAACGTCTTCTTGCTCGGATTGTCCGCGGTCCCAGCGGGCACTTCTTCTCGTGGAACCTCCGCTTCGTGATTGGTGTCTATTGCAATGTCTCCTTCACTCCAGCCCTTATTATTCTAGAAATTATCAGATCAGAAATATGAACTTGAACTTGTTGCCTACTGATTTTGGAAAAGGAGCATAGATGACTAGAAGATATGTGACACAGCAAGCGAACATCAAGTACTTCCATCTGAAAATCAGTACGAGATCATAAAAGGACCAACAAAACGAACCGCGCGAAGAAGAGCTTGATGTTTCTCGCCGACATCCGGAATAATTAGACCTGCAAAAAGAGCAATTCTTTCGACGGAATGCCTCTTTCGGAGCCACATCTCGTTGCATAGTAACCGAAAGCAAGAGTCGCTTTGTTTTTCGTGCGTTGTCAGTGAAAAAGAAAGAGCGAGAAGGAGAGGGCAGAAGGACTGAACAAGTTTCAGTTTCATTTGTCAATGTTTCGCAAAGGTGTGATGAAGACAAAGAAGAAGAAGAAAAAGACGAAGAATGCGGAAAGAGAGGGAGAGAGGAAGATGCCGTGCGGCGGCATGAAGGCGTGCTCCAATCAGAATAGTGTATATCCGAATTGATAGGTGTGCAGGGCCGCGTATGTTTGTGCCCTACGCTCGTAAAACAAGCCATCAAACTACGACCGCGTTGCGTTGTTGCCTTCTGAGGGAAAAGCCCCGGAGAGCAGAGTTTTAACAATTATCAGAGTGGCCAAATTAAGGGCAACAAGTGAGGAGGAAAGAAAAGAGAAGAGACACTTCCGGAGGCATTAAGGTGTGTGAGTGTGGATGTGCACAGAAAGAGGAAAAGCGAATTTCTCTGGGGCTAATTGGAATTACTAATTTGACAAATTTGTAACACTTTCGGGCAGTCGAACGAGACGAAAAAGTCGTGGTTCTGAATTGAATCGAAATCTAAACGATGAGAGGAGACCTTTTTTGCCTACTCGAGCGGAGGGTGCGGAACTTTGGTTTCTGATCGGAAATGTGCGGTTCCAGAACCAGATTACGACGGAGTTTACGCTCTTTGACGGGCTTCCTAAAGAGGATTTGCACTGTTTCGGAAGTGACACGCAGAAAGAAGCACTTGATTTGACGTGGAGTTGAAGCATCAAAGCGTATAGTTGGAGTGTTCTTTTTTTGTAGTTCTTGAGGACAGTGTCAAGAAAAGTTTGAAGCACCGAAAAAACGATTTCGGAAAAATAGACAGAAAGAGGTAGATAATTCCGTTTTATAATATAAACCCGACAAAGAGGCGGAAAAGAGAAACAGTTTGCGAGGGAATCCAATCGGGTCGCAGGTCGTTGTTTGAAACCATAACAAGTATATTTTCATATTTTACAGTTTCGTTCGTTCCTTTCGCATTGACACGGAACAATTCTCCATTCTTCCGCAAAGAAAGCACGAACATCGAGATCAGACAGTGACGTGGCACCGGTCGAATGATATGAATTGAAAAGGGCGGCAAACAGGAGTGTGTGCATGTTCACACAGCTGCCGGCTCGATCCCTTTCATATGTGTTTCCAATTATTTGATTCTACAGACCCGTACGAGGTGTGGAATTCAAAACATATTGAGAGTGAAATATGGAAGGAAAGCGAGAAAGAGAGGGGAAACTGTGGAGAGGAGGAGGAGGAGGAGGACGGCTGATATCATTCGTTCTGCTGGAGTGCAAACAAAAGTGGAGGCGACGTGGCACTGAAAGCACTGGAAGCGGGTGATAACAAGTGCACGCGCGGCCCTCCGAAGCACTCTTTCCTTCCATTTGCATAACCCACTTCGGAGAGCATTTCCGCAGTAGTCTTCTGCCACGACGCACCATTCATGGCGACAACCTCCCATCGACAAAAACTAAACAATAATAAAAAATGCATGAGAATTTATATGCACAGTTTTTGGCCACACTCTGCTGAAATACTCTATCTTTCACTAGACGTCAGGAAGTTCCGTTTTCACGTTTGTGGTCCTCGACGAGAACGTGACATTTCCTATTGATATGGAACTTTCCAAGAAAATGGAGCAGCAAAAACATTTATTTTGAGTCTTTCAAGCAAAAGACGGACAGTATTTGGGGTGAAAAACGAATGTCGAGTGATATTGTGAGTTTGCAACTGAGCCAATTAGATCCGCCCACGGGCCTTCATAAACTCTCGCATCGCAATCGTAAACATTCGGCTCCAGATGTCCGAATCAACGTGCATTGAGCCGATGGAGCCAGCGAAAAGTGTGACAAAAGTGCAGAGGCTTTGCAACGTGGCATTCTGGAACGACGACACTTCGATGCTCAAGGATTACGTCAAGTGCTTCTTCTCGAAGAGAACACCAGTGTTCCGTCTGAAACACGAGATGACGACTCGGAAAAGAGTGCTCATTCTGACTCCGGGCGACAGTCTTCTCGTGTACGAAACAAATTGCACCGGCTATTTGTTCGACATCAGCAGAGCTCTGAAACTGAAGATCTCCTGCAACCGTTTCAACAATGATGAAGTCGAAGTGAGCATGGCTCCAAGGTCTCCATTTCATAGGTACTTTCCAGAAATCCTGCACAGTCACATTGAAGTATAAGTTCGGAGAAGTAAACATAGTACTCGTGAATGACCAAATATCAGTTTGGAGGTGACATTGTTCTTTGGATCTTCCGAATTCACAGTCCTGTTTCAGACGGACCCTATCCACAGTTTTCGAAGGCGAATGCTTCGATCGCACTTTGCTCACCGACATTTCCCTGTACACAGCAAAAGGTTCTCGCGCCCTTTGAACAATTGGATTGGCTTTTTTTCAGATGAAGACTTGGAAGACTACTGTGGGAATTCCGTCTTCGATTACACAGATTCAGCGATAAGTCTGAAGGTACGAAGAAGTTTCCGTTTTCCACGATATTCGGCCCTTTCCAGTCGGCTCACGGTTGCGTCGATCTCTCCTCACAAAAGTCCCTTGCCCTCGACGACACTCAGATCGACGTTATAGATTCCGATCAAACAAACTCGAATCGCTCGTTGACGTACGCGCCCACGAGCGTCCGCAGCTCGCGTGCCTCCCTCGCTTCCGTCCGTCCACCGAACAAAACCATCTCTTCCCGGGATCCGATGTTAGTCAATCCTATCTTTTATGCACTGATTCCTCGCAGTTCTTCTTCGCTTTTCAGTTCCATTCGTCGTGGGAGTCAATGTGTTTCGTATTTGGCGAAGAAATTCGAAGAGAAATTGGGAAGTATCGGTCGGAAAATGGGAGTAGAGAGTCAGAAAAAAGAGGCTCAGCAGAAGACGCCGTCGCCGCCCCTGGAGATCCTTTTTCCTCCGCTCCCCATCCAAAAAGTGAAGGAAGAAGACCTGAAAAGTCTGAAAGAGGACAAGGGAACGCAGGTGTCAAAACTCGATTTTACGCCTTCCAAAAAAGGAAAACAACCGCAGAGAGAGGAGATTATTATTGAAGAGTGAACGATTTTGTGACTGAATAATATATGATTTATTTGAGTGAAAGTTCTACGGAATTGAACGTTGAGTATCGGGGAAATGGCTGGAGCAACGGTACAACTAATTGAAGCGCCTCCGTCTGAAATCGACTCTTCTGAATCCACTTTTGAACTCCTCGTCGATCGTTTTGTCGAGATTCCATCCGTCCGGAATGCCAACAAGTCCGCGTGCTCTCGGAGCAAACTGCGGGTATTCGGGGTTAACGTTGAAGTCGTAGGCGATCAGACGGCCATGGGACGGCAGTGGTCTGAAAGAATCGGAGAAAAGAAGATGATATCAGAAGTGACTGCTGCTTACTGCTGCCACGTGGCAACTCTGTCCTGGGAGGTCTCTCCGTCATGAACTACTCCTTCAGAAAATGGGTTCTTCACAGTTGGAGCTTCCGTCGTCAGCTCTTCCAACTTTCTCGTTTCTCCGTCTTCTGGAGCAATCATACTGCTCTTCAGATTTTTGCTTTCCTCCTTTTCAAGGTCTTCCAAATGCGTCCGTTGCAATTCCGAGAACGTGGGTTCTGCGGCTGGAGCTCCCGCCTCAAATACTTTCAGTTGGCCCGTGATAGTCTGAAATGTGCTCACTGATTCCGCTGCTTTTTCGACAGATTGCTCCGTTCCGAATGGAAGCTTCCTCGGCGGCGCCTCGATCCGATCCGTCGTCAGTGGTTTCAGAATCTCTTTCTCCTTGAAAACGAGCTCCGCCGCAGCCATATCCAGATCATCGTCGGCCGCCGAACGACGCGAGTTCGGGCTGAAAAACGGATGAAAATGGGTAGGAATGCGGCGAATTACCGGGCGATAAACTTGCGGACTCTGTAGATAGTCTCGAAGGAATCGGTGAGAAGAGGCAGAAAGAGAAGGAGCGAGAGCGGAATTTTCATGGTTTTGCAGTCGGAAAGATACTCTCGAATGAGTGGCGAGATTGCAAAAAAACAATGAGAAGAGAGAACCAGTTTGAAGACGTAAAATAGGATGGGAATCACCTTCGTCTCCTGCTATCTTCAATTCAGAATCAGGCAGATTTGGAAGTCACACGCACGATGCCCAATGACCCCGACGGTTTGTTTCAGCGGCGATCTATTGACGTTCAAAGTCACAAAAGTGACTTGTATGAGGAATTTGTAGTGTACAATCAATGCGATGTGATTCCAAAGACAGTTCAAGATCAAATGAATCATGTATAAAAATAGTCGGCTGTAAAACAGGCATAAAGCGGAGAGGGACGAGTGAGGCTAATAACAGGGAAAGGGGGAAAAGAGAATTATGTCCAGCGGATCGGGATAAGCAACATTTGGACGATTCGAAATAAAAACACGTAGAGAGCCAGCGCCAGCTTGAAACAGAACAACTTTTCAGATATAAGGAAGGAAAGGAGAAATAAATTACGGGAGCAAAAGAAGGGAAATATGAAGCTCAATGAAAAAATTAGGGCTATTCACACAGAAAGTCGTAAGGGCAGTCATTTAGAAGAACCGCTTGTGCATCGCTTGCGGTCCGACGTCATCGTATTCCTTCTTTCCGAGCCACATCTTTCGGAATGTGTCGAGACTGGCTACAATCGATCCTCCGATCCACGTGAGAGAAAGGCGCTCTTGCGATGCGGATATTCTGATCTTTCCGTCGGACGGCGCAATCTTTCGGACCTCCCCGAGAAGACGGTCTCCGAATCCCTTGAACAGTGTAGTCCCTCCACTCAGAACAATGTTACTGTACAACGTTTGTCGCAGATCAATGTCGCATTTCTGCAGAGGAATCACAGTTAGAAGTTGCAGTCAACACCATAAACAGACCATGATTGATTGATTGACGAGTTGTGCCATTCCCGGCCATTCGGTGCCGATCAGGTCGGGCTTGAAGAGAACTTCTGGAGCACGGAACAGAGAGTTTGACAGTTCTACTTTGGTGGTATCCGGAAGAGCATAGGTGAGCTATAAAATGGAAAATTGTGATTCCAGTGAGTAATTTATCTTTTTCTGATTCTCACCTTCGTTGCGTTGTTTTCTACTTTTGTCGGATCGGATGCGAGATAACATGCGTTCTCCTTGATTTCACGGACAATCTCGAACTCGTTGCTGCGATGGAACTCGTATCCTTCACGACGAAGCAGCACACGGAGGTACTCGGTGACGTCACGGCCAGCAAGATCCATTCGTTGAATACTGGAAGCAGTACATTACGCGTGAGTTCATGATCTATTTACTTACGCGTGCTTCATGGCGAATCCCTTGACGATCGGTACGGCGTGGGTGACTCCATCTCCAGAGTCAAGGACCACTCCGGTTGTCCTTCCGGTAGCATACAACGAAAGAACTGCCTGCATTTGAATGTAAAGTGCGGGTACGTTGAACGTTTCGAAGAAGATCTCAGCAGACTTTTCTCTGTTCTTCAGGGGATTCAATGGGGCATCGGTGAGCAGGACTGGATGCTCTTCTGGGAAAATCTGAAATAATATTGAACTGATTCAGAGACGACTGATGGTGTGTGCTTACTTGTAGCTGTTCAGGACCAAAAATATACTCCCAAATCTTCTCCATATCACTCCAGTTGTTGACGATTCCGTGCTCCATTGGGTACTCAATGGAAACAAGCCACGGTTCGATTCCGCTTTTGGGCCTGAAGTTTTCATTACCTCACAGTGATTAAGATTAATAGAACTCACCGATGAAGACGTCTCCTTCCAATCCCCCAGCCATCACTCTGTGGTACTTTGGCCGTCCGACAAAGTTTGCGAAACGGACCTGAAAAACAGTTGCCATAACGATTGGAACATTCTACCAAAGTACGCAAAGTACCTTTGGCTGTTGCTCTCCTGCAAATCCGGCTTTGATGACTCCGGATCCATTGTCAATGACGACCGGTTGATTGGCAATCACGTCGTAGTCCATCCTATTACCTGCAAGTCGCGGAGTAAAAACAATCAATATGCATGTGCGCAATAGTGTGTGAGAAAAACGACCTAACAATATATTTTGAGTTTCTAGTTACTTTCTATGCTAAAGTACAACTGAATTTGGCCAATCGGTGGCAAAATTAGATGCAAGTTGCGAAATGTACGCAAAGTTGTTCCAGTGGTGTTTGCAGACCAGACACCATTGCGCGTAAGGATTTGAATCGAGAGACTACATGGACGGAACAGATAACCGCGAGAGGGTCAGAACAAACAGAGGAGCGGGGCTAGGCAAACGGGCACCCATTCGGATGAAGCACGTAAAAAGAAGAAAAAGGGATATCGCCGTAAATCATAAAAAAAATAGAGGAAATGATACATTTCTTATGACGTGGCAGGAAGTTGTTATGGAAGTTAAGGATGGAAATCAGCTCAGAGGGAATATCTGGAACCCGCATTAAATTTTGAAGAACTTACTGATAATGGCTTCTCGTCATTCCTTTATTGATCAAAAAAGACAGTGTGTTGGTACATGTGAACGATAACAATAATGACTTTGTTTGCCCGCACAGAGCGATGAAGAAGCAAGGAAAGCAGGGAACAGATGGCTTGCGCCCTTCTCCGTCCGCCGACTCTCTCCGTTTCTGCGTCTTCTTGCTCCGCGAGCTCTCTCCTCTTTTAACGGACCTTCTTCCTGCTCTTGTCATGCTTTATTCCCTTTGACAAGTTCATTCTCACGAGTATTTCAGACATGCTTCCCAACATTTACAACGTTGAATCGGATGCTCTCGGACCTGGGCTCTCGCACAGTTCCTCCCGGTCCCCCAACTTCTATAAATCAACCATTTATGCTAATCCGAAGATGCTCGGCGATTTTTATCAAAATCTGAATTCGATGCGATCGTGAGTGTCCTTCGTTCCTCATATAGGACAATTATCCGTTTCCAGACAAAGAGAGTTGTGTGATGTGATTCTGGAAGCGTTCCCAGTGCAAAGCACGACTCCAGAAGACAGAAGATTCGAGATTTCGAAGGATTCTCAACACATTCATGCTCACAGAGTCATTCTTTCCGCTTCCAGTTCTTATTTCCGGTATTCCCTTCATCTAGAATGCTCATTTTCACTCGCTGCCTCATATCAGAGCAATGTTCACTGGGGGATTGAGAGAGACTCGCCAGAAAGTGGTACCCATCAAAGAGGTGGACGTCGAAGTTCTTTCCCAACTCATCGACTACATGTACACTGGCAGGATGCGAATCGACGAACAGAACGTGCACACGATTCTCGCGACGGCCAGTCTCCTCCAATTGACTTGCGTTCGCGACGCGGCCGCCCGTTTCATGCTCGAACTGCTCGACATCAGCAACTGCGTCGGAATGACCGAATTCGCGAAGGCGCACGCGTGCAATCAACTGGCCCATGCTTCTCATTTGTACACAAGACAGCACTTTGTGTAGGCGAAAGATAAACATAACTTTGAGTATCATGAGGTTCAGGGAGATAATTGATAACGAGGAACTGATGAGTTTGGATAAAGAGGCGTTCAGTGAACTGATCAAAGACGACAGAATTACGGTTCCGAACGAGGAGCCCGTGCTGCAGGCGGTGCTCAATTGGGTCAACCACGACAGAGAGAGCCGTAAGGAGCACTTGGCAGAGTGAGTTGGAACATGGAGACGGTATCTAAGATGAAAAGGATTGGTCTTCAGATTGATATCCAATGTACGACTTCCTCTTCTCGGGGACAACTTTCTCTTTCGTAAATGGCAGCACGATGAATTGGTGAGAGAGCGAAACAGAGAAAGAATTGAAAGAATCGAGGGATGTTCAGATAAAAAGCGATGCCGCCTGTCTGAATGTGATCATCAAGGGAATGCACCAGATAAAAACACACGGAGAGCTGCTGCTTCGGTTCAACGATCCCAGAAACAGGTAAATCTCTGGACTGGACTCCCATCAAATCTGGAATTTCAGTGTGGAAAGGGAAGAAAAAGAGGAGGAGGACCTGCACGAGAAGTGGTTCGTGGCCCGGGAACCGATGCCGGCCACTCAGGTACGTCTTCTTTTTCCCCTCCGTCTCCATTTCCACCCGTTTCAGCACATAATGATAGTGGGCGGACAGGCGCCGAAGGCCATCACAAACGTGGATTTGTTCGACCCAGACAGCCAGATTTGGAACTCGTGCGCCTCGCTTCCGCAGAGAAGGTGCCGGAGCGGAGTGAGTCTTTGCAAGGGATTCGTCTACACGACGGGGGGTTTCAACGGAGCGCAACGTGTCAAATCGGTCGACTTCTACGATCCACGGACTGACACGTGGAGGACGGCCAGCCAAATGACCGCCCGAAGATCCACGCACGGGATAACCACGTGTCAGGGAGTATTGTATGCGGTCGGAGGTTTCGATGGGACGACGGGACTCGCCAGTGCGGAGTACTTCGATCCGCTCAGTGGTAACTGGTTCCCGCTGCCCTCTATGGGCACCAGAAGATCGAGTGTCGGCGTGGCGGCAGTTGGAGATGACATCTATGCGATTGGGGGATTCGACGGCGTTTCGAAGCAATGTCTGAATACGGTGAGTGGTTCAATTAACGGTGTTTCATTAAGCGAACCGCAGAAACAAAAATAATTATAAAGCAGGACTGGGTGATAACGGGATAATATAACAAACGGGAGGGAATTAATGCAGTAGAAGACGTAGTGTGGGAAACCAATAAATACTATGTGGCTATTATAAAATTATCAACGATAGAAACGCGCCACGGTTCCATTACGCCCATTCCTCGGCCTTTTCGGTGTCAGCAACGTACTCATCGGCGAATCTTCTGAACTTCGAAAGCAGTTTGTCGAGTGGAATCTCTCCGCGCACGGCGTTGTCTCTGGTGCGGACATTGACAGTTCCGTTCTCTTTTTCCTTGGCTCCGATCACAAGAATGAAGTTGAACTGTGCCAACTGGGAATTACGAACCTAAAAACGGAACTTCATATCCTGGAAACACATTGTCTTTCATACCTGCTTGTTCATGGTGTCTCCGCAATGTTCGTCATATTCCACCTCAAATCCAGCTTCGAAGATCTTATTCTTGACATCATTTGCATAGTCTCTGACGGACTCGTGGACAGTGATGATCTTGCACTGAAATCGACAAAACTTGGTTGCGCAATTAGAGACTAGTTCGTGTCACCTGTCTTGGTGAGAGCCAGAATGGCCATTTTCCTCCGTAACTCTCGGTCAGAATGGCGGTCATTCTCTCGACGGAACCGAGAACTGCACGATGGATCATGACTGGTCTCTGCTTCTCTCCCTTATCGCTGAAAAATGCATTTATTAAACACGTTCTGATCGACACGACTTACTCGAAATACGAAAGGTCAAATTGATTCGGCAGTTGGAAGTCAAGTTGAATGGTTGCGCATTGGAAGTTTCTCTTGAGAGCATCCTGGATGGTGATGTCAATCTTTGGTCCGTAGAATGCTCCATCTCCTGGGTTCAGCGCCCATTTTCTTCCAGTAGCATTCAAAGCATCGGTAAGATCAGCCTCCGCCTGGTTCCATGTCTCGATATCTCCGAGAAATCCTTCTGGTCTTGTCGACAAGTTCAGCTTGAAAGTGAAACCGAAGACCTTCTCGTAAGCGTACTCAAGGAAATCAAGGCATTGCTGGAAACAATTGGCAATTAAAATCAAAAACGAGTTGGTAGTACCTTGATCTCCTCCGAAATTTGATCTCTACGGCAGAAGATATGAGCATCGTCTTGCTGGAAGCGACGGACACGGGTAAGTCCGGTGAGAGCGCCAGACATCTCGTTTCTGTGCAGAACTCCAAAGTCGGCGAAACGGAATGGCAGCTCGTTGTAGGTGTGGGGCATATGACCGAACATCAGACAGTGTCCCGGGCAGTTCATCGGCTTCAGACCAAATTCTTCCTTCTCCACTTCAATCTTGAACATGTCTTCGGAGTAATGTTGCCAATGTCCCGATGTCTCCCAAAGTTTCTTGTTGTACATGTTCGGAGTGATCACCTCAGTGAATCCTCTTCTTCTGTATTGCTTTCTGATGAAGTCAACCAACTTGTTGTAAATGTGAGCTCCCTTCGGGTACCAGAAAGCGGATCCAGGGGATAGCTGATGGAAAAAGAACAGATCCTGTTCCTTGCCGAGCTTGCGATGGTCTCTCTTAGCAGCCTCTTCTTGCAGCTTCTGCCACTCTTTCAATTGTTTCGGATCAGGGAACGAGATTCCGTAAAGTCTCTGCAGCGACTCAGCATCGGCTTTTCCCTCCCAGTAGGACGAGGAGTTCTTTGTAATGGCGAGCGCCTTCACTTTTCCCGTGTGACGAACATGTGGTCCACGACACAAGTCGATCAATGGACCACACCGATAGACAGTGGTCGTTGGGGTGTGGATCTTTTCGTTAATGATGCGGACTTTGAATTCGTTGTACTTGAACATCTCCAGAAGATTCTCTTTTGTCATCTCGAGACGTTCGAACTTTTGTTTGTCCTTCACGGCAGCCTTGACGATTTGATCAATTTTCGGGAAGTCTTCTGGGGAAATCGTACGATTTTCATGCCACATATCATAGTAGAATCCCTCCTGAATGGGCGGTCCATAGCAGAGATGTCCGCCACAAAATCGTTCCATGGCTTCTCCAAGGACGTGAGCAGACGAGTGCCAGAAAACCTGTTTCGCCTCGTCGTCGTCAAACTTCAAAAGCTCCAAAGCGGCGCTTCCTTCAAATGGACGATCCAAGTCCCAGACAGCTCCATTCACTTTCGAGATGACGGCAGCTTCAGCAAGACCTTTCGAGATTCTCTCAGCAATCTCGAATGGAGTAGTACGCCACGACTTTCCTTCATGAATCTTTCCGTCCGGCAGGGTAATCTCAATCGGTTCGGACTCCTTGGCGGCAATGCCGGCGTCATACTCAGCCTTCAGCTTGTCCCACAACTTGATTCTCTCCTCAATGAACGCGGGCCAGGGGGCCATGTCGGTTGTAACTTTTGACATTTTCTGAAAGAATGAAAAAATTAAGCCAGAGAACACGCACAAAATGTGTTATAGAATATTACGTACGTGACCGTTTACGAAATGAAATTTGTCAGAAGCTTCGAAACAGAACGAGCGTTTTAGCGAGAACGGGAACAATTTGATGGGATACTTTGTCGTCTGACTGAGAAAGAGTATCCGGAAACAATTCAAACGCATCGACTGTTTTCCATAGGAAGTTGCTGGAATTGAATGAACACGCTGCGCGAACCCTAAATATGAAGGTCATTTCGGGATTTCGAAACACTATTTGAGCATGATGGAAAGTGATGCAACGCGTTGCGGAAGGAGAAACGTGGCGTCCGCTACTCGGACTGGAGGAGAAGCGGAGAACAAAAGTGTAAACAGGAGAGAGCAGAACGGGAGAGAAGGGGGCTCCGAATCGATGGAAAGCGGGGGTTGGACGGATGAATAACATGCTGAACTGCACACAATATGTCAACAAGTGAAACTAGGAAGAAAATGAAAATATTTAACATCGGAAACATACTGAAAAGCGCGAAAATAGGCAGTTTCTCACTAAATTTTGGGCAAAAATAGGCAAAAACACGAGAAACACGCCAACAAGGCGTCTTGCCGGTGCCTTGACGCACTTGAAAAATTGGCGATCCTCAGCTAGCGGTTTCTCAGCTAGCGGTTTTGGAGGCCCGGCGGACACCCGCCGGTTTTTGAAGCATCGTACTGCGCCTTGTTTAGCAGAAAGTGGCTTTTGTTGGATTTTGACAGAGTTTTCAATAACAATCAAAGGAGAATTAATGTAAAAGAGCCTGAAAGCATAAAAATGAATTAATGGGATACAAGGTTTCTTCTTCAGAATCCCGATAAAGTTTATTCAGCTTCTTCACGGCGAAATCTCTCGCTGTTTGAACATAGCATGGAACTGTCACCGGAGTGGTTGCTCTTCGAGCATCCGATTATGATATAGTGGAATTCTGATAGGCGAGGACTCTGAGAAGCTTGGAGAAGGGAATAGAAGAATGCTGGAAGCAGCAGCAGCGCGCAGAAAGCAGGGAGAGCACGGCGAAGTGGAAAGATCGCACGCCTGTGGTATCCGCTCGCGTGGAGTGATTGCTCTCTGAGCATCCGATTATGATATAGTGGAACTCTAATGGGTAAGGACTCTGAGAAGCCTGAAGAAGAGAATAGAAGAATGATGGAAGCAGGAGAAGTGCGCAGAAGGCAGGGAGAGGACGGCGAAGAGGAAAGATCGCACGCCTGTGGTATCCGCTCGCGTGGAGTGCCTGTTCTTCGAGCATCCGATTATGATATAGTGGAATTCTGATGGGCGAGGACTCTGAGAAGCTTGGAGAAGAGAATAGAACAATGTTGCAAACAGGAGAAGTGCGCAGAAGGCACGGAGGGGACGGCGAAGCGAATCAATCGCACACAAGTGGCTCAGCTCGCTTCTAGTGGCTGCTGCTTGCAACATGGTTCTATTCTCTTCTCCAGGCTTCTCAGAGTCCTCGCCCATCAGAATTCCACTATATCATAATCAGATGCTCGAAGAGCAGGCACTCCACGCGAGCGGATACCTTGAGGCGTGCGATCTTTCCTCTTCGCCGTCCTCTCCCTGCTTTCTGCGCACTTCTCCTGCTTCCATCATTCTTCTATTCTCTTCTCCAGGCTTCTCAGAGTCCTCGCCCATCAGAATTCCACTATATCATAATCAGATGCTCGAAGAGCAGGCACTCCACGCGAGCGGATACCTTGAGGCGTGCGATCTTTCCTCTTCGCCGTCCTCTCCCTGCTTTCTGCGCACTTCTCCTGCTTCCATCATTCTTCTATTCTCTTCTCCAGGCTTCTCAGAGTCCTCGCCCATCAGAATTCCACTATATCATAATCAGATGCTCGAAGAGCAGGCACTCCACGCGAGCGGATACCTTGAGGCGTGCGATCTTTCCTCTTCGCCGTCCTCTCCCTGCTTTCTGCGCACTTCTCCTGCTTCCATCATTCTTCTATTCTCTTCTCCAGGCTTCTCAGAGTCCTCGCCCATCAGAATTCCACTATATCATAATCAGATGCTCGAAGAGCAGGCACTCCACGCGAGCGGATACCTTGAGGCGTGCGATCTTTCCTCTTCGCCGTCCTCTCCCTGCTTTCTGCGCACTTCTCCTGCTTCCATCATTCTTCTATTCTCTTCTCCAGGCTTCTCAGAGTCCTCGCCCATCAGAATTCCACTATATCATAATCAGATGCTCGAAGAGCAGGCACTCCACGCGAGCGGATACCTTGAGGCGTGCGATCTTTCCTCTTCGCCGTCCTCTCCCTGCCTTCTGCGCGCTGCTGCTGCTTGCAGCATGGTTCTATTCTCTTCTCCAGGCTTCTCAGAGTCCTCGCCCATCAGAATTCCACTATATCATAATCAGATGCTCGAAGAGCAGGCACTCCACGCGAGCGGATACCTTGAGGCGTGCGATCTTTCCTCTTCGCCGTCCTCTCCCTGCCTTCTGCGCGCTGCTGCTGCTTGCAGCATGGTTCTATTCTCTTCTCCAGGCTTCTCAGAGTCCTCGCCCATCAGAATTCCACTATATCATAATCAGATGCTCGAAGAGCAGGCACTCCACGCGAGCGGATACCTTGAGGCGTGCGATCTTTCCTCTTCGCCGTCCTCTCCCTGCCTTCTGCGCACTTCTCCTGCTTGCAACGTTGTTCTATTCTCTTCTCCAAGCTTCTCAAAGTCCTCGCCCACCAGAATTCCACTATATCATAATCAGATGCTCGAAGAGCAGGCACTCCACGCGAGCGGATACCTTGAGGCGTGCGATCTTTCCTCTTCGCTGTCCTCTCCCTGCCTTCTGCGCACTTCTCCTGCTTCCATCATTCTTCTATTCTCTTCTCCAGGCTTCTCAGAGTCCTCGCCCATCAGAATTCCACTATATCATAATCGGATGCTCGAAGAGTAGGCACTCCACGCGAGCGGATACCTTGAGGCGTGCGATCTTTCCTCTTCGCCGTTCTCTCCCTGCCTTCTGCGCACTTCTCCTGCTTCCATCATTCTTCTATTCTCTTCTCCAGGCTTCTCAGAGTCCTCGCCCATCAGAATTCCACTATATCATAATCAGATGCTCGAAGAGCAGGCACTCCACGCGAGCGGATACCTTGAGGCGTGCGATCTTTCCACTTCGCCGTCCTCTCCCTGCGTTCTACGCGCTGCTGCTGCTTGGAGCATGGTTCTATTCGCTTCTCCAGGCTTCTCAGAGTCTTTGCCCATTATAATTAAACTATATCATCATCGGATGCTCGAAGAGCAGGCACTCCACGCGAGCGGATACCTTGAGGCGTGCGATCTTTCCTCTTCGCCGTCCTCTCCCTGCCTTCTGCGCACTTCTCCTGCTTCCATCATTCTTCTATTCTCTTCTCCAGGCTTCTCAGAGTCCTCGCCCATCAGAATTCCACTATATCATAATCAGATGCTCGAAGAGCAGGCACTCCACGCGAGCGGATACCTTGAGGCGTGCGATCTTTCCTCTTCGCCGTCCTCTCCCTGCCTTCTGCGCACTTCTCCTGCTTGCAACGTTGTTCTATTCTCTTCTCCAAGCTTCTCAGAGTCCTCGCCCATCAGAATTCCACTATATCATAATCAGATGCTCGAAGAGCAGGCACTCCACGCGAGCGGATACCTTGAGGCGTGCGATCTTTCCTCTTCGCTGTCCTCTCCCTGCCTTCTGCGCACTTCTCCTGCTTGCAACATGGTTCTATTCTCTTCTCCAAGCTTCTCAGAGTCCTCGCCCATCAGAATTCCACTATATCATAATCGGATGCTCGAAGAGTAGGCACTCCGGTGACAGTTCCATGCTATGTTCAAACAGCGAGAGATTTCGCCGTGAAGAAGCTGAATAAATTTTATGGGGATTCTGAAGAAGTAACCTTGTATCCCATTCATTCATTTTTATGCTTTTAGGCTCTTTTACATTAATTCTCCTTTGATTTTTATTGAAATCCCTGTCAAAATCCAACAAAAGCCACTTTCTGCTAAACAAGGCGCAGTACGATGCTTCAAAAACCGGCGGGTGTCCGCCGGGCCTCCAAAACCACTAGCTGAGGATCCTCAACGATGATGATCAAATAGCTGAGGAAAAATTGAACATTTCGGTTCAAAAACTTGTTTTCGATGCCTTGCGATGTTTTTAAATCGAACGTTTGAGAATTACCTTCAATTGGATTACAAAGGAGATTAAGCTCGAACAATAAATTATTATTTCAGGTAGAAATATTCGATCGGCGAGCTCACAAATGGCGACCGGGACCGTCGATGTTGAATGTGAGGTCAGGAGCCGGAGTGACGGTCCATGATAAGAAGATCATAGCAGTCGGAGGACATAAAGGGGCTGAAATTCATCGTTCCACCGAGGTATTCATTCTATTTTTACCGGTCGATAGCTGTCATTTTTCAGATTCTGACCGGCGAAACATGGGGGGAACTTCGGAATATGGCAGTGCAGAGACGGAATACGTCCGCTGTAGCACACAATGGTATAAAACTGACCGAAGATTAGTGGAAATATGTTTCTCCTGCAGGGCTATTATATGCGTTCGGAGGCGATGATGGCTCGAGCAATCTGTCAACAATTGAATGTGCTCAACTGGAAGACAATCCCGAGTTGCAGTGGAAATTGATTGATGTTAGCTAACAGTAAGCTAGTCCGAAAAGTATTCCGTTTCAGACGCACATGCCGCAAGGTCGCTCGTACGCTGGAATCGCACTGATCCCAAAAGACTATTGATAACTCACTAGATCCGATTCTCCAATAAACATTATGTACAGCTTCCGACTCTATTTTCTGAAAATCGAATCAGATTATTTCATTCATATGATATCTGGTTTTTCAGTTGCTCTTCTTCATATACTGCTTTAAAACATCAGATGGACGAAGAAGCTGCCGGAAGTTCATCGCAATTGGACGAAACTTTTGGGAACAAAGAAGGACTCGAACTTCTCGATTATGAAAGAGCAACTCTTGCGAAGACGCTACCAGCAAGTGTTCTTTTCGTCGTCGCCAATGGATTGGGAATTGAACGTCTTTTCCTCGAGCACCTGATTCTCTTCTCCGATCGTCGTCTTCTCGCGTTCGTTCTGAACACGAACGAGCACGACGAGAGTTACTTCGCTTCGAAACTCAAAGAGCACGGCGTGGACAGTGAGCCGAAAGTGATCAATTCTGAAGTTTCCATCAAAGACCGTCAGTCCATCTATCTGGACGGTGGGGTTCAGTTCTGCTCCAGTCGCGTTCTTCTGGTCGATCTCCTTCAGAATCGCATTTCTACTGATCGCATTGCTGCAATTCTCGTCTACAGAGCTCATCAGTGAGTTATCAATCTGAAGAATAACACAGATAATGGAAGATTTCAGAACTTTGAATGCGTTCCAAGACTCGTTCATATTGCGTCTTTACCGTGAGAAGAATCCGAATGGAATGGTGAAGGCCTTCACGGACGTGCCCAATACTCTTTCCTCTCTCGGTCAATTGCAACGTCTTGTTGACCGTCTTTACGTCCGAAACGTTGAGCTCATGCCACGTTTCTCGAATATCATCGAGACGGAACTGCAGAGACACCAGCTGAGAACCGCCATTTTCTCTGTCGACGTCCCCACTCCTCTTCGCCGAATCCATCGGGCTCTCATCGATTTCATCAAAGTTTGTATCCGTGATCTGCGAACGTGCTCGACTTCTGGGAAGCAAGCCGATGAGCAGAACGAGGACATGGCGCACGTGCCATGGGCGACGACTCGGCTAGAGAAACGGCTGCGAGACCGACGAGGACACATTTCCGACAAGCAACAACGTCTTCTAAACGACGTGGCCTCGTTGAGATCAGTTCTGGAAATGTCCGAGAACATGGATGCAGCGACTGTTATTGCTGAGTTGAGACGACTCAAGAACGACCCGATTGTGCTGGAAGAACACAGCGGATGGCTCATGTCTTCCTCGTTCAATCGCATCATGGAGGATCTTCTGGCGATGGCCGGAGTCACCAACGGAAAAGGAGATCTGAAGAAGTTTGCAGTGCCTGCGAAGTGGAATGTTCTGGCAGAAGTGATCAATGAAATCAAGAATATTCCTCTGGAAAAACGAGAATATATGGATTGTCGTGAGTCTATAGAAAATTTGTAAAACAGCAAAATTATGAATTTCAGCACCGTCCGTTCTTCTAATTACAAATTCCGAACTACTGAGCCGTCAGGTCACGGATATTATCAAACACGGAATGAATAAAGTGAAATGGATGGCATGGAAGTCTCTGGAATACAAGATAACACATCCGATGCCTGACGACGAGCCCCTTTGGGATCCCGAGCACATTTCTCAACTGATTCGAAGCACATTGGTTGGAGGACAGCGGAGAAAAGGGCGGTTTTAACTTTGAATTTTCAGGACGAAGAAACGAAAAGTGAAGTGATCGCCAATGTGCAAAAGTCACAGAAGATCACTGCGAGGGCAGCCCAGAAGCGAAGAAAGCACGCGGAGGATATGCACGGATTCTCGTCGACTTCTGGAATTCAACAGAGCATCGTTTCGTACGGAATCCTGCAGTACAAACGAAGAAAATCTGGAAATGAGGTGAGAAAAGAAGGGGGTAACAAAGGGATTCATTCAACAGGACGGAACAATTATAAAAGAGAATTATTACTGAGCCTCTGGAAGTTGGGTGAAGAACTCGATCTGCATGTCGGTGTCCGATGGGAAGCCGGCCAGAGCAGTCACCAGCTTGGAGAGAGTCGAGAACTGACGCATGAAGGCGTTGCTGACCGGAGTGCCGGGGGCACGACTGGCGCCTTCAGCAGAAGAGAGAGGATCGAGAGTACCGAGTGGAACGGCTTGTACTCGTCTCTGGTCTTGTATGTCACACGGCTGGCCAACTCTGTCAGAATGGCCAATCGTAAATGAGCGGCGAAGCGAGCAGAGAGTCCTCGCAAGTGTTGTGCACGACAAATGTCTGCTTGCCGCCCATGAAGATGCTGAAACGACGCTATTAGCTTTGCTCCTTTCCGAATTTCGAATCACCTGCAGATGTACTCATCCATAGCTCTTTTCGAGTCGGCCACATACGGCACATACTTGATGACGACACAGTGGTCCGGGTTCTTGGCATCCGGGAACAGAATCTGGTTCGACTTGACCATGTCGTCGACCACAGAAGACTTGGAGATCTCCTTGGAACGGAACTGGCGAGCCTCGCTCAAGTTCTTTCCATCGTTGTTTCCTAAGTGATTGTACGAGACAATCGATTCTGGTTTCAGCCCGCTGCTCACCAGGAAGTCGACGAATGCAGACTTGAACTTGGTCTGTCCGGATTTAAAATCGTCTCCTCCGACGAAAATATTGTGACGATCGGCCAATTCGATGATTCCCGGCACAAGAGTGTTCTGTGGTGATCCGTTGATGTAGTGGGCGCCTTCTAGAATCGAGGCAACAGCGAAGATGTTCGATGGAGACACCTCCTCTTCATTCAGCCTGATAGACTCCATGATCTCATCGGCAGTCGTGTTCAGACCGGCACGAACATCAGTGTATCTTTCGGTATTGGCGGTCCAGAGAACAATGACACACTCGAGTTCATTTTCCTGTTTGAACTTGCGAATGTCAGAACGAATGTGCTCCAAATGAGTCAGCTTATTGCTCCCCGCAATCACATTATTAGCACGATCTCCTTGATTCGAAGCGATGAAGTCCGGGTAGTAAACAGACGGAAGTGGCACAATCGGCTCCATGAATGGGCGGAGCTTCTCTTGAAGCTCCGGCTCGAAGACTTTGGCACGGTTCATCGCCTCGTACAAATTCGAGTCGCTAATGTCCCATCCACCGATGATTAGATCGTTCGGCGACAAAATTGGGACAATGTCCTTGAACGGAACGTACACCTGGCTCTGGTTGTCAGAATCCCATCCCAAATGAACCGTAGCCGTCTGGGTGACAGATCCGAAGTAGTTCGCCTGGCTCTTTCCCTCCTTGGTCTTCCAAGTCATTGCGTACTGGTTGGCAAAGATGGAACCAACCGCAGTCGATCCATTGTTTCCGCCGAGTCCGACAAGCAAGAGGCCGGTCTTTCGTGGCTTCAGCACCGTCTTAAACGAGTACTCGTGCTCTTTCGGAGTCACGTGCAGTCCATCAGCACGGCTTTCGAAGTGGTTCTTGCGGTAGGTGAATCGCGATTCGAGCACACCATCTTGTACTTTCACGTTAGGCGACTCGACAATGAGCTGAAGACGTGGTTGACTCTCACAAATAGCTTCATCTGGACTCACTCTTTTCGACAATTCGTTGACTTGGGACGAGCTCATTTCGATGCAGTCACGCGCGCGGCAGTATTCTTTATTACCTGAAAGCCTCGAAAGTGAATGTGCAAATGAGCGAGCGAGAGAGAAAAAAGGAGTGCTGTCGAGCGAATCAATAGAATTATGGGGATGAGGAGTGAGCGAGAGAGAAGGAAAGGGCAAGGCGCCCTCGTGCTCCGCGCAATGAATGCACTAATGTCTTTTCGTCTGGCGGGACGACGCCAGCACAGCTCCGCCCTCTTTTCCAGAGGAGACCGCCCATTTCAGAGATCATTGTGAATTAAGAGAGTGGAGAGAGGATACTGTATAAACAAATTGCAGGAGAGTGCAACGACTGCGATCGAAGGCTCGAGTTCAAAGGACGAATGGGAAGTGAAAAAAGAAGTGGAAGAGGTGGAAGAAGACGAAGTGAAAATGATGGGAGAAATGGATGTGGGTTTGAAGGGAGAAGAGATGAATAGGATAGGAAATGATTGCAGACCGAACTGATGGTGTGCACAGCTCGTCAGTACGAAAGGTACCTTCTGCTGAAACTTCTGGAACAGAAGAAGCCGAGTGTCATTGTTCTGTACACAATGTCATTGCAGACTCTCAGGCAAATTGAAGTGAGAATGGTCCAAAGACAAGAGAAAAAGATGACTTTATTTTTTAGATTTATCGGTCAACTCATCCTCGGAGACATCTGCAGGTATACTGGCTGCAATACACAGAATCGACGGAGGAAAGCCGATACTTGGAGTCCATCAATCGAGAAACTTTGGCTTTTGAAATGCTGATTAGAGAGCAAGGAGTGAGCAGAAGGAAATTATCCAAAAATTCATTCCAAAATGTTTAGACCCTCATGATTGCTCGGGAATTCAACGTGGATAGAGAAGAAGCGCCTCGTCTGAAAACTTCGACGAGAGACGGAGGCGGGCTCGTCCGACGAAACATCGATCCCAGAGATATGGAAGAACCTGGGGAAACCGATAGACCGAAGGTACATTTTCTTTCTTCTTTCCGCAGTTTGTTCCTTTTCAGATCATTGTCGACATGCGTGAGTTCAACAGCGAACTGCCGACCGTTCTCTATACAAAGGGCTACGATGTGGTGGCGACGACAATTGAGGTCAGTTTTTCAGCCGACACCCCCTAGACACAATTGGTTTTTAATTAAAAAGTTTCTAGATCGGTGATTACATTCTCTCGCCAGACATTGCAATCGAAAGAAAGGCATTGGACGATCTGACGCAATCATTGCAAACAGGAAGGGTTTTCAAACAGATTGAGCAGGTAACCGAACCGTCGAACAGGCAGAAGGGAAATGAGGAATTCAGATGCTCGAGCACTACGATTGCACTGTCCTGCTCATCGAATCGAATAGAAAGTTCGAGACGAAAATCGTGAATGGCGGACCGTTCCAGGGAGAGCTCAGTCGGCACTGTCGAGATATCCGCGCTCTTTTCTGCTCGTTGATCCGCACGAATCAAAAAATGCGATGTGCGTGGACAATGTCTCCTTCCAATTCTGCAGAGTTCTTCTCTGAACTAAAGGTTTTACCAATAACACTTGATCTTTCCAAGTTCCAGTTTTCAGCTAAATGCACCTGAACCCGACGTGGATCGTGCCATTTCCCTGAAAGCTGATCAAGTTGAGTCGTCCAGCCAAGAAGCGACGGAATCTTCCACCAGCCAGCCGAAAAAAGGGAAGAAATGGAAGCCGAATCCGACCGTCGTGCGAACTCTCACCCAAAACTTCGGATTGAAAGTGTCAGAGGCTCACAATCTGCTGGAGAATTCCAAAGTTTGTTAGATAACTTTTTTCCAATACCCTAATTCTTTCAAGATCAAAACACTGGCGGATCTGTTCAAGCCAGCCGTCACGGCTTCTTTCCTCTCTCAATATATGCCGGCATCCACGGCGGAATTCATCAAAGAAGTGTCAGAATTTAACTTTAAAAAATAACCGGTTGCAATCAGGTCGAAGATACTCATACTGCATTCTATTTTATAAATACTTTTCACCTGTCTTGCACTTAGTTCTCCGATCCTTTCTGAAGTGGAGCATCATCCGATTCCATACTTTCTCTCCCCTTCGTTCCCGGGTCGCTGTTTAGTGTGGTTTGTGTCCGTCAGTTTATTTTATTTCCGATTTCGTAACCGTATCCATCACAAAAGCGCAAATGCATTTATAAAAGTATCTCATTACCCAAATTGTTTATTTCCGTGAAAAGTCTGCAGTTCTATGAGAGCGGCACAATTGAAAAGACGGGGTAAACTGTTGAATGATATGTGATGCGAATGATTCCGATGATAACTGAGTACTGTTTGGCCGAAACGTGATTCTCGAGAGAAACTTCAGATATCACACGTTTTCTGGGCTTCTCTGCCTCTCTCCTGCCCAGTCGAACTTTCCGTTTTTCAACAGAAAGATGAACCCGCAACGACTAGTCTCCACCTTGTTTACTCGGGGGCCGTCTTATCAGTTTCTGATTCCATCGCAGGCATTCAACAAAACAGGCAACAACAGGCAGTACGCGAAGATGGCGGCACCCGAGGAAAGCGTCGTCGCCAAGAATGAGGTGAGCTTATCCGTAGGAGTGCCCGGCCATCGATGATTTTCAGATGCAACGGTTATGGTGGAATGCATGACGACCGCCGGAGCCTCCGAATCTCATTCCACTCAACTCGCTAATGTTCTTCTGGAAGGAGACATCCGCGGACATTATTCGCACGGCCTCAACCGACTTGGTTTGAATTCAGAATCTAAATTGAACTCAACATTCAAAGTTCAGATATGTACGTGAGAGATGTGCAAAAAAATGTATGCAAAGGCGACGGAGAACCGATTATTTTGAAGGAAAGAGCAGGAACTGCTTGGGTCGACGGAAATAACCTTTTGGGACCAGTCGTCGGAACTTCTGCATGGATTTGGCAATCAAAAAAGCGAAAGATGCCGGAATCGGATGGGTCGTCGCGAAGGGATCGAACCACTACGGCATCGCCGGATGGTACGCTTTGAGAGCGATGAAGCAAGGAATGCTGGTTGGTTCCCCGTGAAGTTCGACTGATTCCACAAGAAAGTTATTTCAGGGGATGTCGATGACCAACACTTCGCCAATTTCGTATCCGACCAGAAGTGCCGTGCCTGCGTTAGGCACCAATCCGATCAGTTTGGCAGCCCCGGGAACTGGAGACGATGCGTTCGTGCTTGATATGGCATCAACAACAGTGGCCATCGGAAAGGTATTTATTAGGGGAACAAGCGAAATGTCAAACGAGTTGGGCGATACGTAGATCGCAGAAAATCAGTAAAAGCCTAGAACGACTAGAGATCGGGACACTACAGCAGGTTGAGGTGGGGGAAATCGGTGCTTAGGTGCTCTTGTCCTTCTTGAACGTCATTTGGACGACGTCAATGTGATCGTACGAAAAGAGAGCGGCACAAAGACAGAAGTAGAATTGCCAGCGACGGTGGAAGTCCGATGGCAGCTGGAATTTTGTCTCGATCTCCTTCTGAGCCTTCATCCAAGCACTGTAACCATATAAATTGTGATTGTGGTTTGTAATTGATGTGACTCACAAGAACCAATGTTCCAATGTCATCGAATAATGGTGACCCATTCTGAAGATGGCCGTCTGCTTCAAAGTGGGTGGGAGGGACTGCGAAATCGCACCGAGAGAAGGCAAGTGACCTCCTGGGAAGATGTACTTCTTGATGAAGTCGGACGACGAGCGATACTGGTCATAGTAGGCATCAGGGCAAGTGATGGCCTGAAATTGATCCAATCATCAGAACGTGGTTGGCAACGTCGTCTTGATTTTTTTAATGTCATTGGAAGATTGACGAACCTGCAACGCAGCGATTCCACCATCGGCGAGCACATCGTTGATGATCTGGAAGTATTGAGGAAGGTACTTTTCTCCAACAGCTTCGATCATTTCGATAGACAGCACACGAGTGTACTTCTCCTTGACCAGTCTGAAATTGGATGCTGAAACCATGTCTTGTGAATACAGTATACCTGTAGTCTTGGAACTTGAGCTCAATGCGTCCTTCAAGACCAGCCTCCACCACTTTCTTTTGTGCCCACTCCAATTGCTCTCTTGAGATGGTGATTCCGGTCCATTTGCATCCGGAACGTTGAACGGCACGGATAGCGGCGGCTCCCCATCCACATCCGATCTCCAGCACGTGGTCCGCAGCCGTCAGTTCCAGCTGATCGATCAGACGATCGATTTTCTTGTATTGCGCTTTCTCCAACTCAACGAAATCAACATCAGCGACTGGCTTCTCTTCTGGAATAAGAACGCGGGTGAAGTCAAATAATGTAACGATTACCATCAAAAAGAGCGCAAGAGTAGGTCATAGACTTGTCGAGGAACAGCTTGAACATGTCGTTTCCGAGATCGTAATGAGCCTGGATGTTCTTGGTGCTCTGCGAGAGAGTGTTCTCCTGGAGCCAATGCTGCATGTAGTTGACGATCTTGGCAGCCTTTCGGATGAGATCAACTGTAATCTGCGAGAGCTTCGATCCGATCGACTTCCCTCTTGGCTTGTCTCCGTATTGAGCTTTGTTAGCGGCGGACGTCTGTTTCTTGCTGCGAATCAGAAGACGGAGGAACTCTGTCGGATTTGGGGAGCAAGACCAGTCGTCGGCCATGTACGTCTCGCCGAGTCCCATCTTCGGGTCGAGCAGCATGAGCCAGCAGAAGTGGATCGGGTTGTGGATGGTGAGAAGCACTTCTTTGACGGAGCATTGTTGTTGTTCGCCTCTGCGACATTGCCAAACTCAAACTGGAAATTGACCGACGGGACCTGGAGCAGTAGTCTTTCAGAGGATTTTGCCAAAAACGTCGAGAAGAATCTGAAGAAACGTATTTTAAATAGATAACTGAAAAGTCTTTTGGGTTACCTGCGGATAGAGGGAATGCAGAAGCTATTAACAAGAAAAGTGTAGAAGAAGTTTCCGGCCGGGGGCGCACATTGGGATTTCGCCGTCTTCGTACTGCGCGCACTGACTTCCGAAGCCATCGCCTGAACAGAAAAGTTACGGTACGATCTTTATCTTTCAAAATTTGAGGAGGCGGGCGCAAAGGTTCGGTTTTAACTAGTTCCATTATGCCGACGGACAGTGGAATCTTATCGGGAGTCAGTTGAATTCGATTAGCGTATGACGGAGCGCACTTGTAACACAGAAAGAGAAAGAGAAAGTTGTTATTTTGTGATTTAGAAACACGAGGAGATTGAGTGTCCTTCAGACTCTCTTGAGTGCTTACCGTTTTGTGTCGGGATCAGTTGTGGAACACGAGAGTGACTCGAGAATAGATGTGAGGAGGAGCGGTGACAGCACGTGGAATGGGAACATACACAAAAGTAGGCGAGGTCAGTGGGAGGTCACGGACAGAAAAAGAAGAAGTGCGGACGAAGCTGTCTGCTTGCAACAAACGGATGATTAAGGAAAGTGAGAGCGATCTAGTTCTGTCTTGTTTTGAGGTGCCGTCGAACGATTTGATTAGAAACAGTTACAGTCAGCCGACGACCCGTATTCACGTGAAACTGAAACAATTTGCCAGATACGGCGAGAGAAAGAGAACAGAACAATGTTCTTCGTGTATCCGCAGCATCTAAACACGATAGCTCGAACGGATCAATGATAAAGAGAAAGTGGCGGCGAAGGAAGCGAGGATGCGCGCTGAGAAAGTGAACAAGGGAGAAACTGAATGACCCAAATCGGCCGCCGATCCGTACTTTGCATGAAAGAAGACGTTGTGATTGCTATTGAAAAAATCCAGGATACGGTGTAGCTTCACACAAACAATGTTCTGATTCAGGTCGAATTGGCCGCCCGCAAGGAGAATCCCGTGCCGCTGACGTGGGGAGTAGGAGCCGGAGGCAAAGAAACCAACGATCCGCTGCTCGTGTTGAATGGAGGAGGACTGCTTCCATTGGGAGGAACGGAGATTAGCGGTATGGCAAGAGGAGCGGGGAAACTGGATGGAAATGGTCTTTGTTGCAGGAGGCTACAAGGGTTACGGCCTGAGTTCGATGATCGAGATATTCTGCGGAGTTCTCGCTGGAGCTCATTGGGGACCGCACGTCAGAAAGTGGATGAGCACGAGCAGTGAGGCCGATTTGGTAGGTCAACAGTAGAACTGGCAAAGAGCAAACAACCAACTTCAGGGCCAATGCTTTGTGGCCATCGATCCGGAAGCTTTTGCTCCAGGATTCGCAGAGCGTCTCCAGGATTTCATGCAAACAATGAGAGATCTGCCTACGGTATGAGAACCGAAAAACAGTGATCAGTGTCGGTTCGACCAACCAGACGACTGTTCCGTGAACTGACGGAATCCCCTTAATTTGATCATTCCGATTCATTTGTTTTCAGACGGATGCTTCGAAGAAGGTGGAAGTTGCCGGAGACATGGAGAGAAGACACGAAGCACTCGTCGAGCAGCTCGGAGGAATTCCGTATCACAAGAACCAAATCGCATTTGTGGTAAGTCATTTAACAAGAGCACGCCTTCTAATGTGCCCGTTCCAGAACGAATTGGCCGGCAAGCTCGGAGTTAAGACCGTTGACCTGGTGGCATGAACCAGAATTGTTGTAAAATATAGCTCCAGTCCTATCTAGATATTAGGATAATATTCATTTCCCGTGTATACATGCTCTTGAATAAAGTCCGTTCGGCGGCCGATCTGATCGACAACGCACTCAATCACTCCTCTCAAAACGCTCACTTTCTGCTGTCTCCTCGCTCACTCACTCATTGAGTCCAGCTGATAAAACGAAGGCTTTTCTCCCGTGATAAATGGTCTCATCGGCTGCGTCTCGCATGTAGTTCACAAAAACAGCTGTCAATCGGCGCGCGCGTGTCGGCTCTTCGTCATCGCCAACCCATTCCACCCCGCCCTGTTCCCTCTCAGTACGTCTTCAGAATAACAGACTCCGGCGGTCACACCACACTTCCGAAATACTCTTCTTCCGTCTGTTTATTCGTCCACCAATTCATAAACATTTCTGACGGGCAAAAAAGAGGGACTTCCTCAAAGGATGTTTCGGCCAGAAGAGGACGGCTGCTCAAAGTATAGACCGACGATGCGGGTGAGTCTTGAGCCTAATTAGTAGTTGAGGGCCGCTCCGATCTCGTCACTTTTCCGGATTCCTGGAGATCTTTTATTTCCTCCTTTCGTTGCATTCTTTTCCGGCTGCCTGAACTCTGCAATTTCTGCTCGAAACATGGTCAAACGAGTGGTTTTTAAGATGATGGATCGCTCGTGACTCCCTTCTTGTTCTTTTCAGTTCGCTTCCCTTCTTCTCGCCTCCATCATCCTCATTTGCGAAGTTGGTCTCGCTGCTTTTGAGTACATCCACTGTCGATTAGATGGAAATCCTCTCTCGGCGGTCTTTGCAGGTTATTCCCAATCCAATTCCATCCTTTCCTAATCCATTCCATTCTAGGTATATTCACCTTCCACTCTTTCTTCACTATTTTTTACATTGTCGGAGCATTCCGGCTCGTCGAGTGTTTCATGGTCCCTTGGCTCACCCTCCAGGTACTCTCTCACATTGTCCGTCATTCTTCTGATGTTCTCTTCAAGCTCATCTTCATTACAACACTCGCTCTGTTCGTGATTGTCTGGTGGATTGCCACTCTTCTGTCTGTTTTCAACCTGGTACAGTACTATCAATCCAATCACAGTAAGTTTGTCTCCTGTCATCTCCTAATTCTCCCTCGTTCTTGTTCTTCAGATGGGCTGACCAATGCCGAATTCTTCGTGTTCACGGGAGTCGTTCTGACGGTTGTTCTCCTCGTTTCCATGAAGGTTTCGCACGTTCTCTACAAGGGATTCGTGAGTGTTCGCAACCAGAATATGGTCCGTTATCGAATTACGGAGGTGGCCGAGCGGAAAGGATCTCTACTAAAACCGAGTTACGTCTGATGATCAGAAGACGTCTTTTCCATCGCATCGTTTCGGGTATCTATAAAGATTTTCGGTTTGTTGAGCGATTAAAACACGTTGTTGAGTAGAACTGTGTCCGTGATAAATAAATGGTCAACGATCAAATGTGTCTGTTTGAACTTGTCTTTATTTTCGTGTTGTACCTATTTTGCCAACAAAACATGAAAATGACGGAATTGATGAATCCAAGAGAGAAAAATGACAAGTTAGAATGCAATTTGAAACGAGGAGAAAGGGTACATTCAAGTAAAGAGATCATGGCGGAATCGATTGAGACTTTCTTCTAGAATGAATCGCAAGTCTAGGTACTGTATTTCTTTCGCAGTTTAATGCCAGATTACCTCGATGGATTAGTTATTTTTTGGTGGAACGTCGTCAGAAGCCGTTAGCTTTTGCAGACGGGCGATGACGCACTGTTTGTCCATCCTTCAGGGTCATTTGCCAACTAGTAGCAGGTCAGTTTGCTGGCTTTGTCTTCGAATTCCAAACCAAAATTCGTCAAATTTTGACTCATTTTCAATTTATTTTCGCGCCCGCCCACCGCCGACAAACGAGTATAAGGGGGCGCAGAACAGGTTACCTGACCAGTCGTTTCCTCCGTATCAATTCGTTTTCTTCCGTATCGATCCTCGATGAATTCCCTTCTTCTCTCTTTCTTCTCCATCCTTCTTCTGGCTGTTTTCCAATCAGAATCCAGCATTCAAAGGTATCCCAGTTAATGAAATCTAGAAAGTCCGTTTCCATTCAGATCTCGTCGTGGTGCGTACATGTCTAGTTCATCGTATTCTCGTCCGAGTTACGAATGGAATCAACAGAACTACAATCCGTATCAGAATTGGAATCAGAATCAGAATCCGACTCCGTGGGAGCATAATTCATACAGCGGTAATCGGTATGGATCGAGTTATGGAAGACCTTCGAGCTACGGTCCTCCTCAGTCAGCCTACGGCCCTCCAAAGTCTTCCTACGGACGTCCCGAACCCTCTCCTTCTTCCTACTCCCCGTACTCCCGTCCCACGTCTTCATACGGACGTCCTCCCCAATTCTATCCACAGCAGCCGACTCCTCCTGTCGTTCCCCCAGTAGTTCCGCCAGTCTTTTCTCAGCCAATCGTCCCTTCAACCCCTGTAGTTCCCGTTGTTCCCTCTCCACCTGTTCCTGTCCCAGTTCCAATTGCTCCAACTGACTTTGCTCCCACGACCGTTAGTCCTCTTTTCGGTGGAGTTGAGCCAGGATCCGGCGTCCTAGCTCCAGGAGAAGTTCCTCCGCCACCGCCACCAACTGATGAGGAGATGACGAGAGTGGACCCGGCTGAGAAGGAAAATGAGGTGGGGAAATGAGTGATAAATCTAGTAAATAAGTACTTTTAGGTGAGAAAAGCTCGTGGAGGACCGCCGGCATAAACGTGGAAGCGATCGCCGAGAGTGGAACCCTTCCGCCGCAGGCAGCTGTTCCAGACATTCCGATGCCTCCAGTCTGATCACACACATCCTTTCTTTTCTGTAAATTTACGTGTCTTACGGTTATCTCTCTCTCTCTCTCTGATTTCTTACTCGTTGTGTAACAACTTCCTCTTTTGTCTCTGTACTAAACTACGAATAAAATTCAAGAAAAAAACGACGTCGTCATAGAATCGACGAGATTTTGGGGCTGAAACGTGCGAAACACAAGAGCGAAGAAGCCCTTTCTGCTCGAATAATCTGCTCTAAATCTAATCCACTTTTGACTCTCCATTATTATTTTCATTTTCATTTTTGTTTTCAGGTTTGACCGAGGTGTGAGCCCTCACGGAACTGCCCAAATATTCACATATATTCTCACTTTTTCTCATTCAATTAGCTTGCTTTGCGCACAGCATAAACCCGTAAAAAGAGAGAAGCGAGCTCGTTTTTCGCAAGAGAGACTTGCTCGACGAGCAGTGCACTCACTCGCAAATCAGATGTCTTCTCTACTTTTCTTTTCCTTTTCTGATGCTCTCAAGGGAGATGCGCCAATGAATTATTCAATTGCAACAAATTGAGCTTCTTGTTCGGAAGTTCAAGTTCATGAATGTCAGAGTAGGAAACGATCTCACAGCAGAAACTTCCCAAAGAAAGATCGTCATCCGACCTGCTCCACCATCATTCTGAAGTCAGTCAATAATAGTCTATTTTTCAATTTCCGAGTTTGCATCATCGTTTGCCTATTTCGAAAGCTCACAAGCGGTCATCGTTTTGCATCATCCGGAAAGGACGTCTGCCTCCTCTTCGGCCAACTTCCAGTCGCAGATGTTCTTTTATATCATCCTCTTTCTCTGTTTCGAACTGCTCACTCACACTTTTCATTCTTTGCTCTAGTACCCCGTTCTTTCGAAAGAAAATAACTTTTTTTTTCATTTCAGCTAATACCAATCGCATCGAATAAGCCGAAATTGAAAATGGCGAGGTGAGATCTTAATCCTAATTCGGCACGGAAAGGGGTTGCCAGAAATTTTATAATGCAATAGTGCACATGTCTCTTTTTTGACGTGGATTTGAAATTAGCACATCTAGGGTTTCCTTTGAGTTCACGTCGTGAATAAGGGAAGATTTCTACCGTATTCGAGCTTTTGTATTAGGGGCGCGTTTGACTGCAATCGCGATCTACCGCACACCACGTGAATTCAGTGCTAAATTGGAAAAGATCGTGGTCGCAGCCGGGTTTTCACGTGGGATTGCGGTAGAGCGCGATTGCAGAAAAATGCCACCATAATAACTTTATAATAAACACCCGCGTAACTTTATTAACATAGGACACAGAGACGAGAGATCAAAAGCTGATCGTTCAGATGATCTTTCGATCGTTTGATAACTTTGGTTGTGACTTCTTCTCTTCTTTTCGTTTTCGTCAGAATTCTGTGGTCGACCCTCGGCGTTTCTCTTTTTTGCGCGTCGAATTGAATCCCGTCTCTGCTCGTCTGCCACTCTCGCACTTGCCTGCTCTTTCTAGCATTTCTCGTTTTGCACGTACTTTGCGCGTCTGCTGTGCGCCCGGCCCTTGGGCTTTCGATTTTTTTAGAATACGCCAGCCATTCTTTAGCTCTTTCTCCCAAAGCGTAGCGCCCGTCTTTGGTTTTTATTAGCCATAATCTAGATTTTCAAGGGCCATTCCTCCTTAAACACCTTATGCTTTCCTCTTTCAGCATGGCCAGCACTATCAAGGAAGTGTTCGCGGAGATCGCTCCGGTTGTCGAGAACAGCCACGGAAAGGTGACTGTCGTCGGAGTCGGACAGGTAGGAATGGCGTGCGCCTACTCGATCCTCCAGCAGAACATTGCCAACGAACTGTGTCTCGTCGACGTCGTTGCCGACAAGCTGAAGGGAGAGATGATGGATCTGCAGCACGGGCTCGCGTTCACCCGCCATTGTACTGTCAAGGCCGACACAGGTTCGTTTCCCATTTCAATACCAGAACGAAGATAGTTTCTTGCAGACTACTCGATCACTGCTGGCTCCAAGCTGTGCGTCGTGACGGCAGGTGCCCGCCAACGCGAAGGAGAGACCCGTCTCTCGCTGGTCCAACGCAACGTCGAGATCTTCAAGGGAATCATCCCGCAACTCGTCAAGTACTCCCCGGATACTTGCATTCTCGTCGTCTCCAATCCGGTCGATGTGCTCACTTACGTCACCTGGAAGCTCTCTGGACTTCCGCGAGAGCGTGTCTTTGGCTCCGGAACCAATCTCGACTCGGCTCGTTTCCGTTTCTTGCTCTCTGAGAAACTGAACATTGCGCCGACCTCCTGTCACGGATGGATTATCGGAGAGCACGGAGACTCGAGTGTGGCCGTCTGGTCGGGAGTCAACGTGGCAGGAGTTACCCTCCACGACGTGAAGCCGGATATCGGAGAGAAGACAGACAACGAACACTGGGAGGCTGAAATCCACAAGAAGTGGTCGACAGTGCTTACGAGATCATCAAGCTGAAGGGATACACCTCGTGGGCCATCGGACTGTCTGTCGCTAAGATCGCCCAGGGAATCTTCAGCAACTCCCGTAATGTATTCGCTCTTTCCACGAACGTCAAGGTATTTGTAATTGATGTCCTTCTTATTGTAACCAACGTTTCCAGGGCTTCCACGGCATCAACGACGACGTCTACCTTTCCTTGCCAGTCGTCCTCGGATCTTCCGGACTCACTCACGTCGTGAAGCAGAATCTGACGGAGGCCGAAATTGCCAAACTGCACTCTTCCGCCGAGGCTCTTCTCGAGGTTCAGAACGGTATCGTAATGTGAATATTCTCATAAATAATTTGCTTCTCACCGTCCCCCAGCATAGTACTCGCCCCCATTTTATTCTCAGAATCTCGTTGAAATGAACCTTTTGATAAAGACTAATAACAACTGCTTGCATTGAAAAAGAAGGGTTTTTGTTACATTTTCAATACAGATGTGTACAGGAAACAACGTCTTCGAACGCTGAATAGCCCCATTAGTTCGTTCACAGCTGCTCGCCGCACAGAAACGCAATACGTGCTATTCGAATTACCGCCGTGTGGTACGGTATTCGTGGCGAGACTTTTTTCAAATTCTGAGTATGCGCCTTTACAAATCTTGCTTTCAAACTTTTTGCTTTCATTAATTTCTGTTTTATTTTTAATTTCAGAAGCATGCGGACGTTCCCGCTTTTAGCGGTAACGTTACTTCTGGTCGGCATTGTAGCCGCTTCGAACTTTGCCGTCGACGACATTCTTCAGACAAATCAGTACATTCTTATCAGCCAACAGGAACCATTTCTCTTTTTCGAAACGAATGTTTCTTCTGGAGAATGCCCGAGTTCGATGATGTACACTAAACCGTATGTAATTGAATAACAACTAGAATATCATCCTTTCTTTCTAGGACTGAGCCCAAGACGTATCACCGCAGACTCCATCTTTTCCGCGACCCCGACGGTTATTTCCCACCCAGTTTACTGGTTATTCAAGTCGTGCAAGTCATGATCCGAATCAGTATAATTCCTATCAGTGTTAGAAATTAAACGTTTATCATAACTCCTCATTCGGTTCAATTCAGACTGGAAATGTGTTCGGAGAGGATATACGTGATCGAGTGAATCTGGATAGAAACGTCGGCTCTTTAGTGACTTTTGCGACACTATTTGACAAAAGAAATTTAGTGAGTTTTACATGACAACAAAAGAAGACAATGAGAAGTTCAGACCAACTCGCTTTTCGACACTTTTTCCCGTTCGCTTTATCTTGAATTATCCAATTCGACGCACTCTAGTATCGAGGCGTATCAACTTTTTGTGGATCCAGGTAGGTTTTCCATCAGTTTGATGTCGTTACTGACTCTGGTTCAGAAAAGAACAGTCTGCAAACAATTTTTGTTGGTCAACATCGTGTACTTCGCGACAAAACCCGATTCGACTGGGTGGAAGATCAGTATTCCCACAATTTTTACTACAAAGAACGGTTGGAAGACGGAAAGATCAGTTTGTTCGAAGTGCCCATGTGGAATAGCGTGAAGACCCTTCTCGGTTTGAAGTCGGGAAGAAGGATCGATTGGAATGGTGGCGATGCGACTCTTCTGGGGTAAGGACTATTTACAAATGACTTTGAAAAAAAAACAAAATTCAGAGCAACGAGCGGTGCTTTGTTGACAACCATCAACAACAAATTCACAAAAAGTGTTACTCGCCTTTCTTTTGCTAATTTCGAGTCGGGATTGGAGTGTACAGGAGAAGCGCAGGACCATCCCGAGCGCAACAAATTAATTGTTCTCCGGTGAGCCTGTAATATGTTAATCTGTAAACATTTTTCAATTTAGTAATAATGATTATTGCATGGTTAGAGACGGAACCGAATACGATAAGAAAAAGTGCGAAAAAGAGCAAGAAGAGTATCTTGAAGCTAAAAAAGTCGTAAGCGGAAAAGACGAAATTCTATTCGTGAGAGATCGTTTTCAGGCCGATGAATCGGTGAATGTGGTGAAATGGTTGATCATCGCGTGCTTCGTCCTCTTCGTTCTCATCATTCTGCTGTGCTCCTACATCTTCTGGCTCCGTTCCACTTTCGTTTTCGAGGAAGACGGAATTCACGAGGTGATAGCAAAATTAATTTATCTGAGACCATTCATATTTTCAGCACGAGACTGAAGCATCTATTTTTGTCGCAAAACAACGCAGCTTTCCGTCGGCATTCCAAGAGCCGGGCCTTCTAGATGTTTCCATCGACAAATGGAACTGATTCTCATCGTCAAACACTATCTGTCTTAATCTTGTTTCTACCCCCTGAACTGTTCCATTTCCCGGTCGTCTCGTCGACTTTAGCACTTTCCATACCATGTTTCCCATTCTTTATCATCGTTCATCACTTGATTCGCTTTACTTCTTCTGTTTGTATCAGTTTCTCGTTAGATTTTGGTTGTCTCTTCTTTTTAAATCAGTTTTATAATTAAAATGCAGTTTTTGTTATCCCGAAAAATGTATAGTTTCGGTCGAATCCAGTCTTTTGTATATCATTCGTATCAGGCGATCGATCACGTTTCCAAGTGCACACGGGTCAAATGGTGGGCAGTTGCAGGCGCTTCCCCCACGTGTCTTATTCGTCTCGCACTCTCTTCCCTTCTTCTCTTTTTTCTGTCGGCGAAGCAACTGTTTCTCGATTGGCTTATTTGTTACTCCTCCTCTTTTCATCCTTTCGTCTCCTTCAATTTGCGAGAATCAGTTGCTCTCCACTCGAACTTTCCGTTTCTCGTTTACTCTATCTGTTGTTAGTCTAATGTTCACTTTAGAATAATTTCTAAAATCGGAAAGTGATCAGTAATGTTTCGCTCGTTTCGCGCCGTCCGTTTTGATCCAACTCGTCGCTCGCACGCGGTCTTCCCACATCAGATCGTCCGCCCTCTTCATTTATTCTCGCTTCCTTTCCATTGGCCGTTCATTACTGATTTCCTTCCAGTTCGAAACTTGCGGTCCAAGTACCAGTGTCCAGAATGCTGTCTCGTCTCGCCCGTGCCCAGGTAAGACTCAACTTCACAGATCACACATCGCAAGGGCAACACGTGGGACTGCAGCCAATGTGGCAGCTGTTGTTTCATCAAAACTAAACGAGAAAAATAGATAAAACTTGCGACGAAGCTGAATCAGAAAATCAAAGTCGAAGAAATCGATCCACAAGTACGTGTTTCAGCCAAAATGCAACCAGTTCGCGTCGTTCAGCACCACGAAGTCGGCTGCCGCTGTTCCGGTAAAACAACAGAATTAAGGCCAAATGAATATTTCATTTCAGACTGTCAAGCTGTGGATTGATGGACAGGCTGTTGAGTCGAAGACAACTGACTTCGTCGAGCTGACGAACCCAGCCACCAACGAGGTCATCGGACTGGTCCCGAATGCCACCCAGGCCGAGATGCAGGCCGCCGTCGACTCGGCTAAGAACGCCTTCAGCACGTGGAAGAACACTTCCCCGCTGACCCGCCAACAGTCGCTTTTCAAACTGCAGGCTCTGATCAAAAGAGACATGAAGAAGCTGGCTAAGAGCATCACTATTGAGCAGGGCAAAACCCTTCCGGATGCCGAGGGAGACGTCAGCAGAGGTCTCCAAGTTGTCGAGCACGCCTGCTCCGTCCCGTCCCTCCTGATGGGAGAGACACTTCCAAACGTCTCTCGCGACATGGACACCCACTCGTACCGAGTTCCACTCGGAGTCACCGCCGGAATCTGTCCGTTCAACTTCCCAGCCATGATTCCGTTGTGGATGTTCCCAGTTGCCCTTGCTACTGGAAACACGATGGTCATCAAGCCGTCCGAGCAAGATCCAGGAGCAGCTCAGCTTCTCGTTGAGTTGGCCAAGGAAGCCGGAGTTCCAGATGGATGCGTCAACATTATTCACGGACAACACTCCGCCGTCAACTTCATCTGCGATAACCCAGACATCAAGGCCATCTCATTCGTCGGAGGAGATGCTGCTGTAAGTTTTATGAGCGTCATTTGAATTCGAACAAATTCTTTGCAGGGAAGACACATCTACGAGCGCGGAGCCAAGAACGGAAAGCGCGTCCAGTCGAACATGGGAGCCAAGAATCACGGAGTCATTATGGCTGATGCCAACAAGGAACAGACCCTCAACCAGCTGACCGCCGCCGCCTTCGGAGCTGCTGGACAGCGTTGCATGGCTCTCACCACCGCCGTTCTCGTCGGAGACGCCCGTGCCTGGCTTCCAGAACTCGTCGAGAAGGCCAAGAACCTGAAGGTCAACGCCGGATGGAAGCCAGACACTGACATCGGACCGCTGATCTCCAAGCAGTCGAAGGCCCGCGTGCTCCGTTTGATCGAGAGTGCCAAGAAGGAGGGAGCCAACGTTGTTCTTGATGGATCCAACATCACCGTGCCAGGATTCGAGAACGGAAACTTTGTCGGACCAACTATCCTCGCCGGAGTCAAGCCAACATGACCTGCTACAGAGTGAGAGTGAAAGTAGGGAGTCTAACTGTTATGAACTTTTTTTCAGGAGGAGATCTTCGGCCCAGTGCTTGTTGTCATGGAGGCTGAGAATCTGAACGAGGCCATCGAGATCATCAACAACAACCCATACGGAAACGGAACCGCCATCTTCACCAGCAACGGAGCCACCGCCAGAAAGTAATTTCTTTACTTCTTCATCAGGCGGCCTATTCATCGTACCTATTCAGGTTCACCAACGAAGTTGACGTCGGACAGATCGGAATCAACGTGCCAATTCCAGTTCCGCTGCCAATGTTCTCGTTCACTGGATCTCGCGGATCCTTCCTCGGAGACCTAAACTTCTACGGAAAGGCTGGCGTCCAATTCTACACCCAATGGAAGACGGTCACTCAGTACTGGAATGAGTCTCTCACTGAGCTCAAGCCACAGATGTCGTTCCCACAACTGAAGTAAACGATACATTCACTTCATTCTACCACATTCATCATCACTTCGTGTTTTATTCTTGTTCATTGATTGCCATGTCTTGTTTATAATAAAGTAAGCGAGTTGAGAAAACCCGTATGCGGGATGGTAAATGGGGAAAAGTGAATCACAGTTCGGAAAGGATCGTGGCGGACGTGTTGAAGTCATAGTCGAAGCGCGGATAGTAACTGTTCGGATCGGCCAGCTGCTGATCGGATCGTTTCGACCGGGTCGAGGATGTTTCGTCTATCTCCAGATCCGATTCTTCCTCTTCTTCGCTGCTAGAAGTGGGATCCAGAGTGACGGCAATGATAATGATACCTGATTGACCGGAGTAAGAATGGAAAGTGAAAGAGGAAAGGATACCTGTGATGAGGAGGGCCACGCTGATCAGGGAGACAATCAGAACGAGTGCTACCGAAACGGACATCGACTGCTGGCCATTGCTCGTGAACGGACTCGCGACCGTCGGGGAGGGAATCGCAAAGTCCAGGATGCGGCGGGCTTCTTCGTCTGCGAACATTCGAATTGGAAACGGATGGCTCCGGATGACTCACCGTTTGCATCATACGCGACTACAATCTTCGAGTTGGCATGTGTGACGGCTAAATAGATGAAAAGGACGAAGATAAAGCAGGTTAGAAGAATGATACGGACCACGCAACGCATTCAATCATGAGCAGTCGCGATGGATCCTGAGGTCATGAAGAAGTTGGATGAGTTGTAGAGCATTAAAAGGTAAAAAGACGTTCGTACGAATTGAGGGTCGCAACGTTTGGGTTCCACGAGGCAGAACGAGACTGGATGGGACTCTCCGAGCACACAAAAGAGAGAGAGAGAGTCCATTAATTTTGCGGCGGCGCCTCGCTCTCTTTCCTTTTTTGCGAAACATTCGTCTAATGATGAATGGGCCTATGGAGAGGGTTCGAAAGAGTTGATGGAGGGAAACAAATGGAAAAGGATTCGAAAGAAACAAACTTTGTGGACGCAAAAAGATGTGTTATGATATCCATGTCAAGAAGAAAAAGCTGCATTTCCGCCGGGCAAATCGAGTTTGAGTGGTAGAAGAGAGAGAGTGAGAGCGAGACCGACAAACGAACGTTCATTTTGCGAGACGAACGTTTCGTAGTGACAGAAGAATAGGCTGAAAGACAAAGACAGAGAAGAAGAAGAAGAAGAAGAAGAAGAAGGGAAAAGGGAAGATGAAGATGGAGTGGTTCATATACCCGAAGAGTGGGTGCAATTTAATCGGGAGGCCCTGGCGGCGTCTCCTGTTTGTAACTCGATAATGGATTCGGAGGGCGCCTGCCCAAGAAGAATGAGCAGAGCAACGAGTGCTCAAGTGTTTTTTGCGCGGAAATGACGATGATGAACAAGTCGATTGAAAGGAGCAAAAGCAGAAGATGAGGAATGAAATATTCAAGATGGATGACACGAGCGGGAGCAAGAGCGAGAGCGAGAGAAAGAAGGCCGGAGGCCAAAAGGGAGGTTAATGAGATTTGAAGAACAGCACAGATTGGAGGCGCAGTCCGTTCCAGAATGTTTCGTCCAAGAAAAAAAGCGAGAATGAGTAGGGGGCGCAAGTAACCAGCAACTATGTGGAATTGGGCAAAGTAAACACGAGTGTTCTTCTCTTTTTGCTTGCTGCGCCGCGCAAAAATAGGCTGCTAGTCGACTAGACACGGACCGGCAATTGGCTAGAATGAGCTGTTGTGCAATACCATCGGGAAGGAGAAGAAAATGTAGAAGAAGAAGAAGATACGTTTTGAAATCCTTCTTCTCCTGCTGGATATACTGAGGATTACGTAGATTTTAATGAGAAGAAGCAGGAAGATGATACATAAAGAATAATGATGTCAAGAAGGGAAAACAAGAAGAAGAAGATATTCCGGGAAGAAGATTGAGCTAGTTATGGGATGGCATCTAGGAATACGGTGATGCGCAGATCTCTCTCTCTCTCTCTCTCGATCTGAAACAATTTGTAAAGATGATCAATGCGGGAGGGGAATATTAAGTTCGGAGGGGCCAAGAGTACGTCGGTACGCATCACCATTACGCCCTTCGGCTAACACGAATTACACTCACTCCCTCCATCAAGCGGACGAGACGACAAGGGCAAAAAGTTCCTCGGTCTCTTGGATCTTGAGGGCCGAGGGCGTTTCTGAACGTTTTGCCATAAAAACTTTTATTCCAGCAACAATGGGCCGGAAAAAGATGAAAACCACGGCGGCGACAATGCCGTCGTTTGCCGCCCATCTGACTCACACAAAAGATACGAGTGCCGATATTGAAAACGAAAAAGCACTTGGTCAGAGAGGGGAGGCGGATGAGTGATTGACAAACAAGCGAATTGATAATAACCGATTCGTGGGTGCCATGGATCAGTCGCTCGTCATATCGACTATTACAAAACGTGAGTAGGGCCACGGGGGGATTGCCCTCGCCGCCTCCGTCGCCGATCATCGTCGCCGGCCGACCGGTTTTCCCTCTCGCAATCCGCCTGCGCCTCGCACAGACCTCTGCATCTCTCATCGGTTCTACTATTCCAAACTTTTTGTGGGGGGAAATGATCTGTTATGAGATTATTTTACTCTGATACTTGATGTGTTTGAATGGAACGAACGAGTAGAACCAGGCGGTGTAACAGCCGGAAAGGAAGGGGCGGAAAGCATGGGGATAGAGCTTTATGGGATGCCGTAAAAGAGAGAGAGAAAGAGATTCGAGCAGTCCTTGTTTATAGCCACGTCATCCCGTGGGGATTCGCACTAATTGCAGTCCATCGCATCCGCTTCCAACGGATTACTGTATCGTCGAAACAGCTACGATGTATGTTGCACTCGTGGAAACTACGAATTTGCTGGCTTATCAGTCCAGAACTTTGCCCCAGGATGTCTTCCCGTTTTTGCTGACGTTTGACGGTGACGTCTTTAAGATGTACATCAGAACAAAATTTGTGAATAAGTGTATTTATTATGATGTGGAAGACAGAGTTCACGTAGCAAAGAAATGAGATATCTGTGATCAGCTGCAAGTGACTGGTGTTTGAAGAGGCGCAAAGTGAAGTGGCGCCTCTTGTGTTTCAGAGCTCATTACCCCAGGACCACCCGATCAACTCCTCGATGCGCCTTTTTGTTCCTTTCCGGATTCACCCAATGTATGATGTAATCATCGTTTTATCATTATGGAGATTCAGACGAAAAATGGTCACAATCGGCTTAAAAATGGGTGATAAGGAGCGAAGAAGAGGCCAGACTCCTCCTTCACTCACTATATAGTCTCCGAGTGACGGCGAACCGCTTCTTCTGACCGCTTATCAAAGTGATGAGCAGGACACTCGCCCTCGCTGCCCTTCTGGGCCTGGCCCATATCTGCCAAGCGGCCCTGATCTCTTCTCTTCCGGGTGCACCAGTCTCCAACTTCAAGCAGTATTCTGGTTATTACAATGTGGGAACCAAGAAGAACCACATGCTCCACTACTGGTTCGTCGAGTCCCAGAACAATCCGTCTACCGACCCGGTGCTTCTTTGGCTCACCGGAGGTCCTGGATGCTCCGGTCTCTCGGCTCTTTTGACCGAGTGGGGACCGTGGAATGTGAGTCATCTTTCTATTTGTCCTACGGAAGTTTTTCAGCTGTTTTTCCCACTCCATTTGATTATTAGTTGTTTTTATTTTAGGTGAACACCGACGGTACGACTCTTTCGACGAATCCATACTCGTGGAACAAGAACGCCTCGATTCTGACCCTCGAAGCGCCGGCTGGAGTCGGATTCTCCTATGCCACTGACAATGACATCTCGACCGGCGACGATCAGACCGCCAACGAGAACTGGGAGGCGCTCGTCGCCTTCTTCGGAGAATTCCCGCAGTACAAGGGCAACGACTTCTACGTTACCGGAGAGTCTTACGGTGGAATCTACGTGCCGACGCTCGTCCAGACCATCCTCGACCGTCAGACCCAATTCCACATCAACCTGAAAGGACTCGCCATCGGAAACGGATGTGTGTCCGCTAACGAGGGAACCGATTCACTCGTCAACTTCCTCTACGCTCACGGAGTTGTGGACCAGGCCAAGTGGGACCACGTGAAGGCCACTTGCTGCAACAACGACACCGATTCGTGCGCGTGGCATTCGTTCAGTGAGCTCTCTTCGTGCGGACAGTTCGTGACGGCCACTGAGGAGCAGGCATGGAACGGAGGCCTCAACCCGTACAACATGTATGCCGACTGCGTGTCCACCAGTGCTCAAAGCCGTTTCGCGATGGAGTACGAGAGAAGGTTCAGCAAGAAGTACCAGCCTTCTGAGTTGGGAGTGGTGCCGTGCCTCGACGAGAGCCCCGTCACCAACTACCTCAACCGACAGGACGTCCGCAAGGCACTCGGAATCCCGTCGTCGCTTCCCCAGTGGGAGATCTGCAAGTGAGTTGCTCGCCCGCATCCCCTCCGATTCCGGCTCTTTTCAGTAACGCCATTTCCTACGGCTACAAGAGACAGTACGGAGATATGACTTCGCGCGTTCTGAACGCCGTCAACAACAACAATCTGAAGATGATGCTCTACAACGGAGATGTTGATTTGGCGTGCAACGCTCTGATGGGACAGCGATTCACTGATAAGCTCGGGCTCGCCGTAAGGTCCTTCTGTGTTTCCATCTCAAATCCTTCGTTTTAGTTGACGAAGAAGAAAGGACACTTCTGGGTGAACAACCAGGTCGGAGGGTACGTGACTCAGTACAAGAGCGGACAAGTGTCGTTCGCGACGGTGCGCGGAGCCGGACACATGGTGCCCACGGACAAACCGGCGGTCGCCGAGCACATCATCCAATCATTCCTGTTCAACAAGGCATTCTAGACTGTATCTATGCACGATTTGTATGATCATAAACTCTAAAAAGTATCACTGTTTTCCGTTTGTTCCTACCGTACCACCCCCGTGGAAGTACTAAAAGAGGTCAATGATTCCAGCAATTTATAAGAATTTGGAAATTGAAACAATAAAAATAATAAAGAAAATAGGGTTGAGTGTTCATGTTTCAAGAATTGCAGAAAGGGGGAAGAGGATAAAAAGGATTTTGGGAGGGGGAGGAGGATGGGAAGGGGAAAAGAAGTGGCAGCTATCCGAGTAAATGAGAACGTTTTATCATTAATTTTGCGATCGGAAACTTACAGAATCACGGTAGAAACATCAAAATAAAAGAGTGAATACCGAGATAAGGTTGAAAAAAGTCTGGAAAGGGATCGATGGGATACATAAAATGAGAAGAGGTGAAGGAGAAAGAGAGAAAAATTAAATTAGTGGAGAAGGAGAGGAAGGAAGGGATGAGACGAAATGATACCAGAAATAGAGAAAAAAGAAGCTTAAATTATCGTAATAATTAGAATAAAATTGTGGGGAGAAGGGTGGGCCTTCTGAGAATTGAGATGAACTTTGGATCTCATATTGTGCTTTTCTTGATGGGGGTTTTGAAATGAGGGGAACGCGTTGCGCGTCTCAATTTGAATTGTGCTCTGCGGCTCCAAAACTGTGTCTTGCTCGCCGAGTACAATTGTTTTTCGCAGCATGAATATCATGTTAGTCGGGAATAGAACTGATGGTTGGAAGAGCGCGTGTACAGTTGAGTGAGAGAGAGAGAGTGAGTTAATTGGAGGTTGACGTAAAGGTACAGACTGGGCGGATTTGCTATAATTTTCACATAAAAGAAAGAGTGGGAACATGAAGAATACATAGCCAAATCGGAAAAAGGACAAACACAAGAATTGAGGGAAAGTAATATGGGAGGAGAGGTCGCTCCCCGAATGGAATATTCGGAGAAGCGCGAGCACGCGCGCGCGGCGGAAGACTAGAAAGGACCGAACAAAAGCGATGATGAAAAGGAGATCCGGGCAAAAGCCGGGAACCGACGGATAGCGGGGATGAGAACAACAGAATAGGGAAAGAGAAGAAGAAAAAGATTGCCACGTAGTGTCATCATCATTCAATAATTGGAGAATAATTAAATACGAAGACATTGGGAAGCCTAGTGGTGAGGAGTGTGCGGGCGACAGATGACGTTCAACCTCTAGTTCCATATCTTGAGGAACGAATCCCACGATCCCGTGCACACGGCCATTCCGTCCTCGGTGACTCCAAGACACGAGACACGGTTGTCGTGTCCAGCCAACACTCCTGCAACCAAGTAAATTCATTCCTCGAATGCTCCTTTTCCCCCCGTTCTGTTATTTTTCAGTTAACAGATCGGAGCTCCTATTTGAATGTTTCAAAAGCTCACCAGCTCGTTCTTGTCGCATAGAATCCCAAACATTGCAATTGAAGTCATCGTAACCGGCGAACAACAGGCGACCCGATTTTGAGAATGCGACACTAGTGATTCCTGAACGACGCCGATTAACACTTTCGTGAGGCACACGAACATACCGCAAATAATATTATCGTGCGAGTACATGGCAAGTTCCTGATCGGCACGGATGTCGAACAATCGGCACGTGGCGTCGTCGGATCCAGTGGCAAACGCGTTTCCAGATGGGAAGAACTGAAAAAGAAGGATTTCGTTATGGATGCTAGATTCGAAGCGAAGGCGGCGAGGAAAAACTTACGGCGACTGCGTTGATGTCGGATTCGTGTCCGGGGAATGTCTGCTTGCACATGCCGTCTCTGATATCCCACAGCTGCAAAAATGATCAATTGGCGTGGTAGAACGAAATTCGAAACGAACCTTGGCTGAAGCGTCGCAAGCTCCCGAGATGAATGTGCGGAAGTCTGGCGAGAGGGAAAGGGACATGACATCTCCAGTGTGTCCAGTGAAAGCGGTGCACTGCTGTCCGGTTTCAATATCCCACAGAGCACTAAAATGTATTCGTTTAGAGAAGGCGGCAAATTGTATGTTTTTCTTTGCATTTTTTTGCATTTTTCGGATTTTTGTTCTTTGCTTCGCGCATTCTTTGTTGCTCTAATCCACCTCAACTTTTCATTCTTTCTCAAATTGTAAGTCGGGTTGGAGTGAGAGAGAAAAGAGAAGACGAGTGCCATAGAAGTAGACCAGTTTGAAAACAAACTCATCAACATTCGACATCCGAATACTCCGCTCCGATCGCCCCTGCCCGCATCGGACGAAGGCAAGAAGGGAAGAAGCAGCGAGAAGCAAGCAGTTTCTGCGTCTCCGCGCGCTTCCGCATCAAAACCTTTTCGTTTTCTCCTTCTACAACTGCTTCTTCTTCTTCTTCTTCTTCAGCCGGCTGGTTAGCTGGGCGCCACCGCTTCTCTACTCTGATGCTCAAATTACGCAATATGGCTGTCGTCGAATGCAAGATGGACAAGGACAATGAATTTGAGGAGCCACCTTTTCGCAGAGAGAAACCTCGGATACACGTGGAAGGACATCAGCGAACAATGTTTAATTATACCTTTTCGGGAATGTAAACAGAAAACGTATCGGAAACAAATGCCGACCCACAGTAACCTGATATCAAAACAGCTAATTATCCTCAATGCACTCTTTTTTATTTACTAGGTTCTCGAGGGAGACTCCGATTTCAGGGACACTTTTTGGTCGAAAAGTAACACCTACCAAGTCATATCTCCGGAAGAGGTGACAATCTGGTTATCGTCGAGGAACCGACAGCAGGACAAGTATCCAGTGTGTCCTGGAAGTTCGCGAGACACCCGCACGTTGCCTTCACGCGTTTTCAGCGAGTAGATTGAGCAAATATTGTCGAGACCTGAAATTCGGAAGGTTCAGTTTTTAAACCTGGTTTATTGCGCATTTGTCCAAAGTCTGAGCTGTGACGTATTGAGCTTTCTCTCTTTTAATCCCGCCTCTATAGTTCTGACTTCGCGAAGAATACAATGAGTAATCCCCTCTTCTCCCGTGGAGCACGAGAAATCAACACGAGCCGCACGTCGCCATAACGACGCAAGTCAGAATCAGAAGACACTCACCTCCACAAGCGACAAACGATCCCGATGGTGCGTAGGCACAAGTCATCACCCACGACGATCTCAACGGAATGGCATGCACCTGGAACAGAGTTGTTGTGAAAAGAAACGACAAAAACGGATTTGAGTACCTTGTTTGTGGTGTATGAATCCCATACGATCAGTTTACCGTCCTGTGAAGCTGATACCAAATTGCGACTGTCAGATGCCCAGTGCATTGCATAAATCTGAAACGAACCAGAAGTTAATTGGATGATGAAAATCGAGTGAACCTTGGCTAAATGTCCCCTAAGCGTGCGTCTCGTCCTCATCTGGATACGACCGATCGGCTCCAAATTCGAAGCCACTGTGGCCAGTGTGGTGTCGTTTGCTGTTTTCCGGGCTTCCTGTAATTATATTGGATGAGAATTTAATTTTTTATAACAGTTGGATTTTTAATATTCATTTTATGCGTTTTCTAAGAAACGTCATCTGATTAAACTGATTCTGGGTGAAGTGGGTGAAGGAAGAAAACCTTCCAAATAACTTCTGAATTGGAAAGAAGATCACAGCAAAACACTCACTTCCCGAACTCTCACAAAAATGAGACGACGAAAAATTATACTGGTTGAACCGTACCAGTTTCTGAGGTTTTCTATGTACTTTTTGTATCACTGTCAGCTTCCCATGTAGGCATGTAGTTAATTTATTCCAGGTCTGACATTCCTGTTCCCTTTCATTTTCTTTCTCATTATCACCTTGCTCATTCCCAATATCCAAAGCATCCCTACTGTGCTCAACAAACACTAGCCTCACTATTTTATTCAATCCATTCAAACCAGCAGCAGCTCGCTCTGTTGCTCCCTCTCTCTCTCTCTCTTCCTTTCTTGGCCTATTCGTCCGGCTCAACCCTTCCAGAGCAAGAGCTCCAGAGAAGCGAGTGACAGAGAAAGCTCCACCCAATTCGCTCAAACTCACACTTTTGGAGGCTTCGGCCTGCGCCTCGCGCAACATTTCGTGCGCACACCCATGTGCGTGTAGTGAGTGCCTGCGTCTCTCGGATAAGAGTGGCTTCTTCTATTGCTCTCTCGTGCTCTGCCCAGCTCGATCGAAGAGCCACCACCAATTCTAGTGAGCGCGTTGACAACGACGGCGCACAGAGCCCTCAAGGGAAAATGGCGCACTAGGCCTTGTTGTCTGCGCCTCTCCGACTACTAGGCTTGCACGGAGAAGAGCAGTAGCCCCTCTTTCTCTCGCCCGGCCAGTCGGCAGCTCGCCAGAAATTGAGAGCATTCGGCGGGCCCGTGAAGCGAAGCGACCAGATAGCATCCGTCTGCCCGAGACGCCGACAATCTCACATTAGGCAGCCAATCTATTCTCCTCGCCCGCTTCTGCCCAGCTTCTCGTCCGTCTCCACTTCCCTCGGTAGTGTCCCCACCAACCGGGGCGACCCCATCGGCCAATGGCTCGCTGCCGCTGACTGCGTGGAGCAACAACTTGTGCTAGGCCATCACCAGTCTCCTGCGAATCGATATTTTGCAGCAGGGGAAGAAAGCGACTGTGTTGGGACGACGTCGCGCGGGAAGAAGCAGAAGAGACGACCGTGTTTTATACATCCAGTGCAGGAGCACGTCGTCCGTGTCCCCCTCATCTCTCGTCCACCAAGTACGGGGTAACAACAACGGCGCACATCGACGGCAACGGCGGCGACCGCTCCGCTTCTTTACTTATTACCAACAATTTGTAGATGTATGCGTATATGTATAAATATAAAGATGTATGTGTATCATTTTTCAACGGGTTCCGAATCACACCTCAAGAACTGGCATAGGATGTTTCCGTTCACTCAATTTGTTTCGAACTAGAAGAACTGAACGACAACTGAACTCACCCGAATCTGGGACTTTAGCTGCTCAGCCTCCTGTCGAAGTTGGTCAAGTTCGCTCATCTTGACGGTGGCGTGTGCTCCGGATGGTACAGGTGGTAGTGTCGACGGATGCGGCTGCGGCTACTGCTGCTCCTGGTCGGTGTTCGCGTTTTGGCGGCAGAGCTGCTCTCTTCGTCGTCTTCGTCGCGTGTTCGTGCACTTGACAACTGCCCTGAATGAATTAATTACACCAAAAATCCGAAGATGTTTTTGATTTGCGGTAGAATTAAGTGGCGAAGCGTAAATGAGCAAAAAGGACGGGTGGGACGAGCGGAAGAGAAGAAGGGAACGAGACAATCGGGAAAGAGAGGGAGAGGGCGCCGGAACACAATGAGCGACCGACCAGCCGCTGGCTTGCGGGTGTCAAATTCTGAGAGGGACCGTCTCGGTTCACGACCATTACGATCGAGAAGAAAAAAACAGCTGTTAATACGATTTGATTCAGAATTCGATCTCGCTTGAATTTTCTAATTGAAAACTAAAAACAAGCTTAAGAAATGTTTGAAGAAAGCAAATCACCTGTTTCTCTCGAAAATTCATCTGTAGGATTTAAATTTTTTACCGGGAAAAGTTTTGATAAGCACACGCCGAAGTGGAGCTAATCATCTCTTAGAACGTGACGCCAACATTTTCGCTATAAATTTTTTACCGCTGTCCACTCTGCAGAGATGGTGCTAACCAAATTAATGCACATAAATCTGGAAGGAAGTCTGGAAAGCGATATCAGCGAAAAAAAAGAAGAATCGATGCCTCGATCGATTCGTATGCGGCGGCCGTGACGGAGGCGCGGAACATGGTACGAGAGAGAGGCAAACCTGGAGACGCAGAGAAAACTAAGCGGGAGTGGGGGACGGCGGGAATGTGAAAGTGTTGGTCAGACAAAACAATGACAAAAAGAGACGAAACTGAATACCATGTGTGGAGGGAATAAGAGTAGGGAGACGAGGACAGAAAGAGATGACGACGAGACGCAGAGAAAGAGAATGCTTCCCGTGTTCAAACACCTCGAGAGCTTCTCTGAACAGTAGGTACGCCGCAACGTGACAAAAGCCAATATATCTGCGGGGAAGGCGCGGCTCTGCCCGGTTACCACTGATTCTAATAAAGAAGCCCGTGGAGCAAAGAGTTTCGCTTTTTTCGTCTTTCCTAAATCAGACGATGCACCGGGCAGAAAGCATCGAATAATGACTCAAATATTCGTTCGGACATTTGGCCTGTGACTCCCATAAATGCCTACATTTTCTAATTAACGATTCGGTTAACGCGCGTTTCGGGGAGCAAACAGAAGCAGGCTTGGAATAATCGAGGGGAGCAGTAAGAAACAATGAGACGAGCAATAAGCTTTCGATTGAAGAAATTTTAGATGAACGATAGGTGAACTTGGTTTTCTGAACGTTGAAGAGGGAGAAAGAAAGAGAAAGCACAGGAGCAAAGAAGCGCTCTAGACAGCCATCCAAGATTGATGGTTTCTGTGACGTGGCAGGCAGACGACAGCTCAATGGCTGCAATTGGTAGAGTGGTTTGATGGCACAGGAAATGAAAGGGGCGAGTGGGTTTCGAAACGTTCTGCTTGTCTTGTTCTGCACGAAAAGGAAAAATAAGCGGATTGTGTCAGGCAATCAGTCGATTCGACGAAGCAGTCAGAGAGGCAGACACACTACACGCATATGCAGATATTGACGACGAAGAATACGAAGACCATGAAGAAGAAGACGACGACGTAGAAGAAGAAGAAGAACATTGAGCGTGAGCGTGTGTGTGTGTGTGCGTGTGTGTGCCAGTGAGCTGCCCCGAGATACACCAACAGAGGCCCTCTGCGCCCTCTCCTTCGGCGCACTATTCCCGCGCCGCTTTCGCAGACGTGAAGAGCAATCGGCAGAGACGGGCGAAGAGAAGGAGAGCTCCTGCTCTGCGTGTCTGTCCACTCCCGCTTCTCTGCGTTTTTCCAAAACCCCTATTGCGCACTATTTCAGGGCGGTCGAGGGGCCGTTGAGCGAGCGAAAGAGGCAGAGTGAAAGAGGGAGTGCGGGGCAGCGGAGGGGCGCGGATCGATACACACTCTACATTCAAACGACGCTCACCAGCGACAAAAAGCAAGAGGCACAGACACTGCCAACGGGCAAAACGGAGCGAGTGAGCGGCCGCAGCGCGACCGCTTCGCAGACGATGCACACGCCGAGAGGGGAGGGCGCACACAGGCATAAACATGCTGCATGCGAGAGAGGAGACGGCTAAGCACTGAATTGTCAAAAGAAAGCCTCGTCTCCTTTTGCCTGAAGGAGCCGCAGCAGCAGGAGCAGGAGCAGTACTACCCATCTGTCTGGGTCTCCGCGGCAGTGGACGAAGGGCTCCGCGGAGCTCGCATTGCCACGCATGCGTGCTCGGATCGGGGGCACCTTCCCGAATCTCATGTCCGGTCTTTAAACTGATAACCGCGTGTTCTCACACCTTTTCTGTTTGCTCACAGTAGCCACAGTCACTCTAACCACGAAAACAATGATAACGAGAAAAGAGAAACGGCACGAGCGCAGCCTTCTTTGTTTGTCACTATTTTTGTGGAGCTTTCGGTCTAATTCAAGAGACACTGAGCGACTAGTTTACTACACAAATTACCCAAATTTAGTCGGTGAAGAAGACAGTGTTGCGTTTTGGCGATATTTGGATGAGAGCGAGAAACTTCGCGCGTGTCACTCACGGCAGGGGTTGTTGAATAGACGAGGACGGAGGACGGTGGAAATGAGCGAATATTCAGGTCTTGCGAGGATTATGATTAGCTTGAATTCAACTAACATATTCTATGATGATGGAAAAGACGCGTGCGCGGAAGAAAGGAGGTAAACAAACGAAAGGATTGCAGGTCAAAAATAGTTCAAACACTTGGAATTGGTTTTTCGGAAATAGTGGCCAGACAGCTACGATTAAGGTTTTCAGACAAGACAGAATACAAATGGATTACGACTACATTTCAGTGTCTATTCTGACCAGAGTAGAATGCCCTTTTAGGTTTCTCAAGATCAGAAATTCCGGGACATTCGGAAGGAAATTGACGTGTCCGACAATCACATCTCACAAAATTATCAGTTCGCACAACAATTTTAGACCGTCCTCCACATTTTATGGCTCTGCGTGGCTCTAATTCGATTAGAGCCCGACTACTAGGCGACCCGTCAATAACAATCAGTCGTCACAGTCTTCTAGAAGCATCAGATTCATATTTACAGACTCGTCCAGTTATTCTCGGAAAGGAACGGACACAATTACTGTGAACATGTCAGAAAATATTGATGAAATGATATTGGAATCGAAACTACAGAATCTGGTAAAACTACAAAATGAAATGGGAAAGTATTTTGGGAAATAATTGTCTAGATGAAGCGATCGGAGAAGGGCAAGACGCTCCGTCTTTCGCGCTTCTCATTTTCGACGAAATGAGTAAGCGAAGCGAAGGAAAAGAGCAAGAAGAGGAAGGCGTTTCAAGCGAAATGATGAATCCATGGGAGACGACAGCGACATATTGGGTAACTGGAGTGGCGGGTGCCAACTCGCGGATCTCGATCAACTCTCGCGTCATCAATCTCGCTCTTGCGACAAGAACATTTCGCTGCCGGACACCCGGCGCTCATGAATAATAAACCGTCTCACTACATTATTTTCTGTGCTCTCGTCGGCCCCCGAGCAGCGCTCAAATCGAATTTGTCTCACGTTTCTCCGACGGGAGCTCTCGCGCCGGGCGCGCCAAGTTTTCAGATGTCCTCTGAGCCCGAGCGGCGCAATTCATCAGAGCATTGGGAGGGAAGAGGCGCCTGGCAGATGATGACGTCGATAAACATTTCGATTTCGACATTGGAAGAGCGGGAGCGAAAAAAAACAAAAATCGCTTGCAGGACGATGGGCAAGACGAATCGTTTGTTTTATAACGAAACTCGGGCCGGGCGGGGACACTTTTATTGCGCTATCTATCGCTGGCTCGGCGGCGGATATGAGTCAGGGAGCCTTCTAATTGCTACCAGAGCAGCCGTCGAGTCCCATTATTTTGGATTGACCACTGGTTGGACTCGCAGCAGGTGATTTTCAAAGGCCATAATAATCTTTCTCGAAAAGTGAGTCTTCTGCAGAATCAGCCAAGTAGCTGACACATCCCAAATTAGTCTTCGCTCCCTTCTAATCATCACATGTTATAATTGTTCTGATTACTCGAGTTATTCATTAGCCGACGTAGGTGTGAGCAGTCCGTCGGCGGCTATTTCGGGTCTCGGACAACTCCTCGGAGGCCAATATGCGGAACGCGGAAATGGGATGAATAGGAGAAGAAGAAGGAGAAGAAGGAGAAGGAGAAGAGCCGACGAATGATAAACGAGAACAGAGTTTCGAGCCGAAGAGAGCAGAAGAAGAAGAAGAGAAAATGTGGTGGAAACTACATCCGAATGTGATTCTCAAGCGCTCTCAGCCCCGTTTTGTACGCAGTAGCACGGTACAAAAAAGAGAAGGGAGATTATGTGAGTCACGAGGCTATCAGAGCAGGAAAACAACTTGCGAGAGAGAGAGAAAAAGAGGATCGATGCTTTTCTGCTCCTGATCCAAACGAGGCAATTATAAGCTTGAGCACTCTTATTCCCCTTTATTATTCATTGGCCATAAATGGCATCAACTCCTGTTTTTTATGGAAATTTTGAGAGATGACTCAATTTCATTGTTTCTATCGACTTTTCATTCAATTTTGTGGTCTGCTCACAATGGTCTGCCGAAAAAGAGAGAGAGAGAGAGATTTGGATGACCCAAAAAGATTGAAAATGTGAAAGGATGTATTCATGGCATCAAAACCCCTTTAATATGGGATCAAGAAGATCTGAGGAAACAAAAAGAGCGATGATTACCGTAGCCGACGCGCCGTTTTATTGTGCGTTATACGAATGAGGATTAGTCGCGTTCGTCGTCAAAAGTTCAATGGGGCGCCGAATGAAGCGACGTCCGAAAGGGGGGGGGAAGTCTCGAGTGCACTCTGAGCGACTCGCCAAATCGAGCAGTACACGGTCATCGAACGGATGGATGACGGCAATGACAGATGACAAGAGAACAATTTGGGAGGGCCATCAGCGTCAGCAGGTGGATTTGGAGGACACGGCTCCTTCGGACGACACGCCACGCTTCATCGACTAATCCCGATCGGGCGTTGGGGGAAACGGTAATGGGGAGGGGGAAGAGAAGGGAATTAATGAAAGAAAGGAAGACAGGAGGGTGTGATAGATTAATCAAAACAATCAGAAATTGAAGGAAGGAAAGCTCCACCTAATTAGATGGAGGGATTGTGGAGCAAGAAAGCACGAGCACACTCAGCAATCATTACGAAACCGAAGCGAAAGGGGGACTTCTTCCAGCCCCGTTCCCCCTCTTTTTCAGACGGTCCAATGACATCACCCTTAACCATTCAATAGAATACCAGGATGAGAATGCTGTCTCTACGAATGCCCTTTGCTCCAACTACGTTTTCGTGCCGCCAAACGCCTTACGTGAGTACTTACCTGCCAACGCAAACAAAAAGAAGGAAAAAACTCGGCTCCGGTGGCCCTAATAGAATAAAGGATGAGGTGCCACGGAGACGTTGACGCACCTTGATGGCGTCAGAATAGACACAGATTGCATTACACATTTGATTCGGAAGGCTCGTCGATCCGAGATAAGCTAAGGGGGGACGAAAGCTGTCTTCTATTGTGACAGGAATGGGATGAATAGACTCGTGATTAGTTATTACGCTGACTATGAGATTATCACTTTCAAGTCACTGTGATAGTGCTGCTCCCGCCTACACTTTCATATACTCACGGTCCCTCGCTTCCTGTGATCCTTGCGATGCTGCTCGTTTCGAGAGTCGAATGGAAAGGAACTGATGCTAAGAAATGGGGAGAAGAGGAGGGCGGCTGGCGGCTAATCAGCCAGCTGAAGAGGCGGAGAAATGGCACGCAGCAGGTAGACTTCTATTGTCAGCCCGCGGCTTCAGTAGCCATGGAGACACTCGGACATATCAGGCGACGGGCTCCGAGCAGACGAATTTTACGAAAATGAAGGCGAAAGCGAAAACAACTGGCGACGGCCGAGCCGCTTCTCCTGGCATTCCCCCGTAATTATTAGTCGAGTGAGTGGATGAGGGACAACGAATTCGAAGAGAGCATCAGTTAAAACAAAAAATTCAGAGAAACAGGCGGATTCATTCTAACGAATTCATCTAGAAGGCACTTCTCACTTTCGAAACGTCCATCGTGACCTGCGTGGCGAGGAAAGTGGTCACTTCTGCGATGGGCGGCCTCTTCTTGTCATCCGTCACGAACATCTTTGTAGCGACGAATTGCTGAAGAGTCGCCGGCGTTTCCGGGTTGAATCGGACGAATAACTCTTTTTTGATCTGCAAGAGGAGAGGGTTCATCGACTGAGAATGTTGCCGATTGTTCACCAGATCTTTTATATGGCCGCTCTTCAGCCGAGTGTTCTTCGGAACCGCCTTCTCCTGGTGCGGCTGCGCTGTCGTGTACGGCTCTTCGCCGTTTTCGAAGATTTCCCAGATGACCAGTCCGAATGTGTACACGTCCGTTTTCGTCGAATACACAAAGTTATTGAGGGTCTCCGGAGCCAGGTACCGAACTGGCATCTTTGTCATTTTTCGCATTTTGTACGCACTTGCATGCTTCGCCAAACCGAAGTCGGCGATTTTTGGCTAAAAATGGAATGTACTCGAGGAAAGGATCAGAGATCACCGTTTTGTCGTGAGAAACGAGTATGTTTCTGGTCGCCAAGTCTCGATGAATGAGTCCCTTGAAGTGAATATACTCGAGGCCGCACGAAGATCCGAGACAGAAACGCAGCTTCTCGTCCACACTCGCCTTCTGTTTTTGCAAATAACTTTTCAGAGATCCGTCTGAAATCGCGTGTTTATTATCTTTTCTGCGGAAAGACAACGTACGTTCACAGAATTCGGAGACCAGGAGAATGGGCTTTTTGAGAAGGAAAACTCCGCGGAACGAAAGGACGTTCTTGTGCTTCAGTTGGAGTTGAAGGCGTGCCTCGTGCATTATCTCCCGCAGAGCCGTCCGCGAGTCGTCGTTCTTCATCTGAATTCTCCCTCTTTCGCTCCATTTCTCCTCCGTTCTCACCGTTTTGACTGCCACGTCACTCCAAGTGTAGAACTCTTTCCGCTCCAAACAGAACGGTTCCTTCCATTTTCCTAGGAACACTTCTCCGTACGCTCCTTCTCCCAACTTCCGAGTGCTCACGTCGATCGTCTGCCGTCTCAGCTCCCATTCTTGCAACGGAACCGCACGAATCAGAACCACGTTAGTCTGCAATTCATTTTTTCCGTTTCCTCCTCTCATCAGAAACTGTCCTACATTTCGGCAGCTGATCGGATTTGCCTTGTAATAAGTGATCAGCTCGTCGATGCTCGCGAATCTGTGCCGTCGTTCCACGAAGAACGAGGTCCATTTGCCGTCCGTCTCCTCCACACAAACATGCATTTCCACGTTTTGCTTCTGTTTCACCGGACTCAAATCACCGTAGAAACTTCTGGACGGGTCGATCTTCGGAGCTGAATTCAGACAAATCTGAAAAGATCGGAACACTCTCGAACGTACTGATATTAACGGAGAGCACAAGAATGACACGTGTCGCTTTCGCGGATTTTGGCGCCGACGGGTCGTCCGTTTTGGCCTTTTTGTCCAGCTGATGGGACAGTCGTAGGATGTAGTCTCCTCGGTTCTTGAGCAGAATGAGTTGTAGCTCTTGGAGCACGAATCCGTGGAAAAACGGGTACTTCAGAAGGTTCACCTCGATCATTTCGTTCGTGATTCTGTTCTTTCTCATTAGTTTCTCTCGCATCTCCCCCTTGTTACCTTTCCACCAGTTTGTGCTTGCTCTTCGGAACGGGCTCGTCCTCCCGGAGACTGAGAATCACAGATCTCTGCGATGCTCCGTCATCTGCCATTTTCTCTGTTTTTTCTTCTGTTTTATCTTCGCAGTGCTGAATTATTCCCACTTTTCGATGCTAACAAAAATCGGTTACCTTTGAAGGAACGTTTTTTGCCATTCTGACTTTGTAAAAAATAAAGAAATGTCTTTTCTCCCCTCGTTTTCCACGCAACGATTTCACTCTTTCAGCGCAACTAATTATGATTTTTGAAAACGTTTGGTCTACTTCACTGCATCGTTTATTTTTTTAAATCAATAGCATTACATAAACCGACTTTCTTGGACAATACTAAAGGTCCGAAGAATCAAAATTGAACGAAAACTAGGAACATCGGGCAGAATCAGTGATGAGCGGGAGCAGCAGTGACGGCCTTGGCGGCTTTTCTCTCGGCACGGGCAATCTCGGCCTAAAAAAGATTCATAGATTTGACGTTTGGCAGTTATTTTGTAACCTTTCTGTTCTGGTTCCACTTGAACAAGAAGTAAATTCCAACGTAGCTGGCGAGAGCGGCGCGGCAGATGTTAGCTCTTCCGAACTGCTCGTGCGGGTTGAGGTAGACTCTCTTGGTTTGGACAATCGATTGCCAGATTCCACGGACAGTATCAGCCATCTATAACAGTGAAATGAACAAAAATGAAAGAGAGAGAATAAAATAGATGAATTATTACGGTATGTCAACCGATTGAGAGAATGAAATGATTATGAGCAGTTGAAAAATATTCATTTTTAAAGTATTGCAAATTTTAAAGTGTAGTATAAAAGTCATCTGCACTAGTATTGGGTATAAAGGTTTTCGAAACTAGAAATATTAGGTAATTACATTAGACCAAAATCAAAGATATTAGATATCGAGTGAGGGATAAATCAGCATGCGACAAGAATTGTCAAAACCAGGGTCACAGACAAAAATGATATTGTGATACTTGACGGATGGAATGACTCAGCGGGGGCATAGGGAATCATGAAGGTGAGTTCAAATTTGAGAAAATGCGGGAGTACCCATTTGCTAATCGTTGAGAGGAAATCCATCACAATAAAGTCATCTCTCTGGTTAGCGTTGTTTAATAAATTAGGTAGACTGTTGGATGAGTGTGGCAACATCGTGACAGTCGACGATTCCCGAGTATTTGATTTGATCAGAAAATTCTTTAATATCATTGTCGCTGATCACATTCAAAGCTCTTCTCCAATAGTTTAGCGGCGCGCTCGATGGCATCTTCAAGCTCGTGAACTTTGTCTCTTTAGCCCACTCCACAAGTTTCTGCCTATTCTTTACGCTTACAAAGAAGAGAGTAAGCATCATATCTCTCACAAACTGCAAATATTGTAGTTTTAATTGCACAGTGACAACAAAAATCACCACGTTGTTGTCCAATAGCTGCCTTTTTAGATTGTCCAAATTGAGAGCACGGACCAAAAATTCGAATTGTTCTGGATGGAGGCTTGCAATCTTAGAGAAGGCCACTGGCAATACGTCGAGGACAATCTGCAAAAATATGGTTCCTGTACGAAAACGAAAAACTTTATCAAGTACCTCTCCATACAGTTTCTTGCTCACAAGACTGCCGGCCGACATGAGTGCGAGAACAATTGTGGCCTGTTCTTTTGGTCCAACAACTTTCAGAGTTCTTGTAATCACAGCTCTTCCTTTGGACATCTGCATAAGCTTCGAAAGATCGTCTCCCATCAGTTCGTTAATTATAAGAGATGTTCGCTTCTCCACTTCTTGATCTTTTTGTTCACTGAAAAAAAGAAAACAATGAGTCAATTTTTCATTATTCGATTTACCTGGATAGATCTCTGAATTGTGATTTCTCCGAAAGATTAGGCTTTCTCAGCTCATCTATTTCAATAAGCAGAGTCAGAGCGCCTTCCAGGCGAAGCAGCATCGTTCGCAACTTCTTAGCGACAGCGATCTTTCTCTCTTCGTCTGACATCTTCTTGGCTTGTTTTTGATCCACACTGTCGACCTGTCGTTTCATATCGAGAACATGACGTGGATTGTGAGTAGAAGACTTTGACGGCAATCCCAAACTTGTTGCGAACTTATCCGAAAGTGTTTGGCGCGGCTTCCTTTCTTCGCCACGATCAATTCGTTCCTGACGTTCCCTCTGACGCTCCTTATCACGCTCACGAGCTCTTTCCTTCTGCTTCTCACGATAATTCATTCTTCTGATGCGCTCGAGATAGTCTTTCTGAGATTCGAATTCTTGCACTTTGGGTTGTTCCGATTTTGGCTCGGCAGTCCATCCATTAGCTATTTGCTTCTCTCTCCACGTCTGAAATGCGAATGTCAAGTTCCGTCAGCAGAATAGCGAATAGCTTACCACATAGTAATAGTCATCGAGGAACGGATCACCGGAACCTTTGCATTGCACAAATTGGATTCTGATGAGCCACTCTCGTTCTTTGTAAGACATGTAACCAGCGAACGAATCCAACGCGAGATCATAAATAGTTCTAGTGGACGGCATTCCCGAATGCTTGCGTTGAATTCTGTTCCCAGGACTGTGCTGTCCTTGTTGAAGTCCGAACTGTGGTCCATTTGGTCGCACATTCGGAGGAATAGAAGATCGCACAATCATTGCGTGAACCAGCTGAGGGTTACGGTAATGATTAAGAAGCTGGAACAGGAACGGTGGCGGTGGAGGAACACCAATTGGAAGCTGAACGTTGTGGATGATAGCGTTGAGCCACGCGGGAATCAACGGAAGGAACTGAGGATTCAGAGGTGGAAGCTTTGGCAGCATGTTCGGCGGAGGCATCATTGGTCCCAATTGAGGAGGGAATCCCATTGGTGGATTCATTGGCATACCAGCACCTATCGGTAGAACCATAGGAGACATAGTTCTAGACGGCATGTTCGAATGGAATACAGGCGGCGGGTGGGAGAATCTCTCTTGGCCCGGAGAAGGTTCTTGTGCTTGTGCCAGTTGTGGTCGTCGAGGCTTCTGGGCAGCTGCCGATTGCGATTCTTGCACCATTTTCCTTTCTAGCTCTTCGAGTGACAGAGCACTGGCAGGTAAAGTTGGATGAAGAGGAAGACCACCAGATGCCTGCGTCTCTGTTATTTCTATTTCTCTCGACTGAAACTGGGAGGGAAGCATTGATTGCGGCTCTACAGATGTTATGATGTTTAAGCCTTTGAAACTTTCTGCCAATACATCCGCCGTGTCACGTGTCTGCATTCGTTCGATGTCTTCCAACTGAAATGCAATAAATTAGTTTTCAGAAGCCATCTGTTTTGCTACCGTTAATGCAGAACTCGGCATTGCCGGAATTTGCGACGACTTTGGCTCTGATTTAACAGGAGCAGGAGTGGACGCAGCTGGCCTGAGTGATCTGAGATCGATATCATACGATGGAGCAACGGGCGTTGAGGTTAATCCAAAATCAGAACCCCATATGTTGAAGTTGTCCGTGCCGTTACCCCATATCGACTTTTTCTGAAATTTTTGTTTATTCCCAGTTCATGGATAGATTTCAAAACCAAGAACGGCGACTCTGCTTCAAAACTTGACTTGAAAGCGTTTCCAAACATCGAATACGGGATCGGGATTGTAGACGCGTTCGGAGCCACGGGCTCGGATGATGACGGATTTTGCCAAACAGGGTCATCCAGCCGTAAGCGTTGAGTCTACAAAAAACAACTATTTTCATGTAAACAAAGGCTCAGCACACCTGTGTCGCGTAGTTTTCGAGTTCTGCATTTTCTCCAATGTTATCCAAACCTCCGCCAAACGTTTCATCGTTTGCCGCGTCGAATTCATCGTCAAAAATGTTGTGCTCCTCGTCACTGTCGATCAAAGACTCCGGAAACTCTCCTAAACCAGAACGTGAATAAAATACACGACAGAAACCGATTCTCACCGAACATCAGCTCTCCTTCGATCTCATCGAGAGTTTTGCCATACTTTCTGACTTCATCCATACCCTAACTGCTAGAGTTAGTGACTGCGTTGAAGTCAAAACCTGAAATAATCCATTTTTGTTGTCATGGAGACAGTGCGGATAAGAACAGAGAAAAATTCACAAATCCTAAGCAATGAGTGCAAACGTTTTAGAGTTCAATGCGCTGAAATAGAGTTTACGAGCCTTACAATACAGAGAACTTCGGAATTTCTGACAATTTTCACCGGAAACGATTAAAAACGCATTGATTAATCAGAAAACCGGCGCCCGCCCGTTGCCTCGTATTTCGCTGCTGAATAGTGTCTTCGTGGCGAGACCTACCGAGGGTGGCCACGCCGTGCGCCTTTAAGCATTTAGAGAGTGTGTCTTTTAAGGGGTGCGCAGGCATGAGAAAGCGCGGTGATTTAAAAAAGAATTTGTCCAATTTACGTCACAATTATCTTAAAATTGTTCATTCAGCCGAATAATGTTTGAAAAAGTCGATATAGAAAAATCGATATAAAAAAATCGATTTATTGTAGTGCAGAGCATAAATTCAAGTGTTTATAATCATCATCAGAGCGAATTGTTTATCGTGTAGTAGTGATGGGCGCGTAAACTTCCAATGTTCCCTTTTTGGCCGCTTCGAAATACAATTCGCGGTCACAAATCATCATGTTTTCCCGTTTTCCCTCCACGAAATCATTGAACTCTTGCACCAAGAAAGCAGCAAATGGGGCCGATTGGAGGAAAGCGTCCGACCGAGAAGCATTGTCCCACACGCACTGTGACAATAGTTGGGACTCGGACGGAGCAGGGTGCTGCGAAGTGAATTCGTACAGTTTCTTGTACTCGTCTATCTTCTTATTGCACTTCTCGACCTGTTCTGCCGACATCGCAGGGAACCACTCCCTCGTTCGAACGATTCTGTTCTTCTTCACGTCATCGTAGATTTTACGCATCTCTGAAGCTCATAAGAGGTTTTCAAACACAAGGATAAGCTTACTGTGTCCCAGAAATACCGTCTGATTGAAAGCAAACGGAGCCAAACCGAGTTCCTTCTGTTGTTCTTCCAAGAGCTTCAGTCGTTCTTCCAACTTCGGATACCACTTGGAATGGTGATTAAGAATGTTCCAGACAGTCTCCAGAAGTGCCCCGGAGAAGCGGGAAGGGATGTCAAGGCGCGGAATCGGTTTGTTCTGAAGTCCTCTGACGAGCATCGAAGCACTCTCCGTGTAGTTGTGATCATGATATCCGCCTTCCAGAACGGCCACAGTCCGTCCTGGGCACAGTTCGCAAAGAAGACGAGCCATATGAGCGTAACTGAAAGGGAACCACTGAAATGTGCCGAGGAAGTCCCTTCGGTCTACCCGTGAGCCTTCACTCCCTGTCCGAATTCCATCATTGTATCGTAGTAACCGGCGTCGAAACCAGCCGAAATGAGGATCAACTCAGGCTGGTATTGTTTGAGCATTGGAAGGAGAACGTGGTGGAAAACGGAAACAAAGTCTCCTTCCGTGTTCATTGTTCCGTTGAGTGGCACGAACAACGTGTTGGCTGAAATAGAAGTCGTTACGACTGTTCTTCTTCTTCTCTCAACTCACGGTCATTGGTCGCGTAGTCGTATTCAGTGCTGAACGGCCAGAAAGATCCAAAGTGGTACGCATGGAAAGAGGTGAAATGGATGCGATCCTCGTCTTTCACAGACATGTATGTTCCGTTTCCAGCATGATAATCAAAATCCACGATGGCAATTTTCTTGACTCCCAGTTTCTCGATTGCGTACTTTGCCGCAATGGCCACATTATTGAAGATACAGTATCCCTGCGGAACCGTTCCGTACGAATGATGGCCTGGCGGACGGACGATGGCGAATCCGTTGTGAACCTTCCCCTCGAGGGATGCTTTCACCAGCTCGATGCATCCTCCGATGGCCACTCGGGCGGCTTCGTTCGTGCTCTCACAGGTCCACAGAATCTCCTTATCCTTACAGTATTCTTCGCACTTTTCGTTGGAGTTCAGTGCCGCGATCTCGTCGATCAGTTGTTGTGGATGGTTTAGACGGATCTCAGAGTCGTCTGCTTCACGAGCTTCTATCTAAACCGATTACATTCATTCAACTAGACATGAGGCGCGTACCTTCAGTGCTCCATCGAGCAGTTTCTCATTCTGAAGTCTCTCGTGGATCAACTTCATCCTCTTCGGGCACTCGGTCATCGTACTGTCGTACTTACAGTCGTGTCCGAGCATGCGCTCATCGTAAACATATCCGAACGGTTGCATCGGTCTCTGAAGTTGAGAGCGGAATTCACAAAACAGAAAAGAGGAAGAATGGAGACGACGTGTACTGATGTATGAAAACTAAAACTAGTAAAGAACGGCCGTGGTAATCGGTCGAGAACCACGGGAATCGATGAAAAGAAGAAAAATATGGCATTGTGGGCCGACGGCTAATTCGACACTGTTTTCTTCGCTTGATTCGATATGACATTGACGCGTCGCTGACCGAAAATCGTTCTTCTGTTCTGTGCTCTTATCAAGACGTAAGAAGACATTTGCCAGTTCTCTTATCTTTTTGGTCCTGTTTTACTTTATTTATCAGTACAAACAAACTCACACGGACAGACGAACGAACGAAAGAAAAAGAAGAAAAGGGAGAGGGAGAGAGGGGAGCACTACGAAGAGAGAAAGCCAATTCATGTAAATACAGTCAAAAGAGACTAGTCATCTTGCAGAGAGGAGAAGCGACAAGATTTCCAGAAAAATAAATAACAGAAGGAGGAGAAAAGCTGAAGAAGTACCCTGATGAAATGTTCGGAAAATTGGAGAAAAGGGAATCAAGCACTCATGTCGATCAAGTCTTCGATCTTCATTTTCTTGCAGACTGGCGGACTGTCGTGGTCCGGCTCTTCCTTGATCGTCGACGACTCCGGACTTGCCTGCAATCCCTCTTCTTATTTCACTTTCTTCCGCTTTCCCCTTCTGCCCTTCCTATTTGAATTCGACGGTGCGAAGGTGCACATCACAAGTGTCAACCCTCTTCATCATTCCTCTTACTGTAACCAATCCCCCTCTTTATATTACACAACCTCATTAGCACGAAGCGTCTTTTTATCGCGTGCCGCCGTGGCCACCTGTCGACCCAAAAACAGAGAACGTACCGAAGAAACGAGGACGGCGGCTCTCACGAGATCGAAGCACATTTGGCATTTCGGACGGTCGAAAGCTGACATGACTATGGCATAGGCACACGGCTGCTGAAAAGGACCGGATTAGGGGACGAGGAGTCGGAGGGACTCACGTGGCAGGTGGTGCACTTCATGAAGAACTCGTCGTCCTTCTTCATGTCAGGGGACTCGCTGGATCCAGTCTCATCGTTGGATTGCCTGCTGAATGGGGTCAGACAGTCACGGACCATGACCGATCCCCTCTTCACTGAAAGTGGACACATTGGGATACTTGTTCAGACGGCTGACACCTACATGACTGTCTCTTGTTCTGGTTGCTTCTGATTCTCTGCAGCTCTTGCAATCTTTTTCGTGTCTGATCGCACTGTTCCGGAGTGTTCTCCCTATCTTTTCGCTCTTTCGTCCTGAAACACAATTCCCCATCATTTCCGTTTTGTCTTCTGAATCTTACGAAGTGATATGGTTGATGAGTCGTTCCTTTTCCAGATCAATGTGCTCGTTCCACTGCGCTTCGGGAACTTTCTCCGTGCAAACCGAGCACGTTGCGCATCCGTCCTCATCGAGAATCAATTCTACAAAAGACGACCTTCTCATTCACTAATCTCTTCTTGTTAGCAAACATCCCCCGCCTTGTTTTATTGCCCAACCACATAGTTAATCATATTCGGATCGCCGGCGGCAACTTCAGAGGGGGTGCGTTTCCCAAGGTATGTGTACTTATGCTAATTTACGATTGCGCCGTGTTCGTCAGCGTCGTCCCCAGAATCGAATTCGAATCAAAGCGAGAGGAGAGTGAGCCAATTAATGAGTCGACAGGAGGTGTCTCCGGCCGCCATTCGCCAATTAATCATGACGCCAAACTGTGTGGCGGTGCCGCCTTTCATCCATCTGCTGGCGACTACTCTCTCGCATTTATCACTCGGTTCTGACTGCACTCATAAACAGTGCGATGAGCTCTCGCAGATGCTTATCAAAAAGAAACAAAGCAGATCCGGCGGGCCGATAGAGATCACTCAATTAGGCAGTGATCGGAAGGAAGGAAGGATCCCCTACGACTTGTTTGTTTGTCTTCACGACCTCCCTATTACTATGTCGTAACTCTTGTGCATCTGGAGTCGTGTCAGATTATCATTACACTTGCTGGTGCTCCTCTCATTTTACCACATGCACCGCCAAGTCATAAAACAGCGTGTGGTCCCTCAGAGCTCAGATAATTTTGAGAAGAAAAGAAGGGAGGTTATATTGGTTTCCTCCAGAAGACTCGACGTCGTCGTCGTCCTGTTTGCCTTCTCATTGTCAATCATCAGGAGGAGAAGAGGCAGCAAACACTGCGGGTCCCCCGGCCAAGGAGATGGTTTTATTGCAAAGTTTATCGCCACTAAATTGCTTTTCTTCACAGCCCAAAGAAGCATGTTTATGTATGTGTCAAATGAGATCTTCTTCTTCTTCCTCTTCGCTTCTCAAGGCTCACAATGAATGGAAGACAACAAAAGCCAGATGTGCTCGCGGGGCTCTCTCAACGTTTTATGGCTCCGTTTATACAAAATATCGGGCCGTTTGGCAGGTGACACTTCCCGCACCGATGCTAATCTGACCCCCAACAAATGGAGAATCCCTCTGAAGAAACCAAATTGAATATATTCGAAATAAATGGGCGCAAAAGAGTTACGGAGCCAGGCGGCGGGCTCTCAAGTCACTCATATTTCAACAGCATGGCTCTACATTTTCCCAGTCCACTAATAAAACACTTCTTTTTTGTTACCAACACCAGCTTCTGACACGCCAACTTTGGCTTCTGGCTAGGCCTTCCTTCCTAATTGAAATGTGGCTCGTTTTGAAGTCGCCGCCCAAAAAACCCTGGGGACGTGGAAATGCGCAGTGACGGGAGGGACTCGTTCGCGCATAATATATCAACTGTGGGCGCACAAAAGCATACACTTTCTCGAGTAGAAGACGAGAAATAAAGAGAGCCGTTTTTGAGATTCGACCCGGAGACCATCAAGATGGAACTATTGACTGCATCCAGCTGTATCTGGCAGTTAGGAGAAGTCAAATCAGTTCTGAGAGGATGTCCACACCTGCAGCATCTTTCTTGACTGTGACAGAGTGTCCCGAGAAGTGATACCACCTCAGAACAACACCTGTCCGTTCCCTAATCCCTCCCAGCTCATCGTCGGAAAGTCCTCATGCTTTTCGGTCTCTCTTTCGGTGTCTCTACCACGCAATCCAACCCGAATCCGTTGCGCAACCCACTCAACAAAACTTCAAAAAGTGCGGTGTTCCCTAAAAGAACCGATGACGAAGCGGTCGGCGTCCTCGAACTTTGCACCTGGTTCCGGTCCTACCCCACCTCGTTTTTCTCCTCATAATGCTGTCCTCATGTTCTGGCGAGCGGGGGGCTGTGCTGTGGTGACTTTGAATTACGACTCGCGACTCGACTCGCGTGTGTTCAATTTTACGACTTGATACACACGGCAACATTTTCATTTACGAGGTACTGTAAGTCATGTAGAAGAGGAGAAGAGGAGGTGATGGGAAGGAAGGAAGGACAGCCGGTCTGTGCGTCTATGCGAATGTTGATTTAAATAACAATAGTGACTGAGCGGCGACGGAGTGACATGAGAAACTTGCACGAAATTATGTACACTCCTCGGCCCCCAAACAGTCGTCGTCGTCCTCGTCTCACTATCTTTCTTCTGATTCAGTCGAATGGAAACACTGGTGACGTGGCGTGCCGTCTCATTTCGCACCTTGTTGATCTGATCCGGAGAGACAGACGAAACTAGTCGTGCTTATCCTGGTGTCGTACACCTTTTGCATCGACCATAAATCCGACATATCTGTCCGGGTATTGTTCCATTATTGGCATGCGCCTCCCCACCTCGTAAATGGTGTCATTGGGCGCAGAGAAGTGTACTCTAATAGCGTAAATATATCATGGAATCGGAAGGGAACGAAGGAGATTTCCAAGAAGAAGTGACACGAGGTCGTGTGCGATGGGTCGTGACCGGAAGTTAGACGCTACGGAGACACCCCTCCCTTTTAGTTTTTGCTGAGTAGATACCGCGCACCGGATAGTAGGTTTCTAATTGGTGTCGCGCGGGTTACGGTATCAGTCATAACACTTCTAGTACCACAACGAGCAGCAGACACCTCCTCATTGTTTCCGGGCTTTACGATGGGAATGGGAAGGGGCGAAACAAAACGAAAGCTCCGATTCTCAGGCTCGTTTCGAACGGGATTAACACGGTGTAATGACCACCTTCGAATGGAAGGAAGAATGTGTCTTCAGGATAAGTGCAGATGGTAGGTACTGACAGGTCATCAGGAGAACGAACAACTTGGGGCCAAAATGACTGTTGACAAATGGATGTCAATTTGAAGTACCGGATTAGAAGGAACTCACTTTTGCCCTGAGGACTCTCGCTCCGGGATGATGCCTGGTCCGAGTTGACTGGCGAAGCTCCTGCGCTCAGTCTCTGCTGCTGCTGCTGCTGCTGCTGATGTTGTTGCTGGACCATCTGCATGAGTTGGAAGAACTGATACTGTTGCTGCATGTTGTTCGGGAATATCTGTAGAGGTGGGAAGACGGCAGAGGACGGAGAGGAAGTCGGGCAAAGGAAAGGGAACGGAGCCCCGAGACGCGGAGTCTTCTCGTCCATTCCTGAAACGAAATGAAGTTGTGAAGAGGAGAAAGCAGAATGAAAAGGGGAGAAGAAGGAGAAGAGGAATGAGAAGAGCACTCTTGTGATCAACTGACGGAAAGAGTGGGAGGCGAAAGGCGAGAAGAAGAGCGGCGAAGAAGCTGCTTCTTCGCTACAGTTATGTTTTTAGTGACTCGCGGCGCTTGTATGTGATGTGATGTGTGTATTGCGCCTGACTGCTCTCACTGATATACACTCTCTTTTCGTAATAAACCATCAGGAACATCAGTTGTCCAGACAGGAACAATATCCGAGAAAGTGTACGCAAACGGACAGACTGGACACGGCCACACAAGGGAATTGTCTCTAATCCAGGTGGGTGGATAGCCGACAAAGAGTGGAGATGGATAGGAGTGATTAGTCACCTGAGCTGGGCGGAAGCAGCGGTCGTTGGGGCAGCGACATTGGGCGAAGTGAAGGTCTGAAAATCGAAAAAGAACTATGGGAACTGGCGAAAGAATAGAACGAAGAAAGAGGCTTTTGTGTGTTTTGTGGGCAACGAAATGAGAAGAAGAAGTGGGGCGAACATTATTAGAATGATGATCTCATTGGGTAGGAATGGCACCGAGACACAGTGTGGGCGGGGTCTATCCGCCGGGCTACAGTAGTAGAAGACGGGCGGGCGAGAAGAACATCAGAGACAACTGCCTCGCAGCGGGCGACGCCGAGTAGTTGTTTGAAGTATCTCGCGCGGGGCGGGACTTGGCGGAGGTGTCGGGAGGCTCCACGTTGTGGCGCTTGTTGCTCGCCACATCGCCACACAAAAAGCCAAAAGTTAACTTTTATTGCCACGTCATTCTGCTAATTGACAACAATGGCGGTTATTTATTAGTGTCCCTGGTGGTGGGAGACGACGCGAGATGCGTAAAGTTCAGAGTGAGTCACGGGACTCATGTTTGTCTGCGGTGCTGTAGGACTGATAATTGACTTTTTGAATGGATTGGTTTGGCACTGTTGGCTGTCCAGGGGGATGTGTAAAGAAGAAGAGAGAAGGGGAAGGGAAAAGTGGAGAATGGGGGTTTCGAACTGGAACTGAAACGGGGAGACAATGTGGAAAGAGAAGGAAAGAAGGAAGAAGAAGAGAACACAATGACTGAGCGCCTCTCCTTTTTCCTCTTTTAGCACCTTTTTTGATGGGCACAAGAAGGTGCGGAGAACTGTTATAATTATGATGGAGCGGGTTGAGCGGCGGGATAATAAAATGAATAATATGGAGTCGGAAGAGCCGACTGCAAAAAGAGAACCGACTGCCTTTGAGGGAACATAAAATATAGGAGAGAGAGAGCAAACCTTCGAGGCCTCTCTAATATGATAATCAATCCATATCACGCATTGCGTAATTGAGTATTCGAGTGTTACATCGCGTGACAGCCACTCGTTGGGGACGGTATCGCACAGAAAGTTTCTTATGAGTGACCTCGTAACAAGTTGCGAACAAACAATATCCGTTGCACGCTTCTACTCAACACGCTACAGTCCCTTGCCAAAAACATTCACAGGCAGCCTGACATTCTTTCAAATCTCAAACAGCACTGTTCGTCATTGATTTCCGTTTGGTGTCCATTCAAAAAACGCTTCATCGTCCAGAGACAAAAAGAAGCGAAGCGAAGAGAAGAAGTAGCAATAAGTTGTGATTGGAGAGGGGATGTGTCACTTTGTTGATAGCGAATGGAGCACGGGAGATGGAGAACAAAGCAATGGACCGCCGGAGGGGAGAAGAGAGCGATGCGATCAGAAGACTACTGTATGAGTCAGCCCACACTGAAATGAACTGCGATAACAATAAACAATTGCCGATTGGTTTCAATCAGTATTTCATCAGAACTGCTCACATTTTCTGCCCTCCCCCTTTCCAGTTCCTACCGTACCAAGAGACCTCCCATAGAAGACCGGGTGAAATGTTGTCAATCATCGCTCCGATCGTCAAAACGAACGGAGCGTCGTCCGAAATGAGATGTCGTCCGTTTTCGCACAACAATGCGCCAAACCATACACTTGTGTCGGCGACGGCGGCGGCGTCGTTTGTGCATGCCCCCTGTCTTCTTCGTGTGTCGTTCCGTCATTTCCCCCATTACCCACCCGTTTTTTGGCGCCGCAAACTTTTCTTCTCCCACCACCTCGTCAATCCGTTCATACGAACAGCAGCAGCTTGAGGGCCGATTTGGATACGTATCGCGGAGGAGGTAAACCCGGTGATTTGGTGGGAGAATCGGGAGAAAAGCGAGAGGGAGCGGAGGACGACGGCTAACAATACGAACGGTGCTTACAGTAACCGCCTAATTATAAGTGTTGAGGACTTTACTGCGGACGGACACATTCAACAGGAGAAGAAGAAGAAGACGTCGGCGCCGCGCGAATTAACAACTTGGAAAGGTTTGATTGGCCGATTTGATCCGGACGCATGTCTTCCAGGAACTGAGGATCCGAATAAGTCCAGAGGGGATTCGGAAGTTCTGTTTCCATCGAAAGAACACGGGAGCCGCCTGTCATTCGCGCCCGAATGTTCGCTGTTTTTTATCGCGCCTCATCCTTTTGTTCGTCTCGGTTTCTGACAGTAAATAGGGCTGCGGTGACCGTCTTAGGTTGTGCAAACAGCGGGAAGTGATAGGCCGCGAGGGCTTCTTCAGTCGAGTGCTCATTCGCAGATGTCTTCCCACTCATTACTCCTCTGCCTTCTCATCTGTATTGTCCTTTCCATCGACGATGTCTTCTGTTACGCCACTTATAAACTACGACGTGAGCTTTTCAACTCTTCTCCTAGTAATATCAGAATCTTTTCAGCTAGAAATCAGAGATTTGCCGCGTTCAATCAACTTCTCAACGCAATTCCAGTAGTGCCAAAAATGATATTCTATCCGCAAGCTCCACCTGGAAGTGCAAACAAACTCAACTGATTTGTTCATACTGGTACAAGTAGCAATATAAATGAAGCAGATCACAACTAGTGAAAATTGAATTGATAATCGAATTATAGCACAGATTAGTTAGGAAGCGTGACGTGATTAGCGAGTATTTGTGAGAATCTGAACAGAACGGATATCGTCTCGGCGCTCTTCTTGCACCCGATCACGACGAGTTTCTGACGGGCGCGAGTCAATGCCACGTTGACTCTTCGTTCGTCTTTGAGCAATTCGCTCTTTTTTGTCGAATTCTCGGTCCACGTTAACGACCAGATCATGACACGTTTCTCGCGTCCCTGATACGAATCGACTGTGTTCACCTGAACTTCTGTGTGTATCACTAGAGTCGAAGAGTCTTCCCGTACCTCAAGAGCGTCGTTCTTCAAAAGATTCCGAATCAGTTCCGCTTGTTTTCTATACGCAGACATCACTCCGATTTCATGAGGCTTTATCCCTCCCTGAAACAATCGCATATTATTCTGTGATCCAAGATATGATCACCTCTATGAACTGTGCGCACATCTCCACCACCACTCTCGCTTCTCCTTCGTTCACCACTCCGCCGCCTTCTCCATCCTCACATTGCATAGAACGACGCGTACCACTTTGTGTATCCAGAAATACGCACGAGTCCTCCATTTCTCCAGACAGACACTTCTTTAAATGATCTGAACTAAAATTATACTCAATGCCTTCAGACGTTCGCGAACCTTCCATGTCTTCATTCAACGCGTAATCGCCCATTCTGCTCAGACAGCTCCTGGCTACTGCCTCATTTCCGCAAATGAGTCGATCCTCGTAAAACAGTTTACTAGAGAGCACCGACAGCTCTTTGTTCATTCGGTATTGCGAAGTGAGTGAGAGAACGGCCTTCGGATGGGCCTTCTGCAGTTTTTCCATCGTCGAAACACCCGCTCCTTCGAACTTGGCCTTCTTGGATACGACGAGAGGAGTGAGCTGCTTGCAATCTCCAACCAACACGAACTTCTTGCTCGTCGCGAGAACGGGAATCAGCAGTGGCTCGAGGACCATCGATGCCTCGTCAACGATAACGACGTCGAAATGGCGGTAGGAGAAGAGGAGCTCGCGGGGAACATGGTGACATGTACAAGCGACGATTGGCTGGAACGGAAGAGATAAGTACATGAATAGAAAACTGAATTACTGTTGTCTTCATAATCCGTTTGACAGCGTCATAATAATCTTCAGTCGCTTCGTTCTCCACTTTAGCTTTCAGGGTGATTCTCTGAATATCTTCTTTTATCGAAGAGCTGTTCCCGAGTCGAAGAATCTTTTCTGTGGAAACATCATTTTTCAGTTTTCCCAAAATATTATCCACTGCTGAATGAGTGAACGCCGCAAGGAGTATCTTTTTGTTTGTTGCCACGAGACATTGGATCAGTACGGAAATCAACGTGGTTTTTCCTGAAGGAATGCATTTTGAAAATGGCTTTATATTTAGACGATACCAGATCCCGGAAGTCCCTCGACCATCATGAAGTCCTGAGTGGCAAGTGCGTGAACAACTGCCAGCCTCTGTTCCGTGTTCAGTTTTGCTCTCACAATGATTTTTCTGACCGCTGCCGGCAGATCCACCCCAGTCTCCACTACGATCTGCGGTGGCAGCAAATCAACAAGAACACTTCGGAGGCGCAGTCTGTAGTCAGAAGATACTGCTGGCATTCTATTGCCTGTTATTTACCCAATCACGTCATTCTGCAAGAAACAAACGAGGTTCCCGAGTGTCGTGGGATGAGTGCTCATGCTCGTGTACTTGTCAAGATGGAATGGAGCTTCGTACCGCACCTTGACTGATTTATCAGCAGAAACTCGAACGACGTCATCGGAAACTTGATCGACAATCACAAACGAGATGGAGATGTGCTTCTGATTGGAGAGCAGACAAACGTCTCCTGCATGGAAAGGGCTAACAGAAGGAGTCTCTCGACGGAAAGAAATGAGAACTCTCTGCGAGTTGGACACTTCTTCCCCTATCGGAGTGAGTCCGGCCAGGCAGGTTCCTCCCTCTACTCGTTCCTGTACGCTTTTCAGCCACAAATCTTTGTTTTGCGTCTCCGTTCGCTCCCTTTCACACTGCCATTCTGCCGTTATCCATCGGATCCAATTCGAAGTGTATTCTGAAATATTTCGAACGGTCTGATAGGATCTTCTGTCATACCAATGTGCTTTTGCTGTAAGTGAGCTATCTCTCCCTCCGCGAATGTTTTCATCGCTCCACTAGATTGTGCGTACTTTTCTTCTGTTTTCTGATAGAATGAACACATCACTTTATGGTCGCACTTTTCACAAAATCTGGTGTCCGCTCGAGGAGCTGAAAAATCAAGTTCAAATTGAGCTGAGAGAAAAAGAACAGACCAGGAAGAGTATTCGATGTCGGATTTTCAAAAAAGACGGAAAGATTATTTCGTTGCTGAATAATGCCGAATAATTCGGCGGCGCGAGGAGTGACACAACGGGCGGCGCCGTCCTGGAAAGCAGAGAAGCATGCGAGAAGAATAGAAAATGAATTACCTTGAGGTAGAGAATGTTGCCAGGGCCGATGGGTTGCTCGTACCGAGAAGAATGCATCATACAATAAAGAAGGACCTGAATCGGACGTATTAGTCTGTTGGCCGAACTAATGCTCACTCGCCTGCCCAATGTGCTCACTGGAAAACGAGCTCTTTCCGGTCTTCAGTTCCAGTGATTCCATCCCCTGTTTCTGCTTTGTTCTCATTGTCACATCTACTTTTCCTTTCAGTCCGAGCCTCGGATCCCAGATATTCTCTTCTATGTCATGCACTTCCAAAAGTTCTGATTTCGACGGGAGCAGTTCTCGTTTTCCGAAGAAGCTCTTGGAATTGGGATAGTGCTTATTGATCCATGCACAGATAATCTGTAACGGAAGCATTAGTCTCACTTACAAAACTTGACAAACTGAAAAATACGGCTGCAATTCTGAGTTGAGGCAGTTCGGAGTGAACGAAAGAGCGACGAGTTCTTCCGCGTACTTCGGGGCTTGTGTTTTCCAGATTTTTAGCAGATCTGAATCGGTAATCGGGCGTTTCTTGCTGGTAATTGCATTCTAAATTATGTGGGCGGTTTGACCAGAGAAGGAAATCGAAACCAACCTGGAATATCTCGTGCATAATTGTTCCGAGAAGCATCGCCTTGTTCGATGCGTTTCCAAATTTGAACTTGTCGTTGAGGATAGTCTTTCTGCTGCAGAAAGTTGCCGAAGCGACTGAAGTGCACGGAACGAGAGCGTTCGGATTCAGAACGACAATTCCTTGTTCTTCGTCGACTATGAAGTCGCCATCTCCCCAAACCTTTGCAGAAATCAGGTTGATGGCGTTCCCCTCTTCAACTGGAAGCTCCGACCACCTATCCTGAATTTCACCTTGGGCACTGGCAAAGGAATGTAATTCTAACCTGCAAGTAAACCATTCGGGTCTTTCCGTTCTTGTCTTTGCATTCCAGATCGAGTGATCCATCCCTCCTGCTCAACGTGTCCACTGTCAAATAGACAACAATGTCATCATCGAACAAACACGGAAATCCGGCAACTCCACTGTCTGAGAAAGTTTTTCGTATATTGATAAACATCTAAACAATCAAACCTTTTTTCGATAATTTCGGTAGGATTATAATCGGCTTCGAATCGCTTAATGGTGCGTCGAATGAGTCATCGTCGTCCCTCTCCTCCACAAGTATCCGCTTACTTCTCGATCTTGGGCTATCTTCTGAAGCCAGCATATAGTTGACGAACTAAACATTTTCTTGTTATCACTTACTTTCTTTAATGTCTATAGCGGAACTTCTGATAGTGGAAACGGAAAAGTTTTCGAACGAATTGTCACTGTCTCCATCGCTGGTGTTTTCTAAAATAACTCGTGATTTGTTTCAGTTGAAAGAATTTACCTTTCGATTTTTCCTTTTGTCGTTTTTTATCGAGAAGTTCTGATTTCGGAGATGAGAGCGATCGTTTTCGGGACTCCATTTGCGAAGAGAGGAGTCATGAATTCACTTTGAATTTCCGCAACTTCGCGGTCCGGCGCTAATTCTCGGCCGCCTTTTGTCGGCCGCCGGCGGAAGTTAAAGTTTGCTAAAAGCGGCGAAAAAATTACCAAAAGTGACACCTGAAATCAAAGAAAAAAACTTGAATGACACGCTGATATAATTTGGCGTGTTCCGAACAATAATATGTATAGAAAACAGTTTTATTTTCGATAAAGTCGCCACGAACAGTGAACAATTCCCTGAAATTCATACAGATTGCCGTATTAAAATGGTCTGTCTCAATGAGCCGAAATGCTTTCAGATGGAACGAATATGTTCAGAGAACAATGTGTTGCTGTGAGAATAGTTGCTGCCAGAAGACTTCCAGATCCACTACTCATACTCGTTCGGCTAGTGCGTCTTCGAGAAGATCCTCGCCGTTTCGCAGTAGATCCACGTCGAGAAAATCAAGAAAATCGATAATCCGAAGTGCTTCAGCATCTGATGTTCTCAGTTCTCTCAGGTTCGGAAGCTTCTTCCATCCCATACGAAGGCACTGATTCCAGAAGTCTGTCGACGAGTGACACAGCGTCTGTTGGGAGTCTCAGGAAATGGAAGGTTGTGGCATTGCCGAAGAAGGACACTGAAGTCGTGGTAGCTCGGTAAAACTTGCTCTTCGTGTATCGCAGACTCATTTACATTCCAGTTCCCCGTTTTACATGGGTGTTGTGACGAGAAAGAGTGCGGAGAGACGGATGGGTCTTATGAAGTTCGCCGTGTACCACCAGCTTCCGTATGCTCCGTTGCTCGAGAATATGAGGGAGGAGGTCACTCTGACCGGTGTCTACAAAACTTCCAACGGAATTTTCACGTATGATTCCCATCTGGATCCAATTCCCATTCATTCTTTTTCAGCCATTTTGCCGTCAACGAGCACATAGCCGACCACGGAAACCCCGAATTTTATCTGGAAACGGGCGCTTCTAGACGTCCAAAGATGTTCTGTTCGATCGAAGAGCTCATGGATCATTACTGCAGAAAATGAGAAGATAAATACTGCACCACTTACTTGCTATCCGAACGAAATCAGACCATTATTTGGCCCACATTCATTCACTCTCGCCGACCCGCCGGTTTTCCCTGTGCAATTGGTTCACGTGAAAAGCCCCACTCTAGGGTAATCACAACACTTTCCAATCCGAAAGAACATTTCGCTCAAGTGACCTTTAGCAAAAAGCGTTTTCAGAGTGCGCACCTCTCTGCCGGATTCTCATAGTACTCGCGGGAGTTCTTTGTTTCAGGTAGTATATCTGCTTCCAAGGAGCTAAGCTCAAAGTTAGGTGCACAGTCTGCTTCTAAATGCGCGGGAGGGGTTTCTGATTCAAGTACTTCCGGGCGTTATTTTTTTTCAGGTAATACATCTGCTTCCAGGACGCTAAGCTGAGCAGTAGGTGCTTTTTTCGCTCGTCTCGACTTGCGTCTATCTTTTCGCCGTCTCTCATTTCTAACGGGAAAATCCAAAATGTTCGAGAAAAAAGCGTTCACATGAGGACCCCGTTTTATTCCTACGTAATACAGAACAGGGAGTGTGACATTTAAGCGGATGTTTCGACAGTACATGGGCGAACCGACGTAATCTCCTCCACTCACTCGTCCTCCTCGTTTTGTCAATCCACCTGTTTTCTTTTCTCTCTTCATGTTTCATTACATTGCCAGCTAACACAAGCTCGTCCTTTCCTCTCAATTATCTCGGAGTCTTTTGAACTGCTTCTCTTAATTCGACTTGTTCTATTCTCGAAAAGTCTTGTTTCATCTACACTTTTCAAAAGATCGTCCGTCCTAATCCTTTCCCTCCACTCGATCTTCTGTCCTTTTCCCCTTTTTCATTTCTTTTCAGAGACTATGAACGCCTTCTGGATGATGGCGTTCCTCTCGTCCGTCGCAGTACATCGGGTGCACGGCCAAACCGCCAACATTGTCGAAATCATAATCCCAACGGTATCCGTTCGACCCTCTCGTTCCCTCGATCACACTTCACTTTTCAGAACGCACCGGCGGCATCAACCACATGCACAACGGTGCGTCAATCTGATAACAGACAGTTAACAATGAATCCAGTTGACAGGCCACGTGGCTCGCTTGGTCGGACTGGTCGACTTGTTCGGAAGAGTGTGGATCGTGCGGAGTGCAACTGAGAACGCGGACGTGTCTGACGACAGACTCCACTTGCACTTGTTCGGGGCAAGCCAACTGGCTCATGGCCTTTCTACGTCAACTATTTCAGAAGTTCAACGGGGATACAGTACTGCAATCTGGACATCTGCAGGTACCCGAAGACGACTTGCTGCAACAACTTCAAGGTGACTTCCTACCTCGGAAGGTTCGCGTGTCTCAACCAAACTGCTCTCACTACCACCGCGTAACTCGTTATTGTGCTCATAATGCAATTGTTCGCAACTTTAATGATACTTTATTGGTGGAGATCTTGAGTAGTACAACAACAACGGAGAGACAAACACAATATGGTTCAAGCAGTCTTCTCGTTTTGATTTCGATTCATTGAACTGGTCCGGGTGGGGGGATTAACAAGCATAAACTCCACAATTCACATCTTGTGCACCACCGACTCTTCGTCGCTGCTCCCCTTTCCGCTGTCCTTCTCAGCCAGCTCCTTCTCCATTTTATCCATCAGAGAAGATTCCTCGAGCAGTCGCGCGAGGACGCTGGTCTCTTCGAACAGAAGATGCGGACGTTCGACAGATTCGTGCTGAAAAGCGAATTGTTTACGAGATTCTACAGTCAGATTGCGAGTGAGTACCGGTTTCCGGTCAAAGAGTGACTTTCTTCTGACCTACCTGGACACTGAATGCTGACTCGACCACTTCTATTCTGATGTTTGTGACAAACTGCTCAGCGGGCGCCGGCTGTGAACTGGATTCCACTTCGGCCACTTCTGGCAGGTCCAACTCCAGGTTCATCATGGCCGCAGAAGACTTTGTTTTCTTCAGCTTCAGCTTCTCGGAGAGTCTCTTGAAAGTGGCCAACGGGCCCGATTCCTTCCTCTCACAGTTCTCTTTTATCATTTTCTGAGCCGCAGCCTTTATGATCACACTCTTCCACATGTCATCCGCGTCGAGAGTCGGAGACAGAGGCGCTCCGTTCACCAGGATTCGCCCTTCCGGAGTGTACCTAAACACAATCATTGTAATGAGAAAGAATGCGAAAGTTCTCACGTTCTCGATTGGTTACTCCTTTTTCGGGGTTCGTAGAGACTGCTCTGACGGGCAGCTGCGTAGAATTCAACGGACGATTCCGCTCCACTATTCATCATTCCGATCATTTCGACTTCTGAAGAAAGATGATGCTTGACGTGACAACAAGTGAGAAAATCGTTTCGTTCAAATATTGCTTCTCGTGGGTGGAAAGGCCATAAAGATGTACATTACTTCGCAATGTTCGGAGGTCACCCTAATGGTACAACAACGGAAACAAATGAAAAGAGGAGAAAATGGAGAAGGAAGAGAGGGTAGATAGCAGAAAACACGTCTCTTTCTGATAGTGACATTGACTACTGTCGCTTCGTTTTTTGCGATTCGCCACGAGAAACTGATATATCGGAGAGAAGGACGGGAGAAGGAAAGAAGAAGAAGAAGAATAAGAAGAAGAACGGTTTTATCTGATTCAAGGTACACCCAATCAGAATAGAAATTCTTTGCAAATTGTGATGAATGATGGACCGGAACGACTACTTTTATATCAGCCGGGGATTAGTGGTGCACGATACTTGGAGACTACTCGACGAGACGCCACCGCTCGACGGACGGTTCTGATGTTTTTGGCGAATTGATGCAGGACGCGGTGGAGTGAAGTGGAAGAGTGGAAGGCGGAGGCGAGGCTGAAGACGTCGGACGACCCCTCTGCAAGTGACGTCATCGAATTAGCACTCCATGAAACAGTGGGGATCACGTCACGAGCCGAAGCGCGAAAATAAATCGAATTCTCGAGAAGGGGAATGTTACCGGTTTCCAGAAGAAAACATTATTCAGAAGACGTCTGTAGGAGGTAAACAGAGGGCTGATCTACGGTTTGCAGGACAGTAAACAGGCGGAGAAACTTGCGGAAAAGGTGACGAGTCATATGGAAACACCGTACTGTTGGCCTACTTTTGAGGGCAGGCTCGACGAAGTAATTGGATGAGTCATCGGCCAAATCGGCCTGATTCGAGTGTCTAGATTGACCACGAAAAAGAAAAGAGAATCGGGCTGATTGGATCAGAAATAGGACGGAGAACAATTCGTTGACCTGCTTGTGGTCGAGAAATGTCGGTCTGGAATTAGATGACTATCAGCTGGCACCTAAGACCTCCAAGACTGTCTTCCCAACTAATCTGTCACCCTCTGAGCACATTTGCAAATTTACTTTTTAAGGAAAACGTCATTTTAAAAGGGCGAGAGTCGCGAATGACTGAAACTGAAAAGTTCGAGTGGGAAATTCTGAGGAGGAAATTGTGAAATTAGTACCGGAGACGGTCGTAAAACCACATCATTCATGGCAGATAAGGCTGCCCACTCACCGAGAAAAACGCTGTGAAATGGGGCATTTGTGATTGATGATGAAAAGTGGTTTTTAGTGGTGGCAGCATAATTAGCGGGAAGTGAAACAAAACAAGAGAAGTGAAAAAACAAGAAGGAGGAGGTTTCACAAGACAGAACAGTTGCCTCCCTTGTTTAAAACTATCAAAAGGTCAGAAGAACACATGATCCCTTTGGATTCAGAAACAGATACTTCGAAGGTTTCTTCAAAATGACCACAAATTTTCGGTTTCACTGCCAAATGGTTACTGCCATCTTGTCTAGCCCCGCACGGATGTACCGCCTACGTAGAGAGATTGTGGTTTCTGGCGCAGACATCAGACTAACGACACTTTTACGGGTCATTTTGTGATTCGGAGAGAATTACATTCCGGAAACATCTTCTTCCATCGTGAACTGCCGCCGTTTTGACCAAAACCGTTGCATCAGACATAAATCCGAATAACGACACAATTGTTTGGTTAATCAGGAACGTTGCGTCATGTATTTACTGGCACTTTTTCATTCCGTCCTGGTGACGTCCTTCAACCGAAAAAAATGAATCTGAACCTTATAAATTGAAGGCCAAATAGGATAATTGATCGGGCATCATTGACAAAATACTCTTGTTACACTCCTTCAGTCTTTTATTATCTACCTTTTCCCCATTCTCAATCTGTAGTTTGTGTGGTTCTTCAGCAACTATAAAACCGAATCAGAATCAGACTTCACACTCCTTTTCCTCACTTTTATCACTTCGCAACATTTCCGTCCATTATCTCTTTACCGCACCGCACCCGTTCTGAAGACTCTTTTGAGTTCTCAATGCACTCGGTTCATTTGGAAACGATGCGAAGAGGGTGGGAAACCAAACGATCAATTCGATTAGTCGCACGTGAGGGCGAAAGTTTTGACGATATCTGATATCACCGCAATCTACAGTGGATAGTTTTTGGAAGATCAAATGCAGTTGGTGTTGTGAGGGCGGTACAAAGTTCGATGACCGTCCGATTCGGCTCAACAAGTTTACAGCAGACAACTAATTGCAGCAGCCACATATCAGATACAAACGCCCAGTTCGCCCAAATGCACCCGTGACGTCAGCAACCTCCTATTGTTCGTTCGGCCAACTGAACTCTGCTTCTTTTCCCCCATTTCCTTGTAGATCACTTTTCGCTCCCTCCGCATCTTCATTTTTTTCATCGATCGCCCAATCGTCAGATGTTCCTTCCTCGAAAGCAATCTGATGCTAGAAAGACACGGCGTTGAAACCGTTATCTCTTGGAGAGAATTTGATAAGAGTTTCGACGACTTTCTACCAATTACACGTCGTATTTTGAGAGGGAGGAGTCTGTCCTTGCCCACGTGTCGACGAAATCTTTAACGACACCTCCTCCTCCTTGGTTTTTGGCCCAACGTCTGCCGTTATAAGCGCGCGCGGGATTCGGGCAACCTGCTCGTTCTCTCCGCCGGTTACAGTCTAGTATCACATGTCTATTCGATTCGTCCGTAACAAAAACACCTTGACTCTGCCCCTGTTTATTCTTACATCAGTCACTGATTTCAGTTATCGTCATGGTCGCTCCACACCGCAAGAAGTCCGTCGTTCATAATCATGACCACTCGGTGAGCACTTCTTGTTTTTCTGAGAGACTCTGAAGGTTTCAGCACGAGCACACTCCCCAAAAGAGCCACCATGCTCGCGTGAAAGCGACGGAGAGAAAGAGAACTGCGAGCATCAGCAATGAGGACGGAATGGAGTACAACAAGAGAGTTCGGAAGCTTCACAAGACATTCCTGCAGCAGACGGACCCGACACACCAGGAGGAGGAGAGGCAGAACTCTGGATCTAACAGCGACAGTAAGTGCATTTATTTAAACATTTGAGATGAATAGTTTCCAGCTGAGCTGCCAATTCTGGATCCTGATTGCGACCCCGAGAATCCGAAGAAAGTTACTTTCTCCGAGATTTCAAGTGCCGCTTTCAACATCAAAAACGGAGTTCAGAGGACGCCGTGCGTGGTAGGAATACTTGAATTCAGCAGAATTGAACAAAGTTGCTTTGCAGAGATCCCTTCAACTTTCCACCAAGTTCGAAATGGACTTGTTCTTTAAGAAAGAGTACCTGCAAGTGACAGGATCCTTCAAAGAACGAGGAGCTCGTTACGCTCTGTCGAAACTGAGCGCTGAGCTCAGAAGGAAAGGAGTGATTGCTGCCAGTGCCGGAAATCATGCTCTGGCCCTCAGTTATCACGGACAGCAGATGAACGTCCCCGTGACGGTGGTGATGCCTGTGATCGCTCCGCTCATGAAGATCCAGTTCTGCAGAAGTCTCGGAGCAACTGTCATTCTGAAGGGAGAGAGCATCGCGGTGGTAAGAGCTCAACGGAACAAAGATTGTGATCAATGTGGTGGTTGTAGGCAAAGGAATTTGCGCTCCGACATGCGAAAGAGAACAATCTGAAGTACATTAATGGTTATGATGCAATTGATATTCTCGCGGGGCAAGGTACTATCGGACTGGAGATTCTGGAACAGGTTCCCGACGTGGACACCATTCTGGTGCCAGTTGGAGGGGGAGGACTCATTGCAGGAATAGCAGTAGCCGTGAAGACCCTCAAGCCGGACGTGCTAATTTATGTGAGTGCAGTCTACTGAATCATCCAGATGTTGAATGTGTTTTTAGGGAATCGAGGCAGAAACATGCCCATCGTTCACTGAAGCTTATGAAGCTGGGCACGTAGTTTCGGCGATCACAAAGGCGTCCCTGGCTGACGGTCTGGCTGTCCCGACCGTCGGAGGAAACTCGTTGGAGACAGCGAAAGGCTTGATTGATAAGGTTTGCAGACGATAAACGGGTCAGATAAGAAAATAACGATCGCAGGTTATCACTGTCAAAGAAGAGAGTATCGCTTTGAGTATTCTGAGACTGTTGGAGGTCGAGAAGGCGGTTGTGGAAGGTGGGGCGCGGTCGGATTGGCGGCGATCCTCGAGGGAAAGGTGCCCGAACTAAAGGGCAAGAAGGTGGTCTCGATCCTCTCCGGAGGGAACATCGACACGACTGTGCTCGGAAGATCCATCGAGAGGGGATTGGCTGTGGACGGAAGACTCGTCCGATTGGAGGTCGTCGTCTCGGACAGGCCGGGTGGAATCGCCGAATTGACGACGACGATCGCTCATTTGGGAGCTTCTATCAAGGATATTTTCCACGAAAGAGCATGGATCTCCACGGATGTGTTCCACGTGAAAGTGAAGGTTGTAGCTGAGACCCGCGGAAAGGAACACGTGGAGGAGATCGAGACTGCGTTGAAGAAGATTTACGATAATGTTAAACTTCATTGAAGCACTTTTCAGAATAAATAAATCTCTGCTCATTCGTCACGTGTTCGAACAGCAGACTGTTACAGTCGGCTGAAAAAAAGAGTAATGAGAAGCCACAAAACAAGGGCACTTACATTGATACTCTGTTGGCATGAATAGTTGTAGGGACACTGGCTGTACGTGGACGGAGTGCACAGCTTGGAGCGCCGTTTACCAAAAGAGTCTTTCCATTTATACAGACAAGGGAAGAGGCGAAGCGGCAACATATGAACTGGGAAGGCTGGGAAGAAGGGGCGCACGAGAAGCCGACCGGACAGGAAGTGTCCAAGACGGCGGTGCAGGTTCGGACCGAGTTGTCAACTTCGTTCCGATAGGGATTCCAGCCGGTGGGACACGAAAGGTTCTCAGGAATCGGAGTGGAGCCGGTCAGACAGCACACGTCGATGAACGGATCATCCGAAGGCGCACAGTCGTAACCGGAAGGGCAACTCGTGATGGAACTCGTGATTTCACAAGTGTACGTCTCTCCAGATATCTGTTGGTAAACGGGTCGGCCGTCTGCACATCCGACCGATATGGATCCAGTGGATCCTTGGCCACAACAGACGTACGTGGCCAGGAGGACTGAGAGCTGGCATGTGTATCCAGTCTGAAATTTGAAAAAAAAACTAGAAGAGAGGAGGAAAGTGTCGAACCGTAGAACACTGTGTTCCTGGAGTTGTGCACAATTCCAGAGCTCCGTTCGTGATGAGTGCATTCTGATTATTCGAACATATCCTCTGCGAGTTGGCGGACCGACAACAGATGAATGCAGAATTCAACGTGCTTTGCATACACGAAGACCCTGTCGGACACGTGGAGGCGGAAGGACTGCATGATATCTGGAAGTACGGATGTTCCGGGGCTGTATTGAGAAAGCGAGTTACCGTTCCGCCCGAAGTGCTGACTGCTGGAGTGAAGTCGGTTGGACAAGAAGTGGTTGAAGTAGAGGTGGAACAACAAATGAAAGTGGAGGCGACGTTGGACGACTGAACGCACTGATACCTGAAGAGAAGCGGTTCAGGTCGGACGGAACATAAGGTGTCACCCTGTTATGCAGTTGGATGGATTCGTGACGGAACACTCGACGTAGCCAGTGGTGGAAGACTGTGCGACTGCATTATTCGGGCAGATCGGAGTGAGAGTGGACTGTGAACAGCAGATCAAGACGCCTGCCGCATTGGCAGCGGTCACACAGATGGAGCTGAAGTGATGGGATTGAATGCGCGATACTTCAAGGATACTAACCTAGTGGGGCAGTCCGTGTTGGTGCCTGCGGAAGTGCAGAACAGATTGGTCCCGCTGTTGGCGACGAGCGGATTCGCATTGTTTGGACACGTGAACGACGGCTGCTGACCAGAGACGGAGGAGAAATAGAGGAGCAAGACGGGCAGAATTACATCGATTTCGTAGTGCATTTCTGTATGAGCCGGAGCATTTTTGGGGCTCAATGACACATGGCCGCGGAGCACACTGAGCTGCGGCGGCGGCGGAGGCTAATGGACGCAAAATTGAATGTAAATAAAGATCGCCGACCTGTTTGCATTGTTATTATCGGCTGACCACATGTATAGACAATATATGAGCAGACATTTTTTGCTCTGGAATCTGGAAAAAATGATGGTGATGTGGCGACAGATCAATAGTTTTTTGATCAGATCAGCTTGATTTGCATGACAACTCAATGAATATGCAGACACGATTTCAGGCCAACACTACTTTTTAGTTCCTTCTTCTCAACATGGAATTCCCCCTGTCGCGGCCCTTCTCCGGTTGAGCTATTCTGCGAAGTTATTCTGAATCCTATTAGGCGTCAAGAGCAGCTTTCTCATATTCTAAGTGGTTCGATGTCAATTGCACACTCGCCGAAATTGCGACTACCGTAGTCGTTTCGCGAAGACGTCATCTTCTGTGTTGAGCAGTTTTGATGATTGACGAGTCTTCGGCTTCACATCATAATGGTTTCATCTTCTTCCGTTAGAGAAAAAGAGCAGAAATGCCGCAACTCTAGTATTGTTTTGAAGTTTGCAACTTTTTTTCGAGAATTTTTTTCATCGTACTCAAATTATGAACTTTCTAATTTTGGAGCTGAAAAACAAGTGCTACCGTATCAGAAACGTTTCGAATGCGCCTTTAGAATTCGAACGCTCGTTTTGGCGCGAAATTTTGAATTTTTATGAGTGTCAATTTCGTCGCCGAATCGTCAGAAAGTAGGCGCGGTTTCGTAAATTTGCACTATTAATTGTGCTGCTCAAAACTCAAATTTGTGCATTTCGGTCTTATCATTGTGGTCTGTGGTGTGTGCTATTTTTCTTGTTGTCTCACTCTCCGAATCTTTGTTTCGATGCAATTTTCACCTCGTCCGTGGCCCGCTAGTTTCTTTTTCTTCTCAAATTTTATTTGGAATTCTGAAAAAAGTGCTCGTTCCGTCGCAATCGCCGCTTTTCCGGACCCATAATCATAAAAAAAAGTCCATTATTGCAGGAAAAGCGCCGCGTATAAATTGTGCGAATCCCGATTGGCCAATTAAGTGTGCGAGAAGCGACAGCATTTCAGAAACGCCCCAATGGTTTACGGGCTCGGCGAGGCACTCAAGAATCTGAACAGTTACTGCCAAGAGAAGACTTCTCGCCTTCGCAATTCCCTCTCGCCTGCCAGTAGGTCATCCTCTCTCAATCACACTTCAAACTCCCGCATAATCCTTACAATGTAATTGCCTTTTGAAGGATCGACGGCTACGATGAGCGAGCAGTCCTCGGCGACGACAACCGAGAGCAACTCGACATCGACTACAATTCCTTCGCCGCCGAACATGGACGTGACGCCCACGGTAGAAGATCCCCGCCAATCGGATAACAACGGTACTCCCATCTCTTTGTCTTTATCGAAACTTTTGTACTCTTAGGTATGAGTCGTGATGAGTTCCGTCAGTATGGAAAGGAAACGGTCGATTACATTGTCGACTACTTGGAAAACATCCAAAAACGACGCGTCGTCCCTGCCATCGAGCCCGGGTATCTGAAGGATCTGATACCGTCCGAAGCTCCGAATACTCCGGAATCGTTCGAATCGGTGATGGAGGACTTTGAAAAGTTGATAATGCCGGGAATAACGCACTGGCAACATCCGAGGTTCCACGCTTACTTCCCGGCTGGCAACTCGTTCCCTTCGATCATCGCCGATATGCTGAGTGATGCTATCGGATGCGTCGGATTCTCGTGGGCGGCCTGTCCTGCAATGACCGAATTGGAACTGATTATGCTCGATTGGTTCGGAAAGATGATCGGACTTCCTAAAGAGTTCCTTCCGTTGACCGAGAACGGAAAGGGTGGCGGAGTGATCCAGTCGAGTGCCTCCGAGTGCAACTTTGTCACTCTTCTCGCTGCTCGGTTCGAAATTATGAAGGAACTTCGCCAAAGATTTCCGTTCGTCGAGGAGGGTCTCTTGCTCTCGAAGCTCATCGCGTATTGCTCGAAAGAAGCGCATTCATCGGTCGAGAAGGCGTGCATGATTGGAATGGTCAAACTGCGCATTCTGGAGACGGACTCGAAATTCCGGCTGCGCGGAGATACGCTTCGGAATGCGATCCAAGAGGACCGGAACCTCGGACTCATTCCATTCTTCGTTTCCACAACTCTAGGTACCACTTCGTGCTGTTCATTCGATGTTCTCTCTGAGATCGGACCAATCTGCAAGGAGAACGAGTGAGTGTACTGAGTGAGTCTTCTGAAGAATCCATTATTCTTTCAGTGTGTGGCTCCACGTGGACGCTGCCTATTCGGGATCTGCATTCATCTGTCCCGAGTTCCGTCCGCTCATGAACGGAATCGAGTACGCCATGTCTTTCAACACGAACCCAAACAAATGGATGCTCATCAATTTTGATTGTAGTACCATGTGGTAACGTGTATTCGATTCTATCCATCTTTTCGTTTTGTGTACAGGGTGAAAGATCGTTTCAAGCTCACTCAGGCTCTAGTCGTTGATCCTCTCTACCTGCAACACAGCTGGATGGGTACAATCCGTCGCTTCCCTTTATCATCATATCTATTTCTGTTTCAGACAAGTCCATAGACTACCGCCATTGGGGCATTCCGCTCAGTCGTCGTTTCCGTTCCCTCAAACTGTGGTTCGTCATTCGAATGTACGGAATTGATGGGCTTCAAAAGTACATCCGAGAGCATGTGAGACTTGCGAAAAAGATGGAATCCATTCTGAGGGCGGATGCCAAGTTCGAGATTGTCAATGAAGTTATCATGGGACTCGTCTGCTTCAGAATGAAGGTGAAAATGACGACGAGAGTTCACGCGGTGAATCGAGTTTTTAGGGCGATGACGAGATCAATCAGAAGCTGCTGACGAGACTGAATGCGTCGGGACGCATCCACATGGTCCCCGCGTCGCTCGGCGATCGCTTCGTGATTCGATTCTGCGTGTGCGCTGAGAATGCGACGGACAAGGACATTGAGGTCGCCTACGAAATCATTTCTCAATCTGCTCAGCATTGTCTCAGTATGGATTCTGAATACCTCTGTTATAATTCTTGTAATCTAATTTGTTCTCAGACGAAAGTGTGAAAGCGGTGATTGCGGAGGAAGACGAGGAGGCGGTGGCTCTGGAAGAGATGGTCGCCGATCTGAACATTACGGAAACGCCGGACAAAGTTCTTGCCAGACAGGTACGCATTGATAGATTACGTGTGTTCAGTGGTGACCTTTATTCGCAGAATTCTGCGAATGCGGACACCGGTGAGCGATTAGAGCGGCAGCTGTCGAAGGAGGAGATTCTGGCTCAGAAGCAGCACGAGAGCCTCGCAAAGAAGAGGTACCCTCCCACGCCGGTCGAGCTCTCCGCTGATACGATATCCGATCCGGAGCGCTCGCCGATTCTGGTCACTTGATTGCAAAACGTGTACATTTCTGTTTTTCATCATTACTTGCATGCCACAGAACTAACCCACTAGGGATACATTACTTACTTTATTTGATGCATGTCAGCACTAACTAATTGCTTCGTATGTTGTGAACTCTCTTTCCTTTTTTCTTGTGAATAGCATCTGTTTTGTTAAATGAATCAGTCGCACGGACTATCCAATCCTTTATTTGTCTAACCGTCAGGTCGTTCCTCGTTCGGATGGTCTCCGATCCAAAGTGCTACAATCCAAAGATTGTTCGCCACCTGAACATGGCCAATCATCGCAAAATGAGCCAAGATCTTTACAGAGACAGAACTCTGATGTCAGTCATTCCCACCGATTCATTACCATTCTCTCTTGATTTCAGGCAAACGATTTCCCATTCGCAGCGCCCGAATCGTCTCTCCCAGTCTCCTGGATCCGCTGGATCCGCCTTCTTCGACGACGACGACGATCGGATTGTGGCTGACGTGCAAACTGGATTGCAGACTCCGATTTGAAACAAAAACCATCATTATAAAAATAGAGAAATATGTAGCTGGGATTATTAATCAAATAAAGAACAAGTAAAAAATACGAGGAGGGGGATGCGATAGATATGGCACATGAGGAATGGTACATGAAAAGTGGGTCAAAACGAGTATTTCTCTTTGTTCTTTTCACGAATTGCGGCGGCTTCTTCGTTCTTTTTTTCGTTGTCGTACACCTCGTCGAACATCTTCTGAATGTCTGCGTCGAATTCCAGAATCGGATCAGTTTTCGACTTTTTCTTTTTGCTGGAAGAGCTGAACATAAATTGACTGTTGAGGTGCATAGATGATCGTTCGGCTGAAATTTTTCAAATTAAGATAAAAGTCTAAGAATTAAACCGACATTTCGACTTTGAAGCGCAAGCGGAAGATGAAACATCCGCTTTCGAAGATGTTTCTGCGACTGTTTCAATTGATTGTTTCGACCGATTAAATGAGTGATTTCGAGATTGAGACTGTTTTTGCGATGTATTCAGATGACTAGTCAGTAAGGTATCTTGCTTCACTCGCTGAGAAGAACTGGAAGGGTCAGCTCTCGGAGTTTGCGAGAAAACGATTTGCGATGCTCCCTGAGCAATGTAGTCGTCCACGTCCAGTTGTCTCGTTGTCGGTTCTTCATCAGAATCCTCTTGAAACGGTTGTTCACCGTCTTTTCGAATCGAACTCGGCATTGTGACTCCATCGACCGATCGGAAGACGTCGTTGCTGATCGGCGAAGATTGGAAACGTGGCAGGGGCATCGCCTTCTTTTCCTTTCTCAATTTCACTTGATGGCCGAATGCTTTAGCCATGAACACTCGCGAATTTCTAAAGAGAGAATCGTCGATTTGCGCTTTGGTCGCGTTCTGCGGATTCTGAATCTTCGATATCTCGCTGATCAGAGACACGTGTGGTTTCTTCGTTCTCTCTTCTGCCACGTCAGCAGTCTGATTGACCGGACGGACCCACGAAGTGCTCATGTTCATCAGCTGAGTCTGAAGTGTTTCTCGCTTTTCTGGCGGTCGATCAGTCGATGGTGGTGCATTCTGGAATAAGCAATCGCAATATTTTCTGGAGTACTAACTCACTATATTCTTGATACTCTTGTTGAGAAGCATGATTGCGACTTTCGAATAGCTGTTGTGTGTGTTGTCTTTCAACGGCAACGTCGGAATCGCGGATCCAATGCGGGAAAACATTGCTGCGCCGGCTCCTTTTCTGGAATTCAGGTCTGACTCAGTTTGTTGGAAGGAGTGGAGCTCACTGACGGATCGCTCATGAACGGAATGGAGTTCCGCCAGTTGTCATCATCGTCTCGAATGTATTGAGGACTCGGCGTCGCTTCCTTCGGCGTAGCCGTCCTGTTACCTTGAGAACTCGCACGATCGTCTGAAATGAAACGACATCAGTAAACGAGGAGCTTTACAGTCTTTTCACCTTTTTTCTTGGAAACACTTCTCCCGCTGGAATTCAGAGACTTTTCAAGAATGCACGTGTCTTCGTCGCTAGAGTCCTCTTCGATCGGTTCTTCTGGCTGCTTCTTTCGTTTTTCTATACTTCTTTCTTTTTGACCGGAAGGTTCAGGTTGACTGGGGTCGTTCTGGAAAAACGGCTCTTCTTGTCGCACTCTCGGTTTCTTCCTTGGAGCTTCTCTTTCGAACGGGTAGTTGTTCTGCCCTTCCTCTTCTTCTCTTCTTTGTCCCGATTGTCTGTCATATTGCTGCTCGTACATCTCGTTTTGTCGAAGGCTCATTTGATGTTGTGATGAATTCCGACGCATTGTGTTCATTGTGTTATGTGAATGATATTCAGAAGGATGATATTGGTGTTGTGGAGCGGCACGGTAGTCGCCGGGAACGCCCATATCGTAAACTACTCGACGAATTCTATCGCGTAGATCTGAATTGAAAGTTATCCGAAAGTTGAACAGATTTGATGCTTACCGTAATTTGGCATTTGCTGATAATGCTCGTCACGTCTTCTCGGGTGCACTATTCTTCTGATCATCTCTTCTGTTTTACGAACTTTCGCTTCATCGACAACTGGATGAACGACGTCCGAATACTTTGCATTTAGAAACATTCCCTTTTTCGGTACAAGTCGACCTTTTTCGTCGTAAAGTACATCCGGTGAGTACTCCTGTGAGAGAAATTAATTACTGAATGAGTGGAACGATTTACTTTGTTAGGAAGACAATCGTATCTTATCGTTTTAAATCGAGAAGAAGGCGGAAGTGGAGGAGGAGCGGGTGGAGGCTCCCATTGATCAAAAACTGAAAGAAAGACAAATACTTCAAAAGAATAGTTCAATTTGACTGGCCTTCTGGTGGAGATTGGCGTTGGGGAGCCATCAGACGGCTGTTCCATGGTCGGAAGCTAGAGAGTCTCGGAGCAGGCATTAGGTCGGAGCTACTCGGACGATGCGATGCTGAACGTTACAGATTTTTGAGAATCAGAACACAAATCACTGTATTCTTCTGGCTGGTTCACTCTGCTCATTTGACCCTGAATGTTGGTTTTGTTGGCTCCTCCAGCTGAAAGTCGAGTGTGCCACGTCTTGCTGTTTGTCCCTCTACGCTTCATTTTCAATCTCTGATAAAAAACAACGTTTAATATGTCACAAAAGCGAGAACGACAGAAGTTTAGGCTTTGTCTGAAAAGCGAAGAGAGCTGAAATTTTTTTTGAAGAAGCGGTGTTTATATTTGTCGATTTACGGGAAACACCAAATCTTACGCGCAAACTTTATCAATTCATTCTTGAAGTTTTCACGGGGAAAAAATCAAAAACTCCACATGAAAATCCCCGATTTATCCAACTATGAAAATCTAATTGGTGGATTCTGTGGAGGAGTCACCAGCACAATCGCCTGTCACCCTCTCGACCTGCTGAAAATCCGATTCTCCGGTTAGCTTGCATCAGTAGAAAACTTAGTGTCTGATATCATTTCAGCTAATGAAGGAAGTCATCTCCGTCCCCAATACACAAGCTACGTCGATGCAGTCAGGAAAATTGTTCAAATTGAAGGATTCCGAGGGATTTATCAGGGATTGACGCCTAGTCTCGTTGGAGCATCCGTCTCCTGGGGTCTCTATTTTCAATGGTCAGTTTATCAACAGATATCTAATTCAGTGTCTTCAAAACAAGTGTTCTAGGTACAACAAACTCAGAGTGAAAATGAACGAAAACTTCTCGACGGGCAATGAATTCGTTAACAATTTGATCTGTGGAACCATTTCGGGCTCGGCCATCATGTGCATCACAAATCCAATCTGGCTTACGAAAACGAGGTAATTCAGAATTAAATTGAATCAAATACGAACGGTATGAAAGCTTGCAGGTTGTGCCTTCAGTATGAAAACCAGCAGTCGAAAAAGTACTCGGGAATGTTGGATTGCATGCGGCAGACAGTCCGGCAAGAAGGCTTCTTCAGTCTTTACCGTGGATTCGTGACAGGGGTCATCGGCACAACGCACGGCGCCGTTCAGATTGCTGCGTACAGCTGGATGATCGATAAGAGATGCGCCGCCCGTGGTCTTCCGAAAGATTCCTTCCTGGTAAGCTCCCCTCCATTTATACCTGAAACGTTCTAATTTCAGTCCCAAACCGACTACACCGTCGCGTCGGCCACTTCTAAAATTCTAGCCACCACAATCACATTCCCTTACCAAGTTCTTCGGACCAGAATGCAGGATCACAACTCCGATCATCGAGGAGTGTGGCGGACGACCCTGAAAACTGTTCGGAAGGAGGGAATCACTGGACTTTGGAAGGGGTGTCTCATTGCAAACATTCGTCAACTTCCCGCCGCAATCGTTATATTCCTAACGTATGAGAACGTTAAGAGATTGGTTGGAATGACAAAAGCAGTGTAATTATTGTTCAGAAAGAACTATTTGTTTTTAGGATTCTAAAATTATTTAATTTGTTTTGAGCTCAATCGGGTCTTGTTTAAAAGCCATGTGTTTCCGTTTTCTGCTGAATTTATAGAATAACAAACAACAAAAACAATAGTAATCTACTCTACTTTTTCCATTTTTTATTCGGCTTTCTTTTCTTGACTTGAAGCATAGGCATCTAGAAGAGACGGTAGATGGCGAGTGGCAGTATCGAGAGAGATCGTCACTTGGGCGACTTGCTGACCGAGCAACTGCACTGTGTGAACTCGCAGATCCTCCAAAGAAGACAGCTTTGCTAGTTGGCGGGCTTCCGGCATGTCGATTATTCTGTCATCCGCCATGATGACGAGTGGTTCGAGCCAGTTGAGTTTGTCCGTTTCTTGGAGAATTGCCTTAATGGCCGACACGTCCTTCGCCAGCAAAATAGCATTCGAACCGACGAGCACGGTGTCGAGAGAAGACATTGGAGTATCTGGGAAGAGAGAATCATGATGAATTCACTAGAGAACATACTTTCAAACACTTTCTTCAAAATCTTGTTTCCATAGGTGCGGAATTCAATGTTCTTCGATCTCAACTGATTCTTCGCAAACCACAGTGTTCGTCCGGGAACTGGCAGAAATTGGCACACGGCCAGCACTCGGAACTCTTCTTTTACCATCCAGGTACGGACCAGATTCGACAGAGCGAGCTCTACGTCACAGTACTGAAAAACTGCTGTTTTTAATAGATCATGCCGTGAATACTACTTCTCTCGATTTTTCAGTATGCTCTTTCTTGATGAGCCCGGGAGGAATGCAGGTGCTCACGGTGGGTGGCAGTTCCGGTTTCAATGCTGCTTCGAACCATCGTCGTCTGTATTTCGATGCTAGATTACTTGTTTAAAAAGTAAATCATTACTTGAAATGCCTCGGAGTTGGACGCGGATATTTCGAAGACACCGATCTCACTTGGACGGTGGCCAACGAGCTGAGCGAGCGGTTTAACATTCTGAAATTGATTTTGATTGTATTACGAAAACAAGACTTTGGGAAACGGTAAAATTCGATGAGTGAAAACATAAAATCGGGGACATTTTCTTGGGGGCCTAAAAATCGCTTGTCTGGCGGCCATCGGAAACTCGGCCAGCGCGGGTTGAACACGCCTGCAGACTCAAAAGATGCTTTTCAAAACATGAGAAAACGTGAAACGAATGAGAAAATGAAACTAGAACTTGTTGTGGATTGAATGGGGAAGGTCAACAACTGTCCGAGCTCCTTTATTTAGCTCTGAGCTATTCAATTGTCATAAAAATGCGTTTTCGAGATGTGATCCTTCTTCTCCTACTTCTTCACTTCGTTTCTACAGAATGTAACTTTGTTTCAATTTTTCAATTTGAAAATGTAGTAATGTTTCTAGATTGCTCTGACCATTGGGAGCTTGTTCATAGAAAGCATGGTCCCGTTTGTTGGGCGGTAATAATTGGGATCAATAGGGGCCAAGTAACAAACAATTTCAGCTGGTTCCTTTTCCTGAGAACATGAAGGGTCACACAACTGAAGAGATTTGTGCATTCACGCATTCGGAAGAAGCAGACGTTAGGAATCCGGCAGAGAAATCCATTTTGGCAGAACTGACGAAACGAACGGATAAGCCCGCATTGACATGTTACAAGGCTTCGCAGTTTTCGTTGGAAGACGATTACAAAACGGTGGATTACGAGCGACCGCCAGAATACATTCGGAAGGTGAACGAAGATGGAGTGGTGAGACTGAAGAAGGGAATCGCGAAGGAAGACGTTATCACTATTGGATTCTCGTTCAAACTGTGAGTACACGAGAGGTGGATGGAGAGGAAACAGAAAGGGATTCAGGGTAAAACCGCATCCGAGGAACACGAACGTGTGGCAGAGCGTCAGAATCAGAATAAGAAATTCTTCCGATCCTGGAAATTATTCAGTTGAAGTCTATTGTTATTCCGAGGGGCGAAGTGGAACACTCAGGAAATGCACATTAAACCATCCGGGAATGCAGAAAAGCGTAGAAGTTGTCACTCCAACTTACTTTTTTGCTGTGGCCAAGATATGGAATCTCGTGTTCGAGTGAGAATATCCGTTGCCACAAATGAATATCAACTTGCAAGTATTGATTTCAGTTTCGTTGACAAACAAAGCGTTAAAGTTTTCGACGAGAGACTCGAGATTCCAACGGAGTACAGTTTTTTGGGAATGGACGAGATTTCTGTGGAAAATGTGACTGTGGCGAGACTGGAGCATTCGAAAAAGTGCCGACAGAAATTGGAAAACGGATATGAGTTCGAGCGGAGGAATCTTCCAGTTCCGAAACTTCCGAATCTGGACCTGAACGTAACAAGATCCAGGGCTGGGCAAAGGGCCGGCCTACTGCTGACCCAGTTAGAATCCGGATCGGACCCAAACTCTGCTGGCTTTTCTGTACTTGTATTGAAGTTCGTTGGTCCCAAATCCCAGACCGTTCGGATATTCTGGTCCGGAGAAACATCTCTGAAACTTGGTCCCGGGATGCTTCAATTCAAGTCAAAAAATCTTGGGTTCGATCAAAATATTTCAACGGTGTCGAATGTGCTGTCTTTTGCCTAGCCGTGACGGGCTCATGAGAACCGAAAAAAGAGATGGCCACTGCAGAACATTCCTGTCCGTCGTCGTTCGTTCGGATCCAACTACAGTTTCGTCATGCCTAACTCTTATTATGATTTCTATGACGAATTCGCTAAAGACCGACTCAAGCACAATCCGGTCGTGTTTGACATTCGAATGTACCAGACGGGAAAAAAGTGGGCAGAAGAAATGGCAAAAGTGAACGGAGAGGTTTCAGAGACATGAACGTCTCATTTTGGAACCACCGAGATAACCGAGAATCCTACCGACTCGAACTCAAAGATAGGGGTCTCTACCTGACCTATTGGAAGACCTATTCGGAGGAAAAAACCGTGCGAATGGGAAAAGCGAGCGGAAAAGAGGCCTACGGGAATCCGCTGGCGAATCTGAGAGTTAAGTGAGTGAGAAGGAGAAGAAAACAGTGGGAAATTGAATAACTTTGCAGTTTGACCACGTTATATCATATGATGGACATTAGTACAACATACATGTACGTTGGCACAACGGTGAGAGAGTCCATCTGAGCGTTCCGGGAAAAAATGCGGAATTTTCAGGATAAAGACAGTTCGCCGCATGAACCGACCCATTATTCGGTCGATGAGATCCGCCTCGCTTCTTCCAGTGGCCTCTTTTACGAAGCGAAGCTCACTTTTCCGAGTGAATTTATCATGAAGACGTGCAATTTCAGACCGATTTCAGTAGAAGACGTGGGGAGAAAAGGAAGAAATGAAGGGAATCCGAGTGATTTCAGATGGACGAAAGAGTGCCGTTCCGACCGAAATGCATTCATGAAACAAAGGTTTTGTGTGAGAGAGCCGTCGATTTGGGACACGAAGAGCCGATTTGGGAGGAAGAGAGGGAGGAGAGAGTGTGGGGAGAGGAGAGAGTGCAGACGAGCACAGAAGAGGAATCGACGACGACGATGGCTGTTCAGCAGTTGGAGGTGGTGGAGTCGGAGGAGGAAGAGGAGGAGGAGGAGGAGAAAGTGACGGTAGACAACATCGGTGAATTCTCCGTCTTTTCTCTTCGAACCGATCCTCTTCAGATGGATTGCAATGGTGTGTCGTCAGTCTGACAAGTCTCTCCGTCGGCGCATCCATCGCCGTCGTCATTCTGAACTTCGTTCGTTGGGTATAATGAAGGTTCTCAAAACGTTTCCTTTATTTGAAACTCAACAAAACAAGTGGAATAACAGTGAACACAAAGAAAGGATAAAATAACAAATGGACAATAAATGAGATGATAGTCCATTTACATTTCCATGGCGTCTCCAAGCATGTTTCCGATTGCGTCAGACAGTTTGTCAGCTCTGTTGGCAGTCTTCTTTGCCTTCTTCTTTTGTTTCTTGATGGCCGTCTTGATCAGTTTGTTCAACTGAACATTTCCTTCGAGAGCGAGACTTTCCGGGAGCACCGGCTTGTCCTCGTCGATCGTCGGACCTTTCACTTTTCTGCCACTGGTAACTGTCTGCTGCTTGGCTAAAAAGAAACCTTTTTTTCAATTTTGGTATTTTCAACTAACTCTCAGTCTCCATCTCTTCATCTTCGTCTCCCTCCTCCTCATCTGAATTGTGTGGAACAATGATATCACTCTCCATCGGCAGTCCCTCCACAATCTGATTCTGCTCATCAGCAATCGCGTCAATATCGAATTCCTTGCTAAATTGCGAGACGACTTCAGCTGGTACGACAATCTCGTCCTTTGATGAACCTTGCTCTGGTGGATGAGTGTAATATCTCAGCTTTCCAGTGTTCCAGTCGTTCAGCACTCTCTTCGCAGCAGCATTTAGATCCGGACGAGCTCCGCGGCGAAGTTTTCCAATGCGACGAGCAAGTTGAGCAAGGAATTGGTCGACGGACGAGAAGTCAGCCAAATTGTAGTGCATCATGATCTAAACAAATGGAATGAAACAAGCGATCGGAGTTGACCAATTACAGTTTCTTTGCTGCAACGACGGAGAATAGCGTGGACTGGAGCGATAGGGTCGAGCAGATTGTCGACGCGGATAGCGTTCTTGAGGGCCACCTCAACCGGGTCTAAGTCTTTTTGACTGACGAGAACTACTCCGGGCGAGTCGATGAGACGGATGTTCTTGTCCAATTCGACCTCCTGAATTTCCCTGAAATCGTTAGCTTAGAAGCGCTAGCAAGGAGATTTGCTTACTTGGTGATTCCTGGAAGATTGCCCACATTGCAAGCCTTTCTTCTCTTCAGACTGTTGATCACACTGCTTTTACCAACATTTGGGAATCCTGAAAGAGGCTGATTGTTTCCACGATGATCCTTCTTTGCTTATCTTACCAACAATACCAACGCGAATGCTAGTCTTGATATCTTTGTTTCTGCAGTAGTTCGCGAGAATTTTCATGACGATATCAGCTCCAACACATTTTGAAGTTTCAGTATTGTTTAAGATAGCGCTGTTGAAACGACCCTGGAGTATGAAAAATAAGATATGAATGAAAGACAGAACTTACGATATTCGACTTCTGTTCCTGAGTCGAAGCCTTGAAAGCGATGGTCGGGAACTGTCCGCGAAGATACTCGAGCCACTTCTGCACGTTCTCACGTGGCACCAAGTCGATCTTATTCAGCAAAAGCACAAGTCTCTTTCCTCCCTTGAGAACCTGCTCTTCCACAGACTTGCTGCGACTTCCAAGCGGATCTCTCGCATCAAGAACTTGAATGATAACGTCAGCAATCTCGACCGTCTTTCTGACTTCACTAGCATAAGCCTTGATCGTTTTGTCATCAAGAGTATTGAACTTCTCTTGCTCAGCAGCAGCTGCAGCCTTCTTGTCGAACTCGGAACTCTGTTTGGCAGCTTTGGAAACCATACTCTCGAAGTTGGCGGGTAGATTAATCTTTCTCTTCTCGATCCGATGAATTTTGGCAGCTTCCTTGGCAGCTTCCTGGCGCACTTTGATCTTTTCACGTTCTTGCTCTGCTTGGATCAAAATGTCTTCTTTGAAAGGGCAAGAATTCGGCACGCTGATAGTCTTTTCTTTCTTGTTAGCTGTGCCTGCAAAATTTAATGCATATGAGATTGGAGAACCAATTCGAACCATTCTTCTTCGCCTCCTTCTTCACTTTTCTGTTGTGATCGCGGACTTTCTTCTCGATCTTGTAACGCTTGGCGCAACTGACCCGTTTGCTCGTTTTTTCTGAAATAAAATTTTTTTTCTTGATTGTCTTTAAAAATAGAACTGACTTAAACAATATTTAGCCATTGTGTTGAACTGTTCGGATTCTGAAATCAGTAATATTGCGCAATATCAATTTTAGCTGTATCGGTAGAGACGTTGTAAGAGTTTGAAGATAAATTGACCCAATTTATCATTTTTTCACTGAAATAACGAAGAAAATAATTGAATTTCACTATGAAAATTCAGAAAGAAGGCCGAAAACTTAGAAATATAATTGAGAATTTAAAGGGAGGCAGCCTGGCGACGCCCACGGGTCTCGACACGAAAGCGCATTTTCAAGGCAAAAGTACGGTGGCCGAGGATTTTTCTGGCTTTCTTCAGAGAACTAAACGTTTGAATTCAACAAGCATTCAAATGGGGTTCCGGAAGGTTTTTCAGCCATAATTTTGTTTTTGTTCAGATTGTGACTCTCCAGTAGTATCGATTTTACACTCCATGTAGCCGGTTATCGCTTCTCACAACGCTCTTCTTCGTTCTAACCGAATCTCCCATCCAGTGTGTTTCAGATGGCTCCAATAGTTCCAGCCGCGGCCGCCACAGCCAGATTTTCAGCCTCTGGACGCGAACGCAACTTCAAAGACAAGGACAAGCCAGAAAGTGTCCGCAACAGGTATTTAGAACGCTCGAAAGCGGGAACTAGTAGTTTGTTTCCAGCAATATCGTTGCTGCGAAGGCTGTCGCTGATGCTGTTCGTACCTCCTTGGGTCCGCGTGGAATGGACAAAATGATCCAGTCTGGAAATGGAGACGTGACTATTACCAATGACGGCGCCACAATTTTGAACCAAATGAGCGTTATTCACCCGACTGCCAAGATGCTTGTCGAACTCTCTAAGGCTCAGGACATTGAAGCTGGAGATGGAACAACCACAGTCGTTGTTATGGCTGGGGCTTTTCTTGACGCTGCTCAGCAACTTCTGTCGAAAGGAATTCATCCAACAATCATCTCGGAGGCATTTCAGAGCGCTGCTTCCGAAGCCGAGAAGATTCTCGAAGGAATGAGCTCACCAGTCGATCTTTCTAACACAGCTCTTCTTGAAAAGATGGCTACCACATCTCTCAACTCGAAGGTCGTTTCTCAACATTCATGGCTTCTTGCTCCAATGGCTGTCAATGCCGTCAAGAAGATCATCAATTCCGACAATGATTCCAATGTTAACTTGAAAATGATCAAGATTATCAAGAAGATGGGAGACACTGTTGAGGAATCTGAGATGATCGAGGGTGCTCTGATCGACCAGAAGACGATGGGACGTGGTGCTCCGACCAGAATTGAGAAGGCCAAGATCGGACTCATCCAGTTCCAGATCAGCCCACCGAAAACTGATGTAAGTGGTTCCCTGATTCATTTTTGTTTTCATAAACAAAGTTGCAGATGGAAAATCAAGTTATCATCACCGACTACGCTCAAATGGACCGCGCCCTGAAGGAGGAGCGTCAGTACCTTCTCGATATTTGCAAGCAGATCAAGGCTGCCGGTTGCAACGTTCTGCTCATCCAGAAGAGCATTCTCAGAGATGCTGTCAACGAGCTTGCCCTCCACTTCCTCGCAAAGATGAAAATTATGTGTATCAAAGACATTGAACGTGAGGATATCGAATTCTACTCAAAGATTCTTGGTTGTCGCCCGGTTGCTTCTGTCGATCACTTCAATGCCGAGGCTCTCGGATACGCTGATCTTGTGGAAGAAGTTCCAACTGGAGGAGATGGAAAAGTCATCAAGGTTACTGGTGTGCAGAACCCCGGACAAGCTGTCTCGATTCTTCTTCGCGGATCTAACAAGCTGGTGCTCGAGGAGGCCGACCGATCGCTTCATGATGCTCTCTGCGTCATCAGATGCCTTGTCAAGAAGAGGGCTTTGCTCCCAGGAGGAGGTGCTCCAGAAATGGAGATTGCGGTGAAGCTTCGCAACCTAGCTCAAACTCAGCACGGAGCCACCCAGTACTGCTGGAGAGCTTTTGCCGATGCTCTTGAACTTGTTAGTGACAAAGGAGCAACGAAATTTTAATGTACTGTTTATTTCAGGTTCCATACACTCTCGCTGAAAACGCCGGACTTTCTCCGATCCACACTGTCACTGAACTGAGAAACAACCACGCTAACGGAAACAGCTCCTACGGAGTCAACGTCAGAAAGGCAAGTTTTTGACCCTAATCCCTCTCTCATTTGCCCACCTGGTCATTCGAAATTGGCTTCGAAACAGCAATTCTAGTTCATCGGATATTAAAAATTCATGAGTTCGTGGTATTTCTTTGCCATTTCTTCATCGCCATTCATTTTGTGTGGTTGAACTGAAGCGAGAAGGCAGATTTGAGAGCTGGAGCGGAATGTGATGAGGTGCACGATCACTGATTGTTCGGTTTTCAGGGATACGTGACCGACATGGTTGAGGAAGACGTCGTCCAGCCGCTCCTTGTGACATCTTCTGCTATCAAACAAGCCTCCGAATGTGTTCGATCTATTCTCAAGATTGACGACATCGTAAGTTGCATTGAAGCGTTCAATGAACGGAAGACGTCATGAATCTTTTAAAATCTGATTCGATTTGAATGTCATCAGAAATGCTTGCGGAAACGCGGGAATTTCCGGAGCCAAATTGGAACTAATTCACGAACATTACCGGATATAAACTATTTTTTAGGTCATGTCTGTGCGCTAATCACGTCCGATCACAAAGGATGATGCTCCAGAAGTCTAGCGATGCACTTCCTCCATAATACCCCGTTGTTTGTTTCAGCTTTCGGCAAATATTGTTACTTTAATGCAATTTGCTTCATTCAATAATCTCCACTCTCACCCATAAACCAATGTTGAGTTTTAATTGAGTAATTGGTGCGGCCAATTTTTTCGAGTGATCCTCAAGAAGTGTGCTTGCTTTTCTGTATCTCCATCTCTTTAATGTTCCCCCTCAGTTTGCACCTTTCTTTTTCTTTTCCCTCCCAGTTTATCTACTTTTGTGCTTGGTGTGTTTGATAAACAAGTCGTTTTATTTATTGTCATCATCATCAAAATGGCTATGCGACACACACAGACAGAAGGGGAATTGGGAGCGGAGAGCAGTTGGCGGGGGATGGGCGGTTCGGACGGCTTCGGAAGGACTCACGCGTAGCTGGATCCCTTGGCGATCTTGCGGTACGAGTTGAGGTCGTGCGTGATGATGCAGTTGACGGGCGAGAAGAAACAGTTTCGCGAGCCGGCCAGTGCTCGGAGCTGTCCCGATTTCTTCATCGTCGGCAGTTGCTCCACATAGTAGTAATCCGGGTTGATGTAGAAACTGAGGGAAAACGGACGATACGGACGGGGACGGGAAGAGGGAACTCACGCATTACACGTAACGAGGATGGCGGCGAGCAGGACGAAGAGCATCGAGAAGCAGCTCATGATTCGGACGGGGAAGGATGCGTGGATTACCTGCAAATGGGGCCAATGAGTGACTAACGAGCGGAAGAGCGACGGAGGGAAAGAAGGCGTTACGCATAAGAAGGTATCACGAGAGTTTCCGACCGATTACCCGGTGAACTTCGTGCTCCGTTTCATTCGGAAATCACAGAACACCAGACGATCCGAATGAACTGACACTCGTGGAAAACGGAATGGAAATGTAAATGAAAGTGAACGGAATGTCAACGGCAGCCCCAAAACAAGAACAAGAACAAGTAGACGTTTACGAATTCATGAGCATTCGGCTGAGAAGCCAGCTCACGACACGAAGAGATTCTCTTTTTTTCGGCGTGCTCGGCAGTCCGCCAGGTGGGCGTCACCTATTTTTTGCCCAAAGAGCACGCGGAGACTCCTCCTTCTGCTCCCTCGGCCCGCCTCTTTTGGCTCGACAATGAGCGAGAAGAAGGCGAGAAGAAGGAGAGAAAGAATAGAATAGGATAGCGGCGAAACGGGCGAAGTATACTCGATCTTTGGCACAGATAACTACCCTTGATGACGTTGCCCGCACCGGGTCGACGAGATGTGCACTGCTGACACTTCAGTTAGTTATTCCAGTTTCCTATTAGATGGATGCTGCTTCGCGGGACTCGCAAAAAGAAGAAGATGAATACGGGGGAGTAGGTGGGTGCACGTCTGCTAAGGAACGAACAGCCACTTGAAGAGCAGACGTGTGACAAGTGGGATTGCTCGGAGATCCAGGAAGGGACCGAACGAGTAATCCTTCGAGCAGGCAGCACGTCAACTTCACTGTTTTCCGTTTCCGTCAAAATCAAAGTCACCAGTGCATGCGTCTTCTTTCAGAGATTAACTTCTATGAGGAAGCGTGCTCTTCTCTTTTCGATTACTCATTCGTGGCGCCTGATGTCAGCTGTCAGAAGCAGAAAAAGAAGGAGAGGAACGTGCGTCGTTATCATGTTTTTGTGCAAGTGGGTGGGATGAATAAGCAGAGCAAAAACAATGAGAAATGTACTTGGGAGCAGTCGCGGAGCCCAGATTTTCACAGAATTGTTATGTGTCTCTTTCTCGCATAAAAATTTGGATTCATTGCGAAAAAAAAGTGCACTAGGCGGACGGATGAGCGCATGTGTCCAAGTGTTTTCGGCCGATTTCCCATTATGTGCTCGCCAAGCCCCGGAGCAAAACAATGACAGAGCCTTTCGGAGCCGAGAAATGAATTTTCATTATGACGCCGTTAACGGCTTTATGTTTGGTATACACAGAAGAAAACGAAAGAAGGAGATGAAGAAGAAGCGTCGTATTTATCGGATTCAATCATCATTATCTGTCTGAAAACGGAGCGGCGGGACACGATCCCATAAGGAACCGAGAACCAAATGGGAAAGTGCATTTAATGGGGTCAGATGCAGTCAGATGGAAATCCTTCCGGGAGATCAACGCACAAAAAGTGGGGAGGATAGAAAAAAAATAGGCAGATAGGGTACCAACTTGATGAATAAATCAGAGTATTATTCGAGAGGAGTGTGATTGGAAAAAAGGAAACGAAACGAGGAGAGGGTCTTCGAAGTCAACACTTCCAATGCGCCGATGCTGTCGGGAACGGTCCACCCATAAAATTATCTCCACACTCTTTTGTCACATGATCGTCTGTTAGAATCAGGCTTTGTACCCAGTGTACGCCGTAGTGCCAATATTGATAGTTCTCCAGCAATGCTGATATTAGGAAAACAGGGGACGTACTCAGCTTATGCTTCTGATTCGCAATTTCAGGAATACGGAAGGGAAGGGTAAACAAAAGTAATGGGAAGAAACGTCATTGCACTTGGCGGCGGCGAGACGGGGCACAAAGCGTGCCAATTATGAGATTGCAATTAACTTTTTGCTCTTCTCGCCGTCGCCATCTCATCAAGCGCGTTTCTGGATTCAGTCAGAGTTCAAGACTTTCTTAGAACTGTGAAATTCCAGATTCTAATTCTAAGAGAACTGGAATCGAGTTAAAGCGTTGTGACTAGTTCTTTCACTTTCAATTACATATTAGATCCGAGAATAAGCGGGGGGAGGAGTTCCAGAATATGTGCAAGCGAATAAGGTCAGAAGGATTCTAATCGGGAAGCCGATTATCCAGTGGTCTTTGGACCTTTTTGATAAAAATATGCAAATTGCGCAAGTCGTAGTCTCAAAATGCGTGTTTTCTTTTGCTAACTCGAGACTGCCACTCGGATGTTTGTGACGTGTTCCCACGAAGATCTCCGATGGATACATATGAAAAGTTCACGAGAGAATGTTCGAGTGACTGGATGACAGACAGACAGCCCGATGAACTTCCGCTTCGATTCCCGACGAACTGGAAAATGACGCAAGGCGGTGGGCGATGGTCTCGAAGCGACTACCGTATCCCGTTATTAGATCACGCAATACTACTACGAACGGCCGGAAATGCAATAAACGAAGGCGACTGCGGGTGAAGAAATGGAGAGCAGAAAGCAGATTAATGGGGTCGAAAGGCGCGAGAAGACGATGTTAATTGGAATCGAAGTGTCGGCCAGCCGGAGCACTAATCGGGCAGAATTCAGAAAATGAATTGGGCGGAGAAAGCGGCGGGAAGGGAAGAAACACGCAGAAGGAGCGATGACACGTACGAAGGGCACCGGGGAAGAATGGATCAGAAAGGATCCCAGTGTAGCCAATTAGAGTCATTCTCTTCTTTTGGACAAACTACAGTAACCCTTTCGTACCTTCCCTTTCCATATTATTTGATGAGCTTTTCACGAAATCCTGACAAATTCGGTGCATGACTTCTCACTTCTCAAATACCGTAAACACAGCACAATGCAATCAAGCCTCTTTTCGAATACTTCACGATGTGATGAGGAGAAAACGTTTCATGTTCAACGGCACTTTGCAGGCACTTTTTGTTTGCAAACGAGCGTTAAAATGTGATGAAAAGGGGCGTGGCCTTGTCGCCGCATGTTGTGAGGGTAGATGACGTCGACGACGACGGAAGAGAGGAAAGAAGAAAGAAGCGGATGGGAGATGGTGTCATCCAGAGTCCAATCGGCTGACTGATTCTCTAGAAGAACGTTCCGGAGCGAGAGGAGGGGGAATGACGTGGTCTTCTGAAGTGGAGGAGCTGTGCCAGGGGCACAGCACTTGAGGTTGCACCCGACAGTTCCCACACGTGTTTCCCATTCACACCCACACTGTCTATGTCGGCAGAGGAGCAGAATTTCGATGAGTAGCCGCTGCTAATTAATCGAATTGCGGTGGCGCGAATTCTCGAACTCGGCAGCAAACATTACTTCCGTTTTGTCGTGTGACGCCCGTTTCTGTTTGATACAATCAAATTGGCAATGCCATTTATTTTGGAAGTGGTAAACTGGCAATTCCCGGGAAGTCCGAAGAAACGAAACTATCGTTTTATGAGGGCTTCCAATCCTTTCTTTTCTTCCTCATGAGGCCTCATGACACCCACACCCAACTTGCGAATAAAACATGCATACAATTTCAGTCACTTTTCAAAGTTTTGAAAACATGTCCATTATAGGCAAAGCGCTGCCCGAAATGAGTTTTTCACTTTGTGTTGATAGACGTTTAAACACTTTTTCGTTTCTCAATTTCAGGCGAGAAACGGAGAGAGAAGGCGGAAGTCTGCAAAACACAATTATGAAAAGCGTCGGCGGGTTACTCACAGATGAAGATGACTTTTGCACCGGGATCTAATGGAAATGTGCTCTGAGAAATAGTGTCCGTTTGCAAATACGCAAAGAGAAATAAATTAGAGTTTTATGAATCGACGGTAGTGGATATGAAATGGAGATACGAAAGTGGTAGTTGTGGTGCACAATTGGGCAGATACAAACACAGGATACCGGGCACAGAAACGGAAAGAATCAGATGAGTTTGTTGGCTTTCGGGACGTTGTTCTGAGGGATCCCCGGAGCACTTCCGCCGTTCTTGTTCTGGCTGATCTTCCGAGGTTTCGGGGCGTCGGGAGGACAGACGAGCAGTGGAGTGACCGAGAAGGCAGTAAGAGGACCGCCTGGAACGAGAGAAGGAGCTCGAGAGACCAGAAGGAAAGACTGACCGTCGGACGGATTGGATCCTCCTCCTCCGGCTCCTCCGACCGGACCTCTTTGAGTGAGAGCACTGATCATGACTGCGGTTGTGCTCCGTCCCACCACCGGTTTGATCTCGTGGGGTTGCAGAACTCTTCGCCTTTTCTTCGGCAGTTTTGATCTGAATAAATGATGCATTTTACAAGAATACAAAAAAATATTTACAAGCGCCCAAAACAGCTATAATATTACGAAAAGATTCAATTACTCAATATACGCATATAGTGACTTTTTGATTCTCTGAAAGTTACCTTGCTTGAGCGTGCGAATAGAACATTGCAAAGTTGGAAACAATGACAGGGACTGGAAGAGCAATGGTGAGCACACCCATGAGAGCACAGACTGAGCCGACGAGACGACCGAGCGAAGTCTGTGGAACCTGGAACAGACGGAATGCTAATAAGTGTGTGGGAGACGGGAAAACCCACCAAATCTCCGAATCCAATTGTACAGATGGTGATGACTGCCCACCATAATCCGACTGGAATTGACGAGAACTGGTTCTCTTCGTTGTGCTCCACTCTCTCCGCGTAATAAACCAGTGCAGCGAATATGACAATACCGAGAAGAACGAAGAATACGAGAAGGAACAGCTCCTGGGCGGAGGCCTTGAAAGTTTGAATCAGAATCTTGAGACCCGTGGAGTGTTGGGTAAGTTTGAAGAGGCGGAGAATTCTGATGATGGAGAAAAACTCAACCGAGTCCCGGTTGGATCCGGACAGGGCACGGTCGAGAGCCCAGTCGATGTAGAAAGAGACTGTGGCGATGAAATCGATGATATTGACGGGAGTTTTCAGAAAAATTGCCACGTTCGGACAGAAGATCATGCGAGTGAGAAACTCTCCTGAGAACCAGATATTAGAGAGAAGCTCCACGTAGAAGAAGGATGGGTGTGCCCTGGAAGATAGAGTGAAATGAATGGAAAGAGAAAGGGGGACACTTGCCTCGTGGCATTCTTTCCGACGTAGATCGTGTTCATCTGAATACCGTGCGTCGGACTGCTCACATTGCCCATCGACGTGGAAATGTCGATATCAGGGATGCGAAAGGAGGGATGCGTCTTCAGACAGAAACAGACGATCGAGATGATTACGAAGAAGATGTTGACGACTGAGATGACCTGCAAGAAGAGAGACAGTCAGAAAGCGGACACGCACTGCGCATTTTGGTCATCGTTTTATTTTCAGTGGACAGATTACAAGGGAAGGACTCAAAAGCGAATGGATTCTCGAAAATGTTAGTTGAGAGTGTTTGATCAGCCCGTTTGCATGCATCGGACGACCCGCCGGCCCTAGAAAACGAGGACACGGACACCGGACGGCACGGCGGATCGTCACTCACCTTGGCAACTAAATGACACACATCGAGGAACATAGTTTTGATTCATTGGCATTTTATCACGTCTTTATCAAAGTGTTTGTCTGTATGTTCGACGTGGAAAATAATGAAAATTATCAGAATGACGGAAGCATCGCGCGAGACCCGAATAGAGTGACAAGGTACGGTAAAATCTAGAAAATCGCTCCTGGAGAAGGCTTCTTCTAGGCCATCAGTTTCGAGGCGGAGTTGTCGTGCAGCGAAGGGCCACCGTTCGCATTTTTAAACGTGCTCGGCGGCTGGTTAAACGTCGCCGACGAGCTCTTCTTCCGATGCTTCCCGTGGTGCTGCTTTACCCCCAAAAGGGCCGGCTTCACCTCGTGTGCCTTCAAATTGATTGAGGTTGTCGTCTAGAAAAGTAAGAGAATCTCAAGGTCACCTGCAGCACTCTTCTTCTCTTCTTCGGAAGTTTCGCTCTCGCTTGTGAGTGAGAATAGAGGTTGGAGAAGTTGGAAACGATGACGGGCACAGGAAGTGCAATTGTGAGCACGCCCATAAGAGCACACAGCGAACCAACGAGCATTCCGAGATACGTCTTTGGGACCATGTCCCCGAAACCAACGGTGGAGATGGTGACGAGACTCCTGCAGGGAGATGCGAATGAATCTGTTGAGGAGGTGGAAATACGTACCACCACAGGCCGAGGGGAATGCTCGTAAATTGGTTCTCCTTGTTCAGTTGACTCCTTTCCGCGTAATAAACGAGCGCAGCGAAGATGACGATGGCGAGAATGACAAAGAAGACGAGAAGAAAGAGCTCTTGAGCAGAAGCCTCAAAATATACTGGGTGAGCTCACGGTTGGATAATATGCGAATACTAACCTTGAAGGTCTGAATGAGAATCTTGAGTCCAGAAAAGTGCTGCGTCAGCTTGAATAACCTGAGCACACAGATCATCGAGAGGAAATCGAGCGTGACCATTGAGCCTGAAACTAGACAATATTTTTCAGTTGAATGTCCACGAGGGACAAGTTACCAGTTTGAATGAGGATCGCATGAAGAAGCGACTCGAAGAAGAATGCTCCGGTCGAGATGACGTCGATGATGGTCAGAGGAGACCGGACGAATTTGTGGAATGAGGGGCAGAAAAGACTGCGAATCAACTGAAAATGGCTTTTTGAGAAACTTGTAATATCAGACAAGAACTTACAAGTTCGATAGTAAACCAGATGTTGCAGATGAGATCCACGTAGAAGAAGTACGGATGCGGAGACGTCAGCGGTTTGTCCGTGCCTATCGTCTTGTGATAGTTCTTGAAACCGCCCTCATCAACCACTCGTAAAGAGTAGAACACTGAAAAGTTCAATGCTATTCTATTATTTCCCCGAGGTAAACTAACCGTCAATGTCTGGAATCTGAAACGACGGATCCGTTTTGAGGATGAATGAACACGTCGAGGCGAGAATGAAAGCTACGGAGATGAATGAAATGACCTGAATAGATGGAAAAGTGCAAACCGGCGGCTCGACGAGGAACCGAAAGTACGAAAAGAGAGGATGAGAAGGGGGAAACAGAAGAGAAATGCAAGCCGGAAAACGAACGAAACTGGTTAGGAGCAGTCGGAACGACGCATGCACAGTCCGTCCGATTCGTGCAACATCGGGTGATATCTATCTATTTTCGAAAGAACCGACACAGAGGTGAGGAAACGGGAGGAGTCGGAGAGGAAACGGACGTACCCTGGCGTATTTGGAACTCCAAGGTTCGTCGAAAAGGGCCCAGACTCTGGGTTTTAGCCTCTGCCACTGTGACATGTTGCCCGTGTAGTAGTCATCTTCCCATCCGAACTTCTTTGCAATCTGAAACCAGCAAGGATCAGAACCGACGTGGGAGACACTGAAGTATGTACTTCTTCCTGCGTGGGAGGGTCTCCGTCCAGATCGAGCGACTCTATGACCGCCAGAGTGTCCTGCGTATCTCTGTGTTGTGTATACGTCATCCAACAGCATGGCTCCACCTGAAAACGATTCAGCTCGTGTTCCTCGGCAGTTCCTTTTCCGGAATGCATCATTTCCTCTCGCCTATTCACTTTTACCCCTATCCCTTTTTTGTTTTCGTCTATTTCGAAGATTGTCTTGACTCGCGCCTAATCAAATTTCTGCCATAACTTCCGCTCCGTCTTTTCGTCCCCCTCTAAAAACCTACTTGGTTGGCGTCTAGTCCCCAAAACTCGAGTTCTTCCTCGAATAACGGCCCGCAAACGTTAGTGGGATAATGAAGTTTACCTGGAACAGAATGAGGAATGAAATTGAATGAGATTAGCTCGGCTCACCAGTTCTGTAGTAGTTGAGGATCATGGAGAACACTCCCGGATGCCGATCGAAGAAGTATTCGTTGAGAACGGGATCGTAGTTGGCCAGGTTCGGCGTGAGCCGGGACAATCGGGTGGCCGGGATCTTCTTGAGTACGTGGCTGTAGGTTTCGTGTCGGATGCCGCCCACGTTCAGAATCACCCGATGTTCTGTGTCCATCCAGGACTGAAAACACAATAGTTAAGATAATGAATCGGATGGGAACGAGCGGGGCTTGGGGACTTTGACTGATTCTGCTAGATTTAGAATGTGGTCCTTGACTTTTCTCGTTTCAAACGTTTTTCTTCGAAACGGAAATCCACCAGAAAGCAACATTTTTCGTCGTTTGACCCGGAAACGGGCGAGAGAACTAGAGCACGGAGGCGGTGAGCAACTATCTGCAAATGACACAGAAAAGACTCTCAACTGAAGGCCACCTCTTTGAAAACATGAAGGGACCGGCAGGGAGAATGGAGCCAAAAAGAGAAGAGACAGGGAGAGCACTTTTGATATTCAGGAAGTCGCCAATAAGCATACATTTTGAGATGGATGGGCTCGAGTCGACGGAGCCAGCGGGCTCAGTCGCCCATTCTGTATCCGTTCGCAGATTATCCCACGGATTGGGAATGGGAAAAAAGGGAAGTGGTGTTCGAAGGGAACGAGCAGCGTCCGTTGGAAAAAGCGCCGAGGTGAACACTTCGGAGAGAAGAAGAAGAAGGCGAAGCAGAACGTTTTCGCGCATTTGCAGCCGTTTTTGTGTGTCGTCGAGCAGTATAGTGCTCACTAATTTTATCCAGAAGGATACGTCAAAGTCAGAAGGTCAGAAGGTTCTCGGTCATCTCTTCAGGAGGAAATTCACTTCCTATCTCATCTCTCATAGTCAGTCCCCTTACTGCAAGACTTTCCGGACACTGGTCAAGACAAGAATGACAGATTTGTTTGGTGAACTTGAAAAGGGAAAAAAGAAGGAAACAGAGAGAGAGAGAGAGGGAGAAGGAGAGGGACCGCTTGCCGTTGTGACGGCTCACGGCGACGTCGAGTAATGATGTTGCATAAAGTAATCCGACAGGGGTTTAGTTTGAATGAATTGGCGCAAAAACAGCGTCGGTGTGCGGACGCGCCTCTTCGTGGTTTCATTTCCATCAAGGACAAAGTAGAGAAGGCGACGCGAAGAAGAAGAAGAACAAGAAGTTCTTCGACGCTTCCCCCTCCTGTTATTTAGTTGATGAGCTCAAAAGGAGGAGCACGAAAGAAGCAAGAAAGGGAGCAAGAAGAAGGAGAAGAAAGAAGAAGGAGAAGCAGAAGAAGAAGAAGAAGACGACGACGAAGATGCGGCACAAAATGAGCTAAACTTTTCTCAAGTCGTTTATTCGTTTTGTCTTTGTTCTGCTATAAGTTTTTGATTAGGTCGCTGTGAGCCGGCGACGAAGGCGTGAAGAAAGAGAGAGGGGCGGAGTAGGGAGAAGAGACTTGCTGGAAAATATTGAGGAGAGTCAGTCGTCGAGCATGCCTATGAAAACACAATTAGAGGCGGGAGAAGGCACCGATCGGCTGCAAAAAAACGGGTTATCGACAGAGAGGAAGGAACCGATTCCGATTCGAGATATGGAAAGAAGAGTACGTGAGGGAGCAAGCTCTCCGGAGCAGCGGCACGAACAACCCATTGTGATTCGATTTGTTTAAGAGGCGCTGCGGGCGCAAAAAGCATCGCGAAATAGATGGATGGAGCAATGATGGGCTCGGGATGAGAGGTCGAGTGGATCAGTGGAAGAACGGATGCGTTCAAGGGGCACGAGTCGAGTTGCAAACTAAGAACATGCCGTCTCGCTTTCAACGCCTCATCCAAACGGTCATAAAAACAAAATATAACTGCTCTTGTTCTTGCTTTCATTCTCGTTCCCTCGGAACTTTGGATTCCGTTCAAGAGAAGAACAGACAGAGAAAGAGAGATAACTGCAAGTATATCATGAGTAATGGAAGGTAATAAATCTATAAATCATCCGAAACGACGACAAAATGGCGAAAGAAGGCCAAACGAGGGACGCGAATGCAAATGCGAAAGGGTCCGAGCATGATGAGTTCGTGTGATCGCTCGCCGAGTCTTCTTCTCGCGTGGAAGAAGAGTGTGAAGTGTGAGACGGCACAGGTATTTTGACAGCATTACACTTGGAAGAAACGACGGCCGCGGGAGCACAAATGAGACGGGGCCGAAAGGTATTTATAAATGATATCGCTTACGGGCGGGGAAACAAAAGTTTGTGAAGACGCGGGAGAACTGGAAGAAGCGACGGGCAAGACGGCGGCGGGGAAGAGGTGGTCTTCCCCAGTTGAGGGATCGAATTTCAGTGGAATTGAGAGAAATAGTACGGGAAAGAGAGCTCTTAGGACGGATGATGGGCCCTGGCAAAGAAGCGGCCAGATGGAAACATAGACGGGGCACGGTCAACCGACTAATGGGTCATTTTAGGAGGGAAACCAAACTAGAATGAGCAGGAGAAGCACAATGTTATGACGTGGCAGGTTGAAGGATAAGAAATAGAATAGAGGAAAGAAGGAAAGAGAGAACACTGAGAATCAGGTTTCATCTTCAGAGAGGGTTCACAGCAGTTCGGAAAAGGATAGAAACGGAAGAGAGAATTCTCATTGCTCCAAATTGCTCATAGAACACAACTGGGAAAGCAGAAAATTCAGGAAAACGTAAAGAGGAAATGAAGCAGAAGGAATGACTTACCAACGACGTCTCATTCGAATTCTCGCGGGCCCTCCGATAGATCGAAGCGCGCATGTTTCTTTCCGTTTCGGGCGGCCTTTCCTCCACAAATGATAGCGTCCGTCGTCTGTCCGAGGAGTCTCTTGTGTGCCGGGCGGCTCGCAAAGAGCAAAAATACTAATTCCCGTTGTTGCTCCCAAAATGGACGAGCCCGGAGCGGCTAGAAATGTGGTAGTGGCGGTGCTCGAGGCGACAAAAACGAGCAGCTGAACAGCAGAAAAAAGATGAAGAAGAGGAAGAAGAAGGGGCAAGGGGACAGTGTTGGTGAATGGAGGAAGCAGAGCGTTTTCACCGGAATGTATGGTGGGGCTCGTGTCCCATTAACACCGCCGAATTGGCTGAATCGGCTGGGTGCGGCGCCCGGAAAGCCTCTTATGACATGTATTCGGAAATGATGGGCTCGTCTAATGGGATCGACGGACGGACGGCGCTTCTTCTTCTTCTGTTTCTGCTTCTGATTCTGAGCGAAGGGAGGAGGAGAAGGAGGCGAGCTTCGGTTACAGATCAAGAAAGAAAGTGCAGTGGTGAATCGAGTCGGATCATGTTTCAGGCGTCGCGCTGACAAAAGAACATGGGACGTATCAGATGACGTGGCAGAACTTTGATGGAATGGAATGGTAGAAACGAAAACAATCAATCAGGAGAAGATTATCACCTGCTCGCGGAGCATGAATCACGGAACGAACGCCTTACCTTCGACTTGAGCAGCACCTTCTTCGGGTGAATGTCTGCGGCCATTGAGGGAAAGAGTAAAGAACTGAAACAAGCGTTGGTACGGGCGGGCGAATTACACAACAAGAGAAGGAAATAACATATTAAGGAGCCAGGGATTGTAAACAGAGAGCTGCCCTGAAAAAGGCATGTTTTTGGTGCCACTCTGACGGGCGGGACGACTCCGTTACCTGGCGACCAGGGAGTGAGACCTCATAAATCTACAGTAATATTTTTTATGAGGCTTCTATGATGTCTTCCCTTTTTTGATTCTGCTAGGTGAAATTGAGCATGCAATATGCAGTATAGTCTAGATATTGGGGAGAGTAAGTGATCTGAACGAAAAGAATGAAGTTTAGTTGGTCCCGAAGGGTTGGCCAATTAGAGTTTCTGGCTCCAATGAAGTAGTTGTAGAATACTAAAGAAGAGAACTATTTCGGCATAATATAAGGTTTAAGAACTGTGAAACAGAAGAGTATGAAACTATACTGGAAGGGAGGAAAATGGAGAAAAAAAGAGAAAAGAAGAGAATCTGAATACTCGAGAAGCATATTGAGACAAAGCACAAAGAAAACGGACGAAACATTTTGGGTGAAAAGACATGGGAAATGATTGGCAGAGACAGCGATTAAAGGAAGGTGTGGATGGAAAGGGAGGAAGAAGAAAAAGAAGAAGAAGAAGAAGAAAGAGGTTGAAGCAGGATTGGGGCAAGAAAAGATAGGTTAGACAATTGGATTGGAGGGGCCAGTAATCGGGGCGACCATGCAGACCCTGGAAAATTGCGGATAAGTCCATGGGAAGAGTTTTGGGGTAGCCTGACGGTGACTGACGAAAATAAATGGGAAGAATAGGAAAATGAGGAGGAGAAGCTGCTGCTGCAGAAGATGGAAGGGAGGAAGCAGAAGAAGATGAAGAAGAAGAAGACGAAGGTGTTCGAGAATGATTGATGACGTGGCAAAAGGACTCACCTCTCTCCGTTGGGAACTCGCCATTTCGACAGGCTTGAAAAAGGCGAGAAGCGCTGGATCCATGCTGAATAATTGGAAGTGAAACAAGAAAGAGAGGAAAAAGTGAAAGACGAAGTACGGAGAGAATGGAAGTGTTTCAAGAAGACACTTCTTTTTATTTATATGGAAATCCAATGGTGTTTGGTTTTGCACGAAGAATGAATGAAAGTGTTGAAAGTTTCAAACGAATTTTAAAACTTTTATGAAGTCTTTGAGGACGCTCCATTTGCCAACTTCGCTCTATTGAGCATTGAACGTTTCTATAGATTCTGGCGATGAGGCGTGACTGATTTCAAAATATTTTGGATGAGTCGAAGACAATAGAGTGAAACTCGACGATTCCAAAAATTCAATTTCCCAAAAAAAGATTCGAAAGAGAAAACGCATAAAAAAGTTCCAGAGTGTGTGGCACCGGAAGGCCACATTCAGACGGCAATTTTCCAAAGAGCGGCTAAATAAAGATTCTTTCCACTATTTCGGCGTTTTGTGGTTTCGTCACAAGTGTCGAGGAGCACACGGGCTTTACAAGAAGGAGACCCTGCCCGCCTCCTCTTCTTCTTATTCTTCGCCGATTAGATGATGTTCTTTCCATTCAAAACGAGGAAACGAAAGGTCGTTTTGCAGCCGCAACTGCCATAAAACGGAGCCCCGTATAATGGTTAAGGAGGAGAAGGCGTCAGGAGAAGGACGAATGAAGGATGTATCAGCCATGCGATGGACGGATCATTTTTCAAAAGTCGAAAAAGGAAGAAGCTCTCCGCTCTCGAAAGCGCTCTGGAAGTCACGGGCGGGCAAGAGAAGAAGAAGAAGAAGAAGAAGGGAGTGGAACGGAGGCCATTCCATTGGATGATGATGGCTGTAGACCTCTGATTTATCACCGTCTTACCTCCTTCCGCTGCAGATTCACCATGTCGTTGGAAGTAGAGTTAGTGGGGAAATGGAGCACGGACACACACACAAGCACACTTGTCGTCAGATGTTGATTGGTGTTTTTGTGATGTTACACAACTGATTGTCACAGCAATCAATCGGCAATCTCGCCGATTGACAAGAGAAATGTCCTCGGAGCCCCGCCCACCCGCAGAAAACACTCACCGTCTTGCGGTCTGTCATGTTAACTTCATCGAGCAGCATCCGCACCGACGACCTGCAAGAACTGGACACATTTCAATAGGGTGAAACTATGAAAAGACTATTCGAGTACTGTCTACTAGAGTGTCTAGCTTCTAAATTCATAATTTTGGGATAAGTTGAACAGCTGCTCTAACCCTTGTCGAAAGAAAAACGAGAAAAAGAAGCGGCAGTGATACGTGAAAAACGGCTGATTTGTTGAAAAGTTGCAACAACATTTTGCACAAGTGCGAAAGAAGCGTACTTTAATTAAACAAAGGAAAGGTGCGGAAACGAGGCGTCGAGTTGCCCTCTTCCACTTTAATTCCAACTTTCTGTGTCTCGGGTGTCACCCACAAGACGAGACTTCTCGTGTGTCAAAACGGGATTATCGGCCCTCCGGCGCCGTCGTTTTTGTGTCCGAGAAACATGAAGAATGACGACGTGGATCAGTGTTTGGGTAGACAACGAAACGGACGAGTTCGTTGGACCCTCAACTAGAGCGCACCGATGTGTTTAAATGGCATAGTTATTGAGGAGAATGAGGAGAAAACAAGAAAGAAAGAACGCCTTTCGCTACCGAATGATCACTCGGCTTTTTGCAGACTTAACCCGACCCGACCCGGCACGAAAAAAATTAGTTCAACGTAAAACGGAAGATGTTGGGCCCGGCCCAGAATCTTCCATTCATGGGTACCTTTTGCGTCCGTATCGAGAGAATCCGCGTTCGATCGTCCGTTCCGACGAAGACATCGAAGTGTCATCCTCGTGGATTGACAAGTAATCCATCTGGAAGCATCAATGTTCTATGGCAACATCACAAGGTAAGCAGAATTTGATAGTCGGGATCCGAATCCCAATTGAAAGTTGGACAAACAGAAAGTGGTTCTAGAAGAGAAATTGAATGAGAAAGAAAATGACAACAGGTGTTTTTTATTGCGTGGTCATGCACTTTGCGAACGAACCGATGGAGCGGCGGTGTCGGTGTTCAATTGAAAGCTGACGTGCGAAGAACTGATCGTCTGGATGGGGGTCTCGGTCGCTGCCTTTTCTGAAGCTCGCTCGTAGTTGGGAAGGGATTTGGAGGACATGAATCGGGGAGCGAGTGCGAAATGAGGAGCAGGGCAAAGAGCAAGAACTTGATGAAATTAAGCGGGGGCGCCCAGAGATTTTAATTTCCTGAAAGTCGAGCAGAAAGCAGAAACAATGAGTCACGGGAGCTTCTCGATGGGAAAGCGGCCCAAACATTCGGGACGTCATCTGAAGGAGGGACGATCGCAAATCAATGGGGGATGAATTCGGAACGAAAACGACGGCGTGCGCAAACAACATGAAGTGATTTGCACACGAATTCGTTTCCGTCAGTTGTGCTCGTGAAGCAACGGAAAGGAACGTTTCCGCGGCTGGATGGATGCGTGGATTCAGAAGAAGTGTGAGCTCAGCGGGAAAGAGCAAAAAGGGAGGACCAGTGGGCTGCAGATGATCCGAGAAGGGCGGTCCTTTCCGGCATCCAATTAGACACTCTTTCAACCGAGTTGTCCTTCCATACGAGCGGCCCGCGACACAATTGGAGGTGCCTTCTTCGTTGAGGCCCCGCTATTTGCATTCAAATCGACCCGCATAATGAGGGAAACAACACAAGTGGGTAAATAGCTAAAAAATGGGGGAAAAATGAAACAACCACTACAAACAATCCGCATTTGTTTTCAGAGACCCAATGATTTATTCGTCCTTCGAGGAGATGTTTCCCGACTGAGAAACGATTATAAAACAGTGAGTTCACAATCTTACAACAACTTTCGAAACGAACAGGATAGTTTTGTTTTTGCCAAATAAAATAACAGAACCATTTGATAGGGTACTAACTTTAATCCACAATGCAATCGGGGGCTTGAATATGGTGCAGGGGGAAAAAGAAATAGTGGGGTGAAATTCAGATAGAACTTAACGAGAAAAACATTGAAAGGGTTTCTATCCAAGGAGTGAATGACGTCTCAACAGAGGGCATGTGCCGCCAATCTCGACGCCATTTAGGCTTTCACAGAAGCTCAATTCGGGTTTCCCCTTCTACAAGATGGGTTTTACTTGACAGAAGAGGGTGATAAAAAACAGAAAAAGGAAACGAATGGGATTACTGTCAGAACAATCGGATCGAAATCAACTACGGAGAAGGAAGAAAAGAACTAGATGGAGGAAGCGAGGTTACGCTAAACAAAAAATGTTACAGAGATATAAAAAATGTGAATAAATAGGGAGAGAAATGAGATAAATGAGAAGGATCTTAGTTCTTCTTGGCAAGAATCAGCGTGTGCTGGTCAGAAATCGATGCTCCGATGATCGAGAAGTCTTCGAGATGGGCGGAGCTGATCTCTTCTGGCTTCGGGACCATCTGAAATCGTGATTCAATTCACTGATTTTTGACTCTCACAGCACTCACCTTCTCATCGTCATCCTTCAAACCGAGACCAAGCTGTCCGGTTGTGTCGAATCCCCAAGCATATGCTTTTCCGTCATCTGTCCAGGCAATCGACGTCGCCAACTTCGCTGAGACTCCTACGATCTTTGCGTCGTCGAATTCGAGCTTCTGAAGACTGTCGTACAACCAGTGTTGCTGATCGTCTTTTCCGGCCCAGTTTCCGAGTCCGAGTGCGTTATCGGTGTTCTTTCCCATAGCGAATACTTTCCCTAGAAGAAAATTGAGTTACAGTAGAGCCCGTAAACTGGCCAAAATACCTTCGCTATCGAGAAGGACGACGTGCTGAACTCCCTCGATTTGGACGAAAGTCTCGTCAGTTCCGAAAGCAGGCGCCTCAGTTGGATGGAAAACACGAAGTTCGCGATTGTCTTGGCCGTCTTGTCCAACATCAGCCTCGTCCACTTTGATTCCTGAGAAGAGAAGATTGCAACACGGCGAGAAAGCACGAAACCAACCGAGCTGGGCGAAGTTGTTGAGTCCGAAAGCGTAATACTTTCCATCTTCTCCGTGAACGATAGTCCAGAATCCACTGGCGAAGACATTTTTGGCGCTGACGTCGTAGAACTTCTTGTTTTTAAATCTCAGGGAAACAACCAAGTGTTCACCCGACTCGTCGCACATGAACTCTGAAACTCAGTCAAGAAACGTGAACGGAATAAATTGAATTACTGGAGCGGATAGTCTTGGTACGGCTACTCCGTCCCAGTTGGCCCATCTCTCCATCTCCGAACGTAAGGATCGAGCCCTTCTCGTCGAGCATAACCAAGTGATTCTCACCGGCCGCTATCTGAAAAGCTCTCTCATACATACTTGCGACTTAAAATCTTTACTTTAACAATCTTTCTTCTGTTATGATGAACAATGACAACGGGCTTCTCTTGCATTTTGTGGAGCAAAGGATGCACGTCAACATTTCCATTGGAGTTGCGGAGATTTCCCCAAGCAATGACCGTGCCTTGGTCGGTAAGAGCAGCGGTGAAACTAGCTCCAGCGGCGAGCATGACGATCTAAATTAGAGAAATAGAACTCATGCATACAGTTTCATTCTCACTTTGCCTTCCTTCGTGAGCTCCTCAGAGAACAAGACTTTTGTGAACTCATCAGTGCTGCCCTCCATCTCGACTCCGTCAGCCGGAACTGTTCCCTTCTCATTGATTCCGCACATGAACACTTGGCCGTCATCAGTGAGAACAGCCGAGTGAACACCTCCAGCGACAACTTGAAGCGGCTTCAGGTCTTCCTCCTCGAAAATGTCCACTTTGCGAGGTTTCTTTGTGGTGGTACGACCTGGGTGTCCGAGAGCCTCTCCTTCTCCACAGGAAAGCACACGGTCGCCAACAACCGACGGAGCAAACAGCTGATAGGTGAGGAGCGCCACCTTGGCTGAAAATACAGGGCTCGAAATGAAGTGTCGTGCGGTCATTATATAATCTACACACCTGCTTTGCGTCCTGGAGTTTTCGGCTCATTAAAAGTCGAATTAACGGACGAGCTGACCGTCTCACTGCCCTTACGTTTTCTGCCTCGCTTTCCCGGCGTAACGGCAGTGTCGGCAACAGTCGGAGCAGCCGAAGCGAGTGGCTTCCTGGCGCGTGCTCCTCTTCTCGGTGTCTTCGGTACGGTGTCGGGCACACTGTCCGCGGCCTCAGTCTCTTCGGTAGCAGGTTCAATTTGCTCGCTCGAGTCCTCGTCGTCTCCTTGGTTGGTAGCTCTCGAGGCGCTTGATCCTGGCTGATCATCTCTGGATCTCTTTTGGCCTGCCTGAGACATAATCAAAGTTCGAGTTTATTCACGAATGGATAACTCACCGCGGCCGCGCTATTTTGCTGTTCTTCCTCTGTGATTTTTTCGATTTCACGATCGTTTGGAACTTCAACCTCAGAGGTATCCATTCTTTCCACAGAAGACATCTTCTAAAATTGATATGTTGAGACAAATAGGAGGTGAAAAATCAGTACGCGCAAAACGGATAGGAGAAGGTTGATCAAACATTTCGACGGTTACAATTTAAGCGGCGAAAGGAAAAATTGAGAAATTGAGAGATAGAAGAAAATGGCATGAAGAATTGGAAATAAATCGATGAAACAGCGACAAGCGTGGCGGGAAAAAAGAAGAGCAGCGAACAGACACGAACGAAACTGCCGAAAACGCGTCGAAAAAAGTTGTTTATCAATTGACAACGAGCGAAAATGCGAAAAGACAGGGAGGGGCGGGGCGTCGTTCAAACTTGGCAAAGAGCGCGCGCGCTTGAGCAAGGGTGCCGCACGCGGATTCAATTTAGAAACATTTTGTGGCCGCGCTATCTTGGCGTAAATTTAAAAAAAAACATATATTTCCAAACTATTGTTGACCTTGAAAAAGTGCTTTAGATATCAATTTCGGATGAAGTACGTAGTGGTCGGCGGAGGAATCGCGGGCGTGTCTTGCGCAAACGAAATTCTCCGATTAGACAAGAGCCCGGAATCGGAAGTCATTTTAATTAGTGCTTCGAGTTTTGTGAAATCTGTGGAGAACTATCGAAAAGTGAGTATTTGTCGGGACAGATCGAAAGAAAGGGAAAGAGTTGCAGGTGGGCCAGTACGGGGAGAAATTCGACGTGAAAGAGACGGAGCACTCGAAACTCTTCCCCGATCACAGATTTCGTTTTGTGAACGACGTCGTCACAAGTTGGAATGCCCAAAACAAAGAGGTTCATCTCCAGAAGACGGGAACCGCGCAGTTCGAGAAATTGTGCATTGCGACGGGCTCCAGACCGCGAGGCCAACAGGAACTGGCCGCAGATCAACGCTTTCTGTTTCTGAGAGACACACAAAGTGCGATGGAACTGAGGAAGCAGCTGGAAAGCAAGAGGAATGTGCTGATTGTGGGCAACGGAGGCATTGCGACCGAGCTGATGTACGAACTGACAGACGTGAATGTGACGTGGCTGGTGAGGGAAGAATGGATTTGCGCATCGTTCTTTCCACAAGACATGGAAGGATTCATTGAGCAACGGCTTCTAGCTGGCAGACCGGACGGTAAAAATTCTCGCTAAAAAACGTGCGATCGAATGAATTCTAGGGTACAAACACGGCGGAGTCCTCAAACATCGGAGACACACGAACTCGTCGAGCCGAGAAAACATCGGAATTGTTCCGTTTGGCCCTGCGCTCGGGCCAGATTGGTGTGCGAGTATCGAATTCGGAAAAGGAAGAAACGAACGGACGGTCAGAATTCTGCGGAATTGTCAAATTGAAAAGTGCCGAACAGACGGAGATCTGGTTGTCGAGTACACGGATAAAAGCGACGGGGTCAGTAATGCCGCGTCCAAAGAAAAAAAAAAGCGCCCAAAGTTAAAGGAAATCCCTGAAAAATCCGCGTGATTTCCGGGTTTTTTAAAACTTTGGAAGCGGCATAAGAAATAAAAAAGCAAAAAATGATTATTTTTTAGAAAAAAGAACTGAAGCCAGATATTGTCATTTGGGCGGTCGGAGTGAGGCCGAATTCGGAGGAATGGGCGGTCGGAAAGGGCTTGAAAGTGAGTGAAAAGGGAGGAATAGAAGTGAACGACGCCTTCGAAACCTCCATTTCCGACGTCTTCGCTTGTGGAGATGTCTGCTCACTTTCAAGTTCCTCTCCAATTTGGACTCAGGTTCCCGATTCGTTCTTTCTCAATTCATCTTCCGTTTCAGAGACAATTGTGGACGCAAGCCCGTCAGGAAGGAGAAGTTTGTGGCCGATCCATGGCATCTGGAGCTGAAGAAGCTCGCATGCAAAGCATGTATTTCGAATTGTTTTCCCATTGCACTACGTTCTTCGGTACCAAGGTGAGTTTGGCCAAGAAGACAAATTTTATTTTGGAGATAAAAATAATACAGGGTGGAATTTTATGGGGTTGAAAACAAAACGTTTGTAAAAAATGAGACCACATTAAAAAATTAAATAAATAGAAGAACATGGAAAAATTTAACGACATCGCCCTGGAGATGTTGGGAAAATTAATGAACAGTCGATTCGCGTTGTGTAGGAGTGGGTGGACGCAATGGAGATTCAGTTGGTTCTTCCCTCGACTGAAAAAGAAGATATAGTACAGAAAACGGCTCAGTTTTGACTTACTGTAAGTCGACACATCGATCTTCTCCGGCAGCTCTGTGATGCTGATATCGAAGCGATCCTGGACACTGTTCAGGGTCTTGGCATCGTTCTCGTCAGAAACGAAGGTGATCGCCAATCCCTTAGTTCCGAAGCGTCCGGCGCGAGCGACTCTGTGCAAATACGAGTCCGAATCCTCCGGCATGTCGTAGTTGAAGACGATGTTGACGCGTTCGATATCCATTCCACGTCCGAAAAGATCCGTGGCGACCAGGATTCGCTTCTTTAAATTAACAGTTGCGATTTGTCGTCGACCTAAATCCGAATTTACCTGGAAGTCCTTGAATGATTGATATCTCGAGAGTCGCTCCTCTTGCGCCATCTGACGGTGGATAGCGATCGATGGGAAGTTCTGCTCCGTCAGAAGTTGATGAAGGGCCTCGCAGCGCTTGACAGCCTTGACGAAGATGACGACCTGGTTGAACTCGAGAGCATCCAAAAGATTGAGAAGGCGGCGGTTCTTCTCGGCCTCCTTCAGCTTGACGTAGTGCTGCTGAAGACCGTGCAGAGTGAGCTTGGCCTCGTCATCGACGTATACCTCCATCGGCTGAAAAAGGAACGTAACAATCAAAGTGATGTACACTTAGGAATCAGCAGGGGTAAGCCGGGGACAACATCACATGCCCCATGATCTTTGCTTCCGCCATTGTGCAGCAATGGTCAGCACCCACAGCTACACAGACAGAAGCCCGTAGTGGTGATCTGTAATCCGAGAAATCAGTCTACGGACGTCAGTAGATCAACCAACCAGATACGCAACACTGCGAACACGGGACACTTTGGATGGGGTAAGGAGGTGAAAGGGGGAGATGTTCCAAAAAGGCCGGAGAATGGTAAAATCGTACGTCTTGCATGAATCGCTTGCACACGGCGCGGAGGTCCTTGGGCAGAGTGGCGGAGAACATCATGACTTGCTTCTCTTGCGGAGTCATCTTGACGATTTCTTGAACGTCGCGACGCATGTCTGAAAGAGCATGGATTGAATGAGATCAGAACCAGCGAGCTCTTACCAGCATCTCCGATCATCTTGTCGCACTCATCGAGAACGAAGTACTTGACCTTGTCAAGCTTCAGCTTTCCGGAACGAGCAAGAGCCAGCATTCTTCCCGGAGTTCCGACGACAATATGTGGGCAGTCATTAGCCAGACGCTCCTCGTCCTTCTTGATCGGCATACCTCCGAAGAAGACGGCAACCTTGATTCCTGGCAAATACTTGCTGAAGCGCTCGTATTCCTTGGAAATTTGGAAGGCCAGTTCGCGGGTGTGGCACATGCAAACGACGGACACCTCTCCATCAACCGGCTCGAGTTGTTGAAGTGTGGCAATGACGAACACGGCCGTCTTACCCATTCCGGACTTTGCCTGGCAGACGACGTCCATTCCGAGGATGGCTTGTGGAATGCACTCATGTTGAACTGAAAACAAAGAAATCAATAAATAAAGACAGTAGCGATTGATAACCTTCTGACGGATGCTCGAATCCGCAATCCCCGATAGCGCGGAGAATTTCTGGCTTCAAAAGGAAGTCACGGAATCCGGAAGAGTGGATTGAGGCATACGTTCCTTTGGTCTTTTTCGCGTCGCCTCCGCCAACCTCCGGCTTGTCTTGCACCTCCTCCTGCTCTTCTTCGTAGTCGAGAAGCTGTTCTTCTTCCATTCTGCAAAATAAAAATGAGAGTTTTGAATAAATCAATGAGCGAAATTTTAAAACAGAAAGAAGGAGTAACTGTGATTTTGGGACGTATTGGGTATTATTCCGCTGCCATTCGTGTCAGAAGAGGATACAAATACAAAAAATCAAACTCAGGACAAAAAGAAAACCAAAATTTCTTGAGCTGAGCAACAGTGCACCAGACGAGCGGGTGAACGACGTACGCACTCGCCAGCAATTCGAAAATGGCGGCACGCGACGCGAGCACGCAGCGCGTTGGGTCTTGCAACGACAATGCGAAAATGGCGGCAATTTGAATGCGAACACAGCTCGCAGGGTTGTTTTGCGCGCGTAGAGTACGGCGTATCGACTGAATTTGGGTTGGGGAAGTGGAGAATAAGGAAATGGAACTTACAGATAGTATTTCTCGGAGATTACAAACCAGAAAGGCAGTCAGCGGGCAGTTGGAAGGTTGTGCTGAGGTTTATAAAAAAAAGTGTTCTGGGTGAAGATTATGGTTTTTCAGGAACACCGGAAAGGATCAAATCGTTCGATGTGTCGTCGTGAACAATGTGATTGTCGGAGCACTTCTGATCGGAGAAACGGATATGGAGGAGACACTGGAGAACCTGATTCTCAACAAGACGGACCTCGAGGGTATCTCAGAGACATTTCTCGATCCCGGTGTCGATCTCGATGACTATTTCGACTGATCTTCTCAATTTTCATATCATTTTCGTCAACAAAGAATTTCCGTTTTGAATGTCGTTCTGCCACCGTGCCATCTCAATCGATGCCAACGGGGTGTCTGCGTCTCTCGGTTTCCGATGTGGAATTGGTGTACTGGTCACACTCTTCCTCCGTATTAAACCGTTTTTGCTCTCTCAGGTCAATTTTTGAATGCGCTGGGATATTGTTACACTATCACTTAGCTATGGCATTGACCCGGTAGACATTGACTCAGGTAGATGCTCCGAAAGCCACGACGTTCCATCACACACTCTTCCTTTCAGATGTACTCCATCTGCAGAACTTGTCATTTCCCGATTGCGAAGAGATTCTCGTGGTGAACGATGCATCGGAAGACGTGGGATCGGGTGGAAGTGCATTGAATGCACTGATCCGAACTGCGGAGAGGCTGTGCTACCGAAAAAGGATTCCAGTGCTGACAGAGTCGGCTCTGCAGGATGCCAACATTCTTTTGATTCTAGTGGTGAGACAAAGGGGACCAGGGAAGGAAGAAGGAAAGATTTAAGAGTGACTTGAGAGCAATTCGAAATGTAAATGAGAACGGAGTGGCAGAAGAAGGAGACGGATACGTTTTCGATACGTTCCTCTCGCATTCCATCAGAAATGCGACCGCAGTGGCTGAGCGCACAGAGCAGAAGGGAGTGTGGATCATCGGAAGCGATTCTTTGTGGAAACTTGAGAAGCAATCAGATATCTTCGACCTGCCACAGAATGGAATCACCGGGTTCACATTCATCGGGTCGAGAAATCAATTGAAGGACCACGGATGGTACAGGACAGAGAAAACAGGGAAAAAGACCGGGAACGGATGGGCGCTTCAAAAAGTAACCGGAATGGAATTTGACAGCGAAGTCGCCGTGGATTCGACAATAGCGAGCCAAGAGAAATCGGCAGTGATTTTGGGATTTCTGTACATGCCGCTCCCGGTCGCCAGTGCTTTCCTTTCCCTCCATTCGCAGTTTCCAGTGGCTGCCACCACATATTTGGGAGTGGATTCGAATATCACCCCGCTCAAGGTTGTCTTGTCTTTTATGGATAAAATCGGAAATATTTTCGTTTCAGCTCTCACTCTTTTTCGATTTTATGTTGGCAACTTGCATCGGAGAAGACGAATTTGTTGCGAATAGACTGGGTACTCGCGTGAAGGTTTCGGACAACGTGGAGGATCGAACGAACGCCAGAAAGCAGATATTTGAGAAACTTCGATCGTTTCAGGCAACCGCCGGTAGGCGGTGTGTTCTCTTTCGGCTAGTCAACAATACTTTCAGCTGTTCTTGAAATCACCGAGTATAAATACAAAGAATTTCCGAACTCTGTGCGGGATTACACTGCTCTCCTACACAAACTGGATCAGCCGACTCATTTGCTGAATGCTGACGTCAAACGGAGTATCCGATCGGAACTCAGTGTCCGGAGGCTCCAGGAACCGCAGCCGGCCGACCTCCAACCACATTCAATCATGACCTCTTTTCGGAGTATCATTCAGCAGACCGACACTCCGGAAGTTCATCTTCGGATGGTATTCTCTGCTTCACTCGCATTGTCGATTGCTTCGGATGGGAAGGGCGGTCTTAGGAACGGACCGGCCAAGAATCTTTCATTTGCACCGTTGATGCACATGGAAAGTGGAAAAATGCAGACGTATTTGTTAGCGATGATTGATGAGATACTGAAGAATTGGATGAACGAACCGAGTCGAATGATCAGAGCTGGTGGGTGAAATGAGAAGTTTCATAAAGGATTTCGAACATTTCAGCAAGACATTTGGAGACTGCTGCTCAAAATTATATACGAAACGAGGTGGACTCTATTTGCGCATCAGTAACTTTCTCCATAACCTATAAATGAATGAATTAAATGTTCCAGAGGACTCTTCAATTGAAACGGAACGAAATGAACGTGGCGAAGGGCGTGAAAGTGTGTGCACCGGCTCGAATTGACTTCTTCGGTGGTTGGCTCGACACTCCGCCCATCTTCTTTTCCATGGACAATGCGGCAGTCGTCAATATGTCTGTGAAGTTGGACGGAATGGTTTCGTACAGAACCTTGCTCCTAGACTTCCGTTTCTCATTTCAGAATCCCATCAGTTGCTGGGTAACGAAAATAGACGAGCCGGTGGTGGAAGTGTGCCAGGACGGCATCAGAATCCAGATAAAGAACGAGGAGGAGCTGTTCTACGTGCACGACAAGCCCACCGAAACGGGATCCCTCGTCTGCGCTTCCATTCTTGCCCTCAACTTCCGCACACTTTCTGACTTTTTCTCTGCTCTCAACTGCAAAGGACTGCGAATTGAGACGAAATCGGAACTGCCACATGGATCGGGTCTCGGCACGTCTTCCACAATTGCAGCAGCCATTCTGAAGGCTTTCGCGGCACTCGGAGCAGTTATGAATACGAATAGGTACACGCTCGACGAAATTATCGTTCACACGGTAATCCGTTTCATTTTTTTTCAAATGTCTTTAACATTTAGGTACTGCGAGTGGAGCAGATAATGACGACAGGAGGCGGTTGGCAGGATCAGATTGGATCATTGTACCCGGGATTGAAGAAGTGTTATTACGTGAGAGGAGCGGGCGATGAGAACAGAATAGCAGTGAAAGAGATTCCGTTGGCCGCTTCTGTTGTCCGACTTCTGGAGGAACGTCTGCTGTTGGTGTACACGGGGAAGACTCGTCTCGCCAAGAACCTTCTTCAGGAAGTCATTCGCAATTTCTTTACATGCCCCCTCACGAAAACAAAGCTTTCTGAGATGGCTGAACGAGTGGAGGAATTCGCGGAAAGGATAAGGAGGGCAGATCTGCCGGTGAAGCTGCTGGAACAGTACCATTCCACGAAGAACTTCATGACTTGTTGTGAGCCACCCATTGTTACTGCGCTATTGGAGCAACTGAAAAAGTGGGTCAGATCGTACACAACTGCTTGTAGATCCTCTGTTTCAGGAAGAAAATGATCAAAGTTGGATGGGCGGCCGGTGCAGGAGGAGGAGGATTCGTGTACTTGTGGCTGACCAAAAGAACCGAGAGGAACCAAGTGGAGCAGTTCATTTCGTCTACCGATCAGTTCTCCAATATGACTTGTCATTCCATAACCATTCAGACCGTTTGTCCCTTCACCGTCGAAACTTTCGAATAAAATCTTTTCGGGTGTCACCTCGTTCTTCTCACATGCCTATTAGGTGACACCTACAGATTTACGATGCGTTTTCCGTCCGGCATCATATCCGTTTTATCACTCGCCTGCAGTCACCGAATACGCGCGAATGTTTACAAATGACCGGAGAAGAAGAAGATAATTTCAAGGCTGTTTTGTCAAAATTCAGTTACGGAAGGTGATGCGAGGGTTTCATAACTGATTGTTTATCGACCGCCCGTCTCCTTCCCCTTCTTCTTCTTTCCTTTTTCTTGTGTCTTTTGAGAAGGAAACCGATCAAGATAACGAGCGAATTGAGTAGACAAGCTGCTGATGCCAACGGATTCTCACACCTCCCAATGAGGCCGGTTTCCTTCGCCGGCGGTCGAACACAGACCGCATGCGCTGATTGAACGGGATTGACTCAGATCGATGCTTTTCCGATTTGTCTTCTGGCAGGCAGACAGCACGGCCCTTCAGAGTGCGGGTTACTGTAGACGATCCCCTCCGCCGACTGGCTTCCAGTTTGCCTCCTGTCAATTGGAATATTCGTCGCCAACACACTGATATATCTGTTTTTATCACCGGTCCTTCTTCTTTTTCTCTTTTCTCAACCTTCCCTTAAAAATGCAGCCCTCATAAATCTTCTGCGAATTCAACGCTAATCAGCGCCTCTCACAAATTCAAATATCTCTTTCTTTCAGGGCGATCCGTTTATTATCACCGTGTCTTTTGAGAACCCGTTCTCCTCGACCTCCAGCCTGACTAATCCGTCCGTAAGACGTAAGCCTCATCAACATTCACTTTCTGCCCATAATTTGACAGTCACTTACAACCAACTGTTTCCTCCTCGGATTCGTCGCTTTCTCTGAAATCCTTCTCAATTCAAATAAACTGGTAGATCCACCCCATTTCTACCGTATTCGTCTCGAAAACCAAACCAATAACTTAGCGGGCGCACCTGTTCGGCCCGTCTCCCGCTGCGTTGCGCCAAGCCTGCGTCACTTTATCAGTGGATTTGATCAGTTTGATGGACTGGTACCGAATAGCCCGGGAAAGAAAAAACACGGCGAAGGGGGAGTCGATTCGAAATTCGAACGGCATGTTGATTGACACGAGAGTACCGACCGTATTCCCCCGTTGTTGTCGTTTTCCAATTATCATATCAGTTGGGAGGTATGCGGGTCGCAGATGATGGAGGACTCCCAGTCCTCCAGCACGCCTGCTTGTCCCCGTCTACCGGTACCCGCATGATGGATCACTCTGCCTTCTTCTTCTGTTTATCACTTCGTGCCCTTCCGTGTCCGTCGCCCGGAATGGGTCCTCAGGGACGTTTCCATCGATTCTCGTCTCTTGTTTGTGTGCATCATCGGCCCGCTTCCTTGTTTTCTCAATTATCGCGCGCACTTCCAAGATAATTGTTCGGACGGTTCACTGTGAACTTTTGCCGCCTTGCCGGTAGATGTCACTTCCAATTTTGACCTAACGGTTATCTTCAAAGCGGCATCTGGGCATTCGGGCAGCCGGAAAAGTTTGGAAAAGCTCGATTGTGAGGAGGTGAGGAAGAGTAGAAAATTGTAGGTAAACTTAATACGAACTTCGTTTAAATTAAAGTGTTCGCCTGTCTTCAGCAGTGTTCACTGACTTGTTTTCTGATTTCTACCACCATCTGAGCTTCAAACTGTGGTATTTAGTAAAGACGCCTCTTAACACAAACTTCAATGGATATCCCACATTGATTACTCAATCCTCAGCCCAATCTTAAACTTATTTCTTTCGGATTCACACGGCATCCTCTCCGCCCTCTTTGCAAGTTATCCCGTCATATTAGTTTCAAACGGCTTCGCCATCTCATCAACACGCCCGTGATCCCGCCCTGTTCGAAGTGCCTTCTCCTCCTGAATCAGAATCAGCTATCCGTCCTTCTCCTTCTCCTTCCGCGACCGCCGCAATTTACCGTACTCCCCACTCATCGCTGTTATCTCGCGATTCAATCGGTTTCTGTCTCCCGACGCACTCTGCCGATTTTTCATTTTTAATGTCATCTCAATCACGCAGTCGATTCCGCAGAAGCTTATGCAGTTTCGCACTCGCATTGTTTATTCTTCTCCTTTTCTCACTTTCCTCCTCCTCCTCCGTTGATAATCTGACTGCCAACCCGTATCACTTGGCTCCAGAAGAAGCTGCTCTTTCCAAACGGCATGACTCCTCGCGGTGTTTGGAAGTACTCGAGATCATATGTATCACCATTGTTTTAGTTTTGCGCGAGAAGGGCAGTGTTTGTGTTATGTTTCCTTTCATATGCAAATATTGAGCAATTGTAACCCCATTCAACAAGCTTCTTCTTGAGATCCCAAGCCTATCTCCGACCCTATCCATTTCGTCCTGTTTTCTAATTTCAAAAACAACAAAGGGTCACTGTAACTTCATGCCTTTCCCGCAGTACAGTACTACTTGCCTCATCACAAAAAGCTTCTTTTCAATTTTGTCCCGAAGCAACAATGGCCTATCCTATTTATTCTTGCATTCCAACCCTCGACCTCCTCTCTCCGAATGGCAACCCGAATCTAATTAATTCTCTATTTATGGCTTTCCCCGTTTCCGCTTGTTTCCAGCAGGACCGTCTGGAGGCCCCAGTCTCTTCATTATTTGCCCAGAAAAAAGGTGGAGAAGCCAACTGATTTGAAATGGGACACCCCGACTTTCGCCTCTTTTCTGACTCATCCCGTTCCTTTGATTCACAATAACAAAAAGAAACGTTTTGAATACCGTTACGAAATGATTCGTTTTCTTTAATTTTCTTATTTCTCACGAGTTGTAGGAAGGTCTCATGTTCAAAGGCGATCAGCCAGTTATCACCGTACCCTGGGAATGGATGCCGTCGGCGCACGTTTCCGAAAAAAGGACTGCAGACCAATGCAACCCGACCGCAATAAAATATTTCAACAAGTCTCGACAATTCGAGGTCATTCCCATCGATTTTTCACCGAGAGGATGCTACCTGTTCCCGTGCGTCCCTCTCTATTTTTTACAGTTTACCCGTGTGGTCGTGTTTGTCCTCCTCTTGTTTCTTTCGCGCAACTCTCTGTCTCTCACCTGTCTGCCTCTCGAATGCTTGGTTCCTATCATCCTCCTGAACGCGTTAGTCATTGTCACTTTTCAATGCACCAAAGGGTTCCTTTTTAATCAAAAAGGCTTCACCGCTCGTCGCGATCCTTCTCTCCGTAACAGTTCCGCTTCTGGTTACCTGACCGAACTGTCTCCATTCGCCGCGCTTCGAGACGGCGTCTCCCGCCCGCGCTTCCGAATTCTTTACGATCTTCCGTGGAAACTCGTTCTTTCTGTCCCTATCACTCGGTTGCTTTGCTTCCACTCATCAACCGAGGGTCAATATTTTAATCCTCACTCAAATTGCTTGCTTCCTTTATTTTTTGCCTCCCTTTCCCTCTCTCCGTCTCTTCTTCCCCTCACATAATCACTTTATCTCTCTTCTCTTTCTCGCTTCTTCTTTTGGGAATTCATTTTGGATTCATGCCCCAGCCTCTCCCTCGCAGATTGGCTCTATCTCCCAAACTCCTCTCCTCGATCTCTTTCAAAACACTTTCGTCTCGTTCGTTTCGCAATAACCCCTACAGTGTCCTCTTTCTGTAAGCAATCAAGGGATCGTAAACCCGCTAGAACTTTTACGAAGAAATAAAGTGCCACGTCACACCAAAGTTCACTCTTTTCCCGAAAAAAGGCGAAGAGAGACATGCGCATCAGAGAGGCTCGCTTCCAAAACAAAACTGGGCAAGTAGTAATTGTGGTGCCCGCTTCCCTTGCCTTCTTTCCCTTCTTCTTCTTCTTCTTCTCCTTCCCGCTTCTCTCGCTTTCATCGTCTGAATCCTGTTGCGTAAGCCCCACACGAATCGCTTTCGCCACAGTATCATCTCCACTTTTTGCGAGCCGAGAATGAGGCTGACTTCCTGCCGATGAAGAGGGTGTTACCTGCGAGAAACCAACAATATCTGAACCACATCCCGCCCTTTCCGTACTTTTCGTTCACTGATCCGTGATTCAGCCGCATTTCGAGACTTGCCGAATTGAATTGTGTAAACCGAAAAGCGAACCAGCCGTCCTCAAATCCGCTTACTGTTCTCTGCCATCCCCTCCACTCAATCCAATGCATTTTTAATTTCCACAGGCTCCCTCTCTCTCTCTCTTCTTCTCCCTTCTTTACTGACGTAACTTTCTCCGGTTGTTCACACTGTTTGTGCTGCTTTATTCGCCGTCTCATTGTGGTTATGCGCGGCACTTAATTTGCGGCCAACACAAACATATGACAACCTTCCAAGTGGTACTTTACTTGACAGTTGCTAATCTCTCTCATTCCAAAGCTCGCCTGTGTTTGCTATTCAAATTCGTCATATTTGTACCGAACCGAACCGATCCGTTATGCAGATTCTCCCTCCCAACTTCTTGGAACTTTTCTCATTCTATCGCCTAGCGGGATGACGTGGCAATAAAGAGCTTCATTGTTCACTTTCAAATTCAATAATCTGTTTCATTCCTATGAAATTTTGCCTCTTGACTCTCAAGTATTCGTGAAATCTTGTTTGTAGCTAGTTCCAATCATAACTGCAAACCTGTATAAGCACGCGCCAAAACACTTGACCAGCTCAGCATGGCTCCGTGCTCCGAGCTCCATCCTCTTCCATTCTGTCTCTTCAATTGCGAAGTTACCACGACCTCCCTCTTCCCGGACAATAGCTGTTGGAGGTGTTGAAAGACAAAGAGTGCATTCGAGTCGTCGATTAGGTGTAATTTGAATGGCGACAAACTGTTTTTTCGCGCCCTCCTTCCGAATATTTGCTTCTTCTTCTTCTTCTTTTTCTTCTCCCTCCTCTTCCTCTGTTCATTGCTTCATTTCCCCACCCAGATTCCGATAACTGATGGCGCGAAACCCTTTCCTCGCCCAGAAACGATCAATCTTAGCTCCCGAACCGTCTCCTCGACCGTCGCCCTGTTTCTCCCGGCCATCTGTCAACTAATTGACACCTCTCATAGTGACCTGATTAGGTTGGCGGAAGACAACTTGCTAACAACTACTCATTTTTTTCAAGTCCGTTCAAGGATAACCCCGGTGAAAGATGTCCGGGGGAACACAAATCCTTCCGAATTGTTTATTTCTTCACAACAAAACGATTAGTCATTTCTCATTTTTGATCTCTCATTTCATTTCCGGAACCCATTGACACGTCATACGGAAGCACCGCCCTCTTTTTCAGCCACGTGTCACACTCCTATCAGTCGGTCGGTGCCAGCCATTCCGCTCGTAATCTGTGCGGCCATCAGCAGCAGCGGTTCCCGCCGTCTCCTCGACCTTTCGTGCCTTCCTATCCAAATCTTTATGACATAATTATCGTGTTAATTGCTCGCTCGGCTACCGCTTGACTGAACCACTTCGCCCGCTATCATGACCGTATCAGATGGGCGGCGCACTCGACCGTCACTCTGTTATGTTTCCCTCAGACGAAGTGTCTCAAGTGATGGATCGGCTGGCGCACAGATGTTAGGGCGCGAGTTGACACCTCTTCCGAACAGGTTCCCGTGGGTCTTGTGGAAGAAGCCGAAGGTGACGAAGACAAATGTTGCTGCCAGGATATATCGGTCAGCTTGCTGCCCCTCTTCTCCGTTTTTTACTCCGCAATGATCATCCATCGCCGGCCGACTCCTCCTACTTGTCACGCCGTATTATCATCTTTCCGTTACTCTCCTCTCCTCAGATTACCTCACCACTATCACCTCCTTATTCGTTCCTTCACAATACTACTAATCTTGTCAGTTGTTTCGTGTCCACCGTTCTTCTGTGGTTCGGGTGTGGCTGGTTCCTGGCGCCAATACGCAGATGGCGATAAGATCGGAGTGACAAGCACGCCTGCACTACTGACACCCAATTCCGTCTGTGAATAATCAGTGCGTATATGGTGCAGGCTATCTCTTCGAAACATCTTCAATCGCCAGTTATCACTTACCGTTTCATCATTGATGCGAAACGTGGCGAGATGAGTCATGACTTCCAGAATGTCTTGCCGTCGTCATGCTTCTTCTTCTTCTTCTTTTTCTTCTTCTTCTCCGCCCCCGCTTTCCCAGACTCCCCTCCCCTTTTTGCTTATTTCGACAGTCAAATCAATCTCAATCGCCGATTTCGTCGACTCATGTATCATCGCTAATTCGATCATTTCCTCCCTGTTCGTACTTTTCGCTCAACCCATTTTCTCCTTATCAAATCGCTTTTTTCAACCGCGAACCGCCGTTCTCTCCTCCATTTGCCCGTATCACTTTCAGATGAGGCCGCCGTTCGAGTGGTCTCCCCCCATTCTGCTGCTTCTGGCAGTTTCCACTCTTTCCGCTTTCCCCCTAGAAGAGAAGTTCGACGGATTGTTCCGAGCCGAACCGCCCCATTGCTCCAAAACTCCGATCGTCAGAGCCCAGACATCTCAGAGTAAGTTCTGTGAGTTATCGTCGGAAGTTCAGTCAGCCCTTTCATGCCTTTCACCACAAGTTGATGACTAATCAGTCTGTCATCACAACGATTTCATGCTTGTCCACCCGTAGATCATAAAAAGTGTTGATGATTCCAGATGCGCTTTCCTCGATTGCCCGAGGAATGCAAATGCAGTTCTCGATCGGATTGCACACGGCCGTCTGCTTCCGACTGTACGAGGACACCCCGTTGGCTTCGAATGTGCTCGAAGGATCCGAGCCCGGCAATCAGACGTCCCTTCTCCACACGATCAGACTGGAAAAGCTCGAGCATCATCACCCGGTTCGTTCCCTCCGAGAGAGTGATTTACTGAGCCCGATTCTTTTCAGATCACCCAAAGATACACGTTCGGAATCCCGGAAGTGCACGCCAATTGCATCTGTGAGTGCGACGCGACCTCCACCACGTGCACGGCCGAATCCCATCAATTCACTGCTTGTCCGGAATCTGACAAAGACGATGAAGCCACGTCGTGCTACCGTACCTTTTTCCCCAATCAGACACCGATCGGTTGCAGTGAGGATGACAGTCCAAAGCTGTGCTGCGATGTCCGGTTCAAGCCGTACAAGTCAGTTTCGTACCCATTCTGCTTTCAATGAGACATTATTGTTCCAGGAACATGACTTTCCTCGCGGTCAAACTCGAACAACCGTCCACTTACGCAACTTTCGTCTATGCTGCGTATGATTTCGTAAACGGATACTGGGTGGAGAAGGATAAGACGACGATCAGATCGCAATTGGACGGAGGCACTCAGGACAGACATCTCGACTCGAAAAGACGTATTTCTCTGGCGGTGACGGCCGGAGGGAGAGCTTCTCATCAGCTTGAAACCGGAATGTACTTCTCGAGAACGAGTAACGGAGGAGAGACCGAAGAGCTGAGAATGCAGCCGTTGAATGAGATCACGGATAACAAGTGAGTTGTCCGTTCTGGAATAGTACAATCATTAGCCCTTCTCAGTTTTGACCGCCTCGGATGGTACAGAATGGACGAATCGGGACACTTCCATGTGAACAACGGAGTCGTCAAAATGGATGATATTCACAAAGCGAAGGTGAAGAACTGTAAAGAGCAGACGTACAGATCCATTCTGGCTGCTAACAACTACGTGAGTTTGAAATCAAAGTAACTTCTGGTGACCCTTTGTTGTTCAGATGCCTGGCCATTTCAATCTGAGCCGCCCGTTAGAAGTGAGCAAGCCGTGGATCCAATCTGCCAGAATCTTCGACAGTTCGTCCCGCCAGGCAGTCGTCACTCACGCGGAGGGAACCAATCTTCAAATTTCAATTCATCGTGAGTCATCACGCCGCCGAACCGATTTCAAAATGTACATTTTCAGTGGACGATGAGGTGGAGAGTCAGAACCTCGTCTTCTTCCACAATGCTTCTCGGATTCGTGACTTCTCTGGATCTATTATTGTCGACTCCAAGTCTAACCGTCTGTTCAATTTGACTGTTTACGAAGCATCCGGAAAGATCGATGGTTCGGTCAAGATGTCAACTGGCTTTGCATCGGATACCATTCACACTTTCACCGCCTACGTTAGCGATCTTCATGTAAGCGTCCAGTACATTTTCAGCAGTGGAATAAACAGTTGCAGGCTTCCAACCGTTCCATGATCATCCCATTGCCTGCAATCGTCGGTCAAGGCGCGAGGACAATCTGTCTGCGAGCAGATTCTCAGGCTGATGTTGACAGCGTCTGCCACGTCATCGAGTACTTCGAGAGCCCCCTTGAGGTAAGAACAACTCTCCCAGACACCGAATCTAAATCATTTTCAGATTGATCTTGTGGAAGGCAAATGGCACGAGATGATCGGTACGTGCCCAACTTGCAATCAGATCAACTTCAATGGAATGATGAAGTTCCTGAACCCCGCCCACTGGATCAAGGGGATCTCGTCGATCGGAGACGGAATCATGGTCGCCACGGACATTGTAGTGTACTTCGGAGTCCTCTGCATCCTCTATCTGCTCATAACGAAGATCATAATCCCGCTCGCCAAGTGCTGGATGTGTCCGTGCTCCATCTCTTTCTGCTGCTTCTCCTCTTCGTCGTCCTCTTCCAAGAGCAAGAATGACAAGAGGAAAAGAGAGAGAGAGGAGAGACGCAGAAGGTGATTCCAGTTGCATATCTGATCTTTCTCTAACAGAACTTTGTTCAGGTCGATGGCGCCTTCTCCGGAGCCGCATGACACTCTGGCCAGATACCACGGCACTCCATCCGATCGGTACTACACCAGCAGTCAGTACATCTGAACCCATCGGAGCATTCATATCTCGTCCTTTGTTATCTCGTTCATTTATGGGTACATGACGGTTATTCCCCCTTTCCTATTCAGTTGTGAGTCCTTCCACGGGTCTTTCCCCATCTGTAATTTTCCCTATTCTGTGATGTTTCTGCCTATTTCTTTCCCTATCTCTTCCACTTTCCTGACCTTTTTTCCCTTTGTGCCTTTCATATTTTAAACGGTGCTTCCTGTCACGAGACCAAATTGTACGCCTGCTGAGCGGGTGCGAGAGTAATAAACTTATTCATTCTTTATTCAAGTTGAGAACATGGTGACGGCTAAGATCTGAAACCCGAAAAGGGGAAGAAAAGTCATGAGTTTTCCATGGGAAACGGTTGGAGAAGCACCCGGGTAGCTAGAGATTCGGACGGGGTTAGCAGTTCCAGACGGCAAAGAAAAGGAGAAGAGAAAACGGGAAAAAGGCGGATGCCACGTCACTGGTGGCGGAGTACAGGAAACCGGTGAGGAGCGACGGGGAGCAGCTGTCTGAAATGAACGAAATGAGAAGCGGAACAAATGAAAATATGTCAACCTGAAGAGGTAAAATTCAAAGAGACATAAGGACTGGCACTGTTGACCGAGATGTCCTCGCATGAGACACGGTCGTACACGCGTAGGAGGTTGATGCGATCGGAGACGTACGTCTGAAGAAGTGAAAGTTCCAAGGGAATTGTGCATGCTTCACTTTCACATACCATGCAAAACAATTGGCGGGAGAGACTGTCTCGCGTGATTATGAAGTCATTGTCTTCGTGTTTGAAGTTGGCAACGCAGGTGAGCTCATCTGAAACCAAAAATTTAGGAAAGATCATCAAAAGGAATGAATACCTCCTTCGGGATACGAACAGTCTCGCACCAAATTCATGGAATACTTTGAAGAACATCCGACTTGCAGAATAGGACCCGGACACAAGTTGGAGTAGTGTTTTCCGCCGATTGGACACGCTTCTTTTGATCCTTGCAGAATCAAAGTGTCCCTTGACGCGACGTGGAACTCAGAACAGTCTGCGAATGACTCCGAAGCACTGATCTCTCCGTATTCGACGTGCAGAATGTGAGGTTTACGCATATGAACCTGGGAAAAGATTCATAAGGTTGGCAATGGAGGAGATAACTCACTCTGACGCACTGATATCCTACTTTGCAGCCTTTTGTCACATATGTTCTGTACGTAAAGTGTTCATGAGTGTCCGTCGGAAACTGCTGGAGACATGTCCAAACAGTATCATTGCGTCCTTTCACGGAAGAAACCCAAGCTCCCTGATAGACCCGATGGTAGGTTCCGAGGAGCATCGACTCCCAGTTACGGGCTTTCTCTCCGTACATGTTTAGAGGGAATTCACATCCCGAATGAACAGGCGAATCTGTTAAACAACTGGAACTAGGCTCTCTCCAGTACACGGTACCTTGTCTGTAATGAAGAGTCGTGGCCGCTGCTCCGATGTGTGTCAATTCCTGGCATCCAGCATCTGCCGACTCACCGATCCTTCCGCTGCTTCCCGACTTGTCCAGGATCTGAATGAATTGGGAACTTCAGATATTTCGTGACCCGAACCCTTACAAAGCATCTGTACTGCTCTCCGGCGCTGTATCCAACTCTCGCCGCGAAGTAAGAGAGTCCGAATGACTGCCACGATCCGATGCATTCCATTTGCCAGATCGCAGACTCTCGGTTCGGAATCTCTGGACAGGCCTGGTAATGGAGAGCCAGTCGGTCATACTGAGCACATCTGTGCAGGTAGGAGGTCCGACTGTTGCAGACTCCCTGATTAGTTTGATAGGTAAAGTTCATGGGCGCCTCAATTGGACATGGAACTGGAATAGCTTCTTCTGAAAATCACAAAACAAATGAAATCCACGAGCATAATTCTGCTTTCACTTCTGAAGAGAGTGTGCATTGTTGTGTCTGCACTCATTAATTGTGAACACTTTTCCAAAGACATTTCTTGGTCGAAGATGCATTGAGCTGAACGTTTTGAGAGGGAATTTCGCGAGAGTCGGTGTCAGTCTTACTTGTTTTGTAATGCAGCACATTTTCATGAACTGGGAAAGTGATAAGACAGCGATAGCAGGGCCCTCTTGACCTGAAATCTTTTATTGTATCATTTCAGGGTTACTACTGACGTATCACTGGTGAGCAGGTAGAGATCTCTGCTCTTGTGCACACAATTCCCGAGGTTCCCGATCGCATTGTGAGTTATATTCAGTTCACTGCCGTTCTCCAGCCACACTCCAGTCCATGGCAGCCGACATCTCGACCCTGAAACAATTTCATTTCGTCTTTTTTGCCGTTTTCCCATAAAATAGAAGCCGCCTTGTTTTTTCCTCTCTGGCCCCTCATCCCCTTGGGACATCCGGCCGTCGTAATTATTCTCCCATCCAGCTACTCGCATCCAAAATGACACGGAATTCGAATCATTCGAAAGTAAGTATACAATCGGAAAGGAACTCGGACGGAAGAAGAAGAAGAAAGATGCGAGTGCGAACAAGTTTCATCCGTTGCTAGCCCCTCCTAATTGAGCGTCTTCCGCTTGCTCACATATTTGTACATGTCTCTAACTATGCATATGCATCTATCCATATCTAAATGTTCCTGCCGAGTCATTGAATCCCTCTGGGAATAAGTTTCCTGCAGACATCGTCATGGCCGTCGGAATTTTTTGACGCGTACTACTAACGCGCCGAAAATGTAGGTTCAATTTGGATGGCAATTGAAGGTGGTCACGCAATCCCGCGGCCCCTCTCGAGCACTACGAAGGCGCTTTTTAGGCGCGAGAGCCATTGGGTAAACAATGGATTGTAGGCATCTTTGAGTAAATGTTCCACAACTCAATTATCAATTTTCTCCCACTGAATTCATTGTACAATTATAATTGGATTCCTCGGCAAGATCTTCTCTCTTTGGCCTGTGCTCGACCATATCCAAGCCATATATCTGCCATCCACCAATTAATTTGTCCCTCGAGAATGTCCTGCTTCCATCCCAATTCGTTGCCAATCGACGCCGCCGCCGCCAAATTGATGAGTCGTGACGGAGGAGAAACGGCACAAAAATTGGTGGCCCGATTGTTCGTGCACGCGTGTCTCTCGGAGCCGCTAAAGGCACTGACGGATAATGCGATTTTTGACTGCGGGACGAAAGCAGACGGATGGACGGAGCATGTCCGAAAGATTCGAGGTGTTCGGAGGGCGACTTATATCCGGCGATGGGAACCTTTTTATGTTCGAGAAAAATTGTCATTCCCTCTCTCTCTCTCTCTCTCAGTCAGTTGATGGACTGGCGAGTTCCCTTTTCACACCCGAATGCCCCTTTTCCTTTGCTCCACGCACCCATCTATAATAAGCCCAATCACTTGGCGTAGGCTGCATTACGCCCTTTGCGAGGGGACTAGAATAGTCGTACATTGGAATTACCATTAATCCCAGTGCCTTGACACTTGACACGACTTGTCTTGATGATAACTATCCATAAACCACTAATCCAAGGGGACCAAAACATTTGTCCTCCTCCGCATGCGCTTCTTTTCCTCTGCACACAAATATATCTGCGCACGCAATCAAATCAGTGAGTGCCAAAAGACAAGGCAATGTGCCCTGAGGCATCTCGATGCACTCTCCTTCTATTCCTCTTTTTCTCGCAGATTTTTAGTCGAGATATTCGGGGCGTTTTGGTGACGGAAAAAACACAACTGACCTTCGGAGAGCACGAGGAGCACGAGAAGGAGAAGGAGGACGACGGACAGGTCGGATCGCATGGTGGCTCATGACATTGGTACGGAGCACTCGAAAGAAAGACTTCTGCAACGAGAGACAGCCAAATTGCGGGGTGCGAAACGAAAAGAGAAGGAAAGTTGAAATGAAGGGAAAACTGTTATTATTGGGGAGTCAGTAGTAGTACGAAAAGAAATGGAAATGGCAGCGGAAAAAGCGAAAGGAAGCACTATCAGGACAGTAGTGGAATCGATAAAAACCGAACAGAAATTGACGGAAGGGAAGCGGGCTGTTATCAGTGGAAACTGGGCGACGAAGATTCGAAGGGAAAGACCGAAAACGAAGATTTGAGAGAGAAAAGAGACGGGCGGCCCGCTAATTAGAGGGTGATGACGAGGTGGAAGAGGAAAAGAAAGGGGAGCCGCGCGGATTGAAACGAAAAAAGGGGAAAAGGAAAGGGGAGGGGCTCTTGAGAAGACGAGTGGACTCTCCGGGAGCTCCTAATTAGATACGATGGCTCCCATATTCCTCCAGAATCGAAAGAAAGGAGTTGGAGCCGGTTTAATGAGAGCAGAAGAGGCCAAGGAGCCAATTGAATTCCGAAGAGAGACCCTCCCAGATTTTGCAGAATTACCAAGAAGAATTGAGAGAGGAAGAAAACATTTGTGACGTGGAAACGAAGAGTTCCACTTTGTCGGAGTGTGTTGTGGCAAACAGGAAGCGGCAAAAAAAGAGTGACGCAAGAGAAGTGAACTGTGAAAGCGGACGAGCAACACCCAAATGGGAGCTAATAGTAGTCGTACCGGACGAATAATAATAATAATGTGTTCTTCACTTTTATTATTAGAATGAAATGAAGCGCCTCGCTCTGCAGTTGTGGCGTCGGAAAACAAGGAGAAAAGGGAGAGAAGGAGCGGCTCGTATGTTCCAAATAGAGTCACACGTTTTTCGTGTTCCGTCCAAGTGCGCCGCCACAAAACGAGAAAAGACTGAGCCGGCCGCTTGCCTTCTCGCTCCCCGGGGCGGGGCGAGCCGGACACCCAAAGGCCACCCGAAACGAAGATGTCCTTTGGGGTGGTGGGAAGGCTCTCGCGACCACGAAAAGCCCCAACCTTTTTCCCTTTTTTTCCGCGTGTTTGAATTTGTGATTTGATATGTGCATAATTCAACAAGTGGCCCAATAGAAGGAGTCAATAAGGGAGTGTCGCCCTCTTCAATCTCACCCACTTTTTCTTCTTCTTTTCGCTCATGGATTTGTTTTTATTCACGACGTTATGTCAAAGCCTCCTAAATATCCAGCACGTCGGAAATCAATTGGTTTCGCCGTTTTCATTTTCGGCGAGGGAGACAGAATGGCAGATTTATCAGAGTGTAATGGGAATGCCATTTTTGAAGGGAAAAAGAGAAGTGTTCCATGCTGTAAAGCAGATTAATGTACCTCTAATCGAGATGTTTGTGATGGGAAATAAGAAAGTGTACGGGCTACGATGTTGGGGAGAAAAGGCTAAATTGTCGACTGCAGAACAGGTGCCGAAAGAAAAATGAAAAGGGTAAACATTTCACATGATTTTTTATGTACCTTTCTTTACCCAACTACCGTAACCTTTACGAGGCTACCCCGAATCAGAACTGTCCCGGATCAGATCGGCAGGTGGTTCTTACTACATAAAGTCATGTTTTGACCGGTTCTGATTCGGGGTAACCTCCTAGACATGAATTTTCTTTTGCGGCCGTTGGACACATGGAAAAGAACAGAAAGATACAAAAAAATACAATAAGTATTCTAGGTTATTGAGAGCTATGAAATATGTCTGCTTCAGAAGATAAGTGTCACTTTTCAAGTTTTGAGTGAAAACTCAACTCGCAACCTGCAATAACGTCTTCAAAATGACAACCGAGCATAACCTGCAATTGGAACTAAGAATAGACGATATGAAGTTCTGTGCTCAACTATACGAAACACCCCGGCAAGTCCCCCACCGATGATTCTCATTCGGCCGAGTAATCGAAGGTGTTTGATTAGCTGAAAGTCAATCAGCCTCGTAAATCTCCCATGGATATCCTTCCCAGCCACATTCGTCGGCTAATCCGCACTTCAAAAAAGTGTGAACACAATTGCGGAAGTGTTTGTCTGCAGATGGAAAAAGAACCCGTTCTTGTTCGAACTACGTTGCGCAACTCTCTTTTTGTGCGGTTCTCAATCGGCATTCGAAGAAAGACACCTTTATTTGGAAGCATACATACAAACAACATGAATAAATGAAAGAAAAGAGCATCTAATATCCTGGAGCGGTTCTTGGCGGTGGGCAGTGATCGCAGCCGCCTCCCTCTCCTGGCTGTCCGGCTTCTCCTTGCTCTCCGGCGGCTCCTGGCTGTCCGGCGGCTCCATCGGTTCCGGCGTCTCCGGCTGGTCCCTGTGGTCCGTCCTGTCCTGGCTTTCCAGCAGATCCTGGCTGTCCGTCGGTTCCTGGGGCTCCCTGTGGTCCGGCGGGTCCTGGTGGGCCTGGTGGGACGGCGATCTCCTCGACGACTCCTGGCTGTCCGTCTTGTCCTGGTTGTCCGGCAGCTCCGTCCTGTCCTGGTGGGCCTTGTGGTCCGTCGTTTCCTGGGGCTCCTGGGGCTCCGGCCTGTCCGTCGTTTCCTGGAGCTCCGTTGTTTCCTGGGGCTCCCTTTGGCCCTTCGTTTCCTGGTGGTCCTGGTGGTCCGGCTGGGCAGTCGAAGCAGAAGTCGTCGGCAGTTGGGATGGCCTCGGCTGGAGCGTCGCTTCCCGGTTGTCCGTCTGCTCCTGGCTGTCCGTCGTTTCCATCGCGTCCGTCCTCTCCTGGAGTTCCTGGTGGCCCAGCTGGTCCAGATCCGCACGAGCAGCATTGACCTCCGGCTTCGGCAGCTCCGGCAGAGACGGCGGAATCGGCGGAGTACTCGGCTGGGCTTCCGTATCCAGCTTGACGCTTCACAAGCTTCTTGACTCCCTTGATGCGCTCGTATTGTTCGAAAAGACCATTGGTGCGATGGACGCAGAAGTCAACCTGAAAATGAAAATAAAGATCAGCTGGCGGAAAAAGAAGAGTACCTCGGTTTGAAGGGTGGATTGGACAGTCTGCATGTAGTTATACAGGGACGGAATGGCGACGATGGCAGTCAAAGTGGCCACAGTACTGAAAAGAAATCATTTTGAGACAAGAAGCGAATAGGCACGGATACCTGATGCAGATGCCGAAGAAAGCAATCTTGCGAAGGCCCTCGGCCTCTTGCATCAACTTCTTCTCGTCCTGGTACATTGTTCGGATCGGTGAGGAAACGATGCAATTGACGACCGACGCGGCGCTTATATACCCAACTTTAAACTGACTAACGAGCCGCTTCTTCGCAACAGGTCACTACTGAAAAACGGCATCGGCGCCGTGCCTTATGCAGTTCAGCGTAACAAAAACACGGTCTGCGCGATGGCGACGTCTGCGTCTCCCGCCTCCACGTCCTCTCCTTCCTCTTTGGTTTTTTGTGAGCGAGGTTGCGATACGCGCTGATTTGGATGAACCTGTGAAACGACGATGGTATCTGGTGGATGAGATAAGCATCTTTTTTTGCGCACCGACGCCTTCGCTGATGTTTAAGCTGCGAAAGCGGTGGCAAATTCAAGCGATTCTCGACACATTACAGTATTGTAAAACAAGATTTATTTTAAAGTTCTCTATTCTGAAACAATGCGAGATTATTATCACTCTACGAGATCAAACACCGGGCGTTTTCATAGAAGCTGGGGGTTACCGGAAATGCGTGGGAGTTAGTACCACACCAAAGTAAACTTTCTTCCGATCCTTCCCACAGTTCCGCCCGTTCCAATCCGTGAGTAATTTGCCAAACACTCCCGGATGCTGTCGTTTAGTGCCACCTTTCGGCCCTGCGTGAATCCTCGGAAGGTGGCAATTAGTCCATTATCAAAACAAAACTCGGATCGCTGTTTACGACGTCCGGGAAAATGATGTTTCTATTTGTGTGCTCATGTGCTCAGCAGCTCCTTCGCCCGTCCATCTGGCTCGATTGCCGGCTACCGCTATCATCCTCAATTTCCGTTTTTTCGCGCCTTTCTGCACTCCGTCGCGCCCCTCTCATTAATTGGATCGGCGGAGAGAAAGAGATATTTTGTGGCGATTAAATGCGATTATCAGCGAGCGAAAAGTCGAGTAGTTCCCCGATTTGAAGCGAGAGCACCAGACGCTCCCGGGCCGGCCGCCCTCCGCCTCCGGCCGCTTCTTTTTTGAGCAAACAAACGGCCATGCTCCCACCCCTGGAGGCCCCCGGAGGACATTCAGTACGCTGTCAAGAAGGCCGCTGCCAACCGCCGATTACAGCATGAAGACGCCCGTCTTGCTCTTCCTCGTCCTGCTTGCCATTCATACGGTACTTCAAATGTTTTCTCCTCTTTTCTGACACCGCACAAACACTTCACACCGTTCTCGTTTTGAAGTTTTCCAAGTCATGTTCTATACAGTGATAACCTGACTGGGCCTGTCCTGGAAAACACTAAACTTGAGAAAAATAAACAAATAAGTGTGACCTGGTCTGAGCACTCAAAACCACTGGAGTCTGTTTCCTCTGACCTCCTAAATCAAGATCAATAGCAAAAAGAAGAGCATAAGAGACCTCTAATCCTTCTTTTCCATTCATTGTCCCACTCTTAGATCGATGCAAAGTCGCCCGCCCGAAGCAAACGCCAATGCGGATGCTCTTCGAAACCTCAGATGTCGTGCAAATGTTCCGCTTCGGTCACTTCGCAACGTGTGTGCTCGTGTTCTCCGCTCCCGTAAGTCGACCTCTTCCTGCCGTCTTCCTACCTCTTTCCTTCCCCAGTTCCACCTCATCCTGTGGCTGCCAAGCATCCTCCTCGTGTGCCAACTCGTGTCGTTCCACTTGTCGGCCGACGTGCTCGTCTTCCGGAGGCTTCGGGTGTCGCATGAACTGCCAGAACACGTGTGTCAACGCATGCAATAAACAATTCGCGTAAGCAGTTCTGCCCGCCCACCCCTATCGGTTACATCTTCGGCACGATACCCATCGGCAACACCTTTCGAAGGCCGATATTTGAAACAACAAAGCGCGAAAATCGGAACGATTCTTTTTCAGACCTCAAGCATCTACGACTGTCGTCAAGAATCAGCCCTCTGTAATCCGCGCCGTCGCCGGACAATCATGTCTTTCCGACTGCAACTCACAGGTAAACCACCGGATGATATCCTGATCAGACAATCGAAAACTGCAGTGCTCGAACGTTTGTCAACAAAAACAATACGGGTCCTCGCAATGTGCAAGCTCTTGCAATCGATCGTGCTCTCGAGTTTGTCAATCAAACCCTTCCGCGAGCGGAGTAACATCCACAACTCAACCCCCTCTGAAGGTTCATCCTGTCCATTCGGATATTTTAAACGAAGAGTATTCAGGTGCGCATCAAGGTGCTTGATGCCGGTGCTAACTGCATGTCTTCCTGTTCTGACACTTGCCGCTCATCCTGCTCAAACCGTGTTTCTCAAGCCACTTGCGATGCCACGTGCCAGAATACCTGCTCTTCGATGTGCCCGGCTCAAGCTTCAGCTCAGTCAGCACCTGCAACTGATTCAGTTCAAAGTACAACTACGACAGCACCAATCAAAATCAAGATCCAGGTAAAATTCGAAAAGTGTTCTTTAAACTGATGTGAGTTATCAGGTGCAACAGCAGCAACCGGCCCAAACTCCGTCACAGGAGCAGCCTCAAGCATCTCCGCCGGTCTCTTCCCAGACTGTTCAACAGACTGCTCCTCAAGTTGCACCACAGCAGGTTCAATGATTCAAAGAAGTTTCGTAATATGTACAATTTCTAGCCAAACTGCATGTCGCAATGTGAATCGGGATGTGCCAACTCATGTGCTCAACTCTCTCCGCAGCCAACCGAAGGATGTCCAGCCAGCTGCCAGAATACTTGCTCTGAAGTGTGTGCTCCCACCGTCGCTGCTCAACCGAGCACGGCTTCTCCATCCACATACCCGGTCCTTTTGGATCCTCAACAACGGTACCCTTCCTGTTCATTTCTGAATCTCTAAGCTGCTTATTTCCAGATGCTCTTCCGAATGTCAGTCAGTCTGCCAACTCGCTTGCGTGACCCAGAAGTCTGCTCCGCCTGCCACGTGTCTTGACAAGTGCTCTCCACAGTGCGATTCCGCGTGCACAAGTCCCCAGGTGCAGCGAAACTCTGCCCAACTCTTCACGCCTTCCGCAGATCAGACTTCTGCTCAGCCGATCAAGATCAATATCTCGTTGACTTCCTTCAATACGCCGTCTCCTTGAATATTCAATTTCGTTCTGACTTTCTCTAACTTATTATTTTGCCCTCCACCCCGCCGTCTTTCGCCCCTCAACAGAAATTCTAACAAGTGATTCAATCAACTTATCGCAAACAATATTTATTTCTTTTTCGAGAAGAAAACCTGGCCAAACACCAAATAAACTTATTTATTTGCCGAATAGATACTATTCAAAACAAAGCGAAACAGAAGGATTTGAGAGACCGGTATTCTAGTACAAACAAAGCTAAGAGCAGAAATTCTAGGAGAAGGGGGAGATCCCTCTCAACGTGGTAGCAGTTGCGAATCCGACCCGTTTGAATGAGAGAAAACAGGGGAGAGAACGAAATGCATAAAAATGGTAATTAAATTACATCGGCGTCGTCGTCGGGGGCAGGAATTGTTCGCGGAGCCGGTGCTTTTATAAACTTACCCACTGTCGTGTTACTTTTGGATTTCGATTTCCGCGAGTGAGAGGTAGATGTCCTGGAGTTCTCAGTGCTGGAAGAAGGAGGAGGAGCTGCGGCTGGAGTCGCAACGATCGGAGGAGCTGCGGCTGTTGACGTTGAGGTCTTTTGCGACATGGCTGATCTTGCGGATGAAGTTCTGCAAATCATTCGATTGATGTGCCAGTTTTTTCTCTCGGATGATTCCACCTCTGGGAAGCAGCAGAACGTGGCTTCGCCTGTTCTTCTGCTGCTGGAGCATCAGGTTGAGTCTGTTCTGCTGAACTTGTAGGCTCTTCTGATGGAACATTCTCTACGTGTTCCATCTCTATCGCCGTTGTGTCTGCTGAACTGGAAGGCTCTCCTGCTTCAGAAGGATGCTCTATTTGAATTGTTGTTGCCTCTATCCTTCTTGCACTTGAAGGATTACGAGCGGTTGTAGCTGAAAAGATCATTCTCCGATCGGTCTTACTCGCTTCCCAACCTGTACTGCTGATGGGTGCGACCTGGTTGTTGAACGCAGGTCCATTTGCTCTCTTAGGAGCAGTCACTGCTCCGTTATTGCTCGCTGCATTCGTTCTGTGATGCAACACATTGCCGTTCCCATTTGCAACCCCTGCTGCTGAAAAGAAATCATCAGCCCTTGGTCACATTTTGATCCCCGACTAACTTCCATTTGTCTGTGCAAACACGGCCTGCTCCTCCTGCCTCTTCAACTTTGCCGCTTCCATTCTCTTCTGGCGACTCTTCTGTTTTGCCAGCATTTTCCATTTCGTGATGGCTTTTGTCACTGTTTGAAATGTTCTGTAGAAAAATGAATTCATCTTCTGGAGACATTTCAGATATCACCTAGTGGACAGGGGTTTCTCCAGCACATATCTGGCCACATTGGTTCCAGCCAATCCGTGCTCGATGACGTCAGCTCCGATCTGTTCTTCGTAGTCCGTTACACGTAGTCCAAGTGGACTCTTACTTATCAACTGAAATCAATTTGACAGGAGAATTGCCTTGTTTTCCGTAGTAACTCACGAAAAGAACAAGAAAGCCCGTGGCCGCCGAGTAGATCAGAATGGTGATTGTGCAGAGGAGTTGTACTCCAAGCAGTTTGAAGCTCCACGAGTAGATCAGCCCGGACATGTTGTTTGTCGCACTTGTCTACAATAATCCGATTATTTTTCCAAGTTCGGTCAGAAAATTTGTACCAAGTATTTGTCTTCTTCACAGAATATTCCGACTGCAATCATCCCCCAGATGGAAGAAGTCAGATGGATTGGCACGATGCCGACCGGATCGTCAATGTGAAGGCGATCCAGAAGAGGGAGGACTATTATTGAGAAGACAGAAGATATCGAACCGATCACGAGAGCATGCCACGGACGGGAAACTGCACAAAGGGCTGAAAACGAAGCGGTTTTCGGCATTTGATGAGAACTGTGCGACCTGTGATTGATACAATTGAAGAGAGAATGCCATTGATGAGGTAGTTAACTTGCAGCTTCTTCGTTCTCACAAAACTGATAGTGATTGCAGTTGCCCCGCCTCCAATCGAACTCATTATTGTGGCAACTGCGGCTCTGGCTCCCAACCTCCACCGACCTCCGGTTATTCCCCACACCGAGCCCGCGTTGATTCCGAACCATCCCCACCACAGAAGGAATGTTCCCAGAAGTGCGTTCGTCGGACTGCTCATCTGATGCACGCTGTCCTCGTTGAACCGATTCCTTCTCGGCTTCAAGTACACAGTGGCAATCAATCCAATGATCCCTCCGACCATGTGCACTGCAGAGCATCCGGCAAAGTCGACAACCCCCTTCTTGTAGAAGATGCCTTCTTTGTCCCACACCCAATGCGCCGGCAGTGCTTGTATAAGGATGACGAGGCAGCCGAGCAGAATATACGACTTCAACTTGGCTCTTTCTGCCACTGCTCCTACAAAACATCACGTCAGCACGATGACGTCCCCAGTCTTCTGTTTTCCTTTTCACCCACCTGACACAATTGTCGATGCCGTCGTTGCTAATGATAATTGAAAGAGAAAGGATGCATAGGACCATCCCTCTTGGTTTATAAACTCTTTGCTGCCGAACTCTCTTGTCGGGTCATAAAAGAACTTGCCGAAACCGACGTACGCGTTTCGAAACGGTTCGTAATCGCCGTACGAAAGACCGAAACCGACGGACCAATAGGATAAGCCGCCGAAAACTACATCCACTACGTTTTTGACCATTATATTCACTTCATCTTTTGCAGAAACACTTCCAGATTCAAGAAGACCAAACCCTGAAAAAACGGGAATAAGAGGGGCTAATTGGGAGGACGGAGGTTACCTGAGTGCATTGTGAATATAATGAAACTGCTGGAAATAATCCAAACAGCGTCGTCCTGATACAGTTTATCCACTTCTTGAGATCGAACATTCTCCGCGTAGTGATGGATTTCTGAAATTCTTTCCTTGAAAGTGTTTTAAGAAAGAACGGAAACAATTACAAATTCTGAACGCAAAGAACCCAGATGGAAATGAGTCATCGCTCGCGTTCTAAACCTAATCAACTCACCGTGCACCTCAATTCCAATCTCGTCTGTAAATTCCGACCTAAGGGAAAACATGGAAACAACTATATACGAGGGGAATGGGAATGCTTGCATCCAGGTTCTTTTTGCTTGTCCCCAATTTGTAATCACGTCAAACACATCAATCAGGCTGTCATGCATTCGGTCCGTCGTCGTTCCCTTCAGAAGACGGAGAGTCCGCCCGCCGCTCCCTTTCTCTCTTTTTTACTCTTTGCATTTAATTCCAGTCCCACACCAAAACACTCATATTCTCCAAACCCCGAGTTTGGTCTCAGAGCTCTGCTGGGAAACGGGATTAGATTGGCGTAAGGGAGCGAGCCTAGGTGCGCAGTGTACACGATAAGAAAAGGACTCACGGACGATCTGCATCGCCGAAGCGTTGATGATTGCTCCTTCGGGACCTGCCATTGCTCTCGCGAGTTACTTTTCCACCTTCCGTCCGCGTCACTCTATCATTGTTTTCGAGCCGTTCCGAAGAGGGGATTATTATGCTTAAAGCTGAGAGCGTTCTTGAAAGAAAACGAGAAAAAACAGGTCGGAAAGGCTTTTTCAGCTGTGGAGGCAGCTGAATTGAGGAATGAGAGAAGGGGATGCAGCCAAAAGTGTATATATATATATTGTGAATGAATCTGAATGTACCTCTGAACACATGCTTTCCACTTCCAGAAACTCTCCGGGCTCTTCCAGACATTCGCTGCCTTGCGGGGCTCTTGTTCGGGTGGAAAACACGACGATTACTGGGTCGGTAAGCAGGGAAAAATAAAAGGAGCAAAGTACTAAGCATCGGATTCCTAGCAGCAACTAGAAAAAAAAGAAAAAGGAGAAGGAGAAGAAGGCGAGGGAGGTATGCAAATTCTGAATAGGCGGCCGACGCGACGACGGCAGCAGTGTCGAATTCGAGCGCAATGAGAGCTTGCAGCCGTTTTTAGAAGTAGTCACAGACTTTCTGATTTAAGAAAAAGATGTTCGAAACACTCCGACGGACAAGGTGTATTCAGGACGGAGGTCGAGCGTGAGTAATGAGATTTTGGATCGAGGTGTGGGAGTGAATGGACGCAGGCGGGGAGAAAGAGAGAGAGCCACGGAGAGCAGGCCTCCGATTTTGTAGGTACGAATAGAAGAAGAATAAAGGGATAGGTAACAAGTGCGATGGATGGATTTTGGTCATTGAGATCTCGGATAAAGATGAAGATGGATGTTCGCGGAAATGATCGCACAAATTGGAGATGAAGATGAAACCGGAAGAAAACGTTTATGCACGAGGATTGGGTTTTGGAAATTTGATTGGCACAATAGTGTAGGCAAACTGAATAACAGGAAGGTGAGAAAGTTTGGTGCGAAAAGAGCGTCCACGTGTTCCCAGAGCACGGAAATCGTACTTATTCTCACATTATTCAGGCGTTATAAAACAAAGTTATTCGGAGTGAAACTTTGAGTTTCTGCGGCGAAGTCTCCGAATTGGAGCCGCATGATTGCGTCACAGATCCGCGTGACGCACAGACTTCTAAAAGTGCGGCCGGCCCGTGGGAGCACGCCAACAGAGCCATTCTTTTAATTTTCTAATTTGCCGAGTGTGAAGTGAAGTGCTCGAAATGGACGGGGAAATTGATTTGGCAGCAAAACAGAGAAAACGAGTTTTGAAGGAAAGAACGAGTGGGCCGGCCGACGGAATGGATGTCGTCGTCGTCGAAATGTCAACACGAAAGATGTGCTTTTCGAGTGAGAGGAGGGCCGAATTTATGGGCTGCAAGGATGTACTTGGAACGATGGAGAAGGTGCCAATGACATCAGGGGAAATGGGAGAGAAAACGAATGAAAATGGAAAGTACAATCGTTCGGGCGGGAGGGAGTTGTCGAAGAAAAGTCCCAGAACGAGCGAGAGACCCAGCCGTTTTTGGGTGAATGGAGAGAGCGGAAGTGTTTGTGCTTGGGGGCTCCCCTCCCCCACTTTCCTCCCCAATTATACAAACATTTTACGTGTAGATGGAAGAGGAACCTCTCTGATTCACGACGTCGGGCGATCGTTCACTGTGTTTTTGTGGCGATCTCTTTGCTTTGCTCGTTTTCCCGCATCTCTTGTTGCCATAGAAATAACGTTTTTTGAACGAATTCGACAAGATTGAGAGAACGAAATGACGGCCTCGAGCCAGCAAAGCACTTTTAGTTCTGATTCAGGAGACGACGGAGAATTCAATTCAATTACTTTTCTCCACAAAAAGAACCGAGCCAAAGATTACCTAGAATTGCATTCTCCGTGCAGGTTACTTATGGTTCCATCCAATAGGAGACGAGGATTTGAAAGTTTAATGCAACAAAAAAGTTGGAGTTAGCAAAAAAGCGGAGGAATGAGACCAAAGACAAAGTGGAAGACCCTGACTAAAAGTGGGAATTCGATTGAGCACGAGATGCGTCATCGACGGAGAGCCGGGCACGGAACGACGACCATTTGAATCAGAGCGGATCCGATTATGCTCTTTCAACTCTGGATGCGATGCTCAGGAGCTCAAAAGGCGGATTAAAGAGGAGAGAAATGATCTTCGAGTCGCTCCTTTTTGTGAGTTTTGCTCCGTTCCGAAAATTGGCAGGTAAAGTGAGATGGATCTATTATGGGTTTGGGTGTGATTATGATTGCGCCGCATAATGGTCACCTATATGGATTTCAGAGCCGAAAATGCAGACGCAGGCGAGAGCGCTTTGATTGGCAGATGTAATTGAGGGCGAGGGAGTGTGGGAGCCATGGACACGCAGACGTCCACCCACCCAGAAGCCGTGAGCAACTCGCTTTTTATGCAGACGCTTTCTGAAAGAAGAAAGACGAAGGAATTCGAGAAGAAGTAAGCAAGAATCCGGAGTAGATGCCCTTGTGTTTTAAAGCGAACGTGGATTACTCGACCAGCATTACGCCGCGTCCAAACTTAAAAAAATTCGGAAATCCCGCTGATTTTGCTGTCCAAAGTCGGCCGAAATTTCCTTGAAAAACGGGATGCGCACAGCTGAACGAATGTGACCGTACACCATAAAACTACGGTATTTTTTTAAAATTTGAAAATTTCTTGAGAATATTTGAAAATATTCGAATTTCGTGTGTAAATTTTTTAAACACGGCATCGAGCGGATAGGAAATCTTTCTGTTTCGATGTGCGCTGATCACTTGAACGAGACAGATGTTTTATTCGAAATTCTAACACAAGGTTGCTAGGTGCAAATTGCGACTCAAAGAACACATCACATTAATCAAAATGAGGATGAGACGAAAGCTCCGAGAGATTAACGAGTTGCACAGACTGAGCGCCGCCGCCGCGACTAATCCTTGCGGTCGGAAGAGACGGCTCCCAAAGGACGCATCCAAATGGAATGGACATCATCAGCAAAAGCAGAAGCAGAAAGATCAAAAAGTAGGAGGGAAAGGGGAGAAGACGGCGGCGGCATTGGTGATAAGACGGACGGCGGAAATAGGAGAGCACGCACCAGAATACATTTGACGGAAACAGGTGAGAAGGCGATGCGCCGGGGCAATGACCGATGAAAAGGAAGGCTTTGAGACGGAGTGATGAGCCGGATGGGCGGCCGACGCACGCTCGTTTTGTGTCGTTTCATGCGTCTTCCTGGATGTAAAACTGACAGAGTTTTTACGAGTTTTTGGGGAGAGAAAGACTTTCGACTGATATCGCTTCCTCTTTCTCTGGCGAATTCCGAGAGCCAGAATAGGAAACGAACAGGGGAGCCAACGGTTCATTAAGTAATAAAAAAGGACATCTCACATATTTCCCTTCTTTTTTCTTTTCCGGGCATATTCTCATTTCCACGTCTTGGCCAAATCTGTGCACTTTTTCACGAACAAGGGCTTATTCTGAAGTAGTTTTCTCATGGAAAGAGAATCACGTGAAAGATTGGTACGTGGATATAATCGCTGGCCGCCTCCACGTTCACAGGACGAGAGAGATCGGGTTCATTGAGCAGAACAATCAGGTTGAGAAGCACTGAAATAGGAGGATAGAAGGGGGAAACCGAAGAGGGAAGATACCGTCTTCCATGTTTGTTTCTGGTTTCCAGTTCTCCTGAAGGAGCATCGCCGAACAGAGCTCAAAAGTGACTGGATCCACGTTCGGATGGTACACTTCATGACAGAACTTGACGTACGGAGGTTTGAACGGATATTCGAGACTCACATCCACCACCACCGTCAGCACTTGATTATTGAACACGTGACCGTCCTGCAAGGAGTATTTATGATGCGCAGAGGACGGATGATTACCCCGACGATCTTGAACTGAAACACATCCTTGCACTTCTGAATTTTGCGAAAATCCTTGATGAAACAGCGCTTGTTTTTAGTGAAATCAGCAATCTCCTGGATTATTCGGCGTTTTTCTGGGAAGAATTAGTGGGAACATTTCACCTTACGAACACGGGAAAGCTGAACTATTCTGCCGTGAGCGGCTGCTTGAGGCGTCAGAGACATTATTGAAATGAAAATTGGAATGAAGGAGGTACACGTTCGAACTACGCACAAACCGGAACTCGAATTTATTGGAAAATTCTCTTCGAATTCCTACACCCTAAACTCTAGGAATCCTGGACTTTCGCTCTTCTTCCCTTAATTTCCCTTGCTTTTTCATCTGTTTTCGCTTTGTCCGCTCGCTGAAAAATGTGGAGCAGCCTGCACCTCCCACACATCCGATGGAAATTGTTTGATCGCCTGTAGATCAAAACATCACTCTGTCGCCCCCTCCTATAAATACCGCGTTTCCAGCATTCCTTCCCCTCTTTTCTCGCTTGCCATCATCGGTTCCTACTTCTCCTTTTCATTTACTGTTGTGTTCATAGTCATGTTCATAATCGGTTTAGAAGGCGTCCCAACTTTCACCGAAAAGCAATAGCGGGCGGTGCGGAGAAGCGCCGACTGAGGGGGGAGGATGCCCTCCAGTGGACAAAGCAGACTGTGAGGTTGCAACTTCTACCTGGGTTAAGCCCGCGCATGAGAAGAAGGAGGGTCACACCCGGGTTCCTTCCGTCCCCTTCTCAGTTTTCCTTTTCAGTTCCCTTCTAGAAGTACACATATCTCTCAATTTATCATCGAACCTATCCACTTTCAGATATCAATAACCTTTTTTCAGACCAATGAAGTCTCTTCCGTTCTCGCTTCTGCTCGTTTACCTCTTCCAGTACGGTGAGTATCCTCCAAAACTGTACAGTTTCCTTATTTCAACTAATACGTAGTCATGAAACGTCACGCATTGCACCATAATTGGCCCTTCTTCACTTATTTCCTTTCCGTCGGGACTATAGAATATTCATTGACAGCCCGGTCGCAGTCGTGTTCCGACAACCACATCCACTGCGTTTTCTGGTCAGAGAAGGGAGAATGCGAAACGAATCCAAGATGGATGAAGAGAAACTGTCAAAGAGCGTGTGGAGTGAGTCACTTCTCGGGTTGAGGGGTTTAAACTAAAGCTGCAGACGTGCCGGTTGACAGGCGCGAAAAGCCAAACAAGACAGCTGGACGTGCCAACTACGAGAACCTTTGATGATGATCAGAACATACAATTTCTCCCGTCGAGGCCGTCTTCCATTCCAGAAGGATGCAACTCTGTTCAGACTGTCGAAGGTGCCTGAAAGTGTTCATCTCCACCCCCATCTCATTCTTTTCAGCTGAAACCCGTCGAATCTTTTCGAGCGGTCAGCTGATGGCCCGTTTCCGTCAGCAGATTTGCGCCGAAGAGCAGATTGCCCCCGACTGCTCCGTCAATCAGTGCTTCCACAAGAAGTATCGCTCGATGGACGGCACGTGCAACAACCTGCAAAACCCCGCCAAAGGAGCCGCCTTCACTGCCTATTCGCGTCTCATGCCGGCTGCCTATGATGACGGATTCAACACACTTGTTTGTGAGTGACATTTAATTGTGCACGGATACTGTAGGGCACAGAGAGCAAACATTAAACAGTTCAATGACAAAATAGGAACGAACAATACTATGTGTGATCCTGTGATCTTTGAAAGATGACCTTCATTTCCAGCCGCTTCCCGTCGAAACCGTCCGAATCCGCGGGAAGTTTCCGTCTTTCTGTTGTCATCTGAAAGGTCACTGCCTGGCCATACTAATTCACTTCTCATGCTTTTTGGGCAGGTGAGAGGCTTATCGTCAGTTCCCCTTTACTTTCAAATGTCTTTAGTTTGTCTCGCATGACATCACTTCAAATGCCGCCCAGGGATCCTGCTCGTGCGGCAGTTCCGGTCCAATGTGCGCTTCGATCTTTGCACCGCCATCGGATAGATCGTAATTATAATGAAAATGGCAAAAAGTAAATCGGAACAGTTTTCAGAAGACGATGCATTCCATTCACTCGTTCATTCCCCATCTGCGGAACTGGCCAATTTGGAAGAGTTCGCGACCAGCTCAACATGAATACAGCAGCAATTGACGCCAGTTTGGTATGAAAGGGAATGAGACCAAGTATAATATATTTGTCAGTTTCAGATCTATGGATCAGAAGCAATCACCGGGCGCAGCTTGAGATTCGGAGCAATGCTCAGAACTACAGTGACTTCAATCTGATCAATTTCTCACCAATTATTCCAATTTCAGATTCTCCAAGGACGCGTGTTCCCTCCAAATACCAATCCGGGTAGTCTGACTGCTGGAGACGGGAGGGCGACTTTGTTCAACGGATTGGCTGCTCTTCACACTTCCTTCCTTCGTCTTCACAACAAGTACGGAATCCATTGAGTGCATTCCTCTCATACGTTGTTTTCAGTATTGCCGCTCGTCTTCAGAACATGAATAGACGCTGGAATCCCGATCGGATCTTCCAAGAAACAAGAAAGATTGTCGGAGGAATCGTTCAAGTGATCACTTACCAAGAGTTTGTTCCAGAACTGGTGGGAGATGCTTCGAAGACGGTTCTCGGCGCATACAACGGGTGAGTGCGAGTTGGTCGGGAGTACAAAATCATCTGATTTCAGATACAATCCGAATGTGGAGCTCGGCATTTTGAATGAGTTCGCTGCTGGAGCGTATCGTCTTCACGGAATGATTCAGGAGTCTTATCCTCTGAAGACTCTCAGTTCCGGGAATTCCACAGCTTCAGATTCATCGACGCTGTCAACAATATCCAGCATGTCATCTCAAACATAGATTCTATTTACAGGTTTTCCAGGTGACGACCGCTGAAAAACAGTTCAAAGTTTTCAGAGGAATGATGTCCGTTCCGGTGCGCAATCCGCAGAGATTGACGACCTCGGTGACGGAGAGACTGTTCGGGGGCAGTGTGGATATGGCAACAATCAATATTCAAAGAGGAAGAGATCACGGCTTGAGGTAAGCGCTCACAAACGAAAAAGACCAGTGAGCAAAGGAGGGAAAGGGCAAAGTCTGACTCGAATGGCGCCACCTACTGTACCCCGGTCGTATCTTTTATCGCTTTGAGCGCGCCCTTATTGGTAGAGAGAATGCCGCGTAATGTGATTGTGTAGTCGAGAAGAGAAGACTGAATCATGGGGCGATTGTGGTTGAGTTGCAAAAAAGGAACTAACAACATTTAGCTTGTGAATGAATCATCATTTGTTTGCCAGTGCACCAAAACAAATCACTTTCAGATCCTACAATGACTACCGCCGTTTCTGTAACCTGCAACCAATCACAAGCTTCGATAATGTAATGCAAACCACAATTAACTCTGAAAACGTATTTTTCAGTGGCCGGAAGTTCCAGATCAGAATGTCCGCCAACGCATTGCCCAATTGTACCGCACTCCGGATGATGTACATATCTACATCCTCTCCATCCAATCCCGTTTTATTTTCAGGTTGACTTCTATGTCGGAGGTATTTTGGAGCAACCGTCGGCCGGAAGCGTCGTCGGAGCCACATTTGCGTGCGTCATTGCAAAGCAGTTCGAGCGCCTTCGCGACGGAGATCGCTTCTATTACGAGAACACTGGAATCTTCACTTCCGCTCAAGTGGCCGAACTGAAGAGAACCACGCTTTCGTGGGTGCTCTGCCAAACTGGAGACAAGTCAGTGATGAGTGACAGCTCCAGAATCCATTGCATTTCTGTTTCAGCATGATTCGTCTTGGTCGCCGCGCTTTTGAGATTGAGGACGGTTCTCGTGCTGTTCCCTGCTCTTCGATCACCGGATTGAATCTGGAAGCGTGGAGAGAGTGACCAGTCCGAAACCGTCTCCAAGCGTGCCTATCTTTCCCATTTTGCCAACGAGTCAGTTCCCGCGATTCGAACAATTTTTATGTGCCATTTTAATAAAAAACTTTTCATTGCAAGCAAGCAAAACCCTCAGATTGTGATTGACAACTGTCCTCTATTGCTAAGCTTAAAGTTCTCGTCACTTTTAAAGTTTCAATAAGCAAAATGCGTCAGCGAGAATGAGGAATAATGTCGGTTGGGAATAGCAAATGGGAATCGAACCACTCGAAAGAATCTGAAAATCGGCGAAGGATAAGGACACAATAATGTGGTGTCCGAAAGAAAGTGCTAAAATGCTTAAAACGCCAATGTGGTTTGTGGTTCTCTCACAGTTGGTGATAAGAGCGGAAGGAAGAAAAAGATGTGACGAAACGTAAGGTTGTAAGAATTGACAACGAGGGGGAAAGGAAGAAAGAGTTGGGAGGCTGGAAGGGATCAAATCGGAAAGAATGAAGCACAGAAACTTTTAGATCTTGGGGATCTGGGTGTATTCCGGATCAACAGTATAAACAAAAACCAATACTTTGAAAGTCCCTGTACATCTGATCTGCAAACTCTTCAAAGACGAAGATACAATAAAGTTTCTTTCGTTTTCTCAAAAGCAAACGTTTTTGAACAAAGCCTCTCAATTCCAAGCCTCTCAATTCCAAGCGCTCTCGATATGACTGTAACGTCCGGAAATGCGTCATTCTCTTTCGTTTCGTGTCATTCCTTCCTATCCGTCACTTTTCTTCCGTTTTCCTTTGCTATTTCCAAAAGGTCGGGCTCCAAACTGTCCATCTTTGAATGATTTCATCGGCCGCTGATTGGCACCCACGAACACATGAGCCAGGGTATTTAAGGAGGGGCAAGAGGGCGGGAAAGATAATCAGTTTTACGTTTTTCCCATTTTGATTTCTTTCCATTTCATTCGATTCTTAACGTTCGTTTTCAGAACATGTCTCATGCCGGAAAACTTGCCGTTTTCCTTTGCGTGGTCCTGGCAATTCAGATGACAGGGGCTCTCCACCATCGCCTTCACAAGGATCAGCAACGTCCGAAAATCGACGCTGAATGGCTGCGCACTTCTCGGGTATACTGGCCTTTTATTGTGGGTATCTTGCAAACCAGCTCATTTTCAGGGTGATCTTAAGGACAAGGACACGGTCATCCACGGACAGTTCACTTGCGGAGGTGCCGGAGTCTTCGGACTGCGTCCTCACCTCAGAAATCCCCGCTATCCCGACGAGCTCGTGGCCATCACCACCACCAACAAAAACGGATTCTACCGTCTTTCCGCCGGCGACTCGTACCTCCTCGCCGACTTCCTCCAACTGTTCGTCCGCCATCAATGCAAGATTGACGCTCTCCCACCGAACCCGAACTGCGCCGTCCCGTACTACACCACGATGGTGTCTCTCGACATCCGCAACACCTCCTACATGGAGGTTAGTTACTCAAAAGTATCTTATTAGATTAAAACGCGAAAACATTTCAGCACAACATGGACCTCTCCCGTTCCCAAGTGTACTCCACTTCCGATTGCCTTTGGTAAGGCTCATTTTCAGCTCGATACGTTATTCCGAAATAAACCTTTCTCCCTGTTTGATCGTAACAACTCCTCCGCCAATTCATACGATGACGATGTTTAGTTATTCTGAACACGCACCTAGATTCTCTTTGCTTCCCTCTTTTTATGATAAATATTCCAATGGCTATCCGACTCTTTCTCCTTTAGCCAAGCACACATATAATCAGAGGGTTATCGATAATGAAAGCCTTCTGTCGGTTATTCCACGTCATATGAGCACTGATACTGATCACGAGACAATGTTATTCGGGCCATTAGAGAGGGCGCATTGCTCCGCTTCATTCAGCGTCTCATTTCCTTTCGCGAACATGTTTCCAACCCTTTCTCATCGGTCACAACAAGTTTCGTCGGCGCTCTCGACGCCTAATCACTGATGACAACCTCTTAATTAGCAGGCGACGAATGAAGGTGCCCCGATTGCGTCGTCGACCCGCTTCTTGTCCCTCTCCTTCCCCGTTGCTCCTCTTCTTTTTGTTCACATCTTTGTTTCAGCGACTAATGACTCTTGCTGCTGCTGCTGCTTTCTTCTGATTTTCTCTCTGTTTGTAGTTGTATTCGGTGCAATGACGACGCATTCAATTCCAGTCGGATAGACGCAAAAGGAGGAGACAAAACTGAAAATAATCTGTGATCGAAAGAGTTTGACAATGTGATGTGGCACGCAAGCGTTTTTGTTTCTGATGAAAACCCACGCTTCTCGGAAGGGTGAGCCGGGAAGCGAGGCCGCTCAGAGTCCGCAGGTGCAACGGTCCCACTTTCACTAAAAATAGCCCATTGATCACTAATTGAAAGAGCCTTTTATTAGTCCCCCGCAATTGATCTATTCCTCGTTTTCATCTTTTTAACATTCGTCTCATCAGTTCCCTTCATACAGCTCTCGCCTTCAAATAGATTATGAATAGGTACAGTAACCAACCAATGTTCCTTCAAAACGTTCACAATAGTTATATTATCAATGTTTTGCTGGACGAGCGTATTCTGCAAAGTTAATGGAAGCCTTGATGACGTAAATGGGTACCTCCGTACCATATATTCCACCTGCCTTTCAGCCAATACGAATGCATAGTTTCCGGAATGAATCAACCAAAGAATACCCAACTAAGTCAGAACACAGTCGATGGTTTCCGTCCATGTTAATTTAGATTTGCGTGTCATTTCCCTCCCATTTTGTTCTCTGTTTCTTCTTCTTCTTCTTCTTATTTTTCATCATTACATTTCAGTTTCCAATGCGTCTTCTCGCGTTCATTCGAATCGAGGAGAAGGATACTCGCTTCTGTGGACTCCGAGTGCCGAACAAACCGTTGGCGGTCCTTCTAGCACTCCTCCAACTTTCGATTTCAGTGGCTTCGTTCCTACAGGTAACTTTTCTGTTTCTCATTCAGAAAATTGGTGATTTCAGCATATTTACTCAATCTACAAACACAAGAAAATCTTCGAATGTCACTCTGATATTCCGAATAACTCAAGTCTAGAAGTAAGCCTTCTAGGTGCACATAAACAATATTTTGAGAAATGTCCCATTCAGGTTCATTTCCTCGCTCACGACATCATAATCTTCGACTTCGGGTTGATGCATAGAGTGCTCGGAACGAATGAATGCGTGGCCAACTACCTGGACGGCGGGTACATGCGGTTCGCGTGGACCATTGAGCAGTCCAGCGCGCTTTTCATCTCCCTTGTCTCTCTCATTTGCATTCCTAAACCTCTATGGTTACTATGGCCAGGTACAAATTTCCTCACGGATCTTTATGATCTTCTTCTTCTTTTTACAGGTCTCCTGATGCAATCCTCCTACACATTAGGCCTTTCAGTTCTGACAATGGCGACTGCTCCGAAGATTCTGGAAGCGTTGGGAGGAGTGATCGACTTCGAACTCGCCCTGATATTCTCCGTTTACTCATTAGGCTTCACGATGAACTGGCTGTTCACATTCGTTCTGTGGCACTATTATTGGCATCGTGAGAGAAAGTTTCTTGCCGAGAGGGGCATATTTCCTCCTCCGGAATTCGTCTGATCTTTTCTCTTTATTAGGCATCTACTTTTCGGTCTCTATTTGTGTGAAAAATACGGGAAATAAATGATAATTTCTTAGTCGCTTTCCTTCCGTTTCCGCTCGTTTCTCTGCGAATCGCCATGGAAACACTCCCATGAATTGCGAAATAATGGCGGCTCAAGTTGCAGTGAGCAGGCGGCGCGCGTGCTCTTTCGCCTCGCTTCACCTGTCATTGACAACTCGCAACTCGTGCGTTACTAGTCTTTTCTCATTCAATTTGTCAAGTTGTCATTGGTTTCTCTAGCAACTGAAATGCTCAATCACCGACAACCCTCTTTCCACAAGAGCCCTCTTCCATCATTCTCGAGCTCCTATCGGTCACGAGTTCACAGTGCTCCGCCGACTTCAGAAGGAAGGCTTCCGTCAATAACCGCAGGAAGACTGCCTCCCATCAAGAAGAACAATAGTACCGAACGGCCGTTCTTCATGGACAAACCATCCACTCCGGACCGTAAGCGCTTATGATCTCCTCTGTGAAACATTCGGAGCTTTCCAGCTGAGCAAGTGAAGCGAGTCCTCGAGCAACGAATTGCTCAGGCTCTTTCGGGCCCGTCTACCCGCCTGAAACATCAACAAACGAGTAGTGAAGACCGTTTTTCGAATAGTCTCGGACGTCGGAGATCATGTAAGTACTGCTTCCCAGAGCACGACTTTTCAAATACTTTGTAACCATTTTCAACGCTGGTTTCAAACTATTGAAAAGCCGGATCCCGGGTGAGTAAGGAATGGGAAGAAGAAAAAGAGGAATGTGAAGGGGAAGAGGGGCGACTGACTGAGGGAACCACTGCGGCAGCGCTCTTTTGTAGAGGGGACCGTGTGACTCATAGGACAGCAATTGAATAGAGCACGACTGTACCACAATACGAATGTATAGAAATGTTTCATTTTGGAGGGGCGTTCCGTGCCGGTGTGTGTCACCCCTCGTACATATGTACAACATCCAATTTTGCAGTGATACGATCGGCGGCAGTGGGCTCGGAAGAAATGCATTTGGTGCCGGTCGATGATGAAGAAATGGTCATGTTACGAAGCATCAATAGGTCTCAGTACTCTAAGGGATCCATGGGCTCATCAGCGAACAACTTCTCATCGGACGCCCTTTACAAACATGAATATGAGGACAAATCGTCTGATGAAGACATTGAAATAGGCGAGCAATTGAGGAATCGGAGGAAGCTGAGCATGGTCCGTCAGGAGGAACAGGTGGACTAGAAGAAGATAATTCGAGGGGAAAGAAAAGTGATTTACAGGAGGACTTGGACTCGGCATTAGAGGGAATTCGTTTGGGGACCGTGCAGAGCCGAAGGGAATATGCAATCAGGAACATGTGAGATCGTTAAATTGCTCCCACGGAAAACTTTATAATTCTAGGGAGGATCGTTTGGCTGGAATGCGTCATGAAAAGATGAGGTCCTCAACAAAGTCCGGTGAATCGGGGGACGATCAGATCAGTGGGCTGGTGTACGACAAGGAATTCGACTGCTACTACAATCCGAACACGGACCGCTACTACCGGCTGAAGTCGCAATCAAAGTCAGGAGACGGACTCCTTCTGCAAACAAGGGAAATCTAACTGTGATACTGTTTTGTTTTTATTCGAGACTTTTCTCTTCCTGAACTCATGTTTTCCAAAATTTACTGACGCTGAAGCATGGATGCCCGGGTCAGCGACCGTTCAACATGTCATTTTCCGAAGGCTAACTTTTCATTTGTTCTGTTTGTGCAATGCGCCGGCCCGGATCAGTCACCTGAAGAACGAAGCACAAAAAGGTGACTGATCCGTCCGGGCCGGCGCATTGCATAAACCAATTAGATAGTTGGGGGTAAAGGTGATAGGAACACTCTTTGTGTAGCGCTGAAACGTAATATAGACTATACTACGTTTCAGTGTTCGCCTACTCTATATGAGTACACTCCCTATACTGTATAGTTTAGAATAAAGTGCGAAACCGTTCTTTGCTCGCAAGAGTACGTTCTCAGTCATTTATTCATTTACGATTTCAATAATGAAGATTTCTGTTCGTTTTCCGTTATCTTCTCGTTATTATTAACTTCTGGAACCAGTTGTTTGACGGGAGTCAGTTCAAATGAAACAAAGTCGCGAGGGTGTTCCACCGATTTCCGGAACGTTGTGTCTGTTCCGTGCAACCAATCCAATGGGCCGAATCCGTAACACTCGTTGAAACTGGAAACACTAAAGTAGCAAAGGATCGAGGAAACAAAAAAACGCACACTTTGTGGTGGAAATCGTGGAATTCGGCGGAGAGCATGAACGGGAAGTGGTAGCCAGAGTGGTGGAAAGTGGTGGCGAGGATGGCGTACATTCCCCACATGTAGTACGTTACCACGTGGCAACGAAACAGAACTGCGCCAAAGAGAGATCGGCCGAGGTTAGAGATGGCGTGTTCGATTGGATGGGCATAGATACTGGCAATAGCTGAAGTGAGATGTCTAAGAAGATGAAAATTAACTAGTTGCTTACAAACTGGAGCTGTCCACTCGTGATGCTTCTTGTGGATGTACTTGTACAGCTTAGGATGATGGAGAAGTCTGAAATAGATTGATGGGATAGAGTGGAAAGCTTGGACCGACCTATGAGAATAGTAGAATACAACTTCATCCATTGCCATGCAGATGAAAAAGTCACGGAGAAGAATCCACGCGGAGGGAAGCGTTGGTCCAAAATCCATTCCCCACCACTTGGCAATGTAGAAATAGATGGAAGTGACAATCGGAGTGACGATCAGCTGGTTCGGCCCGACGACCTTCAGAATACTCAAGTACTTCAACAGTCCCGGCTTCTTCTCCTCTTGAATCTTGTAAGGTTGAACCCATTTCGGATCGAGCACGTCTATGACGATGAAGAAGAGATTGAAAAGCCAAAAAGAGAGACCGGCGATTGCATTTCCCGCGACAACACTGATAAAGAAAAGAAACGTGGTGATTGTATTGGAAAACTCACTATAACATGTATTCGTCGCCTTTAAAATAGTCATAGATACTGTCGTAGACCGTCTGCAGTGCCATCACAAACAGTGCGTGGTTATCTATTCTCCCGCGTGCTCGGTTGCTATTTTATACCATTTTAGGGAGACACCAAGTACACACTGTGTTCGAAAACAGGACAAGGTTTAAGACAAATAGAGTTTAGTTGAAGAGCTCACAGAGCAAGCTAGACTTTTGCTAGACTCTAGCGATCCGGGTGGCGTGACGCGTTTCTCGCATCGGAATATCGTTCATAGTACAACTATACATCAGATAAATCTATTGTGATCTCTGCATTGAACTAGATCCGAGAGATCACCTGATTTCCGAGAATTCATTCATTATCTGTTCACTTTCCTTATTTATCCATTGACTTTGGCGTCTCTGTTTTATTAGTGTTCATTCAATTACACCCATTTCACTCTCAATAAATCAAAATTTATTCGTTCCAAAATCATTCAAAATGCAAGACAGAAATACTGTTGCAATACCGGTTTCATCAGTTGAGTTATACAATTAAAATTAGTGTCGGTCAATACTAGTTTTCCTTGTTCTCGTCCGGATGGATCTGCTTGACCGGTTCCAATTTGAAGCTCATGTAGTTTCGTTTTCCCTCCACAGACTTCCTGAAGGACGTGTCGGTTCCGTGAATCCAATCGAGAAGTCCGAGTCCGAAGCACTCGTTGAACCTGAAAAGTCAGCGGATCCAATCGGTTCGAGTCACTCCAGAAAACGTACACTTTGTGGTGATAGTCATGCGGTTCTGGCGACGGCATGAACGGGAAATGATAGCCTGCAAACATCATTGTCTGCACGCTGTTTTCGGCGGTGATAACGTGTAGCCGAGACGGCCGTGCGATTTGTGTCTGCTACGGTAGTCTGGCCACTTACCGGAATGCGAACAAGTCGTCGAGAAGACGGCGATCGAAGCCCAGATCCACAGAGTTACCACGTGGCTTCCACAGAGTGTTGGACCTAAAATCCAGGCTTAATTGTTGATACGAAAGTGAGTTTTTGTACCAAGCATAACCGGACTCAAATTAGAGACTGCGTGCTCCAATGGATGACAGTAGATGCTTGTGATTGCTGAAATTGAAACAAGGATACTAATACGAATTTCAAAAAAAAAACTTACAAACTGGAGCCGTCCATTCGTGATGCTTCTTGTGAACGTATTTGTAAATTTTTGGATGGTGAAACAGTCTGAAACCATTTTCATCGGCTTCTGTTTCAGTTGGACTTAAAAAAATTACCTATGCGTGTAGTAGAATCCGATTTCTTCGCAAAGAACCGAAATGAGAACATCCCGAAGAATCTGCCATCCAGAAGGCAGCGGAGATGTGAAACTGGCACCTAGCCAAACTGCGGGAAGGTACCAGGCAAAAGTGACGAACGGACCCACGAGCAGTTGATTTGTGAAGATCACTTCGAACGCTCCGAGGTATTTCGAGAGCGGAGGCTTCTTCTCATCCTGAATTTTGTACGGTTGAACCCATTTCGGATCAATCATGTCGATGAGAATGAAGAAAAGGTTGTAGAGCCAAAAGTTGACGTTCACTATGATGGTACCGCCGATCACACTGAAAATGGGATAGTGCTGGACTACAGTACCCTTACGTTCACTTACTAGATGAGCAGTTGATTCCCTCCGAAGAAGTCATGCACCACCTGATAGGCTGCATCCATTCTGATATCAAGCTGACGGGTCACCGTCCGCCTCCTTTATATACGGGACGTGTGCATTTTTGAAGAGCGATCATCACAATACGGTATTCTGGGGTGAAGGGGGCGGAGCTTCGGAATAGAGTTTAGTTGGTAGGACTTGTTGATGAACTAGAGTCTTTTCCAAAGGGGCGGTCGCCTGGTTCCCACTTGTGTTTACTCGGTTTTTCGAAGAATGGAAGAAAGCGAGCGGAAAAAGGAAAAGTGGGGCGACGATGGCGATGTTTTCGATGACGAACGTGGCGACTCACACGGAAATGTGTTCTACGTCATGAGATCTCGAGATTCGGGTACCGTTTGATCGTAATGTGAGGAAAGAAAACGGTATCTTAGACGAGATTCCCATTCGTCAGGAATCCCGGTGAGAAATTCCAATGAGATCTCGAACTTAATCTTAATTCCCCCTGAAAACTTACTGCCCTCAGATCAATTTAATTTTTTGCGTCAACCTCTTGATCAAGAAGCTCTAGCTCTCTGGAATGGATAATTTCTTCACACTGACTAGTGAGTAAAAGTGTGACTCTGACCTCAATCCTGTGTTGTCAACTGCGTGTCAACACTGACGTACTGTTCTTTCAGAGATCATGTTTTGACGTTATTTTTTCTCAAGTTTCAAAGTTGATGTTTCTCTGAAAGAGCACAAAATGCACGCGCTTCACCCGTCCGCCCACTCTGTTGCAGATCATGAAACAGTACGTCACCCATCAGATCAACGCCCATTCCGTAGTGTGATTAGAGCCTTTGGGTCGTGTGGGCGCGAGTAGCTCACCAGAGATAACATTGTCCGTTTTGCCTGTAGTTGTGAAAGAGAAGAACTTTCTGAAACTGTGTTCCGTTATCGTCTCTCGTCGGACTCATCTATTCTCGTTTTTTGTCGTCCGCGACTGGTGTTTGACCAATCGGTAGTCTGGCCAAGATGTGATCGGGAGGTCAAGTCAGAAAGTGTCATAGGAACCGTTTTGCGAAGATGATAGAGATGACTGAAGGAGGAGAAGTTGAGGGTTCGATGAGCGAAAAGGGCAAAAAAATCGGTTTGGGCGGAGACCGATAGATGCAAAGAGACCGAAAAAAACCGAAATTGGAACTGATCAGCGTGTGGCCAAGAGATCATTTTGTCTTGAGCAAAAAATACTCCTGGCATAGGAACTTCAAGGAAACCGCGATGAAAGTTTGGTACAATTTGCCTTTACAGAAATAATTTTGCATCTTGAAGATGCACTTTCACCAGAAGCTTTCAGAAGTCTTCAGAATTCTTCAATGCAAAAGCACTCCTCGATCGGATCATCCAAACGTTCACGTCAGAAATCACACCCGAGAATGACAACGTCTCAAACGAATACCTTAATTCCCGTTATCTGGCCTGATCGATGTGTACTTTTTCGAGTTGATTCGTGCAAGGTTAATCAGTCCAAAATTGTACACGATCTACCTGAATTGTTCTGAAATGCCTTGTCAACTTCCTGTTTTCATGCTATTCTTCGAAAAACTTTTGTACGCGATCTTTCGTATCGTCGTCATCGTCTACGTCAGGCAATCAAGTCAAAATATGAGTTTACGAAGGTTTAGGACGCCTTCGATGTCCTTGATGTTGGGCAATCTTCCAGAGGGACCAGTTTTCCTTTAGCGATGTCCGGCATAAAAGTTGTGGAGGTGAACTTTTGGTCAGATCATAATATGGCTGTCCACACCTGAATTCGTTCCCAATCTATGACTGTTTTGGTGTTGAACTGTCCTCACTCACAAACGGATGAATTATTCACAGATCAGCGCCCTCTTGCAGTTTGTTCCAAGATGACCAGTGGGTTCGAAATAACACGCGTCTGCGGGGACCGACTAAACGCTGTCGCACATTAATCGGCCGATTGTTTGATCGTGCTGACAAAAGAGACAGTCGATCGAGTCTCCGAACTGCTCGATGAAACTGCTGATAAGTGTAACTATGCGTTGCAGCGGAGAGAAGGGGTTGCGAAACTCGGGGCTTGTGTGATGGTTTGTCAGTATTTGCGCGTCGGCGGATGAATCCCGATGCTCTCTGGAAACCATTGACACTAAGAAGGGACAATCCGTTTGTACTATGCCCCTCGCATAGTCAGTTTTCGTGTTCAACGCCAACTCTTTTACATCATGTTACTGATATCACTGCGGCCGCTGAACTTTGTCCTGTTGATTATCTCGGGAGGAAGGAGGCAGAAGGGGGCGGTATTAAGGACGGAAATAAATTCAACGAAGAACATTTTATTTGTTGAGCACAGGGAGGGAGATCAGAAAGAAAGACGGGGCAGACGAGCAAACCAGGAGATGTGCGGAAGGAGACAAAAGGGAAAGACCCGATGGAACAAGAAATATGAACTAACTATTCACCTAAATAAACAGTCAAAGATCACCAGACAAAAATGACGGATTTGTGGAGACGGCTCTCTTCCAAAGCCTTCTGTCTCTCGAGCATTTTGTGGAAATCATGGAGCATGGCGGGTTTGTAGTCCGGAAAATCAACGCAATCCATGCAGCACATGGTCTCCACTTTCTCCGTCGAAAGGACCATTTCCATCTTTCTGCAATTTCAGACATCATCTCGTGCCGCTCGATTCCTTGTCTCTCACGTAAAGTCTTCCACTTGTGTCAGATAAAAGACGACGATGCTTGCGATGCAAGTGTATTCGCAGATGGCCGTCAGACAATCCACTGCAATATTGACCTCTTTGATCACTCAATCTACCGTATTTAGAACATATCACATGTCTGTCCACCTCTATTTTATCAGCATCAAATTGGTCGCGCCACCACGTCACTACTAGTGAAATTCCAAAGTTTAAACGTGATAAGAAGTGCGCGTGCGATTGATAAATTATAATATCGTCGTCGTGGCACAATTGAAGACTGTCAACTAACCATGGTATAAACAAGGTTTGGAGAGCAAAAATGATATGTAATCACGGGTAACAACTGGCAAACAAAGCACGAAAAGAGCAAGGCAGAAGACACGTTCCAGGACGCGCGTGCTCTGAATTCAGAAGTGAGGGACCGTCCGAATGGTGGAAGAGCGGTTACCTTTCTCTTGGAATCATAGTATTCGATGGAAGTGTATAGAACTCCACTGGTAAAGAAGGATACTCCAAACAGCGGCAGAGCGTAGTAGACCAAGAAACCCACTGAAAACGGAAGTAAATAGGAGTTCCTGTTGGCCACGTGTCACTCACTGGCCGCCGAATCGATTCCGTCATGGAGACAGGTGACAAACATTCCGAGAATAGAAGTGAGCAGATCGGCGACAGAGCACAGACACGACAGGCACCTGATTTGCGATGCTTTTGCAGTGTTCTGCATCAGGATGTCAGCGCTTCGGCACATTGTCGTGACCATCTGCAGACGTTTGTGTATTGATCAGTTCGCAACGAAGTGACTCACTCTGACGGTGATGGAAACGAGCACTGCAGTCCTCATGGCCACCTGAGCAGGCGCGGAGAACGTCATTCTGCGGAGCAACGAGGGCAGGGAGTATCCTTCCGGATATGGGAAAAGGTAACAGTGGTTCTTGAAGACCGTGCCGAAGGAGTAACGGAAATAATCTCGAGCGAGTATTTTGTGAAGAGGATGCTTTGGATTCATTGAAGATATAACCTGCAAAGACAGTTTAAGCCTTAAAGCGGGGGGGGGGGGATGGTTAATTCAAGAATCCAACTTGCACGCAGATATTTCATACCTCATCAAATGTGATCGTGGTCATGTGCGTGTAGTCAGCTCTGTACGAGTGCGCAAGCAAAGTGTAGTTATCAGGAGCCACTTGGAAATCAGTAGAAAAGAAATAAAAGCCGATTGTCATGAAAAGGATAGAGCAGAGAAACGCTTGCATGTAAACGGAAGAGACCCTCCGAGTCGCGTGCGCCCACTCGGCAGAGTCCTCCGGATGCATTCGGTCTGTCGTCACTGTCATCCTGCAAGTCATTGTATTGAGAAAATGGCGAGTTTATAAAGAGTACGGGAGAGGAATCTGATCGTTACGACCAACTGTTTGATAGATGGGATGCGGTCAGATCTGAGTATTGGAAACAAGCTGAAGGAAGGCAAGAAGAGGTGATAATTGATGAGAATAGGGGAAAGAAGTAGGCAGAAAACAGTTCGAATCATTGAAACAAATGTCCCCGCCCATCTGAGGACAACTCTGGATCTTCCCTTCCGTGGTCAGCAAATCAACGACCGAGATCCTCTTGAATATTCAAAAGGAACCAATAAAAATCATAAATCCACGAGGTCTCAAGTGGTTTCGTGATCTTTTTTGAGGAAGAGGAAATGAAACGGTTGAAATCGGACAGACAACTGGCGGAAAAAGCCAGCTTATCACATAAAAAAATGAGGTTTCGTGAAGGTGGGCTGAATGAAAAAAGAACCCGTTTGGATGAAAGATAATGGAAAAAATGAGATCAGACGGAGGTTGCACTTTCGATGGAAAGTGACAAGAGTGTACTGAGGACAATGCCGGCGAAAAGAGAGGAGGAACAAGTGAAATTGTGAAATGACCGTTGGCAACTTTGAGGGCTTCAGATTCAGATTAAGATTTGAAAGGCGTCGAGACGGACTGTATTGGTATATCAAGGTTGGATGACGGTGGCAGGCGAGTAATGATGAATTGGTATCAATATGGGATAATGTATGCCATCGACAATGAAGCCAACCAGTTCGGTCCTTTTTTGACGACAAACGAACAAGCAAATAGATAAATATTAAGGATTTGTGCCGTAGGCGACAATGGAGACGGCCTTGGCGCGAGAGACCGAGGGCGGACTTCCTCCCCTGCAGGTACGGAATATTCGTTGCGCAATGCGCTGCTTCATCGCCAACTGTCTCCGGGGGCAGGTTGTTGCCATACTAAAGACACATCAAAACACACAGATGCGATGGTGAAGCCGCAGGTGACTGCGTCTAGTTTGATGGCAATCAGTGGATAAGGGAAATCCGATCAACCGCAGTCTGCTGGATATCAGCCAATTTATTCCAAACTGTTAATAAAACTGAGAGTGAAACGGGCTGTTTTGCAGATATCTCACTCAGAATGTTAAAATTTTAAACGGTTCTATGATTTCCCAAGTACTCAAACTTTCCGAGCACAAAAGCTAACACTTTTCATTCCACAGTATTCCCACTTGCGTAGTATTCTTCAGTCTTTTTCTTTTTCGTGTCACTATGTTTCATAGATAGTCACTTCTTTCCTTTTCGAAACAACTTGGCGTCTCTAGCTGGAATCCTCGTCCGGCCTCGTTTATCTCTTCATCTGTCAGCCCAGCCCGATTCCATTCTAGAAACACACACTGCAATCAACGGAATCGCATCTCATCCGCTTTTTTGCTGCGATCACTCCCACAACCTTCTTTTCTTTCATTTTCTATGAAAAAATGAGATCGAACGTTCGGTGTTACGACACCGAAAAATGGCTAGTGAATCCAGTTCGAAACGCCACAAACAGAGAGACCTTTCACTGTGATTGCGGGTCGCTGGATCCCGTTTCGGAGAGAGTTGCGCAATAAGGAAATGAAAAGAAGGGGAATAGAGTGAAGTTCAGGTTCGAACGAAGAAGCAAACCGCATAGAAACATGTCGGATGGGTTAGATCACATCTGAAACACTTAATTAATTCGTTTATTCATCGGGAAAAGACCGGAAATGAAAGGAACACAAAAATATGGCTGTTAAGATGAATAAGAAAGGAAGGGAACCAACCCCCTGAGGTAATTTTCGGCAAGCAAGTTGCTCCGGTAGCATGGGGTGGGCATGTGTCACGCACGGATCCGGCAAGGAATCAGCATGGATCTGGCGTGCGACAGGAAAACGTGGGATGGGAGAGGGGCAGACTGTACGAGTCTGAAAGCAGAACAGAAAGCTCGAAAGAGCGGAACGGGCGAGGAAGGGAGAGCTGCCTGCCGTCGACTGCGATAAGAACGCGGCGAACGCGGGTGAGTGGACGGACATGTTCAGAAGTCTGCCCGATTCTCAAGTGTCCCTTTTGTCCAAAATATACTGAAAATGACCTGAGAGAATTTAGTTTATGACCATGTTTTACCTATAACAATTTCTTTAATTTCGGTACTCTTGTAATGTTCTGACTAATTCTTGAAACCTTTGAATCTTTGATCAAGTAAATTGCTACCCATCCTCCCACGTCACTTATTTTTGAGTAACACACAGCATTTGCTCCGATGGTGCTCGACAATCAGATGTCATCGGGCACGTACAGTCTGGCCCTGTCTATCATCTATGTAAATTATGCCATTTCATCCAATTACCCCCATTGATGGGTTGCAGGCCACTCCGTACCATCCATGCCTCGTCCTTCCACTGCTCATTTGCAAGGTACTGAATTATATAAAACGACGACGAATTCGCGGCTGCGAAGTCAGAAACAGGATATCGAAGACCATAGGGCACGGATAAAGAAGGCTTGAAAATGAAGAATTCAACTAATTGAGCCGATCAAATACAGAAAATGAAGTGAAACACGCAATGGGGGAGGGAAACAAACGTATCGAGATACCAAGAAAACTGAAAGAAAACTATCGAAAGGAATGACAGAGGGTAGTGGGGGAAATGCTTTACAATCTCAGAAAAATGATAAGATGAGCGGGGAACCGAACTGAGCAAGAGGGATCGATTGTCTGACTAGCTGGAAGTGATTAGTCGCCGATTGCTGCGGGTTACTGAAGGTTTTGAACCTCGCCGAACACTTTTCTGAAAAATGGATCTAATTAGAAGGGTCCGTTTGCCTCCGATGGGTCAAGTTTACATGATTGTGCAAGACCTTCTGTTCCTGTGTGCATTCCGTAACCCTCTGCGTGCGCACGCGAATGCAAACAGACAGAAACGGTCAGAAATGGTCATCGTGTTTCCTGATAGCGACGCAAAAAGAGTGCATCCAGCGCGGCAAGTTTGTTTCGAAATGTTTAAACAAATATTCAAAAGTAGGTCATGTTGCCACAGCATTAGATGATAAAAGAGGTACTTTTATGTAAAACGGAGAGTCCCTGACGTGTTTGCCCGTCCCTCGCCTTCTCTTTCTCTCCCACAAACATTAAAATCGCATAAAAGAATGGGCCCGTGTGTCTTCTGAAGCGACCGCCGTTCTCCGGCCATTCTGCGCGCAAGTTGCGCAACTCGGCTCTTCACTCGTTGTGCAACCACTCATTCGTTCCATCATTCCCATTCTTCTTTTGTTATTCCGCCGACCATGCCGGACGGACGACAGCGGGACGAAGGTCATGTGCATGCCAAAAGTAGTTAAATAGTTACCGTAACTTCTTCTCTCTCTCTCTCTCTCTCTCCGTCCCTCCGCTTCGCCAAATTTATGGTGGCTGTCACTCCGAAAACGTGCGAGGGCGCAGATCTAATCGGCGCCCCATCGTCGCTCCCTCCCTCTATCTGCCCACACCATCGTCAAACTTTTCTCACCAATCCATCCGCCCGTCGCATGCGATTTTCAACCTATTTCCCTCTCTTACTCCCCCGCTACTACAGTATACCTGACCGTAATTACCGCTCCTTCTGGTCACCTGAATCCGCGAATACCCCATCTCATTACACAATGCACCGGACAGAAGGATTGGTGTGAAAAGAACGTGCGTCTCTGGCTTCGCAACGCTCTCTCACTCGACAAAATGTTCGATTGCGCAAGCTTCTGGGTTGCGCAATGTGCGCCGTATGCACGCACACATCAGTAAGGTGACATCATCGGACAGAAGACGAGAATAAGAATAAGAAGACGGCACTCACTTGGGCCGCGTCTCTCCCTTCTTCACCACCTGGAATGGCGACGAATTGGTGTGTTGGAAGGAGTTCGTGTTCTCGTTGTTGCTGTACTTCTTCGATTCGCCGAGGATGTTCGACATGAGATGCTTCGGTTTCACTGTCGTTTTCTGCGGGGATTCACGACGGAAAGTCATCTGTGAGACGAGTGGACGGAGCGTTGAAGGCGTGAACGAAGCTGGTGCGTAGTCCGGGAAAGAGAAGCGAGGCCTCGGGGTGTTGGAAACGGATGGGAGCGGTCCCTGATTCTGCGCATGAGGCTTCGCGAGCTCCGGTAGGTTCAGCAATTGGAGAGGGGCGATGGGAAGTGGAGGGACCGAAAGGGGTTTTGTATCGGGAGCGGATTGAGGGGCGACAGCTGGTGTTCCGAAAAGGCTGCAATTATGTTTATTTAGGAATACGCAATGTGAGCACAAAATATACCTGGAAAGATGAGCCAACGCGTCCAATTTCAATTGCTCGGCTACTGCCAAATCCGCGAACATAAACAGAGGAGCAGTCGCTGGAGAAAGGGGGGTCGACTTCTCCGATCTGATCTTGGCCATTTTCGGAACATTTCCGGACGGTCTGGCGAGGTTCTGCTCGGAGAGAGTTCTCTTCCCGAATCCAGCAATTTGCTGAACGATCCTGTCAGTTTGAGCCTTCATCACGGGTGTCTGGGGCGCATTCTGTGGACTGCTCAGAAGACGTTCCACTGATTGGAAGACGTCAAATGTTCCATTCACTGAAAACGAAAAAATAAAAAAGATTTGAAAGGGCTATGGCTTACCATCTGGTTCTGGCCCACAATACACGAAGAGCGGGATCTTCTTTGTTCCAAAAAGGTAATGAACCTTTTTGATGAGGCCGAGAGCCACAAGAACATTGGCAATGTCATACAGTCTTCTGCAACGGCTTCTGCTTGGCGGCTCGAATCCTTCGGTCTCTGGATCTTTGATCAAAACTGTGCTCGCCACGTCCAAACTGACTTTTCTGTTATTCTGCAAAATGGATTCATTTGAAGTGTTTGCAAAGAATGCAACTAACTGGGTTGCTGAGAAGGACCATCAGGAATCTTCTACACAGCTGAGCCAGAGAATTCCTTCCTTGTCGGTCTCTGCTGTCCACTCTCGAGCGCTTCTCCATTCCGTTCGGCTCCGTCTTCATGATCAGTGAATCGAAAGAAGTGCTCGGGGTGGTGGGGGTTGAAGTGCAGGACACAAGAGAACCGACGATGTCCTTGAAACCTCCTCTTCCACGTGCAGATGGCGAGGCGAGCTCTGTGAACGAGCACATGGCCTGTTCGACCCGGAGAACCCGCTCCGGGAGACCCTCTTCCACTGCGCCATTCTGAAATTGCGGATGATTGAAAGTCGGAGTGATTTCAAATCACGAACCTGCAGGTCAAACATCAGCTTCGGGAGCGACTCAAGTCCCTGCCACTGGTAGTACGACTTGTTCGTCTTCTGCATTGCGTCCAGCGCTTCCATAACATTGACGATGTCGTAGATTCTTCTTTTCTCGACGCCTGAAACAGTTTTTTTGTTAATCTTTTGTGCTTCCGTTCCATCGCATACTCATTTTCCTGGCCACTGTCTCGAGATGAACCTCTCTGCTTGGCGAGTCAACCGTCTCCTCATTGATGGCGATGAGAAATCTCTGGCAAAGCAGTCCGAGGCTCTTCTCCTTCCGTGACGTGCATTCGCCGTCTTCGTCCGCCTCGTCGGCGCTTGTGTTGACTGCTCCTCCTTCTGCAAAATGTTCTCTCTACAGGTCACTTCAATGCCCTTTTTATCAGTTCACACCGAAAACCAACTATACGATTTTGGCTGTAAAATGTCAAAAACTGTTGGCAGACTCGGCTAATAACTAGTGATCGTATTACCGAATCGGAAAGAGTTCGAAAGGGCGAGAGACTCTGACAACGGTCAAGTGTTATCAGGAATGACCGCTCGAAACAGCCATGTTTGTGAGTTAGAATGATAATAAAAACCTTGCGACAGAAAGGAAGCGTCGGAGAGTTGCGACATGGCGGGAGAAGGTCTTGGCACTGGGGACTGCAGCAGACTCTCCTGCTCCTGATCGTTCGAACGGATCACACGTGGCTCCGGATAGACGAAAGGCTCCTGGAAAAGAGAAAAGAAGAGGGTGGAAAGGAGGCATAAACGGCTGTCACCTTCTTGATTTCCATGCCGGGCGGGATGTTCTCTTTGTTCGCTTCGAGGGTCATGAACATTGTGGACCCGTACAGATTAGTCATTGCTGCTTCTGGTGATTGGATTCAACTACCAGATTGATCTAAAACACGGAAGTTGACGAAAAAATAGGGATGAAAATCATGGATCCAAGAAGTAAGATCGAGATGAATGATTCGAGAAAATGGGATTGCGAAAGCGATTAAGGTTCGAAAAGAGGATGAAAAGACAGCAGTAACTATGCATTTATGCAGGGATGAGGAAGGAAAGAAGAGGAGGATTAACCTCCCAGGGGCAGGGTGATGGTGTGAGTGTGGTGTGCGGGTAGGCGGTGTGCTACGACACACTCGCTCGGCAGAAACGACGACGGTCTGGGCGGACGGGGGGCAGCCGCAGATAGTGCGCGATAGAGAAGAGGACGGAGACGGAGGGGCGGGGCAGCTGGACCGACGGGCAGCAGTGCTTCGCGCCCGCACCGATTTTTGAATACGGGCGCCCACGCCGAGGTTCAGGTGTTATCAGTCGAGTATCGATTGTGTTTACGGCGGGAATGTTTGGAGCATTCGGACGGTTTCGGTGACCATCTTGAGCAGATAACATCGGCATTCCATCTAAGTTCCCATCAAGATCTCGAGTAGAGCAGACACAAAGATTGTCCTTTTTAGAATCCCCAATCGATATCCTTCAAGATCCATTTACTTTCCATCATTTTTGAACAGCATTTCCACGCAAACGAAAGTGAGACGAGCCGTCCTTGGGCGGCAGCGCCCCCAAAAAACATGTGCCGTTGGGCAGCACTGCGCGAAAGAATTTTCTCCTTTTTGAGGATGTTTGTACAAGTGACGTGAGAGGCGACTTTCGAGTGGAATCGGTATCACTTGCAAAGGATGTTGCCGCCACCATATGGACTGGCTGTAAAGATCGGATCGGGCTGAAGAGAACAGGAAGGAATTGCCAGAGCCAGGCAAGAAAGCCTTGTACAGTCTGTTGATGTAGTGGGGGAGAGGTCGCGTCATTGGGCTGAACATAAGTAGTCCAATTAGTTGCGCAATCGGCAGAAGGGCTCTCAGAGTTCCCAGAGCTGTCCGTGAACCCGTCCTTGTTCGCCCGTTGTTCGTCCGTGCCCACGACAAGTGACTCTTCCCTTTCATTCCCTTTCCTTCGTCTCTTTTTTCGCGCGCGTGTCTCTGTCTCAGCTGTGCGCGAGAAGTAAGAAAATTCAAATGGATGCGCGGTGCCTATCGATCCGAGATCGGCAGACAATGATTCGGTAATGAGATGCGAAAAGAAGCGTATCTGGAATGCGCGATCCGTCGCCGAATTCTCTTTTTCGTGGATTCCGGCGACCAATAAACTCTCGCCTCGTCCCCGATTCGGATGGATTTTAACAGATCAGGCATTCTTCTGAAGCACTTTTCCTTTGTCTTCATATTCGAATATTCGATGCGCGACAGACAGAATCAATCAGTCATCGTATCGAGTAACCGGTCTGTTTATCTGCATATCTTCGGAATTAATAATAAACAAATGTGAATGCTGGTGGGGCTACGGTTCAACCGTCTATTTATTCGGTGCCAATCGGTCATCCGATCGGAATAGTGCATGCACACGAGAGACGCAGACACTGACGTGCCGAGCATCTGTTGCATTTAAATGAAGCTGCTGCGGGGAATCGGAATGAACGGAAGGACGGCAGGTGCTCGGGGTCGCAAACCGTACGGCCGGGGATAAGAAGCAGGGTAATTGAGGTGAAAACGGACAGACCTTGGGGACGAAAACTGGAGTTGTGGAGGACATGCTTCCGGAGGAGACACTGTGTAAATCATCCATTTCGACCGCAATAATAGATTTATGAAGGGCAGAAAAAGCTGCTGATCGGCAGATGTTGGGCACCTGTCAACGGAGGATCCCTTCTGCTTTATGACGTGGCAATAAACTATGCAGAGTCAACTGTGAGCACGCGAATGAGGTGGTTACGACGCTCGCACATCACACCTACAGTAGTTCACTTTCAAATTGTTTCCGCGGGCGCCCATTTTTCAAGTTCAAATAGCGTCGCCAGTTGATCGGGAGACGAGAAAAGTGTGAAAAATGAAGATGAATTACGTTCGCGGCGAAAGGACATCGTCTCTGTTTCGCTCCTCCGCGCACACACCCTCCCCGCCGCCTAATGAAGATTTTGGCGCGACCATTTTTCGAAAAAATGGCTGGCTTATGCAAACTTGCGAACGCTGTCTGGTCGCCTTCGTCTCTGCGGAGATGTTGTCCTCGATGTGATTGATGAGTTGGAACAGGTACGCGCGGCACCGGCACAGGACAATCGGGCGGCGAGCCTTTGGCGCCAAACAATCAGTCACACTGAGCTAATGAGCCACACATGACATGGCGCATGTCAGATTGTGGAAAGAAGTAATGGATCCGGTTCGGAAGGGAAAGGTGAACCGGAGGGCCAATTCAACCGGAATTGCCATGTTGATGGCAGTTAACTGTCAACAAAACGGACTTTTGGCGAGTCAGGGTCAGGGGAAATTGATGGGAGTGCTGGGGTAATCCTAAAGATTCCGTGCCCCGTGTATTGTCAACATTTCTGTACGCAGATTTGAATCGAAGCATACCGAATGCCACGGATGAGTCAATGACAACAACTGCCACGTCAGACTTTTCTTTGTCTTATGCCTGTGAAACATTCCTGCTCAATAATAGATAAAGTGCCGGGACTTTTCCTCCTATATCACACGGATGCGGATGAATTATTGAAGAGCCACAAGAAGAGACATGGCCGGGAATAGAAGAGACCACGGGAACGTCAGTATGGATGAGCAATTGCGAGACGTTCTTATCCTTATCATTCTCCATATCTCTCTGCTACCGCACATTCAAACCACGGGCGGTTTCGATGTGTTTCCCATGCGCGCACGGCTAATTATTCAAACTTCAACCTGACCGAGAGTCCCGTTCCAAGGCCATCCATCTTTTCGCTGTCACCTCTGATTACCGTCCCTCTCGCGCCAATTGTTGCCATCATCCTTCGCGCCTTTTTTGAAAGACACAGACTGTCCCTTTCGCTTTCTTTCTCTCTCTTTCTTTTCTTCTTTCGACAAATGAACAAGTACACGGAGAGAACAAATAGGCATCAATGTTACCGCAAAGAGGGTGCTGCGCCCAGTCGTGCGGGCGATTTGAACCGTGGGAGAGGATTCGAATGGGCGAAAAAGGAATAGGAAGGAAAGGAGGAGAGAGAAAGAGAAGAAGAAAACGATACTTTAGTCTCCATACATTTCAGATGAGCAGAATAATAGATAAAATGCCGTTCGAGCGCACCTTTTCGCCCATCCTCAATTTTCTCATTTTAAGCCATTTTAAGGCTTATTTTCATTGATTTTGTGTCCTAACTTTTCAAAAATGTGTCATTTTAAACAATTTTCAAAAATGGTAAAAAGGTCGAAATGCGCTACCTTGAAAATGTGGTCGAAATGGATGGTCGAAATGGTCGAGAAAAGTGCGCTAGAACGGTGAATAAAAAAATGCTAAATAAATGATCTTTTCAGAAAATCTTAAACCTCTGACAAATTATGATCTTGAAGAACTTGTAAAATTATTAAAGATAAGAAACTTCAGAGGAATCTTTATGAGAGACACCTTACCACTTCAAGGAATTAAAGAAAAAGAAGTTGGTATAATTAATTTAGATTCTTCTAGTGGTAAAGGTACTCATTGGGTTTGTTATTCTAAAAATAAAGGAAATATTTATTACTTTGATTCCTTCGGACTTGATCCTCCTTTACAACTTCAAGAATATCTCAAGAGTAGAAATAAAAAAGATAAAATAGAGCTTTCAACATTCAAAGTTCAAGATTTTGGAACACATCATTGTGGTTATTATTTTTTACTACTTTTAAAATTATTAGAAAAATATGATTTTCAAAGTAGTGTTTTATATCAATTTTTATAACCATATGCCAGAGTCTCAAAAGAATCTGGAATAATAACTCTTTTGAATTGCAGCATTTTCGCTTGAGTCATTTCATTATCAAATACAACTTTTTCCTGTTCTTGGGTGTATAATTGTTGTTACAGCAGCGGAAACGCACCGACATTCCGGCTCCTTGCAATGGATCGCACTTGCACAGTCCTTTCGAAGAAGACTATTATACGCAAGTCTGCGGCAGCCAATCAACTTAGAATTTCGAAGTATGAGCCGAATGAAAATGAAATAAACAAAAATAGTAAAAAATCATTAATTTATTGCATTTATTTCAGACAAGTAATTAATGATGGGAGAGCATTGGGGAATTGGGAAGATCGCACCGGAAATTCTAACAATAATTGGTTTTTGCATGAAAATAAATTATTTTTATACAAGGAGTGTGTTTTGTGAGAAAGAATTTGATAAATTTGAAGAAAACAGCTGAAGTGTCGAAAATGGTATTATAGGGGCACCGCACAGAAATGGCGCTCTATTGAGAAACTCTTTTTGCAGTGCAAATTGAGCGACCTCGGGGCCGAGTTTGAAAATTTAGGCCACGTTTTCAGTGGAAAAATATTCGCGGCCTAGAAATTCGGCCAGATTGCGAACAGCGCGCGCTTTCTGTCCGGTGCCCCTATAATACTCGTCCATCTGATACTTCTCGTAGGCTTCCAATTTGAGCAGTGGCTGCTGCGGAAACTGCAGTCTGTACATTTTGTTAGCTGCTCTTGCGTGCCACGCATGGACGGCCGTTCCCATTGTCTGTTTACCCATCTGACATTGGTACACGTTGCTGAAAAAAGCTGCGTTTCAAAAAAATAAAAAGGTATTGGATACCGGGGAGATTGATTGTGATCCGGGAATGTATAATTCCTTCTTCTTGGCACTGTGCCAACATGTTGAGAATACAGGAAGCGAAGAATTGATGGCCCTTTCGGCCTCTTTTGAACTCAGCGGAGATGACGGCTTCGTTTTTGTCAGTCAAAGCCTTTACGATTTACATGAGCGGGACGTAGAAGATCTCGCGACGGAACTGGAGAGCCAGCTGCATGGTTCCCGTGTCCAGATAGTGGAGAGTCATCATCTGCAAGCTCGTATGACTTCTTCGAATTCCATAGCAGAGAGCAGCTTTTCAGGCAGATCCTAGTTTTCGATACGGCAGCTGATTATTGCGGAGAACTCGGCATTTTATAAATACCATACGAACTTAAAAAATATAATTTTTATCGAAATAATGGTTGAGCTCATAATTTGCGTTTGAATAGTGAGAAGAATTGCTTTTTCAAAAAGAACGCAGCCAGCGAAGGGACTGTGCAAGTGCGCTCCATTGCAAGGAGCCGGAATATCGGTGCGTTTCCGCTGCTGTCATCACATCCTTCCACCTTATTCTAACATTTGTAATAGAAAAGAGACTTCCTTTTCTTCTGTAGTTTGCGTTGATTTCGTGATTTCCCATCCATAATTATAATTGTTATTTTCTCCTTAACTTTGAGTTTGTTAACAACTTTTCCTACTTGCCCTCTCTCTCTCGAATTAATCGAATATGTTTACAGAGTGCAAAAGATTCTATAATTTGCATTCAAATTTCAAATTTTGAGAATACCTGCCGATCCGATGGAATTGTTTTTCGAGTTGCAAGATAATGAGGATGTTTTGCATGATAAATTCAGTTTTGAATTTGACAGCCAGGTAGGTGTTTTCATAAACTTAGCAGTTATCAAATATAATTTTTTTCAGAAAACGTTGAATGAATTGCGAGACAAAATCGCTTCGAAGTGGCAAATCCGACGTGAAGACCAAACAATTTCCATTAAAGATGGAAAAGAACTTTATGGACGAGGTGTGACAAGTCTCGAGTTTTATGGATTAAAAGACGGCGACACAGTGATCGTTGTAAGTTTTCAAATTTTTATTTGTTTAGCACCACTAATGTGAGCCAAAATTGTATTAAAATAAACTTTAATGTGAATAATTTTAGAAGCACGCTAATTTGCCTAACTGGGTGAAGATGACTGCTTATGTAGAAGAAGCGTTACAAGCAAAATCCGTTGACAACATGGGACGCATTATTTCCTCCGTCGAAGCGGCTCTTCCACATCTCAAGTTGTTAACATCAGCTGATTTCTTCACGTCATATCCAAGATTCGGCCCAAAGCTGCGTTCTTTCAAAAGTGAGTTTGCTCACTACCTGGGCTCCGACGACAAACATATCGAATTTGCGCTTTAAGAATACTTTTCGAAGTTTCTTGGTGACAATGCCGAGAACCCGACCGTCGTAGTTAATTGTGAAGAAAAAACTAGAGGTGGAATCCAAGTAAGTGTAATTAATTGATCAAGAAGGTTTTTTTACGAGATTGAAAAATGTGTTTTAGGGTGGTGTCATCGCGAATGTTTCGAGTGAGGGGAACGTCTTGGGCAGGTTCTACGTAAAGGTGCACATCGGTCTGGCCGTGTATCCATATAAGCAAAACGCGGATTTGCGTGAAATTTTTGCCTACAAATTGCTCGAATTGATCAAGCTTGCGCCAAAAGTCCATTTTGTACCGAATGTCCATTACTCGATGCTTGGATTATACATCTCCACCGAAGAAGGTAATTTTCATAAATGTAGCCCTCAGTTGTGTGTCAGATATTCAACGAAAAATAATTTATTTTTTTGAGATTATTGAAATTTTGAAATTTGTCAGTTTATAATTGTCACATTTCTCATACAATAATATTTTGTGTTTTTAGTCATCGGATTCCGCCAAGCGGACGAGGTCGACATGTCGGACGACCAAATGTCTGAGAGGGAACTGATTCGGAGAATACTTGTATTGAAGGATTTGCACTCGGCAAATTACGGAGTTGATGTCAACGGGAAATTGAGCATTATTGATTTTAAGGTATATTTAAAGTTACTTTTTTATTAGTTCTGTTATTTTCATTTAGGTCGGCGACAATTATGGAAAGGCAGAAAAATATTGGGCAGGCGAAAACAGGGCGGAACGGCAGCGGGTCGCACGTCAATGTTTTGAATCATGGCAGCTCGAACCGATGATAATAGTCGCGAACGATTCCATATTCCAACAGAAACAGCTCTTCCGCAAGAATGGAATCCCTTATAAACCGAGCCGAGATTTCAGCAATTACTTGGCAGAAATCCGCAAAAATATCGCCTATATTTCTAACTCGTTGTAAATTCTAAAACTGAATCGATAAAAATTGTGCCACTAAAAATTTTGTGTAATTTTATATAATCACATAATAAACAAACGACGGATATAGGAATCGGTTTCGTTTAAAGCGGAAGTTACTCAACTTATTATAGAATAATTATAGACTCTTGAAAGAGCTTGCAAAGCAGATCCTCAAGGTTTATCCAGCCTCACCATTTATTGAGCATTATTATTATTCAAAATTGTTAGCGCAACATTGGATTTCGACCATTTTTTTTATAACGCACTTTTCGGCCATTTCCCCATTTTTGAAAATTGTTAAAAATGGCACATTTTCTAAGAATTAAGACAGAAAATCAATGAAATTGTTTGCATCTAAATACAAAAGGAAGTTTGAACATAGTTTAGGATTAAAATTCTTCATATATTTATTATTAGCAGCTTTCGTATACCTTTTAACAGCATTCACAATTCCACCTCTAATACCATTTTCAATCATGAAAAACTTCTCAGTATGGTTAATAGTGTCCAGTTTAACTTTAGTGTATTTTAGCATAGCATCCCAAGATAATCCTGGACTTGTATAATACCAGCAAGGATCTAATTCATAGACATATCGAGTAACATCCCTAAAGTTCTCAAAAACATCTGCCAAAAGAAGCACATCATTAATCATATATATTCTAGTATAATCTTCTAAACTAGAGCATCCCATTTTTTTTCCAAACTAACTTTGCATACAAGTATTCCTTAGTTGTACATTCCTTTCCATTGAGGCTATCATAAAACGAAGAAATACTTGGGAGTTCAGTTTCTTTGTATCTCTCGAATGAGTTAATATATTCATATGGATAAACACCCTTTTTCCTCATAGTTTCGAAGATATCATTACCTTGAGTGGAGTAATAATCTTTTGATATATTCATTTGATTATCATCTAAATTTTCTGCAAGTTTATCCAATGAAGATAACATGAAACACATTGAATCTAGAAATCTTACTTCACATGTTTCCCAAATATTTTCTGTCAAAGAAGGTAAATGATAACTAAAACTAATGAATTTCTCTGAGTTAGCAGAAATATTTGACACACCCACATCTTTTTTTCTCAGAAACTTAATACTCATGGGATCTCCTTCGAGAAGTTTCGAGTGAGACCGCTCTCTCTTTCTCCTTCTGTTCTTTCCTTTGGTGTGACGTATAAAGGCCAGCAGTGTTCCCTTTCTTTTTGGACCTTCTTTTCTCTTCCTCACTGTGACCGAGCGCAATCACACATTTGCCCCAGTTGAGCTATACGCACACGACGCGACACGCAAACGCGTTGGGCTAGAGTGGAAGGGAGAGACGTGTCTGTGGGCAGAGACGCAGAGGAAGGAGAGAACATGCCAACATCGCATCCTTCCACCACATTCTAACTTTTGTGAATAGAAAAGAGATTTTCTTTTCTTCTGTAGTTTGCGTTGATTTGTAATTTCCCATCCGCGCTCGGGATTTTGAACGACCCGGTCGTTCAAAATTCCGAGTGATTATTACTGTTATTTTTTCTCCTCAACTTTGAATTTGTTATCAACTTTTCCTACTTTCTCTCTGTTGGGGAGCGCCATTTGCATATTAGTTTATTTGCTTATCTTTTCTCCCTATTCATTGGTCTTATTATGCGCTTAAAATAAACGGTCTGCTCTACCTATCTACCCCGACACAGCAACTCTTCAACACTCTCTCCTTCTATTGCGTTTTCATAGAACTTCCTCTATTTTCCTTATAACTCTAATAATAAATATTCTTATAATAATCCTTATAATTTACTAATTAATGTTTGTTTAAGGGGCAATGAATCAAACATCTGCTGAGTCATTTGAACAATTTCTGTACACAACGTCCGACCCCGGTGCATCTGTGCACAGATGCGCTTTTGCTATCGATTCCACGCATGCTGTCACATACCAACATGGGCATCATTCGACGATGGTCAAGAACGAAAAGCTGTATCTGTTCAACGTTGTTGATCAATCACTGAAATTCGAGGTTTTCTTTTTCCAGTATGCTTAATTTAAGCTGTATTTTAGGCAGTGGTTCTTGCACTATCGGATGTACACGACGTCCTTGTCTTCCAACTGACAAATACAACCTTCCCATGTTACCCTGCTAACTATGGTGCCTTGTATCGAGGAAAGGAATACCGGCAGCTCGGAGTTTCCATGCGTAGGGAACCAACCTGGAAGAGCGGATGTGTATCAGACCAAATGAGTATGTCTGATTTCTTAACTTTACAAATGTTAATTGTTTGATTTAGAAGGATGGTTCATTGGATCTTCTCATGGACGGAATGGGGATTCCGGATCTGCTATCCTTGATAACTCCGGCCGCTTCCTTGGGATGTCCGTCGGCAAAAAGGCGTTCTGCTTCGAAGACAATGGGAAGATGGACCTCGCCGAGGTGGCAGATCATTTCACAGACACGCGAATAATTTCCTCGGAATTAATTTTTGGCATTGCGGGAATTATCGACGATGAAGTAAGTTGATTTAGTTAGGGACTTGGTTAAATTGTTATGTTTCAGTTCCAACCGCCCAAACAAAAACTTCCTCATCTGGAGTGAAAACGTTTCCCCTTCTCAATCTATTCTCGATCTTTATTTTCTGTATTTTCTGTATTTTCTGTATTTTCTGTCAAATTCCTTTCAATTGAACTTTTTCTTAATTTTCTCAATAAATCATGTATGGATTCACTGTTTGGCAAATACAGAACATTAATTTTATTCAAATTTATTAGCGATTTATTAGCGCACTTTTCTCGACCATTTCGACCATCCATTTCGACCACATTTTCAAGGTAGCGCATTTCGACCTTTTTACCATTTTTGAAAATTGTTTAAAATGACACATTTTTGAAAAGTTAGGACACAAAATCAATGAAAATAAGCCTTAAAATGGCTTAAAATGAGAAAATTGAGGATGGGCGAAAAGGTGCGCTCGAACTGCATTTTATCTATTATTCTGCTCATCTGAAATGTATGGAGACTAAAGTATCGTTTTCTTCTTCTCTTTCTCTCTCCTCCTTTCCTTCCTATTCCTTTTTCGCCCATTCGAATCCTCTCCCACGGTTCAAATCGCCCGCACGACTGGGCGCAGCACCCTCTTTGCGGTAACATTGATGCCTATTTGTTCTCTCCGTGTACTTGTTCATTTGTCGAAAGAAGAAAAGAAGGAGAGAGAGAAAGAAAGCGAAAGGGACAGTCTGTGTCTTTCAAAAAAGGCGCGAAGGATGATGGCAACAATTGGCGCGAGAGGGACGGTAATCAGAGGTGACAGCGAAAAGATGGATGGCCTTGGAACGGGACTCTCGGTCAGGTTGAAGTTTGAATAATTAGCCGTGCGCGCATGGGAAACACATCGAAACCGCCCGTGGTTTGAATGTGCGGTAGCAGAGAGATATGGAGAATGATAAGGATAAGAACGTCTCGCAACTGCTCATCCATTCTGACGTTCTCGTGGTCCCTTCTATTCCCGGCCATGTCTCTTCTTGTGGCTCTTCAATAATTCATCCGCATCCGTGTGATATAGGAGGAAAAGTCCCGTGGAGCAAGTTGGTCTCTGTGTTTTCTGCTCATCGCCCCATTAATTTATTTGTTTTGAGCCGTGTCCCCCAGAGATTTCCTCTTACTTCCTTCTTCATTTCCTTGAGTTGATTTCAGTTCCATTCGAAGAGTTTACAGACTTGGTAATTGAGATGACCATCTCAATCATCTCCTTGTTCACAGTTCTCTTCGCCTTTTCACCAGCCGAATCTGCAGAAACATTGCTCTTTGCCCAAGTGGTACGTTCACTCCCTCTCTGTTCCCTTCCCAAATTCTCACTCAGCTCTTCCGTCATGGAGCCCGTGCGCCTTCTGCTCATCTCACCAATCAGTCCTACATTGAATACTTTCCGAGAGGACTCGGAGAACTCACTGATGTCAGTTGCCAAGTATCAGAGTACTTGAAGAAATTACGTTTCGCTTTTCAGAGAGGATTTGACAATTCATACCTTCTCGGAAAGTTTCTAAAGAAGCGATACGTAGACACTGGCTTTTTGGACAGTAATTTGAAACCGAGCGAGATGTACTGGAGATCCGTGAACAAGAATAGGTGCCTGAGCACCGCATCAGCTGTCGGAGCGTCAATGTTTGAGGAGAAAGACAAGCACTATCACGTGGCAGTGGCGACAGAAGAGATCGGAGAAAATGTAAGTGATCAGAATATGAATTGAGGAATATCTAACACTTTACCATTTTAGCTGTTGAACTATGACCAGAATAACTGCGAGCGTGAGCTGGAACTCATTGCGGATCAGTGTCCCGATTTCAAAGGCAACTTCCATCCCGTGGGTGATTCCTCCATTGACTCCCATCGAAACAACTCTTTTCAGTGGCCCGAATACGAAGAATTTGTTGCTAAATGTCTGAATTACACTCATCCAGTTTTCAAGAATTTCCCCTTCCGCACAATCGAAGCACATGTTAACGAGGTAATTTTTGGCTTGTTCTAATTTTCTCAACTGACTGTTTCAGTACAAAAACGGACTGCCACTGCCCAGTCTGCTGGCAGAAAACTACGACGATATCATGAGTTTGTACGTGAGAGTGACACAATGGATCACCGGAACTGGCCATCATCACGATCCGAGAATGATGAAAGTGAAGTTCGGATATCTGACGAGTGTTTTGCAACAAAATATTGAAAACAACTGGAAGTATAATGTTGCCAAGAGAACTAATACTACAAATGATTTGCAGCGGCCGGAGAAGTTTACCGTTTACTCGACAGTCAGTTCCCGAGTGACTCAATCTCCGATAATATCCTATTTGCAGCAAGATTGGATTCTGATGGGAGTGCTCGATTCGTTCGGAGTACTCGAGGAATCTGTCGGCTTGAGCGTCTACCCCGAGTACAACTCAATGATTATCATGGAGTTGTGGGATAGAGACGATCAGCCATTCGTCAAAATGTACTACAAGGCCGACGAGCAGACGGAAGAGGATCACAAGCTGATAGACTTGAGCAACCTCGTCAGAGAATGTCCCAAGAATCAGGATGCGTGTCCGCTCGAAGTAAGCACGAAGGTATCAGCTGGACTAATTTGTTTCTCTTCAGTCTTTCCGACGTTGTTGCGATGATTACGTCGTTGATAATCCGGGAGCGGCATGTAAATCTGCCCGTTCAGCCAACTCAATAAGCCAAAAACGGAGGAGACGACGATTTGCAGGACCTGAATAATCTGAGAAAGAAGACTTATTGAATTGCTGTAAATACATATTAATATAGAACACATGAACCGAAACGATTTTCATGACACAGTTAATGAACGCTTCAAATGTGTTGAAAAATAAAATATATTTTAATTTGTCCGTAATAGCTAGAGAGAGCTTCTATGAAAAATGTATTAATCCTCCCACCGGCGTCGTCACCTAACAACCGAATTCAACGTTTTTCTGCCTTTCGCGACACTCCCATCTGAACAAACTATACGACGAAGAGACCAGCTATTCGTCGAGATTGCAGTGCCGTCCGCCATCATGTCTCTTCAGAACAAGTCTGGTCATCTCGTCCATCTGCGCATCCACTCCCTCCCTTCTCGAACGATCGTCCTTCTATTTCTTTCCTGTTTTATATCTCGACAATATTGTTTTATGCGTTGTCCGCTTTTGAAATTTCCGTCTGCCACGTGGATTTTATTGGAAAATGTTAATCAAAAGCGGGAGCTCCGGGGGTTTCGCGAACACAAAGTCCAACGATGCCCGAGAAAATGTGTGCAAACACCGCGGGTCCGCAAAGTTGCGTGCCTAGTTCCAACAATTTTCTGTTTGTTCGCCGGTTCCTTTTTGCCTTTTCTCGCTTCGAATCTGTCCATTTTTCACCTGCAAGTTGTTATCCTAACCCTTGTGATTTTCTTCGGCATCCCCTAACTTTTGTTTATCTCATACTGCCCAATTGCCCTTCGATGACGTCACTCCTTGAATGTACACGTGTCCATCTTTGCAGAAACGACAAGGGGCCTGAACCAAAGCGAAATGTGGGGGTGTCCACTGATATTGTTGTCCTTTTGTTGGCTGGCGACAGGTTTGTTATGGGAATTCAGCAGACTCTTTGTAAACATCATTGCAGCCCAACAGCAACAAAACTCTGTGAACGAACAGGAAAAGAAGCTAGTGAGCTTCGATGCCTGCAAAGCTGACATCCACAAATATTGTAGCAAAGTGAGTATCTCATAGTCTGACCAATCATCTATGTTATAAATTTCCAGCCAGATGTGGACCTTTCGAGCGATATGTCTATTCTGGAGTGTTTGCAAGATGCCGGCTTCTCGGAGACTGCCACTCTTTCTGAGCAGTGCGAGGCTCTTGTCTGGGATTTCAAAGTAGTTTCGAAGTCAAATAAGCCTCGTTATCTTATGAATATCAGGTGAAAATTACCCAAGATGAACGTTTTGTCACGGCCGCCAAGCAGTACTGCGAGGAAGAACTGAAGAACATCGCTCCCATGCAGACGTGCACAGGAATGACTCAGCCAGGATACGCCCTCAGTTGTATGATCGAATTCGTTCAAAATGTGACCCAAACGAGCAAATGCCACGCTTTCCTTTGTGAGTCCGAACTCTCAATATCTGCCACTGAGCCTCTATGTTTTAGCGAGAACCGAAAGATTGGCCTTCTCTGATTTCCGGCTAGTCGGTCCATTCGTCGACAAGTGTCGTAGTGTTCTCAATCAGTTCAATTGTACCGCCCTGACTCCAAATGCTGCGCACAAAGGAGTTCGTGTCGCTCATACGCAAGGAATGGCTCTCGAATGTATTCTGGATCGAGTTGTCAAGAATGCGAAGACTCAGGCCGACGCTTTGGCCATACTCGGTGATGAATGCAAGCACGAGGTTTGAGACTTGCTGAAATGCAGGCTGATGACTTCCATCTCGATCGACCGCTTTTCTTCGCGTGTCGCCAAGACAGAGAGGTATTCAACTACGATTATTGTTATCTCCAATCTGTCGTTTTCAGAAGTACTGTAAAGATGTTCCATCTGGGCAAGGAAAAGTATTCGAATGTTTAATGCTGCATAGAAACGACCAATTCATGGACCCACAGGTACAAACTAACTCATATTTGCACAACTGTTATTATGATAATTTCAGTGCGGAAATTTGCTCTCCGAGCGAGCATACTTGATGGGAAGAGACTACAGAATAGCTCATCCATTGACGAAAGCCTGCCAGCCCGAACTGACACGGTACAAGTGTGAACCGCAGAACCAAATCGAGGCTGCTGCTCATTTCCATCTCGCCTGGATCCTTCTTTGTCTTGAGAACGGAGCCAATCAGCCAGATCACAAGGAAGCTCAGCCGTCGAAAGAGTGTGCTCATGAAATGATCACTCACAGACAAATGATGATGCAGCACTTCCAAATGGCACCAGAGCTCGTTCTGAACTGTGCTCAGGAGATTGACAAATGGTGCAGTCCCAGAGGAGATATCGAGGCCGAAGGAAGAACTCTCCACTGTCTTATGGAGCACGCAGAGCAGAGAAACGAGTCTCTCAGAGTGGGTGCCCAATGTCTGCAGGCCGTCCAACAAGTCGTGAAAGTTGCTGACATCGGCAGAAACTACAAAGTCGACACTGTTCTCTACGGGTCCTGCAGAGCTCTTATCGACGGACCATGCGCTCAAGACGCCGTTTCTGAAACCGCCACGTTGACATGCCTCATGCGAAATGTTGACAGCCCGGACATGAACGCGGAGTGTGAGAAAAGACTTCTAGAAGTGCAATACTTCATGGCCAGAGACTGGACCCTCGACCCTCAACTCTATGACGCCTGCCACCAGGAAGCTGTTTCCAGATGCTCTGCTTTGGACAACTGGCATCAACAACACAACACTGACAACACTGTCGATCGGGGACCGCAAGTGCTTGCCTGTCTGTACAGAAGTGCCTACGACGAGCAGAATCCGTTGTCCCAAAAGTGTGGTCAACAAGTCCGCCAACTTCTCCATCTTCGTGCCGTCCGTGTCAACTTGGTTCCCGAGATCGAAGATTCGTGCAGAGATGCTCTTTCCGAATTCTGCTCGCATAATGTGAAGCCGTCGGAGGAAATGATGTGTCTTCAACAGAACTTCGAAACGGATAATTTCAAGAAGAAGTACCCGCAGTGCTTCGCCGAGATAACTCGATTCACCGAAATGGAAGCGAAAGACACGAAGTTGAACCGCGCTCTGAGCAAGGCTTGCAAGCCGGTAATCAGCACTCATTGTGTACAGTTCGCAAACGAAGATATCGACCATGGAGACGTACTTGAATGTCTCGTGAACAACAAGGACGCAAAGGAAATGACAACCAAGTGCCGTTCCTATGTAAACCACTTCGAGCTCATTTCTCTCCGTGATTACCACTTTAGCTACAAGTTCCAAAAGGCTTGTGCTCGTGATATTGAGGAGAACTGCCGAGCCCATAACAACGACAAGTAAGTACAGAACAATCAATCAAACAGACAATATTTTGGTTTGTAGGGGAGAAATCATTCGCTGCCTGTCGGAAGTGCGATTCGAGCATAAGGTACTGGGAGTGCAAAAGGATCTGACGGACGACTGCAAAAAGCAACTCAAAGTTGCGTATCTCCAGCAAGAACAGGTAGAAGTAAGTTTTGTTCGGTGTTGTTCCGTCCTGTGCTTTCGTGCATGAGAAGTGAATTCTGAATCCGCAAGATCGAGGGATCAGAATCAGTTCGACTAGTTCACCTGCATCTTGTCCCTAGTTATGTCTTGTCTTCTGTTCTTTTCTGTGTTTTTCTGCTCGGCCGTGATTATCGGATGGTGTAGTTGCATGCTGATATCTGTTCTCTATCGACTCCTAAACTAACCACCTTGTTTCAGTTCGACGACAAGGAACATATGGCTGATGCCGATCCGAAGCTCTCGCAGAAGTGCGACCGCGAGATCAAGCACTTTAACTGCAACAAGGCGGAGACCTTCGAAGATACGATTGAATGTCTTCGATTGAACTTCGAGCAGCTCGGACCAGAGTGCAAGTCAATGATCTTCTACCGTGAAAAGATCGAAGCTGTTGACAATTCGATGGACGACGAACTTCAGAAGAAGTGCAGATATGATATTGGAAAATTCTGTGCGAATAGTGACTCGGAGAATGTTCTGGAGTGCCTAACGAATACGAAGATTGTCCGTCTTCTTCAACGCGAGTGTAAGGCTATTGTGAAGGAGAGAATGCAGGAGTCCGCGAGAGATGTCCGTCTCAGACCACAACTGCTCACTTCGTGCAGAAAGGAGGCTGAACAATAGTAAGTCTCTATATTTTGCTTCCAGAATATATTTTTCAGTTGTCCGGAAGATATCAAGAAGCTGAACATGCCACAGTATTCTCAAACCGTACTGGATGGCGTCGTCGTCTCGTGTCTCCGTGACAAGTTCCGCCAATCAATTTCTGATCAAAATCACATTGAATTCTCTCCTCGTTGTTCTGCAGAAGTCTCTCGAGCTATTGTCGAAGCTGAGTTCGATCCACAGCTCGATCCGCCACTTTACCATGCCTGCAAGAACACGATCAGCACACACTGCTCTGACACAATCCTCGAATCCGGTGGCCACTTTGACAACGTGATGGAGTGCTTGAAGGCCGATTTCAACAAGGGACTCATCAGAGATAAGCCGTGCTCCGAGCAGGTCGCCCGTCGTCTTCAGGAGTCTCTCGTCGACATTCATCTCGACCCTGTTCTTCATGAAGCCTGCGCTAATGATATCCAAAGATATTGTAGAGATGTCCCACCAGGACATAGCAGAAGTAAGATATTTCAGTTTAAAATTAACGCAATCGATTAATTTTCAGTTGTCATGTGTCTGATGGACACGGCTGACAAGCAGGAGCTCACGAAGGAGTGCAGTACGAAACTCAGCGATCGTAACAAGCTGTGGATGAAGGCTCATTCCGAATATCAGATGGCCCTCCCAGATTCCTGGCATGCTTTTGCCACTTTAGTGATGGAGCATCCAGAACGAAACTCCATCCTCGGATACATTGCTGGATTTGTCGTTCTCATTCTTCTGCTTGGATGCTGTTGCGGAAGAGTGAGCAAGAAACAGTACATTGAAATGAAGAACCGATAACTCATTGCGATTAGTTCATGTAGATCCTTTTACCTCTTTTCCATTCTCCACCCTTCTTTTTCATAATTCTATTTTGGTACATGGCATATTTACTTTGGTTGTTTTTTCCTCTTCCTGTGTAATAATCTAACTTATTCTCGATTCATAATCCAACGAAATGGTTGTTTTATAATTTTCAAAATTTCCGGGTGTCACTTCTTTTCCTCCCGTTCCTTTTCGCTTTGTTGATGGCTCTGGCATCATTTGATTCTCTTATATTGCTGTTGAAATCTCGAAAGGCTTTTGTCAGTTAGGGTTTCAAGAGTTTGAAATGATTGATAAAGGCAACTTCTTATTTTGATCTCAATTCATTCACAATCTCATGAATCTCCCGTCCTTTTGTTTCGGGCAAATAACAGAAGAGAATGAGCATACTTATGAATGAGGGAATTGAATAGAGAATGACGAACGCATAGCTTCCGATGACGGAATACAGGGGAAGGACGGTGAATGTGCTCACGACGACCATCAAAGTATTGATCGCATATCCGACGGACTGGGCAATGCTCCGATGTTTCTGCGGAACGAGTTCGGAGGAAATAAACCAGGAGATCGGGCCGACTCCCGTTCTGCAAATAAATATTATCGAAAAAGGGAAAAGGGGGCACTGACCCATAGGTGTATCCGTAAATGATCAGAGACGCGAGACATCCGTACTTCATCGGATCAATGAGCAAACGGATTTTGGCGAAGAAAACGAAGGCGAGAAGAGAAATGTTATTCAGGAAAGTGAAAGAAAGGAGGAGAGTACGGCGGCCCACTCTGAAACGAAAGATCCGATGCGATCGGGGACCTCACTCACTTCTCAATTATGATTCCGCCCGTGACGGTCCCTGAGACGTACGCCAAGCTCATCGCAGTCGTGCTCCATTGAGCAACTTCCGATTCCACGTTTGCATTCTCCAGGAAGAACGTGGAAGAAAGAAGGAGTGCCCAGAGACCGATGGTGTTCTGAAGGGCGGACACACTCAGAATCAACGCCATCCGGAGGTGTCCTTCTGTGAACAACTCTTTCGTTTTCCGCCACGTCGACGAACTCTCTTCGGATTCACACTGCGATTCCTTGCGAATGTCCTCCAACACTCGCTTCCCGTCGATCTGTTTTCCGTGATAAAACTTCACCGCCTTCATCGCCTCTTCCTCTGCATTTCTGGAAATCAGTAGAAACTTTGGCGTCTCGGGAAGGATGAAGAGAGCCAGAGTGAAGAAGAGACAGAACGGGACGACGAAGAAGCAGAGCCAGAAGACGTGTCCTCCTAGAATGTAGTCCTGGCCGAGAAAACTTCCGACCATAGTCATGAATGAATAGGAGATCTCGCTGAGGAACGAGAAGTTGCCGCGAAGATGGGTGGGAGAGCATTCCTGGAGGAAGAGAATGCACGACTGATAAGTGACGGCCATGCAAATGGAAGTGACGAAACGGGAGACGATGAGCAGCTCGGGGCAAAACGAGAAAATCGAGAGGCATTGGAGGACGGAAGCGAGGAACGCCGTCACGTTGCCTAACACGAATCCGACTGGAATCAGAATGTGAATAGAGAACGAGAACAACTCGGAACAACCTTTCCGTCCGAATTTATCATTCAAAATCGGGCTGAGCCAAATGCCAACGAAAAATCCGACGAACCAACAGTTTAGGAATACATTCCAGATGAAATCGTACTTCTCTTCCGACATGGAAACATGGCGCCGCGTGAGCGATTGGTTGAGAAACGTCTGCAAATCGAGCACTAAACGTAGTGTGTAGCGTCCGGTAATTCCATGTGACTTCAGTCGAAACGAACCTTGAACTCGTCTACAGATGTATTGATATAAGTGGTAGAGAATCCGTAATTAAAATTGGCAGCGAACGAGATGAGCGCGAATATGGACAATTGTTTGAGACGCTCGGCAAGGGAAGGCATGTCAAAGTGCAGGTACTTTGCCCGTCGGTAGCATTTTATCAGCGGGAAAAGAGTAATTGGCTACAGTTTATTGTGGTTATCAGTGGAGCGGCGAGATCATTTGAGCGGAAATCGGGAGGGAAAACGGGAAAAGGATGAAAGCAAGTTATTGTTCGGAGCACACTCTACTTCTGTCTTTCTCTCTGATTCTGTACTTATCACAACACCTCGTGAACTTCTGAAACTTTCATTTTTCCGTCAAAGTTTGCAAACAGCTTCATACCTCCAAAGGACACTCCGACTTCCCACAGTTCGGAACGATCCCTGTCAAGTCCATCATCTCGTGTCCCTCCAATATAACTTCCTCCTGCTTGTACAGCAGTTTCACGAACGGTTTGTCTTTCTTTTTCCACAATTCCATGACAATCATCGAATTGAACCCTGGTTCCTCTTCCGGTCCGACCACTTTCTGAAGGTGATGAAGGAGTCCGAACGCCTCGAGGGTACCGCCAACGATCCAATCTTGCTGAAAATCGGAGACTCTTCCGGTTTTTCGCTTTTCAAATGAAGATAATTACCGTTGAGTACGCTTTGAACTTGACCGTCTGCTTCCCGTTGATGTGTTCGTCCCACGCAATTCTAGAAACAGGTCGAGTGGTCAGCGGGAAGTCACCGTCTCACTCACTCTAGATTGCCCAGCAACGCGTCGGCCAACGGCCCGAATCTGATTTTGACGAGGCGAGGGTCAGCGCTTTCGCCGACACCGTTTTGGAAGTTTCTCACAATGAGGTACTCGGAATGAATCGTCTTTATGTTTTCCTCGATAAGTGGCGGAAGGGGGACGTCGTTTCGGTGCTGAAAGTTTGGAAAATGGTAATTGGGAAGATGAAAGAACGAAAGAACGAGAGAACAAACCAAGTTTATGAAGGTATCGGAGTCTTCTAATGGGATTTGATTGAACAGAGAATGGTTTCGACCGAGACAGGTGTAGTAAGTGTAGTTATCATCATACTGAAGAATCATTTAAAATGAGAATGATCGAATGTTTTACCACATCATTCGAACCGTTCGTATCTGTTTCAGAACATTTTTCCTCCAAAATTCTCTGATGCGCCTCACGACATCTACTACCGAATGAAGCCAACAGCTGAATTGGACAAAATAAAATACTGCCTTTTCCATTTCATGCTCACTCTATCCTTTTTCTCTCTTGACATAATCGACACCTGAACATGCTTATTCTTGCCCGTCTCGAACATTCCGGCTCCGACGGTCGCCGCGGTGCTCAGGCATCGGTCCAATTGGCGGGACCTCCAGTACATCTCCTTTGGATTCATTCTCGCATTCAAGAAACCAGCGTCCACGTACCGCTTTTTCAGGTATCTACCCATTAGAAATGAGTTTTTGAATCCTCGCTAAAGTTTGTCTCTTCTGAAGTTCATCCAGTCCTATCTCACATCTGTCAATTGACTGGCTCCTCGTGGAAAGTGCTTCTCATGTTCAGCCTTCAAATGCCCCGGGGCTCTCGCTCCATGACGGAACATCTGAATGTGTCTGTTGAAATACTTAGTCGATAGTTTGACCTTCTCACAATCTGAACAAAAACCAGCTCTTGTTCTGTTTCGTTTTGGCCATGACGGGGAGGAGCAAAGGTTGTAGTGGTGGTTGTAGTGGTCGAATTGCCTGATAAAGCTTGAGACGGTGAAGCAGAAGAGAAAGAGAAGAAGAGAATAACGGCAGCGAGGAGGAGGAGGAAGGCCACTGTCGAGGCGATGCAGAGGATGCTGTAAAAAGGCAGTGACCAGTGAACGAGACCATCACTCACATTGACAATTTACACGATTTTTGAGGTTTAGAAACCGAAGGCGCCGTGGAATGAGACTCGGAGTTGGAGAGCTCCGGGATGCGGGAGATGGTGCTCCGATTGGAACTCATTTGAAGAAATGGATGGAGTGGAGGGAAAGGAAAAGAGTCGAATGTGACGCATTAATAAAACAAAATCTTTATTTCAATAAGGAACATGAACAAGAAATGAATGTGTTCGGCGGAGCATTCCATTCCAATCGAAACATCTTCCCTCCCTTTTGTTCCTTTCGTCAGTTCCCAACCATTCAAAGTTACTCATTATTGGAATTCGCAAAAAAGTGACCATGGAGGGAGGCGAGGGAGTTCCTTTGTCTGCGGAAAGTGAAATCGCACATTCGTCATATTTCCTTCGTCTATTCGTTTGCATTCACGCGTGGACAAACCAAACCAACACCCATTTTTGAATGGAAACTCACAAAAACGTCGTTGAACTTTGACGACTACAGTAGTCTTCCGATCGACTCCCCGTCGCAGTTTCTATTGTCTTCTGGGCCAGAACAACCCGAAAATAGTTGTGTCAGAAGTGCCGTTTACAGTCCGCCGCCGCTCCGTTTCGGCCCGTGGCATCGTCTGTCCGACGACTTTCACTTGCTTGTCAACAACAAAAGAAATTCTCACCCACTATCAATTGTCCGGCGGCGGGTTCATATCGAGGTAATTTACCCGTTACAACAATAGCCCCACCGAGTACTCGCCGCTCCTCACGCGCCACACCATTGTCCTTTCGAGAAGCCCGCCCTTCGGTCCACCCGATCGGTCTTCTGTAGGCTACGTGGGGGCGGGGTTTCGGCCAGACGGTTCGGCCGCCACTACATAACAAACCGTCACAAGCGACGACGTCTACTGCAGTCAGCTAGTTAGTGAGGACTCTCCAGTCATGAGCCGTCTCCTCCACACCCTGCTCCTCCTATTTATCGTATTCGAGGGAACTCACGCCAAGTTCCACACCCATTTCTACAATTTCCTTCTCGGAAAGTTTGGCAAACCGATTGCTGACGATCTTTTGAGACCGGATCTCGGAACGAAGGGATCTTTCGGAGGAGGAAACCCCAATGCCACGTGAGTATGAGTCACATTAGTATGCAGAGTGGGAGGGTGTAAACCGCCACCTCCCGAAGGCATTTTATGAAAAATCTTGAATGTGATTTCCGATGCAGAAGTTTCAAGGGAGTTCCTCCTTGACCTCTCCCTTCTGTAGCCTCCACTGAACACAAAATGTTTCACGCTGTGTTCCCTTGGTCCTAATTAGGTCCCTCTGGTCAAAGTGTGGTTTGTGTCGCTCTTCTATTGTGACGTCACGAATCCCGCATCTAGCAAAACACCTCGGTTTGTGATCGCCGCGCCTTCCGAACGAGTTCTTTGCATCCATTCACTGATTCTTCAGGGGATTTCCGATTGTCGTAATTCATGGATTGGCTGGATACGCCGGGTTGTCCAAGAAGAGCCTCGTGAACAAGTACTACTCGTATGGACAACCGAAAGGGACCGTCTTCGCTACCACCTACGCCAAGGGAAAATTGATGGATTCGTTGCAGCACGGAATGCAATGCGACTACGTTCTGAAGGTGAGTGACGTGATAGACGAGGGGCTAGAGGGATCAACTATAGTCGGCCATCACATATTGTGTGTTCGTATCAGAATATGTAGTGAATGTATAGTTTGTGACTATCGAGACGAGACGGGATGAATCGGTCCGACCCTATAACTTGACAATAGCAGCAGTGGTCGAGCGCGGTCGTATAGTATGAGATAAATCGGACGATCGGTGATCTTTCAAGACGCGACTGATAAGATGACGTCGAAACGGAAAGGGTGTCGAATGACCCGAAAAGCGACGGGATTCTCTTGTTGACAAACTACACAGAGGGGCATGTAGCTACACAAAACGCATTAGGGTTGACTGGTCTGCTGGTCATTCAGTTCAACGTGGGATGATGTCTGCAGAAGAAGGTGACATCTGAAACGAAACGTTCGTGGGGAATTTTATTGATCCAGATGTTTCCAGGTGCGCACCCTGATCTTGGCGGTCCACGAATACACTAAGAAGCCAGTGAACATCATCGCCTGCTCGATGGGCTCTCCGATCACGCGCAAAGCCATCCTCGGGGGCCATTGCGTCGACAGCGGAGTCAATCTCGGCCGCCCGATCAACCATCTCATTCACAACTACGTTTCTGTGGCCGGAGCCAACCATGGAGCCATCCTCTGCTCGAAGCAGCCATTCGTGAACGGAGTGTGCAGTTTGACCCATGGCCTTGATTGCCGATCCAAGTTCTTGCAAGAGTTGAACGCACAGTAAGCGGATCAGAAAACTGTGCACGATTCCAATCGAAATCTCTCATTTCAGACCATTCCAGTACGGAAAGAACATGTTCGCCATCTACTCGGTTGCGGATGAAGTTGTCGGATTGAGAAACACGTGCGGAGAGATGGCGTCGCTGCTGGAAGGAGCCACGCCCATTGTGAAGACCCGATTGCTCCACGGCGCAGTGATCGGAGGCACGACGGAAGACCAATGGAGAGCTCTTCAGACTCCATAATCTGTAGTTCCATGACAATTTCCAATCTGATCTCTATCGTTTCCTGTTGATTTGTTGCTTTCAAACTATGTGTGTATATTGTTACCTAATAAATGAGTACATTTTGTTTCTCATTGATCCAATACACATTATCACTCAAATGGGAAATTAATTTGGAATCAAAAGGGTTAAAACCAGCCACAGTGATTCATTGTATCGGCGAGAAGACACTTAAGAGATCGCCGTCTTTCGAGTACTAGTGGATTGAGATATGATAATTTCTACATAGAAAACGGACAATTATGAGATGATTGTTGTGATTAATTTTTTACTTGAATCTCTAGTCCATTGTGGAACTTTTCAGAAACATCTGTGTAACACGTTTTTCCTCGGAGACCGCTGTCGAACGAATTTTGAAAAGTGAGTACGGTAAGCGATTTTCTGCAATGAAACACCACACTCGACGCGCAGTCACACTATTCTCGCAAAAATCGACGCGTCGGCGAAGCGTCCCAAATTTGCGTTTTTCTACAAGTTTTGCCAGCTTTCAGTCGGAAATGTTGAATACTCAACTTCAATTCAAGTTTTTTCTTGTCTAGTAATCATCTTCAGTTACCCTCCGCTGCCTAAGTAATTTTCGAAATATGTTTTTGTTTCAGGTAATCAGAAAAACAATGACCGGATTGAACGCGTAAGTTCAATAGCTATTGTAATCGAAAATTCATCTCCTTATATTTGCAGAATCACTCCCTCGAAGGATGTAATAAGTTGGGCTGAGGCTGTCGAGCAAGACAGTAAGTGAATGTCCGTGCTTTATGAGGCTATTCAGCGTATGTTTGTTTTCGGTTTTTTTCGTTTTTTTACATCGCTGAATTGGGTTTTTTGACGTAAAAAAACGAAAAAAAAACGGAAAACAATCACTTTTCTCACAGCCTGAATAACCCCATTAGAATAGAACCGAACATCGACGTGAACTTTTGTTTGTATTTCCTCACGTCTTCATTGTCTATTTTTCTGATAATGTATCTTTCAGCCGCACCTTACATCGAGGAAGGAGTCGATGGAATTCGAACCGAAACCGCTTTCACTGAAGTCGATGGAGTCAGATACAAGGTAAAAATTGCAGGAAGAAATGAAGAGAAACTGCGTTTTCAGGTCGTGACTCAATTTAAAATCATCAACAAACGCGTGCCGAAAGTTGTGGCTGACAGAAAACAATGGGTGAAGTTTGGAAGCTGCAAGGGAGAGCCACCCGGTCCGCAGGTGGCCACGACCTATGTCGCTGAAGAGGTCGAAATGCAGTTTACGAGAAATCGCGCTGGAGAGCAAATTCTCGACGTCCAAGAAGACAAGCAGACTTCTAAGACGACAAGCCGTGAACATTGCCGTCACTGCAAAGGAAATGATCACTGGAGTACGCATTGTCCGTACAAGGTTATGTACCAGCTCGACGAAGAGGCCGATGCCGAAAAGGACGCCGAGAAGGAGCGTGGAGCCCTAGGGCTACGTGGAGATGGTCGTCAGATCGACAGAAACCGGTACACGAATAATTTCAAAATGTACAATAAAATGTTTATTTCAGCTCCGACGAAAACACCTGCCGTGTCACAAACTTGCCGCAAGAGATGAACGAAGACGAGCTGCGTGATGTATTCGGAAAGATCGGTCGCATCACGAGAATCTTCATTGCCCGCGATAAAATCACCGGATTGCCGAAAGGATTTGCTTTCGTCACGTTCGAATCGAGAGAAGACGCCGCCCGTGCTATCGCTGAGCTCAACGACATCCGAATGTACCACATGGTGCTCAAGGTGGAATGGACTCGCCCGAGCAACTAATCTGTTTCTCGATATTTATTCCGTACTTGGTTGGTTTCCCTGTTCCTTCTCTATCCATTTTCTCTGATATTTCTTGGTTTTTCCTACACCTTTTCACACTCGTTCCATTGTTGGTTCTATTTTAGAATTTTCCTGCTTGTTCACCATCAATAAACTCTATGCCATTGCTGCCCTTCTCAGTCCGAAATGGTTTTTTCCGATCGATACTTTCTTCAAGAAACTGAACAGCATCGCGAAAACGATTGAATTCTTCAGATGGGTTTTTTGAAAATTCTCCGGAAGCAAAGGGCCAGAGAAAGAGAGATGAGAGTCCTGATTCTCGGATTGGACAACGCCGGAAAAACGACTTTGATGAAGAAGTTTCTGGGCGAACCGACGGACTCAATCGAGCCGACGCTGGGATTCGATATCAAAACGGTGCACTTCAAAGAGTTCCAGCTGAATCTGTGGGACGTCGGAGGACAGAAAAGTCTGCGGTCCTACTGGAAAAACTACTTTGAAGCGACCGACGCACTGATTTGGGTCGTTGATTCTTCCGACAGAGGTGAGTAACGAGAAGTGGCAATTTATAAAAGAAATTTCATTTTCAGAACGGTTGACACAATGCGCCGATGAGCTGAAGAAACTTCTGGGCGAGGAGAGGCTTGCGGGGGCGTCCCTTCTCGTCCTTGCCAACAAAAGCGATCTTCCGGGCTCCCTCGCAGTGAATTCGATCGCTCAGGTTCGTCCTCCTCGCCATAAATCTCTCTCTCCCGCAATCACAGTGTTCAGGTTCTCGACCTGCACTCAATCAAGACACATCACTGGAAGATCTTCAGCTGCTGTGCATTGTCCGGCGATCGACTCATCGACGCGATGACGTGGCTTTGTGAAGACGTCGGCAGCCGCATCTTTCTTCTCGACTGACGCTCAATCCGCTTCCCCTCATTGCTTCTGATCTCTTCACTTTCCTGCTGTACATACCGAACTCACTGCTTAATAAGAACGTTCATTTTCTTGAAAATAAGACGAGAAACGTTTTTAAATTGGAGAAAAAATAATTTAAGGTCGATGAATGCAATATACAGACACAAGTTGTAAGAGCGAGAATTGGAATTGCACTCGGAGATTTAACGGTTGACATGGTGTTATTAGCAGACGGACTGCTGCTTGGAAGACGGGACCCGCAGACAGATGAACGTCATCACGACGGCGACGACGAGGGCTCCAGCCACAAGGACCATTCCGAACGAGGCGGTGTAGAGGCTGACGCAGACGTCCTGTCCGAAAGAACCGTCTCCGATTTGGGTGGAGGCGACGAGCGCTTGCGCTGGAGAACGGAGGGAGTCTTGCAGCTGAAAAAGAAGGAATTCAGATGAGGAAATGGGGAGGAGGCACGCTTACGTCCTTCTCGAGCACATCGAGAGTTGTCAGCTCTGCTCGCACGTCGAGAATGTTCTCCAGTTGGGTTGGCGTGGATCTTTTCTTGAGCACGCGGAAGAACTGCGCCGACTGGTTCGCCTGTTTGACAGCTCCGAACCCTTGTGGCTCAGCACAAGTTGGACGGGCACACTCCTCATGCGGTTCCTTGATGGTAATGGAGATCTGGCACTGGTAGAAAAGCTGCGAGCGATCGGCGTATTTGTAGACGTGAGCCTCTTGGCCGGCCATTAGATCAGTCGGGTACTCCAAGTTGTTCAGCAAGAACTTATCGAGGGCACAGCCGTTCTCATCGAGAATCTGGACGGTGTCTCCGTTTCCGTCGTCGACGGTGCAAGAGTGAACGACGGCGCAGAAGGTGTCGACGGTCTCGGAGTCGCAAGTCCATTTGTGGTACACCTGCTGTCCGATGGTGGCGAACTGCACTGGCTCTCCAGTTGGTCCTCCATTCAAGATCTCGTATTTGCAGATTGGCATTGGAACGACCTGCGTCTGGAAGGCGGTGGTCAGGTCGGACACCTCGATCTGTGTGGAGACGGTTTTGTCAGCCTCCATGTAGAAGCATTGGATGCGATAAGCGCTGAAAGGGAATCATTAGAAAGTGGTCGGATGAGTTGGCAACGAACCGATCGACTTTGGTGACGAACTGAGGATGGAAGGAGACGACGACGGTGGTGGTGACGAAGACTCCCTTCGGGTTGAGGGAGCGGGTGCGCGCCACGTTGCAAGTGTCGAACGGCAGCTCGATTCCGGCCACTTGACGACCTCCCTCGTCGTTTCGGCACTCTTGCTGATCGAACAATCCCTTCACGTAAACGTGTCCCTCGAAAGGATTACGCGTGTTGAAATTGACTGGAAATGGGGAAGTTCCAGAAGAACACATAAGTCACTCATTTACCTGTGATGGAAGTGGGTCCGCACTCGATCTCTGGCTCTCCCTCCACATTGTTATCGACTGGAATTGCAGACACTGAAGCTACCAACAGACAGAGGCCGAGGCCAATTGCAAACCTATTCATTCTGCAAAAAAAGAAGAAAAAATGGTGAATTGAAGAAGCAGAAGTGAGAGAAAGATGGATTTTGTGGCGAGTTGAGGATTCAAAAACGGCCTTATATAAGCGGCGCCGTTATCGGCAGCTGATCATCGACGACGTCGGGCATCAGAGGGGCAGTCTCTGCCGCTTTAGACCCCTCGGAGAGACCCGCCCACTCCTGCGAATTTCGACAGACAAGAAGCCGTCAGCGAGCAGATCAATCCACCACTTTTTATCTTTTTTGCCTCTGGTTGGAAAACCGACTGAAAGGTCTGATTACTCAGCGGTACCGAATGGATTTTACAAAAAAAAGGGGAGGATGGAGGGGCAAGAGTGTAATCAAGTGATGAATGGCAGATTCCTTCCAGCCCCAACTGATAGTCGTCCTCATCAATTCATCGTTTAATTGGGACAACTCTTTGCTTTGCGGGCGGCATCTTGTGTCCCGAGAAGAAGTGAAAACGGATGGATTTCGGCATAATTAGGCTATTATCAAAACGACAGCAGACGCCCGTTTATTAGCTTTCTGATGACGAAGCCACCGAATGCGAATGCGTTTTCGTTCAAAAACCTTATTGGGAAACATTTTGATTTATTTCTGGAAACGGCGAAGTTCTTCATGAAATCTGAAAATTCGAAAGCAAAAAGAGCTCGGTCACTTTATACATCAATCTCAATTATTAGCTTATTTTCTAAAAATCAGGAGGTCGGATCTCATTTACGTCATCGGCACGGACGCCCTTGAAACGATATGCATAATATTTTGATAAAAATTGAAGAAACCTGATTTTCGAAAACGTGAAATGGTCAGTTATTTTGTCGCTCGAATGAGATATTTATGCAAATGAATGAAGAGAAACGAGTCTGGAATCAGACGGAAAAAATGGGAAAGAAAAGAGAGAGGTGGCAAGGAGTTTCGTCTCCGGCGGACGTCCTCATCATTAATGGACACACAGTCTCCCGCGGTTATTAAGAGGAATGAAGAGTTGAGATGAAGCCGTCCGAACGCCTACTGGTTATGGTGCTAGACGGCACTCGACACGAGTGGATGTTACGTTCACGAGTGACTCAGCAGCTTACTACAACTGCTTCCGAACAGTCTCTGGGCGGGAAAAGGACGGACGATCTGTGATCGGATAGCCGCGAAACGGGATGCGAATATTAGGCGAACGGGGAATCCCGAATGAGATACTGTATGCATATCGAGATGTTCGAAAGAGAATTAAAGAAGGCGGAGGGGGAGAAGGAGAACATCTGCTGGAAGATCAATGAAGGATACCGCAAATACGAAAAGGACATACCCTTCTATTTTTCAAGAACAATTCTCCAGGAAACGTTTTAAACTTTTACAATATTCTTGACCAATTTTCTCATTACTGAAGTCCAAGCTCTACTATCTGAACATTGCACAGTAAAGAAAGAGAAACCCCTCTTTTTGTCGGCCTAGTCGTTCAGTCGCGAAACGAAGCTGTTTTTCATTTCAATTCTGGAAGCGTTTTCTCTGTTTTACTTGTCAATTAATTCCGTAGGGTATTGATGATATTGCTTCAGTGCTCTTTCTTGAGGTGATTGCCTTACAGCTGAATAATATTTACATAGCAAGAGTTTATTAGAAAAAGGACAATATCATGAACGTATTCTTCAGCAGTAACCAGATGGAAACCTGGAAAACCTGGAAAGAACCTCAACTTCTGTGCCACGTCAGTTCAGAATCCTCTAATCCTTCGGTTTCCTTTCTTCGTGACCTTTCAGATTCTCTCGTGATTACCTGCCCCATCAACGTCCTCCCGGATTCTCTGATTCCCGACGTCTTCTCAGTTCAACTCTGTTTCCTGAGGTGAGTTCACTTATCACTCCTTTTCTTCCTCCTCTGTATACGTGCTAACAGAAAGAGCAAACTTCCGTTTTCTCTGCTCAAACAAGCCGATACGTGAGTCCGTGCAGTATTTGAACCGTTTGCGTACTCTGCGAGTGTTGCCATTTGATAATAGGTTCTAGTCATTCTTTGCTTTCCCTCATTTATGTTCTGATGTCATGAGAATGACTGCGGAACAGATCAGGTGTTGATCAGAAGCGTTGTTCAATGGGCGCGAATGGTTGAGAGAGAGAGAGATAGCTTTATGCGAAAATCTTCTCGGAAACAGAGCACAAAGAGCGCATTAAATCGGGCAAAAAATGAAGAAGAAGGAGAAGAAGAAGAAGAAGAAGAATAAGAAGAAGAAGAAAAAGGCGGCAGATGTTTCCGGTCCCTTCTCGCTTCAAATTTCACAAGTGCATAGTACACACGACTGCCAACACGACCTCCCCTTGTGTTTTATTGGCTTCCGCCTCCTCCGATCCCCTCTCGAATTGTCACGTATCCACGTGAGAAACGGTGATCGGAAAGAGAAACACAGAGGAGGAGGTCAAGTTTGCATTGGCGCGAAGGCGTGATGAACGACACTGATAGCGATGGATTCAGTGGTTCTTTGAAGCCGCCAGCTGAGATTTATAGGCGTGCGTGCGCATTTCAAATTCAATCCGAGCGGAGACTATAATTGGCGCGTAGAGAGCCAGGTGCCAGGCTATTTTGGACACGGATGAAAGAGGGAAATGGCAGTTTGTGGAAAAGGAAAAGGACACGAGTATAATGGATGGTTTCCCTTTTCCCCTCTTTTTGGAGCGAATGACTTTGTCGCGGGCCCAGGTTTCAGTACTAAACTTTGAAGACATGGGTTCTGATACAGAATTCTTTCAAAAGTAATTCGAAGTTTTAAAGTTCCGGCTCGTAATAGTTGATTTGAATGAAAAGGGCGATTTGAGGAAGCGGCTGCTTAATATGAGAGAGAACCACAGAGAGTAGTGGATCTTCATGGCAAAGATTCCTTCTGTTTGTAGCTATCATCAGAGTACGCTGCACTGTACTGAGTCATCCAAAGAGGCGAGTGTGACCCGAACAGCTCTCGGTCTCTATTCCCAAATGCATTGTATTTGACTTGTCCATAGGCAAACGCGGGCGGGCTTCTCCTCTTCTCTGCGCCAGTGTGCATGCATGCATCGTCCCGTACGGCACGTAGCGTCTCTTCCATCGCCCCGCCCCCTTCTCGCCCACCATACCCGCGTGTTCCCCTTTCTCATTTCGGAAGGCCGTTGGGCCCCACGGCGGTTCCTATTTCGTTGATGAAAAAATATGCGGAGGGTGTCAACAACTCGAATGATACTAATTCTATTACTTTCTAAGTAGCCTAACTAATTTGTTTTCTTTTCTGGGAAAAAAACCATAGGTTGTAAATATGTACTAACTAGAGCGGAGTGACATGGCTTTATGCAAATCCCTTTCGGCTCATCCTCTCGCAAAGGAAACGCAGTTTACTCGTCGTCTTCCTTCTTTTCCCTTTTCTCTTCACGCCCCAATCGTCTCAACTTATTTGTTTCTTCAGAATGTCGCTGAGCAAGACGCCGTCCCAATCGTTGTTCCGTTTTGTGTTCTTCCGCAATGCGAGCACCTCCACCATTCCTTCGCCCGCAAGAGTTCAGCTGAAGAAGCCGGCCGAGCAGGGACACTTTCAGTACACCCGCAACTGGTCGAGGGATCCTCGTTTCGTGAAGGTCGCCATTCAGAAGGGAGACACCCCGTACACGTATGTCGCTTCTCTCCGATTCCATCTTTCATTACCTTCGTTCACAGGTTCCTTTTCCGCCGTCTCGGCCACGCCTACGAGGTATACCCGCTCCTCATCCTCACCGGCGCCTGGCTCGCCCTCTTCTGCTCCGCCGTCTACTGGAGCTTCGGAAAAAGCGAAGTCTGGCTGGACAGAAGCCACACGACGGCTCCGTGGGACTGGGAGAGACTCCGCGAAAACTACTGGAAGCTGCCGACGGTCGCGTTCGATCTCGACGGACGCACCCGCAAACGCTGTGAGATCATGGAGCAGCTTCAGGACGAGATGCTGGAGGCGGCCAAGAAAAGAGGAACTCGCTAAACGAAGAGAATAACTGATTAGATAATTGGGTATCGAATGTTTGTACAATAAATTATTGAAGAAACGAAAGAGTTTATTAGCACGGAGCACTAGACGGATTCGAGTTCACAAACACTTTGGAGAGGTTGAGTCCCGCTGGGATGACACGGTTGAACTTGATGTGCGCGAACGGAGTCATCTCGTGGCGACGACGAAGGAATGGACGCACCCAACTGGAAGAAATTAATGAGGGACAGAGAGTTCAGCCTGCTCGTACGTGGCACTGTCCTCGAACTTGTCACTGCAACGAATGCGGATCTCGTTGAGATCTTTGAGCGGAAGTTCGCGCAGAATGTTCTGGAAGATCGCCTGCGCCGTGTTTCTGCTGTCGCAGTACATCGGGCCAATGTCACAGTTTCCGGAAGAGCCATCCGTAGACACCAGTCCGATTCCGATGACATTTCCAGACTTGTCGTAGGCGACTCTTCCGACGCCGCCCTTGAACTTGGCCAGCAGGAACTCTTTTCTCTCGTACGGGAAAATGGAATTGTCGTAGTTGACAACGTGCTCCACTGGCACTTCCGCGAACTTCTGTAATGATGATTTGTCTGCACACTGAATAAATTCCAAGTGACCTTAACGATGACGTCATCAAATTCCAGATCAGGATTGAAGACCTCATCGGCCTTGTAATGCGACACGTAGTACGTTGGCCCGCGGACCTTCGTGTGCAGCACTTTTCTCCAGACGGCCGCATTTTTTGAGTCTTGAACGAGCTAGAATAAGGAAAGGGAAAGGGGAAAATTGGAAGAAACTCTAACCGACACATCCTCCGGAATTCATGTTGACAGCTCCGAGTTCCTGGCACATTTCGTGCATAAGATGGGGTAAGAGGTCGTAGCAATTGTCCGGTTGGAAGGAAAGGCCGAAATGTTGGAAGTCGTCGGATCCGTGCAGCGACTTAAAGGTGATTGAATGGGTTCCGGAAACTACTTTATTCGAATCTGAAGAGTAGAATAGAACAGAGCTAACAAACGGACAACCAAACCTTTGAGACAAAGTAGAAAGAGACGATAGCGGTCCTTCATGGTCTCTTTGAGCAATTTGATGTCGTTGAAGCCGCCGACCATTTGCTGAAAGGCGTTGATCTGCTCGTCGGAAGGATTCTTGACAATCTCCAGGTCCTTAGCGGTCAATCTCTCCATCGAAAAGCGTCTCGTCGAGGCGACGGCGAGCTTCGAGAGGCGGCTGCTCAGATGCGTGCAACTGTTCATTGTGTGAACCACGTAATGACAACAGACGGGCATTTCAGCCGAAAGTTTATTAATTTCAGCGTGAAAGGTCTCGTTTCAATTAAATTATGAAATCTTCTTGCGTTCTGGGACGGAAGAGGTCGGAGAAGGTCCACGAGAAAGCGGTGGCGAAGGTGTGAAGAGGGAGGAAGAAGACGTGGATGAGCAGGTCGACGGAGATGTACGAGTACTCCACGGCGACGGCTTCGTCGCACACAGCTTAGCAGGTTAGCGTTGCATATCGGATTATATTCGGGAGGCTCACCTTTCTCGTGCCGATCCCTCTCGACACTTGTGAGCACTGCATTGGCTTCGGGGGTTTCGTCTCTATTCGTGTTGAGACCCAGTTGTTGGCCTGCGGGGTTATAATAGTAAACTGAATTATGTGATGGAGCTTACAAGTGTTGAAAGAAAACGTTTGAGCAGAAAATATCTCCGCAAGATGAGCCAGCATGAAGCCAGTTACGAACAATCCCGTACAAAGTATGGCAATCTAGAAGACTACTGTAGGACGGCCCAGATGAAAAACAAACGTTCATGCCAATGACATATCTGAACGTTGAATGCATCTTGAAGATCATGTCGTTGACAACAAGAGCAAAAAGAAAACACAGAAGACACGCGGTGACGCACGTGAGTGCAAAGTGCGTGTTCGTGCTGTTCTGGTCAACTGCCTGGTACTGGTGCTTGAGCTGAAACTCTCATATTATTAATCTGAGATCTCTCATTCCCACCAATGCAGTTTTGGCAACCAGATGAATGGCGCAAATGAAAAGGAGGATGGTAGGTAGTCTCTGAAGTTCTAGTGGTACTTTAATTGGAACGGGTACTCACTTTTATATAAAACGGGACGTCCTCAGGCTTCGCCATCGCTGAGACTCACCGTTTCTGTTCTGCTGACTCAGCCAAAAGACACAATTTTGTTTTCTTTTGTCATATATTTTCTTTCGCTCGTATTGTGTGTGTGCAACTATTCACGACAGTTAAAATGCTTGAATTTCCTGAGCGAATCAAAATCGAAAGAAACAATTAGAACAATTATTATCTTTGAGCTTCAATCTTGCATTTCCAAATGTTTGACTCTTGCACTTTTCTCAATTTTTTTCCAAATTTGGGCTTTCATTAATAGCTCTTTTTGAACAACCGCCAATTTTTGCAAATAGCGCGCCAGCACAAGAAATGCGCACAACGCACGCAAAACACGCAACCGCTTCCAACTATTCACAATTCGCTCGCATGTTCCTCGATATTTGTACACTTTTCACGTTTTCATCAAATTTTTAATATTTTCAGCATCATGCCGACTGTGGGAATCAAAAAAGTCATTCTCGACAAACATTTCAACCGTGTTTATTGTAAGAAACTCCGGAAACGATGGGAATTGCGTAATTTTTTGGTTTTCAGCGGAAAAGGAGTTCGATGAGCTTTGTTTTGAGTACGGACTCGAGCTCGACGAAATTGTGAGTTTTAGTTTGATCAAGTTTCAATTGAAATCGATTTTCAGACGTCCGAAAAAGCTGCCGTCGAAAAGGAGCGTGGAGCCGGAGCTTCCGGCGATTTGAACGACCAGGAAGTGTACAAAATCGACATTCCGGCAAACCGATACGATTTGCTGAGTGTTGAAGGACTCGCTCGAGCCATTCGTATTTTCAAGCAAGAGTTAGTTCAATTCTTTTCTTACCAGTATTTAGAATTATGCGCTTTCAGAGTTCCGGCTCCAGAGTACAAGTTCGCTGAGGTTCCGAAAGGAGGACTCCAGAAAATCATCGTGAAAAAAGAGACCGCGGCCGTTCGTCCGTTCGTCGTGGGAGCTGTTCTGAGAGATATCTCTTTCGACGCAGACAGCTACGCTTCCTTTATCGATCTGCAAGACAAGCTGCACCAAAACATCTGCCGCAAGCGCACTCTTGTAGCTATCGGAACGCACGACTTGGACACCATTCAGGGACCGTTGAGTACCGCGCCGAAGCTCCGAAGGACATCAAGTTCAAGCCGTTGAACCAGACGAAGGAATACACGGCCGAAGAACTGATGACTTTGTATTCGTCGGACAGTCATCTGAAGGCGTACCTTCCAATCATTCAGAATCATCCACGTTATCCAGTCATTTACGATAAGAACGGAGTGGTCTGTTCAATGCCACCAATCATCAACGGAGAGCACTCGAAGATCACTTTGAAAACGAAGAACGTCTTCATTGAAGCTACTGCAACTGACAAGCAGAAGGCCTTCGTCGTTCTTGACACCATTGTCGCTCTTTTCTCGCAGTACTGTGCTAAGCCGTTCACTGTGGAGCAAGTTGAAGTGATTTATGAAGAGACTGGAGTCAAAGAGGTTTACCCTCTGCTTTCCTACCGCGAAATGACTGTCACCACGCCGGAAATCAACACGAAGATTGGGCTGAGCCTCCAAGATTCCGAGATGGCTACTCTGCTGAACAAGATGTCTCTGAAGGCTGAAGTGGTAGCTAAGGAGACTATGAAGATCGTCGTTCCGCCTACCAGACACGACATTCTGCACGCTTGTGACATTGCTGAAGATGTCGGAGTCGCCTTTGGATACAACAATCTGGTTCTCAGACTTCCGGAGGTATACTTGAAATCAACTGAAACAATATTTAAACATTTGAACGCTATATTTTCAGTCGAACACCGTCGCTGTCGCCTTCCCGATAAACAAACTGTGCGACAATCTGAGAATTGAGATTGCTGCTGCCGGATGGACTGAAGCTCTCAACTTTGCTCTCTGCAGTCGCGATGACATTTCTTCCAAACTCCGTCAATCTGAGGCCTTGAACCAGGCCGTGCACATCGGAAACCCGAAGACTCTGGAGTTCCAGGTCGCCAGAACGTCTCTTCTTCCTGGTCTTCTGAAGACGTTGGCTTCCAACCGCGACATGCCGTTACCATTGAAACTGTTCGAGCTGCAGGATGTGATCGTGAAGGATCCGAGCACAGACGTCGGAGCGAGAAACGAGAGGAGGCTGGCTTCCGTCTTCTACAACAAATCTGCCGGATTCGAAGTCATTCAAGGTTTTCTAGACAGAATAATGAGAATGCTAAATGTGAACCCAGCGAAGGACGGAACTGGCTATTACATTGAGGCAGATGAGAGTAAGGAAACATTGTGGATTGAGTCAATGATATGCTCTCTCTCTTTCAGATCCAACGTATTTCCCAGGACGATGTGCGAAGATCGTCGGTCCAAAAGGAGTGCTCCTCGGACATATCGGTTTGTTATCCCTTTTTCTCCTCCCTTTATGCTCCGTTTTTCAGGTGCTCTGCATCCGGAAGTCATCACCTCGTTCGGGCTCACTTTGCCATGCGCTGCCGTGGAATTCAACGTGGAACCGTTCCTCTAAACCATTTTTGTTGCTTCTTTTTTCTTTCCAGATGCTTTTTTTGTTTTCCGGTTTTGTTATCTAATTCTATGGAATTTAGGAGATGTTTCCTATTGCACCTTCCAATAATGAACCTCTTTCCTGCCTTTTCAGATTCCATATTTTTTATGCGGTCGTCACCCGCTTTTTTTTATCTTTAACTTTCTCTGAGTAATTCACTGTTTTTTTTTCTAATTTTCATTTTCAGATGCTGGGCGACTGTCTTCTAATCATCGCCATCGCCTTCGGAACGGCGCTCGCCGGAGAGGGAATCACGTGGTTGCTCGTCTACAGATCAGATCAGTACAAGAGACTTAAGGCCGATATGGACAAGAAGACGAAGAAGTTGGAGAAAAAGAAGCAGGAAGTTGGAGAGACAAGTGACAAGAACGTCAAGAAGAAGTTGGAAAGGGAAGAGGAACGACTAAAGGCGACGAACAGAGACATGAGCATGTTCAAAATGAAGTCCATGTTCGCCATCGGCCTCGCCTTCACCGCCCTTCTCTCCACTTTCAATTCGATCTTCGAGGGCCGCGTCGTCGCCAAACTTCCCTTCTACCCGATCGGATTCATCCAGGGACTTTCCCACCGCAACTTGGTATCCCATCTGCACCGTATTCATTTTCTCTTAACTTAATTTCAGATCGGAGACGACATGACCGATTGTTCGTTCATCTTCCTCTATATTCTCTGCACCATGACTGTCCGCCAGAACCTCCAGAAGATTCTCGGCTTCGCCCCATCTCGTGCCATGGCTCGCCAGCAATCCTCTCCATGGGCGCCACCAAACAGCCAAATGAACTACCTCAGATAATTCCATTTCGATTTTTTCTTCATGTCATTTCAACTACAGTCGTTTAGTTTCTATTTAATTGTTTCAAAATTACCTTCATGTAATCGTTTCGCCCAATTTCTACTTGTCTCTTTTCCTCTCAAAATCAGCGTGCTCTTCTCGAACCAAAGTCTATTCGATTGTTGTGATAAATTTATAATTTATTGCCCCTGTAACTTCTACTCGAGTTTATCAGTTACCTAACTGACCCGCTATTTTGTTCTCATTTTCTTTTCTACTAATTCAATTTTGTTTAGAAATGAGCAACGAGGAGGGAAATGAAGGCAGTCCGGCCAGAGATGAAGCCAAACCGACACGCAAAAGACAGGGCTCGCCCCAGCCGGTGGCGATTCCGGGGGCTCAGGAGGAAGCGAGCATCCCGGCATTACCTCCCTGGGTGGCCGGAGGATCCCCGGCAAAGTTCGTGACGCACGAGGAGCTCGTCAAAATCACTCATGACATGGAGAATATGGAGCTCGTGCACGAGATCGCCATCGATCCGAACTTCCAGATCCCAGACAAGCCGGCGCATCCGCTGCAACGGGCTGCTCGGTAAAACAAGAAAATAGGAAGACGAGAATTCCATGCTTTGTATTTCCAGTGAGTCGATGCATCGTGCTTATTATGGCCAATTACGTCGTGATCTGGCTAAAGATCCGCCAGTGTATGACTTCTGTTTTGGATTCATTTTGGAACTGAAAATGATGATTATGGAGGACATTCTGACCGAGCAGCACACCCGATTGAAGGCCGAAATCGATACAATGATCGACGAAGGTCGGTTTCTCCTCTCCCGGCTAGAATGTATCCACGCAGAGTCTTTCCAGCAGCTCTTCGTAACCAACTGGAGGAGGAAACATTGGATGTGATGGAGGTCATGAAGTACATTATCAACCTGTGCTCGAGACTTTGTTCACCTGTTCGTGATCCAATCATTGCTGAGTTGAAAAACAGAACTGACATCATCGACACATTCCAGTAGGGAAATTCAATCAGAAACATTCAAAAACTTGCTCATTTGCAGAGGTACAATGGATCTGCTGGAACTGATGAAAAACGATCTGACCAACTATCAGATCTCTCAAAATCGTTCGGCCATCGAAGAGTATAGCGTCAGGCAGGAATACGATATGTTCCAGAAGCAGTTGGAAGAAGATCCGAACGGATGCAACTTCACAAGAGAATGGCTGCACGCGGCTTTCGAAGAATTGTTCAACGGCGAGAAGGAATCAGAGGAAAGCAGTTCGAAGAAGGAAAAGAAAGAAGAAGCGACGGATTCCGTCCTGGTGGATACGACGAGTCGTGGATACGTGAGGCTGGTGCAGGTGGAGGAGTATCTGCCTTTCCCAGAGACCCTCAAGATCGACCGACTGAAAATCGAACTGCTCGCTGAGAAATTCCTTCAAATCATTGTTTGCGCATCTGCTGTTTTCGTGACCTGCAATGTGGCCGGCAGAGAGGTATCCGAGAGTTCGGACTTCAAAAAGACACTCAAGGAGCATCTGGTAGTCATCACAAACGACATTGACGAGGAGTAAAGGGGAATTCAACCGAGAAATGCTTATTTTGAATTTGCAGTAGACTAAAGACGGCTTTGGAAAAGATCGCTGAACAATGCGTCAAGGAGGCTAAAGAAACGGCCGAGAAGCTGAATGTCGAGTGGAATGACGAGAAGTCCTCTTCCCTGCGCAACCAAATCAATGCCCTCATTAACGTGGAAAATCCGATTCGCAGGCTCGTCTATAGCCGTGTCTCAAGTTTCGTCGAAGAGATGCTCCGCAGCCCGACCACGGTTCCTCACCGTCTTCTGCCCGGTCTCTCTGTCGTTCAGTCCGAACTGTGCGCTTTCACATCCAAGTGAGCACCCCACCCCTTTTCCCTCTTCCAATAACACTTTTTCAGATTCCTCCGTCTCTGCGTTCACAATCGCAAGACTTTCTACAAAATGTATTCCAATCTGATTCTAGAATTCCAAGGCCACGCCCCTTCCACCCACGCCATCTACCATGCCGACAGCCCGTCTTCCATGCCCGGTCCATCCTCTGCGCCCGGTCCGAGCAGCTCCTCCCAATGATCTCTGACTCTCCCCGATTGGTTTTCTTAACTATTATCTGTACATCAAATATTCTCACACCGATTTGATCTGTATAATGTGACATAATCTGAGGGGAAATTGTATGAATTCATGAAAGTAGGGATTGTACAGACATTTGAGCAATCATGAGAGCAGTCAGCAGTCCTCACAACTCTTGCGGCACGAATCTTTGCGCTCTTCCAAAGTGTAATAAGTCGTGTGGCAGAAACCATTCTTGGCCCAAATCGGACAGCTTCAAAAAGGGTTTATTCGGTCAAAAACACTTTCGAACTTTTATCCATTTCTTGTTTAGGTACCTGTGGAAAGAGTCGCGGCATCGGGCGGCGTGCGGAAGTCTCGCGAATTGGGCACACGCGTCGCACGTCTTGGCGCACTGACGGACCATTATCTGGAGGGAACGGACCGGTTAGAACTCGGAAGAAACACTCACAGTTCGGTATTCCTGACGAGTGCACAGGCTTTTGATCTTGGAGCATTTCTTTGAAATATCATAGCATTTTATGGGTACAGGCGGGACAGAACTCGAGGGAAAAGTGGTGGTCGGAGAAGCAGAAAAGGCTGTGGAGTTCTCGGAAATCAGAAACTGTTCTGGAAAGAATCGCTCGTTCTACCGTACTCTTTTCTCTGGTCCCTCACCGATTTCCTCTCCGGAACCTTCCGTTTCCGTTTCGTTTCGATTCTTCAGAAACTGTTCTTCGGCCAAATTGGTGCCCGGTTTGAGCGGGAGATACGAATGAACGACGGACGCGAATAGCAGGAAAACGAGCGAATGCATGAGAGAAAAAGAGATTGACACGAAAAGGACGGCCCGTGCATCCCTTTTATACCATTTCGGGAGCATGTTTGTTTGATTTTTGGAGACAAACTGTACAACGGCCAATACGGGAGCATAAACAAGCCGTGTTTTGGCACAAATTAATTGGGATTTAGGTCAGACAACAGGAATCGTATACGGTGATTGTTTTTGGATATCAGAATGAGAGAATCTCAATTTTTTTTAACTTTCTATCAGTGTGTACTTTCGAAAAATTGGTTTTTCGAGACATTTCGACATTTTTCGATTTTTATCATTTTTTGCGAAGATTTCACTCTGAAATTGACAAAATGTCGAAGAAGGCGCAACCTACATATTTCATTTTTGAGTCTCGACACGAAAGACAATTCTTCGGCATGCGCCTTTGATACAGTACGTCTTAGTATAAGCACATCGCTGATCGGCTGCTGTTTCCGCACCTCTTTCTTCCTCGTTCATCTCCACATTTACTCGTACTGATAACTGTGAAATGGCCAATCCCATTCAGATGGAGATGGTGACCGAACTCAAATTTCCAAAGGTCCGTCTTATTTCCATTTATTCGATCCGACTAATTTCATTCATTTGCAGCTGAGTTTCTCTCCACTTGCCACCTCGTCCCCAAAATTGACAAAAATGCGAGTGCCGATCCATGAACGCTCGTTCACGTCTTCTGATGAATCGAGCGGAAATGTGACGATGCAAGCCGTCGCGGGAGTCGACGAGTCTCATCTGTGAGGAATTTATCGCTGAAATGAATACTAAATATAACATTCATTTACAGTGAAACATCAAAAGTTTTCGAAGGATCCTCAACTTCTTTACACACGGCAATCGAGTATATTTTTCCGGAAGCTCTGCAGAATAAGAAAGCCGCATTCCATCTGACACGTGAAAATCTGCGAACTGCTATCATTCATCGGAAGATGGAGGACGAAACGCTCACAGAAGATGATGTCATTTTCTATGCAACAGTGGTATAAAATACTTCTCCCTTGACTTCGTAATCTTAACTGCTACAGGTTACTGAAAGAATCTTGTGGTCCAACTGCCGAATCTGGAACGGATCGATTTCACTCTCATCGGAAGACACCATTGAAGAAGTTGTGGATTTCGCATGCGATAACTGGTATATGAGGTGCGAACATACATGGAATAATCCGTAAAATGGTCCGATTCAGCAACACCGTGCAACTTTGCGTCGGCGAGCTACGACTCGTCGACGAAAACGACAACTTCGACTGGAATGCAGTTGCCACGTACTGTTACGACAAGGGAATGCCATATTCGATTATCCAGCGCATTTTCACTAAAAATCTTGTTCGCAAAACCACGGGCGACTGTTTAGACATTGCCGAGATGGTTTGGGTTATTTTTGCAATCGTGGGGACTGACGAGCAGCAGACATTCGAGTACTGGTTCCGCGTTCTTGACGTTCAGTGCACTGGAGTGCTCTCTTTTACTGATCTTCATGAATTCTACGAGGATATCACTGAAATTCTGGCGGATAAAAATGTTACTTCGCTGCCGTTCGATAGTGTGATTGCCCAATACTGTGACATTCTCAATACAAACAAATGGACGCTGCAGTCGTTTAAAAAGAATGCGCTAATCTCCGGAAGAGTCATCAACGGATTCGTGAACGCTTATCGCTTCTTGGAGCAGGAATTGGACGAAAGTGAGTCATTGTGTCAAAGATTACATGATTACAAGAACTGCTTTCAGAAGTGAATGCGGAACGCGTCGACGACGAAAACTTCGGAGAAGGAAAGCGCACCAAATGGCAACGACTGATTGACCACAAGTACGACAAGTACTACCTGTCTCGAAGCACGTCCTCGGCATCTAATAGCTCGGATCTATCCGATCCGTGAAACACCACTCTCCACTAACCAATTGTATTGACATGTCAAAATATCATCCACTCGCTCGCCTGACCCTATTCTCTAACTTCTCGGTCTCGTTTCTGTTCATGAAAAACTTCATTTTAAGGCTGTCAAAATACTGGCGAGCAAGAAGAGAATAAAGCAAAGAAGATCATAAGTTCAGATATGTGTCATACACCGTTTCCAGTAGCCTCTTGTAAGTCCTTGCAGTGTCTCCGAATCCAACTTTCAGTCCATTACTCAAGTATGAAATGGTGATCTCGTGCTCGAAATCCGTGCGAATGTTCTGTCCTCCGTATCCACTGTGTCCGTACATGTTCACCTTTTCCTGCAACCAACTCTTGAGCGCCCTCTTTCCTGCAAAACTCACTCCTTTCTGTTCAAACGATTTGAGCATGAGTCCCTGTCCTCTGGGCACTTTCGCTCCACTGATGTAGTCCTCGCTCATTTCGTAGTTCTCAAACATCTCCTTCTTCACCTTTTCCGACACGATTTTGCCCTTCCGAAGTAGTTCGAACACTTCGGCCATTGCCCTCGCCGTTCCTATCCCGAGCACTGCCGACTGTTCAAGACGATGAAGATCCGGATCATTTAGAGTCATCGCCTGAAAGAAGAGCTATGGATTCGGAAGAAACGCAAAAGAAACAGACCCCGACAAACTGAATGAAAGGAGTTGAAGCCGTCGTTTTGGCGAGAGTTCCGTTGTTCCACTTGTCCTTCAAAAATCGAATGACATCAAAGTCTTTCGGAGAGTAAAATATCTCTTCGAGCACATTCCATCCGTTCGGATTCTCGATTCTCGACACTCTGTGCTGTTCACTCAGCGGCAGTCCCAAAAAGAAATCGATCCCTGAATCCCTAATTTCCGTCAGTCCGTTCCCAGTTGCTCACCGTGCTTGTCCGCGATTTCCTCTTTGAAGTACCGGCCGACGGTCCTGCTCTTCCCGTCCACTCTTCTCACAATCGCGTCCAGAAGCCATCCGTGAGTGACCGCATGGTATCCGACCGCTGTGCCCGGCGGCCAATTCGGCTTCTGTTCTGCCAGTATCCGGTCAATGACCTCGGGTCTCTTCGCCATTTCCAGTGTGATCGGATGGTCCGTGTAGGCCAGGCCCGCTTTGTGTGTCACCAGCCATCTCACAGTCACATTGCCCTTCCCGTGCTGTCCGAACTCTGGCCAATGCTCAGTCACCAGGTCGTCGTACCGCAGTTTACCCTCGTCGATCAACTTGGCTATCACGATTGCTCCCATCGCTTTGGAGCAGGAAAAGGCGATCGAAAGGGTGTCCCTGCTCCATTTCCGCTCGCTTTCTCTGTCCGCGAACCCGCCCCAAATGTCGACCACTTTGACGCCTTTGTGATGAACGACAAAGGCGGCTCCCGATCGTTCCCAGTTCTGCTCCAGATTCAGTCTACACGGAGCAATCTTTCTTGAACTTCAATTTCTCTCACCTGAACGCATCCGCCACCGGCTTCCATTCCGGATCGTATTCTCCGTCCACGTGAACATTTGTCAGTCTTCTGCCTCCTGCATAGTGATAAACTATGCATGCACCAACAATAAGTGCAATTGAGGACAGAAGAGAGACGTTATTCAACATCTGAATTCGAATTTTTACTGATTTATATGCGAGAAAAAGAGTCAAAAATCATTTACAGGGAAGGAGAAATGAGAATAAAAGAATAACCCGATGGCTTCAATTCAAAAATGGGAAAACGGAACATTTAGACGGTTTTTGAATAAAAACTAGTCGGAGGAAGAGAGAGAGAAAGAGATGAGCTACAAATGAATGCGAGGGGAAGCGTCTACTTCTGGTGCTCTTCATCTTCGTACGTGGCACCGAAAATGGTGACTCCGGCGACGAGCGCGGTGACAGTGAAGAACTGGGCCATGATACGGTACTGCATCATTTTCTGGGCACCGACTTTGTCACCGAGGAACGAGGATCTGATGAGAGAAAGTGAATTTGGGGGGAGAGGATAATCTGATATGGCAATTTTGAGACTGATTTATGCATCTGCGGGGCGGGATTATAGATAAGTCGCTGCAAATGGCGAAGGGCTGAATGGGATCATGTTGGCCGGAGAGAACGAAAAAAAAAGAGGGAGAGAGAGAGAAACGGAGACTACGCTATGGCACGCGGCCGATAAGGAGAGCAGCCAGGTAAACGAAACGTTCGGATTGGTTGTGCTCTGATACTCGCACCCTCACTTCTTTTATACCAATCGGCAGCTGACGGGAGTCGCCTAGAATCTACTAGAAGATTTGCGATCATTTGTCGCTATTTGACCGGGCTTCTTAAGAGTACACCCCGTCTCCGCCCCTTTTGTTTCAACGTTCCACCGGCCAGAGCGTACGCCAATCTGCAGTTGTATTGCTCTATCAGCGGCCCACACAAGATCAAAAGATCATTCCTCGTCTTGACCCGCTCGTCTCCACATGAATAACACGGGAATTACACTAGAAACACGCGCATAGGGAACTGCTATATTATTCGCGCGCGCTTTATATCCCTTTAGGCCATATATTAGTCTCAAGATTGTCATGAAAAAAGAGAAAACTCACTTAAACATTCCGAGCAACGCGGCTGTCGTGAGCCCCATTCCGAGAATGACACCTGGGTTGCTTGCCGCGTTCGAAATCACTCCCGTCTTCTGAGCGCCGCCGATCTGTTTTCCGCCGTGGAATCCAATGTCGACTGGAATCGCCGGAATCTGAAAATCAGACAATTCAGAGAGGACGGCTCCTTAAGGAACTCACTCCACTGTACTTCTCATTGTTGTCCGCCGTTCTCGCCAGCTGCTCCGGTGTCAAATGCTCTTTCTTCCACTCGTAACTTCCCTTCTTCTCGTCGTGCAGGCCGGCAACGTTCATGAAAACGGTACGGAAAATGCCCATTGTGCGTTGATCAAGATTCTGAAGAAGTATTGAGAAAAAAGTAGTAACAAGAAATACAGGAAAAGTTCGCATGAATGAGGAACCGATTGAACGGATTCGAAAAAAAATAAAATAACAAGAAGTGTGTCATTGAAATATTTATAACCCTACCGAATTGTACATGAGAAAAACAGAAGAGATTGTAAACCGTAAAAATACGAGATTCGAATGAACGCTTACATTTTGGTGACGACGACTCCGGCATCCCGATCGCGTGCAATCTTGGCGGCCATCGTACGTTCGGCAATGTAGAATGTCGAGAAGAAAAAGATCGAAGCGACGACGATAAAGACGACTCGCATTCTGTCGTGCATTCTGTTCATCGTTCCATTGCTGCAACATTCTACTGTGAAGATTGAAGAACTCGGGAGAAAACTCACTGGACGTAAGGGGGAATGGCGTCGACCGACGGGTACAGCTTGGTGATGACGATGAATCTCTTCTGAAGCTTCGTGGGCACTTGTCCAATCTCCGCATCGGCAGCTCCTTGATAGCGATTGTCCTGCACCGACTGTTTGAAGTCGTCCTTTGTCGCGTAAGTGACCCGTTGCTGGTCTAATTCAGAGTCTTGTTGCTGGAGAGCTTCAGCCTTTTTCTGTGCCATTTTCGCTTCGAGAGGATCAAATCTGCGAATAGCCATGCAGACGGCTGGAGTCATTCGCGACGAAGCCTGTTGTCCACCGCACCGTATTATTGACGACAGCATTTTTCTGAAATTGGAAAAGTCTTGGTTGGTATTTATGAACAAGTAAAGAAAATTCAAGTGCAAACAACTTTGGAGGCCGCCCGTATGGAGAGAAACGAAGCGCAGAAAAGAGAGGAATTGGGCGGAAAGCAGCCAACAAAATAGACGGGCACAGAGGCGATGAGAGAGCGGACACGCAGACGCGCAGTGATGCAACTGGATCCTACTCTCTTGATTCAGAGCTCCACGAAACTTCTAAGCGATTCGAGAGTGAATCCGTACTCAAATCTGCATGCATTGAATTTTGAACGAATTCTATTCGATGTCACAAAAGATGACAACTGTTTACCACTTGTTTTTGAGTGATTACAAAGAAAGGAGACGATTGATTCGAAAAAAAGTGGGTTCCAATTCTACCAGTTCTTTTTACAAATTGTGCCGTGAAATGTGGACTAAGGTCACGTCAATTGTAACAGAGAAGATGCTTACTAATTATGTGATTGATTAGGAGTTCCGGTAGTGAGAAGACGCGTAGCGAATTTCAGCCCCAATTTAGGCTCAGCCTAAAATACTTGAACGAAAAAAAGAAGACAGCTAAAAACTAAGTGAGCAAAGCAGTTTGATGAGAAGAGTTGAGAACGTACCATGATGACAATTGGGAAGGCTATTGTCATCATTATCCGTTCGTCCGCTTCTGTTTTAATGGTACTCGGAGGGTGTCGCCGACCTCGCAACACTCACGTCTGAAGCAAAATGATCCCGCTGAAAGTCACGTAAGCATTGTCTGGTGGTCTCTCCTGCATGATGACAAATAGACGAGTGGCTATTCTTTGCACTTCTCGCTGATCAGATATCTCTGTTCGCACTCACTCCGATCAACTACACTATCACTGGGAGGGGGGCTTGAGTTACGGAAGTTGGAGCCACGTGGATACCACCTTTCGAACACTTCTTATTTAACTTCTCGAGTGCCTCGTGTTTGTCTTTCATTATTTATATCTTTGAAAGGCGGCTTTGTTGAATACAATAGTTATTATGATACAGAATTCTCCGATAATATAGATATCCGGAAAACGGATGAGAATCACATAGAAAACGGGAGTTTAGTCAAAACATTTATAGATTGTACACAGTACAAATATGACGAGAAACATGTAAATCGCGATGAGAAGTTAGATTTCCTTCTCTCTGTACGTCATTCCTGGATTGCGAGCAATAACTGCCAGTGGCGATCTTTGCGCGATCAGCAGTGCCGAGACGAAGAGAGTTGTAGCAATTACAACGACGCCGGCGCGGATTCTGTCGTGCATTCTGTTCATCGTTCCATGACTTTAATGGTCTGTTTTCAGTTTGAAGCAACCAGAATAAAACTGACTGAACGTATTTGGAATGAAATCGGTCGAGGGGTACAGTCGTGTGGCGACTAGGAGCCTCTTCTGCATGTTCGTGGGAACGTCTCCGTGATCGGCGTCGTCGGCTCCCTGAATGCGTTTCTCCTGAACGGTATTCTGGAAGTTATCCGTTGTCGAGTACTTGATACTCTGCGAATCGGACGCCGCTTCCGGCTCCGTCGCCTGCTGATCAACTTGAGCCTGAGAAGGGAATGCTCGTGGACGCTCTCTCAACTTTAATATCTCACTCTTTTCTGTGCCATCTTAGCCTCCAACGGATCGAGTCTCCTGATAGCCATACAGACAGCGGGAGTCATTTTCGATGACACCTTCGGTCGTCCGAAACGAATAACTGACGATAGCATTTTTCTGAAATGATGAACACATAAGTCAGGATAAAAGGCGGCAACCAGCAAGTCATTCTGGTGGAATGTGAAAGTTTTCACGAGCAACAACGATCCACAAAATCTGTTGATCAGGAGAATCACATGCAGAATAAAGAAAAACATTGGAACGGAAAACGTCTAGAACAAAAGGGGCGTGGCCAAAAAGAGTAAACATCCCTCTGAATCTAGCGACCAGTGGCCAGTATCCACAACAAGAGAGCACATTTTGAAAAGGGAACATTCAACATGAAAAGCCACAGTGTTTTTCCCTTCCACAAGAATCATCACTCATGATAGACTTTCTCGAAACTTCTTCAGTTGAATGGTTGTTTACAGGACATGCAGGAGTCGGACAGTGCAAAAGACATGTGTGAAAGTTCAAGCCGTCGGCAACAACATCGATCGTAAACTCGGATTCATGCGATGACAAGTTCTCTGGATATCAATCAGAAAGCCTAATAGAAACTGGTTCTCCTCCTAGATCGCCGTCCAAATGCTTATGGTCACAAGGTCTCCTTACTCTTCCACTGAATGATCTCCGATATCCCAAAAGAAACACAAATGTTCTCTTTCCCTCAGAGAACAAACACATGTTTATTTCTTCCCAATTGTCCTTCTCGTTTCCCACGTTCTCCTCTCCCGTGACTTCCAAAAGTGTCCCTCTTATCGCTGACGTTGACTATATTGTGGCTGTCTGTGTGCGCGTCCAAAGTCCACCTCTCTTCTGCACTTTGCCTTTTCCCGACACGTTTTCTCGTCACATTTTCCGCCCGTTTTCTTCCTTTTCTCTTTGTTTATTCCTGGTTCTTGCAGAATGAGTTTACAAAGAAGGCTTGCGTCGAACATCACACGGGTGATCAGCTGCAACTTTAGGAACATCCGCTCGAGAAATGATTCCCTCGAAATCATTTATGAGAATGATGGTCAGTTGGTAGCACAGGTTTTTAAGCAAATGATTTTGAATGCAGGCAAGCAAGAAAAGCTGATAATGCCGTTCGTCTGGCTCAGAGATCATTGCTCCTCGAGCAAGTACTTCCACGCGCCAACGAATCAGAGAAAGTCGAACTGTGTCGAACTGTTGAGCCGAGCCAAAGTGAACGGAGAAGAGCAAGTGACATTGAATGAGCAGGACGCCCTCTGTATTGATTGGAACGACGGCCATCGATCGGAGTTTGAAATTCGCGACCTTTTGAGCAGAGCGTTACGAAAAAAGAGCCCCTCCTTGGAGAGTGTCATAAGTCCGTGGAATTCAGAATTAAAGCATATCCCGAGAATCTCAAAGTAAGTTAATTATAATTAGTGAGACAATCAATTCGAAGTTTTACAGTTCCTCGTTGGAATTGAAGACATTCTCTGAGCATCTTGTGAGATACGGAGTAGTTGTGATCGAGGGAGTCGAGGGATCGGCCGAAGCGACGGAGAAGCTGTGCCAGAGTCTGATTCCTGTTCATGATACGTTCTTCGGGCAGTTCTGGGTGTTCAGCAACTCCGCATCAGAGGTACGTTCGAGCTGTTCAGCTCAGAAATACATAATAACTTCTTGAAGGATGAACCGTCATATGAGGACACCGCCTATGGTAATGAAGATATTGGACCGCACACGGACGGAACCTACTTCAATCAGGCGCCGGGAATCCAAGTGTTTCACTGCCTTCAACCGGCAAAGACTGGAGGAGACACTGTACTCGTGGATGCGTTCTTTTGCGCTCAAAAATTGAGAAGCGAGGATCCAGAGGCATTCGAAACACTTTGCAAGACGAAGGTAACCTATTCCACTATCATTATTCATCACTTACTTACTCTGTTTCCCAGATCGCTCACCATTACCTGGAGGGCTCTCCTCCCGGTTCCTCCATTCATAGCGTCAGCTTGGAGAAGCAAGTGATCGAGACCGATTCTTCAGGAAACGTGACTCAAGTCCGGTAAGTCTTTTCTTCGCTCTTCCGATTCCAACTTCACTTTTCCAGTTTAACCCATACGACCGTGCCCCTTTCAACTGTCTCTCCTCTTCCGATTCTTCAGCTTCTGACGCCATCCGGTTCTACGAAGCATATCAAAAGTTCTCTAAGCTGTGCCATGAGCCCATCAATGCAGTCAAAATCGCTCTGCGGCCTGGATCCGTGATATTCATCGACAACTGCAGGGTTCTCCACTCAAGGACCGCTTTCCAAGGATATCGAAGAATGTGCGGATGCTACTTGTCTAGGGATAATTTTTACGCCAAAGCTCGTCCGTTTTTGCCCGCGGACGTGGCACAGTTTGTGTGATATTTCAAAATGAAAAATAAACATGTTATTATTCTTATCATTCACAAATCACAGTTGTCATTGAAGCTGCTGCAATAGTCGGGAACTGAAAGCATCGAGAAAGGGGGAAAGTGATGAATGCGATCAGGCAGAGAAGAAATGAAAAGGCACGAACACAGAGGACAAATAAATGAATTGAGGGGCGAGTATGAGAAGAGGTGATATGTCTGTGAAACGGAGTGGAACCAATTGAACAAAAGATAAGGAGTGGATGCTTCGGAGGCATCGAGTGAAATGGACGACCCGCTGACTGTTCCTCAATCACGAAATCATTTGTTGTTCACGTGCTGCTCGACCACCGCCTGCTCGTTTTGACGGGTGGTGTTGCGGCGACGGAACGAGAATTTACTCTGAAAAAGGGAAATGATTGACGGAAACTTCCGAAGGGACCATACTCTAAATGAACTCTTTTCTTTGAGGGAATGACGATTGGAAGGAGGACGTGAGGTCTTCTGGCTGTCGGTGTCCTCGCTGTCTTCTTTGTCATAGATACGGTACTCTGGATTTGTCATGTACCAGTGGAGCATCACGTCGTACAGGTACTTGTACTCGTCCTGAATGTTTCCGTCATTGGCACGCTTCCGGCTTCATTCTTACTTTCATATCAATCAGTTGTGGCCGATTGATCCTCATCATCTTGACAGCGTGGAAAACATCGACTTCGTGGTCAATGTCCATCTGATCAATGCAAATGTTCGCACCGATGTACACACCAACTCGCGATACTCCGTTGCTGAAAACAGAAACATTTCAAAGATAGAGAGATCTCCTCTTACTGTGACATGACGATGGTCGGTTTAGTTTCAGGACGGTCGGGCGCTCTCTTCCTCCAGCTTCTTGCCATTTTGATGACGTCAATGAGTCCGGTGGTCGAAAGCGGCACTTTGTTCTCGATCGGCCACATTCTTACCTGAACTCTCCACACTTAATGATCGTCTGAATGAGCGCACTCACTTGGATCACACAGCAAATGCGAACTTCGGCGTCGATCTGCTGGTTCTGAGCACCGCTGGCCATGATGTCACTGATCATGAACGTCTGAAACGGAAGGAGTTGATTCGCGGGCACGGAAGATTCGAAGGGCATCACTCTGGTTAGTTTTCGGATTTACGTGTAAGCGAGATTTGGATGGAGGTTTACGTTCGACTGAAAACGCGGCCTTTTATGGCTTCTAAGAATGACTACTCGGAAATTAGGTTGCGAGAAAGTTAGAAAACGAGACATTTACGGTTAGCGGATAAGCATCGGTTAGTGCGGGCACACCACAAAAACCAAAAAAAAGAGAGAGAGAGAGAAAGAAAGAGACCAGCTTCTGGATTTGTTTGGTCGTTTCTTTCTGAAGATCTGCCTTCTCTCTGCGTATATTCAGAAGGCGCTTGATGTCGGCAGCTCCCTTCTGAAACGACGATCACATCGGAACGGGACGAGGGACGAAGACAGTGGACACAGTTCCCCACCAGGTTCAAAAAGGCGTTGACACTGCACAGAAAGAAGTCATGGACACGTGGCACAAAAGGCCACTGGGTACTTTAACTCACTAGTTTTGACACCCCCTTACCCTCAGGGTCGACCTTCATTGGCGGAACCTGGTGGGGCTGCAAAGAGATTTCATTTTCGGGGGGATTGTAATGCGCTTAAAGCTTATAAAGAAACAATTGCCGCGGCGACCAAACAGTCGGCCGAATCCCCTTTTAGCTACTTCTAAAAGGCTCCCCGGAAAGCAATGAAGCTTCAAAGTTTTCTGTAAACGAAACGCATCACACGCACAATCACAATAACTGTGAGTAGAACGAAAAGCGGAAAACGAAGCGGATGGGTCGGGAAACGGCGGAGGAGGGTCGGAAGACAGAGGGACGCAGCTCAACCACACTTCGGGCTCCACCTCTCGGAATGGATCTTCCGCCGATCTGCTGCGCCGCTTCAGTCCATGTCCACGTGGCGGCGTCACGTTCAGAAACTGACTGCTCGTCGTCTTGCGAGGCCGACGCGGCGGAAGAAGAGCATTCGGTGCGGACTGTTCATCCTCGTCCGACGACGTCGAGTTGTCGTCGCCGGGCTCGCGGAACTTGCCGCGGTACATTGGCTTGAAGCGGAACGACTGGCCCGGCATGATGTCCGGCCGAGTCTGATATCCAGGGACTCCTTCCAACGTGGGGATCTTGGCGGCCGGGCGCGCGTTCGGCGGATCAACCTGCTCAGCATTCACATAACTCAGTAATTGTCAAACCTTTTTCACATTTTGACAAGATAGTTCGAAACACTCGAATAACAAAATAAGCGGCGTGACCAAGACACCTGCAACAGAATCCGACTAACCCTTTTCATCACTTTGACCATATGGGAGGTCATCGCCGGATACTGATGATAGTTCATGATCTCGACGATGAACGGACCGTAGTTGGCCTTTCCTTTGTTGTGAATGAAAGAGGGATAATGCTGGAAAGATCAAGTAGACAGGAACCAAAAATCAGTCACGTACCCTCTGAGTTCCTTGATTACTCAAGTTGACAACAGTGTGACATGCGTGGTCGTAGATCAGTGTCCAGAATGAGTCGACAGTGCTCTGTTTCGGCCATTCTGTCACGATGAATTCTGCTTTTCGAGTGAATCCATCCACCTGCAATAGTACAATACCAGTTTCCATCTCCAATCATTCTCTTTCTCTCACTTCCACTGCATTGATATATGTGTAGTCTTTGCTTTCTCCGTGCAATGTCTGAAGGTACGGTCTCGCATGGTCAGCTGTAATTCGCCCTTGTTCATTCGATCCCTTTCTATCCTCCAACTCACGTGGCACCACCATCACATCTCTGTTCTTGCCTCGGTTTTCGAGACGATGGCCTCCCGCACAGTCTCCGATTCGCAGCGTAGGCGTCAAATGCATCAGAAGCTGCAACGAGGGCGTTGAAGTGATAAAAACGACGCGCGTCAGTACATAAACCCTATTTGAGACTCTTTTGAATGACCGTCATAAAAGCGAAAAGCATGGCTATTGACCGACAAAAAACAACATTGGCAAAGCGATCTGAATGGAATGAGGCATGACGTGGCAATGAGTCATGCACTGCCGTTCGTGTCTCGTTCCATTCATGACAAGAACAACTCATCGCGAATTCGCATTCCTCGAAACCCACGACCGCTTCATGATGCCATAGTCAGTTCGTGGTGGAGGCCCGAAAAAAGGCGCGCAAAGCGTCTCGATTCCGATCCGATCCTATCTCGTTCCCTTCCCCTCACCAACCTTGTTCTCGTGCGTCTCCTGACTCTCCAGAAGCTCTCTGTTCTTCTTCGCCTTGTACATACTGCTTCTCTCCTTCAACTGATTCATTTCAATCGGTTGCACATTGCACATCACAGCCTGAAATCCCGCCAATTTCCTTTTCCGTTTCTCATGCTAGTGCCGTTCTCAAGGCCGTCAAGATCACTCCATAACTTTTCTTTCCCTAATCCGTTTCCCCTTCCCACCTACCTCGGACAGCACTTCGTAGATGAACATGTACTGTTCGACGCTGTCGATCAAATGTGGCCGCGAATTCACAAGAGTCTTCGCGTACTCGAAAACATCCAGTTGTCCTGTTTTCTTCATCAGTTCCAAGTTGGCGTCCAATGCCAGAAACGCTCCACTGCGACCGGCACCATTACTGAAACAATCTATCATTTTATTCATCCGGGAACATAATGTTCAAATTGTTTTTGTTCCCTTTGCCCTCATTTCGTATCTTCCTCGGATCAGGTAATTTTCAAAATTATTAGAATTGGAATGCATGTTTAGAAATACATAGAAAAAAGTTCCGAACCCATTAAGACTGTTATTACCGCCCGTGAAAACGGAAGAGAAGGAGAAGCTAATAACTGGAGAAAGTTGAAACTTTGCTAAGCGGCCAGGGCTGACTATTAGATGCCGCTGCCGATACCCAACGAAATTAGGTAAGCCCCATCCCGCCCGTTTTCGACGCTTGCCCCTCCCCTCATCCCGCTCCCCGTCGGACCCCGGCTTCCATTCCATTCTGGTATCGTTTCTGAAGAATCGTCAATCGCTCAGTTATGCATAAGTTTGCGGCCCGATACAATCTGTAAGTGACCAGTTGTCGGATCGAATCGCAGCTTCGTCCGTCTTGCTCGCACTCTTTTTGTGTCAATTCTCGACCTGTCTTCCTTCAATGACATGAGCGTATAATTGCTACCCAAAAGAGGAGACAGACTGAAGACCAAACAAAAAATATGTCATCAAGCACGCAATTTTTCTCGTGTTTTGAGGTACTGCTTTGTTTTTTCGATTTGTTGGGACTGTCGAACTTTAAAAAAATGCTTTCCATCAAAACAAATCAGCCATCTGTGGAACTTTACTTCCTCTCTCACTCCATTTGCCACGTGCTTGCCACAATGTCCACTGTCTCTACTCCTATTCTCGGCGTCAATTTTTTCTGTGAAATGCATTTATTCCGTCCTTCAGACCGTTTCAAGTTCAAGTGTGCGTCTTCGTATTCCCTCTTCCGTCTCTCATTCAGTCTGACCGTTTCTTGCACTCACAACTTCCACCTTTTGTCACTTTCAGATGCAGTTATGGCTTCTCGTCACTCTCATATTCGCATGTCTCATTCTAGTCGATGCCAGAATCCCACGAGGTACACCCACTTCTCTCTTTCCTATCTTTTCTATCTTTTCTAGCCCGATTCCGAAAGAGAGGACCGTCTGGATTCTCGTTGGCCAGAATACAGAAAGAATACGACGACGACTACGACTCGACGGAGGACTCGAGCAGCCGCCACAAAAGTGCTTGTAAGTGGGGATCCCGACGGGCGGCACAGATACCATCTTCCATTCGCTTTCACTTGCACTTTCTGACGCTTCCGATCTCTATCAAAGACTTCTCCGTGGCGGCTGTTTTTTGTTGTGTTATGCGTAAAAGTGCATTCGAAACAAAGAAACGACGAAAACGAATTGCGAAAAGGGAGAAATTAGGTTGTTGCAGTGGACGGTTCGCGACGGAGAGACGAAGTGGTGAACGACGCGAAGTGCCTCCAGAGGTGTAACAATCAACTGAACATCGGAATGGACATGGTCAATGTGGGTGCTTGCCCTCCCTTGCCCCTAAATCACAGTACTCTCTTCAGGCGCACATGGCATTCGGAAGCATCGACGTGCCGAGTGTGGTGGAGAAGAGAGATCTGGAAATGTTCTGCATGCTCGACTATCAGCACAGTCAGTGCATTGACGAGTGCGGCTATTCAGTTCAGTTCAACCTCCGAGAATATGTCTGTCGGAATCGCTTCCCCGAGGTTAGTCAGCCATTGGCCGGCAGTGTTTACATGCAGCCAGACCTTTCCGCCCGTCAACTTTTTATTCGTTCACCAGATGTTGCAACATCTTCCATGCTACGCCAAGTCGGCTCCGGCTCTCATCCGTCATTGCCGTCCACGATGCGGTGGCTATAAAGCACTTGTGCACACTCAAGACGGCTACTCTCAGAGGTAACCATTGGAAAGCGAGTGGGAGAAAAGAGAGGAAAAGGAAGATTTACAGGTGTAGACAACTTCTCTGCGATCACACGTGCTCGACATACATTCTGAAGAGGCTGTGTCCCGATGAGACGGGCGTGGCGGCAGCCAACTACTTGCTGGAGTTCACGCGGCTGCAGGTCGACTACTGGATGAAGGACTTCACGAAACAGTCCAAGTCACGGATCCCGTTGACTTGCCGGAAAGTTCAGTGCAAAGATTTCAAGTTGGCGAACTGCCGACCCCAGAAACGATACAGAAAACGAGTAGTCGATAACTGATTCCTTCTTCAAACCTTTTGATTCTTTCATGTGTTTCGTATCTTCCTCTGTTACGGGTACTGTAATAAAACTGACCTGCAATGCACGATCATCGGGGCTTCCACTGGATTCTTCTCCATAAACTGCCGCACTCTCCGTCTCAGCTCGATGAATGCGGAAATGTACGGGAATGAATCGAGCTCCCATTCTGTGAAATGGAAGTGTTTCACTATCCTCGTTTCGATGGATTCTGATGTTGTTCGTGTCAGTTTGAATGTTCTGATCACCTACAAAATGACAATGAAAAGGATACACTGCGTTGAATTCACTCACGAAATGAGAATAAGTCTTCACTTCCGTCGTTTCCACTTCAATCTCTCGGAACGTGTATTTAGTGAGTGGCCAATACTGTAGACACATTACCTGAAAACGTTATATTTGAGGAATCATCCAGTTGTCGTTGGGAACGGACCCTCATGAAATCGAACACTTTGGTCAGCATAACAATACAATTAGATCCTAACTCCCAAACCATTCTCCAGAATTCCGCATTCATCGGCTTCGTCCGCACCGCCTGCGTGACGACGTAAGCCTTGTCGCGGAGCCAGCTCTGTAATTGAACATTTTGTGCTATTGTGTAGTTTTGTGTGGGCGCCACGTGTGAAATATCTCGGCCTCATTTGATAAATGACCTCCAAACCGCCGGAAAACACATGCGATCGAATAATCGGTCGGGGCGGGTGTGCTGCTCGATTGCATGTGTGTCAGGTGTCTTTTAGGCGCTCGTTTCCAAAGATATGCCACAGGAAAGAACACGCGATTAAGCGGGGTTCGGGACGAGGTGAAAAGCAGGCCAGCCAGGATGAGTTTACAGCTAACGCCGCGATTTATGAGTTTCATATAGTGCAGACCGACTGAACCACCCCACCCTACTTCTCGACATGATGTGGCGAAGTTTTAAACTCGAATTGGCTGATCTTTGTACTGAGAGGATGACGTCAGAAGGGAGGAAACTCCTCTTCAAGGGAATATTCGAACAGTCACTTACATTCACATAACTCGCGTTGATGTAGTGTGAATTCTCGTCTCCATCTATCCTAGGTAACATCACCCGATTGTAGTCATATGGTGTCGTATCCTGTAACAGATCTCATTCTTCCTGCATTCCCGCTCTCTCCCTCACCGGATACGGATTCCTATCCATCATCGTACTCCCGACATCACACCGACATTTGTTGTTGTCTATCGAACGGTTGATCATCTGCAATTAAGCCGGAATCAGTTCGCGTGACTTCGCACGGCACCTATAATTTGCGATTCCGCCCAGTGTCCCCTTTCACCCGTTATTTTTTATGTGCTGCTCTCTCGCAAGATCTGGGCCTTCCACTTAATCATAGGCGAGGCGCACGGAAAACGAGAGAACGCCACGATGGATAGGTGAACATTTATCATCGGAACGCTGCTGGATTCGAGATTGAAATGGAGTGAATCTTCCATTTCAATCAAAACCGATCGATCCTCGGATGGCCGGACTCACCAGGTATTCTCCTTTGAAAAGTATCCGCTTCTTCCGTCGTTCCTGCACGTACGCCACGAACTTGCTCGCGTCAACCGGAGCCGTCGGAACCGCCTGCATCGCCTTCTCTTCTTGTACTGAAAACAGAAAAGTCATTGAGAATCCACCAGATCCTATGCATTCTCCCATTCTGATCTCACTTTCATGGTATCGATCTACTTTTTTGTGGCCGTACTGGATGCACCACTCCACAACGATTCTCATGGAACTTCCTCTTCTTCTTCTTCTTCGTCACCGCCGAATAAAAGCGTAGTGATTCAGTCAGTTTTTCTTTGTCTTTTCGGACAAATCGGACAAAATGAGGCGACGAGTGCTCTTCCGTATAAAAATAAGGCAGTGAAGAGAGGAGGAGGAGGAGCAACATAAACATTTTGGGAGGCCTCTTCCGCTTTTTTCACCACCTCCCGTTTTTTGTGAATTTTAATCGTCCGTGGGCTATTTGAACAAACAGGAAATTTGATTGATCGTCTCGCGAGCGCCCCGTTCTTTTGGGATAGAAGGATCGTTTAGGGGGACCACGTCACTTTACTCAAGATTCGGTTACACAAGTTGATATTGTTGCGGTGAAGCATTAGTGCGCAGCTGTCAGGTTTGGCAGAGCCTGCGAGCCGCCGAGTTGAACCTCCGACCGAGGAGATGGATCGATTTGAATTAGGAACAGAACACACTGGGGCAAGGGACAGGGAGTGGATTGGAACCTTACCGAGTTGGAGTTGCTTCGCAAAGTTTCCGGGAGACATTGCTTGCCACGTCTTCTGGACTTTCCGTCTTCGCCGACCTTTCTTCGACTGCGGAGGATTGAGATTACCGGTAGATTGAGACGCCCGTTCAGGATGGATGTACTGAGAAGAGCCGGGAGACGGAGAGCCTCGGAGTGCGTCCATTACTAGACTCAGCTCCGAGATACTTTTCCTTCTGAAGTCATCGAAAACTTCGGAAATCTCGCGTCTTCTGCTCGCCGGACTCTCTGGCACCGTGAGCAAATCCATCCTTCCAGATGAGTTACCCGGCTCCGAATGGTCGGATCGAGAGGATGATGGACCCGGCTGTTGGTGCACATTACGCGCTCCAGATGAGAATAAAGACTTCATAGACGCGTCATCGGAATACCGAGAATGGGGGGCCTGATTCGATCAATGAGTACCGAATCAATAAGTGATGGGAGTAGCGGTAGTGAGTCGGTGGCGCACGCGAGAAGAGGCGAGTAAGTGAGTGCGGGCGTCTCCGCTCCCTTCCGTCGGCTGCTCTTCTGCTATCTGCTTCTCAGTTTCTTTACCTCTACCATAGGCAAGACACCGTGGTTTGCGGCACCGACAGGAGTGCACCTATCACAGAGACGCAGACGCGCTTCTGGGACGACAGCTGCGCCATGTGCCGTCGGTCGCCCGCTGCTCCGGGAAACAACCGAGGAGGCGGCGGGAGAGGAAAGACGAAGAGAGTGGGAAGGAAACGAACCTGGGAATGAGCAGAGGGCTCGGGCGGCCCCGTGCGGGATCAGCAGAGAGCACAAGGACCGCCGCCTAGATTACTTCTTATCACTGGGCCCACGGAACACAGAAGAGGGAGGCATGCACCCAGAACGGTACAGAAACCTACGCATTGCGGTGGAAGTGGATGGACGGAGGCCGGGCAGCAACTCACTGATGGGGGACTTGGCCCGCAGAGAGTGGTAGGAAGCAGTGAGGAGTGACGTCATCAGGGACTGTAACACGAGAAAAACGAAAGTGAAAGAAGCGTTGGGTCGGGAATGTGAGAAAACGAGGATACGAATGCGATAAATGGCAATGCTTCTTCTGTTTGTGCTCGGGGATGACGACGTGTCTTCCTGCTCTCTTCCTGCCGCTTCTTCTTCTTCATTTCGGACGTCTTCTTTGTCGAAATATGATACGATTCCAATGGTTGGCAGTGTGTGGAAGATGTGACCAAACACAGGAAATGAGCCAATTCCGAGCAAAAAAAAAGAGGACGGCTACGGTAACGGCCCGCAATTACATGTCACAATCGAAGCGAAACGTCGTTCATTCAAATGCCGTCAACACATGTAGAAGACGTCGTCGGTTGGTTCAAAACGGAGAAATCAAAAAGCGAATTGAAAGTGAAATGAAGAAAAACGACAGATTTTGTGTGGATGGGAGCAAGATGATGAATATGGAAAGGATGGATCTGGCCGGAGAGTGAAGCTATAAATCACGGGGGAAGACGAGTCTAATTGTGACGTGTAACTCCGGAGCACTTGAAAGGAAGAGGGAGGACGTGATATCGGGTTACTGTAGATAAGAAGTCAAGCACTGTACAACAACAGTAAACACTTTGAATATTTGCAAAGATTTGTGTGAATGAGATAGAAAGGACAGAGTTGACAAATGACAGTCTTCTCCACTTTTTCTCTGTAGCAAGAAACACTTTCAGAGGAAAAAAGGGAATTGTGAGTGCGTTCGAGGTTCAGACGATCGGAAACAGGGGGCGGTTCGGCTGGATCGAGTGCTCGGAAAAGAACAAAAGTGCTGGCGGGAAGGCAAGGACAGCCGAGAAGAATCGGCCGATTTGAAATCGGATACGTACGATACATACATTTTGTTCTTTCGTTTTTTCGAGTAAATCTTCTTCCTTTTCATCTTCTTCTCGCTTTTGTTGCTTGACCGTTTTGTCCGTTCCTTATTTTCCAATTAGGAACTTGGAAGACGACTAATTAGGAGAAGGAAGAAGAGTTTTTCTCAGACATTAGGCAAAGGTTTATGAACGAAAACTCTGGAGACTTTTCGAAAAGGATTAGAAATCAAAGAACCACTTGTAGCTCACTAACTGTAGCTCGGTTTACAGAAAAAGGGACGATAACTAGTGCTGAAGTGAACTCACATCCGATTACAAAATCGCTGATGCTCTTTTTGAGCATTCCCGGCTCGACGACAGTGGCCACGGTTATAGTGTGCAGATTGTGCAGACTATGCATCGTTTCACTCCGAATTTTGCTCGGTGAAACCGTGACACTGCGAAGGTTTTTCGGCAGGAAATGACGAAGGTTGTCGAGACGACTTCTCGGCCGGACCCGTTTGGGAGACTCTTGCTGGAGGGGCTCCACGGACGCGCACTGACGAATTAGTGCGCGGCGATGAACGGGCGGAGTGCCGTCAGAAGACGTCGAGGGCACTTCTTCAGACTTGGCCTTCTGTAGACAAACGCCAGGATTACTGTGGGTGCCAGGGGTTAGCATCTGGAAATGGAAAGGTATGGGTTACTGTAGCAAGCAGAGCGGTTAATGGGGTCAACGACGGAGATAAGTGCTAAAGAAACGACCAAAGAACAGAATAAGAGTTGAAAGAGAAAGCATAACAACAGAGGACTGAACAGAAAGATGGGGTGCCTAAAAGTAAACTATGTAGGACCGCCCGAGAGAAGCGGCTGCCGTCAAAACATGGCCGAAACATGGATACTGAGAAGAATTTAAATTCAAATTTATGCCGCAACGTTTTGCCGTTGTTTGATGTCCCCCGCACTTGCGTCAAATTGTGCTGTGATCCCAAGCCTATATCATATAGAGACTCGATATTAAAGTGTGTCATGGATGGCTTTGAACCCATTCAAAATGCATTCGATTCCCGCCCATTTCGCTCGTTTTTCATAGAGATTTGTTTCAATCGACGACGCAAGCACACTGACGAAATTGGAAAAAGACCGCCGAAAAACAAAACAATGCGTATGTATTTATGAATTGTGAAATGAGCCGTGTAATCCGAATGCTCCTTTTTGACGCCGTTTTCACATCGACGGTCGACGAGCGTTTTGTGACGACGAAACAAATGCGAATTCGGACGAGAAAAAGCGAAAAAGTTACAGTTTTGGAGAGAACGCCACGTAATCGAGAATGCATGCAGAATTAGATGGATTAGAATTAGAAGAGCATCTCGTGGCGAGGTTGACGCTGAGAAATTGGTGGTGTCTCTCGGACGAAGGAGGCGGTGGCGGCGGCGGAGGCTCTCTCTCGGTGCCGCACCGACTTTTTTGATATATGTATCCTATTGCCATATGAGTGTGGAGTGCCGTGGAGTTGTGTAAAACGTCCGTTGGGAAATTGACGACGACGACGAAGAAGGCTTCCGAGTTAAGAATCTCGACGTCGTTCCATTTTAATCTAGGAACCCGTGACTCTTTGTTTCGCATGCTTACTCACTAGTTCGCCACCCGTGTCGAGTGAACATTTTCGTGTTGCATCTCTATTTCTATTTGCCACCCAAAGACCGCCGACACTTTTTCTTGCTTCGCGATGTGTCTGCACAATGATGTGTTCGTTCCTTTTGGATGGGAGAGACATCTTGTGACCTCCTCGGTTCCTTTCATTCGGTACTCATGTCTTCGGCACATACAATCGCCGTTTGCAACTTTTGACGGCAACCATTATCGCAGTATTTGGCGCGTCGATAGTCCCGAGAGACTCGGAGCGGGGCAGCTTGAAAAAGAGAAATGCGCACCGTGACGTCACCCTACTTATCAATTTTATCTTTAAGGAGGTCTGCGCCCAAAAAGGCAACTTTCGGTCGGTAGAGAAATGGCAGCACGGGAATCGAGGAAAGGTCAAGCGAGTGCAAAAGAGCACGGACGCGCATAAAACCGAGCGATTCTTTGTACCTTTGGAGTTTGAAAGCCACTCGAAACAGTCAATAAGACGTGGGTAATAAGTAAAAGCTGAGTGAGTGGAAAACGTCACGGAAAGGAAGGACAATTGGGAAGAGGACGAAACACAAAACAACTAATTGAGTTAAAATGGACACAAAACGAATATCTAATTTCGGAGGAGGCCTCGACAGCAGAAGTCACGCTTCGGAGCAAGGAAAACGAAGAAGAAAACTGGAAGAAGAAGAAGCAGAAGAACAAGGATGTGGAGATAATTGGAGAAGAAGTGATAAAAACGAATGGGCGGTTTGAATTGCAGAAGAAGGAAAAGGAAAGGAGCAGAAGCCCGAGGAAAGCAGCTTCCTGAGATTTTCGGCATTCCGAAGATTTATGAACACGACCGTTTTAAGCTGAGAACTCGGGAAGAGAGTGAATAACTGTGTCCGATATTTAAGGGTTCAGGGGTACTTACCGTATCCGATAGTGTCCACAAGCTGTTGTGTTGTCCTTGAAGCGGTTCGCTCGTTGATGTTCCTGTCGAGCCACTTCGACAACGAATTCAGAAGTGAAATATGAATACGCAGACATGGCGATGGCTTCCGCCGCTTTTCCTTCTCCGGCTCCTCCTGCTCCTTCGTCGTCGCTTTCTTCTTCTTCTTGAATTTCAAGCCAAAACAATCCATCGCGTGTCGAGCAAGTGATTGGCAGCCGGTTAATACTACTCATTGCTGACAATCTGCTGCTCTTCGTCCCCGAAGTCTGCGTCTCTCTGGCAGGGCACGGTGTCTCGCCGGTTACTGTAGACATGCGTCAAGTGCGCATCCTACTGCTCGCTTACAATTTCGAACACAAACAGAGAAGTCGGGTGATAAGCGGGAATGGAACAAGGAAAGGAAGAGGAAGGAGGGAAACAACAAAGACGACATGATCCCCATCGTTCCCACGTAACACAAACGGCAAATATTAGATGTTGTGGAGGCGAGTGCGAAGACCGCTGGCCACGTTTGTTCGGATGGTTTTGAGGAATTGGTTGGAAAAAGAAGGCTCTTCGAAGAGTGCTTTCGAGCAAACCGTGAGAAATCAGTCTAATTTGGACAGCTGCAACGGATTTCTCCCCGATCAAACAGTCCCTGGTGAATTTTGATCGACTCTTGTTCGTGTTTCATTCCGAATCATTTCTACTTTGATTCCCCACCGTACTCTAATCATGCTCTTGATGTTAACCACTTGCTCCCTATGATCTCTTGTGTGTTTGTGTGTTCCCAGAGTGCTCGTTCCCCCTCAAACCAACTCACTTATCATTTTCTTTGCCAATTTTTTTGCCTCGGCCTCTTCCTTCTCCCTGAAACTCGTTCATTTCCACCTTCTTTCGATTCTCTTTTCACTCACTGTCTCTGTGATAATCCGTACAACATTGATCTCAATCCGGGCTCCGCATCTCGGACGCTCTTCGATTTCCTTGCCTGCAAACGCCAGGTTTTGTCCTTCTAATGTTTCACTTTTGCACAGTGCACTTCACAGACAGCCACCCAGAAGCCACACAGACACGTCACTCATCAGTTATCAGTCAGACGGACGGACGGACGGACAAGAACATTGATGGATCAGGTGGCGAACAGATACGCACCTTCGACGGCTTGAACAGTCGCATCATAATGTGGTCCATGCTCTTTATTTTCCTCGCCGGCTGAACTTTCTCTTCCACCGCCTGTCTCACTTTCCTATCTTCTTATTCCCCTCACTTACCCGCGTTATTCCCTCGATCGGTTCTCCGTTCTCTGTGAAATAGGCCGACGACGGACGGCTTCTTCGGATTGAAGACGAAGGAGTCGAGTCTCGTCGACTGCTCCGACGAGAGTTTATCTGAAGTACAGTTCGCAATGGGGAATGGTTCCGAAGAGGAGGTACCTCATTGATATTATCGACGACGTCACTGGGGGAAACGACAAAGTCATCTCCGTCTTCGTTTCGAACTCGGATCGAAACCGACGCCATCGGATCTTCGAGCACTTCACTTGTTTCACTTACTGAAATAAAATGTAATAAATTATGTAACTTTTATAAACAGAGTCGGAATGTGCAGGAACTGGAATCAAATGGAATGGAAAGAGATTGTCAACGAAAATTGGCAATTCGAAAAGGACGAAAACGAAACCAACAGACTGTAGAGGATGGAATGAAGGATGACTCGGAGCGTGTTTCGATGGAACGCCAACAAAAGAATATCAAAAAAACACAGGCGAAATGTATTAAAAAAATTGGAAGGATATACGGTGTGCGGAGCCGAGCCGACGAGAGAAGAGCAACACAAATATTATCGTCGGCTGCCGACTGTGGACCACTTGAAACTTTCGGGGAAAGAGCGCGGAATCCGGTGAGACATCGAGCTAGGAATGATCAGAGGAGGGTGCGAATCGGAGCAAAGTTATTGGAGCTAAGGGTTATCGATTTGAAAAGAAGGAGAATGCGAGTTGAAGCATCATTGCCATATAAATAAAGGGTCCTTGGGTCTCGAGTGGTCCTTTCCGGGGGGAGCACGCGACTATGAAAGTCCAAAGGAAAAGGTGATAATGCGGGACGGAGAAGGTGGAATCGGAAATATGATACAAGTAGAAAAACAAAAAGACCGAAGGAAAGGTTGGAGGGAAGCGAATGGAATCGGAGCAATCAGGAAGAGCAGATGGACAAACAGAGACTTACTTTCAGGATGAACACAGCCATTCCCATTCACGTCCAACTTCACTTCTTTAGGCTTTTTCCGGAAGAAGGAGAACTTGCTCGTCTCTGAATTGACTCAGATCGAAACCAATTCATGATGGAAGGACTCACCGATCATATTGAATGTTGGTGAAGATTCCAGAAAGATCCGGCCGATTTCGATTCAGCGGCGTCGGCAAAGCATTCGTGGTGAAAAATTATCTGCAAAAAGCGATCAGCGATTGACTTGTCAACCCGAGCATCATATCTTGAGGCAACCGAAAGAACGGGATCCCATGGAAAGAGAGACACAGACGAGGATAATTTATGAAATGGGAGGGAACGGAAGGAGAGGAAGAGAGGGAGCCGCTGATAATGTATCAGCTGTGAAGGGAGTAAGCGGGCGACAACAACGGAGAAACTGGAAGAGAAGAGGCGAGATTGTGACAATCCCGTAGAAAATTCGAAACCCGTAGAAATGGACGGGGCCTAATGCGAGGTGCGCGCACACTGTTTTGACTCAATTTTGATTGCGTTTTTTGCCCCTTTAGTTCATTTTAGACATGAAAATTTGACAAAACGATTAAAAATGTCATGAGGAGTCCAATATTCTGAGTTTTCTGCATTTTAGCGTATTTCGAATTTTCTACGGGATTGTGACACTATCGAGCTCGAAGGGGCGGGCACGGAGGGGCCGCCAAAGATCAAAAAGTTTAAAAATGAATGGAGTTTCCTCGTTCTTGGACGAAAAATTCCGATGAGAAGCGAGTGCAGACACAAACGAAAACACAGCAAAAAGAAGGGGGCAGAAACGGGTAAAAGTTCATTGAATATTCGGTTTTTTGACTCAAAAATTAGTGGGTTACGGGAAACGAAAACAGAAAATAATCGAGAAGAACGGGAGTTGTGAGGGAAAATGTTTACGGTAAATAAGTCAGACACGAGCATTTCAGATAGTTATTGATGTAACGAAGAGGAAGTCGGGCTGTTCTCTGACCTTGAGCCGGGAATGAGAGTGAATTGGGATCCAGAACAGAAGGTTGCTCTGAAGAAGAGCACCAAAACACATTCGGTGGGTTAGATGCTCTTCTGCAATGCAATGCACTTTCCGGCTTTCTAGAACTCGAAGGTAACCTTCTGGAAACATCAGAAAAGGAGATGCTACAAAAGCATAGAACCTAGATGGGAACTTGTGTTGAGTGTGACGTGGCACTCTTGTGAATGAGACACTTCTTCTCGATGAGACTAATGAGAAAAGAGCAGAGACTGGGCACGCAGGTAACTCGAGATCGTTTAGTTTTATGCCGGTCTGCGGTTAAAAAGAGATGCGGGCGCAGATGGAGAAGAAGAAGAAGAAGAAGACGAAGAAGAAGAAGAAGAAGTGAGAGGAGGATGAATGTGAGAAGGAAAATATGTTGTGTCGTGTATGTTTTCCAAATGTTAACGACATGAGAGCTCCTTCGGGCAGCGGTGTTCCCGTTCCCGTTCCGCACGAAACACGACACGTGGAAACGGGGGAAGATTCTGGAGGAATGAGGGCGAACGACTGGAACGAGCACCGGAAGAGTGGTAGGATATTGAAGAGAAAGGGGAAGAAAGTAAGTAGGTGGGATCATGTAGAGGTTGTAAAGTAGAACAACGGAGGAAGAGAGCAGTGACGAATGGGGACTCCCCGTCCGGAAGTGGAAGGTCTACCCGACCATCTGTCAAACTTGCCATTTTCAGTTCGCAGCCTTATCCAGACCCTCCACCTCTTCTCCTCGGTCTCAGTCGATTCCATCCAGTTGTTGTACCGCCCGTATTCTTCCGAATCACAATATGAGTGCAGGCGGGAAGGTGTGAAACCATGAAGATATTGGGAAAGAGAACAAGTTGGCTGCCCTCGCCCTCCTCCGCCTTTCTCTTGTCACTCTGTCTCATTTATCTTTTGAAGAGCATCTCACATCGATTGATCAGAGCAGGAGTTCTTTGCGACACAGCTCACAAACTGCTCGAAACGGAAGATGAGCGGAGCTGCCGAGCATCGTTCATCAAAATGCGAGATCTTTCTGCGCCTTTGCACAAACGAGTCGTTCTTTTTTGGGGGAGCGAGTTCCACTACTACATTTTCTTTCAATTCAGTGACGTTGGCACATCAAAAAAGAGTTGGGTTGAGCTCGTCGAGCAGCAAGGGACCGCAAGATGAGAAGGGTTGAGTGACGTGGCAGTGAAGGGAGCGAAGTACTTGTGTCTGGAAACAGGTTGCCAGATTCTTGTGTCAGAATAGACCAAGCATTCTCTGAAAAAGTATTAAATCCTAATAATATCAGTTCTTTCAGACTTTTAGACGACCCACGCGGAACTGTTCAAAAACAGGAATGCTCCCAAGAGAATTCTGAAGTGCCAGAAACCATTACCGTCAGTAATTGTCTGTTATTCCACGCCGATTATAAGAATTGATTACCTCCAATCGAACGACCTCCCTCTCGTTCGCTCTTCCAAGTTATTTTCCTCTTCCAACCGTTTTCCAATTGGTGCTCCCGAAGTGATCTCCTAATCCGCAAATACCACCTACTCTGCCGCGGACTTTAAAGTCAACAACCAGTCAGTCACTGACTCACATTCATTTCGAAACCGAGACAATGGCTGTGTGCGATGCGAATGACCTCGAAACCTTGTCGTTCTTGTCCGTCCACTTCACAGATGATCTGTGCGTTCCGGACGGAAAAAAAAGCGAAACAAAGTGTGTTTAACGGAATCAAAGACCTCGAAATAGCGCTCGGATAGACACTGTTTGCTCGCACTACAGTCCGCTTCCAGGGAATCGATCGGACGGGAGCCGCCTTCCATTCGTTTCCGACCAACATAACCAGTTCCGCCCGCTTGCCCCCTCTTCCCCGGCACAATCACGTCGGTTTCTCTCCCTCTCTCCTCCGTTTCTCGCCCTTTTCTCCCTTATCTTTACTATACGTTCGTCTGAAACACTAGAATATTCCGGCCGCCCGTCCGGGGCTTCCCCCTCCGTCTCTGTCTCTTTCTCTCTCGTTCTTTCTTCCCGGTTGCCAGGGCTTCTTCCCTTTCTTTCCCTTCCACTTCCATCTTTTTTAGTTGTTTTCAAACGTAATAGTCCGGAGCTTCACGAGCATGTGACGCTGGAATTCAACCCGATACTCTACTCCAATTAAATGACGCGGAAAACGTTATGTGTTTTATGAATGTGTTGTCTTTTTGTGAAAGGGACGCACGATGGCAACGTTTTGGTTGAAAAAAACAACGAAAGGTCGGTTGGGAGTGTAGTTTCCTGGCCGAATTCGGTGTTGAAATGATGTGTTTTGGAGGGAAATCAGCATATTTTATGTGTGTGCCCCGCCAGAAAGAAACTGTTATCTCACAAATTCGGCACGAATCTGTGCATTCTGCCGCGCTCAGACACGGTTCCGCTTCGTTTTGTAAGAAACAGAGTGTGAAATCAAAAAGCCATGTGTAGTCATGTATTTTCGTCCTTTTTTGTTCTGATAAAGTTCGGTTCGCCCCGGCTGATAACGCTTCTCTCATAGTAGTCTCGTTTTTTCTCGAAATGGCAAAGAAACGTTTAGGAGAGATGGCAAGCAAGCCGGATCCGGCAGAGATTAGCGAGGCTGACCGAAAGCTGCTCGATGAGCTCCGCAAGAGAATCGGAAGAGAACTCGAGCTGGTGCCCGCTTATGACGACGACTTTTCGTTGATGCGATGGCTCGTCGGATGGGATCGCAAGATTGGTTAGTTCCAAACTCTATGCTTATCTCCAAGCAGTGCTCTTCCAGACGTCGTCGTTCCCAAGATCAAGTTCTCACTCCGCGCCATTCATGCTCTAGGATTAGATTCAGAAGACCTTTCCACGCTGGAGAAGGTCACTCAAAAGTGCGATGACTGCAGTGTTCCATTGAGATATTTGCCGGGTTCTCTGATTGGATTAGACAATGAGAGCAATGTGATCTCTCTTCAAATGATCGGACATTTGGACGCAGCCGGACTCATGCCTGCCACGAGAAACTCGGATTTGTACAGAATGAGAATTGCGGAGAGCGAAGGAGTCATGCAAATTATCAGGTGCGTTGCGGTGAGACACACGTCACTCTAGCCTGTGTGGCGGGAGTGACCAACTGTGAATAGGGCAATGAAGTCACAAATAGAGTGTTCTTGCAGAAAACTTGAGAAAGAGCAGGGACGTCCGTTCGGAACGTCTGTCATATTTGATCTGGATGGACTCTCTATGGCACAGATCGACATGGCTGCTCTCAAATGTGTTACGACCATGTTGACGCAATTACAGGTAGACAAATACATGGAAAAGAAGCGAATTGAATTTAGAATGTTTCAGGAGATGTTCCCAGATGTCATCCGCAAGATCTTTGTTATCAACACTCCGACTTTCATCCAAGTGCTTTGGGGAATGATCTCGCCGTGCTTGGCCAAACAGACTCAGCAGAAAGTGAAGATCCTCGGCAACGACTGGAAGCAACATCTGAAAGAGAACATCGGAGAGGAGGTTCTGTTCGAGAGATGGGGAGGAACGAGACAGGCAGAGACCGAGTACGGAGACGTCCGAATGGGCGGAAAGATCCCTGTGGAGTTGAGGTGAGCGAAACTGACGTCCGCAGGATAGTTCACCCGGATTCGTTTCAGATATGATCCGGTCAACGACCTGCCAGCAGAGAAGCTCACCAAGCTGACCATATCGGCTCGTTCGACCTCTTTTGTTCCGATCACTCTTGAAGGAAATGTGCCCGGCAGAAAACTATTCTGGTGGTGGCGCATTGAAAACAACGACATCAATTTCTCAGTGCTTCGCGCAGCGGAAGGACAGGAGAAAGTGGCGGAGCACGATGACGACTACATGGTCCATCCCAAGTTCAACTGCAGACAGAGTTCGTGCCCGAAGACGGCGAAGTATCAGCAGAAGAGCCAGGAGTTTACAAATTTGTTTTCGATAACACGCACAGCAAGCTGAGATCGAAAACGGTCAAGTATTTCATCGAGGTTCGGAATCAGTGAATGCGGCGTTCCCCACAGATGATCCACTCGTGTTTGTATTTATTTAATTGAATGTGTCCTTGAATAGAATATTCCCGTTGAGTTTTCGCTTTTTTAAATAATAAATTATGGCAAAAACTGTGAAATGTATATCGAAAACAGCAAACAATTTTTGCGGAGGTCATTTTCCTATTGTAAGCACTCAAAATTATATGAAGAAATTTAGAATATATTCAAGCGCCTATTTTTTATGAAAACAAATTATTCTGCTGAATTCAGTCGAATTTGACGTCCACGTGTTCCTTGTCTGACAAGTTGTCTCCATTCTGCAGAATTCTGAATTCTTTCCGACCTTTTGCTTTTCGACCTTTTGTCTTCCGACCTTTTTGGTTTTCCGACCTTTTGTCACGGACTCGAATTCTCCGACGTCGTCTGCTAAACCGAGAGCAGTACAACACTCCACTATTTGGCATTTTTTCATCATTCATTCATTTTCAACTGCGAATCCATCACTTCTCTTCAGGATATACGTTCACAATCAAAAAATATTTTAAAAAAATTTCAGAATGCCTCTCAATTGCGAAACAGAAAGAAGCAGAACGTGGCAGGACTTTGGCGATGGAATTCCGTGTATTCTGGGAATCGATGAGGCGGGCAGAGGTTTGTTCTCACGCAACAAAGCGACCGACAGACAGTGAAAAAGATTGCAGGTCCTGTTCTCGGTCCGATGGTTTATGCAGCTGCCATCTCTCCCCTGGATCAGAAAGAAGAACTGAAGAAGCTCGGAGTGGATGATTCGAAAGCATTGAACGAGGCTAAACGAGATGAAATCTTTGAAAAAATGGAGAAAGACGAGGAAGTACAGCTGATTGTGGCCTACGCCGTACGTTGTCTGTCTCCCGAACTGATCAGTTGCTCAATGTTGAAAAGACACAAGTATTCTCTGAATGAAGTGTCCCACGAAGCCGCAATCACTCTGATCAAGGATGCGTTGGCATTCAATGTGAACGTTGTTGAGGTTTGACCAAATTGAATGAACAGTTGATAAGCGTGCACTTCCAGATCAAAGTAGATACTGTCGGACCGAAAGCGACTTATCAAGCAAAATTAGAGAAGCTGTTTCCTGGAATCTCGATTACCGTTACTGAGAAGGCTGATTCTATTTATCCGATTGTGAGTGCAGCCTCCATTGCTGCCAAAGTGACGCGTGATTCTCGTCTCCGAAATTGGCAGTTCAAGGAGAAGAACATCAAAGTCCCGGAAGCAGGTTACGGAAGTGGATACCCCGGAGGTTAGCCTATCCCGCTTTGTTTTTTTTTATCACACAAACCATTTTCAGATCCAAACACGAAAAAGTTTCTGCAGTTAAGCGTCGAGCCAGTGTTCGGCTTCTGCTCTTTAGTCCGTGCTTCCTGGAAAACGGCGAGTGCGATCGTCGAGAAACGATGCGTGCCCGATAGTTGGGAAGACGACGAAGAAGAGGGAAAGCCGCCGAGCAAGAAGATGAGCGGATGGCTGCAGCCGAAGAATTCGAGTGAGGTAGCACCGAAAAGACACACCTACTTCAAGGATCGATCCATGTCGAATATCGTCACGTTTTAGTCGCTTTCTATCCTATTGTTAACACACTTTATGTTCCCTTATTCTTCAACTTCTGCCTTTAACATTACTTGTAAATCTTCTGTGGCTCATTCAGTTGAAACTGGTGTTCGTATTCTGATACTCTTTGCATATGAATGATGATCTTTCCTACCTAATCTCTTTTCGCAAATTCAAGTTTTCCATCCGTTCCGTTCGGTTCCGATTTCTCGTTGTGATAATTTGAAATCTAATCTCAAAAGTTACCGAACAAGTTTTCAGATGACGATAAACCTAACAAAAGTTGTGAGCACGCTGTTTCTCAGCTTCATGTTCTACAACTTTTTCCAACTTTACAAACTGTTCACTCCTGAATTATGCACAGACCAGGACCCCGATTCTATGTGCTACACGGTTTGAATGAAAAAGAGAACACGATGGAATTCCTTCTCCTTTCAGCCCATCATTCGACCGAATACCGAAGGATTGTACGATCTTCTACAGTTGCGAGTCTACTTTTCCACGAAGAAAGAGACTCTCGAACAGTTGATCACAACTGTCGAGAATGTGCAAATGGCCGATCCATTCCAGAAAGATGTACTTTTTTATGCGTGTTGATAGTCTTTCAGTTGATTACTTTCAGTTGCAAGTGAAGATCCCTCCATCGGTTGCAAAGGACGGCTACTTATTCGCCCATGTCATCATTTTACCTCATAAATTCGAAGGTCGCAATCCGATGCAAGCAGAGTGGAGAGTCCACGTGGCAGCTCCGATGATTGTGTTCCAGGAGCCCGTCGCCAAGACATTTCAGTTGTTAGGGGATGCAGAGACCGAAAAGAAAGAGCTGAAAAAGAAGAAGGTTGTCGAGTTGGCTGCTCATTTCCGAAGTGTTCTGCCAATCAGAATCGTCTCCGAGCCGAACCGTTATGTGAAAACGAAAGTGAGCGGAGAGCTGGCGTGAGTTAGACAAGAAGAAAATTATTGTGAGAAAATACGTTTCAGTGATTTCCTGACAATTCAAAGACACCAAAGCGAAGAGGGATACCTCCCGATCATGTTCGTCGACGAGATGAGCATGCGGAGCAAGCACCTTTTCGAGTTGGCCGACGCGAACAGTGCCGTGAACGTGACCATCAACTACGAGCCCACGAGCGTCGCCAAACTTCTTCTGCTCACTTCGACCGCCCGGTCGACACATCAGCTGATGAGACATGGGTTCAAGGACAAGGATATCGATGAGATCCGCGGACTTTTCACCGAGACCTCCATCGTTTTGCTCATGATCACCTTCTTCGTTTCGACTCTCCATCTTCTGTTCGATGCTTTGGCATTCAAAAATGATATATCTTTCTGGAAGGGACGGAAGTCGATGGTAGGTCTGTCCACGAAGTGAGTCATTTTTCTTTCCCTAATTGGAATCGCTCTTCTCTTCAGAACTCTTTTCTGGCGGTGCTTCTCCCAAACGGTTATCTTCCTCTACCTTTTCGACCAGGAGACCAGTCTTCTCGTGCTCATTCCGGCCGGAATAGCTACTGTGATCGAGTACTGGAAGGTCACAATAGCCTACAAGGTCACGATTTCCTTCAAAGGAATCAAGTTCGGAGAGCATTCGGTCGAAGAGAACGAGACGGATTCGATTGACGCACAAGCCATGAAGTATCTCTCCGTCCTGCTCGTTCCTCTTGTCATCGGAGGCGCTGTCTACAGTCTTCTCTATGTTCCTCACAAATCATGGCGCAGTTGGCTTTTGGAGACTTCAGCTAACGGCGTCTACGCATTCGGATTTCTATTTATGCTTCCACAACTATTCGTCAACTACAAGATGAAAAGTGTGGCTCATCTTCCATGGAGAGCGTTTATGTACAAGGTGAGAAAGGCGTCAAGGAATTCAGTCTCAATTGGAAATCTTTCCAGGCCTTCAACACCTTCATCGATGATCTCTTCGCTTTTGTCATAACGATGCCAACCGCTCACAGAATGGCTTGCTTCCGGTAACGAGCCTATCAGTTAGCCTTTGAAATGTTCTCATTTCCAGAGATGACATCGTCTTCCTGGTGTACTTGTATCAAAGATGGTTGTACCCAGTGGATTACACGAGAATCAACGAGTTTGGAGAAGGAGGAGAAGATGAGAAGAAGAAGAAGAAAGACAAGGAGACAGCAGCTGTAGAGAGCACGTCTGAAACGAAGCGGGACGACGGAGATGACAGCGGAGCCGTGAAGAGAAGAACCACACGGAAGACGTGAACACCATCGTAATAATGTGCTAAATCTAAGTCATGTTGCCCCCATAATAACCACTTTTACATATTTATTTGCGTTCTGTTTTACTGGTCCGTTCGTTGTGTTTGTCCTTTCACGGAGCTTTCTCACTCAATAAAAGGTAACTCATGTGCACGTGCTCTGTTGACCGGAGAAGGGAAAAAGCCCCAAATGGACACGAAATGGACTTGTTTGTGGTGCTCTCCTTCTCAACACGCCTTTCACACCTTATTTGAGCTCGTGCAAACATGAAACGGAGAAAGAGTGAGAGGATCGGAAAACGGGACTTCAGTTTAGGCGCCCGCAGAATGAGGAGCGCCGCCGCTTTCCTCGCCTCGATTACTGTACTCTTTCACGGTGAGTAAAAAGCCACGTGGCATTCAGAACGGACCGTTTGCAGTGAGTCACGGAGGAATTCTCGACAGATCTTGCGGTCGACGGAGAGTCGGATACATAACTTCGTGGGGAAAGCATCCGTTCAGGGACGATCAGGTTAGACATCTGGCAATCGCGCTCTACCGCTCACCAAGTGGATTCAGGGCTGAATTGAAAAGGTCGCGGCCGCGTTTTCACTGCAGTAGAGCGACATTGCCAGACTTTTGGGATACTAATAGAGCCTCTGGTATTCTTCTCATCAAAGGGTTATCTATTCAGGCGGAAAAGTTGACCCATCTTGTATTCGCGTTTTTCGTCGTCGATTCGGATGGAAGTGTCACTTTGGAAGGAGACGCTGCGAAACAGAGACTGGAGCACGTGAAGGAGGTGAGGGAGAGAGAACTGCCACGTGGAACCGGAGAGACTTCAGGTGGCCAGCCGACATCCGGATCTCAAGCTACTTTACGCGGTCGGAGGATGGGAGAACTCGCAGTACTTTTCGGTTTTGACCGCTGATCATTCGAGAAGGCCAGCAAAGTCTTCTTCAAATTCATGAAGTTTCGTTTTCAGATCAATCCTCATCGCCAATTTAGTAAAGGCTATCAGGGTTTACGGTTTCGACGGGGTGGACATTGATTGGGAGTACCCAGTTACGGGCGGAGCAGTCGAAGGAACGCCTGCGGACAGAAGGAACTACGTCAGTCTGATGAGAGAGTTGCGGAATGAGCTGAGGGACCTGGAGACGGATACCGGAAAGTCCTACTTGATATCTTTCGCCGGAGCAGCTGGTCATTGGGTGCTGAAGCCCGGCTACGACCTGCAACAACTCATGAAGTACTGTGATTTCGTGAACGTTATGAGCTATGACTACTTCGGAGCATGGGCTTCCAAATGGGGAGCCTACACAGGACCGCCGGCGCCGTTGAATTTGCAATGCCAAAAAAGTTCTCCGGGAGAATGAACGTTCACGCGACAATGAAGGACTACAGTTGCCAGATCAAAGCTACCAACAAGGTACTCGATTCTCCCTTGCCCATCTGAATTTCCCTGCTTTCCAGATAAACATGGGCGTTCCATTCTATGGCCGATTCTGGAAGAACGTGGGCGACGCAGTGGATTCTTCAGATGACATGTGGAGGACAGCGACGGCGACAAACTCGGAAGGAACAAAGTTCGAGGGAGGAGACGTGCAGTGGAGAGATCTGCACGAGAAGTTCGACGCCACGAAGACAAAGTTCCATTCTGGATCCAAGACGCCGTTCATCTGGATTCCGGAACAAAAGACTTTTGTTGGCTACGAAAACGCAGATAGTTTGAAGCACAAAGTGGAGTACATTGTGGAGAACAACCTAGGCGGACTCATGATCTGGGCGATAGACTTCGATGACGACCAGGGCACTCTTCTGAATGCGGCCACTTCCGATTCCCTCTGCGCCACGTCTACAAAATCATTCAATTACAAGTGTTCTCCAGTCGACGACAAGAGGTGGTGGACCTACGACGACAACGAAGAACTCGCAGGAATGTGCGGAAAATCAGCGCCGCTCATCGAAGGATACTATCCAGTGTGCGATCCAGACGATCCGGGTCATGCTTGCTGTGGAAAGTACGGCTACTGCGGATCGGGCGCCGAGTTCTGCTCGTGTCCGGAATGCATCGATTACGGCACAGACCCGAGTCTGATTCTGAAGGAGCCGGTCAAACCGAGTCAGAAGATAACCTGGTACACGGCGGACGCGGGAGAAGGGAAACGAGGAAGGTGCGGGAGGGACGTGCCGCCGATGGAAGGGGAAGCTCCGACGTGCAATCCGGATGACGCGAACGCCCATTGCTGCAGCAACGGCGGATATTGTGGCAACACGAAAGAGCACTGCGAATGCATCGGATGCGTGGACTTTTCAAAGCAGAGAGACTTCAAGTACAAACCATTGGAGTGGTGGACATTCTCGGAGAACCCGGCCAACGTTGGTGGGTTGTTCCATGTGATGCCGTTGCTAAGCACTGATGATTTAGGTCGTTGTGGTTACGATGCTCCACGTCTATCAACTGGAAAAATTCCAAAATGCGACCCGGACTCCGAGTCGTTTTGCTGCAGTAACAGTGGTTATTGTGGAAAGGGAGAGCAGTACTGCACGTGCCTCGGATGCGTTGACTTCAAAGCGAATCCTGGTTACGAATATTAATAAGGAACACTGTACATATCTTGAATTTTTAATAAACATAACTTTTCAAAGTTCATGAACATAGAAAAAAGAAACGAACAGACTTCTTCAACATTTTAGAGAACATCGCCAAGAGCGTCATTTGCTCTTCTTTTCCACTGTTTTCCCTTTCTTTTGGTAGAATTGCTCTTTTCCCGTTTAATGGAGGATTAGTCACTGTATTTGTGATGTGTATTTGTGATGACTGTAGGAGTCGGAGAAGTCCGAAATGCCACCGGATGATTCATCCTCGCCTGTTCCCTTCTCCCTCTCTCTCTCTCTCTCTCTTTCCACCGTATCTGTGAGTAGTCATTCTGATGGGGGAAAAAGTCAGCTCCTTGGTCATCCCCCTAGCAAGTTTTCTCAATCATTCTTCGCTCGATAGCAATGGATTACGCGAATATGTATTTCGACTTCACGAACTTTGAATCAGAGCCTATCATCGACCAGTTCCCGAATCTGAATGTGCCGTTATGTAAGTGAATATTTCAACAAATGACACAAATGCATGTCTTTTTTCGTTCAGATGAATCTGACGCGGAAAATGAAGTGGAAGATGCAAGTGAAAACGTTTCTGATAACTTTAATTTCTGGAATAGCTCCGAAACCATCTCGTCTTCTTTCGAAATCCAGTATAGCAATGAGAATATCGGTAAGTTTTCACGCCTTTTCCATTTTGAACATTGTGTTTTTGTAGTATGGAATGACCCGATCAGTTCGCCGGAACCCACTCATCCGCATGCTCTTTTATTGAAATTCATGGAGAGCGAGCCGGTGAAAGTGAAGCCCAGAACGATCACGAATCCGGTCAGAATCGAAAAGAAGGGGGAGGTGAAGAGTACACCGGGGATTTCGAAATGGGAAGTAAGGAGGACCTCAGGAAGTGTGTCCGCTCCGTGCGAGATCGAGAGACCGCCGTTCTCCTACCCCCAATTGTGCGCTTATGCACTTTTGAATTCTCCGGACAAAGTGCCAATATCAGATGTGTATTCTTTCATTCTGTGAGTTTTATAATATTTTCCCCTAATAACCTTTTCTATTGCAGACACCACTTCCGTTTCTACCGATACACTCCGCTCAAATGGAGACCTTCCATTCGTCACTGCTTATCGATCACACCATTTTTTAAGAGTTCGGGCCGGAATGGGCGGTTCCATGAACTGGTAAACGTAAAGGAAGCCAAGGATTGTGTGCTGCGGTCTGATCCGATCATCGAAGATTACAAGAAAAAGGACAGAAGAGGAGAAGGTAAGGAAAAGACGTAAGTGCAGATAAGAATGGTTGTTTGCAGAGTTCTACGATCGGATGCTTCGAGGGGAAATCGGGCTGCCCCGCCCTCTCTTCTACCACGTCGTCGGCCTGCAATTCCCCTGCTTCGCCGGCCCGGAGAACTCGGCTCTCTTCTATCATCTGCTCTCGATCAAGCACATTCCATCGAAGTTCGAGCCTCTCTTCCGTGAATACTGCTGGCAGGAACATTCCGGATGCGAACCCAAACATCGCTATGAATCCATCGTATTCACAATTCGCTACGCTTCGAAAGCAGAGAATCTGACGTCGTACGGAGCGGGAATAGGCGGAGGTTTGCGAGGAGAGCGGATGACGGAGGAGGAGATCCACGCCTTTCACGACAACGTCGAGGAGTACTTTCAACTTCAGCAAGAGCATCTCATGAAGAAAATTGACACGTGGAGTACTCCAGCTCTCGTTCACGTGAGGAGGAACGTGATCGACGGAGGAAATAAGGTGCCCTTTGAGATCCCTCGGCGAGGTGAACATCTTCCGCCCGGTTCTTTGTACCGAACACCGGAATTTGGTCCAGTTATGTACGTTTTCCATGGTGCTAATGTGACCAACAATTATCAACCTTCAGGGATCCGCGAGACATCAGTCTCTACACCTGATAGACATTTCTTTGGACAATTCAAACGACCAACACGACATTGACAGGTCCATTTCGGCCCATCTCAGTCGCCATTTAGTACTTAGTTTTTCTACTCTCCGCCCCGTGATTGTACTTCAAATTTTGACTGTAACACATTAACTAAATAAGAACGGATAACGATTTCAAGTCTTCACCAAAACAAATTTTTTCGGGAAATAAATTAATTTTCAAAATGAGACCATCAGTAAACGTGAAAATTACTGTTAAATAGAAAAGTGGGGTCTACAAAAGAAAGAAAGGAAGCAAAGGTTCGGGATAATTACAGGAGTCCTTGTCTCTTCAAGTCTTCGTACATCTTCCGAGTGACGACGTTTCCGCTCGAGTCTTCATATTCCTCGTCGATGTCCGGATTCCACCTGGCCACTTCCCTCTCGGTCTTCAGTTTGTTCCACAAATCAAGGGCATCCTTGATCTTGGTGATGTTGGCGAAGTGTGAAGTATTCGGGATACCAAGGCAGCGCATTCCGTGCGAGTGACGCCATTCCTGCAAAATAACAAATAATTTGTTGGCTAATAAGGAAATTAACTAACGTTGAAGTGCTTTTGGAAAGCCTTTGGTCCTTTGTAATTCTGGTTTCCGCAGATCTCGCACGAGAAGGACAGATTGAGTCCGTGGAGCTTGTAAAGCCAGTATGGAATCGGTTTGCCGTCCCAGCCGAGCGGCAGATTCTTCGGATTGTACGGTGCGCTCTCATCAACCTCCTCTTCTTCTTCGATCTGTAATTATGAATTAAAATAGGATAACTCTTGATTCAACCTACCATTGGCTCCTCCTCTTCTTCCTCTTCGACTTCTCCGGCAGATCTCGCCTGCTTTCTCTCGACATTCTCACGTGTGCCAGTGCGTTCCTCGGTCAGAATCTCCGCTAGGGCCATGATATGAGCTTCGGCTTGAGCAATAGCCAGATTCCTTGCCTTCTGCTTTTCAGCATCCGTATTGTTCGATGTCATCGCGGCTTTCTCAAGATCAGAAAGTTTGTGTCCTTTCGTGGCGAACAATCTTTCTGCACGTTCTTTGAGTGTTCTGAAAACATCGAATTTAAGCTTCAACAAAAATAAGTTATCAACTCACCCTCCGCATTTCAGTCCGAGAGCCATGAGTGCTCCTTTCAGCCGTTCCAGGCCTAGTCCTTCGAGCTCCTCGGCACTGTTGTAGGGCGACAAGTCAACAGCAGAAGCCTGTGGGCCGTTCTTGATCTTCTCAGTTTCCCATCCGGGAAGAGTTCCCTCTTCGAATGCCTTCCTAACTGTCGCATCAACTTCCGCGAATACAGCATCCAGATCATGAAGAGGACGAGTTCTTTGCATGAACGAGACTAGGTAGTCTTTCAGGGAATTCACATAATCCTTGTAAGCTCCAGTTTTCTTCGTGGTATTCTTCGGGATGTCAAGGAACTTTTCAAAACTGAGCAGATAGGTCATGTAGTCGACTCTTTTGATGTTTTTCAGATTGATAAACTTGTCGAACTGTGCGTGCAGATCGAGGAAGCGGCCATACGCTTCTTCGTCGCTGAACTCGACCATATCTGGCTCAGCTCTTTCTGGATTCGCAATCTCCTCGTTGATCTTTTGGAATTCGACGGTTAACGGCTCAGCAAGCTGCAAAGAAAAAATTTAAAACCTGAAACGCATTAATTACCAACCTCATCTGGGTTTCTTCTGTGAGCATCCTTGATGACCTTCAGGCGAGAGTAAAACTCAGCGAACTCGTTCGGTCCGGAAATCGCGTCCATTTCAATGCTCTTCGCGTTGTCCTCGTCCTTGTAGAGTCTTGACAGCTCGACAGAAACGTCATAATATCTCTGAAACTTGAAATTAGCGCTAGTTTTTTCTTGCAATTAACTTACATCAACAAACTTCTTCACTCTTTGCTCGCTGTTAACTTTAGCCTTGTGAGTAAGCTTTTCTGCAATTTTTTCCTTGACGATTGTATCCATGAGCCGTTCTCTCTCCTCGTGTAAATTCCGGATAGTTTCCAATATCGACTCCATGATTCTGAAAAAAACAATATTAAAACAAATGAAGAAGACGAAAAAGATTCGGCTAAAACATTGAAAAACAATGCAATTTCTTTCTTACGCGTAATTACGCAGTTGGAACATTTTCGAAACGCGTTTAATTCGAAAGTGTGTGATTTGGCGTCGCGGTGTGTACACCACATCTACGTACTCTGCATTAAACTTGACACGCTATGCTCGTTTCATTTTTCCTTTTTTTATTTCTAATTAATTTTCTTAATACTGTTTTCTCACAAATTTAAAATTACAGTGATGTTGGCCACGGGTGGATCTATCGCAAGAAGGCTAATACACTCGTCTTGCCGACTGGCCTGCGAAGGGAAAACCAAAGAAGTTCCCACTCCAGAAGAAGTAAGCGTTCTCAATCAAATCGTTTTCTGATTTACATTTAAAGGCTGGATACGCGTACAACCATGTGGATCGGAAAAAAGGAATGTACAAACCAACGCACAGCATCTCCGAGCAGATTGCATACATGAAAAGCAAAGGTTCGGATGCAGCTCCACTTAAATAGAAAAGATGAGGGGATTTCAGCATACGCGGAAGCATACAAGGGTCTGCCGATCTACAGATGGTACAAGAGAAACATCAAAGTGAGAAAATGACTGAAGCTTTTGAGATAATCGAATGAATATTCAGGGTCAATCAAAACTTCAACCGCCACCAAGACTGTTCTGTATCGACAAGCACGGCCGATTTAATTTGAATCACGCTTGCCCTGTAAGACTTCGAAACTCCATTTTCTCAAATATTCACTCATTCTTAGGTCTGCCGTGACGAATATCTGTACTTTGACTATCGCAATCCATCGCTCATCGAGCAGTTCCTGGCCGATGGAACCGATCAACCAATCGACATTCTGAAGAGTGGATTGTGTCGTGAACAGTTCACTCTGCTCAAAGCACAACTTTTGAAAGCAAGAGAACATGGTAAATAATCAGAAGTGTATTACATCGAAACTTTTTTTATTCAGGAACAATCACGTTCGGAGTGGAATTCCGCAACTTCGATTATCGTCAATACTACAAAAGTTGGACGGAAGAGCCCGGAAAGCCAGTGGAGCGAGCAGGAGTGCGTCTGCAGGACATCCATCCGGATCCGCTCGTGCACTTCCCGACGTTCAAGAACGATAAAAACAACGATTGGGACGAGTGGTGGATCAGACATGACAAGTTCGCGAGGAAAGCCAAGTGAACTTCTGTGTAGACTCTTTATCTCTTTTGTAGGTCGTTTCTATTGTTGATATCGTTGTTGTTGTCTTCCTCATCAGTAAACCATATATGTCAGTAACATATTAAAACTTCATTAGTCAAATTTTGAACAGAGAAGTGGAAAAGGTGACACCCGTAGAAGAAAACTTATGCCTCAGGAAGGAAGGGGAAAGAGAGAGGGGCAAGAATGAGATTGTGGTGTTAGACAAGGAGGCCGCCGCTTGTCAGCACGGGGTAGTTGGAGCCGGCGGAGTCGTTTGGAACCGTCGGATCGCTCGAGAGGGGGATCTCATTGGGAGAATGGTAGTGGCTGATGACCCGTGTGTCCTTCGTCTGCACGCGGAACGCACTCTTGTACGGCGGTTTGTTGGCTCCGAGCTGATCGGACAATCGGATTCCTGGCGAGACGAGTCTGATGGGATTGGCCGTCGCCAGCTGAATTCCGCCTGTTTTCTTGCTGCCCGATGACCGCGAAGACGTGGAGGAAGGTGCTGGAGAATCAAGCATCGGAGCGAACATCGAAGGGACCGAGTCCTGACTCGCATTCCTCGATTTGTATTCGGAACTGAGTGGAATCGTGGAAGCGGGAGCAACGTCACTTCCGGAAGAGCGGGAACGGAGACGTTCGTACATATCGTGAGCAGAACCGTACTCAGGCGTCTGAAATTGAGCGGATGAAGTGGGAAAGCGTTCGGAAAGAAATCACTCACTTCTCTGTCGGAAGGTTCTGCCTCAAGATGCTGTCGGATGCGAAGAAGAGTTGCACTTTTCGGATCGAAGCTCACCAGCGACGTGACGTTGTTTCCACGGATATCTTCCTCGAGATTCGGCTTCTGAAGCAAAGAAATTCTTAACAATTGCTTTGAAATTCACTCACCTTCACCGGCATCGGCTTCTTCTTCATTGGCTGCGTGTACACATCGTCCAAATGATTATCCTCCTCGGATGATTTGCTCGAAGAGCACGGAGCACAGTCAGGAGCCGGCATGGACGGTCTTTTGTCCTTTTCCTTCTTCTTCTTCTTGGAGTTCCTCTCAAACTGTCCTTTCATTTCTCTCTTCTCCCTCTCCGGCACTTTCTCCCTTGCGGATCCCTGACTTCGGAGGTCATCGTACGTCGAATTCACATATCCACTGCTTGAATTCGTGGAACTCGGTCCCTTGGCAGCCTTTGATGCACAAATTTGAGCATAATGATTGATGGATTGAGAACTGGTTCGAACGGGTTTCTTGCGAGTTTCAATGAGAACAAGCACCGAGAATATGGTCGTGATGATGGAGAAAATGACGTGGAGGATTGCCTGAGAAGCTTCGATCGAATAGAAAGGCACAAGACAGTTCTTCTGGACCCACTTTTTTCTGAAATTCGATATTTGAAGACGTCCCTTATTGTTTTTCTTACCGTATAACATCGAACTCTGCATCACAAGAAGGCGTGAATCGGAGAAAGAAGGAAGAGGAATAGGGAAGTCCGGCGGAGAGCCACGGCCTCGAAATCTCTCCGAAAATTCCAATGTACCAAAGGAAGATGAGCACATTCAAAGCAAGGGAGAGGGCGTTCGAAACGAGGAGAGTGTAGAGAAGACGTCGCCGTTTTTGAGTGGCTCCGAACAGTCCAGAGATGAGGAAGACAATCTGAAAACGAAAGTACGAATTGTTGCTTTTCTCCTTGTTTTTTCCCTTCCGAAACGCCCGTAATTATGAGCGTAGTCGAGGTCAGCCGACATGTTTCGCTAGGCAATTAAAGTAAGAAGGCGTGTCTCGTTTCACAATCATTCTGTCAATAACGGACTGAATATGTGGGCGAAAGGCAATTACGGAGTGCCGAGTTGGCGCCAATCTCTCCCGTCCCTCTCGGCCGTTTCGCCCATTTCGAATGTCGAGTTACAAACTTTGGATGTCCTCGTCCGAGCGGCAATTAAAGTGGAATTAACATTTTCGCGCAGCGGGAGCTTACCGCCCCAGGGTCGCCTCTGGCCGTCTAATCCTTCGCGTTTCGCCCCCCGAAACTACCGTATAATCGATTTGATATCCCCGTTTCGCATTCGCATTCCGAAGTTCCTTGAAAGGCGTCACATTGTACAGTGGGGGTTATCGTGAAGGCGAATCGGACGAGATAACGCGAAAGCGAGAAAACGAACGGTTTGGCAGGCGGAGAACGATTTATGCGCGCAATGAAAAGAAGCTTGACTCTGTGCGACCGAGATGACGATAATCCGATAATTTTGAGAATAACCGAAAGGATTATGAGTGTGCGGGCACGAGAAGGTCGTCAGGCGGTGTACTCGGAATGAGGAGGCCTGTCAGCTACCGTAATCTTTCGTCAATCACTTTTTGTTCATGCTTCCCATGAATGCAATTACACAGCGATAATTCCAAAAATATGAATGCAGCAAGTCTCCCTCTTTCTCTTCTCTTTCCGCCCGCGTATTCATCAACCACCCTCCTCATGATCTCTCCATTTTTTCTGGAAAAAGGAAAGGCGGCCGCCTGGCGGAAAGCGAAGACTTGAGGACGGCGGCCACTCGAGCCGTTTTCATGTTCCGCCCGTTTATCAGAAAATGAGTGGTGTCTTCATCTGAGCAAGATGCGGCCGGACTGTTTGCTCGAGCCGGACGAGATGCCCGCACAAACACGGCCATGTTTATTCGTATTCATCCAAAACGAGAGAGGCATCCGCCAGCAAACAGGTCGTTAACTGGAAGGTAATGCCATCGGATCGGACGCGGTCAGTGAAAAAGAGCCAACTGGATCGGCTCGAGAGGGGAAGGGGATTACTGTCTGACGAGCAGGGGATCTAGTTCATCCCGTGCCACTTGATCTCCGGTTTTTATGACGTGGCCCCGACAAGCTGTCCTCCGGACGGAGCATGGCAGGATGGCGGCCAAACAAAGGCGCTAGACGCGGTCATGTTGACATTGGGAAAAGGTGATAATGAAAGAAACGGTACCTGCACAAAGTCGAAGCCCACGACGACCCACAAGTTTCCGATGAGGTCGAAAACGAGGCGAGCTATCGAGAGAAGTGTCCACGTGGCGAGAAGAAGCGAGAGCAGCCAGCGGACCGACATCGGCTCATGCCTCCTTTCAACGGACTGCAATCAGGACGTGGAGACTGAAAGTGCACTAATAGGATTGCTTATCAAAATGGAATATGTGAGCGAGCATTCGGTATCAAAAAAAAAAAGAGAGGGACGAATGAGTGGGTAAGAAGTGAAGGAGGGGGGAAGTGAAGGGAATGGGGAATGGCGGGACGTATATCATCTTCATAAACAAATAAACAAATGGGGCGCCGAGAGTTCGGAAAGCATTGTGCTGGAAGAGAAGAGCTAATAAAGAGAATGGAGGCCTTCTTGTGCTGTCGCCTCCTCCGTCTCTCCGGGTGGCAATAGTATACGCGAATATACACACATACCGAATGGACCCAACCGCGCGGGAATCGCTTGCGCGCACAACCGACTCGAGACAGTGGAACTGTTGAAGAGACGCAGGACGGAAGGTAAGTGACACGCCCAGTTTCGATGAGACACCCCCGAACTGAATAGGTATTAGGTTGACTTGTCGGTGGGGGCGCGCGAGCGGAAAGCGAAAGCCGCGTGCTGCTGCGGATGCTGATTCTGGCTGTCGACACACAAGCCGACGACAGTTACTTATCTCCTTCTGTATCTGTGGAAAAAAGAAAGAAGGAGGGCGGAGCGCTTCCCTTTCGAGAAGCTGGTTTGGAAGGAGCCATTAGGGTCGGCTAAACAAGGACTCTTCACTATACTTTACTGCTCTTCGGCAGACAAATACAAACAGAACAACTGGTAACTGGAGACAGCGAACACGTTGTCTCACGGGCTGACAGGTTTCGGACACGTCCTGCATTTGTGTATGTGTGTGTGTGTGTTCAACGACATCGGGTATAATCCGTTTGCCTACAAAGTAATGCTCGGATCGATGTAGGCCGTGAGATTTATTGAATACTGATTAGCACCAATCGAGAATCGAGGAAAGGAAGGGAAAAGACTAGACGGTGAGCTTCTCGGTGAACAGGATCGCGCGGAGCATCTGCCGCATCACCATGTCCAGGATGTTGCTCATTTCATCGCTGACGGCGGACACAACGAAGTCACTGAACTCGGAGAACATCATCTCCGTCCTCGCTTTCCGTTCATTCACCCCCATTTTTGTGTCCTTCAATGCTTGCAGATGAACGATTGTGTAATGAGTCTGAAATATGCTCAGTGTTTTTTGATTCCAGAATACTCACTAACTTTCTCAGCAATCTCCTGAAGTCGTTCATCTTGTGCCAATTTCAAAAGTATCGACTCTGCTTTGTACGAATTGTACGACTGCTGCACTTCTGTTCTGAGAGTGCCCACTAGAACATCCAGTTCTGTCATCTGAATATTATCGTCTTCACTTCTTCCCATTCTTTTCTACTCCTCACTTTTCTAACTTGTGCAATACCAGGTGTTCGATAGATGGCCATAAACTGCTCGATGGCTTCTGATGTGGCATTTATTAGAAATGGAGGTTTTGGAGCCGGTTCCAGATTGACCTGAAAGGGACCGAATGAGAAAATAGGAAAGCACTAATGAAGTGTGTGATGGCGAACCTCATCAGTTCGATATCCACCGACCTCGTCCAGATTGAACTGCCGCACGTCGACTCTCTTCGCTTCGAATACGGTGAGTAAGAAGGAAACAGACAGAAATAGGAGCATTTAGGAAGGAAGAAGAAAGGCGCGAAAAGGAAGGAGGGACACGTCAAATGAGGGAAGCGGGAGCAACGAGGAGGGTGGATGTGTTTGCGTGTTGACACAATTGGGAGCTCCCTCCGAACTGTATATTCGATATCCGCACTGTACTTTTCTTTGTTGTGCAACAACTTTGATACCGTCTTCTTCGGACACGAAAAACATCTCAAGAGCCCGAAAGAAACAAAGAAAGCCGAAATGATACGAGCACAAGATGGTTTGTTGTTGAGCAAAAAATGTCAGAGCAAAGGAGATAGACCCCCATGATGCTTTGCTTCCCAAACGTAAAGAAATTGACACTAAAGAGTTCGAGAATAGTTTACATGATTTCTTGGAAAACGTTTTTGGATGTCGTTATCTCGGGAGGCCATGACATCACACTGAGCCAGAACGGATTCCTTGGCCAGTTCTCCGAAGATAACCAGATTTTCCAGAACGTTCTCACCCCGGTGGTCATGGTATCGTTGTTTCCAATAACTTATAAGTAACTTATACTTATATATAATATATATAAGTAACTTATAAGTTATTGGCAACAACGAGTCCATGTCGGCGTTACTTTTTAAAGTAAAATTTTTTTGTTTCTGTCTGCACCATCGACTGACGAACGGGCTAAAAATGATCCAGCTGCTCCGCCAGCAAGCACTTCTTCCGGTGCAGCTGCTCCGAGTAGTGCTGAAAGTGCCAAAGGAACTGTTGTGGCTCACGAACCTGTTGCCGCGGAAGAAGCAGATCCATGGGATTTCCTCGACGCATTCGACGTTCTCGCCAAAATGCCGGAAAGCTTCGATGCGAAAATCGAAAGTAAAAAAATGGCAAGAGAGGAAAGAGGCCCTGGAACGACTGCTGCAACTGCTCACCGCCAATCCGAAACTCGACTCAAAAGCGAATTACGGTGCACCAAATTCCAACCATTTGCAATCTCGGTTGCCCCAGTTATTTTCAAGAAATTCAAAGAGAAGAAGCCAACGCTCCGTGATCCGCTCGTCGGGTGCATAGACGCTGTAGTCGCCACTGTAAGCCCGTTTTTTACTTATCTTCCTTTTCAAAAAGCAACTCGCTGGAGTACACCATGTGCAACGAGAACAAATCTGATTCTAATAACTAAATTCACGCAGCTCGATGTTTGAGACAACTTAAAAATACTTTAACAGAAATGGGAATAGATTTTGATACAAAAAAAAGCGGAAACTGGTGAGCGCTAAAAAGGAGAATAGCACAAAGGATAGATTGGAAGCAGGGTGATTGATACCAGTAAGCGAGGACACGTTTTTGACTGTATTATGTGAGTTAGTTGGGCTGTTTCGCCCTGGTCAGTTGCTGCTTGATGTTCTCCAGCTGCTCACGGCTCATCGTCGTGCGCTTCTTCGGACGGATCATGTTGCCGCGTGATCGGGTGATTGTAGCATCTCCACGGGAGACCGGGGATCCCCTGAAAAACGCACGGATGGGTTTTAATTTTAATCTGTTTTACCACTTACACAAAGGTGCTATCGTTAAATCTCTGAATCTCAGTTGGAGTCACGCGCCCTTCTTCTATGGCTGGTCCCAGAATGGCGATTGTTTTGAAGATTTCCATAGAAGACTCGACGACGGACGAACGATCAAAGTCGACACGCCCTTTCTTGCCGTACTCGGACACCAACTCTTGCACCATCTCTCCCAACGGATTCTTCTTCGTGTACTCGTTGTATTCGTTGCGCAGTCGGTCACTGTTCGTTATGAGCTGATTGAGCTGATCAATGTGCCTGTTGGCCATTGACATGTCTCTCAGAATGTTGTCAATCGTGACCTGTACACCACTTCTCACGACGACGGCTTCATCTTCTTGCGGAACTCGCTCTTCCAACTGTAAATTGACTTCGATCACTTCCGCACGTTCATTGTAAGCACTTACCGTTCCGGGCATGATCGGGGCGATTCCTTTTTCTCTCATCGTCTGCAGTATCTTGTTGATCATGCTCGTCAAATGCATGTGTGGGCGGGAGAGTCGACGGGCGGCGTCCAGAACGACGTCTCCTTGCTGAAGGATCACTCGCTCGAGGAAATTGTCTACGATCTGCACGTACTGATCGTTGATATCCATTCCGAGTTCCTAAAAACATAAACATGATGGCATCAGGAGCCGGTTAAGAAACGAACAGCCGTAGCGCAAACGTAGAAGGCATTGAAGGAGTCGACAATGTCGGACGCCCTCAACTGCGCTCTCCTCTTTTCCAGCTCGTCGCACCATTTCGAGGAAAGCTTAGAAATCAATTCGGTGATTCCGCTGTTCTTCTGAAGGGATTCGGTCATCGCTAAAATAAGTCCACACAGGAGATTTGAAAGCTCGACACGATAGATAAGACGCATTGCCAGACGGTTCATCGACCTGGCTAACGTGTAGCCGGCTTCGGAGCTTCCAATTTGGATAATACATTTCAGAACAGACGAGATGATCGCCTTAACAGTATCTGGCGACGCATTCAATGGCTCTAGGCCTTGCTCTTGCTCGACTCCTCCCAATAGCTGAAATTAAAAACTGTTATAACGCTTTCCGTGGAGTTGGACTGACGATGAAAAGCATCTGAGTGCACGCATCCATTGTTCCACTAATATCACGTCCATTGTTGTACTCTTCTATGACCAGATCAAGTTGAGCAGCAGAGGCACGGAACACAAGATCAGCTCGACGGTCCACCAGATGGCGTTGCTCCGGCTGGTTGAGAACATACGTAACTTGGAACATGGCGTCTTGAGCAACATCCGTCAGACTGCTCGAGATGTTGTTGATGCTCCGTTGTATTTGATCCGAAGTGTCAATGGAAGATATCGACGACGACGAGTTTGTTCTCTTGATTGTCTGTTGCATTGGGTTGCCCCATCCATTCATGGCAGACGGTGGGTGATAACTGGATTCGGGAGTGGTGCGTCTTCTAATCGAGAAATTGCCGATGAGTAGACATCGTCACGGAGAGCATATCTCGACGTGGATCTTGCCGGGCGATCGATGGTGCGATCGAAGGTTAAGTTTGTTATGTCCTCATCAACCTCGGGCTCACGAGTGCGAGAACGAGAAGCTGGGCGACGGACTGACGGAACTTGCTGTGGAACGACAATCCTCGGTCCTCCTGCTGGTGGCGACGTGCTGACGATTCCGCTTCCTGGCCTCACTCCCGATCTCTTTATTCTCTCCTCTACCAGCGACTTGTCCTTGTCTGCCATTCTTCCAGCAGCCTTCCACATCTGATCTCCTTCGAACTTGTAGCAGGCGACGAGCACATTTATCGCTGCGTTCCGGACCCCGACGTCTTTGTCTCCGACATGCGCAGCCACAGTTTTCTCGATGACCAACGACTTGAGAGGACTGATTCCGGCACTCGAAATGTAGGATTCGATGACCAGCAGGCATTCCGATCGTTGGCGGGCGTTCTTCGACTTCAGGGCGTCAATGAGCATCGGAGTCATTTTGAGAGGACCAACAATATCCGACAGAATGTTGATAATGTCCCTGACTGCATTCCGCATGTTTTCCTTCGGCTCGCCCGTTTTCATGAGCAGATACGGAACGAACGACGTCAGTTCTTCCTGCGGCATCTGCGTCTCCGTATCCCTGATCAGCTGAACAATGACACGGCACAACTCGAGCACTTTAATCAGAGCAGCCGGATTGGTTTCGAAGAAGCGCAGTGTGCACCATTTGAGCAAAAGATCACTGTTGGAAATGAGCGATCCAGGAATAGTGTCTGCCAGCTTTACGAGAGAATCAAGAGCAGCCAGATGCTGCTTGAAGTCTTTGTGGAAGAGCTGGCTCATCAAACTGACTTTGGCCTGACTGCCAAGAAGCGTCTGGAGCTGGGAGATGTGCTCATCTGTCGGTGTTTGGAAGTTCCACTTGACCAGCTGAAACGAAACAGTTTTGTAATTCTTCAAGAAACATGATTACCTTTAATTGTTTTTCTTCTTTAATTCTCAGCGCTTTGTCACCATTCTCGCTGAGCAAGAGCTCAGCTTTCGGGGCAATTGGCGGCTCGTTCTCCGCATTTTCCTTCTGGGCAGCAACCTTTTTCTCTTCTCTTTTCTTCTCGGTTCCAGGGGGAAGCTTCAGCGGCTGAAAAAGGAGCACTTGCATCTTGAAGTTAATGCGAAACGATGATAATATCAACGGAGTTACAACATAAAAATACCTCCTCGTCGGCCGAAACTTCTTCTTCAACTTCCTCTTTCTTCGGAGCGACCTTTGGTGGTGCCTTCTTCGGCGGCGCCGCAGCAGCTGGAGCCTGAACATCACGAAACTACACTTTACAACCACCATAACGACAACACATCACTGCACTAAACTCACGTCAGCTTTGTGAATCGACTGAACCATGGCCGCAATCTCGGCCGGTCCAGCCTCTGCGAGAGCCTTTTGATGGTATTCCTTGATCTTTCCCATCTTCAGAGTATCCGGGACTATATCCGCCAGCAACTGCAGCGACGGCTTCTCTCCAATAGCACGCATCATCGCTCCCATTGCTGCATACGAGGCGTCTCGTACTTCTGAATCCGAATCTCCCGAGTGTTTGATGAGTGGCGGAATCAATATCTTCAGAGTCTTCTTCGGCATTGTCTGAGAATTGAGCTTCATGAAGGTTCTCTGCAGGAACAGATCCGTCTGCGTTTTGATGCTCGGATTCGGCTTTCCAAGTGCTGCCAGCACAATCTCGCCAAGCGCTTCGAGATTTGTCTGCAAGTTGCTTTTTGAAAAGAAGGGCAGGTCAGAAACGAGCTTACAGTGGCGACTACAGCGTCTATGCACCCGACGAGCGGATCACGGAGCGTTGGCTTCTTCTCTTTGAATTTCTCGAAAATAACTGGAGCAACCGAGATTGCAAATGGTTGAAATTTGGTGCGCAGCCCATTGGCAATGCCTGTGAGACAATTCGCGGCGAGAGCGGCCACGTTGATGTTTGCGTCCTTCTCGAGAATCTGAAAAAATTAGCTATTTTCAAAAACGCATTCCAAATATTTACATTACCTTCTGAAGACGTTCAACCAATGCACCGTAATTCGCTTTTGGGTCGAGTTTCGGATTGGCGGTGAGCAGTTGCAGCAGTCCTTCCAGGGCCTCTTTTCTCTCTTGCCACTTTTTACTTTCGATGTTCGTATCGAAGCTTTCCGGCATTTTGGCGAGAACGTCGAATGCGTCGAGGAAATCCCATGGATCTGCTTCTTCCGCGGCAACAGGTTCGTGAGCGACAACAGTTCCTTTAGCACTTGCAGCACTACTCGGAGCAGCTGCACCGGAAGAAGTGCTTGCTGGCGGAACAGCTGGAGCATTTTTAGCCTGTTCTTCAGCGAAAACCGCAGTTGATTTTTCGGCGAACTCTCCGATCTTCTTCATTTTTCCATCGTCAGAAGACAGATCTCCGAGCAGCGACTTTAGATTCTTGTCTCCAATGAGTCTTTGTATTGCTCCAAGAGCTTGCAAAGCCGCCTCTCTGACGTCCTGATCGGCGTCTCCAGTCAATTTCCCGAACACCGGAACGATCGCTTTGATGAATCCCTTCGGTTGCTTTGCAGGGGCCACCAGATCCAGCTGTCTTGCGACGAACAAAGCCGTTTGCTGCTTGATCTGTGGGTTAGGCTTGGCCAATGCGGCGAGAATGTCTTCTTGGCTGGGTTCAAGTGATGGCATCGTCCGTCCAACTTCATTCGAGCATTCCACGAGCGGCTCACGGAGCATCGGCTTTTTCTCCTTCATTTTTTCAAAAATTACAGGCAGCAACGGGGAGGCGAATGGAGTGAACTTGGTGCGAAGTCCTGAAGCGAATTTTCCGATGCATTTTGCCGCCAGTGCTTGGCAATTAATGTTTGCATCTTTTGCGAGGATCTGAAAAAAGCCAGTTGAAAAAAATTAAAAAGCGATCAACCAAACCGTCTGTAAGTTTCCGACAAGCTCTGCGTACGAGACTTTCGTGGAAAGGCGTTCGTTGTCCGTGACAACTTTCAGAAGCGCTTCCAGTGCCTCCTTCCGCTCCTGCCACTTCTTTGATTCACGCAGCTCATCGAAATTAGCTGGCAATTTGGGAATGATGTCCACTTCGTCAATGTAATCCCAGTTAGACATGGCTGAAACAAAAATAAACGGCGGATTAACGGCGAGAAGAGCGAGAATGGCGCAAAAACGGCGGAGAACGAGATTTCAACAATAGATTTCCGTTAAAACGGTGTCCGAGCGGCGGGCGAAAGTTTGTGTTTCTGATCGATATGTTCGTGCCGAGGGAAGTAATTGGGGTCACATGGTCACTGGAAGAACATTTCCGTCCGTAAATTGGCGCAAGAAAACGACTTTTTCCCGTTTTGAAGCGATTTCGCAATAGAGATGGCGAGTAAGAAGAGCAAATAGGGAGAGAACAAAGAGAGCTCAATTGCACTTGCGACAACTCGCACACTGGCCGCACTAAAAAGAGAATGGCATGAATATTTGATTGGAATCATCAGAGAGGAGAACTATCAAAAGGAAGCATGATTAGCCCAAATAAAACAAAGCGGCTCGGCTGGAAGGTCTCCAAAGCGCCGGAACCCTTTCGTTTTGCAAAAAAGAGACGGGAAACGTTTTGTTACACATGAAAAGAGGGGAAACTCCCGCTGTGATTTTTGAACTCTTTCGAATGCGCGCTCAAACCGAAGAAGTCGTCAACTCGGTTACATTGTACGTCGCGCTCCGGCGACACCGCGACGAAAATTTACGGCCACAGCCCGTTGCGGTTTGTTTGCAAACTGTGAGCCTCGTACGCATCAAAACGTCAGAAAATTATTTTGCAAAACAAATTTTGCACGAAAACTTTACAAACAAAGCGATGCGGACTTGTAGCACAGAAAAAAGCGAATAATCGGTTTCGTCACCAAGAAAAGAATGAAGGAAAATCTAAACACGCAGATCTGAGTCCCTATATATTTCCCTATAGGGAAAGCTTCAAGGTTTTCCGATCGGATTGATTTTCACAGTTAAAAAGTGCGCGTGCGAAAATGCAATACTTTTAAAAAAGGTATCCGTTGCTTAATTTGCGAGAAACTGTTACCGTTGGCTTTTCGGCGTGAGAGTATCCGCGTGGCGTGTTTCGGTGGCGAAAAATGATAAACTGTTTATAAAACAACGTCAATAATTGCAAACAGTGTATTTAAAGAAACCTCAGTTGTAGATACTCGTAGATAAATTTCCAAAGGACACCCTTTCAGGTCTACTGATGTATTTTCAGAACACTTGTTCAGATACTTCGCCCACTCCACATGTTTCCAGTCTGTTCTTGAGATAACTGTCCAGTGGAACACGCGGATGGCAGTCGCCGTTGATTGCAGGCCAATTCATTATTCCGCCAGTCTTTCCGCATACTTATGTCATCACATCGCGCATTTGGCGCATTATTCTCGTAATACAAGTTGACATAAACTCGTTGCTTCATCATCTTCTTCTACTCCTTGCGTCCATGTTTATCTCCATCCCCTCACATATCACTTGCCCACCACTTGTTTCCTATGATTCGCCCGTTCGAAATGCGATGGGTTCCGATTCTCTTAGTATTTGTCCAGGTTCACAGGTAAGCGAACTCAGGGTACTCTCTGGGAATGAAAAAATTGCAGTGTTCCGACTAGACGAGCGAAGATATTTATGAGTAAGATAAGAAGTGGTAAAGAGTGATTAAAAAGCAGAGGGTTATAGCCAGCATCGACTTGGATACGAATCGAAAAAGTAACATTGATCCAGAAGTGGTTCATGATATCGGATCAGAGTTACCCCCTGTCAAAAGGAATTTCAGTACTCAAGGTAAAGTTCCCGTTAGATAGAGAGGTAAAGACTGTACGGTTTCAGCTCCAGATTACGGTGATTATGATGACTATGAGCTGACGGCAAAAGCGGATGAAACAACAACAGCTCGTCCAACGGTAATAAAAAGAGACAAAAGACACGTTGAAGATATTGTTCTTTCAGTCGGCCGTATTGGATTCTCAGTTTAAACCTCATCTGAAGATATCATTGAAATCGCAGAGAAGCAGCAGTGAAGTAGGCCAAACCCAAAGTTTACTTTCATTATTGTTCATTCAGGTTAGAGACGAAGTGTCACGGTTAATGGGCGACTTGCACAGAGAAGAGATCACGATGAGAACTACAGTAACCAAGGAAATATGACAATGACGACGGAGAAACCGGAAACGACGACGAGTGTTGACAAGTTGTTGGGCAACGAGACAATGTTCTTCGAGGAAGAAGAAGGTTCTGGAGAAGAAGGTGAATTGCTGAACTTGACGCTCACGACCACCCGGCAGCCTCTTCTTATCACGACTCTCATCCAGGAGGTATTGTTTTCTCGTTTCCTCTTGTGCGAATGTTGTTCAGGTGAAGTCAGTGCCTGTGACTGAACGTCCGGATCCTTACGAACACCTCGATTACGATCTGAGCGATCACAGAAACATAAATAAACCGGGAAAGACGGAGAAACCAGATAGACTGAAGAAGTACAAAAGCCAGATTGTCAGCAGAATTCACTTTTTCTAATTCTGTTTATTTCTGTTTCAGCTTCACGGCGGAGCAGTCGAACCGATCGCAAAAACTCTGATTGAGACGACCACAGTGATCGGTAAACCGAAAAGAAGGAAGGGACTTCGAAAGTTGAACAGGATTGACAAGATGAAGAAAGTGAAGTATTTGAATAAGAGAGTGCGGGCGCAGAACAGAATGCGACTGAGGAAGGTGTTTTCGAAAATGATATTCGGATCAAGAGACCGGGTGGCGGCAGGCCACAGATCAGTCAAACTGAAGTTCGTCGGAAGCAATGGAGTTGTGACTCCGGCCCCGTTCAATGCGGAATCTGTGAGACTGAACAAGATTGACTCGAAGACGAAAAGAGCGAGAAGAGATAAGAGAGAAGTGGACGAGGAAGCAGGATCACTGTCAGCCCAGCTGCAAGTGTTGGACCAAGAGTCGGTGTCCGCAGGGGGAGGATGGGAGACTGTTCCGATTGAGACGAACATCATTGAGTCGAGCAACTACGAGCCGCACCCTTCGCATCACTTGGTGGGCAGGACTCAAGTGGAACCGAGTCCGACGATGAATGAGGTGGCAGAGGAAGAAGAAGATGGAGAAGAAGATGAGTACTCGAAGGCAGTCGATGCGTTGCCAATGAGGAGTGGGTTGGTGCAAGTGAATCTGAAAGGGAATTCCGTGAGCAATGAGCCCAGGAAGTTGAAGATTGTCGCATTGAAATCAATGAAGAAAGTGAATAAGAAAGAGAGAGGAACGAACGGAGTGGCCCTGGTTGCTCCGTCAGCCAAGAGACCAACGTGAGTACTCATTGCCCCATTTAACCTCTCCGATCTCTGTTCAGAATGCTCGAACTGCTCATCGGCGACTTCCTCGGCCGCGTGCCCCCAACTGCTCGCTCTCCGTACCTCTTGCGGGAGCAATGGTCCTAACCGGCTCCTTCCGAACACTGCCCCTCTCCTTCCGATCTTTTTCCCTTCCGTGCAATAAACTGATTTTGTTCCCGTGCTCCCTTGTGTACCCACCAAGGTGTTCCGTGTTCCGCCGTAGTACAGCTCCCTGCCTCCGAGCCACATACACACAACATGTGCACCTCTCCCCCCGACACCAAATATTTGCGTTTGACCTGGCCGCCGCTGACCAACCCACCGGCTACCTCTTCAGCGTATTTCGCATTATGAATATATTGAATTCAATTTCCCTCAAAAGTCTCTTCCTCGATTTTCCGACCGTTTACCTGTTTTCTCAGCCCTTTTTCCCGCCGAAAAAAGATCGAAAGTGGCCTCTTCCTGTGCTCGAAATACCGTAATCTTCGATCCTGAGTGCTCGCAAAACTGGACGAGTGCTGCTCTGTTTTGTCCGACAAAACGGTGACCAGCGCATATTTGACACATCGCTTCCAAACTTTCTTGTTTTCCAATCAACCAGTTGACCAAGAGCAGTTGTATTTGACATGAATATATTGATATCGGAAAAGTTTCTCTGAAATGCATTCTATTATTTGTTTCCTACGAACCTTTCTCTGAACTTCTTCAACCATTCTAATGGCAGTCATCTCAATCTGCTTTTTCTCTTCTCACCCCATTTTGCTCTCATTTTGCTACCAGCTCTTTCAGAACTCTTCGAGAATTCTCCGTTCCCTGATCGCTTGATCCTCCGCATGTTTCCGTGACCTATCAGTGCAACTGATGTGTACGGCATCCGCGCGTTCGCTCACGGCCAAGCAGCTCAAGATTACGCTTGTTTGCTTTGATATGCGCGGCTTCTGCATTTGCAAATGTATACAGTGCCTCCAAAACTTCTTCTCTCTCTCTCTCTCTCTCTCTCTCTCTCTCTCTCTCTCTCTCTCTCTCTCTCTCTCTCTCGTTCTCTGTTCTTCCGCGCACCGCCCAGCTGACTGAGCGCCTACTTATTAGAGCGAAACAAACTGTTGTGCTCGCCCGCTTCTGAGCTCTTTTCCCATCTGAACAACTTTCTTTGGAGGGTCGCATGTCCAGATCCAATCAAACAGTGACGCAGTTCCCGGCGTTGGACCACGAACCTCGGGGACACGGTGAGTTATTCAAACAGAGATTATGCAAATCAGAAAGTGGCCGGGACATTTGGAATAGTACACTCGGTGTCATAATCTCTTAATTTCGCGCGGCAGTGGCTACCGAAAAGTCATTAGGCTAAAAGGTTCACCGTCTCATTTCCTCGAGGAGGTTAGACGGGTAAACACAGCTGCTCTTGCCAGTGTTTCCACCTATTTCCTCATTCTTCTTCATTCCGCACTCGAAATTCGTATTTCGTTCTGAATGTTTTATTGGCAAGGTGAGAACTAGAGTAGGAATGCCGAAGAAACTTGAATCCCAAGCCTAAGAATGGCTCTTCTCGCGAGCGCACCTTTCCTTTGTATCGTTTGCCACAAGATTATCTGCCAAAACCGTGCTGACCGGCAAACAAGTAGATACTTCCCACGGAACAACTGTTATTCATTGTCAAAGCGAGAAGAGCCTCCCGAGGGTTGTTGACTCACTCGTATCGAATGTCACAACATTGCAGGACCACCTCCATCTTACCGAAACTCGGCCGCCACCGAGGACTCGTGGAGCACCATGTCCGGCTCGAATCGTAAGAGGAAAAAAAAGAGAAGGAGAAGATTAAGATGAGCTAATTTCAGAAGCAATGGGACAACGCCGGAGCAGCTGGAATAATCTGGTGCAGGTCGGCGGAGATCCAATGGTTCCGAAGCAAGCGGTAACAGTTCGGACCCTTCTTTTCGTATCATCTTGTTCACTTTCAGCCACCACGTCCTGCTGCCCCCATTTCCACAACCTTTTCAGCCAACTCTCGTACTTCCTCTCTCATGGGAATGCAACCTGCTCCGACTGTATTCACCACCCAGTTCTCCGTACGTTACCCCTCAATGTTGTGTGTTTTCTGTAGCTCCGTCTAGGAAGTTGAGACAGTTCACGCGCGAGTGCAGTCCGTCCGCTACATAGACGAAAACGGCGATGATAGTGGTAGAAGCACGAGTCGGGACACCGTCACCGAGGTGCGCGAATGAGCATGAATTGGAAGAGAACGGAGAGGAATCGGAAAGTCTGAAGATGATTTATTACAGGCACAAGGACAGGCACTCCAAATGCAGAAAGTGTACTCGAATGAGCCGAGACTTGTGTCCGTTCCGAGGCCAGCGGGGACCATCCACAGCTCGAGCAGCATGCCTCCGTCCCGTGCCCCCTCGATTATTATGGCTCCGAACCCTTCTCCTCCGATCACTCAAAAGAAAATTGACACGAAACCGAAACGTAATCGACTACAAGAACTCAAGAATTTGTGAGTATCATAAGGATCACTTCTGACCAAACGCAATCTTTCAGTTGCACCCGTCCGTCAGTGATGGGCTGCGCTCTCTGTCTTCTGCTGGCCCTCATCGTTGCCATCATCATCATTGTCATTCTTTCGCAAGTCCTTCCTTCGCCCAAACAAGCCACATTCACTTGGATCGCCCCTCAAGCTCTTACGAACGGACAGAACGTTTCGTCGAGAATTGAAATGAAAGTGGATCAAGAGAGAATTCGATTCCAAATGACCGGCGCCGCTCCGATGAAGGGCAACTTTATCAACTACTATGATTTCAGCAGTGTATGTGAATATTCCTGCTTCCATTCTATTGAACTTTTTCAGAACCAAGCAATAGTCATCGATCAGTCTCTGAATTCGAACGGAAAGAACCTTTACTGCTTCATCGTTCCTCTCGACCGCTCCACGATGCCAAACCAGGGACAAGTACGGAAGGCGGCCAAGAACTCTGTTCTGCGACATCAACAGACTGACGGATGGCAAGAGGCGTGGACATGGATTCCGTCGCCACTTCAGCAGACTAACAGCGTATGTTGTTTTTACCGTTCCCGAGGTTTCTAGCAGGGGTTTTCAGAATCAGAATGCGTTCAATCCGCCCATTCCCGAGTGCAATGGATCGAGAATCGTTCAACTTCAAGCGACATCTGACCAGAGAAGTGCTCTTTTTAACTCAACACCTCTTCATTCCATCTGATTACTTTCAGATCGTCGCTGCACAGACTGCTACGACTTCTGCCTCCCCCAGTACGGAATCATGAAGAACGCATCGAAAGACAACGAAGAGTACCTGAATGTCGTCCAAAGAGACTGCTTCTACCTGTTCGTGCCAGAATGGAGAACGTACGCGCAAGCGAACACGATCGAACAGAACCAGCAGGATTTTGAGAACTACTACCGGAACAGACAGCACATGCAAGTGTCCTACGGCAGCAACGGACCGAACGACAGCCGATGGATCCCGTTGAGCGGCATGCCACGTCAAATGATGAATGCAACTGGATCATTTGTCGGACAGATCGGAAATGCGATGGGAAATCTCAGGAACAATGTGTACGGTGCAATCACTGGACAACAACAACAACAACAACAGCAGCAGCCACAACAACAGGGAATGCAGCAGCAAGCTTACGGAAACGGAAATACCGCATACGGACAACAAACCCCCTATCAGAATGGAAACGGACAAATGAGCCAGCAGCCAATGAGTCAGCAACAGCCACAGATGGGTCAGCAGATGGGAATGGGACAGCAGCAGCAGCAACAGCAACCTTCTGGATACCATCCGGCTGTGAATGGAGTAGTCAACCTGAACGGAGTGAATGGAAACAACGGGAACACCGAGTATAATGTTCAGCCATTCCAACAGCAGCAAGGAACTCAGCAAGCAATCAGCCCGGAGATGAGAAGACAGGCGGTTAGTGGGAATGGGCAGTTCCGATTGAATAATTTAGTTTTCAGCCGTACACTTTCCATTCGAACGTCAACAGCGGATACACAAATCAACAGTAAGTTTCTTCATTCTTCCTCTTATCATGTAAATGTTTAGGCCACAAGTTTCTTCCGGAAGCTCTACAATGAACGGTTTCGGTGCTCAGCCCAGTTATCAAACTTCTCAATTCGGTTTTAACAAGTGAGTACTTTTGAGCATTGTGCATTCTCTCTTCTCTGCGCTTCGAGAGAATATGCTTTCCTGCTTCCTCACTTCGAAAAAGGTTTCATCATACACTATTCATTTACAAGATTAGGTTTTTCGGATTAGTTAGGATTAGTCATTAATTTCGTAGAATGGCGTTGCGAATTCAATTTTCGCTTATCGCAGCCATTCTCTCAATTCGCTTCGGGTCCGTCCTAAAAGCCTTTAAAGGTTCTCTCGCCGCGCGCGACCTATTTCTCCGTTTGTCAACGAAAAACAAACAATTCATTGTATCTTTTGTTACAGCAACGATCCTCGAAATCAGGCAAACGGAATGAGCAACAGTGTGAACGGGCAGCATCAGTCGGCCGTCAGCAGTCAGACAAATGCGCCAAGGATCGGAACGTAAGGGGATAAAACGAAAATTATTATTAATTAATGATTTATTGAAGGACAACGCCGTTTTTACAATTAACAAAAAAAAAGAAAAGTAGAGAAAAAGAAAATGAGTTAAAAATTTAGAGCGTTAAGAATAAGATATTTGTTTAACGGAATAGAACTAATATTTATATGACCTAAACAATTCAGAAGAGTATTTATTAGTAAAAAAGACTAGGGGATAGATTATTCCAGCAATTGATAATTCTATTTGTGATAAATTGAGCGCATATTTTAGTAGAATGTTTTAAATGAGACTTGATATAAAACGGGTGGCGTCGAAGAGAGTTAAACCGGGGATGAACAATATGAAGAGTGCTATGGATTTTGATTGTTTTTATTTATTAACAGCTTATACGTAAAAACTAATCAACAAATCGTCTATATTCAATATAACAAAACTCAATAGAATCAAAATATGAAGTGTATGGATAATTGAATTTTTTGAAAACACGAAATATAAAAGATTTATATGTTGACCCTTTGGTGTGATGAATGCCTGATAATAATCAAAATACTTCAGCATTCTGAACGAGTTCGGCAATCCGGTGAACATCCATCCATCCCAACAGTCACTTCAAAGCCAGCAAGGGAATCAACAGCAACAAATGAATCAGATGAGCCAACAGGGTCAAATGCAACAAGTGGGACAGCAGAATCCCAACTACATAGCCACATCTGGAGGAGCGGCGCAAGGTGACAATGGACAGTTCTCTCAACAACTCCAGAGACTCATGGTACCTAACTATTCGTCAGTGCTATTATACTAATGTTCTCTTTTCCAGGGCGCCCAGTCCAGTTACCGTCCAGATGTGGAGCAGGTCAACTACAATGTTCCCGTCTACAATCAACCAAATCGACCGGATGCTCTTTCTCGTCAGGGACGAATCTTTAAGTAATTCTCAGCGAGACATCATTCCACAATGCTCAATTCTTCTAGAAGAGTCCTAGACCACTATGGTGCTGAATCGTATAGCTGAATCATGCTAGTCATCCCTAATGTTTGTACAAAAATGTTCAATATCCACAATCAATTAATTTATACGCAACCAAGTTGTTCTCCTTTGTCCCTCCCCCATTTCACTTCCGTGGCATCTACTTCCCCACTTTGTCGATTTCTTCTCTGTGATAACTGAATAACTGAAATGTCTATAAAATCATATTTATATTCGAAGTCCACACTTACAAGTTTGCGAAGAATTTAATGTACAAAAGTTCAAATGCCCATCAAATCCCATTCGAATTCCGCATTGTCATCCACGTACTTGACACAGCTGCCCAGAATATTTTGGAACTTGGCGTAGTGGGGAGTGTCGCTCTGGCCGAGACGACGCAGATTTCGGTCGAAGCTTGCGAACTTGGATGGCATTGATCTGAATGTATTCTATTCTCGGATAAACTCTTTTTCAACGCAAACGGGAAGATGACGTCGTGCTTGAGAATCTTTTTAGCCTGAGCCATCTCGTCGGCCGACTCCATCTCTCTCCATGGCAAATATCCTTCGATGAGTTCGCCCAGCGTGTAGTACAGGCACCACAGATCATCGACCGGTCCCTGCTCTCGACGGTCGTGCATACGGTAGGAGCAGTAGCGAGTAGTGCCTCGGAAGCCACAGTAAGTTCGTTTCTCGCGGTTGCTGCCGTCGTCGTTGCGGAAGCGGCGCGACATTCCAAAGTCGACCAGGTACACCTGCTTGCGCTTCTCCTCCACTCCCAGACAACAGTTGGTCGGCTTCAGATCTCTGTGCAACCATCCCTTTCCGTGAAGAGATGAAAGAGCCTCCACAATTTGGATTCCGATTCGGATGGCCTGAACAGATTAAAATAAACTGAATCGGTCTGACAATCGGCTTACTGATCTGATCGACATTTTCTTCATCGGGAGCGCTCTCCGAATGTCTCCAAGATTTCTGCCCAGCATTTGCATCACAATGTAGTTGTACGATTTCAACGGACCGATGTAGTAGACGATCGGAAAGTGCTTCGTTCCGAGCATTTCGTCGAGAACCTTCGACTCGAGGATCATTCTCTGCGAGTCGTGAGTCAATGCTCTCTCCACTTTCACCGCCACTTCTTCGTCCGTATCCTGAATACCTTTCTTCATTTCTGATCATAATTCTGTTTCCAGTCACCACATTGAACGCTCTGTAAATCTGTCCGAATCCCCCGCCCGCGATCATCTTCTCCACTCGGAACGATTCGCCCTTTCCGAGCATTGTGTCCGCTTCCAGATAGGCGGGTGCATTCTTTCCACGAAGATCCCCTTTCGGAGCATTTTGCTTTTGAACTCCGTTCGGTTTGTTGTTACAATTACGGTTACGCTGAAGACGGATCTGAGCTTGAAAAGAATGAAAGTGAGCTCACGGCCAACATGTTTGGTGAATCAAGAAAGAAGTCGAAATGAAAAATTTCAGAACAGATAATATTCAACGAGACCTCACCCCCTAAACTTTCCAATTGTTTGTTTCTCTGATCATCCACGTGCCCCTCCCTCCTTCCTTATTTTCTTTGTTCACTCTTTTTCCCCATAACAAACTTCAACGTTTCTCCCAAAATGGCTCATTGCACCAACCCGGACAAATACTTTCCGACTGTCAAGACTCCTGCTCTACCATCTGGAGTCTTCAAGGTTGGAATCATCGCACAGACCTCGAGGGAAATGTGCGCTTCAGGGCAAGATCGCGTTGGTTACCGGAGGAGGAACCGGAATCGGAAGAGCCATCGCTGCAACGTTTGCTCATCTCGGAGCCAGTGTGGCCATCGCATCCCGTCGAATGGACGTGCTTCAGAAGTCGGCCGCCGATATCAGAACTGCCACTGGAGGCATCTGCGAGCCATTCCAGATGGACGTCAAGGACACGAAGATGGTGGCGAAGGCGTTCGACGAGATGAACGAGAAGTGAGATTATGACACTGGGTGCATCCGAACACACGATTCCAGGTTTGGAAAGACCCCCGACATTCTGGTGAACAACGCGGCCGGCAACTTCATCATGGCCACCGAGAGACTGTCTCCGAATGCCTACGGAACGATCATCGACATTGTTCTTAAAGGCACTCTGAATGTTACGACTGAGTTGGGAAGACGGTGCATCCAGCAAAAGACAGGCGCCGCCGTGACCAGCATCACTGCCGCGTACGCCAGAGCCGGCGGACCGTTCGTTCTCCCTTCCGCAGTTTCGAAGGCTGGAGTGGAGGCGATGACGAAGTCGTTGGCCGTCGAATGGGCGAAGCACGGCCTCCGATTCAACGCGGTCTCTCCCGGCTCCGTTCCGACGAAAGGCGCCTACGGAAGACTGTTCGCTGGAGAGCTGAAAGAAGCCGCTGAACTGGTCAAGGCGAGAGTTCCGGTGGGATGGAAGCCCGGAAGAGGTGGCCAACCTGGTGGCGTTCATTTCCAGTGATTACATGTCATGGATGAACGGGGCGGTAAGAATATTCGAAGAGTTAAGAATCGTTACTTCACTTTCAGATCATTGACTTGGACGGCGGAGCGCAGTATATCAACCACGGATCTCACATGGGAGAGTTCTTGCACGAGTACGATCAGCAGAAGTGGGAGGACACTGAGAACTTGATCCGTGGAAGATCTGGAAAGAAGAAGTGATTTGATAAACATTGAATTTAAAACTGTAACACTCACTTTAACACGAGCCATTTGAATCTGTGGTCCGCAACGCCGTGAGAGGATTCTTATTGCACTACAACTTAGCCGCATCGCCAGAAAAGACGGGCAGCGCGAAATAAGCGTGCGTGAGTTGAACCTGCAGTCTCCCGTTTTACACAATGCCGTTAGCCAGCAGGCCACCGAGACAGCATCGAGAGACAACGAGAGTGCGGTTAAGTACACCGATGAAACCAACTGAAAGCCTTGTCGCGAATTCGCTCTGCTTAAGCCGTTCCCGGCGGGATTAGAACTAGAGTAATCCCGAGAATACAGGAAAACGGGGAATTCTTGAATATTACCGTATCGTTTGCGTATGCCTCGAGAAAAGAGAGACATTTGCATTGGAGCGCACCTACATTGGCTGCCGTAATGTTTGCGTCAGAGATGATCGAGACGGTGGGTCTCTCTCATTCGAACGAATCGATCATGTCGAACGGCCCTCCTTGTTCTCATTTTCCCCTTCTGAAACTTCCAGATATTCCGCTGGCCCAGATTATCAAATTCTTCAATGCGTTCGAAGTGTACGTTAATTGTTCCTTCTTTTCACTGTTCTCAATTGGAATACCCTGCTAAAGTATTTAAAATTTGTATTGATTTTTACGTTTTCCAATTGAGAATGGTACTTTGAGTATTGCCACTTCCAAGATTACTGTTGATGACAAAAGTGGCACCTCTTAAAGTTAGAACTGAATTGGTAACTCGACTTCCATGAGCTACAATAGTTTTGGAAGTTGCTGTGCAGTGTTGTTGATAATGGTGATATTTTTGGACGGACTGATTCTAATTTTCAGAATGCAACTCTCTCTTTGCTCGAAACTCGGCACTCGTCTTGCGAAGTGGGGAATCGGCTGCAGTCCCTGCTTCCTGCAAATATCATTCTGTGCCGTAATTAAAGTAACTGTCGTGTTCCGTCGCAATTATACATTATCCTGCCACATCTTTGTCGTAGAGTTAGACCATAAAGACGCGGTAGATTTCTCCAACGGCCTGAGTGCGATCGGAGGACAAAATGTTCCGTCTGGCCAAGGAATTGACGTCAAAAATATTCCATTTGCGATATTGCAATGGGACGATCGTCTGAGAGGCCTGCAAACAGTTGTAAGCCACCTGCGTGACCTGTTTAACAGTTGCGTGGAATTCATTATGATAAATCCGAAACCCTTTCGTTGCAAATTAGGACTGATCTTGGACTTTTTCGACAGTCTAGATTACAAACCGAAACATTGCCGGCTGCTGAACGACCGAGTGAACGATACGGATGCGAATCTTTTGCTGAGCCGCTGCCAGCCGTCCGAATGCTTTTTCATAGACATAAAGACCCCACCCACGTTCATCTGTGAAACTTTATTCAGTACGCCAGACGTTAGGATAACACAAGGATCATTCATTCGTCCCTCTAATATCCTCACCATGAATTGCACCTGTATCTGTTTGATAAATACGGTTCTGACTGATTCCGATCTCAATTTGGTGTTCAAAAATTGGAAAGAAGGGAACATGCCACTGCTCAAAGTATTTACTGCCACAAGCAAAAAACAACTCAGAAGGACGGTTATAACAGACGAATTGGAACCGAGAAGAGTGGGCCCAAATGTACTAAGAGTTTATCACCTGTGAGTTTCATTCATTACCGCTCGGTCAATACAGCACAAATACGTTTTCAGCAATTGCGATAACTGCGGAGTTTCGAAGACCATACCGCATTCCATTTATGGCGGAGACGACATTCTGAGCAGAGGCAACGTTTTGGGCACATTTCGACAATCTCAACGTCTGAACGATATAGGCGGAAACAATTGCTATTTCCATGTTTGGCCAGATATCATTGGGAGTACAGGTCGCCTTTAGACTCTGTTTCTGCAATGCATTCGAATCATTTTTATAACTTCAACTGCTACCTTTCTTTTAATCAATAAATAAAATCATTTCTTTTGATTGCAATTGGAGCCCGATCACGTTTACGGGCCTACAAACTCCAGCGTTTGCTCAGAACAAAGAAACTTGTCCTGAGAATACGAGAAAACATACAGGGGTTTCAATAATTGTGACTGACTGCTGACTGCACTTGAGAGTACGGTATTGTGGGAAATAAGGACAACATAATGATGTGGGAATGGTTGAGAAAGAGAAATCACAGACTGAGATGGGAGTGAGAACGAGTGGAGAAATCAGTACTGTGAATACTTCCGAGGTCCGTTCGGATTGTTCCGAGGGTCCACATTCAACGAGATCTTGCGACTTGGGCAGACTCCAACGCGTCTGAAATACGGAAATGTTGCGGAAGGGAATGAAGAAAGACTCACTCACTTTTCAATGTTTTCAAAGTACTGAACGTGCGCATTGAACGAATGTTTTCTGCGAAATTGACGGACTTGCGCATCAAAACCGTCCCGGATCAGTTCGATGAACGCACAAATGAGAAGGCGCCACGCACGGCTCGTCTCCTTGCTCTGCTTGACGCCGTCCTGCTTCAGAATCACCTCGACCATAATCTCTTGGAATCTGTCCCACTCCTGACTGCTGAATCCGTTCTCGTGTTTCAGACTGACATGATTCGCGCCGATCTCGCGGAGCACTTCGGAATCCTGGAATACGAACTTTTCAATGATTTCTCCTCTCTTCCTCTCTTCTCACCACGTCACCTTCGATGATCTTGTCCAAGAGCTGAAGGAGATACTTCGCATGATCGGCCACTGTGCGCACTTGATTCGGATTAGTGGACAGAGAATACGTGGCCGACTGGAAGCATTGCGAGACGATCGGACAGTTGGACTCGAGCTGAAACCCTGATATCTCAATGAGCTTTTCGCGAGCCAAAGCCCTTCTGATCTTTTGCGTAATCGGGTGACTAATAAGTTCATTCTAGCGAATTCTCACCACGATACCTGCCTCTAATTGCCGGGCACACCTTAGCCCAACAACCGGAAATGACGTGCTTCTTTGTTCGGAACTCACTCTGGAAAAGCAGCGCGTCAACACGACGATGAGTCCTTTTGTGTTGATGTGTCTCCAGGAACGACGGATCACCGACACCTGGGAGGGCGTGAGTTGGCCGCACACGGGGATGATGTTTCGTGGGGAAAGCGAGATGCTCCCGGAACGGTCGCGAGCGGACATGGATTCTGAAAAACGGACGATTTGGAACCAACACAGAAAAGAGTATTTCAGTTTCGAAATATTCAATTGTTGACCGGAATAACAACGAATAGGGAGCGGACAAAACGGAGGGAATGGTGGGGGTGCGGCGCATGACGGCCGGCACCAGAAATCATGTCTTCGGGCGGGATGATGATGATGCCAATGTTTATTTTGGCTTTCTCACGTGGATGAATGAATACCTTGGCAGGTATGGACGGAACGGATAGAATGGAGGCCAAGTAGAGGGAAAGTGCTAATTTCGAATGGGAGGCGGACGGACGAAAAAGGCGGTGTCTGGTCGGGAAGAGCCAACAATAGAAGCCCAGATTAGATCAACACAAACGCATTCTGCTCTTCGCCGTTTCTTCATTCTATTAGTCGCATTTTGATCCACACAAAAACTATAGAAAGTAGTGGAGGAAGAACGGACGGAAACGGACGAGAAGCCCCTCCCAAATCTGCTTATCTCTCGTGATTACCACGTCATGCTACAACTGCCACTGGCAAACAAGGATTGAAGAAATCAGAAGAAGAAGAAGGAGAAGAAGAGGGAAAGAGTTTCGGTTCTGTTTCAAACTTGCCCTGAGGCTAGAGGGAGGGGAAATGAGCTAATCTCGTGATCGGCTCCAAAGAAGAATGAACGGAATGTACCGAAAGAACCAGAGAATGAAGCTCAAGTTCGTGCGAATATCAGAGGGCAAGGATTTGAAAAGCTCTAAATCCGCAACGAGCCTATTCTGGTTGCCAATCTACAATTCTAAAAATAAAAAGTGAATAGACGTCAGAAGAGGTATCATCATAGGCGACGTGTTATTACCACGTCACATTGAAGGCACCGACAGAGACGGAGACACAGCTAATGAGTGTTTTTGACAGTTGCCGGGCCAACATTACAGTCAGAGATCCGCCCCGGAAGGCAGGAAGTGCGGGCAAACAAGCGGGCAGCGATTCACGGAAAAGGCGACGACAACAACCGAAAACACTTGGGAGAATTCAAGGACCACGTCAGAAGAACAACTCGAGAAGATTCATTGAAATCGGACACCGAACAAGAGGGCGTGAAGTAGCAGAAGGGGAATGGGAAGAATAAGACGGAGCAGAAGAGAAGGAAGAAGGAAGAGGGCACGAGAACTAATTGCACGCGAAAACGTTTCTGCCGAGGAAGCAATAGGAGGATCCGAGCGAAACAGGAAGATCCGGGTGTGTGTTATGATCGTTGGATTATGTGGAAACTGGTATTATTCAAGGTTCCCAGCTAAGAACGCCGGAGAGACGTTTCAAAGAACAGAGAGGATACGCGGGCTCAGATCTTTGGTTTCAACTTAGAATGAATCGGAAACAAAAGTCTCGAGTGTTAAAACTGTGCTTAGTGGGTGTGAAGATATTCGCTTTGAAAAGTGACTTGGAAAACAGGAGAGAAATGCCTGAGGTTTGGTGTTTCATCGTACGCATTTCTTCTCTATTTCCGGCCGGCGGAAGTCATGGAGACCTCTTCAGAATGCTCAAAAACCAGGCAAAGTGTTCAAGCGGGAGCAGTGACTCCGTGTCCTTTTGCTCGGAAAAAGACTCCTAACAGAATCAGACATTGTTTGCAAAAGGACGCGGCGACAGGAAGACGTCGGCTCAAGGAGCAACTGCTTCCCCTTCCCACAATGGTCTTTTGTGGCAGACGGACCCCTCGAGGAAAGAGGATCTGTGTAGTACTCATGACTAGAATATCGGGCGGGGAATGCAAAGAAAAGAAGAGAAAACAACAACATTCCTATCGAATGACTTTTGACGAGATGCTCCTTTTCTGGAAGTTGACGACTTTTTTGCAGTATTACAAGACAAAGAAAAGCAGCGTTTTGGTTCTTGCTCTTCTCCCGCTGTATGTGACGTGTTTTCGAGCAGAAAAATAGTTCAACTAAAAATAGACGAACGGAGGGAACTGATATTCGAGAGAACGAGCACACTTGAGCTGGCTGCAGACACTGAGGAAGGCTCGTTCACTCTTGTGACAAGGCAAAACGGATTAGAGTGACCTCACGGGGGGATAAGTCGGTTAGCATTTGGGGGATGGAAGGTGAGTGGAAGTTCGTGAACTTGACATGTGAGCGGGAAGGGAGGAGGGGATGATGTGACGTTTGCCGCCGTCAATTCAACTAACTAGCCTACTTGACATGAATTCGAAAGAAAATGAAAGTATTCCAATTCTCACGCATATTCCTATATCCACAGCCCATATTTAGACGTACTCACCCATTCCTGGACTGTATTTGGTCATCGGAGAACTCGGAGCACTTCGAGCCATCGCAGGACTTAACGAGCGAGAAGTGCGTGGAACGGACAACGAGATCATTTCTGAAAACATGAAAAGTTACAGAGAAATGGAAAATTTGGAGAAGTATTATGAACAAATGGAGGACGGAAGGTGGACGGAGGGGACCCGCTGGTGCAAGTGATTTATGCGAAGGGACATGTAGACAGGCGCAAACGGAACTTCTCGATGTCAGCACAGATGGATCGGCCGTCCGGACGTCTCCACCCACACCAAGATTAGCCCGATAAGCTTTGAGTTTTTGAATGCTCGTGCGTTGGGCAAGGGAATGGAGTCGGATTTCTCTTCAGAGTGAGCACCAGAAAGGCAAGAAAGTAGGGAGGGCGAATAAAAAGAGTCAGCCTTTTATTCGGGTCAATTCAGGAACTGCGGCTCGGAGCACCTGCGCATACCGTCATTTACTCGGAAAACAGATGAAACTGGATGCAAACTGAACTTTTCTGTCCGTTTCAGGCTGAGTCAGGCACAGAGTCTATGAATAGTGGTGACAACTTTCTATTTCGGGATGTTATTCAGTCTATAGTTTGCCGGATGAATGAAACCCGGGGCGACGCGGGAGAGGTGTTTTTGTGTTCCGCCTTTCTTGGCTCAGTTTGCTTGTTCAAGAGATAGGAGGAGCACACAAGTTGGGCAAAAGGATGAGCATTACTAATTGAAAGAGAGAACATAATAATATGGTGTCTATGCGGGTGGCTGCATCTGCTTCTTCTTCTTCTTCTTCTTCTTCTTCTTCTTTTGGTAGATCATTATTATGACATGCCATTTGACATCATGCTTGTTTTTCAGTCTCTAAATGGCGGCTCACTGACGGCCACCGCAAATTAATTGGAGAACAAGACGCGGAAAGTGGAGCAGCACACTCGAGCAGACGAGTCGGAATTATTTTGAGGAGCCGAACGGACCCAAGACATCCGATATGCATGCGTTTTCGCAAATCTTCGGAGGACGACCGGACTCCGAAGAGCTCTTGAAACGAGAAGAGCTGCTCGAGGAGCCCCGATATCATCTGCTTCCCGCCACTTCATCATTGTTTTCACACGATTCAGGAAGGTTCGAAACCGAAAAAACAGTTGATGTACCACGTAAATATTCCCTTCGAAACCGCGGGTTTCACAGAATAACAAGTGAATCAACAAATATTATAAGCTCTTGAGAATGTCCGGAAGAAGTGATCAATGTTTTCGAATTGAGAACTACAGTAATCCTTACCTTTTCTCGGTCTCGAGTTTCTTGGATATCTGACGGATTGAGCCTTTTGTTTGAGCATATTTTTCTTTGGAGTTCCCAATCTGAAATCAAAAGACGGATTGGTTGGATTGATAGGGCGAAACGAAGAAAGCGGAGAGTTTATATAGAGTGCCGGCGGCGAGTTTTGACTCTTTTCGAAACATGCCGTCATTACCCAAATAATTCAAAAAGCAGGCGAATCTGAGAGTGTACTAATTACGGAGTGTCCGGACGGAAAGATGACACGGATCCGAGGGGCGCAAGAGTTGCTCATGCAAGCATTGCGTGCCGCGGAATAAGTTAGGTGAACTTCTACTTCTAGCGTCAGTCGATAATGGGAGCACACGGAGCAAAAAGGAGAAGAGGAGGAGGGCACACCGTGCATATCTGATGAAGAGAAGGAAGCTGGGCGGGCCCGCTGATTGTGGTTTCAGAAGGATTGGTCGAGCAGATACGAGGAAGAGGAGTCGCTTTCTTTTGAAAAGTACGAGAGGATTGATGACAGGTACGTCATCGGAAAACATTGGGAAAAAGGGGTGACATGATCTCCAGGGAACTGTCTAGACAATCGGGAGACCAGGGGAAAATGCAAAGCAGGAAGAGGAAGTTACGGAGGGAAACGAGAATGTTCGAGCAATCAAAAGCCAAATGGCGAATTCTGAAGGGCAGAGAAAGCAGCTGAAAGCCTCTCTTTCCATTTGCTACTCAAAATGGCAGAACGCAATGGCATTGGTGTCGGCGAACAGAAAACACGAAAGGAATCTAGTGAAAAATAGAGTAAACTAGTTTTGCTTTCTCCCCCTGTTTTCCCCCTTTTCTCTACATTTTCAACGTTGCCACGTCACGCGCACACGCGTACAAAACGATTGAAACAAAGGCGAAAAAGTCGGAGAAATCGGGCGGAAATGCGAATTTGTCATCAGCGAGAAGACATCAGAGTTGAGTGCTTTTTCGGGGCCGCGTGTCATGTCACTTTCAGCGATTTTTCGACGGCTCAAGCGTTTTCGGTGACGACGTGAATAGGGGCTTGTTATTGGGATCGAAGGACACACTTTTCGAAGCGGAACACAGGGTGCCTATGGGCGAGTAGAGAAGAAGAAGACCCTTGTGAATGGCTCCGTTTTCATGTTTGATCCGACTCTTCTTTTCAGTTTGTTCTGCGAAAATTATTCCCTTTTATTAGTGGTTCGTGAATTTCAAGCTCAGAGGGATACTCTGGCTCCATTCAGAATCCAATGAATAACTGGAACTGAAATGAGAGCGAGAGAGTGGATGCTTCTGGGAATTGTACTTCCTTCTGACATCATCGCGAGAAACAGCACTTTCCGAAAGTTGGACTCTGCTACAGCGATCGACTTTTAATGAGAAAAAGCTTTTTGAGGTTTGCAGGTGCAAATATTGGATTCTTCTAGTGAAATGTTCAGACCGATTTAATCATCTGATCTGGAGAGAAATGATGGAAACAAAGTAGCTAGAAGGGCACTCGAGTATATTCCATTCAAAACTGTGCATCTCACTATCAGCTGCCTGTAGACATAAAACAAAAACTGATTTATTTGAGAAATCAAAAACCAAATTACTAATTCTAAGGGGCAGGGAAAGCAGCTGATTCGCAAAGCTCAGAATGAATGAGAATGGTTTTTGCTTCTGATGTTCAGGGGAAAGTGGTCACGTGTTTTCTGTGTATCTCTTGACCAAATCTGGAACAAAAAAGAGCGGAATTTGCGATGGAGCGCGCCTGCATTGCGTACCGTAATGCTTGCGTCAGAGATGGTCGAGACGGTGGGTCTCTCTCATTCGAACGAATCGATCCTGTCGAACGGCCCTCCGATTTTTTCGACAGTCCTCGCTACAAACCGAAACAATGCAAACTACTGAGTGAGTGATAAGGATGCGAATCTTCCGCAGCCAGCCTTCCAAGTGCTTTTCCATTAAAATGGAGACCAAACCCACTTTCGTCTGTGAAACTGTATTCAATTTTGCAAGACGAGTTCCGAGTTTCGAGCAAAGAGAGAGTTGAATTCTGAAAACTAGAACCAGTTCGTCCAAAAATATCAATTTAAGAAAGTCTGAAGAATTTCTATGTAAGGAGGGGTGCTGATTCGCTGCCGGAAATGAAATCTACTCAGTCAGTGGCTGTCCCTCAATCCAATCAGATCATCGAAAAGCTGCGTGCAACTTCATTTATAAATCAAGTTTAGTGGTAATGGGGGAAACATGAACGAAAGTAAAACGGATATAAGAGGGCCGGGGGAACAGGGAGCAGAGCTTGCCGCTGGCTGCCATGTTTACCTACTATGGGATGATAGAAGAAGGCAATCAGTGAATTGAATTGAGGGAACAAAAGGAGGATGAAAGTGGTTAATGGTTCAGAAAGAAACGAAGGAATCAAACCTTTCGATAATTTATTGTCTGAGGTTGAAAAACAAGAAAATAACATGGACACACGAGCACTTGATGATGGTGTTCCTTTTGCTGGGAACACTTCTCACGTATACTGTGAAAGGGATGTGATGGGCTGTGGGCGGGGCGAGCAGGAGTCGGAACTGAGTGAGCAACGGGCATTTATTCCTTGGTGCTGACCTTCCATCCGAGGGCGGCCTCTTCTCCGCAGGCGGAGACGACCTGTACGAGCACGGATCCTTCGTCCTTCTCGAACGCCTCACGGATCTGGTTTCCGAGCTCGTTGTCCGGGAGCTTGAGGTCATCCTTCTGATCGCAAGTCTCTGGGTCCATCAGCGAGCAGTATCCGTCATCGATGGCCATCAGCTGGAAAGGACCGAGTTGGCGGTGGGGGAGGGGGCGGACGAAGGACTGACCAAGTACTCACGGCGCTTGACGACTGGCACGTCCATGTTGTGGGTGGACGGGCAGATATCCTCAAGCTTCTTGCTGGTGAAGATGTCGATGGCGACCATGTGGACCTTAGCGTGACCGTGCTTTCCGGTCTTCGAGGTCGACATTTCGACGATCTGCAAAAAGGAATTAATGATGTTCTGCTCATGAATGCTTCAAAATCCGAAGAAGATCGAATCCGAAAGTAAGTAAGTGCTCAGCATTTTAAAAGTTGGCATCAATTGATTTCAGCCGAAACTTATCCAAGTCATTCATTGCACTCATTCTGACACCCGTCGACAGTTGCCTTACCTTGCACGGACGTCCCTTGATCATGACGTGCTCGTTCTTGCGAAGAGCAGAGCATTGCTTCGGGAAAGTGGCGGCGGCTCCCGACTCTCCGGTGTGGAAGTGCTCGTCGTCGTGATGATCGTCAGACATGTTGCTACCCTGCAAACTGGTCAATTAGGTAACCGACTGGAGGAAAGGAGGGAAGATGGACGAGATGGAAACAGTTCGGTCTATGGGATGACAATTGATCAATCGATAATAGCTGAAAGTTTTTCGGCACCTACTATCTCTATTCTATGCGATAATCGTGGCCACGTCACGGGGCAACCTGTACTACGATCATACTGAAACCTTACAAAAAACTGGCACAAACAGTACGGTAGAAGATTTTCAAAGATTCCTAAACAGTTAAACTCGCTACGTAAATACGATCAAACTTCGTATCGCCTCACTATAGTTGAGTCGCTACGCAGCGAATATCGCAGTGCGTGGCCGACAGAAAACGTCTCAATCGAGCGCGTTTGCATAGTTTCGCACGGAGAAAGTGGACGGACAATAGAGACGCGAGACGAGTGGGGAAGCACCGAAAAGGCCTTGCAGTTCTGGACGGAACGATCGCCCCGTGAATAATAATAATAATAACGAGAACGATAAGAGAGAAAGAGAGAGAGAAATCATTTCTGATCGGGAAAACAAGAAAAGGATGACGGCGAGTTTGAGAGCAAGTGCACAAAAAGGAATACTTAACAAATCGGGTCCATTGGCGAATAAGAAGACTGACGACAACACGCCTTTCTCGGTACGGAATTGGGTTGTTTAGGAGTACATGTGCAGGATTACTGTACTTGAGATCCGCACATTCAGATGTCGTACGGATGCGTGAATCACTTCCTGGCCGACGCTTCGGACGGTCCGCAGCGAATGGTGCTCGAGTGCGGGCAGTCGGCGGAACGGCAGTGCATCACGGTGAGTCTGGATGAGATTCCGCGAGAGACGGCCATCGAACTGGCCGAATCCAAGTACTTCGAGGCCGCTTTTAACCTGGCCGACAATCGCAAGCAACTTCGGAACGCGTGCCAGCAGGCCAAAAGGTTCTACGCCGAGGTAGGATTTCTTCATTGAGCCGCAAGAGGAATTCCTGTCATTTTCAGCATTGTCTGCACAGAAATCCGTTCCCTCCGAAGCAAAAGTTCGCGTTCGTTCTGGAACGGCATCAGAAGACCCGAGAAAATGCGACGGCTGAGCAGAAAACTGTGAAAACGACCGAATCGACGTGTATTCCCAGAAGAACATGAGGATAAGAAGTTATTGAGCAGTTTTCAGTGTCGGTTCTCGATGGAACGATGTCGTTGACGTCGATGGCCTCGCACAGTCAACTCTACAATACGACTCCCTCGTATCCGATCAACTTGAAGACTAAAAAGGTTTTCTGAGAAACAAAAACCAAGAGTACAGTGGATTACAGAAGAAGTCCCATCATTCAATTCCGGACTCTCAGCTACACAATCGTGAGAAGAAAGTTAAAACGTCGCCAGCCACCGCGCCGGTTGAGAAACGTGCGAGCACGAAGAGAAACGACGAGAACAGATTGTTGAACACATACAACACATCCGAATAATTATAGAGATTCAATATTCACACCGAGTATAAAAGGGGAAATGAAACATGGCATTGCACAATAAATCACAGAAAGAATGGGGAAACGATGACTATTCTTTGGAGATTTCAAAGTTTTGCTAAGACAGACAGAAATAAATAAATTAGGATATTCTAGATTGCCAATATGTCGCAGAAACCAGTTCCCAGGTAGTTACACTAGTGAGTAACCCGTAGTGGAATTTTATAATTCCTTCGAAGCAGTCGTCTCCCGATCTTTTTCGTTTTCCTTCTGCTGATCTGTGAAGAAGTGGCGCTTCCTTCGTTTCGCAGGCAGTTCCATCGCGGCAACTTGAAGAGGCCAGCCTCCGCCGATGACTCCTGCTTGCACTGATGCTCCGGTCACCACTGCCAATTCCGGGTCGACGCCGTAATTCGCAGACTTTCTGAAAGGAGATGATGGATGGAGTGAACACAAACTGACTTACTTGAAGAATCGGCCGACGATCTTTCGAACTGCCGGAACTTGCGTGGATCCACCGACCAGAACGATCTCATCGACGTCAGAAATATTCAGACTGAAAGAAGGGAGTGAATTACTGAAATATGCCATCCGCTGGCTCACTTCGCATCTTCCAGAGCGGCGGCAATCGGCTGTTCGATGGACTTGAGCAGATCTTCATTGAGTTTCTCGAATTCCTCTCGGGTCAACTCGTACTTCCATTTGCCGACAGTCTTCAGATTCAACGAAATAGTCGTGCTGGGGACATTCGTCAACCGGATCTTTCCTCTTTCAACTTCTAATCGGATCTGCTGGATGTCTTCCTTATCTTCGACGGTCTTCTTGATCTGTTCTGCGATCTTTTCAATCAGATGCCTCTGCACTCGCTCGTTGAAGTCCTGTCCTCCCAATCGATTATTTCCGGCCATCGCCTGAGTGACGAACACTCCTCCTTGCAGCCAAAGAACCGAAACATCGAGGGTTCCGCCGCCTGGAGCTTATTTTAGACGGTCAAATGGATAGAATGAAACTAACCGAGATCCACGACGACGACATTCTCAACGCCTTGCTTCTTGTGCAGCCCGTACGCCAACGCGGCGGCAGTCGGTTCAGATATCACTCTTCTCACTTCCATTCCTGCCAATTCGGCTGCCTTCGCCGTGAAATTTCGCTGTTTCTCATTGAATTCGGCCGGAACAGAAATCACGACTTGGGGAAGGGCGACGCCGAGTTGTTTGGCAGCTGCAGCCCGTAAATATGCAATAATCAGAGAGCCGATTTCTTCTGGGTACACATTTTTGATGCCGGAATCCAGAGGAACCTCGAAGAAGGGTTTCCCCTCCGAGTCCAATTTGATAGTGAATGGATATCTTTTCTGATCGGCCTGCAAAACTGGAATTGAAGATGAGGAGAAGTGCGGACAAACTCACCAAGAAATCTTTGTTGTCTTTTTCAAAGTTTCTTCCTATGAACCGTTTTGCATCGTAAATCGTTCGTTTCGGATTGTGCTCCTGCTGCTCGACGGCTCTTGTACCGATTATCACTGTTCCATTTGGTCTGAAACCATTCTTTTTTTTTAAATTTAGGAAAAGGAACTCACAGAAAAGCGACAACGCTTGGCACGGACTTTTTTCCAATATCGTCTGGTAGAATTGTAGTTTCACCCGTCACTGCATGATAAATACCTGAAGCGAAGATCTTAATAAATGTTATTTTGAAAAGGACGAACCTATTGATGAATACGTCGTTCCTAAATCTATTCCAGCTATTTTGGGCGGCGGGGGAGGTAATCCGTACTTTTGGCCAAGCCATCCTGCTACTAAAAGCACTAGAATGCCTCCTCCTGCAAATCTTTTTTGAGTAAAGGTTTTCTTAACTTTTAATTTACCTAGCATAGTGCCCGTTGAGCCTCCCATCGTTCTCTACTTTCCATATATTGTGTGGCGACCCTGAAAATTATTACATTTAAAAAATAATCGTCAACGAAAAACGGCAAGATTTAGATTAGAAGTGAGCACTAAATATCAATTGGCAAGACCAACCAATGTTATTTTTGATAATTTCAGACGAGAATTCGCTGAATTCGAGGTGGTGACGTGTGCTTAAAGTGCGAAAATTGTGACGTCATAAAGATTTCTCTGCGAACTGGGCAGCAAGTGCGCTCCACCGAACGCGGAAAATTGGCGCGTGTTCAAATAACTGAAGTGTGCTGCTTTTCGATCACTGCTCTGTAGACAAAGTATTTAGGGCTTATGAAAAAGAGTGAAACTGATACGAGTTGGAGCAGTGGAGCAGACAGACTGAGTGACAGAAAACGCAAAAACGATATTTGTAGTCATTTTGAACAAAACTGAATAGGGAGTGCCATATGGTCACACGCGAATCAAACACCAATTTTTCAATATCGCAAGACTTTGAGACACTCAAAAAAACGAAAATCTGAAGAAGAAAAGTTCATTTGAATGAATATGTACAAACAAAACGCGCAGAATCTACTGAAGGGACATGTCATTCTTTCGGATCTTGTACGAGTTGTCGAGGCTGTGCACCTGGAAGCTCTTGAACTTGTCCCTCTTGCTCTCCGCCGAGTACTCGTTTCTCTTCAGAAACTCGTCCAGCGTCTCGTATTCCTTCCGCGAAGCCGTCGAAGTCGTCGTCGCCGATCTCGCTCTTCCGACGTTCACGTATTCTCCCTCGACGACCTCATCTGGAGTCACTTCTTGTTTCGTGGACATTCTGAAAAATTAAAGTTTGAAATGGAAAGCAATCCGGTCAGAAAGGAAACGGCTCGTGGCGAGAAAACTGAAAAAGTGTCAGATGATATTTGTGCCTCGTCCATTTATACACAACACATTTCGATTGATAAATGGCTGTACAAACCAGTGAGAGAAGACGTTTTCAGAAGAGACGCCATACTTTTAATCAGTGCGAGTGGGTGTTTTCGAAGCTTCTAGAGCGTTTCTTTGTTAATGGCACACGATTATAATGAGACGCTGATAAGCGCCGAGAATCGTGTCTTTCGAATGACTTTGAATGATGTGCTTTTCATTGAAATGGAAATAATACAACAAAGAGGTTTAGTGCTTCTTGGCTCTGGCTGGGCATGGGCAGTAGTTGGCGTCTGGTCCGACGGATCCGTCTTTTCCTGGAAGTCCTGGCTGTCCATCGTCGGCATCGCGTCCTGGCTGTCCTGGTGGTCCTTGTGGTCCCTGTGGTCCCTGCTCTCCGTCGGTTCCGGAATCTCCGTTCTTTCCTGGTTCTCCCTGCGATCCTGGCCATCCTGGGGTTCCTGGCTGTCCTGGAAGTCCTGGAGCTCCCAAAGTTCCGTCCTGTCCAGTTGGTCCTTGGGCTCCCTCGGCTCCTTGCTCTCCGGATGGTCCTTGCTCTCCAGCAATTCCTGGCTCTCCAGGAGCTCCGTCCTCTCCGCACTGTCCGGCTTGTCCGACGGCTCCTGGGAATCCTGGCTCTCCAATCTCTCCGTCCGGTCCTGGCTCTCCAGCTGGTCCCTGAGGGCACTGAATGCATCCTCCTGGCAAGTGATGAGTGACGGCCAAAGAGATTCCGGAAGCTCCGTCGCGTCCCTTCTCTCCAGAAGGTCCCTGCTCTCCACGTCCTCCTGAAAGTCCTGGAGGTCCTGGTGGTCCTGGTGGGCATCCGAGCGAATTGGCGTCGCAATTGCACTGGGATGGATTGGCGGCACGCTTCGTTCTCTGGAAGATGCTGGCGAATGCGACACGGGACTCAGCGTCAAGCGTCGGCTTCGAATGCATTCCGATCATTCTGTTCCACGCATCATCAGACATGACCTGAATTCAAATATTGCCGTTGAGTCTGGCGAGTGATAGGCTCACCTTCATCTCGTGAACTCCAGTCACAATCTCGTCTCTCATCGAGTCAATGTCGACGACGATGGAGTGCATGGCGACGAGAGCGGCCACAACGGCGGCCAGGGAAACGGAGGCACACACGGGAACAAGGTACTTCGACATGACGATGTCTGAGTGTTCCCTTTGCGGGCACAGCTTTTAAAAGGGTTTCTGTGGAACTGCGGATACAAAGAGATAGCGAGCGGATCGGAGAGACGCTTTTCACGGTACTGGAAGCGCGTCCACTTTTTTGGCGGCTGCGTAGAATCGAATAAAAAGTTAGTGCGCTTAGAAAGCGTTTCGTAGTTTTAGCTGCGAAGAACATTAGTGATAAGGAACGGGTTTAAAGGGTGTTTACTCCGGTTACGATACCATCTGAATATCGAAAAATTGATCTGGAAATGCTGAAACAAGAATAATATGTTAAAATAATTCATTTTTGGTTGAAGTTTAATGTTTTCTTGTTATCTTAGTTTTAAAAAATGTTTTTCTTTTTCAATCATTTCCTGTGCAGAATATTATTTTGCACTCGAAATTCATTCGAAAAGCCTTCATTCACAGCGCCACAAAATTGCGTTCAAGTTCCCGCGCCTGCACATCAAACTTTTTGTCTGCGGTCGCGGTGTATATGACGCAGTGTTTGCGTACGCTGCAGAAATGTGCTTCGTCCTAAAATTTTTGTGTCCTTTTTTTGAATTCTAGCCTTATTTTTTCCGTTTTTGGTGGTTCTCGCCTAAGTAAAAATAAAAAAATCGCTTGTAACGGGTTGTTTGAAGTCATCCAATGTCTGGAATTGTTATTTTTGAACCGATCATGATTTTTCAGTGAAATGTTTCAATTTCTGACCACTATTTTCGCATGCCCTCATCGTACCTTGCTTCTGTTCGTCATTTTCTTCGATTTTATTGACTGATGCAAACTTCTGTAATTTTTCCAGAAGAACATGGGTCTCGTCAAGGTCATTAAAAACAAGGCCTACTTCAAGCGCTACCAGGTTAAGCTGAGGCGTAGACGTGAGGGAAAGACTGACTACTATGCCAGAAAACGCCTCACCGTCCAGGACAAGAACAAGTACAACACCCCGAAGTACCGCCTGATCGTTCGTTTGACCAACAAGGACATCATCGCTCAGGTAAAATTTTGTTTTTTTTTGTTTAATGCAGTAAATTTTTTTCAGTTGGCTTACTCCAAGATCGAGGGAGACGTTGTTGTCGCTTCGGCTTACTCTCATGAGCTTCCACGTTACGGACTCAAGGTCGGACTTACTAACTACGCCGCCGCTTACGCTACTGGGCTTCTCCTTGCCCGCCGTCACCTGAAGGCGATCGGACTTGACTCGACCTACAAGGGACACGAGGAGGTACGGGCGAATTTCGTTGAATGGATGAATTATTTTTCTTGTTCAGCTTACCGGAGAAGACTACAACGTCGAGCATGAGGGAGATCGCGCTCCATTCAAGGCTGTCCTTGACATCGGACTTGCCCGTACCACCACCGGATCGAAGATCTTCGCCGTCATGAAGGGAGTTGCTGATGGAGGCATCAACGTTCCACACAGGCAATTCTAACAATTCCAAAATGCGATTTTTACGCTTTTGTGTTGCAGCGAGAGCCGATTCTTCGGATTCGACCCAGAGTCCAAGGAGTACAATGCCGAGGCTCACCGTGACCGTATTCTCGGAAAGCACGTCGCTGATTACATGACCTACCTCAAGGAGGAAGATGAGGACCGTTACAAGCGCCAGTTCTCTAAGTTCCTTGCCGCTGGATTGAACGCTGGAAACCTCGTCGGAGTATGTTTCATGTGAAGTTATTCCTTCTACAAGATGAATTTTCAGACCTACGAGAAGGTTCACTCGAGCATCCGTGCCGATCCATCTCCGGCCGCGAAGAAGGCTGCCAAGCCATCGAAGAGACACACCGCCAAGAAGATCACCTATGAGGAGAGAAAGCAGCGCGTCGCGGACAAGAAGGCTCTTCTTCTTCAACTCAAGGAGCAACAGGAGGCGTAAAAATCTTTTTGTTACTTCGTTTTCAAATGAATATATTTGTTGACTTTCTCTAGTTTTGCCTAATTTGTCACAAACGATGAGCAAAATACATTGGTGATGGTAGGACTCCCAGAAAGAAGAAAACTTAGCAGATGGGAGAGATGTCCGTTGTCGGCAGCAGCGATGGGATTCCAAGTTCATCAAAAGATTCATTCTTCTCGAATCTGTATGAAAACTTGAACACGAATCCCTATTTCAATGCAGGAGCAGGGTTAGCTGGAATAGGTTAGACTGAGTCGAATGTTTTAAAGTCCGCAATAAATACAGGAATTGCGATGAGCTTTTTGAGAAGGACAGCTCAAATCAGCAACACGTTTTTACGTCGGCGATTCATGATCACCTTGCAAGTGAATAATGAAGATGCGTAAGAACACTATTAGGGAGAAAAGAAGAGTTGAAAGTTACAGTGCGTATCCGTGGTTGCTCGACTTTATCAATAAGCGTAGTGCCACACAGACCCGGAATCTCTCCGCCAATACGGTTGTTCATCAGGCGGAGAGCGGAAAGACCGAACTGTCGATATCGTTCCTTCCGGGACACGGAACCCATTTCTTCGTGCACGATTACAGATGGATTAAAGTGGAGAGACAGAGAGAAAAGCAAGTGATTCAGAGAGACGGAATACGGACTCCCTTCGAGACGGTCACTCTCACCACTCTCGGTTCCGACGTCAAGTTTTTCAAAAAAATGTTGGAGCAGTCGGCAAAGGAAGCGATTGACAATGCCGAAACAGGACTGGTTATTTATCAAGCTATCGGGCCACAGTGGGTCCGATTCGGAGTTCCGCGCAAGAAGAGGGACATCGATTCGGTGGTGTTGGACAGAAATGTCTGCGAGGAACTCATTCGAGACTTCCATGAATTCATCGGATCGGCAGCATGGTAAACAATAGAATAGTTGGGAGTTCAAGACAGTGTATTGCAGGTATGCGGACCGCGGAGTGCCCTACAGAAGAGGATATCTGTTCTACGGACCACCCGGCACCGGAAAGAGCAGTTTCATCTCTGCGTTGGCCAGTCACTTCGGATACAGTGTCTGTCTTCTCTCACTGAGCGAACGAACACTTGACGACGATCGGTTGGTAGTTTCCTTCCGGTGCTGACCCTCATAGCCTTGTGTTCATCTCAGATTGAATCATCTGCTGAACACGGCGCCTCCGAATAGTGTCGTGATTCTCGAAGACATCGACGCGGCGTTCGTGAGCCGAGAGGACCCGCTGAGCAACCATCCGGCCTATCAGGGACTCTCCAGGGTCACATTCTCCGGCCTTCTGAATGCGTTGGACGGAGTGGCGTGTGCGGAGGAACGTATCACTTTCATGACGACCAACTACGTGGAACGACTCGATCCCGCACTCATTCGGCCCGGAAGAGTCGATCGGAAGCAGTACTTTGGCAATGCGACGGATCAAATGCTCAAAAGAGTCAGTCTTGAAAAAACCCAGCCTTGGTTATTTCCTCTGATTTTCAGATGTTTGAACGCTTCTACCGAGAGCCGAATGACTCGAAACTCGCAGAGCAATTTGTGCAGCGAGTCTCCGAGCACAAAACGGAACTCTCGCCCGCCTGCATTCAGGGCCACTTCCTAATGCACAAACAAGATGCACAAGGAGCCATCGAAAACCTGAAGAACATGTTCAAGTCCGTATAATTGTGTTCCTCTTAAATAGATGTAGTTCGTTAGGGTAATAAACAAATGAATTTCGCTGCAAAATCACCCACGTGTTGGCGTAGCGCCGTCAAGCGCTCCTTTCCCTCTGTAACCCGCGTCCTCGTGCCTATTGATTGGCGGGCTCTGCGCCTGCGCGTGATTCTTCCGCCAGGCGACAGCGAGAGAGGCAGCACTCAGAGTTTCGCGTCCAAATTAGGATAAGGGACGGCCGAGAGAGTTTGCGTTCCGAAGAGAGTTGGCACCGCCCGTGAGCTCGCCACTCTTGATTCTTTTGTGGGTCCGCGGCTTGCTCTTAACCTCCATTCCCTGCCAGGTCATCTCTCTTTCTCTTCTCATTCATCAGTCTTTCTCCTTTTCCAATCAACTTTTTCCGTCCCGCTCCAAGACTCAATCTCCGTTTATGGGTTTATTCCTTCCGATTACAGGGAATGCTCCTTCTGACAACGGTAGCCGCCGTTTCCTTCCTTTTCGGCTCCGCGGAAGCCGTCACCGGATTGGACGGCGTCTCTGTGGAGCACGACGGCGAAATGTGCAGCAGGATGTGCGTGGCGAACTATTCGGATGCGGTTGTGAGTGGGCGGAAAGGGGGATCCTGTAGTTGGCGAGGGATTTCAGGAGGAATGCGAGTTCGGATGCCAGCACCGGACGGGCATTCGCGAGAGAATCAATCCGTTCAACACGTGCTTCAATGCCTGCGAAGACCGTTTCAAACAGAACATTCTGGAGAGAGCCAACGAGACGGAGTGGCTGAACAGAGCCTGGGATGTCTGTCTTCACGCCTGCCAACTGCCTTATAAAACTAAGATTCGGGTTGGATAATAATACGAATGATATCATCCATTTCTTGTTTAAGTGGAACGTCTACATTGATTTCCGTTCGGGAGAGCCCATTTGGAACTTCGAGAGAATGATGTCCGATGGGCAAAATATTCACAATATCGGAATGGAGTACGATGATCTCATAAACACTGTCGCTCTTCAGGAAAACATCGTCTTCACGGATCCGAATGTTAAAAGCTAGTCAGTTCACAGACAGAGTCACTCAGATAATGTGACCTCTTTCAGTTCGAACCCATTCTCTTTCTTGAGAATCCACCAGGCTGACAATCGGATGCTCCATAACATCATGATGACCATGCTTAAGAATGTCCGACAAGAGATGTCCCAGCTGGCTCCGCACCGCTTTGACGGCTTCTCGAGCATCGACTACATCGGACCGCGCATTGTGGAACACGGCCCCAACGGTCCGACCGTCACTGATATCGCCGAACTTCAGTACCGTCCGAAGGAAGTCGTCATTTGTGAGTATCCACTTTTTACGCTCAAAATCCGAAGACTCTTTTTCCAGACAACCCGCATGCCCGTCGGGACGAGAGAGTCATCATCGTCTATTTTTTGCTGTTCGCCTTCCTCTGCACAATGGTCTTCGCTCTCCTGCATCTCAGAAGATACCACGACGCCGTCCAGGTGAGCACAGCCATTTTCCTACTCGACGCTTCTATTTTCGCTCAGAGATTCCATCTCCACCGTGCTGCACTCGCTCGCCAACGTCTCACTGATGATGACTTGGAAAGCGGCCAATGGGCGAAGAAGATTCCGCCTGGAACTGCTCCGCCGAGCTACTCTTCTCCAGAGAAATAAACTACATCTGGCTTTGTCTGCTAAAGCGCTTTTACCGCCGAATTGGAGTACTTCTGCTCTGTTTTGAATTTACCATTATTGTCTCAATACAAGTCAGTTGATCTCCTGTATTTCTGAAAACCATCCGCCCTGCTGTTCAATTGATTATTTTGTAAGCTATAATCTAATTGAGTGAATAAAACTGATTGTAAATACGTTTTTTTCTAAAGCTGAAACAACTTGTTCGAGAGTGTCAGAGAGCCGGGAAACTTTTCTCTCATGCAATGTTGCAAACGCGCTCCAGCGCTCTGTTGGCACGTCAATCTTGAAAATCTTTTTTTACTGACAAAACTTCGAATTCACTTCAAATTTTCCTCACAAACGCTCTTTTTTTTTACAGATAATGAATAAGAAAAAGAAAATTTCGTTATTTGGCGACGACGAGGAAGGCGAGAAAGCCAACGGAAGCCTCGAAATCAATAAGGTTCGTGACGCGTACTTATTCGGACAAATAAACTATGCTTCCATTTAAGGGATACGCTCAGAAATATGACAATTGGAGAAGGCTGGAGGAAATGCAGAAGAGTAAGTTTTAGTCGGTGTTTTTCCCGAAAAACGTGAAGTTTACAGTCAAAGATAAGTACGGAGATGTTGGCGGCGATGAGGACGACTCTTCCAGCGAATCAGAACCGGTATTTTTTATTTTCTCGAATATATGTCATCATTGGAATTTTTCAGGAATGGACGGATCAGCACGAGGAAGCATTTCTGAAAACTTTGGGAGCTCTGAAGTCTGGAGATAGCACCGCCTTCAAAAATGGAAAAAGGTTGCATTTGAGCAAATAGTTTCTGAAATTCTATTGTTATTTTCAGTTTCTTCAATGAAATAAGCGAGAATGGCTCTTCTTCTAACGCTAAAAAGCAGAAAGGAGCAAAGAAGAACGTTAAAATGACCATCAAAGACTACGAACGGAAGCTTGTGCTCGAAAAAGGAGGGTGAGTCGGTTAACCAGTTTTTCGTTCCCTCAGTTATTGTCAAAAACAAATTGAATGCATTTGGATCCATGATGAGAATTTCATCACATTGGACTCATCCGGCTCAACTAGTAATTCCCAATGACTAACTATTGCGAAATGAGCCGTGCTGCTTTTGTTCATATGTTTCTTCTTCAATTAACAATGTCCGCACAATGACAAGTGCATCTTGTTGACCCAAGCCCACATTTCGTTGAATCCACGCGGCATTCTTCGGGGGCATGTGTCGTCTTCGTGTCTGCGCCCTCCTCGTTCGCCTACTCTACGCGCGCTGCTGGCCAGTCCATTTGCATGTCCATCGGGAACCGAATCCGATAACATCTCATTTTGGCCTTCCACCCAGCTCTTTCTTTTCTCTTTTCCCCCATACAAACATCTAAATTTATTAGCTGTTTTGCAGACAAATCGATGAAAGCGATGAAGAAGAGGAAGTGCAGAAGACACGTCAGAATGGATATTACGAAGAGCAGGAAGAAATCAGAAAGAGGTGAGCAGAGGTCGGAAAGTTCAAAAATGAGAACGAAGGTTTTAGCCTTGCTGCCGCCATCAATGATGACGTCGACGATGATGGAGACGATTTCCTGACGGAGAGAAAGAAGACGTCGAAAGAGCAGGAGGAAGAGGATCACGATTTCTACCAGTGGATGAAAGGCGCAGAGGGAAAGGCCGACAAGGTGAAAGCGAAGGAGCTGAGACATCTGAAAAAGTTCTGGAAGGACGATCAGAATCTCGACGAATCGGAGAAGTTCCTGAGAGATTATCTTCTAAACAAGGACTACGAGCCAGGAGAGAATGAAGAGTAAGAATGCGGTTCACTTGAAAACGTTATATTGTCATTTAGAAATCCGACCTACGACGAAATTGTTGCACTAGAAGAAGATGAAAAGGAGCTGGATAAGAACAGAAAGTACGAGCACAAGTACAACTTTCGTTTCGAGGATCCTGACCAAGAATTTGTAAGCGGAGAAAATTATTAGACTCTGATAAGTCTGCCTTTTCAGATCAAACAGTATCCACGTACCGTCGCCGAGTCGATGAGATCAGATGACTCAGCACGAAAAGACAAACGCCATGAAAGAGAAGATCGGAAGAAACGGGAGAAGGACGAGAGGAAGAAGGAACTCGCCGAGCTCAAGAAGATGAAACGGTCTGAGATTGAACAGAAACTGGGAAAGTTGAGGAAAGCGGCGGGAGTTAACATCCCAATCACTTTGGATGAATTGAATGCCGACTTCGATCCGAAAGAGTTTGACAAGAAAATGCAGTCGATTTTCAATGACGAGTACTACGGAATAGAGGAGAATGTGCAAGAAGACGACGACGAAAAACCGGTGTTCAGTGACGTAAGTGATAAATGGGAAAGGTATGAAGAGAATGCATGCTTCAGATAGACGACAGTGACTATGAAGACTACGATAATATGGATGTGAACGAGTTGAAGACCGAGGAAGGACAAGAAGATGTGGCGGAAAAATATGAAGATGAAGAGGATGAAGAGGATGACGATGAGGATAGTACCGAACAGCCCAAAACCAAGAAACCAGCAATGAAGAACGGAAAGTTCGATATGGTTGCAGCTGCACAGAAAGCCATGAGCAAGGATAAGGATGGTATGCTCGCCTAACCACGTAATTTATACTTATTTTGAATTTTTTTCAGCCAGTCGCCGCAAAACGAAGCGTAATGTGCTCAAAGAGGCGCTTGCCAAAAAGAAGCCTCTGTTCAATCCGAAAGAGAAAACATTTGAGGAATACTTCAACGAGTATTACGCTTTGGATTACGAAGATATCATTGGAGACACACCCACGAGATTCAAGTATCGAGAGGTGGAGCCGAATGACTTCGGACTGAGCACCGATGAGATCCTCGGAGCAGATGAGCGACAGTTGAATGCGTGGGCGTCACTCAAAAAAGTGACTGCGTACCGAACTTCGCAAGAGGAGAACTTTGATAGGAAGGCCTATAATGCGAAGGCACGAGATGTTGACAAGAAACAACGGATTCTGTCGACAGATTTCGGAGGGAAGAAGTCGTTGAAGAGAAAGGCCGAAGAAGAGGAAATGGAAAATGAACTGGCTGAAAGAGCAGAAGAAGAACAGGACGAAAAGAAGAAAAAGAAAAAGAGGAGAGGAAAAAAGAAGGCGAAGGTTGTCGAAGGTTTGAAAGACCAGGAGCCGGAGGGACCGGAGGAAGCGGAGTCAGTGGTTGAAGAGGAAATGCCAGAAGTTGAGGATGAGCCGAAGGATGAACCGAAAGAAAAGGGTCCAGAAAAGAAGAAGGCGAGGAAGAGGAATAAGAACAAGGTAGCTGAATGTGATTGAGAAAATTCTAAGACAGTTTTTACAGAAAAATGTGATTGCTGAGAAGTTCGGTCACGGAATGACAGACTCTCGCGTGAAGGCGTATGGACTGAACCCGGGCCGTCTGAAGAAGGGACTCGTGTATGGAAAGTGATTGGGATTCTTTCCTAGGTTTCTGTTTTTCTGTTGATTTTTCTTATTTTATTTGTTTCCTATCCCTGTTTCGTTGTTGACTGTTATCTAATTCTATTGAATCGATAAAGAATTATTTTGTTGCTATCATTCTCTGTCTCTCATCTTTCAAAGGTTCTACTGACCTTTCCCATATCTCTGAATACGTTCCCATCACTTGTCTTCTTCTTCCTTTCTTTCTTTCCTCCTTCCCTTCCCAGCTTTTCTCAGTGCTCACAGACATATTTAGTGGCCGTCATTCCGGCGCGTCTTTGGGTGTATTCGGGAGGGCGCGTGCACGACACCAGGCCCTCTCGTCTGCCGGTTCCCCTCCGTGTCGTCTCCGTTTTCACAATCTTTCTCAAAACTTTACGTTCTTCTCCTTCCTCCACCCTCTCCCGCCCGATTTCTCTTCCACGTTGACTTTTTTCGCGTGACACTCGCTGTTTTTTCCAGCTGATGCGTTCTCGTTCTCTGAATATCTCTCATCGTTTCAGAAGCAAACCCGAACGATGGGAGGAGTGATGTCATACTTCCGCGGCCTTTTCGGCGCCCGTGAGATGCGGATTCTCATTCTTGGGCTGGATGGAGCCGGAAAAACGACGATTCTGTACAGACTGCAGGTGAGACATTTCCAATTTCTGTCTAGAATCGAACAGCTTGAATTGCAGGTTGGCGAAGTTGTGACTACGATTCCGACAATCGGATTCAATGTGGAACAGGTCGAGTACAAGAACTTAAAGTTCCAAGTGTGGGATCTCGGAGGACAAACGTCGATTCGGCCGTACTGGAGGTGCTACTACGCCAACACCGATGCTATCATTTACGTTGTGGATTCAGCCGACAGGGAGAGAGTAGGAATTGTATAATTCTTTCCGCCTTCCAACTTTATCTTGTAGGTGGGAATTTCGAGGCAAGAGTTGGCGACAATGCTGCAAGAAGACGAACTGCAGGGAGCGGTGCTCGCCGTTCTTGCCAATAAACAGGACATTGATGGGTGTCTGACGGAGACGGAAGTGTACAAGGCTCTCGGATTGGATGCTCTCCGTAATCGGACCATCCAGATCTTCAAAACGTCAGCGCAGAAGGGAGAGGGACTCGACGCGGCGATGGACTGGCTGGCCAACCAACTGCAGCAGAAGAAGTGAGACGGTCGACGATGAAGTTAATTTATTGAGTCGCAGAATAGAAACATTCGATTGCTCACTCGTTTCCCCGCCTCTTCCCCCAATTTTCTCTCTTTTCGCTGCACGAGGTGTCTTTCTGTACTGTGATTTTCCTGGCGCTTGTCCCTCTTCTTTCCGTCCCCTCTTCCCCGCGTATTCCTCTTCCTGTCCCTTTTCCTTTCTAGTTTTATCGCACCCGTTCAGTGTACTATCCAGCATACTCTCCTATCCAATCCCTTTATATTCGGTTTTTGTTTTTTCTCGTGAAATTAAAAAAGTGGTTGTTTCTCAAAAGTTTATTTGTATAAAAGTGAAGGATTCATTTGGATTCAACCTGTAAAGTGACGGAAAGAGAGTACCAATTCAATGGGCATGACGGATGTTTGAACGGGGCACGAAGCCGAGTCCTAGTTTGGCAAGAGACATGTTCTTTCTCAAGTTGACGACGTGGAAGAACGAATCGCGCGGTCCCGGCTTGATGAGACCGAGCGAGAGGTAGCGGATGCACGTGAAGAAGTCGCAGACGGCGGCGATCTGGAAGACGATAATATCGGAGACGTTCTGGAGAGAACCGAACTGACTCTGTTCCTGGCGATCAACGAAACGAAGTGCCACTCGGTTCCTTCGTCGCCCACTCTGACCCGATACGGACAAAAGCGGGAGGCATTCGTGAGTGCGCAGATTCTGACGGAGGGCTTTAGTTCGTTCAGGGGCTCCAGTTGCACTCGATTCTCCCGGATGGCCCTCATCACTTCCGCCGCCAGCTCCGTGTTCTCGAAGAGCATGCACGGCTCCACCTCCTCCACTGTCACCCGGTCAATGAACGGATGCTCGAGGGAGGGATGGCCGGCGTCCCGCCACGATTCGAATTCGGAAAACAGAATCGGATCAATTTCTTCGACAGCGTCCGCCTCTTTCTGTTCTCTGTCTTGAGTCGGCGAGTTTGGGGGAAACGAAGAAGTCGATGGAAGGGAAGAAGCCTTTTTCTTGTCCGGAACGCTCATTTCCTTCGGCTTCTTTGATGATGACCCGTTGAACAGCTTCGAAAGAGTCGACTTGTGCTCCGGTGACGTCGTCTGCTTGAAGTGGTTTTTTCCCATTCCGGGAGCGGAGATCAGCTCCTTCAAAGCCATCACTTCCGCCTGCAGCACCTCCACCTCGAGCCTCGATTCCTTCAGCAACTTCTCCGCTTTCTCACGGCGCTCTTCCGCAGTGTTCACCATCTTGTAGGCTTCCTGAAGGAAAGTGAATATACACAAACATCTTCAGAATTTGACAAAAGTAAATACCTGAAAGAGTTTCTCAGTGAGCTCTTGCACTTCTTCGTCCACCGTCGTCTGAATCTGTGTCATCTTCTTGTCTTTCTCCGCCAACGCCGTCCGAGTTGCCCGCAGTTCTGTTTGCATTCGCAGCAATTCTTCTGCTCGCGGGCTCATTAATTCAGAATCTGAAGACGTGGACGCGGCTGAAGACGTCGTGCTCCGCGCCGAAGTTCTAAGACAGAATCCTTGTTTTAAGCAAAAGGGACCGTATTCTTACCGAAGGGTTTCATGTGATTCAACGGACATTTTGAGATGGATCGGGTTCAAAACTGCAATCGTGTCCACCATTTTGGCATATCGTTTTCTGAAATGACGATGGAAAACGTATGTGTGTCAGTAGTCGGTGTGGCGATGAAAAGAAGAGGAGAAGAGAAGGGCGTCGTGTGTGTTTTTTCGATGATAACGTGTCGATGAGAACGGGTTCTGTTGGGAGTGGAAAGTGGAGGCAAGGCGGGGGCAAGAAGCGAATAATCCCGATGGATTATGAAGAAGCATTGCGAAACGGAGGAGCACCGCCGGAGTGAATGGGCGAAAAACGAGTCAGATGATAGAGTGATCGAACTTTGCCGAGAAATCGACGCAATGACACATGCTGTGGCAACAGAGAATAACAAGAGTGAAATCGCACTTTTGAGAAACAAACAATATTATTGCGGAAGAGAGAGTGAAATTTTTCCAGGATAAGTAACAAATTACTGTGGAAGCAAAGATCGAACAGCCTTGAACGAGGAAAAAGTGGTGCGCGTTGTTCTTTTGAAAGCATCGAAGGTTACTCATTTTGAGATAGGGGAGAACCATTCGGAAGTAACGGAAAAGGAAGAAGAAGTTAGATATTTATGAATGGAAGAAGAAGAAGAAGAAGAAGAAAAAGAATGGGAGATGAAGGACCCAACGAGACGTGGGCGAAGTAGGAGCACACACAAATTTCGTGCGAAAAGTGTAATCAAAGAAGAAGAAGAAGGAGAAGAAGAAGAAGAAGAAGAACCGACGACGTCTTCGAAAACGGGACGAAGGGGGAATGGAAAGAGGAAAACAGAAAGAGAGAAGCACGCAAAAAAACTTTTTCCTTCCTTTTTGGGTGGCCAGTTCACTTTCAAAGCTCACTGTTTATTTTACGGTCTCCGTTCGCTGCTTGCTCTTTTTCGGGGAAATGAAACGGATGAAAAAGGGAACGACCGGAAAGGCTACTCGAATGATGCACTCGTGACGTCACGCACAGGACGGGTGGAAAAGAGAGGACGAAATGGATAGTCCATAAAGAAATTGAGGTTTAGAGAGCGACGAATCGCGCAGAAAGGGATAGTTTTGGACGGGTGAACATGAGGGTCATTCGTTTCCATTAACAGAACCTCGCGAATTAACTCAGACGGACGGACGTCTTTTGTTGAATTCATTAAAACACATTGGGAGGCCAACCACAAATAAATGTTTTTCTGGCACGAAAGAGGACGCGATTTTGCCGTTTGCGGGGGCGTTTTGCACAAATCGAAGGCAATTTTCGAAAGCGTCTCCGGATGCCACGTCATTGTTGTTTTCGAAGGGAAATGATTGAATCAGTGGAGAGCGGGGGGTAAATAGAGAGCCTTCTGGAGATGCGCGGAGACACAAGAGAGAAAGAAAACTAACGAAAGTTTGTCGTTTGCTTCGTTTTCTGCGTAGGAAACGAAGGGAGGAAGGAAACGACGAAATCGCGTGTTTTGCCTAAAACACTGCGAAGAACAGGCGCCCCGGAAGCTTCTGCTCCTTTTGCTTCGTGCACTATTTGTGGGCTCTGCGCCTCTTGATTTGGCAGACTGTCTCGTTTTGAAGAGGGGAACAGATGGGTCCTCATTTGAGAGGAGGAAGAATCTAAACAATGGGGAGAGGAGGGAAACACCCAACGGAGATTATCTGAAATGCATTGACGGCACCGAAAGTGAGAGTGGGAGGGTAGAAGAACGGAAAGAAAGGAAAAGTTAGAGAAGAGGCGTCCCGAGGGATCCATTTACTGATGATTGCATTCCGGACGAAAGAAAGAGAGGGACGGAGAGCCAAGTGGTCAGATTTCAAGGACCGCAATTAGCATTTATGTGGAGGATGGCATTGAGGAGGAACCGGGGGACTTTACTTGACTGGGGGACTACTTGGGATTACAAAAAAGTGAATTCTTGAAGTTTCCAGAAACACTCAGCCGAACGTTAGGTCGTATAGTACCACTCTATTTGTTTTTCAGAAAGAGTTCTCCCATTTAAATTTATGATTTTCGTAATGTCAATCTTTTATTGGTTCATCTAACCGGTAAACAAACTCTCAACTACTCTTTCAATTATCAAAACATGGTGCTCTGCTTGATTGTCAGAAGTTTGAAAGGAAAAAGAGAAGTGTACCGCCCAGAACATGTCGGGTTGGGGCGAGTGGATGAAGAATGGCTGAAGAACCTTGAGCAACCTGCGAATTCCCAGAGGGAGAAGCCGTGACAAGGGGGCCGGCGGCCGAGAGGAAACAATTTTACGAGCCGATAAAATATTCACGAGTTCGAGGCGACCAGAAGCCTCTTCCAAGTTTTCCAGAGTCCCATTTCGAGTTGGCAGACACAAAATCAATGAATGTAAGGGGGAGAAGAAGCAGTAATGAGCGAGCAAGGAAGAAGAAGAAGAAGAAGAAGGGTCCGTGAAGAGCCGCAAATTAAATTAGTTGTGAAGAGAAGAACATTAGTGGCCGGGGGGAGAGGTACTGGAAGACAAGAGAACGCCCCGATGATAAGACCGGACGGCTGACTGTTTGCTCTGCCCAAAGACTTTTGACACCTGCGGGGAGGAATTACTGCCAACATTCTGGTTCCCGACTCGATTCCCGATGTTCCAGAGCGCCGTTGAACAGGGTTTTCCAGATTCTAAATGTTTACGATCGAGTCGATAGTCTTTGTGAACTTCCGACACGTTGTATAAATATACTATCTCTCGTAAGAATCTATCACACAACCACGACGAACAACTCTGGGTAATAATAATAATGATTATAAACTGCGCAGCTCCTGTTTTAGGGGACCATATAAAATTGAAGGAGATACTTTGAAAATGCAACCGGACCTGGACATTTAACTTATATTCGAAGGGACCCTAACATCGTCATTATAGTACTCTCGGTTTCGGACTCTATCTTGAAGATTTCAGCCCGCTCGGATGATCTCTTCTAGAGATGTAGCGATTTGAGGCCAAACAACCTGGTTTTCGGCCTCAAATTCTTAAATTTACTGACCTGATAATCCAATCGGGCTGAAATTTTTCAAGGGACTGCCAAATCATGAGAATTTAGTGTCCGATCGGCCTAAGAAAGCTTTTTGCTCAGCTTTGAAATTACTTTCGGTATTTCTACGTGTTTGATTCAAACTTCCAGGTAAACCTAGAAAAGGGTATAAACAGACGGCTTTCGTGGAAGTCACCTTCAGTACTTTATAACTACACGAAAAAAAGTCACTAATTTTGATGGTACCTCCCAATTCCATTTCCGAAAACAGACAAAGAGTCGTGTCCTCCAAACCGGAATCAAGGCCAATTCACATTAAAATGCGAACACTCGAGAAAAAGCAAATCATCTGGAGAGCATCGAGCTTTTCCATAAATGGATAGGATAATCATGCAATTATCTGTACTTTTCCCTCGTCGTTTCCCCCCGAATCGCCCGCTGTCGTCCCTCATTTCCGTAGTATTTTCATCTGCCGCCTCTCACTCATTTTCGACCAACAATGCGAAGATCTCTCTTTGTTGCTCCATCAACACTTTGCCTTACACTGAAGAATCAACTCAGGGGTCGCGACTGTTTCTCTTCCGATCTCCATTTTTTCGTTCTATTTCATTCGCCTTGTCATCGTCCGCATAAAGGAAGGCGACGGTAACCATAAAAAGGCAGATATGGTCCCCATTGAGTAAAGTGCACACCTGAGTGGTGGTAGGTCATTTTCGACCAGCATAACACGTAGGAGTCTCCGCCCACAGTACCGCACCGCCCCCTTTATAGCTAGCGTTGCGCGGGCGGAATATAACTCCTTATTCAATCAATTCATTCACTCACTCCCTTATTGTTTCATTCCTACCTTTGCTCTCGTCTCAAATAGACCTTTTCCGTTCCTCTCATTCGTTTCTCACTTATTCCATTTGCAGAATGCAATCCTCGTCTTCTTCTTCGTATTACGAAGACCTCGCAACACTGTCGCAAGCTCCAATCGAGAACTCTCGCAAACGGCCAGCGACAGAGAGCGATCTGATCAACGAGCAGGCCATGAAGAGATCTGCCGAAATATACAACTACAATCAGAACTATCATAGCAGTTGGATGGGTTTCGCAGAGCATAACCCGTTCGCGCCAACTCAGCACATGCAGCAGTCTCTCTTTTGGCCAGAGCAGTCAATGTATTATCCTCAGCAGCCGGACAATCAGACAGACAGACTCCTCCGATGGCCACGAAGATTCAGCCAGCACACTTTCACACTCCGGCCGCTTCTGATCTCCCGCAAGCTTCTGTAGTGTACACTCCGGAGTCGGACACTTCATCTTCTACCATTCCATCCTTTAACAATTCTATGGCTTCCAATAATAGCTTCCATAGCTTCCCGGTGCCTCAGATGCCACAGTTGCCCCAGGTGTCACAGAAGCCTCAAGTGCAGGTGCCAGCTCCGATGCGAGAGCTTCCCAATCCGAACGAGTGCATCGCGGAAGTGGACGGAAGACTTCCAGTGGTCGGGGACCGTTCAAAGTACAAGCTGACAGTGGCAGAGCTGCAAAGAAGAGTCTCCGGCCCGGAGTCGATGAACCAAAGTTCAATGCATGCATTATTCAGACTGTAAGTTTACACCATTCCATTTCGATGCTCATCCTTAACTTTTTTTGATCGAAGAAGAAAAACGGCATGAACAATATGAGAGAGATGTTGGAGAAGTATGGAATTCTGTTCACCGCTCACCACAGACAGAGAAACCCGAACTCGTTCTCGTACCTGCTGGAAGAAGAAGCCACTCGGTTCGCACAGGACATCGACATGCTGTACAAAGCCTTCTTCCCATCGGATCCTATCGGCAGAGGGATGATCGAGAAGATGCTGGCAAGCGGAAAGACCCCTGACGCCATCGAGATCATTCTCCAGAATGGAGTGTAAGTCAATCAGTAACTGACCGCCAATGAGTAACAAGTTTCATTTTCAGGACCGCCATGTCGGGTCTCGTGAAGACATTGGAAAGCCGACAGCCGACTATTGTGTACAAGGAGAGACGGGTAAAGGGGAACTCTCTGGATTCTGATTACGAACAAGTGTCGGCGGTAAGCTTGAAAATCATCTAAACTCAAACAATTGTTCTCTTTTCAGCTGACTCACGGATTCGCCCATCCGACCTCCATCACAAACTACCGATTCATGCAGGCAGCCTTCGGAAGAGCGCTTTCGGCAATTCAGGCTGTCAAGCAGGGTAGGGCTCTCGCCAAGAACTGCTCCATCGATCCGCTCGCCGAGAAGCCGTTCAAGTACATGACGGATGCTGCCTACGAAGAGTGGAAGAACGTGATGAACGGCCATCCGTCGGAGCCGAAGTTCACGAATCCGGTTCTCTGGGGAGGAGAGCCGCCAGTTTGAACGTTATTAGTATTTATATCAATTTCCTCAAAACTTCCTTCTTTATTCGATTGCAACTTGCAACTCTTTCTCTCTCTATGCAAATATATCTCTTTATTCAATTGTGAATCCGATTCTCTTTTTGTAGTCCGTTGTAATTTTCGGTTTCTCATAATATTAATATTCAGATCAATCAAAATTTCGCTTCTTTTTCAAATCCTTCTCAATTCTCATCTCCTCAAAACTTGAACACGATTTTTATTAAGCCATTAAATTAGTATGTAACTCTACAAATCTTTGTTTTAAAATATGAAATTCCATGGAATTGTTCTCGTGGCCACCTTTCATAAAACATCCTTTACCACTTCCCTTCTGATCATTTTCTGACAAGTTATGCGTAAGGAAGAAAAAAGCAAAGCGGAGAACACGGCGCAAGAGCCGGGCTCCCGTGCTCCGACGACGAAGCGCGAGAAGCAAGTGGCGGTAGGCGGTGTTGAGCCTCCGGTTTAACAGGTCGGAACGACGACCCCGAAAGACTCCGATAGTCTTGGGTCTGATGGACTGCTTGCGGAAGAGGGAAAGAAAAACGAGTCAGCAGCGGAAACGCAGAAACAAAAATAGTAAAAAATCATTAATTTGTTGCATTTATTTCAGACAAGTAAGTAATGATGGGAGAGCATTGGGGAATTGGGAGGATCGCACCGGAAACTCTAACAATAATTGGTTTTTGCATGAAAATGAATTATTTTTAAACAAGGAGTGCGTTTTGTGGCAAAGAATTTGATAAATTTGAAGAAAACAGCTGAAGTGTCGAACTTCTGATCCTCCGCTCGTTGATCCGCGTGGCAATCGTGTGGGAGCAGAATGACAGCCTGAAAGACATTCTTTTTGAACAAACGGTTTGGAAAATGGATACGGCAGCTGATTATTGCGGAGAACTCGGCATTTTTTAAATACCACACGAACATAAAAAATATAATTTTTATCGAAATAATATGGTTGAGCTCATAAATTGCGTTTGAATAGTGAGAAGAAATTTTTTTTCAAAATAAAGCGGCCAGCGAAGGGACTGTGCAAGTGCGCTCCATTGCAAGGAGCCGGAATGTCGGTGCGTTTCCGCTGCTGTGTAAAATGTGTATAAGATGAGCGTGGCGAGACATAACACAGGTTAATAAAGAATTCAAATTTATTTAAGTTGAAAGTGTAAGAGGCAAAAGGCCCCGTAGGGCAAAAATCCTCTGGGCCGTGGCCGACACGTGGTCGACGAACGGGGGTGAGGAAACCTGTTAGTAACAGGGGAAAAACCTCAAAGGAGAAATGCAGGGACGGTTTGCTCGCGGCTGACGTCGCCAGAAGTGACGACCCGGGGCGTCACGACCGTGGAGATCGTGGGCTGGGTACAGAGAGAGTTTTGAGTCGTAAACTGGCCCAAAAACGCGGCAACAGGAGTCACAAAAGGCGGAAGGTTCAGCGGAATAGATCCGGAAAAAATGTGAGGTAAAAAACGTCAAGTTTTGACGGAAAAAAAGGCAGCAATTAGCTGGAAAAAATCGTTGTTAGTGAATTAATTATCGAAGAACCTGTAGGATTTGGGTCGCGGGTCTCGCCACGATAGCCGCGCGCGCGGACGAATGTCGCCGGGAGACTTAGAAAAGTTTGAAAATGTCTTGGAAAAGTCTGAGATTATCTTGAAAAAGTTTAAGAAAGGCTTAGAAAATTGTCGGAATTTATTGGAAAACTGGAAATTTAAATGAGAGAAATGAGAACAGAACGGGAGAATGTAAAGAACAACCGAGAACACAAAAAAGCAAAGAACAGAAAGATTTCAAACTAAAAATTACGGATCGTCTTCTGGATGAGGCCCGGGTGCTGGCGGGTTTGAAGTTGTCATTGGAGTTCGTGTGGCCAGATCTTCTCGAGATACCATTGAACGCTTCTTTTTCGTCTCCTCTTTGGAGGAAGAGATATAATTTTTGCTGAAAACAAAACTTTATTTGAATAATTTCTCCACTGCGCGTACAAAAGAGATTTGAGCTGCGCTTTGATGAGTTCAGGCAAGGGAAACACGAATTCATCGCGGCTGATGTTCTCCTCTTCACCAGGAACGATACGAATCACCTCGAACAAGTAGTCTGCAATGATTCCAAACATTACTTTTTACAATTCCCTGAGCTTTATTTCGCCGGTTTCCATGATTGAAATCAATCTATTTCTAAAGCTTTCTAAAGTCCATCCGCAGTGCCAATATTCACAAACATAACTCCGATTTTTGCTATATCTTCAAAGAAAAGTGAGCACTGAGAGGAGTACAGGGAAACGCGGAAATATTCGCTACTTCTAACTGCTTTTCGAATGTTTTAACTTTTCTTTGCTGAAAATTTTTACGAAGACGCAAACATTTCAACTACCACTTAGTTTTTCCTACAAGAAGTACCGCGAAAGTTACCTGACAGGGCGGATACGTGGGACTCCGGGAACTTGTTGAGTTTCGAGGGATTGTCAGCGATGGAGAACGTGCACATGAGATCCTTGTTCGAAATTACCTGAACAAAATTTCTTACTGAAACTTCGAAGTAACGCTTTTTTTTTACGTGCCCCTCTCATTCCGGAAGGCTAGGTGAATAATTATTACACATATTTTCTCACTTTTGTTAACATTACATGTTACTCACCATTTTCACGAAAAGGACTGTGCACCGAAAAACCAACTGCTTCAGTCGTTCAGCTCGCGGTCCCTGGTTTGCGAACATGTCGGAAACGTTTTTCGGAGATTCTGCAAATACGGTTTTTACGCGGTTCATGGCAACTAATTACTACCGCCGCATAGTGAGTTGACAACGACGTCGGGCCCCGTGTAGACGTGTGGGTTCAATTTGGCGACCGGATTCGGCATCTCCGATACAGTGAGAACATTTGACTTTTTGCTGCGGATGCTCGTGAGTTGAGCTTGCATTTGCCGAACTTTCCTTGCCATTATTTCGTGCTCTTTTTGACGGACCTCATCCTTCTTCAGCAGGTAAACAGTTGTTCCTAGCGTTGACGCCCACTGTCTACAATCGGGCGTTCCCTGTGTCTTGACAACTAACTAGCGCAAACGCTCGATGATTTCGTCCCCGTTGCAATTGTTCCAGAGATCCTGAATATTGTCTACAGCGTACATAATACTGAATACCTACCTTGACATCTTCAAGTGACTCAGCGGGAGCCCTCGCCAACGACAACCCAAATTTAATGTGAGACATAATTTTCTTCGGTGCTGCAGCCACCCTTCCGAGTCTGACATGGCTGCAAAAAAGGTTGAAAACAGTGAAGCTGGGACCACATAAGTACACACCGATCACTGAGTCACAGCGTGGACATGAGACCAAAAGAGACTGCTGGCGCATCTTGCACTCACTTGGCGCACTATTGGATTTTGTGGTTTCGCAATTAAAATCTTTTTCTCGTTTTTATATTTTAATACATGTCGAAACGCAATTTTTCGTTACATATATGTTGCAAAAAACTCAATTTTGAATTTTCAGGACTCGTTGCAACAATTTCTGCAGTTAACTGGTAAATCGTTCTTTGCCTGACCAGAAGATTTCCGAATCTGATCCGAGTTCCGCGTCTGACCAGGTGAATTCGGAATCTGGTCCGAATCTGATCAGATTTGGAAATTTGCACTGCTGGCGCGTTTCGCGTGCTGGCGCATTTCTTGTGCATCTTCAAATTCTTGAAAAAACATGTTTTTAACATTATTTTTAACTTTAAACGTTATTTTTACTGATTTCATACAAATTTTGAACAGAATAATCTGTATTCGCGAAAATATGGCTCGATGGACGATAACCCCTTGAAGTATACGCCTGTGCCGATTCAGATCATCAATGGTCCGCTGTGTATGTGCTTTTATTATTCTTTACGATATCACCTCTCACTGTTCCAGGGTTGATACCTGAATGCATAAAACTGACGGGAATGGACAAAGAAGTTCTCATTGAGACTATAACCCATTTGTACATGAACCACTTGAATTATTTATGGTGAGAACATTATCAATTTCCTACTTTTAAATCGAAAATCTCTCGTACAGCGACCAAGCACGTGCCGACATGAAGAATCTTCCAGAAGCGGGAAATAATGAGGAAAATGACGGGCAAATATCTGCGGCAAATAATGGAGCAAATGACGGCCAAATATCTGCGGCACCTACTGAGTAGGATTCTAAGTACGTTCATTGCAAGTTTTACTTTTTTACACTCTGTTACCCTTCCAAAAAAACTGTACTGAACACTTCGATTAATTTTGAAAAACCGAAAAATGCGTGAACTGCAAAATATCGCAAAAAAATCCAAAAAAATGTTTATGTTTTGATTTTTGATTTTTAAAAATCGGCAAATACGTAGTCGAAAAACGTTAAGTTATCAGGAAATTGTTACGGACACTTTCTTTCCTTAGCATTTTCTCTCATTCTTTCTTTTCAAATTGTATACAAATTTTACCTTTTCATTTTTTTAAATTGACAATTCCCCAAAACGTAACTTGAAAAGTTTTTGATCCTAAGCAGTAAAAAAATACTACTCAGGAAAGTGCCACCAACAAATTTGTGATAACTGAATCTGTACTGAGCATTTTTGGTGACTTTTTTGCCGATTTTTTCCACGATATTTCACTGTTCACGCGTTCCCAGTTTCTTCTGAATCAATTGAACGATTCAAAACAGTTGAAAAAAACATAAGAATAACATAAGAGTGGAAAAAGTGAAAAAACGCATTTGTTGTTGTTGTTGTTGTTGTATTTGTATTCTAGTTATTCCCAAATCACGTGTCCACCCTGTCAGTTGTTTTTGTTTTACTGGTTCTATCAATAAAGCTTTAATTTTTGCGAAATTCTAGTTAAATTCACAAACTGCTAAAAATTTACAAACTGCCGCTTTCTTTCGGATCAGATTCGGAAATCTTCTGGTCAGACAAAGAATCATTTACCAGAGGATGCATAAGAGAACGGCGAATATCAATCGGAGAGCGATGAGATGTTAAGCTGTGGGACAAGTGATGAAGATCCAGATGAGTTCGATCTGTCATATGATGAAACTGGAGTGGAAACCGAGGAGTTACGTGAGATAAGCACTCGGGGTAATATTTTTACTCATTAAAGGAAATGTAACTGTTTTTCTTGAAGAAAAAATGTGGAGAAAGCTGACAACACAAGATTTGTGCAGAGTTTCGTTCTTACTATCAGAAACTAACTCGAAAAGAGGTGATCAATGCCTGGGATTCCCGCGAAAAAATAAATAAATTTGCAGCTGTAAACGACTATTTTGTGGCCGAGAATGTGAGGAACCGGGAAACGATTAAACAAACAATCATGGGATTCCTCGTTCACAACGACATCTCCAGGCGCGTAATCATTCAGAAATATGGATTGACAAACAAGCATGTTTTGCGGTTGTCCGGACGGCTTCTGTCCGCCGGCGTACCGCGTGACGTTTCCCAATCCGTCCTGGACTCTCTCTACGATTCTGCTTTCGGTTCGATTGCTACTTCCACGGATGAAATAATAATATTGGACATTCATCAGCTGTTAGGCCACTCTGTCATTGTGCAAAGCGGAAATGTTTCTGTTGTACTGCCATTTTCCACCCGTCCTACCGCTTCTTAACAAATAATCTGCTCTTGTTCTGTTCATATTTCTTTCGCCTCTAACGATAGGCCTGTTGCATGCACATTTCGCATATCTAGAGAACGGTGACAAGCCGTACTAAACAAATTGCAAAAATATGCTGAACGCGTTCAAGCAGCGCCACGAAGCACCGAACACACAGCGAGAAAGTAATGGCAGGGCGGGATCCAGCAGCCGACAGTCAGCCATCCATCAGACCACTCCCCACCGCTCGCAACAGAAAACAACAACAACGAAGGTATTGCGATATGTTTTTGGAAGAAATAAGTACACATTTTGCAGAAACCTGAACAATATTCCCGCTCCCATCACGACCAGAATGAGTACTCGCACGTTTCCAAAATGTCCGCCTCTAAAAAGACACCGCCTCGCAAGCCGCTTTTCAGAAGTCCGTTGAAACCGGTGAGCTGCAAAACTCACTAATACATCCAAATTCCCTGTTCAGGTGGGACTGATAAACGGTGAGCAACTGGAAGAAGAGCCGGGGGAAGACGATAGTTGTCGACGATCAAGGCGAGTTTGGAGCCGTCGGGAACTACAACAGCGATTATGACGATGACGACTATGAGCTCTTCGAAGAATCGAGATCGGGGATCTCAGCGAGGAAATTCTGGCGGACATTCGAGTAATCAAGATAATCAATAGTTCATTCAAGTTTGTTCCTGTTTTCCAGAGAAAACTGGTCAATGCGGTTCGTTGTCGGGTGACCTTTGATTATTCGGCCATTAACGAAATGATCAATCATGGCTCGGATGACGTCAAAGCCACTTGTCTCATGATGAAGGGCTTGATGCACGTAGTAAGAAAGCCCTTCAATATAGTCCCAACATCTATTCCCAGATCGAGGCGCTCTACGAAGATCGCAGCAATTCCCACGGGAAAAACTCGTCAAAAATGTTCCGCAGGCGACGGTTACATTCAATCCGCGATGCGTGAGGAATGCCGAGCCGTCCGTCGTCACCACCACCAACGGCCACGGTAATCATTCGCTACTTTCACTTACCAGCTCATTTGTGATTAATTCTCAGACGTTTGCGTGAATACCGTCTTTCAAAGAACCTCGCCAATGTCCGGAACATTGCGCACGGTCGTCCATCACGTCGCCAACACGTGGCTTGGAGCGGTATTTCATTTCAGTTACTTCTAATATTACAGAAAAAAGTTTTCAGATTTTGAAACCGGAAGAGATGGGAATTTACACCACCAGCACGAAGCCTATGTCTTCGTCAAGAGCTATTATTCCGGCTAAGCTGCTGAATGAGCCAGTTCGTGAGTTACATATTCCTTATTTTTGAAGTATAAAATACTCTGGCATTTCGTTATTAATCTAATCGCAGTCTACTCGAGTTATACGGCGGCCTAATAAGATTGATATGACACCTAATTAGATTAATAAATTGTCTAGTTAGATTAATAAATCTTCTAATTAGATTGATATGTGCTCAAATCAAGTTCACGCCGACCCTCTGCTGGCTCAAATCTCGATTGTGCCAAGAAAAAACAGTCGAATCTAATTAGGTCGCGTTTAGATCAGTAACTTTCTAATTAGATTAATATCGAATTGCCAGAGTACGACATTACAGGAATGCTTCTCGAATGTTTGTCGGTGGAAGGTGGCGTCGTCGACGACATCTCTAGTCACGTGGGACTTTTGTTTAAAGAACATATCACAAACAAAATGTAAGATTTCCCATTCAATTTTCCTACTGAGACATGGACTTTTCAGCAACCACCAACGATCGGTCGACAATCGCAAGCGCAAGGGAAATGCTTCTGCCGGTGATGCTCCTCCAAAGAAAAAGTAACTTGTCATTCCCTTTTTTTCTCGTTTTCTCGTTTTTGTTGCTGTTTCTGTTATTTTTTGCCCAATAAACACTTTTTTTTCTAATTTTATCGATTTCATGTTATCCATCGTATATCAATCTAATTAGGTGGCATATCAATCTAATTAGATGCAATATTAATCTAATAAGGCCGCCGTATAACTCGAGTAGACTTGGATTAGATTGATAAAACGTCTAATTAGATTAATTGCCAGAGTTTTGCACAAGAAAACACGACGGCTGCACCGATTTGGCTCTGTGTGTGCTCAAAATGACCGTCTAACTCCCAGCTACAATATGGCCTATGAAAAAAACGAAAAAATTACGGCGTTCAATTATTATACGGGGAATAACGCAATTTTCGCCGAAAATTTATTATTTTTGAACTCCTCGGCGTGCGCTGCAAGTGCGCTCCAATGATAAACGTCCACGCTGTGACTAAGTGCCGATGGAGGAACGGAACAAAGACATGTCATGCAAAGCGATTAATACGAGAAGCTTGTATTGTAATAAAAAAGAGAAAGATCATTAACGGTATCTACGAGCATGTTGGAGAAGAGGCCAGTGGGAGGACAAGCAGTGAGTTGTGAACGTAGGTGTAGACTGCGTGACCTAGAACCTCTCCGATCGGAACAACGACGTCACTTCCATAATCCGTGATTGTAATTCCGAAATGTGATGACGACACCGTGTCGAACACATCCACGTACGGCTCTACTGACCCAAGACTTGACAGAAATCGATCTGCTAAGCGTTTGACGTGTGCCAAGGAGGATCGGAACGTTCGGACAAGGAATCGGACACTGCACTCATCCCAGTAAATGGCGAGGATTCGAGGATTGAGGATGGCGAGGATTTTTAATGGACCAAATCTGTGCATGCTTCTTCGGAGTTCATCAAGCGATGGAGGAACATCCTCTCCAAGCTCCTCGTGCCGCTGAACACGTCTGATGACTTCGGCTCTCACTTGCCGGTCCGTACTCGCTCTGAATATTATAATTACCAACAGGGAACATTACAGTGCTTACGGTCTTATCAGAGTACATCCCAAATTGACGGTGATTTCGGGGACCAAATTTCTCTTGAGGAAGTTGTTGTGTTTGTGAAGTCTTCCACCGCGTTGGTAGGGAAGTGTCGGAACAGACAAGAGTGCTTCCGCAAGAGGTTTATTCAGGGTAAGAGAAACCTAAGCGGGGCTGGCAGATAGAATGAATAGAATGAAGAGGGTTCGTCCTCAGAGGGAGGGCGACCCGAATGATGACAAATGAACGAGAATAATGCATAACCTAGCGGGTAGATCACAGGTAGATCACTTAGTATTATCCTACAAATTCATACGTCTAGAACGACGTAACATCTCCCTTTGTCAAGTTATGATGTTTTCGGTGTTGAGCATTCCAATTCGTGTAGACTGAGCGTAGTCCCGAACCAGAAGGTGAGCTTGTAGAAGCCCGTAGGCGAGTCGACAGCAACTGGCGTTCAGTTGTTGACGACGATCCTGTAGTTGTTCCGGAAGGTGAACTGACCGAGGAACGCTGGCGAGTCGACAGCAGCTGGCGATCAGATGCTGACGACAATACCGTAGTTGTTCCCGACGGTGAGCTGATCGATGGACGATGGCGAGTCGACAGCAGCTGGCGTTCAGTTGCTGACGACGATCTCGTTGTTGTTGACGACGATCTTGTAGTTGTCCGAGCCACGAACCAACCACGACCATTTGTTGATCCACGATCCACCTCCGATGATGCACGATCCTCCGGTGACGACGATCCGTGCTTGTCCCTGACCTTGACCACTTCTCCGATGCCAAACCAGTTTGACTTCGATCCGTGATGCCGGCCTGCTTGCTGCTTGGTCGACGGTGCCTGGCGACTTGGAACTCGTTTTCCGGACTGCTTCGCTGCGACGGGATTGACGGATCCCTTGAGCAAACGTCCGTAGAGCGACTGATCCTGTTTGATCCAGTCCATGCCCAGGATCGACTCTGTGTTGGTGACCTGGCATGTCCCTGATCCTGGCTGACCATTGAGCACGAAATCACATTTCAATTGCCCGAGAACTGAAATTGATTTGTTGGTGACTGACCGAAGTCTTCGCGTTGACGGCGACATCTCCGGTTTGTCCAAAAGGATCCAATCCTTCTGACTGAGCAGCGTAACGTCCGAGCCAGTGTCCAACATCATCCGAACCGGTTGTCCCTTGATGCTGACATCGGTGTAGATCCGATTTCGAGCCGTTGCTGACGTTGCTGCGATGAGGATGGAGTTGACCGACTCCACTTCACGTTCAGGGCACATCCGCGTTAGATGTCCCTTCCCGTTGCACTCCCGACAGGTTGTCTTCCGATGAGTGCAGTCTCGAGACCAATGCATGAGTCCGCATCTGAAGCAAGGGGTAGACGGTTCCTTCTTCGTAGACTTCGGCTCATTGCGTCTCGGTGTGACCGCGTTCACTTGAGCGACAGGATCTCCAATGGCTATGGCATCCGACCTGAGCAGCACAGCCTGTTCCAGCCTGTCCGTCAGTTGTGATAGCGTGATCCTCGGATCCATCTCGAGTTCCCGAAGAGCTCGGTGTCGGAGCTCCATTTGGTCTGGTGACTGGAGTCCGATGATCCACAGGAGACATTGGGCCTGGTCTGGTCCAAAATCGGTCCACTTTGCAGCGTTGAACCTTCTCTTGACCATTCCAGTGTAGTCCTTCAAATCCTGTCCGGTGAATTTGGTGGTGAGGAGTTCGAAACGTAGTCGAGCGACTGACTTCGTTTCGTTGAACAGCCTCCGAAGTTCGGTGATGGTGTCTTCGAACGTCACATCCTTTGGCGCTCTCGGCAGGATGTTGTTTCTATACCGCTCTGCCTCTCTTTTGTTGAGCTTGCTGACAACGAGCCGCGCACGAGCTGCGTCGTCGAGTTCTGCTCCGTCTGTCCTGATGATATCTTCGTATCGAGAGAACCACGCATCGAACGTCTCTCCATCTTCCGGATCGTACGAGAAGAAGGCAATCCGGTTGCTTAGCGAGTTCACGATTGAATTCGCGTCTGCAGCGGGCCGGGTTGTCTTGTTGAACGCGTCGAGCAGAGCCTTCAGCGTCTTCTGTTGTTGGTCGAAAAAATATTTGAGCTGAGCCTGATCCATGGTTGACGTCCGATTCTGATCGTGATCCTGATCTGTCCTGATCGCCACTGTTGTGTTTGTGAAGTCTTCCACCGCGTTGGTAGGGAAGTGTCGGAACAGACAAGAGTGCTTCCGCAAGAGGTTTATTCAGGGTAAGAGAAACCTAAGCGGGGCTGGCAGATAGAATGAATAGAATGAAGAGGGTTCGTCCTCAGAGGGAGGGCGACCCGAATGATGACAAATGAACGAGAATAATGCATAACCTAGCGGGTAGATCACAGGTAGATCACTTAGTATTATCCTACAAATTCATACGTCTAGAACGACGTAACAGAAGTGGTAAGACGATTCATGGTATCTCGTGGAACATGACTGAAGACGTCCGCACTGCTCAATCATATCGGGCATATGATAGACGATGTCATGCAGTTTTTGGCCTCGCAGGAGATCTTCGAAGTGACGCTCTACTAAAGTGCAATCCGCGGCACGCTGTGCGGACCTGTAAACCTCTATAACACTTTCTCTTCTTCGCCATGCGTTTACCCTCTCCTTCAGATGATGCGTCCTCAGCAGTTCTGACTGCATCAAGCAGTTCACGGACGCCAAACTGACGACGAGGAGAGAAACCAGAGGACTGAGTGCATCGGCGTAAACTAGTCTCATCATGACTGACATGAAGAATTACTCTTTCTCGGTGAAGCTCATTTTTCCGAACTCCATTCGCAGTTGTCTTACGTGCGACGGCAGCGCCATCTCCAACGAAGTGAGCACTTCTGGATCCGATTCGGTCAATTTTGCGAACGTCGGGGAGGAAGGGCTCACAAAACTTTCCCTGGTCAGTCGCCATAGAGATAAAGAGATAGAAGAAAGAGAGAGAGATAGAGAGATAAAGAGATAGAAGAAAGAAGAAGAAAGAGATAGGCCTTCTCTATCTTTCTTTCGGTATTTGAGATGACGTTGAACCTAATTGAATCGAACTTGTGTTAAAAAAAGTTAAAAAAAGAGAGCGTGAAATGATCACATTGATGGAAAGAGAAGCGAGTTAGGTCAATTCAGATTTAGCAACCGTTCCGTTTTATCAGAACGATATAGTAGATGTATTGATGTGCATTAGTCGCACCGACCACGGCCAGCGAATCCTTATCGACCGATAGAAACTTGGTCGTGTCGGAGTTTTCAGATCTAATAACCGCGGCTGAAACAAAGGTGGTCGGTGAACTTTAAGCGGATGGTTACACTCACCGATCGTTTCATACGTTGTCAAGTTCCACTGCGCGTGTATAAACTCACCGCCCATAACTTGCGAAACACATTCTTATAGTCTTCGTTTCCACACAAATTTGTCGATTCCATTGCCAATTGTCGGAGCACTTCATTCGGAAGCGATCCGTCGATCATCATGTGTGCAATCAAAATTGCAATCATAATAGAGATAGAGATTGAAAAAAATGTCATTTTTTTCAAAAGTTGACAACAACTGAAAGTGCCGGTGAAACTAGAAAAGACAACTGATATGTTCAGTTTGATGTACTGTTATTTATCCAGTCAGTTATTGAATATCATCTTTGCAACCAACAACCAACCAACCAACCGATGCGGTGCAGGTCTTCGCGACAAAATGCAAGTCGGTGAGCGGCTGACAACCGCGCGCAAACAAAAACCACGGCCGCGTTGAAAGACACGCAAAATGCGGATACACGTGCCCTCATGTGTGCGGTGTGTTGTTAATTGGCGGGAGTAGAGGAGTGCGGCATATGTGTCGAGTGTGGTTTTTGTCAGGAGGGTGGTAGTTGCGATGAGACGTGTGCGATCGGCTTGCCGCGTGTTGTGTTTCCACAGTGCGTACGGTTTGCTGTTAGCGTCGTTTTGTCGGCTGCTTTCGGCGTGTTGTGTGTCATTTTTCGTGACATATTTCACAACGATGGCTGACTACATCAATCCATTCCGGGTACAATGCAATTGTTAGCGGTTGACTTGCGGTGTCGCGAGCCATATGCTTCAGTTGTCACGACTACTGTTGTTCTCGATCTGGCGCTGTTCGTTGAGGCGATCTGGTGTCCTGCTTCGAAACACAAGTCGCTTAATGTGCATCTCTACTGTTAGAGTTTCAAATGTTGTTGCGGTATCGATCGTATGCGTGGGAAGTGTTTACGAGAGTAAATCAGTGAAACATCGTGTAAAAGCGGTTGTTTTCTGAAACAATCTCGCTGAACATCTTTATGTTCGCGTAATACCTGATTGATTCTGTCAGCGCGATATGCTCAAGTAAAAGATTAAGCCATGCATGCTTTGATTCATCAATGAAATTGCGTACGGCTCATTAGAGCAGATATCACCTTATTCGGAATTCAGATATGGATAACTGCGGAAATACTGGAGCTAATACATGCAACTAAATCCCAACGCAAGGCGGGATGCAATTATTAGAACAGACCAAACGTTTTCGGACGTTGTTTGTTGACTCTGAATAAAGCAGTTTACTGTCAGTTTCGACTGACTCTATCCGAAAAGGGTGTCTGCCCTTTCAACTAGATGGTAGTTTATTGGACTACCATGGTTGTTACGGGTAACGGAGAATAAGGGTTCGACTCCGGAGAGGGAGCCTTAGAAACGGCTACCACGTCCAAGGAAGGCAGCAGGCGCGAAACTTATCCACTGTTAAGTATGAGATAGTGACTAAACATATAAAGACTCATCCTTTTGGATGAGTTATTTCAATGAGTTGAATACAAATGATTCTTCGAGTAGCAAGGAGAGGGCAAGTCTGGTGCCAGCAGCCGCGGTAATTCCAGCTCTCCTAGTGTATCTCGTTATTGCTGCGGTTAAAGCTCGTAGTTGGATCTAGGTTACGTGCTGCAGTTCGCAAATTGCGTTAACTGTGGTCGTGACTTCTAATTTGCTGGTTTGAGGTTGGGTCCGCCCTTCAACTGCCAGCAGGTTTACCTTGAATAAATCAGAGTGCTCAATACAGGCGCTTGCTTGAATAGCTCATCATGGAATAATGAAACAGGACTTCGGTTCTTTTTGTTGGTTCTAGAACTGATTTAATGGTTAAGAGGGACAAACCGGGGGCATTCGTATCATTACGCGAGAGGTGAAATTCGTGGACCGTAGTGAGACGCCCAACAGCGAAAGCATTTGCCAAGAATGTCTTCATTAATCAAGAACGAAAGTCAGAGGTTCGAAGGCGATTAGATACCGCCCTAGTTCTGACCGTAAACGATGCCATCTCGCGATTCGGAGGGTTTTTGCCCTGCCGAGGAGCTATCCGGAAACGAAAGTCTTTCGGTTCCGGGGGTAGTATGGTTGCAAAGCTGAAACTTAAAGAAATTGACGGAAGGGCACCACAAGGCGTGGAGCTTGCGGCTTAATTTGACTCAACACGGGAAAACTCACCCGGTCCGGACACCATTAGGACTGACAGATTGAAAGCTCTTTCTCGATTTGGTGGTTGGTGGTGCATGGCCGTTCTTAGTTGGTGGAGTGATTTGTCTGGTTTATTCCGATAACGAGCGAGACTCTAGCCTGCTAAATAGTTGGCGAATCTTCGGGTTCGTATAACTTCTTAGAGGGATAAGCGGTGTTTAGCCGCACGAGATTGAGCGATAACAGGTCTGTGATGCCCTTAGATGTCCGGGGCTGCACGCGTGCTACACTGGTGGAGTCAGCGGGTTTTTCCTATGCCGAAAGGTATCGGTAAACCGTTGAAATTCTTCCATGTCCGGGATAGGGTATTGTAATTATTGCCCTTAAACGAGGAATGCCTAGTAAGTGTGAGTCATCAGCTCACGTTGATTACGTCCCTGCCCTTTGTACACACCGCCCGTCGCTATCCGGGACTGAACTGATTCGAGAAGAGTGGGGACTGTCGCTTCGAGGTTTCACGACTTCGTTGTTGCGGAAACCATTTTTATCGCATTGGTTTGAACCGGGTAAAAGTCGTAACAAGGTAGCTGTAGGTGAACCTGCAGCTGGATCATCGCCGAGCTTCGTGCCACGTGATTTAATCCAAACCATTGACGAATGTTAACATTCCGGTCGAGATGCCTGCGCTATGAATGTTTCGGTCACTTTCTTACGGAATGTGGTGGTCCGATATTCTGAGGCTTAATGATCAAGTGTGTCGTGTCTTACAGGCGGATCGTCTGCGAAACGCTTCACCTGACGTCTCGACAGCGTTCTTTGCTTCAACCCAAAAACGCGACGGTGTTGATGCAACACGATTCGGTGGCTATTGATGCGCTGATGACGTTTTCGAAGCGTCGACTGCGATAGTCTTAATGATGCGTCGCCGCGTTTTTCTGCTTGAAAAATGTGGCTTCGTACGCCAATCACAACACCAAGCCAATGTTTTTATCAGTTTTTGTGCATCACTAAAGATGAACGTGTTTCGTCTGAAGTGACGTCGAATTTAACGATTCGATACATACGTACTAGCTTCAGCGATGGATCGGTTGCATCGAGTATCGATGAAGAACGCAGCTTGCTGCGTTACTTACCACGAATTGCAGACGCTTAGAGTGGTGAAATTTCGAACGCATAGCACCGATTGGGTCTCCAGTCGGTACGTCTGGTTCAGGGTTGTTTATCTAAACTGCTGATATGCTTCGTGCATAGAAAAGCGTGTCGAACAATATGTTTGTCTCCGGACAATGATATTGTTCTAGTTTCCGAAGCATCACAAGTTGTGTGTGTGTGTACGTGCTACACACCCGCATAATGTGACGCGCTTCTCTATTTCTTACTGTACAAACGGTCGGAATGAGCTGCCAAATGGCGTCCGTCGCGATTCTGCTCGTGTCTCTCTCTCACAAGTGATGATGTGTATGAATTGCGGTGCGAATCGTCGCTCGATTTCCATTTTGCCGATGTGCGTGTAACGAGATCTAGAGCTCAACTAGTTGTTTGGCGCGTGCCGAGACGAACATGTCGCGGTGGTGTCAACGGCGAGTCGTGTGCGTGTCTTGCTTATCTCCACCTGAACTCAGTCGTGATTACCCGCTGAACTTAAGCATATCATT